AGACTCAACTTAGCATCTTCTAGTCACTATTACCATGTTTATATAAATAAACAATAAATAATAATTTCATAAGACTATATATATATATGTACTAGCAGTAGGCACTAGCCCACCATCTATTTAAGATTGGGAGCAATTTTTGTGGAACCCATAGCCAAGATTTGTGGGACCAAAACATGAACACTATTGCAAACTTCGAGGAAAATTTATATAGTTTTGATTTGTAATATAATAAGGTTATTATAAAAGATTCAAAAGAATAGTAATAGAAAGTGGAGGCTCCAACCCATTTTAGTCTGTTCCAGACCACAATCATAATTGTCCTCTTATGCTTCAAAGTTCAAAATTCATACCCACTATCTCCCACTTTTCACACTCCTTTTTCGAGTTAAAAAAGAAAAGAAAAGATGGGTCTTTTGCAATTTTTCTAGGAAAGTTTCTCTTCCTTCTTTGTGTATGGCTTTCTCTTCTTTTGTTACAAATACTCACTTTAATTCCTACTTGTGAATCATTAGTGGTGGTAGCTAATACTTGGAAAAAGATCAGAAAAATCCCTTTTGCTCTTTGAATTTTCTTTTGCATTTAGGGCACATTACCTTAAAAATATATAGAAGATCATGTTGATCTTGTTTTATATAAAGTTTGGTTTTTTTTTTTTATTTTGTAAATGAAGATAAATTAATGGCCAGCCAACATGCTAAAGTGTGATCCTTTAATCAAAGTGCTTCTAGATTGAAATGTGAAAAGGCCATGGCTTTGTCACCGACAAAAGAAGAATTTTTGCTTGCCAAGTGAAGAAGAGAAAAAAAAAAAAGAAGGGAAGGGTAATTGTTAATTAATAAAATTAATTAACACCTAATTAACCAAAATCGTATTATTATTAGTTCTAGCAATCATTAAGAGATCAAGTCTTTAGATGAGATTATTATGATATGCAATACCTTAAATATTGCTGCAATCATATAATGAAGAGAGTGATATCAAGTAATTGAATCTTGAGGCAACTTATTTTAAATAATTGTGTACTAAAATTTATGGGCAATTAATTATGAAATGCTAATAATTGGATTACAAGGCCATCTACACATGTTAATCACGTGGCTTGGTTAAGGATGTGGAGAATCAAACTAGACAGGGAAGCTTCAAATTTTCTCCTGCAATAAATTAATACGAATAAGTACCAAAAACAATGCTGATAGAAAGTGATAAGCGATCTTAATTTTTATGAATAAAAACACAAGTTAAATTTTGAAATAATATATTTTATTAAAAGTATAAAAAATTTTTACGGCTCTCGTTTGAGAGATTATCTTTAAAAAAAAAAAATGATATGAATAAATATATATAACAAGTAAAAGTTTTGCTCAGCCAAGACTAGGGACAAACAAGTGATTGATGGATGATTGGTAGGCATGAAATGGATATTGATAAGTTAAGTTGCTTGTTTGTTGTTGCAACCGCATTACTGGCTAGGCTACCACACATGTCTGGACAGAATCATTCAAGGTGGACAAATGGTGGTATCGGCGTGACTCACTTTGCTACTGACTGCACTTGTTACTTGTCAAACTTACAAACAAAACACAACCCACTTTCTATTTTCTCTTCTTTTCTTTTTCTATTTGCAAAAATTAAGAAAAAAAGCTAAAAAATTCCACTTTCTAGAACTGGGTCATTATCTCTATTCAATGCTTCCACGGCTCAGCTATTAGCAATAATAAAGCTCGAGGTTTTGGCAGTTTCTTGAAAAGTATTATAATATGGTCAAGAATGCAAATAAGAGAGAGAAAAGGGTGTCAAAATTTATTACTACTACGTTGCTTTCAATCAATTAATGACCAAATAATTAGTGTTAAGGTATGGCGGTCGAGATAGAAACCCTAATTGTAGTAGGTACTGCTATGATGTAACTTCTTGTCATGATATAATAGGATTGGAATTTGGAAGTAGGGATTTTTTGGCACCCATAACCCGTGACTCTACTTATGCATGCAGCTACCACTACCAGTCTAGCTTGTAGTAACTCTTACTTGTCCACAGGTATATATAAATTTCCATCTGGGTAAGGAAGGTATCCAATGTCCATTGCTCACTTCTAAACATAAAACTCTGGGAAAATGCACCATAAAGAAAACACAGAATGCAGAAATATAGCCCGCCATTATTCAGGGATAGGACTCTTTTACGTTTATATAGCTATAATGCCTAAACCTTCGGGCAAAATGTATAGATGTTAGCATATTATCCTTCTAGCCTCATGAATTTTGCAAAATTTTAATTATTATTCTGTATTTTCACATTTCATTAATAATTATATTTTTAGTTAAAATAAAATATTTTTACAGAGATTTATTTAATAATGACTTTATATTTTTACATTTCATCTTGAAAAAAAAATATAGTTATTATTAAAATGTTAAAGTGCAGTGTTATAATATGTTCTCCATAAAATTTAAAAGATTACAAGTAATCGTCAAAAGTATATGATCAAATTTATGCATTAAGTCTAAAATTTTGGATATAAATATGTTACTGTTCCAGTGTAAGTCCACTGACATTTTAGGTTTGGAAGTATTTGCTAAATATTACAATTGAAAAAATTTGTGAGAAGGTTAAAATGGGTTTTGTAAGAGTGTGGTAATGGGTATGTCATAATTGATGCTTGCATAACAAGAATATTTTCAAAAAGAGAAAAAAAAAAAATGAGAGCCTTTGGTCAGGTAACAAATCAATTGACTCAAGGAAGAGATTGAATACAAGTTTCAGGCTGTTCATTATTAGTGGAGGTGAAAATAAAGAAGAAAGAAAAAACAGGGTTTTGAAGCACAGTTTGTGGATATCTGAAACTGTGCATATTATGAAGTAGCGCACTAGAGTTTGTGTGTGTAAAAAGTTTGTCTCATTGCAATTGACACACCTCATTATCACATCAGCATATTTTCTATTTTTTTTTTTTATTTACCAAATATAAGAGTTAGATTACAAATTTGATTTACAGAGAACGCAATTTGTTAGAAGGGTAAAAAATCTTACGCTTCAAGGTTCAAAAGGATTAAACTTCTTGATTATACTGAAAAAAAACGAATGGGATGAAGGGAAAGGAGCATCATGTATGCATTATATGATTTATAGAGGGTTAAAGGAGATAAAGTTTAATTACTAGGGTCCATTTTTTATGGTGGGAGGATTTGTGTAATCTTTAATAGTCCATTATTACAAGTAATAACTAAGGTTGGCTGTCATAATTAAATTTTCAAAAAAGAGATTTAGCAATGCAATTTTGCAAATCCAATAATTAATATATTTTACAAGATGAATTTACATGATGATTGGTATAATAAAATTATCAAATTAAAATAGAAAAATTGAAAATACTTTTTAATGATTGCCTAATGGGCCGGTTAGAAAAAATCTTGTCCTGATAACTCCATCTATATATATATATATATATATATATCAAGTTCATATTGGAACATATACCATAACCATATATATCACTAATTGAAGACATATACCTAACCATTTGGACCAGATTCTGCAATTTCATGGCCCTTTTAAGAGCTCTTCTTGCTAATCTAAATTTAAAAAACCAAGAAAAAGGAATAGGAATCTTTTTAAAGACAAATGTAAACAACAATATTATTATGAACAATGTGAACTTATACGAAAAAAGAGAAAGGCAACAAAATGCATAGAAGCTGGATACAATCCATATCAACTTTTTCTTTATTATTATTATTATTATTATTATTATTATTAATGTATCTATAGATTCAATTTTAATTTCAAGAATTAGTTCATATTGGATAATGTTTAATTTAATTTCAAATATTAACTAAGTTAAATAAAGAAAGAGTTTTCTGATCTCAGCACTTGTGTCACTAAACACAGGACTTAGAGATTAGTGCTGATTATATTAAAAATTGAGACGGTGACAATCTCTGGTGTTGATCTTTTTCATGCCCGTATCGGTTTTCTATTTCCGATCCTATTAATTAACATTTAATAGGTCATCAATCAACTTGGCCCCCATTAAGATGTGAAATGTGAACAGTACATACACAGGATGTGTATTGACTAATTCTTCCGCGACAAAAATTAATTATAAGATCATTATCTATAACACCATCCCACATTTTACCACACACAAAAAAAAATGGCAAATTGAGAATAATTTAGTGGTCTATTTGTGGTGTTCAAGGTAGATTTATCTCGTCTACCTAATACAACAAAATAAATCATGTACGTAACAAACAGTAATTGGTCGTCTAATCAGTTTCAACCCAATAAAAAAATTGAAGACAGCGAGAGGGAGATTATAGACATTAATGGGCCTGTTGAGCCCTAAATCACTTCATTGGACTTGGGCTCTTTTGTTATTATCAGCATGAAGAAGTTTAGGCCCAAATGTGAAATGGACCAATATGACTGACCCATTAAACTGTATTTATCAACAGACAAAGAACTCTCGAGTGTTGTTTTGAAAAGAAATTATAGAGAAAATAAAAATTGGATCATAATAATTTATGTGTCTAATCAAAATAAATTAAGACAGCCTGGATCAATAAGCTGTATTTAGCAGGAAAATCTGGTGTTGATCATGAAATACTCGAGCTAAATGCTTATATGTGTGAAGTTAATGCGTGCAAGGTATATGGCTTTGCTTTTAAATAAAGTAGCGTGATTTCATGTCTTAAGGGTACCTTTTATCCTTCCCGTTGTGTATGAAAACCCAATTCTTGATTCAAACAAAAGCCAACATATATATATATATCATCAGACGTAAACCTGCCTGACAATTCATCGTCAGCTTGATGAATATGGCCTAGTTTAACGAACTACTTGTAACTAACTAACGGAAAATAGAATCAAAACGGATAACTTTTACTTCTTAAAATCTGGTAGAAGGCTTAAAAAGCCATTTGGTTTCTGTTTCTTGCAAGACATTGCTATTCAATTCCCTCCCTTTACTTCCACTCAAAATTCCAATCTCTTTACTTATAAACACACAATTCATGTCTATGCTAACACAAAACTAAAGATTAAAGAGTCATTGCAAATAGAGAGTAATGGAGATTAAGGTTGTAGAAAATGGAAACAAGTCTAATGAGCAAAAGGTTCCTCTGCTGCAAGATTTGCCAATTCCTAACCCAGAAGGGAAATCTCTGATTCAGAAAGCTATTAGTGAGACATTTAAAAGCACAGCTCATTTGGCTAATCTTTTACCAACAGGAACAGTTCTTGCTTTCAACTTGTTGTCGCCCGTCTTCTCGAACCAAGGCAACTGCGATTCAGTTAGCAGATTCATGACTGCAGCAGTAGTGACTCTCTGCGGCTTGTCTTGTTTCTTGTCTAGCTTCACTGATAGCTTTAGAGACAAGAACGGAAATGTCTGTTATGGTTTTGCTACATTTCGTGGGTTATGGATTATTGATGGGTCGGCTACTCTTTCACCTGAACTTGCTGATAAGTATCGGTTGAGGTTTATCGATTTCATTCACGCACTTATGTCGATACTTGTTTTCGGAGCTGTGGCGTTATTTGATCAGAATGTGGTGGCTTGCTTCTATCCCAAACCTTCAACCGAAGCTCTGGAGGTTCTAACGGCATTGCCAGTGGGGATCGGTGTGATTTGCAGTATGTTGTTTGTTGTTTTTCCTACACAGCGCCATGGAATTGGATTCCCTCTCTCTGCTATTTGATAACTGTTGAAATTGTCCTATACATATACTAGCTCCATATCCATCCAATCCTTCTGTTTTTGTTGTTATTTCTTTGTTTTTGTTTTTATTTCTTGCATCAGACTGAAAAGGGACAAAGAATACGAGTTGATTCTTTTTATTCGACGTCATATTCCATTCTATTGTAATAAATTGTATAATGTTGAGCGTGTAGAAACAGAACGCTGTGCTTTCAAATAAAAGCATGCGTGGTATTATGCAAGTTAAAGGCATGCTACACCAATTCATTCATAAGCTCAATTGCTAACAACTCAGAAGCTTCACGCACCTTTCTGCGATCCCAGAGTCCACACAGCACAACATTCCATGTTTCCCTGTCAGGAACACATCCATCCAGAACCATCTCGTCAACAATGCGAGAAGTTTTGTTCAGGTCTCCGTTATTGCAGAAACATTTTACCAGAGAATCAAATGTCTCGGCTTCAACTGATATGCCTCGAGTTCGCATACTTAAATACAACTGAAAGGCTCGATTTCTATCATTATCAGTACAAAGTCCTTGAACAACTATATTATTAATCCTAACATGAAGGCTCCATGTTAATCTGTTCAGAGAAATACCCAGAATTAGCATCTCATCAAGGAAGTTTGCAGCTATCTGAAACTTGCGAATTTCACAAAATCCACTTATGATCTTCCCATATAGCCCTGCATCTGGTTTTATGCCCTGAAGTTTCATCCGGTCAAGCATCTCCACAGCTTCAGGAAGTTTCCCTTCTTTACAGAGACCATTAATTAATGTACTATAAGTTATCATATTAGGCTTATGCAGTTTACCAACCATCATCACCAGCAGCTTCAATGCTTGTGAAGAACGCCCATTTTTGCAAAGACCATCCATTAAAGAACTATACGTAAACACATTTGGCTGAATGCCTTCAGTCGTCATATCTTCAAGCAATCCCATAGCTTCATCTATATTCTTAGACTGACACAAACCATGTATCAAAGAAGTGTATGTAACAACAGATGGCAAACAACCTTTTAGTTTCATCTCTTTAAATAACTCCTTCGCTTCATTGGTCTTCCCCGATCGACACAAACCATTGATCAATGTGCCAAATGTATATGAATCTGGATTACACCCGTGATTAGGCATTTCGCGAAATATCCTAAAAGCAGCATCAATGGTTCCACTATTCTTACAAAGGGCTTTGATCAGTATATTAAGAGATACAACAGTAGGTGAAATACCCATTTCCTTCATATACCGATAAAACCTCATTGCAACCTTTAACTGGTTCTCTTCAACTAGAATAGCAAATACAGTGATATAAGACTTCTGGGTGGGTTTGCATTCAAAGTCATTCATTTTATGGAAAACCCTGATAGCATCTAATGGCCTGTGAACTCTACCATAGGCTCTACAAAAAGAAAGGAATACATCTTCGGGGATACTACATTTTTCCTCTTTCATTCTACTAAGCATCTCCTCTGCTGGTCTAAATTGGTTAGAAGACAGCAACTTAGAAATCATGACACGGAATGTGTTATGATCATGCCTAAAACCATTACCATATTCTGCTGTGGCAGAGTCAAATATGAGTAATGCTTTTTTTACGTCCTTTTCTGCGCGTATCAGCTGCTCGACTTGAGCAGGCCTGATTTGTTTTGACCATTTAAACAAAGGTTTCGTGCCCATTACTGCCTTTTGCCTTTCCCAACAATATCTCATACTGGCACCAAAAAGTTGCAATCTTTTCAGTCGTAAACTTTGTGATAATTAATAAAAACTAAAGCAATAAAGGAGAGCACTCCATTGGATACTAGATTAGAGTTGATACAGATTCAATTCGAGGTCAAGAAAGAGTTCATCTTCTTCTAAGACTTTTATCAAACAGGTAGAGGGCAATCGAAAAATATGGAAAACAAGCAGCATCATCTTATGGGAAAGTGAAAATCACCACAGCAATGTCTCCAAAAAAAAGATGAGTTTTGAAGAGGGAACTGTAATTGCTGGTTTATTCAACCGCTCGTGGGGAGTGGAAGTGGAAGTTAAGTGAGATCAAATGTTCCATCAGGTTATGAGACAATTGTAGCGTCGCTACCAATGAGAATCTGAATGTGGGTAGCCAGCATTCACTCAGGTGGGCGGTGGGTCCTCCAGGGTGTCTTCTCAACTTGCACACATCCCCCTTTTGGGCTAAGGCCCATTAATGAAGGTCAAGCAAAACCCTTACATTAGGTCTGTCTCTCAAACGGTGGGCTTCAGTTAGAGCCTTCGATGTAGCTTGGGCCTGATACATGGGCTGAACAAGTTTTAGCCACATCAAAAACATTGACTAAACTTATCTTTTTAAGTGGACTATATCAAGCATGATAATATTTCAAAGAATTGTTGGTCCTGACTCCTGAGTGAACCAATACCAATGGCAAATAGGTTAATAATGAATGTGAGTTGGTGTTATAGTTTTCAAGAATACTTTAAAGATATCAAATAAAATATTTTTCTCAACTATAGTTCAAATAGAAAATGCCAAAGACACACATATGACATGAATTGCAATTAATCACATTTGATTTGTAGCTGCCAATGCCAATATTCCTAGGATTGCTCAACCTAAAACACTGTGGTTAAGTTTATGTTTTTGTGACTTTGTCTGTAACACTCATAATGCAATGTGAAACACTGGTCTATGGTTCTTGGCTTCAGTGATTGGTTCCTGGAAGAGAATCAAGACACCTCAGTATTTCACTTTGAGTGGCTATGTTTTAGCTTATGAGCAAGGCTTTATGTTTATTCTAGGGCCCCCCGAGATTAGGTTGTTGTTTGTGACTGATGAAGAAAATGAGGAACAACATGAAAGAGTTGTCAATGTTCACATGTACATGTGTCAGGACTAAAACCTCATCAAATTTAGATATTCCTGAAATTATTGTAATAGTATTGTCGTGTCTGCATTTTCCACATCTCCTCTCTTAGGCGGGTCGCTGCCTCCTCGCGGATGGACTCACGGACATGAAGTTTTGTGGTTCTAAGTGTTCTGTTTTGGCAGTCCATTTAGGAAAATTAACATAAAAGTCTGGTGCTTCTTGAAATATTTTAGATACATTGGAGATTGGATAAACCAAAATAGTACCGTAAGCTATATAACAATAATATTTTTATGGTGGAATAGATTCAAAATCGAGATCGTTCACTTTTTATATTTTCTACAAGACTTGAGAAGACCAACAAAAACACGACACTAAACATTATACTTTACTTGCTATATTTTTTTAATGTTTATTCATATGGTATTTTATGCAACTTATAGCAAAACACTCTTTGATATCGTGAACCCATAATATCTTCTTTGGCTTCAGTGGCCAACTAAATCCTAACCAGGAATCACCTCAAATAATAAATAAAAAGAAAAGAAAAAAAATCATAGCCAGGAGCCAACTACTGTTTCTAACAGCAACATTACTGAGTAATAACTAACAGGTCGTCACAAGGAAAAGCAAATGGAAACGATAAGAGGATTGGAAAACCAGAGGCTTAGGATTGGACAACACATGCCTCCCCTTCACAAGCCTCTCACCAAAGATAAGAGGGCCCCACGCCATCAGCCACCTTCCCCTTCACACTCCATAACCAAAAATAATCCTCGCCCACAATATTATCCTAAAAACATTTTATTTTTCTCAAAAATTCCCCTAAAATTATTCTCACATTCTCATCGTCACCGTTGATACTTGTTCGTGATTCCCTGTTGGCAATCGCGAAGGTTGATGAAATTCATTACCGTGGTCTGCGATGCAGGAGATAGCAACTGAATTGAATAGAGACAGAACTTGATTAACCGCTCGACTTGTGATACGAGACCGCAAAAAACGGTTCGCTCTCCAGCATAAGACCTCACTCCAGCAATCTATAGCACATTTCCTCCTCTCTCTCTCTCACTATACCTATGGAGTCGCGAGTTCTATCACGAGCTACCACCTCCATCCCCTCCTTGCCTCAGCTGCGGAGGCCTTTGCGGGAGAGCAATGTTTCCAGCTCTGTCTCAATGAGACCGATCGGGGCTGTCGGTGAAGGCGGGAACCTCATATGGGGAAGGCAGCTCAGGCCATCTCTGCTCCTGGAGAGCTCTCCAGCAGGAAAACGTGAGATCCTTCGTCCGAGCTTGGCCGCTGCTTCATCTCCAGCCGAGGGAAGCGATTCCTCCGGGTGAGGTCCGTTTCCTCCGTTCTGACTCGGTCAACTCGATCCCTGTCGGATTCTGACTTGTTGTTCGTATTTTTTTGACTCGATACTTTTGCAGGGACTCGAAGATTGCTCCGGTGGGTTTTTTTGACAAAAATCCGGCACTTGTCACCGGATTTTTCTTCTTCATGTGGTAACTAACTCTCTCCAAACCTCCGCTCTGTTTTAGTTTTCTTTTTACTATAATGTAATTCGAAATTGTTGGACTTCATTTTCCTCCTTAGGTACTTCTTGAACGTGATATTTAACATATTAAACAAGAAGATCTACAATTACTTTCCTTATCCATAGTAAGTGGCAGCTTATATTTTGTGCTATAGTTAAATGTAGTGATTTTCTAGTGCGTAAGTTTGCTTGATTTTGACTAGAGTCTGCTGGGATGTGCAGCTTTGTTTCAGTGATTCATTTGTTCGTTGGAGTGGTGTACTGCTTGGTGAGCTGGGCCGTTGGTCTTCCGAAGCGTGCTGTAAGTCAAACCTTCTTTTCTTTTAGGTCCATAACTTTCTTTTTACTATTATTTAATGTATTTTATCATATATAATCGTGTCTTAACCAGATCTCTCTTACGTGCCCTTTGCATGCTATGATTCTGTAGATCCTGTGGTCACATTGACTCTTTGGTGGTTTGACTTTTGTGATTTGGTTTTTTAAGTATTTAGTTACGTTTCTTTAATAAGTTTGGATTGAATGCTTTAGAATCTCCAGTTCTGCAGGACCTTTTGATCTTCATTTTGCTTAGGAATTCCTTATCATCAATTTTTAGTTGCAACGAAACTGAAACTGAAAATTGATAAAGTTGTGTAGTAAATGAAGAAGAGAAAGTTACTATTTTCCCTTTGATACAAACTGCATATTGGAATTGATTTTCTTTGATACTTCCTCCCTCCCATTTTGTTTGCATGGATTGACAAAACACACATATTAAAAATTTATTCAACAAAAATTATTTTGCCATTTTTCACCTTTAACTAACTGAAATATCAATAAAAGTCATTCATTTAATAAACAATCATAAAGGTTATTATGAAAAAATTAATTGTTCAAATATATAAATTTAAAAAACTTGCAAATATTTTAGGACATCCAAAAAATGAATAACAAACAAACAGATTTCATTTTGCTTAGGATTCCTTATGCATCAATTTTAGTTGCAACGCAAACTGTGAACTGAAATTGATGAAGTTGTGAGTAAAATGAAGAAGGAGAAGTTACGATTTTCCCTTTGATTACAAACTGGCATATTTGGAATTGATTTCGTTGATACTTCCTCCCTCCCATTTTGTTGCATGGATGACAAAACACACATATTAAAAATTTATCAATCAAAAATATTTTCTCAAATTTTTCTACCTTAATCTTAACTAAATATCAATAAAATCATTCATTAGATAAAAACAATCATAAAGGTTTATTATTGAAAAAAATTAATTGTTCAAAGTAGTTATAAATTTAAAAAAACTTGCAAATATTTTAGGGACATCCAGAAAAAATGGGTGAATTAACAACAAACAAAAATGTCAGATAAATAAAGGTTATTATGAAAAAATTAATTGTTCAAATATATAAATTTAAAAAACTTGCAAATATTTTAGGACATCCAAAAAATGAATAACAAACAAACAAAATGAATAACAAACAAACATAAATAACAAACAAACATAATGGGATGGAGTGAGTATAAAACAAACTACACTAGATGATATCTCCCTCCATCCAGGACTATAAGAACTCGAAAGGGGGTAATTTTTCTTTAACCTTCTACAAAATATGTGGTAGTTTGTCTATAAATATGCTATATTATAATAATTGTTATTAAGATGCCTATTACTTAGGTCCTTGTGCAATATTAACTGACTCGTGCTTTTGTGTGTAGCCCATTGACTCAAACCTCTTGAAGCTGTTGATACCTGTTGCACTGTGTCATGCACTCGGTCATGTGACCAGTAATGTCTCATTTGCAGCAGTTGCTGTCTCATTCACCCACACAATAAAAGGTGATATAGGGGAGCGATTTTATTATGCAAATTCTGGGGACTATTAACTCTGTTGTCAAAATTGTTTTGCCAGCACATGTAATGCATATGGTTTTGTTTCATTTCAGCGCTTGAACCCTTCTTCAATGCTGCTGCTTCTCAATTTATTCTAGGACAGTCAATCCCCATTGGTCTCTGGCTTTCACTTGCTCCTGTTGTTATTGGTAAGCTCTTCATGTTCATGACCATGTCTGCAAATCTTTTTATACTGCTGTGAATTTTAATCACGTAAATAAATGTTAATTGTCTTTGTTTACTTCTGCTGATAAAGTACTGCAGCTCACTGTATCTGACATTAAGTTATGAAACAAATTCAGGTGTGTCCATGGCATCACTGACTGAGCTCTCATTCAATTGGACGGGCTTCATTAGTGCTATGATTTCCAACATCTCCTTCACTTACAGGAGTATCTATTCAAAGAAAGCTATGGTGATTTTCTGTTATGTTCTTGTTTCCTTTCCTACCCATTTCTAACTGATCTGAGAAATATTTCTCTTTGCATTAATTGGCCCTTTTTAATTGCTCCTGCAGACTGATATGGACAGCACAAACGTCTACGCTTACATTTCCATCATTGCTCTCTTTGCTTGCATTCCACCTGCCATTATTGTGAGTTAAAAGAAAACCTTGATGCACCTGATGTTTTGTATTTGCATACTAAATTCAAAGCATGAACTGCTGTGTCTTTTAATTTGTCTCCATGTTTGCTCATCCTCGAGTCATGTTTACTTTGCAGTTGGAGGGACCTCAACTAATGAAGTACGGTTTTGCTGATGCAATTGCTAAAGTGGGTCTGACCAAGTTCATATCAGATCTCTTTTGGGTAGGCATGTTTTATCACCTCTACAACCAGGTAAGAATGTTCTATTTAATTTATGAATAATGCCTTCTTTTACCCACTTGTTTTAGTGAAGAAGATCAACTACTTGTAGTTTATTCATCCTCTTACCCACTTTATCGTTCAGAATATTAATTTGTCTTGAAAGAATTATAAATAAGTTTTTGTTTATTAACTTTTTCAGTTGGCCACCAACACTTTGGAGAGGGTTGCACCTCTTACACATGCAGTTGGCAATGTCCTGAAACGTGTCTTTGTGATTGGATTCTCAATCGTGGTTTTTGGTAATAATAGAACTCTTCTACTGCAGTTTTTTTTTTTTTTTTTTTTCAAGTTTTTTTCTTTTTTTTTTTCTCTGCAGTTTTTTTTTTTTTTTTCTTTTATCCATTATATTTCTGCTTATTATTTAAAATTTTTCTCGTATTATAGAATCATAATAATATTCCTCTACAGGTAACAAGATTTCAACACAAACTGGTATCGGAACATGCATAGCAATTGCTGGAGTTGCAATCTACTCCTTCCTCAAGGCTAAGATTGAAGAAGAGAAACGAGTTAGTATCTTCTCTGAAGTCTAAAGATCCCCCATCAGTATTTGAGGCTATAAAGAATTGATTCTTTAATCTTTATCTCTGCATTTAAAAGTGGTATATCTTACTTTGATTTCTTTACAGCAAAGGAAAGCAGCATGAGAAGGAAAGAAGCGTCAATGTGGAAGGAAACTTGTGCATGTAAAGTGTTCTTCTATTGTTCCAAAGATAAAAATGACGAATGGCGTAGCTTATTGTCATTGTGAAGTTTCTTTTTGTTTTTCTCATCAAATTTCTTCAATTCATGTTTACTTAGAATAATGTATATTACTTGCTCTGTTTCTCAGAACAAGATTATATGAGCAGAAGCTTTAGAATGAATTTAACAGAGTAAGTGACAATAAAGTATGTGAATGGTAGATTGCCACGATCTGATCACCGAATAAGATGACACAATTAAATCAAGTCATCAAGTCATGAGTCTTCTCTTTTCTGGCAAAAATATAGCAGTAAAATGAATGCCCATAGGCACTGGGTAAACACTATTACGAGACTAATTTCGTTTCAGAGTTCGATTGTGTTTCAGACTAATTTACTCATTATGGATTACATCAGTTTGCATTTTTATTCATATAGACACCAATTTAAAACTTATTATTTTGTCATATCAAGAAAAAAAAAAAAAAGAAGCTATTTTATGACTTGAAATATCCATAAGAAGATGCAATTCGAATAATGAGTAAGATGGGTGAGCTTATGAGATGTAAGATAGCCTCAACTCATTTAACTTCAAATAATGAATAAGGTGGGATGAATTTATGAGATATAATATAAGATACCCTACCCTTTATGAACTCTTCATTTTTTCTTTCTGGAAAAATGAACAAATTTCAGTAAACTTAAATCATCATATGTGTAATATATCTTTTAAAAAAACAACAGAGTATTCAAAATTATACGTATAATTTTGACCATAATTACGTTTCCATTTGATATTATTGTTGCAAGTAATTGCAATTTGACCATAATTACGTTTCCACTCACTCTTACGACGATCGTACTTGTATTCTGCAATTTTTATTGTCCTCGTAAGGCCTAGTAAGCCCAAAAGAGATAACGGGCCGTCCACAAACACAAACCGGAAATCCTCCCTTGATCGTCGCACCTGAAGATCCCATAGGCTCGAGTCCTTGAAAGGGAAACTATGTTCTATAAACAACAACAAGAACCCAGCCAATGTTCAATATTCCCCACTAAAGCAACCTTCAACTATTATATATATATTCCCACCACTAAAGCACCTTCAACTATTATATATATATATATATAATATTATATATTTTTTTTTTTTTTTTTAAATTTTTTTTTTTTTTAAATTGAATTTGACAGACTTAAAAAAAAAACCACATGATACAAAAGTAAAATAGCAATCTAAATTCTAAAAACATGTTGTTGAAGAAACTAAAAGGAAAAATTAATTTGGTGTTATTTCCCACATGAACCAATTATGTATATCACAAAAGAAAAGAAAAATAAATAAATAAATAAATAAAAATAATAAAGAGAGTAAATAATAATAATGGAAAAGCAATTTAGAGTGAGCAATTTAGAACACTGTTTGTTTTTTGTTGTTGCTGTTGATTTTTTCTTTTTCATATTTTCTTTTTTTTTTTTTTGTTGTGTATTATTATTTTTATTGTAATTGGAATAATAATTGTTATGGTTGTTTCTTCATTCAAATCTCTTCTCATCTTCTTTATTCATTTATAGTTTTTGGAACAAAAGAAAGGAAAAGAAAAGATAGTATGATGTTAATTTCCTCCGCCTTTATCTTTCTTGACTACCACGACGGTATTTAGTTCTTAGAGAGAAGAAATAAAGAAAGAAGAAAGGAAAACGTATTAGAAATTTACGGATTAGTTTTTTCCTCTCTTTCTCTCTCTGTCTTTTGTTTGTTTTGTGTGTTTTGGAAACCCTAATTCTTTCGATTTGTGGATTCTGAGATCGCGATCGCTTCAATGGAGAGCAATTCTGAAGAAGAGATTCAGAACAAAGGCAACAATTATAACAGCAACAACAGCAACATCGGTAATTCTAATGAAGGACAGAGTAAGCCTAAACGACAGATGAAGACTCCGTTTCAACTCGAATCTCTTGAGAAGGCTTATGCTTGTCTGTACACTTCTTTCTCGATTTCTACTTGTTATATATCTTTATGCAGATTTAGAATTCGTCTATGTTCAATTTTGTATTACGTGTTTAATTTGTGTGATTTCCTATGTCTTTTTATGCATATGTTGTTGTATTTGGTGTTGAGTTTTTAGTCTTTGGTTTTTTTTTTTTTTTTTTTTTTTTTTTTTTTTTTTTTTTTTTTTTTTTTTTTTTTTTTTTTTTTTTTTGTGTTGATGCTTTATGTCATTCAGATGATTGTATGTTGGAATAGTTTTGGTTCAGTTTGTTGATTTTTTTTTTTCAGTGGAGACATATCCATCTGAGAAGATGCGAGCAGAATTATCCCAGAAGTTAGGCCTCTCTGATAGGCAATTGCAGATGTGGTTTTGTCACAGGAGGTTAAAGGACAAAAAGGAGACAAAGGAGACAAAGGAGCCGAAAGAGACCAAGGAGATGAAGGATACTCCTGCGAAAAAACGAAAGCTGGTGCCATTGACAGAGTCTCCTATTGAGGAGATGCAGGCAGTGGGGCCTGAGCCTGGAAGTGATTATGGGTCCGGTTCAGGCTCAGGCTCAGGCTCAGGCTCAGGCTCTAGCCCATTTATGGAGCCAAGGAAGGTGGGTTTGGATGATGCCCCAATGATGAGAAGGTACTATGAGTCTTCACCACAGTCAGTTATGGAGCTTAGAGCCATTGCATGTGTGGAAGCACAGCTTGGGGAGCCGTTGCGGGAAGATGGGCCAATTCTTGGAATGGAATTTGATCCATTACCACCTGATGCATTTGGGGCGCCTATAGGTACTAGCTGCTTGACTAGTTTCAACAATGCTGTACCTCTAGTTGCCAGATATTGTGTATTGTGAATCAGTATTCTGTTTCTAGTAAGGCTTAAAAGATTTGGTGTTTGGTATGTTGTACATTCTATATCTTGTGGTGTTAATTTCTGGTGTCATTGTATATCATTTGTTTACCTGTTGCAACTGTATTGCTGTTATGATAACATGTCCTTTTTAAAGAAGCATTTTTTTGTTCATTTTCAGAAATTTGTTTATAGATTGGATAATTGATCCTGAGGAATGACATTGTCTGATCTCATATTTCAACAAAAATTTGATGTCCTTAGATCAAAGTTTCATCAGTATATTTAGCAATTGAGCAAATTTGAGAAAATCTTCTCTGGCTATGATCTCTGGGATTTCTATTGTTAGAAGTAAAAATTTCCTGTCTGTGTCCTTTTTTTTTTGTGTTAGGATTGAATTTGCTAACTCTTTTCTTTTTTTTTTTTTTTTTTTTTTTTTTTTTTTTTTTTTTTTTTTTTTTTTGCTAACTCTTTTTCTTTTTTTTTTTTTTTTTTTTTTTTTTTTTTTTTTTTTTTTTTTCTTTGCATTTTAAAATTTGGCAGACATCCAAATGGTGGAACAGCAGAAGCGGTCAATGCTCCCTTACGATTGGAAAAGGATTAATGATGAGCGACGCGATGCAAAATCAAGCAAAGGTTGGTTTCTCAAAAATTTTCAAAATTTTCATTAAGAATCTGTGCTATCTGATGCCAGAATAATCTATAAATGCCTCATTTATGAATCCACACTGTTTTTTTTTTTTTTTTTTTTTTTTTTTTTTTTTTTTTTTTTTTTTTTCTTTGCATTTTATTTGCAGCAGCAATGGTGGAACAGCAGAAGCGGTCAATGCATCCTTACGATGGAAAAGGATATGAGCGACGCGATGCAAAATCAAGCAAAGTTGGTTTCTCAAAATTTTCAATTTTCATTAGAATCTGTGCTATATGATGCAGAAAGTATCTATATGCTCATTTATGAATCACACTGTGATTTTTCTTTGCCGCTACAGCACTGCAATATGGTTTATATGCCCACTAGATTTTTTTCCCTTGTTTGTAGCCTTGATGTTTTTAAAATTTTGTGCAGAATTAATGGATGCTTGGTATGCACAATTTGCTCCTTTATCGTGCTGCTAATAGATATAACCCATCACCAGCCATTAACAATAACAAAATGTTGAATTTTCTAAACAATTTTGTTTGCATGTCCCTTAAGTTCTTAAAGCTAGATTTCTCTCCATTTTTCTTTTTGACATGTGTTTCTATATCTATACTGGGTTCTAGAATAGACCATTTCTCTTGGCTGCTGAGGTCAAATTCTTATGTGGCGGGGTTTTATTTATGATTGCTGGAACTTTGATGGTGCTAATGTTTAAGACGATTTGGTATCTTGCCATTGGAGGACTTTCAAATAGCAAATGATATTTTTGTTCCACTTTTGGCCTCTTCATCGAACTTTTCCTTGCAATGATCTTTCACTTCCTATTAGTATAAATGGTGCTGTTCTTAGTTTGATCTTATATTTTCCAAGGCAGTAATAAATATTTGGTTATATTAACTTTTTTTGGACATTCTCAAAGTTGTAAAAATTCTATCCCAGGCCTCTGCAAGGGCTTTTCATGAGTATCAGCTTCTCCATGATCAGTCTGATACTAGATGTGATGCATATGGACAAGGTCAATCTCCGTATCATGATACTTCGGTTGATAATCTGAGGGGAAGAGCATCATTTGTGCATGGAGATGAATCATTGGCCAGGGTTCATGGTGTCCAAGGTCAGGGATCTCGTGTTAGGCTGTCATCTCAACTGGATAAGAAGGGTCACATTTTTTCTTCGCCTTCCAAGGATGATGACTATCTCCTGCATCATGACTCCTTTGCAAACAATAGGGTAAATACTCCGTCTATTAGTCATCAAATTATGGGATCGGAAAATCCAGATATCTTTCCTGATGCTCAAATCTTCCATTCTGATACAAATCTGCGGATGGAGAAGAAGCGCAAGGTATCCTAAAATTTCAAAGTGTTTTTTTGTGCTTGCTCTTTATTATTATTATTATTGTTGTTGTTGTTGTTGTTGTTTTTATTATTATCATGGTTGCTTGTTGTAGACTGATGACACTAGAAATTCAAGGGAAGTTGAAGCTAATGAAAGTCGAATACGCAAAGAGCTTGAGAAACAGGATCAACTGAGGCGGAAGGTATTGCCTTATCTGTCTTGAGATGTTGACCAATGGAGTGATTCCTTGTCTGATACTGATGTTTGAACCTTGTAATCTTAGAGTGAAGAACGGAGGAGGAAAGAAATGGAGAGGATTGACCGTGAAAGACGGAAGGAAGAAGAGAGACTGATCCGTGAAAGACAGCGAGAGGAGGAGAGATCTCTGCGTGAGCAAAAGCGTGAACTGGAGCGCAGGGAAAAGTTTTTGCAGAGGGAGTACTTGAGGGTGAGTGTGGGAGCCTGTCTGGTCTTAGCAATCTTAGTTTAATGCTAATGTTTTGATGTTCAAACAAAAAACATCCCAACCGCCTGGTCTTTCTTTTTCCTGATTTTAAATTATAGGCAGAAAAAAAGAGGCAAAAGGAGGAACTTCGGAGAGAGAAAGAGGCAGTGAAGCGCCAAGCTGCCATTGAGAAGGCAACTGCACGTAGAATTGCTAAAGAATCTTTGGATCTTATAGAGGATGAACAGCTGGAACTCATGGAATTGGCAGCTGCAAGCAAGGGCTTAAACTCAATAGTTAACCTCAATTATGATACTTTGCAAAACCTTGAGTTTTTTAGAGGTAATGAAGCATAGTTGAAAATAAGTTTGATTGTCAAAACTTTCTAAATTTTTAAAATTTGTTCAGAGGACACTAAAGAATAAAATCATATATTAAGGAAAGTGAAATTTCTCAGAGCTAACAAGAACTTGATTTTTGCTTCAAACAGAGATGGAAATACCATATTGCTCTAATTCATTTCTACATCAAATTTTTGCATCTTGATTGCATTCCTATTCTTGGATGTTATACATCTTTTTAATATTACACCGATGAAATTTCTTGTTGTATAGTATGCCTTTGTTTAACTTATGACTCTTTGTTTCCTGATTTGGAACACATTTCTTTTCTGCGCTTCAGACTCTTTGAGTGTGTTCCCACCTAAATCGGTACAATTAAAAAAACCATTTGCAATTCAACCTTGGATGGATTCGGATGAAAATATTGGGAATCTTCTAATGGTATGCCCTAAGATCATCTTTATTTTCATTATCTATTTCTTTGTTAGTTCATTTTATTTCATTTTATTTTTTATGATTGGATACTTCATGTTATATATATTGTGAATAATCTTCTTGATGTGTGTATTTTGTACTTCAATTTCAAGCTCCAGCTATTACTATAATTCAGAAGGGAGAATAGCTCTCTTGGGTGCTCTCTATTTGTGTTCATATATGTGTGCATGTGTATATCTGTGTATTGTGAGCGTTTGGTAATGTACCTTTCCTGTCATCAAAATCAAATTGACACCATTTAAGTCATTTGTCAAGCATCTGATTTCATTGGCGGCATCTGGAAGTTTAATTCTGTAGATGAAATTCTGGCACCTCTAATACTTAATGGGCTCATTTCTCATTCTTTATTTTATCATACATTTAAGTTATCAATGTTATACTCTCTCCATTCCTGCATTTGTTCTCAGTTGTTATGAACTTATGATCCTTGAGAGACATGTTAACCAATGTGAATTTTGTCCTTCCTATTTTGAGATCTTAAAATTTGTCTTTTTCAGGTTTGGAGATTTTTTATTACTTTTGCTGATGTTCTTGGATTGTGGCCTTTTACCCTTGACGAGTTTGTTCAAGCTTTTCATGACTATGTGAGCTACTAATGGAGTTTTTTTGTTTTCTTTTCTTGCTTCATTTTAAGCAATTGCTTTTTCCTCCTCATTGATACACATTTTAATTTTTAGGATTCAAGGTTGCTGGGTGAGGTACATGTTGCTCTTCTGAAATTGGTAATCAAAGATATTGAAGATGTTGCTCGGACACCTGTTACTGGATTGGGAACGAATCAATATTGTACAGCTAATCCTGAAGGTGGACATCCACAGATTGTTGAGGGGGTAACTTCTGCTCCACTAATACGTTAAATTTGTGATTCATTGGCAGGGTTCTTTTGGTTGGTGCTGAACCTATTTCTGTTTGTACTATGTTTGTTAGGCATATACATGGGGCTTTGACATACGCAACTGGCAGCGACACTTAAATCCGTTAACATGGCCTGAAATATTCCGGCAATTGGCATTATCTGCAGGATTTGGGCCACGGTTGAAGAAAAGAAGTGCAACATGGACACAGTTGGGCGAGAACAATGAGGTTTTGCTTTGTCTCCTTCTCTCTTTCTTTTCCCTCTCTCTGTGCTAAGATCCTTCACCGACTCCATACGTACCACGTAGGACTGGTGCAGTGGGTTTTGGTAAGCTGAATTCATGGTCAAAGTTGAATGCTAGGTATAAAAATGTAGCAGTTGACATTGTCTGAGACTAGGAAAAATTGAGAGGAGCAGGCACAATCGACTGTGAAAGCGAGAACCATTTTGCTTTAGTGGAGGCTTGGCTTAATAAGGAAATCTAGCTTTTGATATTGCCAATGACATTATTTTTATCTGCTTCTCGTCTGGTATCTAATTGGGGTGTAAATAGAAAATGACTACACTTCACTTTAGCTAGATAGATTTATTTGATGGATATTAATTCATGGGTCGAGGGAGGAATGTGGTAGTTTGCAGAAATGCTTTGATCCAGATGAACCAAATATTCATATTAAGATGAGATTTGGTGCTATACCCAACCAATGCCGCAAATATAATGTGGTTGAATTTTGATTGGTTTGTCTTTTTACTTATGGCGCATAATTATTTCTAGTGACAAATATTTTGATTTGATTAAAGTTTTGTGCTCATATTGGCTGCTCTGTGAATATAGTCTCAATTCTTTAAGCTTCTGTCTCTTGCTTGAGCAACTGAGTGGGGATAGATTTTTAAGGACCCACATTAGCATATGTTCTGCTTTTTGATTGATTTTCATGTCTGTAATTGAAGGTCAAAGGTTGTAAAGATACAATTTCTACGTTACGCAATGGATCCGCAGCTGAGAATGCATTTGCGCTAATGCGAGAAAGGGGCTTATTACTTCCTCGGAGATCTAGGCACCGGTTGACACCTGGAACAGTTAAGTTTGCAGCTTTTCATGTTCTTTCCCTTGAGGGAAGCAAAGGTTTAACCGTGCTAGAACTTGCAGACAAGATTCAGGTCAGTTCTTTAGTTTGTTAAGTGTACCTTTTATCTCTCCAATTTGCCTTATTATTATTATTATTATTATTATTATTATTATCATTACTATTATTATTATATTTTATTTTGCCTGTAGAAATCTGGGCTTCGGGACCTGACTACAAGCAAAACACCAGAGGCATCCATATCAGTTGCGCTGACAAGGGATCAAAAACTCTTTGAAAGAATCGCTCCTTCAACATATTGTGTACGGGCTGCATATAGAAAGGATCCTGCTGATGCTGAGGCGATACTTTCATCTGCCAGAAAGAAAATTCGAATATTTGAAAATGGCCTTTTAGGTGGAGAAGATGGTGATGATGTTGAAAGAGATGAAGATTCTGAAGGTGATGTTGATGAGGACCCTGAAGTTGATGATTTAGCTGCTACTCCTTTTGGTGCCAACAGAATCGCGAACCATTCTAATGGAGCAAACACTTGCTCAGGAAATAGGAAAGATAGTGTTTGTAATGACACTCTGTTAGTTGCAGAAAATGAGCTTGACAAAGAACATCCATCAGTCCCTCTAAATAGTTCCAAGGAATCAATGACTCCAAGTACTACTGAGCAACATGTTGCTCATGAAGATTTAGGGGTTAGAAATGGTCAGGAAAATATTGAGATTGATGAAAGCAAATCAGGTGAATCATGGATTCAAGGACTTGTAGAAGGGGAATATGCTCATCTCAGTGTTGAGGAACGTCTTGGTGCCCTTGTTGCCTTGGTTGGTATTGCAAATGAAGGAAATTCCATCCGTGCTGTACTTGAGGTAAATTTCCTTTTCCAACTAGTCATTTGTTAAATTGCTTTTAGTGGAAAGGAGATGGGTTCAATTTTCCTTATCTTCCCTTTTTTTTTATATCATTATTTAAATTGGCAGTGTTAATTTTGCAGGATCGTTTGGAAGCTGCAAATGCTCTTAAAAAGCAAATGTGGGCGGAAGCACAATTAGATAGAAGTCGCTTGAAAGAAGATATTGTGAGTAAATTAGATTTTCCAACTTCTATTGGGGGCAGAGCTGAAATGCAAGTTATTAGTTCTGCAATGGAGGGCAGCCAAAGCCCGTTACCTCTTGTTGATAGTAAGAATAAGGAGGTATCTCCAAGTACTGCAGAAGACCAAAAGTTGTTGGTTGCTGCAGAGAATATACAGAATCACCTCAATAGTGTTTCTATTGAAAAAACCTTGGTAGTTCAAGATCCCTCTATGAATCCAGATAACTTCTCAGGTCAGCAACACGGATATGCTTCAAAAAGGTCACGCTCGCAACTGAAGGCTTATATTGGCCACATAGCTGAAGAGACGTATGTCTACAGGTCCTTGCCCCTCGGACAAGATCGCAGACGGAATCGATACTGGCAGTTTGTTGCATCTGCCTCTAGAAACGACCCTTGTTCTGGTAGGATCTTTGTTGAATTACATGATGGCAACTGGAGGCTCATTGATTCTATAGAGGTAGTCTAACTTATGAATGATGTATTTTTCCATTCCTCCACGATATTTAATTTAACAGTTGTATCTTGGCTTTAAATATGTCATATTGATTTTTCAAATGATCTGTGACAAAAAATAACTTTTTTACTGACCTTCCAATCTATGACGTGCTCATTTTAATTGGGTGATGTTAACTTCTGGCTTATCAAAATGAGTTTGTCACAAGTACCTCCAATCATTAATTACAAGTAAACAGATACAATTTGTGAATGAAATAGAATTATTGTCTTTGTTTTTACTTGTCTCGTTTGGTGGTTCAGTGATGATTGTTTTGTTGATTAATGTGAATTCTTATAAATGGAGTTTTCTCCTTTTCCCAATCTGGATTATGTTGACTTCTGTAGGTTTTCCTTTTGTCAGGGCACATACTATTTAGTGGGTTCTCATTCTTAGTTCATGGGAAAATGACTCATTAATCTTTAGGACTGGGAACACTTCTCATGATCTTTTGCATGACAACATGAACTCACACATGATATTTTGTGTTTTGTGATTGGTACCTTACAGCATTCACTGACATCAGATACAATTTCATCAATGTGTAGGCCTTTGATGCACTGTTGTCATCTTTGGATACTCGTGGGATTAGGGAATCCCATTTGCGTGTAATGTTACAAAAGATTGAGAAATCCTTCAAAGAAAATGCCTATAGGAACTCTCGATCTGAAAATGTTATGCGCCAAACTGTAACAACTACTGAAGATGAAGCTGGTGAATCATATTCCAGTCCTAATGGCTCAGCTGGCATTAGCAGCCCTTGCAGTATTGTTTGTGGTTCAAACTCAGATCTATTCGATACGTCATCTTTGTTCAGAATTGAGCTGGGGAGAAATGAAATGGAAAAGAAAGGTGCTTTGAAAAGGTACCAAGATTTTCAGAAGTGGATATGGAAAGAATGCTTCAATTGCTTAACATTACGTGCCATGAAATATGGGAAGAAAAGGTGTACACCGCTGCTGGCCACTTGCGATTTTTGTTTTGATTCTTATCTCACCGAAGATGTTCATTGTCCTTCTTGCCACCAGACATTCAGTGCTGCAAATAAGATTTTTAATTTTTTGGAACATGGAGTTCAGTGTGAGGAAAAAGTGAAGTTGAACCCTGGGGTTTCCGATGCTTCTCTACCCCTGGGAATCAGATTGCTGAAGGCTCTTCTAGCTTTCATTGAGGTGAACGAATATTTCATTATGTTGAACTATTTTGCTTGCATTCTGGGATCCCAGGTGTTTGCATTTATGTCATGTTGGCTCATTTATTGTTTGTTTGTTTGTTTGTTTGAATAAACAGGTATCTGTTCCACCAGAAGCTCTTGAGTCATTTTGGACAGATAACTATAGAAAGAGCTGGGCTACAAAGTTGAACATGTCATCGTCAATGGAGGAATTCCAACAGGTTCTGGACACAATTGATATACCTAAACTTTATCATGTCGATCAACCAAATTATTATTAGCATCAAATTTGGTTGTTTGCATAAATTTGTAATGCTGGTCACATTGCATTGGTAAATGCTTTAGCTGCATTACACCTAACTTAGCAAATGTTTGAATATGTACAGTGTTCTCCTCCTGCTTCTGTTCTTGTATTGGTTTCATAGCTTTATCCACTCTAGTTAAATGTGGCATGACAAGATTCTGAGATTGTGAGGTTTTGATATGGTACCAATTTTTTATAGAAGGAAAAGCACCTTTATTTGCTTTTTCAATGGAAAATGGTATCTATAATGTGCTATATGATGATAAACTGTCGAGCCAGTGTCATAGGATGACATATCATTCCTAGCATCAGATTGTAATCTTTTCTGTCTTGTGGGATGTTACTAACATAATTGTTTATGTTGCAGATTTTGACTGTGCTTGAGAGTGCCATAAAACGAGACTGCTTATCTGCTAACTTTGAGATGACAAAAGAATTGCTGGGTTCCTCCCCTTCATCACAGACTGCATTATATGGTTCTTCTGATTTGGGATCAGTCCTTGTTCTTCCATGGATACCAAAAACCACGGCTGCTCTGGCCATGAGGCTTTTTGAGCTAGATGCTTCAATTACGTACGTTCAGCATGAAAAAGCTGAGCCCAGTGAGGATAAGCCAGTTAAACTCTATATGGTCAGTTTCTTCAACCTCACCCTAAAATTTCACACTTTTCTAATTATCTTTCCTTTTACTATCTTGTTCATTGCCCCTACCCAGTGCGAAGGGAGGGTTTGGAATTTTGGTGTTCTTAATTATTAATTCTTTTTTGTAAAAAATTCCAAAGTATTGAACATTCTTGTCTATTTTAAATGAAATTTATGACCTAATAATAAAAGATGGTTTGTGATAATATAATTACTTTCATCCCTCTGGATTCAAACCTTTGCCTGGGATGGGTGTGGGACACCTACTGTGAGGTTGGCTGGCAAACTGCATATTATTGTTAGTACATGTTGGTTTTGGTGCTGCCTCTAAAAATTTCGTGATTAGATTTTCTTTTTCCAACTAATTTGATAATTCCTTGTATGCAGAAGCTTCCTTCAAGATGTTCTCCTCTCAAGAGTAAAGAGATTGAACTAAAAGAACTAAAGCATGATTATGTAAAAGATGAGAACTTTAATGACTTGCGCAGTAAACGTAACAACAATAAACGTGGACGAGGAGGCCGAGATCAAGGATATGGTACAAAGTTGCAGAGAAGAATACCTGGTCTTAAATCTGATCCAAGTAAACGCAATGCTAGGGAAAATGAGAGACTTAATCTAGGACAAAAGCAGGGACGACGGACAAATGCCCAAGCATCTGGTCGGGGTCGCAGGACCGTTAGAAAGAGAAGAGCAGAAATGATGGTAGACGATGATACGTTGATCGGTCGTATGACCAACTCTGTTAGCCATAGTAAGTATGGAGGATCATTAAGAAACTTTGACGATGAAGATTGGGGCATCGAAAAAGCCAGGATGGATGCAGATGTGGATGATGCTGACAATAGTAACAGTGTGGAAGCAGCAGAATCTGATGACAATGTTGAAGCAGAGGGATATGAACAAGAAAACTGGGAGCAAAGTTACATTGGAGCCTCTAATAGGTGGAATCAAAATTCAGTGGAGGCGAGTGATGATGATGGAGATGCTTCTGGAGATGATAATGGGATTGAAGATATGGGAGTTGAAGACTCAGAGGGTGAGATAGAAATAAGCGAGGGTTCAGACGGATTAGCAAATAAAATGGATAATGATGAAGCCTCAGACTCTGCAGTTTCAGATGATTATAGTGACTGATTATCTTCCTACTTACAGATGTTTCTGGCAAAAGTTACTCTTGTTCGTGAGCTGCACTGTTTTTGGTAGTCGCAGCACTTCACAAGCGCCTGAATTCATGCACGAGAAGAAAGAAGAGAAACACGGTTGCTTCTTTGTGTTCCGATTAATGGGACAATATATAACTAGAAAATGCAGGTAGAAGGTTGAAGTAAATTAGTAGACCGGCCTTGTAGTTCATTATTGTTAACGGGCATTTAATTGTAAGCTAAGCATGTGCCATTAGAAGCGAGATTTACCCCCTTTGGTTCCTCGTCCTTCCTTTATATAATTTTTTCTCCGATGTATCAAAAAATTTTTTTATTAATAAGATAATTTCATCGCAAACCTTTTTTTGTTTTAGCTTAAAAAGAAAGTGGTATGCGTAAAGACTTTCAGGAATTGTAATTGTACAATTGGGAAAGGTTGCAATAATCCAAGCGCCTCAGGAAAATAGTAATCTGTAGATATATAGATTTTCTGTTGCCGCCCTTCATACCATTTACAATGATTCATACCAATTACAATCAGAACAATAATTGTTTCGATCAATAATTAATTTGAAACAGTATGCACTTCATTCTCCATTCATAGCAGGCTACAAATTTGCTAATTTTTTTATTGGACTCGATAATAAATGTACTATCAGAGTTTTAACGATACAACACAACAGAGCAACTCAGAATGTCCATCTCAAAAAAACAAAACCATATTCACAATGGGATATTCTACTGCTTGAATTGGCCATAACCAAATTTATGGGGCCAACAGTTTCTTGATTCCTGACTTCTGTTCAGCCGTTAACCTTGTTGGGAATTTTATATTGAACTTAATTCTCAAGTTTCCCCTCCTCATAGGATCCTTTGGTATCGGCATGCCTTCCTTCGGAACGACTTCTTCATATTCTGGATGAATCACGTTGTTGATTGGAATGGTCAGGCTTCTACCATCAAGAGTTGTCAGATGGACAGTATAGCCTGTTAGAGCTTCTGCAAGAGATATCTTCTTGGTGACGACCAGATCATTACCTTCCCTTGTGAATGTGCTGTGAGGTTTCTCATCAATTATGAAGACAAGATCAGCTGGGATTACATTTGGTTGCTCATTGCCTTTCTCTGGGAAGGTGATTTTTGTTCCCTTCTTCCACCCAGGCTTGATATCAATGGTCAATATTTCTTCCACCGGTAAGGTCTTCCTGAATCATCACAAGAAAAGACTAGCAGTTAACAAACTCTAGTCCTAATTAGTTGGAATAGTTCAAACTAAAAAACTGAAGATGGAAAAGGCTACTTACCCACTAGCATCAGCAATTTCTCTTGAAATCTTCATCTTTTTAGTAGTGCCTTTATAAAGCTCTTCAAGAGTACAAGGCAATGTGTTCTCAATTGCAGGGGCTTTACGAGGAGCTGAGCTCATTGGACGCCCCTCACCAAATGAACTGAAAATATCATCACCAAACATTCCACCAAACGACCTCGAACCACCTCTCATGCCACTACCACCTCCCATTCCACCTCCCATTCCCCCAAATGGACTTGAAAACCCAAAGAATTCAGCAAAAATGTCATCTGCATTTCTTGGATTGAATCTAAACGTTGTTGGACCATCTCCTCTTGAGAAGAAGGTTGCTCCTCCTGGACCACCAGCATCCGGTGATGGCATCTGCCCTTTCAACCCTTCTTCTCCATATTGATCATAGATTGCTCTTTTCTGAGGATCACTTAGAACCTGCAAATATCACCTATAAGATAAGAACATAAAAGTATGGAATCACCAAAAATACAGAGAAATGCCCATAAAAGTTAAAAATAATTAATAATTGAATAACAAGACATATATCATAGCCTCAAGAGTTAAATTGTCAAGAAAACGCAAAAAGCCTACTTTCTTTATTGGATAATCATTCAAAAGTTCCACGAATAAAAACAGCATGAGAAACAGACATATATTCAAGAACCCAAGAAACAGAAGAAGATACATAATTTGATAAGATACAATAATTTACCTCATAAGCTTCAGAGATCTGCTTGAATTTAGCCTCAGCTTCTTTCTTATTATTTGGGTTCTTATCAGGGTGCCACTTCATAGCAAGTTTTCTATAAGCCTTCTTCAAATCATCATCTTTAGCATTTTTGTCAACCTGCAATATCTTGTAATAATCAACACCCATATTGAATTTTACTTAGTTACTTGTTGTTCTTCTTGGAGCACACTCTCTGAATTATTAATTTTCTCCGCTGCCTGCTAAATCGTGAAGGTTAGCAACAGAACCTTTATATGGCTGGTGGGTTTGTATTATTGTAGTTGTAGGTGAGATTTTTGATTGAGAGGTGCTATAGGAAGTTGAATAAGAAGAGAAGAGAAAGAAAAGGATTTGTCTGGAACATCTTAGAGGAGCAGAAGGCTGTGGAACTTTCCAGATGAATTGCTCCATTTTGTCGGTTTTTTTTTTTAACAGAAGCTTTCCTTTGGAATGGTAGTTATCACTTAACTAATTAAATTAAAGATTTACTTAAAAAAATAAAAAACCAAAACTTATAATTGTGATCAATAAAATAAAAAATAAAAAATAAACATTCAAATAGGAACTGCATGGCCCAACGGACAACAGTTCCGGTATTTAAAGGCCCAAGACCACTAAAGCCTGAATGAAAGATCAGTTTTGGTTGATATGAAAGTTGAAAAGGAAAAAAAGAAAATCTCGATCAGAAAAGTTATGGAACTTCATATTAATCCCGAGGTTGCAAAATGGAGAGTTGGTGACCCATCGTCAGTTCATGCAAAAGCAGAGAAGTGATTGGTGCCATTTGATCCGAAAAAGGTACCGAGTCTTCAGGATTAGAAAATGAGACCATTCTCTTCTGTGTCATGTACAAAAACCCACTTTCTATTCCTTACACTGCATCTTCTTCTGTTATTTGGTTTCTTACAATGTCTCCTGTCTCATTGCCTCTCTACCAATCAAAACTCTCATTTCCATCCTTCGACACTCCTTTTCTCCCCTTTTCTATTCCTTCTTCTCACAACAAGTTCTCTTCCATTTCGATTCTCAATAATACTTCCCATGTCAACTACAGTAGGCTCTCTTCCTCCATCAAACCGCTTTCCGCCACAGTCAGCACCTCCGTCGTCGTCGAGTCTGATAACCATTCTGATCCCAGCACTGGATCAACCGCCTTCATCATCCACGCGCGCAACCGAATTGGACTCCTCCAAGTCATCACTCGCGTCTTCAAAGTACTCGGCCTCCGTGTCGAGAAGGCTACCGTCGAATTTGACGATGATTATATTACGAAGACGTTTTATGTGACTGATTCTAATGGAAACAAAATCGAGGACGCTGAGAGATTGGATAAAATCAAAGAACAATTGATTGATGCGATTGACGGAGGAGATGGAGTTGGCGAGGTTAAGGTGGGGTCTACAGGGAGAGGAGTAGTGATGAGAAGGACTGGATTAGGTGAAGGGAGAGCCAAGGCGGAGAGAATGTTCGGGTTAATGGATCGGTTTTTGAAGAACGATCCGTTTACTCTTCAAAAGGATATTTTGGATCATGTTGAGTATACAGTGGCTAGGCCGCGCTTTAGTTTTGACGATTTTGAAGCTTACCAGGTAATAACCGTATTTTGAATTTTGGCGGGAATGCATTCATATGTTTTACTTTTCGATTCCTGTAACTAATAATCCAAAAATTGTTCCGGAAAAGAAAATAATTGCTGCATGACCATTTGCAAAATCTATGATAGATCTTCTTTTGCAATATGGTTTTCATGTTTAATTGTTTGGAATGTGGTAGTACTCTTAGTCCTGGATTTAGTTAGTAATTTTTACGAGTATGATATTATATGAAACCAGTTTTGGGGAATTCAATTTTATATATATCATTTGGTTAATGATGTTGCCATGGATTTAATTTTGGTGTTATGTGCAGGCTTTAGCACATAGCGTAAAAGATCGGTTGATTGAACGTTGGCATGATACCCAAATGTGTTTCAAGAAGAAAGATCCAAAGCGCATATACTTCCTCTCGCTTGAATATCTTATGGGTATTGATGTACATTTAAGGTTTATGCTGATTTATCATGCTAAAAGCCATTAACTAAAGATTTATCCATATCCTGCTCTCCATAGATGACACTGTTGTAGCTGGTTAATGCCTGATTTTTTTTTAAAAAAAAAAAAAAATTGGTTGAATGAGAATTTTAATACCCTAAAAATAAATTGCAAGCTTTTCTCAAGTTGCTTTCACTTCAGTGGGAGGGCGAGGGAGTTGTTATATGCTAGAAGGAACTATTGACTGAAACATTTAAGCCAGTGCTTCTAATATATTAGCTGTTGAATCAACATTTACTTGGTTTAACTTTGTATACCAGGTCGTGCATTGTCAAATAGTATCACCAATCTTGGCATTCGCGACCAATACGCAGATGCATTATCTCAGCTTGGTTTTGACTTGGAAGTCTTGGCAGAGCAGGTTGGCTTGACATTTTCCCTCACACTTTGATAATTTTTACTGAATTAGTTGGCATAATAAATTGATGTTGGAATATACATGCTACACTTGCAAAAAGAAGTTGAACAAAAGGCTGTCTTGGGGTATGCATTCCTACTACAATTTATGATATATGTATGTACAAAAATGTGTGGAGGTTGTTTTATTTCAAATTATGTTCATATTGACGTCCTGAGGAAAGAGTGACATGATAGGGATTTAAGGGGGCATGACTGATCAATCTAGTAAAAACTTGGATTTCAAATATTATTGAAAAGGAGATGTATTTAAGAAATTCAACAAAAAAAATTTTAGTTTGATCATATATAAATATCCCTAGAATTCTATCCTAAAACTCAGAAATTTAATTTCAATTAAATTATGTGAGGGAAAGTATATTATAAGACGATAATACATTCGTCTTCTTTCTTTATAAGGGGAAAGAAAAACTACTAAGAAAGCTTACTTGAGCAGCTTTAAGTTTTAGAGAAAAGATTGTATTTGGTGTCAATAATGCGGAATGTCAGTTAAATTCAGAATTTATATTTGAAGCTGAAAACAAGTGAAGTATTGGGTTGAGGTATTTTACATGCTATTGATGGTGGAAAATCATTGTTGCATTGGATCTTCCTTTTCTACCCTTATCAAGCAGACAAATACTTTTGACATTTGGAGTATATTTTTTTCTTTTTTCTTTTTTTTTTTTTTTTTTTTTTTTTTTTTTTTTTTTTTGGAGTATTATTTTTTTCTTTTTTTCTTTTTTTTTTTTTTTTTTTTTTCTTTTTTTTTTTTTTTTTTTTTTTTTTTTTTTTTTTTTTTTTTTGGGTTATAGGATTAAAAGGTATGAAAACTTATCATTTTGTTGCATGATGTTTGACGTTTTATATTATGATAGTTCTTCCATCCTAATGCATTATCTTTTTGCTCTGATGTTTCAAGGAAGGGGATGCTGCTCTTGGTAATGGTGGCCTTGCTCGTCTTTCAGCCTGTCAAATGGATTCCTTAGCCACATTGGACTATCCTGCATGGGGGTACTATTCTACTCTTGTCATTCCATTTATTGATCTTTATACATATTGAAATTGATAGTTACCTCTTTGAGGTGTTGTGATCCCAATATCGTAAGATATTCCTTTGATCAACTTAAATTTGTTACTATTTTAAATATATCAAGTACTTTTCAATTAATCTTTTTTGCATCAATTGTTTCAACAATGTTGTAATGACCACCCTAAACTCAAGGAAAAGGTGTCTGACCACCCTAAGTAGATTCAATTTTGTTAGACCACAGAAGAAAGCAAATGCCTTTCAAATAGAAGAAAGAGAGAAGCAGCTTCACTTCTTCCTGCAAGTTGCTCATGTAGGACAGGTAGTTAAAAAATATTCCCCACATTCTTGGGACCTCACCTATAAGCTTGAGCTTTTGGGTTGAGTGGTTTCTTGACAGAGTAAAGGTTTAAAGTAATTCAGATTTCATTGCTGAACATTTATATGGGCAACTGATTTTGCTGTCTTACTGTAACAAGTCCTGTGATTGATGAATATTCTCAATTTGAATCACTTAGAAGAACTGAACTGTTCAGTAATTTTTTAGCATGCATTGTGTAGGCAGCTGCATATTAATTATGTAGAATCTCATCTTTACTTGTGCAGTTATGGACTACGATACCAGTATGGACTTTTCCGTCAGGTCATATTGGATGGCTATCAACATGAACAACCTGATTATTGGTTAAACTATGGAAATCCTTGGGAGATAGAACGGATTCATATGGCCTATCCAGTCAAGGTTGCAAGTACTTCCCTTTCTGTTGTGGTCAATTTAACATTAACTATTAACTAATACTTGTCATGGAACTGCCAGTCAATCCTTTATATTGTCTTAAAATATGGTTTTGTTGGACTTATTAGTTCTACGGGACTGTCGAAGAGGAAGATTTCAATGGAGAAAAACGTAAAGTTTGGGTTCCCAATGAGACGGTAAACTGTGATGTCCTCATGTATTCAAAACTGCATTCTTCAAAGTTTGTCTTTTTCAAGTGTTTTAACTTCTATACATTTCCATTATTGTGCGAGTTTTAATTTTACTAGTTACATTTTGGAATTAAGTGCTCTAGTTTCCTGGATAAACTGGAATTTTAGTCAGCTTAATGGTTTGTCTCCATGCTGGTAGGTTGAAGCTGTAGCCTATGACAATCCAATACCTGGCTATGGAACAAGGAACACCATTACTCTTCGCCTCTGGGCTGCTAAGCCAAGTGATAAAAATGATATGGTAAACTTTACTGTAGTTGAATATCATTCTTTTCAAGCATGCATGTCGCATTTCATAGCACATGCCATGGCAGGTGAGAACTATCATTCAAAAAATATTAGCTAGATATCTAAACATGATTGATGATAATCTTATATATATAACATAAATTATTGGTCTTTCCCTGAGGCCTCTTTAATTTTCAGGAAGCCTATAATACTGGAGACTACATCAATGCAGTTGTCAATCGACAAAGAGCAGAAACCATAAGTAGTGTTTTATACCCTGATGACCGCACATATCAGGCATGGCTTTTCCTCTTCTATTGCTTAGTTATTGCTTATGTAGTCTATTCTGACTTAGCCTGATTGCATTGTTTCTCTGAAGGCAATTTATTTTGTAAGCAGTTGATTGTACAGAGATGAAAGAGGGATAATACTGTTGTTTTTATTCTTTCATTTGCAGCTTTTAATGTTTCCCATGGCTTTTTCTCTTGCTTTCTTCGCGTTGCTATAATTAGGAAGCAGATTGACTATGCTAGGGTGGATCAGCACTTGTTAAACCTTAATTGTTGCTCATGTGGGCAATTTCTGCATGCTTTCTTTTTTAATGTTGCTGCTTTATGGCATTGTATTTCTTACTTGTCTGATCATAAAGACAGTCACATCACTATTTGCAGATACATTTTCATTGCTTGATTTACTCTTTCAGGGAAAAGAAATACGGTTAAAACAACAATACTTTTTTGTCTCTGCATCAATGCAAGATATTATTCGGAGGTTCAAAGTCACTCATGATAACATCGATGAGTTCCCAGAAAAGGTTTCTTATCTCAGATTACATTTATACCATAGCAAAACAAGCATGTGTTTGAACTCATTGATGTCATATATATCATAGCATAACACATACATGTCTGAACTCATTAAAGTTTATCAAAAGAAAATTTTCATGTCCTACATTTTTATGATTCATATTTAGCATGCTAAGACACTGCATGTCTGCTAGACTAGACATTCTTGCATATTCAATTATTTGCAAAAAGAACCTCTATAATTAGAACTGCTTGTCAACCAGGATGGATTGAGTATTAGAAACTACGGACTGTAGGCATACTAATATTTCTATGTATTATTGGCACTTCCATGAAAATCAATATTACAACTTACCCAAGTGTTACATGCTAATGGTCATGGCTTGTGAATTCCATGTAAATATATACATAAGGTGCTATGTGGTTTGCAAATGGAGAGTTTTTTCCCTTAGAAGGGCTTTGAAAAAAAAAAAAGATATTCTTGGCTCAGATAATAGTTTTCCCCTTCTTATTAGTGTGCTAACTTGCACTATGATATTCTGCATTATGTAGGTTGCCCTGCAATTGAATGATACTCACCCATCTCTTGCAATAGTTGAGGTCGTGAGATTGCTTGTTGATGAAGAGAATTTAAGTTGGAGTAGAGCATGGGACATTGTATGCCAGATATTCTCCTTCACAACTCACACAGTATTGCCTGAAGGATTGGAGAAAATCCCTGTTGATCTGTTGGAAAGTCTTCTACCGCGCCATTTACAAGTGGGTTTTGGTATATTTTCCAAATGTATTTTTTCCCATTTAACTATGTTCTAAATGCTTTTTGAACAAATTTCTTATTGCTTTGACTACCTTAAGAATTGACTTTTCAACTCCTAATGTATGACTATGTCATCGCTACTCCTTTACATAAATGTGTTCAGCAAGCTTGTTATAATCTCAGATCCAATTGGAATGTAGAAACAATTTTAAAGAAAAATGTATATTCATTTCCCTGATGGAACTGTTTGTATATTCAGATCATATATGAGATAAACCACAATTTCATTGAAGAGTTGAAGAAAAGAATCGGTTTGGATTATGATCGACTTTCTAAGATGTCAATTATTGAGGAAGGTGCTGTGAAGGTATTTGCAAAATCCATCCAAGGTTTTATGTTTTCACTAATCCCTCTCTTTCTCTCTCTATCTCTCTCTCTCTCTCTCTCTCTCTCTACATGCATATGTTCATTTTGAGAGAACATCTGTACTAGCAAAACTGAAATAATCAATGGCTTCTACCTTTTTGGCTCATTTAATAGTGTAACCATTTTTTTTCAGTAGATTTTTCTCCTCAGTATACACAGTTCAGTTTTGAAGGTGAATTATATAAGCAGTGTAAAAGTTTGAAAATTTTTATTTTTGTATTATTGGACAGAATATTCGGATGGCAAATCTATCAGTTGTCTGCTCTCACTCTGTGAATGGTGTTTCTAAAGTGCATGGAGAGTTATTGAAAACAAGAGTATTCAAGGTAAAATATGTATCATTATATTTTTACATGCCTTTTTTCTTCTTTTTGAACTGCACTTATTCCATTGCCATTTATGAAATATTCTAATAGGATGGCCTCAGCAAATTTGTCTGACACTTTTTAGGACATTTTTGCAGGACTTCTATGACCTGTGGCCTCACAAATTTCATTACAAGACAAATGGAGCAACGCAGGTTGCAATTAGTTTTCTTAATCTTATGTTAATTTCTATATCAAGTATATTTGAGTGGATTTTGATGGTCCACCTGGCCCTTGGAAGATTGTAATGAACTATAACTGATAAACATAACATTCCCAGCAACACGGGAACCTAGACTATCTGTGATTTCACTTTCCTCATGTAGCATTCATAAGAATCCCATGCGTTGGATGGTTATTTGGTTGAGACTGCATTACTGTAGGAAGTACAAGCCTCGTATTTGTTCTATTCAAAAAATTATCATGCTGAATATGCTCTGGGTTCTGTGATTTGCTCAGCTGATTTTGATAATTAGATGACTTCCCCTTGCTTCAATGTAGCCTATATTTTTAGTATTCTACAAATACACATCTTTTGACACCTGCCTACCACTGAGATTTCTGTTCTATTTCCCTGCAATAACTTTATACACATTATGAGCCTATTTTTTGTTCAACATGGTTTAGTTTTCATAATTTAATTCTTGTCAGTATTGAAATGTAAAACACATACGGTCATCAACAAGCTCATGACCACTTACTATTTGAATGCAATGATGCACACAGAGCTGGTAACTAAATTTCTTAGTACATTGTTGATATTCAACTACATGTAAATGGCTTTTGATGCACTAACATATGATGTCTCAGCGTCGATGGATTGTTGTCAGCAATCCAAGTTTATGTGCTCTTATCTCAAAGTGGCTTGCAACAGAAGCCTGGATACGTGATATGGACCTGTTATCAGGCTTGCAAGAATATGCAACAAATGCTGATCTACATCGAGAATGGAAGATGGTAACTTTTAGTTTTAATATGACTGCAGTTTCTCTGAAAGCAAATATTACATGTTTTGTACTGTTGAATGTATTTGTTGTCTTTTTTTACTCTTGTAGGTTAGGAAGGTTAACAAAATGAGGCTTGCAGAATATATTGAAGCAATGACTGGTGTCAAGGTTTGACTAAAAGCTTTATGGAATTCTTTTATCTTCTTGTTTCTTTTCTTTTCTTTTCATGGGAAAGTTTTGAGTTATGGAAGCTTGCACGTGACCTTATTCCACTAGTGTGTAATTTCAAGTGCAGGTCAGCATAGATGCAATGTTTGATGTGCAGATAAAACGAATACACGAGTACAAAAGACAGTTCCTTAATATTCTTGGGATCATCCATAGATATGACTGTATCAAGGTGAATGGAATCTTCGGTTAAAAAATTTTTCTTTTTTTTTTATTTTTTGATTAAACATATTAGCGCATCAACTGATCAGAAAGTGTGACCATCTTTATACATTTAACTCACTTTCTTGAGTGCTTATATCTTCATCTTCTATCTTCCTTTTGCTGGAAACTGAACTCTATTTTGTCTAGTAGTTATCACTTTCTGGGTTGGTAGTAACTCAATTATTACTTGCCTGCATTCTGGATTTTGTCTTGTGTTGGTTGGTTATGGCCTATTAACTGTCACATTAGAACCAGATTTTCTGCTTTACCCGAGATACTGAGTTTCCAAGCATTATTTACAAGTATATGCTTTTTTATTCTATAGTTTAGTTTTACTCGGATGTATGATAATACTTTGCCTTTGTCACAGAACATGGAGAAGAATGACAGGAGAAATGTTGTCCCTCGTGTCTGCATAATTGGAGGGAAAGCTGCACCTGGTTATGAAATAGCAAAGAAGATTATCAAACTTTGTCATGCTGTAGCAGAAAAGATTAACAATGACCCAGATATTGGAGATCTTTTAAAGTTGGTAAGGGGACAGTGTATTTCTATGCCAAACTGTAAAGAAGACACACACATGCTCACTTCTTTAGAAGTTACTTGAAGTGGGTGTGCGTCGAAATCTCAGCATCCACCCAACAGCTTCTTGCAGCGATTTTGAGTTATAATTTAATTACTGGCTATGCTTCTTAATATGTGGTTTATGTCAACATTTCTGATTCTGTTTTTAATACTATGGCAGGTTTTTATCCCTGATTACAGCGTCTCTGTTGCTGAGTTGGTAATACCAGGGGCTGACCTTTCACAGCACATAAGGTTTGTAATTTGTAGTATGCCTTTTAAATGGAAACCTCAGTATTAAAGAGCGATATTCTCATTCAACTTTCTTGTTCCATTGTTAAACTGATTACTGGTAATGTTGCAACTGTTTGCAGTAAAAATAGAATGGCTGGAAAGTTGGTTGCATATGTTTTTTCTGCATTAATATTCTGCCACAGTTTTATATAAGCATAACATTCATAATTTTTTCCCTGATCTTTTATGTGCAGCACTGCTGGACACGAGGCATCAGGTACTAGCAGCATGAAATTCTTGATGAATGGATGTTTACTCCTAGCAACAGAAGATGGCTCTACCATTGAAATTATTGAAGAAATAGGGGCAGATAACATGGTAAGCACCATATTACATGAGGTTTGGAAGTATAATACTTAAAGAGCTTTTTTGCACTCACATTTTCTACTTTTCTGTAAAAATGTTATCTTAATATATGAGCGAAATACAATAGACTGCAAATTATAATGCATGCATACGTTCATACTATTATATCAATGTCTTTCCAATGGAATAATTTTTCCTTTCAGTTTTTGTTTGGTGCAAAAAGTCATGAAGTTCCAGTTTTGCGTGAGAAAGGACCTGCACTTAAAGTACCTCTTCAATTTGCTCGTGTTGTAAGGTACTCAATTCGTTAATAGTTTATTTATTTGCCAAATGCTTCCATGATACATTATAAAAGTAAAATGGTGTTTCAAGGCACTCATGTCATTTTAAGTGAAATACGTATCCGATGTGTAGTAAGCTACTAATTCTGCAGATTGTGAATTTGATATTGCTTGATTTTTACACGTAGGATGATTCGAAATGGCTATTTTGGCTTTGAAGACTATTTTGAATCATTATGCGACAGCGTGGAGGTTGGTAATGACTTTTACCTCCTGGGTGCTGATTTTGAAAGCTATCTAGAGGCACAGGTAGTATTTGTTCCATTATAGTTTTGACATTATAATCACCAAAATAAATAAAAAAATAAATAAATTGTTGTTCTGATATTATGCAATTACAGGCTGCTGCTGATAAGGCATTTGTTGATGATAAGAAGTGGACTCAGATGAGCATTCTTAGCACAGCTGGGTCTGGAAGATTCAGCAGTGATAGAACAATTGAAGAATATGCAGCCAATGCTTGGGGAATTGAACCTTGTAGATGCCCATTCTAAACTCGGTCTCTACTTCTCAATAGACAAGACTTATCAAAGAATAAGCAATAATCTACAGTTATTTGTAACTGCTTACCAATAATCTCTGATACTTCTTGCATATGTTCCTCCACGTTTGATTCTTTTTTATACTTATGCATTGGCTCTATGTAGTATTTTTTTTATTATTATTATTTCTTTAAGAGTTGAATTTCTGATTTTGTTTTTTTCTTTTTTTTTTTTTTGTTTTAACTATATTGCATCCGAGGCTTTTTGGCCCGACTAATCTGGATTCGCGCTAGAGCAGGCCCACAAGGGAGGACAAAGCCCTCTCTCTTGAGTGTTTAAAGGAACTGTATATACAATGCTCGAATTTAAAACATCTACTTAAGAGAGAAATGATCATTATCATCCCATCTCATCCTTCTATTTTTTTTTTTTTGACTCTTTTTATATTTGATTCAATCGGTTAAAGTTTTTTTTTTTTTAAATAACATTTATTTATAAATAAATGTATTTTAGATTCGTATCTAGATATTCTATATCTGTCTCTATTTATATTTATATCTATTTCCATATAAAATATATCTATAAATGGTATTAGTTTTCTCAGTATCTATATTTATCTATATTCATGCATATCTATATCTCCATATGTATACATTTTATCTATCTATATTAAATATTTCTCTTATTATTGACGGTATGCTTGACCTTTTCTTTTTATATTTCATGAATTTATCAAATAAAATAATAATTTATCAATATAATTTCTTCAATCATCTGATCCTTACGGAAATTGGACTAGTATAATTATGTAACTCACGTTAATATTTCATAGGTACGATGTAACTAAGGTCTAAAATATTGCAGATTTACAATGAAAATAATGCAGTAAAAAACAAATAAAAAAGCTAGGCAGAAATCGGGGTGCCTTTGTGATTTACCACGTGTATATCATTCACAATTTAAATTAGCTCATAGTATAAATGGCAGACGACATGTACAAAAAAGATACAGGAGGAGGGTAGTACATAGCTCAGTAAGCGTACGAGCAAAGAAGACAACGACAATGGTGGCCGTTTATCGAATTCTTTTTCCCGCCATAATCTTATCATCTCTATTGGACCTCACATCTGCAGATCAACAGAGCAACCGCCACCTGCTTCTCCAATTGGACGAGGCCAAGCTCAAGATCTCTCAGTTAGGTACCACTCTTTTATTTTTTTTTCTTCTTCTTTTTGATGCGAAATTCAGATTTAGGTTTGTTTTTATGTACTCTAAAACGGAATCCGGAGTGAATCCATTACTTCTATAATCAGAATCTTCTCTCGAGGAAATCATCCAAAAGGTAAATGCTAGAGATGTTTATCTACTGGAGAGAGAGAATCAAATTCAGGAGATGGAGAAGAAGATAAACGATCTGCAATCTGCTCGTTCTAATTTGAAGGTTTATTTTATTTAATTTGATTTTTTAATTATTTGGTGATATGGATGCATCCATGCCTACAACATCTGGAATTTCACTTATGAGCTGTTGCTGTAGGGAGCTTCATTGCCTGTTGATGATAGGATTAAATTGCTAGAAGAAGAGGTTTGTTTCCCTTGCATTTTATTCATTCTGCTTGTACCTCTTTGGATTTTGCTGTTTTAAGTGAAAATGAGTTTGTTGTTTGCGTCATTGAAAGTTCTGCTGACTTGACCGTTAGTGTGATAACGCCTAGGTGCGAGTTCTATGGGAGACTTTGAGAAAGAACAACTTCGATCTTCATGTTTTAGAATCTAAAGCACAAGAAGCTGACGACAGATTAGAAGCAGTAACTTTGCAGGTTGAGAGGGTCAGTATTCTGAAACCCATTGTTATTGATAACCTCTTTCATTGGCTAGATATTTTCATTGTATGAAAGAGACAAAAACAAAAAATCCTTGCAATGTTTAGTAGTTATTCAACCTCCTCACTTATCGTTTTATGTTCTCTCTATTCACATGAAGCAAAATTGTTTGGTTGGATTATCTGATGGAGTGAGTAGTTTGTGGAGATGATCAGCAGTAGAGTGTAGAGTAAATGACAGATGCATTAGCATTCTACATAGCTTTGCAAAGTATGAGGAAGGGAAAGTTTTACATAATTGTTTCTTAAAGAAAGATGATGATCAATTCATTTCTTTTTTTTTTTTTTTTTTAGAAGATTGATGACTTCAATTCATTTTCTTTTTTTTTTTTTTTTTTGAAGGGGGGGGGGGGGGGGGGGGTGTTAAGAATTCATAATTTGTTAGATTAAAGTTTTCGAATTTTAGTTATGTAAATTTTCCTTTTTCCATTGGCTTTCAAGACTGGCGGGCATAGTGTCAGAGCAAGTGGATCCAAAGGGGGGGGGGGGGGTGTTAAGAATTCATATTTGTTAGATTAAAGTTTTCAATTTTAGTTATGTAAATTTCCTTTTTCATTGCTTTCAGATGGCGGGCATAGTGTCAGAGCAGTGGATCCAAATTCAACAGTTTGAGCAGGCTCTTCAACTCAGAGAAGTACATTTACAAACAAGCAAATTTTCATATGCTGCTAAGGATTTGTAAAACTAAAGGTTGTATTCTATTTTGTATTCGTAATGATCTATGTCAATTTCCCCTTTTTCAGATGACCATATCAAAGTACCAGAGGCAAATGAGGGCTTCCAGGTGCTCATTCTTGAAGGTGATACTAAAATATTTTTGGTCTTGTATCATATAAAATTTAAATTTTAATATCAGTATGCATTATGAGCAGCAATAATGATTTTTTGAAAATAATAATTTCCTTCTTTTTCAATAATATTCTCTTATGTTAAGGGTTTTGATCTGTTTTCATGCTTTATATGGATTTATAGTTCGCGAAAAACCTTTCCAACATATATCTTCCAAAGTCTCTAGGGCCAATGGGTTCATATTTATTTGGTGAAGATTCTACCTTGGGACCTTACATTTCACGAACCTTACATTTGTTAAAGAGGTTATATTCAACAGCAAAAGAGTACCACCATGAGGTTTGCACTTGCTCTCTTTTCAGTTACCCCATGCTTCATGTCTTAGTTTTCATCTTTCCCCTCTTCTTAAGAAGAAGTTTGTTTTGGCTATTTTTCCTTTGCTACATAACATGCCTGCTAATGTCATTTATTCTTCAAAATATTATCTGATGCTAGCTTGCAAGATGACCTCATTTGATTGGGTTTAATCCTTCATAAGATAGTTCCTTGGTAGCTGGTCTCTCTAAGACAGCTAAATAATTAAGATATAAGTTTTAATAGTGAATGCAGTCTCTTATTTGTATTCTGGTTCATAGTTTGGAAATGATCTGTATTGTATTGGCAAATTATCAATGAAGTGAGCTTAAGCATAATTAGGTCACCATTTTAGTGTCCAGCCCATGCCTTCACTAATGAGGCTGTATAACCCAGGTGTTCCGTAGATACCATTCTGTTGTGTGAATTAAGTTTTGGCTCTCATTTTATTTCTAGCTGCAAGGTTTCGTCAAAGCTGAAATGGACAGGCATGAGTTCACCGCATATCTTGCCAATGAGGAACTAATATTTTTTGTGGTATGTTACTCCATTGTTGTTAGTCCCACCCCCCATGTTCTCTTTTAACTAGAAGTTTGTCTACTGATGAATTCACTGCCTAGTTCTCCAGACAAAACGAATCAACACTCATGGCTTTGAGTTTTGTGAAAACCCCAGGCTTCTGCTTTGATCATCTTCCCAGTATTGAGCGCTTGGATGTTGCTTTCATCGCAATTACAGTAGTCGAGAATTTTACTCCTGGAGGTGGCAGCCTGTATTCTATGGTGGAGGAAAGGATAATGCTCAAGCCGCTACCCAACCCCTCTTCCAATTTATGTAGGTTTTGTGAGGAGCAAAAATGTGGCTTCATCTCTGTATTAGTTCTATGGATCCTTTTGTAATTTTGTTTCCACCATCACTGCTGCTTCTCCTAATAGCTTCACAACGTCTACCTATATATGCCCATTTTGGTTGGGTTTTTGTCTTTTTGACATGAAAAGCTTTACCATTAGGTGTATTAGATTCTAATTTCTGAATGTAACACCATATGCTATGAACTGTACAGAATGGACAATCTGAGTTGCAATTTTAATGTCTGTGAAATGGTCTGATCTAAAGATTATCAACGTGTGTCCAAGTTCTTTTCTGAGAGCTTGAAATTTGTGTTGAAACGTATATTTTTACCTTCCCCCATTAGCATTCATTTCGAAGCATGCTGAGTTGCTTATCAAATGATTTTTGGTTGTGTTCGTTTTTCAATGACTTATTATTTACTTGTCACAGTAATTTATTTACGCTTGAAACAGTAATTTATTTACGCTTGAATCACTTATGCATTCGTTCAATTTTCCAGCTTTGAAGTCACGTTCACGTATACCAAGCAAAGGTGCGAAGGACCATTTAAGCCTTTTACCTTCACAGGCCATTTTGTATAGTATTGCAGGCCTGCCTCGAGTACATCTTAGTCTGTTTCTTAAAGGGTCCATACCCAGAAATAGTTGCAAGAATTTTCATCCACTCTAATCTTATCTTGGAAGATGGAGGACACAACATGGGAGCAGAGACTACAAGCTCTTACTCACATCCTTACCAGCCCTATAACAACGCCAGATCTATATTCTCAATTCTTCATCTCCAACCATGTTCCTTGCTACCTCAATTGGGACTATCCGCCTATCCTCTGCACCAAAGACACCAGATCTTTCCCTTCTCTACATCTGAGATGGGGATTCTCTCTTTTCCTCAAAAGGGTCTCCAGACTAGGGTTTCCTGAGACTTCTTGGCGGTCAAAATGCCCTTATCAACAGCCTCCACCTCTGGTTCTTGCAAAGGGAGTAGAGGAAGCACAGTGGAGTGCTGAGTTTAAAAGAGAGTATGTTAGGAAGAGATTGAGAAGGAAAACACTTGCCAATAATATTCACCCTCTTATTCCTATTTTAGTTCCCAATCTCTTTCTGTTCTCACTTCTGCTTTGGAACCCATTTCCCGATCTTGATTCTTGAGTTGAGAATGACATCAATTGTATTATTGTTTTTGTAATTAAATATATTTTAATAATGAATGTGGCATTTTTGTCATTTCGCTTTGGCTATGGCTTTTTCATTTGAGAATTTTTTTCCTTTTCTTAATCCATGACCTACCCATATGTAGATACGGATGGTCAATTAGATTAAACCTAATTTTGTTATAAACATAAAAATAAATAGGAGTTGATGCTTTTCTATCCTAGTAAAATCATAGTTGGTGAAGAGAAATCAAAATATGGAGGAACAGATAAAAATCAATATCTTTATTCAACTAATCTTTTAATTTTTATTGGGTTTTCCACGTAGCATGTGTAGGTTTTTGATTCTATGGCTGAACACTTGCTGACATTCTAATTTAACATTTTCCATTTTCCCTAACCTAGAAAAGATTCTTTAATCCTTTAGGTATTTTCCTAAGAAGGTGACTATTAGTAGCTAAAGAATGTTAAATTGAAAATAATAAATCAATATCAATAATAATAATTAATAAAACTTAGGATCCTTCAACAACTTCTTTCTTTTTTCTTTTTCTTTTTTATCCTTTTTTTTTTTTTTTTTTTGGACTATTAGTAGCTAAAGATGGTTAAATTGAAAATATAAATCAATAACTCATACATAATAATATAATAAAACTCTAGGAATCCTTCAACAACTTCTTTCTTTTTTCTTTTTTCTTTTTTTTAATCCGTTGTTTTTTTTTTTTTTTTTGGCATTTATTTCTAACAATCGACAAGCCGCTTAATCACGGAACAAACTGCAACCTCAAACCAAGTAAAAAAAGGGAAAAGAAGCAAAAGAGAAAAAGGCACAAAGAGTTTAGTTAAATGGTTAGCCAACAACGCAGGCTGACAACTTAATTTAACAATATGATGGGAACGTCGACACTTTGCCAATTTAGCAATGGGATTTTCATTTTTTTTTTTTTTTTTTTGGCACTTTATTTCTAACAATGACAAGCCGCTAATCACGGAACAAACTGCACCTAAACCAAGAAAAAAGGAAAAGAGCAAAAGAGAAAAAGGCACAAAGAGTTTTAGTTAAATGGTAGGCCAAAACGCAGGCTGACCAAAACTTAATTTTAACAATATGATGGGAACGTCGACACTTTGCCAATTTAGCAATGGGATTTTCACTTGTTTTTTCTTCTCCTTCCTTGACTTGGCAACCCTGTGTTAATCAATTTAACCAAACCCTTTTGACTGTTTTATAACTTCTTTCTGTGCTTGTCTCCTCTCATTTTCTTCTGCTAGAACCTATTTTCCAATTGTAAGATGATTAATCACTCATATTATATGGAGAAATTTCCTTTAAAGTCTAAATTTTAAGCATCAAACACATTTTCAAATCACTTTTCTTCATTTTCATCAAATTAATTGACAAAATGTAAATTAAAATATGTGCAGGAAGGTTTAAAAACAAACAATATAGGATTCACCACAACAACTTGTCAGGAAATTTAAAGAAACAAAAAGCTAAAATTAACAGTTCCAAAGAGTTGAGGAGTGATCCCACAAATATTTCTATCATGTGCAATAAAGAAAGGATATAGCTATAGGAACTATTTCACCAAAATGTTCATTATTTTCATTACTTGGTTTGGTAATTTCAGGAACACCCACCAAGAATTGGACATTGCCTAAATGTTGATTAGTTATAGCTAGATATTATCATGTATAAATACAAATCTACATCCATTTATATTCTGAACCAAACACAAGTTTCTATTTAGAAGTTTATTAAATCCAGACAGTTGGAATTCTGATTATACAGGTAACATCTTTTACCTGAACTAACTACTTATTCAACTAACCAAATAAAACTAGTGGATGAGCACCATGGCTGATTTCCCATTTGCAGAATGAATTCCCTAAAATTATGAATTTAATTTTAGTGAACATAAAGTTATCTTGCGCATGCATGTATAAGATGAGATGAACAGGAAAGAACTCTAAAAAGGGTAGGTGTGTGTAATAGATTAGAGAAAGAGAGGAGGAGGAGGGGGCACATGCTGCCTGCACTAAATGCCATTATTGGCTTTGCCCCACTCGCCTCAATCCCCGCATAATTACGCGCCCAACACCTTCTTTTTTTATATATATTTCCACATTTTTATTCAATAATTAATCAATTTTGAAGCTTCTTAGCAATTTCACACTATATTTTTTCTTAATTTTCTTTTTGTTAATTAGCAATATTTCACTTATCCTATCCAAAAAAAAGGAACAGTTATAATTTGAAATTTTACTTTCAATGAGAATTAACAATTCTATAATATAAGAGACTACAACATAAAAAATAAATAAATAAATAAAAAGATAATAAAATTATTATTAAAAAATCTATAATTATATAGCAAATAATATATGTAGCTACATAAAAAGCCTAATTAAATTAAAGTTAAAAATTAAAATGGCTTAAATCATGATGCAATTAAGGGTAAAATTTTCACTTATGGAATGATTTTTTACTTAATTATTAATATTAAACAAAATAAGTTTCACTGATTTTTACATGAAAATTGCCTAAATTTTACAAATTTAGAGATGATTCCAACTTAATTTTCAATATCTGAATTTCACATTTTTCAGCATCATGTCTAATTTGCTACTTTCTTAAAAGGTATCTCATTACTTGGATGCATATATATCTTGATTACCCTTAAATAATCCACTTTGATTTGCTTAAAAGATAAGAAACATAAAGAGAGACAAAGGTAATTAAATCAATTTGATAATTGAGATCTAATTTAGAAATAGGATCACATGAGAGGATCTTAATCTTAAGACAAAACATGTATTTGAATGGGGGATGTTTCTCCACAACATCATTAGATATATTCATAAAATAGTGCCAAAGAAAATCAAATATTACTTAAAAAAAAGCAAACATAATTAACAAGAAACACCCATTCCCTTTGTTAAAGGCTACCTTTGTTAAAGTTTTCTATTCATGGACCACAATCATCGCCTGTTCTTTTCATTTCAAAACTAATTGATTATTAAAATAAATTAATTAATTAGAGATATTAAAGTATAATGCAGAGACCTTTCTATATATAAAGATTACCCCTTCACAAGCTCTTCACTCACTATACACTAAACACTAATAGCTAGCTTCATATCGCCACTCATGGCTCTCTCTCCAAAACTCATTTCCTTCTTTTTTCTCTTGATGACTCCTTTCTTTGTGCAAATTAATGCTAGAGATAGCCAATTCTTTAGCAAGGTCTCTGGCACCACCACCACCACCACCACCGTCGTCAACCCAACCACTACCATTAACAGCAAAGACACAACATTTCCAAACAGAGAAGAAGAGAAATTGAAAAATCAAGAACAAGAACCCACTTTCATGCCAGAAACCCAAAATGGGTATGGGTTATATGGTCAAGAGTCAGATGATCAAGAATCCAACACCCAATTCCCCACCACCACTAAATTGGGAAATGCACCCTACACCACCACCACCGGTTATAGCCCATACAAAACCCAAACCCAAGAAACCTACACCTATTACCCCAACACTAACACCAACCCCAACGCCAACGCCAACTATTACAGTAACGACCAATACAACAACAATGGATATGAAGATCAGCAGCAGCATGAAAACCTGGGGGAAACGAGCTTTCAAGAAAGAAGCTACACCCCTCTTTCTTACCAGAACAACGACAACAACAACAACTATAACAGTTACAATGGTGCAACTGGGTTTAACCAGGAATCGACGAGGCAAGGAATGAGCGACACCAGGTTCTTGGAAAATGGAAAATATTACTATGATCCCAAGAAAGAGAATAGGTATCACCCAAATCAGTTCCAGAATTCAAAAAACAGTGTCAATAAGTATGATACTTACTATAATAATTATAATAATGAGAATACTTATGGTTACAATAAGTACTCCATGGAAAACCAGCAAGAGAACTTCCAAGACAGCCAAGACGAGCAGTACGTGCCTTGATCACTGTAGCTTTTTAATTAATTTTGGCTTAATTTGTGATCATGGGTTGGTGTTGAAGAAAGTGAGATCGGTTCAATTACTATAATGGGTTGGTGTTACAAGGTTAATTTATATATGTTTAGTAGAAAAAGATTGGAAAATTACATAAACTGATTTATTGTGGTATTATTCTTCTTGTTATAATTATCTTGTGATCTTTGTTTAATATTTGCTTTTAAAAATTAAGGTAATATGCTTTTCTTTTCTTTTTTGCTTTGTTATGAAGAATAATTAATTCAATAAAATGTAAATTATAATGAGTTTGTGTTCCTCTTATTTTTATATTATTATTAGAAATTTAATTAGAACCTAACGAGCATCATAAAAAATGTGATTTCAAACCATATTTGTAAAATGAATTCTTTAATAGAAATGAAAATATTCATTTCCTGACATATATTTATCCATTTCTTTTTTTTCTTTGAGGTACGCAGAGGAAAGTAAATAAAGATTAGATTTATTATAGAACAAAATAAACTTGACCGCCAGCCACATAAAATATAGGTCTTCAAAAAACAGACTTTTCTTGAGAATTATCTTTGAAATAAATGGATTTCAGAAAATTTATCTGCAAAACTAGATTCTCATAAAAATTTATTTAAAATTTTATAATGTCATGCAATTGAATATATTTAAGTTATGTTATCATATATAATTGGTGGAAGTTGCAAACATATATATATATATATATATATTTCATTTAATTCCAAACACAATATAGTGTGACCCCTTCTTGGTTCCCTCCAGAAAAGGGGAAAAAGAAATGAAAGAGAGAGGTCATGTGCTACCCACAATGTCCACTTCCCTCATTTCATTTACGCCTTCTCTTTCAAAATCCAACTAAAGTTCCTCAAAAGTCTAGCCATTCCATTGAAGCTGTTGGGGTCCATAAGCCACCTTTACCTACCAAAATATGGTCTTAAAAATTAACCTTAAATGAGACAACATATATTGGTGCAAGCTAATTTAGTTTCTTCTACGGTGCCCTCTTCTTTGAGCTTTATCTATAGACAGTCTTTATTACTCATCACACTAAAACCCAACAAAAATGTGAAGGTTCGAGTCTATAATAATACGAGAGTAAAGCACCTTCCTAGTAGATGTTTGAAATTGATTTTAGTTTAGAAATCTCGTGGTGGTGTATACTAAAATGGAGCAATATACAAATGGTGTGACGTGGGTCATGCAATTCTTATATGGTGGATGCTGAAAGATGGCAATTTGACTTTATTAGTTTGTGCTATGCTGTGTTAGGCATTTGGCAATTGCATGTTAATACATGTGCTTTGTCTATGTCTAGTTCCTTGTCCTAACGCGTCCAAGTAAGGAAGCAAAACCACATTGATAAAAGAAAAATCAAATTGGTTCCTATATTTTCTCAATTTAACCAACCAAATATAAAATAAACTTTGTAATAATTTTCCATTCACAGTCGTCAGTGATTGGACTGATCCTTTCTAGATTAATCTAGATATGATATGGTCACCCCTGGCTTGACAATTCAAGTAGCAACATATGATATGGTCACCAACTCACTCACCCGCTCTACAAAACCTCTTCAAGTAGCAATTGACATTCAGCAATCAGCACGTCCGCCGCCGTGAATGGTGGGCTGACCATCAAACTTCACTTTCTTTTCTCCAGCTTAATCTGCAGTCTTTTTGTTTTTCCTCTTTTTGACTTTTTAACTCACTCTCCTTTTGCTATTTGATAGTTGAACCCACTTCATCACATCCTAATCTTATCAACCGCGTGAATTTAAAAGGGGAATAAATGATTAAACATATCAATTAAGCAAATAAATTTTGATCTTTTTTAAAAAAAGAAAAGGGGATGATTGTCTCATTTATCTTATAAAAATACCTTTGCGCTTCATTATCAAGTGTGTAAAATGAGATTTTAAATATTATATTAAATTTATATTTTTAATTTAACTATAAATACGTAATTTATTTTGAGATTTACGGATTATAAGATCAAAATTTAAACTTTAATTTTGCAATGGTATGATCCTATCCCAACTAATTTGGGAACAAATGAAGAGGAAATGATAAACCATCTTTCTATGGAGCCCTAATTCATAAAAATAAATAAAATTAGGAAGGTGTAATTGTACAAGCAGTACTCGTGGTGTTGGGTAAGGTAAGGGGTGGGGCCAATTGAGAGATATAATAGTGATCTGTTCGATAATCATTTCCACCCACTATTGTTGCCCACACCGCTGTCTTTTTAACATCATTTTGTCCATTTCATCAACTTTATTAGTACTATTATAAATTATGTTTATGTTCAATAATCATTTCCTCCCTTGTAGTCGTAGGGGAACCTACAGTCTTAATTATATCGCATGCAATCGATTTTCAGTGGGCCAATCCATGCATATACATATTGGGCCAAAAAGCCTGATCGACGATCGCCCACAATTTACTACTATTCATTTGATGGGCTTTTCATTTTAGATTAATGGGCTTTTCTTTAAATTGCTACCAAATCCAACCGCCAATAATGACCATTGACCACGCACTTGCTTGCTTTATCACTGATTCAAATGTATTATTTTACTAATAATTTCGATAATCATATGCTAAATATATTTAGTTTGAACGTCTAGTCATTGTTGATGTAACCAACTAATTAATTATGCCAAACCTTTAATACCAGTACTAGTATAGTTAATTAGAAGAAGAAACATAATACGTGGCGGGTGATTTAGGTAATTGATTATGTCGGCGTCGTAAGGGAAAGGTCAAAGTTTGCTTAACAAAACACCAAAACATTGCTTTTGTGTGCCCATGTCACAGCCACGTGTACACAAATAATAAATAAAAATTAAAAAAAAAAAATTACACACTTGAATTTTTTGGCGTTTACTGATAATGATCTATTATTATTTGTTTTAGTAGATCTACGTGTATATTGATGGGATGGGCCCCTCAACCTATATATGACCCATACATTTGTAGTTTCAGCCTCATTGTTGTCGTTGCCACGGTGAAATGCTAATAAATGGCCATACTAATATTATTAATAAATAACAATGGTTTGAGACACGAATATTTAAACCAGCATTTAAATGAATTTTAAAATGCTAAAAATAATAAATTTTAATAAAAATATATTTCAAAATTTTCTGATACTTAATAAATATCTGATCATAAACTCGGAAAAGCATGAATTTTCCGGTTAATTTCAAGTTGAAGTGTCTAAATGATGTGTCGTTTTAGCTTGATTGTCGGACTATGCAAGATTACAGATACAACAAACAGGTTTAATTTCTTGCCACCACCAACCAATAATAACATAGCTTTAAGTTCTTGTAAAAAAATTCTACCTTCATAAGACGTATGCTATATGGTTTCTTCTCCTAACTTTGAGTTAAAAATTTCAACTAATCAATCGTTAGCAGGTAGCATAGAACTCGTCACCTGAAATTCTGAGTCAATAAAGTGAACGGCCCTCGATCATGATTCCTTATTGAACTTCTCACTCGGGACCGTCGGATTGATTGATTAATTAATTTTGTTTTATACTTCAAATCTGGCGGTAAATTAACGGTTACTCAGTTGTTTTTATAGTTTGAACCAAAGTAACTTCAAAAGCTGCACATCTAAAGTGGGACCCAAGTTTATTGATTAACTCATTTCTATGGAGGAATTTTATGGAAGACTTCAAAGACGAAAATTCAGTTCATTGGTCTTGTCATGTACAATTCTTTCTTTCTTACTAATTGTCTGCAAGAAGTATCATCACCCTTCCATTTCCTTTCCTTGTGGGAGCTGTAGGCATCTATGGCAACCCAGGTAATAGCCATTCCGTTTTTCTTGTTTTTCATAAATCAGTTATTCTGATTCTTGATTGTGTATCTGCAAATTTTGGAATGTTTCTTCTTCTTTTTTTTTTTTTTTTTTTTTTTTTTTTTTTTTTTTCTTACTAATTGATCTGCAAGAAGTATCATCAACCCTTCCATTTTCCCTTTCCCTTGTGGGAGCTGTAGGCATCTAATGGCAACCCAGGTAATAGCCATTCCCGTTTTATCTTGTTTTTCATAAAATGAGTTATTCTGATTCTTGATTGTGTATCTGCAAATTTTGAATGTTTTCTTCTTCTTTTTTTTTTTTTTTTTTTTTTTTTTTTTTTTTTTTTACTTGTAGCTGTGGTGAAAAGAACCTGTTCATAATCATGGGTTTTGTTAGTTCTATCTTTTTGGGGAAAACTTTTTGATGTGTTTGTTTTTGAATTGGGTTAATCTTTTTGTTACTTATGATTTTTTTTTTTTTTTTTTTTTTTTTTTTTTTTTTATTGTACTGTCGGTGAAAAGAACCTGTTCATAATCATGGGTTTTGTTAGTTCTATCTTTTTGGGGAAAACTTTTTGATGTGTTGTTTTTGATGGGTTAATCTTTTGTTACTATATGATTGGTTTTATAAGTGTTTCTGTTTATGGGTGAATGAGATAGATTTTCCTGATATGGCAATTCTAATCATTTCCTAAATGGGCTTAAGGTGTTTAATCATTCCTGATTTGATGAATCACATGGGATTTGGGGGAAACATTTCTGCAGTATATGTGATCAAAGTATGGTGTTTTCTTTTTTCTTTTAAGTGGTTGGTTAGGTACTCAAGTGTCTGTTTGGTCCATTTCATGATTATTATTAGCCTTTTTATTCCATAGCTTTGTCTGCTGCCACCAAATGCAATTAGGAGATAAGAAAAGGAAAAGTGAAAAAACAGTTCTGGTTGCGGCCAAAATGCAATAAAGCTGGAAACTAAACTTTGTTTATCCAAAAACAATGAGGTTGGTTCAATGGAACTGGAGTCTCATCGAGGCCATGAGACTGCAAGTTTGGCTCTAGCAAAAACCAGTTAACTGAAAAAAATGTATGGACAGCAATGTGTTGGATTTTCTGTTGAAAGCTAAATTTTGCAGGATATACTATTCCTGATGAATATAAGTTTTAATTTATATAGATGTTAAAAATTCTTTTCTTGTTTGATGTTTAGAGCAGATGAACTGAGATTCGCATAGTCCTAGCTAGAAATACTAATTTTCTTTCATTGTTTCTTTAAAAATTCTTAACATTACTGGCCTTTCTTTGTAAATCTACCCTACTTTTACCTATGGCTTTGCTCTTTTATTGGAAGGAAAGTATTTCCTCCTGCTAAAAGTGTTAAATTCATACCAATTATTGAACAAGAACTTGGCATTTCAGTTTTCTTCTCTTTTTCCGATTTCTCTGGGTATGAATTAAAGATTCTGGATAGTTAATAAAAACGTTAGTAATGTTGGATTTACTGCAATAATAATAAGTTGACAAATAGCTGCTGTGTTATTTAATGTCTCTTCCAGGAAATTGAGACATCGAGTGGATGGCCACTAGGGCTAGAGATCATGAACATGAGGCTTCAAGTTCGAGTTATGGAAAGTGTACAGGCTGCTCCTGCAGAACTATATTCAAATGCACGCTCGCGATCGCCCAGTTTTTCTTCATTCTCATCCTCCAACCTTGATACTGAGGTGAATTGGCTACTTTTTATTTTTCCAATTTCTTGAATTACTAGTAGGCTAATAGGCTAATTGGTAGTAGCTCAACGATCGAGTGTTTGTTTTATAATATTACAAGATTCCTAACAGAACTTAGGTGAATAGGCTATAAAACTTGTAATATTTGCTTATGCTATTATCCTAACTTTGCTTCCATTTGAATAATTTCTTATGTCAAAACCAAAATTTTGGTTATCTGCGAGCATAGTCCACAGCATCCTTCTTCCAAGACCATAGTGTGTCATTGGGCCGGCTAATCGGAATCCGACCAGGCAATGGAGACTTTTACTTCCCTAGAAGAATTCACTTAGATGAATGGGAAGGGAAATCTGTAAGGTCAGTCAACTCTGAAGTTTCCACAACACACAGATCAGAAATGTCTCAAGGAATTTGCATTCCCCTACTAGAAAAGATGAGCAGAAGCAGGAGCAAAACAAAACGATGAGTTTTAGTGGTAAGGGCGTAACAAAGGGAATAAACACCATTCAATTCTGTTCTGCTATGTTCTGTATTCAGAAGAATCTATTGTACATTGTCAATTGATTTTCTAATTCACACTCAAAATGGAGAGCATTGTTTCTGTTTTTGCATTTATTAATAATTTGATTATGGAATAATAGAAGGACATCAAGAGAGCGGGAAGGCTTTTCGGCCCAATATATACTAACCTTGGTACTATTTATGCCATGGTCGGCCCATTTAACCTTTTCCTTTCACACCGGTTCTCCGAATTGACTCGTTGGGTCGGCCGAGTTTAATAACTATACTTTCAGGTTTAATATAACTATATTGGGTCGGCCCAATATATTAGGTTACGGAATTAATGCATTTATCAAAAAGACAGATGAAATTTTAATTAGATAAACTTCAGAGACTAAATAGTACTTTTATGAAGTATAATGAATGGATTTGGTCTAAACATGATCGAAGGGACCACAATAATCCACGTGAGTTAGATGCATTGAAGTTCTATACACATAGATACACACAAAAGTAAACACCTTTTTAGACCTCCTCTGCAAAACCCCATTGCGTCGCCAAAACCCTCGAAGCTAAGATCTCTACTGGATAATCCCGTTAACTATGTCCGCCACCGCAGCCGCCAGGTCTGTCCTCCGCTCCACAGCCTTCCGAGCAACTAGAATTGCCTCCGGACTCAAACCCGGACCCGGAAGCAAAACAGCTTTCTCTCCATTCCGTACCTCTAACTCTAAGCCAAATACTCTTTCTCAACGTATCTTCAGGTAAAAAATTCAAACCACAACTCAATCTTCTTGAATTAAGAAGAAGTCATGTGCTTTTGAGCTCAAATTTTAATATTTTCTTTTGGGTTTTAAATTTGAAAGGTCACCAATGGAGATAAGCTGCTGTGTGGAGACGATGCTTCCATATCACACTGCAACTGCTTCTGCTTTACTCACTTCAATGATATCCGTCTCGCGCCGCAGCTGTTGGACCCCTGAAGGTAATTATAAATATAAACATGCGTGAATATGTGTTTACTTGCGTGCCTTTTTCATTTTCTGGCATGCAGCATAGTATTGCATTGGTTGGTGATATGGATATACTTTCTGTGGTTGTTTTTTTGTTACTTATTCTCAAACCCTGTGATTATAGCTTTGTGGGGATGTTTAAACTTTCCAATTCGCATTTGGATGAAGCTCATAATATATTGTGTCTTATGGATACACGGGAGTTGAATATTAAAAACCTGATACTTTATAGGATAATATGGAACAGTTGCATAGTTGGGATGGTTTGAAGTGAATGGAAATGAAGCAAAGGTTCTATTTTTAATTGTGCTTCATGGTTTGATTGAGAGTTTGGTTTTTTTGGGGGGATGATGGTAGTTCGCAGGCAGTGACTTGGTTAAGGGAGCTCACTGCAGCTATACCATAAGCAAGTATTTATAGGTAAATGTCACTGCTTATGAGACTTCTCTTGTTGGATTGGAATAGTAATAGAAGGAAAGGGTGTTAAAATCTATCATCTTAGCACTACCGACTCCTTTTTTCTAGGACTTTTCTGTGACTGAAAACGCAGAAGACTGATGGAGACTCTTTATAGAGAAGAAAATTGTAAAACTAATACTAAATTGTTAAGTTAAAAGAATTGCATATATGGCATGCATATCTAACTTGTTAGATACCTTTACTAGTGGTTTTTCTTTTGTTGGAGCCTCGATATAGCAGCTGTCAAACTCTTTTTTCAGATTTATTTTACAAATTTGTCTTCTGATCCTTTGGAAACCCTTTTGTTTTATTAGGTGTCTAGGGAAGGGGGGAACATTGCAGGCCTAGATATATGATTAGTAGCCTATGAGGAAGTCTTCAGTACTGAAACCGTTGTGGTTTGAATCTTGCTTCTTTCTACATCAAGATTTTGGATATTATTCTTTTGAGTAGTCTCATCTGTCTCTGCTTCTCTCCCATGTATTCTTCTTCCTTTTGTAGGGCAATACAAGCCTAGATGAAGACCAAGCAACCAAAGATGGAGTCATTTGGATTCTTTTGTTGTCAACTTTTTCTGGTGTTGGAGAATTTTGTTTTAAGTAGTTACTGAGGAGGTGGCTCTTCTAGAAATAATTTTTAGAGTTGAAATATTTAACTTTTTATCTTCAAATTTCATGGAGTTTGTGAAGTTTATTTGTTCCTAAATCCTCTTTTCTTTATATACTGGAAACAAATAATCTAAGTTGCATATGCAATTGTTTTTTGTTGTCCATGTAACTATTGCACTAGATTTCTGTCGTAGAGAACACCATTTTAGCAAAGGACAAATCAACATACATATCTCAAATTATCTTTCCATCGTAATGCGTAAAATTTGTCATATATTCATGTTGGTTGGTAAAGATGATGTTTCTTTACATATATAGCTCCAATTCCTTGTGAATTTTCATGTTAAAAGAAACTTTAGAACAATTAGATGGATGCAAAAGTATATTATTTCCTGAATGAATCTAAAATGATTCTTTCCTTGCATTTATTTTCATATAATCATATGAGGGTCATACTAATTCGTTGTATTCACTCAGATTGCAATGATGATGTATGATGAATGTCAGAGGGTTCAAGCGAAGTTTTTGTAGATGCACTCAGTGAAAAGGTGGTGAAATAAAGCTTGTCTTAGGGTTTTAGATGTTTCTTGCTGTTTATAAAGCTAAAAACATGGTAAAAGATAATCATATGATTATTTGAGAAATGAAGAAAATGGTATTCTGATTAAGAAAAGATATTTAAGATGCCCTTTTGTTTTCTGAATTTGATCTCCTGTCCTAGAAAACAAGTTTCTTTTGCAGCTACCTTTAGCTCTCATTGGCTTGTACTTATTCTTGCTGCCTTGATTGGAGATATTCTTTATCTATATCTCTTGATTGCCTTTGATTTGGGTTGGAAATAAGTCTTAAAGCTGTTATACGACTTCTTATTGTTGCTTTTAGCAATTTGGCTTGAAGGTAAAATTGTGACTCATTTCTGTTACGGTGCCTCCTGTATTGTTGTAGATGGATGATTGTTCTTTATTTGGATGCGGTGCATTGGTTCGTAGTTTTTCATGGATTTCAATGGACTTTCTTATCTTTGCTTGAGGCATTATTCTCCTCGGTGGAATGAGAAAAGAAAAAAGGCTGTTCTACAAGCATATGGTAGTGGTATCTCGTGGAATGGAAACAGATATGTTTTTGTATTCTATCTTCTGAACATGGATAATAACTGGATTGCATCTTTTTTATGCAAGTAATCTCTCCCACTCTCTCGCGTTGTTCGATTGATAGTCATAAGTTAACTAAGCCTAATAAACGTCAAATCCACTTGGCCTGGTTTAATGAGTGGCGACAATTCTGGGCATTTGTCCTGAACAAGGATGAATAATGTATTTATATATGATGTTTCTTCGATTGGAACCAGGAAGACGCATGCAAAATCAAATATTGCCGGCATTTTCTATCTTCATTCTGTATCCAATAAATAATGTATGAACATAATAAACACTGGTAATATTTATTCGGTTCGATTACTACGTACGACAAACGTTACGAGAAATTAAATAATAGATACAGAGCTGAGCGGAGGCATTTATCCATTGCAAAACACTTTTCATCAAATTATTGCAGGATGTGAAATTCTCAAATGAGGAGGACTAAGGGCCACCCTTATCACATTATGGTAGCAACAAGGACAGTCCACCCACTAGTACCATTAACATTGCATAACGTTACGAAGAATTTGTTCTAAGCCCAAGCATACACGCGTATGAAGGATAAAACATAAGAACTTAAAAAAGATCAGGTTGATTGGTGACAGCTAAGAAACATGAAATATGGAATCAGGATTTAGGGCGGAACATAATAAATAATTAACCACTTAAAAAAAAAAAAGATGATGAGCATAAAGCAAATAGATAACAGGAATTTTACTATTAACACATATTTTGATTCCAAGTTCAGTGTGCGCTGGTTCCCTTCACAAGATAGAAGCAAGTGACAATCCCTTCACCACTTAAATGACGTTAAACAATCCTAATAGATGTTAACAAAGTTAAAATGAAAAGACTAACCAATTTCAGGGACATTTGTATACCAAACCCAACTGTCATTGAAATTATACCTTAATAGCACCCCATTCCACAGGAAGAAATAGTAGAAACAACTACCAGGCTTTTAAATTCACAAAACACTATGGATGTATTAAACTGATGATCTCTACAGCCCTTCCCTCACTCTTCAGCAGCCACAGTCACTAATTCATACTCAACCAGCGACAGATTATTATCCTCTTTTACAACAAATTTGGCAGGTTCAGTGACCTCAATGCGGCCCCATTTGTCAACAGCTAGCCTCATAGAACCCTTAAACATATCAATCTTCGCATTCCGGAGAATAACAGTGGTCCCTGGCTTCATCAAGTCAACTGCAACACATACAGCCATCATTATTATCAATGAAGTATGAGAACTCGACAGTGAGAGTCACGAAGCTTATAACTCATTAGAAATTCTTCTGTTCTTTTTACTCTTTTGGAAGAAATATAAGCAATTAAAACAAAACCAACCAGCTAACAGAGCTCAATTTCCAAATTAACAAAAACTGATGAACCTAGACTACTCCATCAATGCCTTTCATTGCCAAGCTGAAACATATTGGTAACGAAAGCATAGTGACAGACACAAATATGGAAGAAGAAATGCCAAAACACAAGGGAAGAAATTGGAAAGAAATAAACCAAATGACAAAATCAATATACATTAGTACTAACTTTTATCATCTAAAATGTGGAAAAGGTAAATAGGATTTCTGATCCCCAAACAGTTGATTCTTATGTGTTATTTTCTCTACAGGCTGTGAAGGGTAACATAAGCATATGCAGTCAATTCTGAAGCCGTGATCCTTAGCATCAGAGTGTAGAGCAAGTGACCGTCGCTTAACTCACCAAGAAAAAAAAGGAAAAGGAAAATGCATACAATCCTACCAATCTTAAAAGGTTCAATTTCTTAAATCGAGAACCAGAACAGGGATTGAATTGCATTGACAATTTAGCCATTCTTTCAGTGTTCACATACTCTAAAACATATTAATTTCAATTTGGAACTTAACTATCCAAACACCAAGCTAAAATGAGCCCCTAAATTGGAGATTAATATGGAAACCAACACTGTAAAAACACTGAGTCTAAATTGTGTTCGGAAGGCAAAGAGGGGGAAAAGGAAATGAAATCGGTAAAGGCAACTCCAATTTATCACAAGAACGGCTAAACTTAGCATCAAAACAGATAATAGAAACGACCCACCAAAACTTAAAAACTACATAGAACAAGTGCTTGAGTTCATTAAAGCATTAAACCCCAGCCAAATCAACACATCAATCCACATAGAATAAACCAATCGCATACAAAAAAATTAGCAAAGCAAAAACGATCACAAGAACTCTAACTTTTCCACATACACGCATATTTTACATACATTTAAAAGTATAGACACAATTTTTAAACAAATCTATAGATGCCAGTGGTTTTAAAGATAAAAGCAAGAAATGAAGATTATACCTTGATCGTTACGGGCGGTGAAGAGGATCGTGCCAGTCTCATCACCGATGAGACACTCGGCGATGCGGGTATTGCGGAGGCGGTTAGAAGCGGCGGCGGTGGGTCGACCCTTCTGCAAAACAGTGTTGGAGGTCAATACCTTGGCGATCAGGGTATGGCCGTTGGTTCCTGGCTTAAGCTGATCCACTTTAATAAAAACTGGTTTTCTCTTCTCTATCTTGTTTGTGTTTCCCTGCAGCTGCTGATTTGTTGTCGTTGTTGCCATTGATTTTGATTCGGACTTGAAAGCTACGTTCCTGTTTCTGGGTTGAATTAATTTTGTTTACGTTTTAGAGAAAACCCTAAAGACAGCGATCCCAGATTTTCAATTGGAAAGAGAACAACCAGAATTTGTTGGCCACGAAATACTGTTGCCTTTTATACTGCCGTTTTATGCTTTTTACTCGCCGTTTTTAATTTGAAGACGACATGGCGTTTTTTACGAAGCTCACTGGTAGTGGTAGAGTAGTTTAGTCAAAGTCTCAGAGAGCGAAATGTAAAAATGGAATCATTGATTCATTGGAGAAATCAATTTTGGCTGTTACGATGAAATTTATTTTCTGCCTCAAAACGACAGGAGTCCCTTACTGAAAGGTTCGGATGATTTTAGGCATCTTGTCTCAATTTTCTGTCCATCCATTATCGATAGTAATAATATCAATATGCACCTTTTATTTTATTTGTTTTTTCTAATTTTAAAAATATGATATGAAAATGTTTTTTTATCTATTAAAATACATTATTAGTTTTTTATAAGAATAATATTTTTATTTAATATTATATGTGTATACCTTGTTTAGTTATATAAAATTACAGCCAATTCTGTCCCAATTGCTAATGAGGTGAAGAAAATAATTAAAAAATCTATCATGTCCAACCTTGTCATTCATAAACATCAAATCCAAAGACAGAATATATTAATTTCAAAATAAAAAAATATTTATATTATGTTAATTAATAAATAACTTGGACGCCAATTGAGGCTTGAATAATAATTTTACTGCTTGTTATTATTTTTTCTTTCATGAAAATAGAGCAAAGTTTAATAAAAGTTACAAACAAAATTTAAATCATACATAAATTATAAAATAAATATTCACAGTGGTTATATACTCCGACTTATATATTAGATGCTAAATCCCTTCATAAATAAAATAATAAAATAAATATATTGATATATTATGAATATATTTATATAGCAAATTAGTATTTATATTGTTAGGTAAGACTTTATTTACATATAAATGGAAATTTGTGATTATTCCATTTTATTATACAGTAGTAGGTAATAGATAACAAATTTTATTCTTTTCAAAAAAAAAAACAAATTTTATTTAAGGAGAGAAGGAGCAAGTGGCACCGATGATAATGGAAGATTAAATTTTAGGAATCACAAAAAATATATAAACACAAAGCTTGTAATTTTAAAACCACAAAAGATTATCCTAAACAAAGAAAAGAAAAAACAGGAAATGTAGAGGAACGTGCTTTAATTGCAGAGAAAATCCGACATTTGCTGTCATTTTGTTTACGTCATGTCCTGTCATGGCCACATAGCCATTCTCTCTCCTCCTTTAATTCAATCCCCAAAATATTCATTGAATTGAAGCTTCCTCTCATCAACCCCGCGATAACAATACCAATACCAATACCAAACCATCCTCAAAGAACAAGTCAAATACAATACAAACGTATCCTTCTCACTTCTCTATTGTCTTTCTTTCATTGTATTGATTAACTGAAACATTTTGATTCTTACACAGACAAGTCAAACATAGCCAGAAAAAACATATACCAGACAAATTAGAAATCTTTCTTTTTTTTTTCTTTTTCTTTTCTCACCTTAAATTGTTAAAAATTTATTTTGGAAGTGAATAACAGATTATATATTTTGATAATAAAGAGATTCAAATCTGTGATCTTTGAAGGAAAAAAATGGACTCCGATTTCTGGACCTCTCGTCTCGCAGCTGCCAAACGCCAATATACTTTGCAGCACCATCATCAGAGCTCTCACTTAGGTAGGCGTTTTTTTGTATGCTTTTTCTTATTTTATTTTCTGGGTTATGCTTTTTATTATTATTTCTTATTTTATTTTTCTGGGTTTTTTTTCTCCATCTCTGAATGTTTTTTTTTTTTTAATATGTGATTTAGATCGGTTGAGCATCGATGATTTCGAGGTAGAAGACGAGATCCGACCGGATTTCCCATGTCCCTATTGTTACGAGGATTTCGACATCGCTTCACTATGTTCCCATCTCGAAGACGAGCACTCGTGCGAGTCTAAAGTCACAGTAAGTTGAACATTTATATATTTTTCGAATAAAATTATTTGCCGTGTTTTTGCTTATGTACTTGGTTTCCTAACTTGGTTTTTCTTTCCTAAAAATGTGATCTTTTTTGTGTTTAAATTGGTTTCACTTGGTGTTGGGAAAGCCGACTCGATTGGGCTTGCTTTTTTTGGTAACTCACTGTTTACCTTTATGATTCGTAGGTTCACTAAGCCTTTTATTTCCTCTTATTATGGTTTTAATCATTTTGGAGCATTTCCTATATTATGTTTATGGTTTGAAATTTGCTACTTTTTTCCCTTCATAGAAAATAGGTTGAGGGGACCAATTTTTGTTGATACAAATTTGTCTGTGTATGTGCGTGGTCAAGGATTGTTGCTTTTCCATTTTAGGCATGGTGGAATTTTGGAAATGGATGCTTCCTTATTGGATATGCTATGCTGAGAAACAACTGTGCTGGTCCTTGGTTTGCCATAGGCACATGTCTTTGTTGCAATATGGGAAGGGGTACGATTGGCTGTTTGATTCCTTGTTTACATATAAAACAGGCTGTGTGATAGAAACACTCCTATGTTGAAAGTAGTCTAGTAGATTAATTTGCTTGGATTATGTGTTTTTAACTCATGCACGTCTTTGTGGATTGTCGGAGTGAGTTAGTTTCTCTGCATTTTTTTTCCCTGAATAGATCGAATCACTTTTTAATGCTCATTCTGCCCGATCTTCCAATTATGTTGTCTGCTGGGTTTCTGAACTGCAGTTTGCTTGTTAGAGAGGCTATCTATTGAACTGATGTTGTTGGTGATATGATAGAAGAAAGCATACATTGTGTAGCTCTAATGGTCATGATGAGGCTAGTACCTCCTTGAGTAGACCTACCTATGAATATGAAAGAAGATCTGAATATTAGATGAGTAATTTTTTTTTTTTCAGAACTTTCAGTTGAATGCCCCCTACTTGGCTAATTGGTTTCACATTTTTAGTTAGTTCTAAGAGCAAGTAAAAATGTTTGTAGAAGAGATATGAGTGAGGTAAAGGTTCCATGCTTGCAGTTGTAGACAGTGGCCAGAGCTTTTGGTTTCTGCAAGTTTTATTGTGTCAGATTTGCTTTGTTGAATGAATGTCAAAGATGTGGTGGTTGACACAATATTTGAGATAGTGGCTTGTTATTTAATAATTTGAGATTTAAATGAGGATATATATATATATATATATATTTTGAGATTTAAATGAGGATATATATATATATATATATATATTCATTAAGCTTTCTTGCTGAGTAAGAAATTCGGTATCTTCTTTATAAAAATCCTTTCTTATTCTTGGCACTTTCCTACTTTCATTGTGGAAAGGTGTTGTTGCAGTGTTAAAAGGTATAATCAAAGAGAAAAAAAAAAAAAAAATTGAACCTACATTTTATGAAGATCAATTTAAACCACCCCCCCCCCCCCCCCCCCCCCCCCCCCCCTTTTTCCTTTTTTTTTTTTTTTTCCCCTCTCTCTCTCTCTCTCTCGTCTCCTCTCCTCTCTATCTGTCTCTAGACAGCCTGCAATCTTTTCATTCTTCTCTCTCTCTCTCTCTCTCTCTCTCTCTCTCTCTCTCTCTCTAGACAGCCTGCATCTTTCATTCTTTCTCTACAAACCTTTTTATGCCTTTTGCGTATATTTTCAGTCCAAGATGATACCAAGGAAAGAAATAAAATAACTGAATATCTTGATTGTTATTTTTTAAAACTATGGATTGGTGGAGTATGATTTACGTAAAAAGCTTTTGATTCTAATTGATGCTTTTCTAACAGAATTTCATGCTTCATCCACTTTGCCAATGCAGGTATGTCCTATTTGCTCTGTTAAAGTTTCAAGAGACATGCTAAGTCATATCACACTGCAACATGGAAACTTGTTCAAGATATCCTTAAATTGAAAGTTTCATTAGTCTGAAGTTTCTTGTTTTGTTATTAGCATCTTAAAAGGCTTGATCTTTTACCTAATAAGTACCAAGAAAATCTAATTTTTTATTAAGTTTCCTTTAACTAGAGATTACTTGCAGAGACGTCGCAGATTACGTAGAGTTGCAATTCCCAATAGTCAGGCATTGTCTCTTCTAGGTCGAGATCTCCGTGAGGCTCATTTGCAAGTGCTTTTAGGGGGTGGTGCATATAGGTCAAGCAATGGAAATGTTACTAATGCGGCTACTGATCCTTTCCTTTCGTCTCTTATTTTGAATTTCCCTGCATCTGAAGCCGAGGAAATTTCAAAGTCTGTGGTAACAAGTGTGGAAGATACTCCTCCAAGAACTTCAGCGCCAGCATACATGTGGAGATCAAGGTACTGACTACTGATTCCATGTATTTCTTTAATAATAGATGGAGCAAATTGGAAACTAATTTATGCCATTGTTTTACTCTTTCATTCGTTAGAATGAGATATACATAGAAATCAAAAGAAAAAAAAAATTGTCAATATCATTCAGCTCGACTCCTCTGAGTGATCGATCAAAGGGAACTTTTGTTTTAGCATATATATGGAGTTGCATTGCCATTTTAGTTGGGGCTTAGTTTCCCTTTTCTTCATCCTTCATTCCCCAAGAGAGAGAGAGAGAAAAAAAAAAAATCTGGGTGAGTTGGTTTTCTTTTTCCTTTGTACTCTGCTCATCATAAAATGACTCTCTGATTATTTTTTTTCCCCTATTCTGGGGGAGGGGGAGGAAAAAGAACACCCTTCTGTGTTCTTTTATTTTGATTTAGTTGCTTGCTTGTGTGTTCTCTTCTTGGATTCTGACTTAGTTACACTTCAGGAACTCATCCAGGATAAGAAAGATAATGGTCTTGCTATCATTTCTTATCTGCATATATTCTTTCCTCATTGCTGAGTTATTCGATTAGAATAGAATCCAATTAAAAATAGAATCGTCCTAATGCATTATCAAACACTAAGAAACTGTATTTTGGATTTAAATTGACTTTTTGTGTGTGTGGACTTTCTTGCAGTTTGGATCCCTCTTTGACTTTTGAAGAAAGGGAGAAAAGGATGAGACAAGCAACAGGAAGAGCTGGTTTTGTGCAGGACCTGCTTCTATCTACTCTATTAAGCGACTAACAAAAGCAGTAAGTTGTTTAGAAAAATAATTGGATGAGATATAAATTCGTTTCATGAGAGGTAAATGTTGGATGGGATTCTAATTGTTTACGTTATCGACCACTTCAATGTATACCTCATTTGAAATGTTGAAGCAGCCCCAATAATTGCTGGATGATAGATATCTCCTCCTCTGAATTGTACTACCTTCTGCAGAAACAATGATCTTCTGTTCACAGAAGACTTTTAATTTATGAATAGTTTGTCTTGCAAGATAAACTCTTTGAACGCCAATTCACAGCAAAGCATCCATGATCATCATCTTATAGAGCAATGTTACTCCTCTTTCAGTTCCTGCACAAGTGGATAGTGTAGAGGGAGAAGAATGTGTAATGCTTAATTCTGTAATATTTGTTGCCTTTGTTGAGTTCCCTCAAAAGTAAACTATATGGAAGAAATCTGTTAAGTCTTTTCTGTTGGTTACGTTAGAAGCTGATGACATCCTTAACATTTGTGGAATGAAATATTAAAATGACTTTGTAATAATTTTAATATTTAAACTATTTCAAATGAATAATCATCCACATAGATGATACAGAAAAGTGGGATGGATATTCTAAAACAATGTCAAAAAGTTTCTCATCCTCAATTATTAATATTATGCCACTCGAGACCGACAACTGTTGGAAAAAAATTATCAACTTAAGGAAGATTACTCTTGTAACCAAACAAAACTGATGCGTCCCAATTGGACAAGCACCATACTTGTTTAGTATTTTGTCACCTAACGGAGGTTGGCGGCGGCGGGTCGGTCATTACTGAGTCATCATCACTAACCATTTTGTGCCGGTTAACGATTAACAAAAAAAACAGAGGAAGATAAAGGAAAGCTCATTTCCATATTCTATTGGACGGTAAGGTCGGTGTTCCACCACCACCACTACCTCCAATTCTCAACAAATATAAAAAAATACATTAACATAACTTCAAAACTCTACCCTTTATCCACTTCTACTACACGTGGATCAATCTCCCTCCGCCCATCTATAGATAATTTCATCTAACGGTCTCTAATCACCAGAGCTAACTTTAGTCCACTATTTGTCCAATTACGTCCCATCCTGGTCGCAGAAATTAAAAACTAAACACCCCGTTATAATTACACAATTGCCCCTATTTAAGGTTGCTGATATATTAAAAGCGATGGGTTTGAAACTCGACAAAGCTTTCTCTTCTCATCTCGAGGTCTAATTAATAGTCTCTCTGATATTTTTCGAAGACGTGATATGGTGGTGGAGCTTTTCGTTTTGGGTTGCACGGGAGTTGTAATGTTGCTGCATGGAGCTAATTTTTTCTTCCATATTCTTTACCAACCTATGGCCGTTCGTAACCTCAGGTACTTGCTTTCTCCCCAAACCTCAATTTTTGATTTTCGATTTCATTTTTTATCAAAGTTCCAATTTTTATCTTTTTCAAGTGAAAAGATCAAAATTTTAATCTTTTTTATTTTATTTAAAGGATTAATTCTTCATCTAATCGATGATTTCTTATCAATTTCTTCTTGTAATAATATGCTTATGATGGATTTGGTTTCAGTTTTCTGGGTTTCGTTGGATGGTGAAGGAAGAAGAGAGAGGAAGTGGAGATGGGTGATGACTGATTCTTCGCGGAAAGAAAACTAGTAGTACTAATGAAGATTAGTGGTAGCTTGCATCTACGTTGATCTATGTACATTTTTTTTTTTTTTTTTTTTTAATTTAGTGGTAGCTTGCATCTACGTTGATCTATGTACATTTTTTTTTTTTTTTTTTTTGGGGGGGGGGCGAAAATAATAAAGATTTTAGTTTAGATTGACCAAAGCGGTTAAAATTCAACCCAAATTAATAATGGATCACTCACAGATTTTTTTTTTTTTTTTTTTTGGGGGGGGGGCGAAAATAATAAGATTTTAGTTTAGATTGACCAAGCGGTTAAAATTCAACCCCAAATTAATAATGGATCACTCAACAGAGCACTCTACATGAATGTTCGATCTGATTTAATTTTCAGCTTTTGCCTCTTTCAGAGAAATGGCAACTTACGATTTTTCTGGAGTTTATATATATTTCACTCTGTTTTGTCGGATCAAGAAGGTTGGTGGTCAGGTGCAGTGCTTGGTGTTGGTATGCAAATATAATATGGTGGAGGAATTGCGAAAAAGATTAACCGTTTGGTGGAGAATTTGTTATGTGAATCATAATGTCTTGTAATTTTTGCAAGCAATTAGTTAAGAGATCTTTTTCATATGCTCTGTATTTGATGTGTGGGTCAATAGAAAGATCAGTCATTTCCAGTTGTATATCTGTGCCGAATGTCGGTGATCAATCGAGGGAAGACGGTAGGTGGACACTCTGTTTTGTGTTTATGGGTTGCGTGTTCGTGAACATGCATGCAAAATTCAAACTCCGTTGAATTTTAAATTTGAGAACGATGAAAATTTTGCAAATTTCTATTAAAATGGAAATGATGAATTTATGTAGTTGAAGATGACTAAAGCTGGATTTACATTCCTCAAAGTGGAGCTGAAACCAGGCATATTTAGTTGATCTTGAAAATAAATTTGTTAATATGTAGTAGTATCTTTAAATCTATTAAGTAATTAAATAAAATTAATTGGTTACATTAACAATTTTTCTCCAAAAACTATAAAATTTAATTATTCAAATTTAGAAGTTATTACTTCGATGGTTTACCTTAAGATTGGAAGGAAATGAATGCTTAGAAACAGAGAATTCTATTTAAAAAGTAATTACTTTTTAAATGATACTTTTATTCATTATATTATATCAAAGACATTGAGATTATATATATGAATGATGCTATAAAATATGATATAATTCAATATGAATTTCAAAGCAATGCCATTAGATTGAAATTATTCTTGGACGGAATCGCATAACATTCCCAATTTGTGAGCCAAGGTAACCCAAAAATAATCTACTAAATTGCAAGAATTCAGAAAAGAAAACGACTTATCGATTGTTTGCTTACCGTCGTTAGTTATATAGTGAGAAGAGTGCACAAATCCCGACTGGTTTATGATCAAATGGACGATGAACCTCTGTTATCTCCATTCGCTCCAAAAACAGCTCCACCAACCGCATTACCCACTTTTTAGACCCTTCATTCACAAAACCCCAAGCCTCTACTCTAATAAAGTTACTAAATTTTTTGTCCACGCCTCTACTAAATTTATTCATCACCCGCAGATCACTAGTTTCTCAGTCGCAATCCAGAAGTCCAATTTATCCTACACGAAGCTCCTTTCTCAATGTACAGCTTCAAAATCTCTGACTCCGGGCATGGAAATCCATGCCCATGTAATCAAATTCGGCTTAACACAAGACCCCAAAATAAGAAACATTTTGATTAATCTTTACTCGAAGTGCCAGTTTTTTCATTATGCATGGAAACTGGTTGATAAAAGTACTGAACCGGATTTAGTTTCTTGGTCTGCTTTGATTTCTGGATATTCACAAAATGGGTTTGGTAAAGAAGCAATTTTGGCCTTCTATGAGATGCATTTGTTGGGTGTAAAGTGCAACGAATTTACTTTTCCTAGCGTACTTAAGGCTTGTAATATTACCAAGGATTTGTGGCTGGGTAGGCAGGTTCATGGGATTGTGGTGGTAACTGGTTTTGAGAATGATGAGTTTGTCGCAAACAGTTTGGTTGTTTTGTATGCGAAATGTGGGCGGTTAAGGGATGCGAGGAGGATTTTTGAGGCAATCACAGAACGGAGTGTTGTTTCATGGAATGCATTGTTATCTTCTTATGTGCAGAGTGATTCATGCAGAGAAGCAATTGGTTTGTTTGAGGATATGCTTTTGAGTGGAATAAGGCCTAACGAGTTTAGTTTATCCTGTATGATAAACGCTTGCACGGACTTGGAGGATAATGTTCAAGGAAGAAAGGTTCATGGATACTCGATAAAGCTTGCGTATGATTTCGATCTATTCTCAGCAAATGCTCTAGTTGATATGTATGCAAAAGTAGGGACGCTAGAAGAAGCTATCCGTGCTTTTGAGGAAATAGCAAAACCTGATGTTGTTTCTTGGAATGCTATTACTGCCGGTTGTGTTCTTCATGAGTACCATCACTGGGCGTTAGAATTGTTTGGGAAAATGAATAGATCAGGTATTTGCCCTAACATGTTTACCATCTCGATCGCTCTAAAATCTTGTGCTGCAATGGGTCTCAGGGAATTAGGAAGACAGTTGCATTCCAGATTAATAAAGATGGATATAGGATCAGATTCTTTTGTAGGTGCTGGACTCATAGATATGTATTCCAAGTGCGACTTAATGGCTGAAGCGAGATTGGTTTTTAAGTTAATGCCGGAAAAGGACTTGATTGCTTGGAATACTGTGATCAGTGGGTATTCACAAAATGGGGAAGACATTGAAGCTGCCTCTCTTTTTCCTTTGATGTACCAGTGGGGAGTGGGGTTCAACCAAACTACTTTATCAACAGTGCTTAAATCTGTAGCTTGCTTGCAGGATAATCAATTTTGCAGCCAAATTCATGCACTTTCTGTGAAATCAGGGTTTGAATCTGACAGTTACGTTGCAAACAGTCTAATTGATACATACGGCAAATGTGGCTATACAGAAGGTGCAACCAGAGTATTCAAAGAAAGCCCAGTTGTAGATTTGGTGGCATTCACATCTATGATAACGGCTTATTCCCAGGATGGACAAGGTGAAGAAGCTTTAAAGCTATATCTGGAGATGCAAGATAGGAAGATCAAACCGGATTCCTTCCTTTGCAGTTCTCTCTTGAATGCATGTGCAAATTTGTCGGCATATGAACAAGGGAAACAAGTTCATGTTCATGTCTTGAAGTTTGGATTCATATCAGATATTTTTGCTGGGAATTCACTTGTTAACATGTATGCCAAATGTGGAAGCATAGATGACGCTGACCTCGCTTTCTCTGAAATACCTGAGAGAGGAATAGTATCATGGTCTGCAATGATTGGAGGGCTTGCTCAACATGGGCATGCGAAAGAAGCCCTCCAATTGTTCAATCAGATGCTGAAAGATGGAGTTCGTCCTAATCACATAACTCTTGTGAGTGTACTTTGTGCATGCAATCATGCAGGTTTGGTTGCTGAAGCTCAACAATATTTCAAATCAATGGAAACGTTGTTCGGTTTTGAACCAATGCAAGAACATTATGCTTGTATGATTGATCTCCTTGGTCGAGCAGGAAAATTAGACGAGGCAATGGAGCTTGTAAATATAATGCCATTTCAAGCTAATGCTTCAGTGTGGGGAGCCCTTCTTGGTGCTGCAAGAATCCATAAGAATGTTGAGCTTGGAGAACAAGCTGCCGAGATGCTTTTTGCCCTGCAACCTGAGAAATCAGGTACCCATGTCCTGCTTGCGAACATTTATGCAGCAGCTGGCATGTGGAGTGATGTTGCAAAGGTGAGAAGACTCATGAAGGACAGCAGCCTGAAGAAGGAACCTGGCATGAGTTGGATTGAGGTGAAAGACAAGGTATACACATTTATAGTAGGAGATAGAAGCCATTCTAGAAGTAAGGAAATTTATGCAAAGCTTGATGAGCTAAGCGACCTCTTAAATAAAGCCGGCTATGCCCCTATGATAGAAATTGACCTGCATGATGTTGAACGAAATGAGAAAGAGCAGCTTCTATTCCACCACAGTGAGAAACTTGCAGTTGCTTTTGGGTTGATTGCCACACCGCCGGGAGCTCCCATTAGGGTGAAAAAGAATCTTCGAATCTGTGTGGATTGCCATACTGTATTCAAGTACATTTGCAAAATTGTCTCGAGGGAGATTATTGTGAGAGACATAAACAGATTCCACCATTTCAGAGATGGCTTCTGTTCTTGCGGAGATTATTGGTAGAATTTGAGAGTAGTCTATTGTTCATTCATTGTTCACTAACTCCTCCCCATACATTATTTAACATTTAGGCATACTGACAAAGGCGTTTTTCTGGTTTTTTTTCCCCCTCAACTATATTTATTTGATGAAGATGAATTTTGTATTACATTTAATTTTTTAACTCATATGTTGTTTATCAAAAATGAAGTTCCTACGTTTTGAGATTGATTGCAAGAATCAGTTCAATTTAAAGAATAAACCTTTATATTTAGGTTGGTTATTTGCTGCCTGCCCTATTTTCATTGCAGATATTGATGAATTAAACTATCTTGTTGTAAATAAACTCCACCTTTACTAGTTGCTGGTAGCTTTTCCTTATTTATCGGCACTTATATGTCCCATAACACTCTGTTAATTTAAGGTCGAAGCGTGCTCGGAGCAACATGATTTACTGTCAGTTTTATTATTTTTGGTTGCACCAGAAGATAAATTACTAATTACCAAACACATGATGGAAGATTCTTATTTGCCAGTAGCTTTGCACCAAACAACATCCATTGAAGTCGTTTCTTTAAGAATCGGAATTTGAGAAAATAATTGCACACGTATCATTTACAACAGAATACAGATTGTTATATTTGTTCTCGAGTGAGCTTTCTCACATCAACATCATCGACTCCTCCGACATTATAGCTAACAAGGAATACTTGGCTTTGAGTGAGATTCTACCACCTTCTACACAAAGCTTTGCTCCAGTTACCACCCAATATCCAGGCAAGTCCTCTGGACCTCTCACCATTTCCTTGGTATCCACAAAATTTGACATTTTTGGAGTATTTGTTGGTGGACCTCCAGGAAAAACTGCAGAATTCACATCTACTTTTACTTGCTTTGCAGTTGGATTCAGTCCGGCACTGAATCTTGTACTAATTAACATTGAGAAAACCCCTGATTTTCGTGACAAAGATGAAGGTCCATCCCATTCTGACCTACGGATCCTTGCTGATGCCACCATTGAGAATCCTAGCCTTAAGAACAGAATTTTCTTCATACCAATAACCTTAACCTCAAACCAAGCCCTTGTCACAATAAAAGCAGAGTCATCAATGCGGGCATCATTATACTGCACCGGAGCAGTACAAACATGTGAAAAGATGCTCCAGTTTACAGGTTCAAAGTAGCCTCGTTCCACAGGTTCATCAATTGGCTCATAACTATGATCGTCTGACAGTTGGACAATATTGGGAAGAGTGGAGAGATGCTGGAGATGGATAGCCAAATGGTCACTTCTCTTACCTTCCAAGTATAAGCGGATTCCTGTCACTGGCCGATTTCCAGAATCAACCTGTAAAGCATGGATTTATAAAACAGGAAAAAGTTAGCAGGTTAATAAAACCAGAAAGATGTTCATTTGTGAAATTCTGTAAAAAGCATATTTTAAGAGTTCAATATCAAATAAATAAATAGCAATATAATGTTCTCGCTTTCTAAGGCAATATCTCTGTGGGGGCTATGAAGATGCTAAACATTACATGATAACCCAGTAACCTTAAATGTTCCTTTCCCTCCACCCCAAGGTCCTAGCAACAACTAGAAAAAAAAAAAAATCTCGAATCAATTCAAATCTTCATATTCTATGTGTTGCAATACAGCAATCACCTGCATAGTATTGACGTAGAGCTTAGGGCCCATAAAGGTAAACCGAAGACAGGGGGTTGCTTGTTTTCTGCGCTTAAGAGCAAGAGGCAGATCACCATATACTGGAGCCCATTGCCGAGGTACCTGAAACTCAAGAAACTGATGAAGTTCCTCTATGGGTGGTTTGTCTGCAAGATTCAATTACACATCAAACTATTATCTTAGGAATACAAAGTTGTGATGAAACTTGAATGCAACAATGTTTCAGATCATAATGCATTTGTTAAAACCCTACAAGTAGTCCCAGTTAACAGAACATTTAGAAGATCATCACCTAGCAAAATGTCAATCAAATGTGTGCATCTATTATTCTCCATAAGACCTGCCTACAAGTCCTCTAACATCTAGTTGAATACATGCTCCAACATAAACATACATGGAGTGATTAGGCTAACCAATTGTATAGCAAGACTGGCCGAATGTCAAAACCTAATGGCTAAGATGTACATTGTATGGCTACAAGCCACTATGAACCAAGAGCTAGGATTTGCCTGAAACCAATCCAGTATATCTAGTTTGCAGTGTGATATCCAAATATATAGTTAAAATTACAGCCCTGATTTACTGTATAACTTGGACTACACTACATGTAATTCTTTGAATGCAGGATCACACCATTGTTGGATAACCAATATCTTATGGAAACCAAATTAATAATAGAGAAATATGTACGCACATCGAAGGTAAAGATTCACTGCATGACTTAAAAATCCACTGCCTCGGACACCACTCAAGAGAGAAGTTATAGGCACAAAGGACATTGAAATAACATTTGGCGACTGTGATATAGTTGAGAGCCATTGATTGTGACTTTGACCAATATCTACACCTCCCCTTCGAATAGAAATGCTCAGTATATCCTGAAAAGAATGAATAAATCAACCAAAAATCTTGGTCTGTTCAGTGCAGCTTGTCCCATGGGGCATATTCAGCCGTTGCATTACAACTATTTACCTCATTCTTTATGGGAGTAATGACAGGTGGCCTAATTGAAGTAGCAAATCCTCGTTGGAGATCCCATGGATCTTTCTCCTGAATTGATAAATAGGAATAGCATCTTTAAAAGGGGCATTCATTGTTATCTGTCCAAATTACATTTCAATAACTTTATTTTAAAACCAAAGATATTAAGAAATTATTCCCAGGACACTCAATATTAACTTGATCTCATGCTTAAATCTGAGTTGCCACCACTATGCTTATTGCTTTCTCTATTGCTCGTAATGAAAATTAGAAGTGTAGATTCCAAAAAGTATCAAATACACACTGTTGATTTCAGTCAACTTAGTTCCCTTGACGAATGTAAAAGTCAATTTTCAACGAAAATGAAAAATGAATGATGAATAGAAATTTTGAAAGCAAAAAAATGGTTTTAGTGCAAAACTGCTGATAAAGCTCCTAGAAGACGAATAAAGTGCCTCATTAAATTCTACTAGCAGCAGTTACAAAATGAAATAAGAAAGAGAAACAGTAAATAACAGAGAGAAGTTTGATAAGGAATGGAGTTGTTGATTTAGCTTTACATATAAAGTTTAATGATTTGACTTGGAGCAGATAGTTTTAGCGTCAAAAAAGTGAGCAGTTAAGAAAGCTTGCTGCATACTTCTGCAGCCATGATAAAGTTAGCATTTTTCTTCCAAGTTCATAATAATTATATCCAAGTCCTTTTTAGAAGACTTCCAGGCCAAGAAGTAAAAAAACAGCAGCTAGATGCCTGAGAAAGTGACATTCAGACAATTTCCAATGGACTTCTCTTTACAGGTCCAGTCATTTGGTAACACCTTCTTCTGTCTACATCGTCTGATATTTGTAATGTATCATACATCTTATATCAAGGAAAAAAAATGATCCTCATAGTTATCATAATTTGCACTTTCATATACCTTTGATTGTCTTGACAGTTCTGTGGCATTTCCCTCAGAAAATCTCTCATCAGCTAATTGCTTTAAAATTTTCTGCATTTCAGGAGGCTGAGCATTTGACTTGTGCAACTGCTTCATGTGTATGACATCTTTACCTCCCATCTTTACCCCAACAACAATATGAGTACCGTATTTCTCAATGAATCTGAAAAGTCACACAATCAATAAATTGGCATGTCAGTAGAAAAGCAGTTAGTTACTTTGCTTCAGCCGAAACTCATATGCAAGCATTATAACTTCTCATAATTCTTTTCATATAGGGGCTAATAGGTGTAGACAGAGTTGTCAATTCAGATGATGACTTCATTTATATATAAGTCACACAATCAAGTTAAATTGGCATGTCAGAGTAGAAAAGCAGTGAGTTACTATTTGCTTCAGCCGAAACTCATATGCAAGCATTTATTATTTGATCTTTTCTTTTTTTTGTTTGCCGTTTCATATTAGGGGCTAAATAGGTAGTAGGACAGAGTTGTCATTCAGTGATGACTATTCATTTTATAAATAGTTGATATATATATATATATATATCTGATCGTGCAGTCTATATATCTGATCGTGCAGTCTCATCAGCCTATTTCAATTATTAGGGAATATTAGTTACTTTAAGGGCTTACTTAAACTGTGTGAAGGTAATCTGTCACTTGGTCTTTAAATTGTATCTAACTTGAATTGTTTTATTTTCATATACGTTTTATTCCTACAGGCTATAACTAAAAAGGTTATGAATCATTTATTAGTTTCAACACAGAAACACACATTGTTACAGAAACTTGGCTCAGTTATCTAAATCCAACTCCAACACACAAAGTCACAAATGTAAAGGACACTGGGAAGTATTTAAGGCTCAAAATGTTTATCTTTGTAACATTTTGCATGTTATTCAAATTAGAGAAGCAATTATATGTAAATTGAGATGAGCTTTGAGCATTAAAGAACTTACTCAGCAAGAGCAGCAGCGTCCCATGAAGTAGGCACTTCTTGTTTCAACTGCTCAGACAAGGTTAAATGGGATCTTTCCAACTCAATGTTGTATAAAGTTATGAACCAACCGTCATAAGCAAGGTTTTTCACGGAAGATGCATCCTTCTGCCAGCATCCCCTGAAGTCAAACATCGCATTAAATAGTCCTGAAGGAATTTTACCTGACAAAGAAAGATCCTGATTGAACTTCTCCGTCATCTACAATAAAATGTGTATAGGCTGAGTCAGACAAAATTACAAATTATAATAAGAATCATAAACAATCTTTACTCCTTGTTTAATATGGAGAGATTGGAAATTTCGGATTGATTTACAAACAGTAGAACTTGGTATGATGATGTTGAATCCCTAATGAATCCCACAAAATTCCATGGAATTCATTTATATCAATTAAAGAAATGGATTATCAGTTTTACCAAACAAATCGAAATGGACAATTATACAAATTTCAGCAATTTCAGTATATTATCCAAATCAAAATCAGCTTCTTTTTATAAGTATTGAGTTGACCAAATTGCACACCAAACACTTGGAAAAAAAAAAAAAAAAAAAAAAAAAAACACTTGGAAAAAAAAAAAAAAAAAAAAAAAAGGAAAAGAACAAACAGCACTGCCTGAAAAGCAAACATTGTACGCCCTAATTTACACTAAATCTGAAAAAAAAAAAAAAAAAAAAGGAAAAAGAACAACAGGCACTTCCTGAAAGCAACTGTCCTCCCTAATTTAACACTAAATCTTGAAAAACTTTAAAAAAAAAAAAAAATCAAACACAAAAGTGAGTATATTTACCTGATTAAAAGAGAGAACATCAGAGCGGAACCTAGTACGCTCTCCCTTATCGCACTTGACTGCACTGGAAACGTTTGGAACAATAATCCCACCAGGAACAACGAGGTCGCGGGTAAGAGTCGGGTCAAGCTCAATCAATCTGGACCCTAAAGGACCAGGCTTGCAAGCAGACAATCTGATATCACAAGTCAAATCGTAGCCAAATCCAATAACAGAGACCGCCTTATCCGCAGCGGATTTGGGGTCGAGGCGATTAAAAGCCATGGAGGAGGAATCAGACGGCGGAGATCGGCACAAGAAACTGGGATTTCTGGGATATTACGAAAGAACAGTGTTTTACAGTTCGTTAGGGTTTTAGTTAGTGGAGTTGTCAACGAATTGAAGAGAAGACCCATTGAAGTAGTCTTTCGTTTAAGAGAGGGAGGTAGACTTCAATTAGCTGTTGGCTGTTGGATTTTTTTTTTTTCTTTTCTTTTTTTTTTTTAGCAACTGACAAAAACGACTTTTGAAGAGGTTTTCTTACTTTGAATTTTTGACTTGAAGAGTTTTGTTAGTGTAGACGCAAGCAACAAATTGGCGGCTGTGTTTTGGGCTTCCGCCACGTGCAGCATGTAGTTAAAGTTAGTCCATTTCCATAACCCTTTTTCCCGCAATATGACGTTTACCAGGAAAACCGAATAAAACGGTTTACTTATTACTGTTTATGGAATAGTTCTTGGTTTGGTTTTAGTACTGCAGGTGAGTTACGTCCCCGATAAACTGTTCAAAACTTGGTTAAAAAAAATATACTGCGAATCAGTTATTAACATATTCAAGTTGAGTTTAAACCTGAAAATGAATACCATTAAAATAATATGAAATGCAAATAGTAATAATAATACCATCAAGTACCGAGACATATGTGATGATATGATTTAGATTTCTTTTACTTTAAATAAAAGTCTCGAGTTCAAGATATAAGTTAAAAGACTCAGAAAGAAAGGGTTTGACAATTCAAAAACATACCCGATATAAATCTAGATTAATTAATGTATTAGGCTTCAGACACCAGATGTTTAAAAATCAATAATATCATTAATCAGTAATTTAACCCATCAATGGCGGATGTGCTGAATTGCCGACTCGAAGTTAATCGCAGTTGAAGTCTTAGATCCAAGGTGGACTCAAAACTTTTCGAGTTATGATTTTGGGGATGTTTATTTAGGGCCAAAAGCCCAACATTGCAATGACATGACTCTAGGCCCATTCTCGAATAGCTAGTCTCATAGACCCAATTTTTCTTAAAGAAAGAGCTGTTGAGTACCAAAAAATTGGTGCAGTCAACTCTAGCATACAATGATGTACGGACAAAGACAGTGGATTTTTCTTTAATTAATTTTTTTTTTTTTTTTTAAAGTAAGAGATCCATTTCTGATATTAAATTATGGTTTCTTAATATGATCTGTGAATGTAAAAGCAAATAGATTTTTTTATTAATTATGTGAATTCTATTAAAATCTTGCTCAAAACTCTTTGGAACTGAATTGCGTAATTTTAATTACTTCCTCCATCTTATATGTAAATTAAATTTTATTTTATTTATTCTATATTTCTTTCTTTAAAATGAACAATTTGTAATATATTTTAAATATGGTACTCTAATAAATATTATTGCCTTGATTATTGTATTTGAAAAATATTTTGATTTGTTTATGAATGACTTATACCAAAACAACAACGCGGTTGGTTGACGTAATTAGCAAAACCAAAACCACATGTCTTGACATGACTTTGATGAGTTTTACTAATTCAATGTTTGTGATGTTACGGACAATACACAATTTGAGGTTTGTTTCCATTTCTTTAAAACAAAACAAACACACTTTAAACACGCTTGAATATAAATAATATATTAAAAAAAAAAAAAAAAAAAAAACATATCTTTTAAAACAAAACAAACAACACTTTAAAACACGCTGAACTATAAAAATATAATTAAAAAAAAAAAAAAAAAAAAAAAAAAAAAAAAAAAAACTAAAGATTTCCCCAGTTGTTGACACAAACTTGTCTTTGATTGAACATTGGAAATGAGCATGGAAAAAATGGCTATGGCTGCTGAGAGTGGGGGTGAACTGGATCTTTTATAGGATTTGTTTGCTTTTCTTTTTTATATGGCTGTTTAATCAATGTCTAATGATTTAAGAAAGAAAATTGCCAAAAAGAAATTCCAATCGTTCAATATGGTTAGAGAAATAGAAATCCTATAAATAATTTTAATTTTATTTTTCTCAAAAAAAAAAAAAAAAAAAAAAAAAAAAACCTAAAGATTTCCAGTTTTGAACAACTTGTCTTTGATTGAACATTGAAAGAGCATGGAAAATGGCTAGGCTGCTGAGAGTGGTGTGAACGGGATCTTTTATTAGATTTGTTGCTTCTTTTTTATGGATGTTTAATCCAATGTCTCATGATTAAGAAGAAAATGCCAAAAAGAAATTCCAATCGTTCAATTTAGAGAAATAGAAATCTATAAATAATTTAATTTTTTTTCTTCTTTTGATAAAAAAAAAAAAAAAGAAAAAACTTTCTTAAATTTAGATTATATAGTAATGTAGCTAGCTAAAGCTGATAGAATTTATGGACATTACAATGATTGTTTTGTTGATATTTATTTTTTAGTTTATAGATTAAAATGGAATTTAGGGTATTTGACTGTGACTAAGAAAAGAATGGTATCAAACAAGTCCAAGTAAATTAATAGTCAACACGCTACATTTGACTATGAATGTGAGCATATAAAAGGTTTCACATCACTTTCATAAATCCAAATTTAAAATGCATATGTTAGTGGCAGCCATTTCTTGCTTTCCCACCTTTGACATTTACAACCCCAAAACTCCAATTTTCACATCCTGTTTTTTCCTCTCTCTCTTTCTTTATGATTCACATTTCTTAAGCATCGAAGTGATGACTGGAATATAAATCTATTGTCATATCAAATCAATTATTATATCAATTAATATTTTTAGGTAAATTTTACTTATAATATCATAATCTTAAAATTTAAAATCATTTCTGCGGATAAAATTTTACTTAAATGCCATTTTAGTTCAAATATAAAAATTAAGGAGTAGAAATGAGTAATAAAAAGAATGAGTGGTAAACGTTGCTTCCACGGTGGCTACACCATACATTAAACAGTGCAATTAAGGACAGCCACAGGTGGCGGCATTTCTATTCTAAAAGCGACGCCTGTCAATGTGTTTCATGTTTGTTACCTCACCTGCACAAATACAATGCCTCTAGACCCATTTGCTTTGCTGTATTTCTAGAGATCTCAAGTTTAATTTTATATATATATATTTTTTTTAAGTCAATTTGGACACGTGGAATTTTCTTTCTTTGTTAGATTTCCGACAGCCAAAATATTTGTGCAGACTTGTTTGGATTTTTTACAGCTTGAAATTTTAGAAAATCATGGGCAGCCAAGATTAGGTGTATCTATTATACGGCGTTTATAATATTTTTCTTCTTCTTCTTCTTCTTCTTCTAGGAAGCATTTATATTATTATTATAATAGAAATATAATATTGATTTGTGGATTATCTAGATAGTGATACTTTGTATCTTAACTACTAATATTCTTACCAATCATACATGCTTCTACATAGAATCATCCCCAAAAATGAAAAGTTTAGTTCATAGAGTCTAACGTGCATTATTTTTATTATTATTATTATTATTATATATTAAAAAAATATTAATTATTATTCTTTAAAATATTTATAAAAAACTAATTCAAAACAGCTTATATTTTAAAATAGAATCTAATTAGTTGGCTAGGAAGGTGGAGAGGAAGTCAGAATCAATGAAACAAATTAATGTCATAACTCCCACATTGAACACATTGGACCTACCGTTTAGCCTTTGATATTTGGCTCTTACTGAATGGCGTTATCTTAATAGTCAAATATGAATACAACAAAACTTTTGGGCTTTAATTGCTTATTTTCAACTGTTTTTATAAGGCAAGCACCTCCTCACTTGCCAACTCTATTGCCAAATGCCGGCATTTTTTACATTAAAGATAAATAAATATTGCTGGTGATTAGGTAACATGATAGGCAATCAAGAATTGTTATTGCCGTTTTAGCTTTTTCATACTAGGTAGAATATTAATTAAAATAATTATATTATATTAGTACTTTGTGATCTTTGATTTGCCTAATATACTATATGTTCCATTTTAATAGTAATAAATAAATATTTTATATTATTTTATTTTAAGTGTTTATATAAAATTTTGAGAGTATATTATTTTTTTTTTCAATTTTACATATATATTTATTAGGTGTTTTCTAACAAAATTAAATGAGGAGGAAGAACAATTTAGACGTTCAACTGTATAATTTTAAAAAATTAATAGATTTCAATCATTGTTTTAATGATTGTGAAAAAAAATTAAATATTACTATTAAAATAGAACGGAATAACAATTTATTGTAAACTTTACTGATAAAGTATACGGTTAGAAATTTGAAATGTTACTGTTAAGAGGGATTTTACAATTTATTTTGACCCAACCGTGAAACATGTGTACGTGAAAAAATAAATTCATTTTTAATCCCCCAATTATTAGGTAAATTAATTTTAAATACCAGAAATAAATATTGGCACGTAGATAAGGTGATTAAGAAGAAAGGTACGTGGTGGTTAAATGGGGAAGGAAGAGCAAATGGAGTGGGAAGGAAGGAGCGTGAAGTACACGAAAGAGAAAAGTAAGGTGAGAGAATGAAAGTTGTCGGTTGAAATTGAAACCGGGTGTCAGAAATCATGTGGTAGCAGAAGTTAGGTCTCTAGGCTTTGGGCATTGCACACACTTATGGGACAAAGGACGCGTGACGATATTTGATTGGTTATAGATCGAACTTCCTTCTTGTTGGTCCACACGAGCGGTTCAAAGGGTTAGATAAAGGCGTGAGCTTAAAAAAGCCTGTAAAAAGGACAGAGAGAGAGAGAGAGAACAAACCAACCAAAGCAGCCATATCTCTCTCTCTCTCTCTCTCTCTAATTCAATCTAATCAAAAACCGATCCAAGTCACGCGGCGAGATAGCAGAATATGCCGACAACTTGTTCAACTATTTTTTTACCACTTTCCCGTTATTTCCCCTCTACCTCACGCGCTCCTCTAATGATCGTGCTCTGAAGTACTTGCTTCATCATTGACTAGTATGTTTACTGTTTGATCACGCGCTTAGTAAGAGAGTGTGAGAAGTAGACAACGCTACCGCACCCAATGCACTCTGCGTTTACAGCCCTTGGATAATGATAATGATGATGATACCCCGTTTTTATGGTCCTTTGCTATCTCGACATCCCACATGCCACGTAATCTTCCATCCCGCAGCCGCCCCTCTCAGTCAAATCACTCGTTGACTGCGTGCCCCCACCTTCAATTCCTCGCCGATTCCTCCCTTACCCCACGCACTCTCTATATAAAACCACCCTTTCTCCCTTCCCTCTCCTAGCTATCAGCTCCTCTCGTTTTCATTTTCGCTTAATTGAGAAAAAAAGAACCGACACTTACTACCCTTAATATCGTTAAATGGCGCCGAGAGAGAAGACGGCGGCCGTTAAACCTAACGGTAGCTGCGGCGGCGGTGCTGCTGCTGTTAAGGAGGTGCATTTTAGGGGGGTGAGGAAGAGGCCGTGGGGTAGATATGCCGCCGAGATCAGAGATCCTGGCAAAAAGAGCCGAGTCTGGCTCGGCACCTTTGACACGGCAGAGGAAGCTGCTCGTGCTTATGACGCCGCCGCTCGTGAATTCCGGGGCGCTAAAGCCAAGACTAATTTCCCGTTGGCCAGCGAAAATGTGAACAAGAATATTATTTTAAACAAGAAGATTGATACCGGAGCAAACAATCCGAGCCCGAGCCCCAGTAGCACCGTGGAGTCGTCGAGCCGGGAGACACCTGCTATGATGATGGAATCCTCATCTCCCTTAGATCTTAATCTGGGTCCATCGGCCGCCGTCAGGTTCCCTTTCCAGCCTATACCGGCGGTTGGCGGTGTTTTTACACCGCCGGTGGTCAATCATCAACACGTCCTTTATTTTGATGCGATGATGAAGAGTCAGTATCAGCGGTTGTTCTTTGATCAACAGCATCATCTCCATCATCAGGCGATCTTTAGCGCTGTGAATGGCGGTGGGGTCCAGAGTGATTCTGATTCATCCTCAGTCATTGATTTGAACCAACAGGAGATCAACCCGCCGCGCAGAAATCTTGATTTCGATCTCAATCTCCCTCCAAAACCGGAAATTGCGTGATTTTTTTGGCCGGAGATGACGAACCTCCAAGCGTTTCCAATAATTATTTTCCTTTTCTCATGGAAATTTATTTTTTTTCCTATTTTTCTCAGATAGGAATTAAATTGGACTTAGAAAAAACAAAATCCCCCCCAAAAAAGCAAAGAGCTTTGTTTTGTCATCTATTTGGGTTTTTTTAATCCCTGTGTATACGTAGTTGCTGAAAGCCTTTTTGCAACAGAGAGTTTCTCTTTGTTGTTGATAATTAGTTAAATCACTGTATCACCTTTTTCTTTCTATAATCGAGTAATATTAATCATTGGATTAACAAGAATATTATCCTTAACCCTTTTTCCTGTTCAATTTATATATCCTCGCCGGCGAATTTAGCCGGAATTTACTGGGGCAACATATCGGCGTTGGTGTTTGTGTCAGTAATAGCAACGCTTAAGATTCGTGGGGAAACGGTGTTGATAGCTAACACTAGTACTGGTCGCCACGTGGCTTTCTGTGTTCATTCAGAGGAATAATATACATTTAATAGTATAATATTGGTAGCAGCCGACTTGCCGTCTTGTGTATTTTAAAATTTAAATTTTTTTATACTATAGAACTACGTTGAACGATGATCCATAGGTTGCGTTTAGAGATGAAGCGATGTAAATGTAATACCTACTTATTTTCCCTAATATGGGAGAATATCACTGTTTAAAGGAATGTAATTATCTTTACTAATATTTGAAAAGCAACTGATTTTACTGTCAAAAGTCCTTTTACTGGGTTCGAGTACTATTTACCATTCATTAATTATGATTAGGAAGCAAGAGCATATTGTTAAAATGATAATTGTTTACTGATCCAATATTATTTGTCCATTGATATAAGAAAAATATTAAATTAAATGTATATTAATAGGATCATTATCCTTACAAAATTAATGTAATATGATCACAGCACACTAATGATAAAAGAAAAACAGTGGTTTGGTCTACTTCTACTTGTCAGCACAGGCGCGTGAGATGACAAGAAAGCGGGTTACAAGGTGAGAGACCGAAAGGCAGTGCTATGTTGACTGAGTAATTCTCGAGATTCGTGTATGGACTGCACGTGTTCGAAGGAGAGAGTGTGTGGATTCATTTTATTTTTTTATTAGAAAAAGTAGGTTATGGAGACAAGAAGGGGGCCCAGGTGGACGCGGGCGCTGGAAATGGAAGTGGGGAAGCGCGGCTGCCGCTTTTGGTGGGTCCCGATCTTTGGTCGTCGATATCTATGCACAAGATTTCGCTTTTCTTTTTTTTTTTTTTTAATAAAAAAAAGTTCGATATTTTTAATAATTAACTAATCGTTCACGTAATAACCTTATTTAAATTGTTAATCACGTCGAATTAAAACTTTTTTTCCGCGTGTGAGCTCTATATAAAGAAAAGGATAACCTTTGGAGGAAATTGACGATTACTTTGTGATTAGGTGCCTAATTCCATTGTCTTGTCACTTCTTTCTTGTCATTTGTATTAATAATTTTCAAGAGAACTATGTCTACTTGAAACGATTACCTCTATTTATCCAAAAACTGGTCTTTTATTTAATAAGGTTCGAATTATAAAATAATTATTATATTCTTTAATTTTTATTGAGAAAATATATATAATTCACTGTGCTCTCAATAAATGAAAATTTCATGTATTTTAAAACATATCTGAATCTCCATTGGAAGACAGAAAAAAATGCTTTAAGAAACGTTTTTTTTTTCATAAATTATAATAATATCAGTGGAAAAGATTTTAATTCGATATTTAAAATAATATAATAATATTTAATTAGGATTTATATGATTAATTTTATGATTTTGATATGGGTACTAAATTTGATATTTAAAATATATAAATTTTTTTTTTTTTTACTTTACAAACAATCATATTTATTTTAGATGCATATATGTGTTTTTACATTCCAATAAAATTTAAAGTTCATTCATAATTTTTCTCCTATCAACTTATTCATTATCTTTTATCTTTCATTCATCATTAATTTTGTCCTATTTCCTTTTAATTTGCACATTAGGTATATTAATTTAATTTTCTTTTAATATTTTAATTGATTATCTTTTAATTCAACCATGAAAAATTATGGAAATATTAAGTTTAGTATATATAATAATGCGAAAAATATATTAAGAACAATAATTTGATCAATGTTAATTTATTATTATGAATATAGAAAAAAAAGGTTCAACCTTTTATAGTTATAAATAAATGTAATGCACGGTGAAGCTGACGCATGGGAAGATTTGGAAAATGCATTGTATAGACTCCATAGCAATGATTGATAGTTTTTTTGAATAATTTAAGCTGAAAAGTACGGCGCAGAGTAGCCGTGTGGCAAGGCGACGTGTCCGATACAGACAGACAGTTTGCGCCAGCGGTGAGCGTTAATTAAGCTTTTCAAGATTCCCCCACCAATTCAGATGGCAGATTTGCCTATTGATACGCCACGTTTCGCGCCCGATAGCACCCAAAAATATATTATAAAAAAAAAACAACCGCCGAAATTAAAATAATCATAAATAAAGAAAAGGGTTAGGTGTGGATGTGGTGGTGGGTGCAGGGTGTGGGCCGGCCGGCCGGCTGGCTGGCTGCTGGCTTTGCTGCATTTTTAAGTGGACATGTGTGCCTCTGGAGGTGACACTGACACCCCTTTCTATCTATTCCTCTGCGTAATTTAGCAGCTCATTTTAGAACTTTTGGTTCTAGAAGGCTCCACTACTACTAGTTGGCCGCCCTCTCTTGGAATTATTCAACACGACGACGTTGCTGCCCTTCTTTTATTTTTTATTTTATTTATGTTTAGTATAAAAGTGTAATTTAGCAGTGAAAGCGTCTGAATGAGCTATAATAATAGTTTGAATTTGAGGTTAGTTAATTAACTAGGCAATGGTTGGGCATTTGATGACATAAGCAAGAGATCAATCCCACAAAAAATGACACGTCATATTGTTTTCATTTTTTTTTTTTGTGTTTGGTAATTAAATCTATTTATTTATTTATTTTAGTATCATTAACTCTCATTCTTATAGCATGTCGTGGTTATCATCGCCATTGGCTATCAGACATCTTGTTTTCTGATTCGTGTTTAGCATGATTTGAAAAATATGCTCGAGTTAAGGACACGATTTCTTTTTTTTTTTCCATTGCAGGAATCAACGTTGGAAATTTTTAAAATATAAAATAGGAAATATACTCCATTTTTGGCAATAAAATTAATCAAAACCATGCGGAATTTAAAGATACTAATATTCATCTCCGACATCTAATATATGGTGAATTCATGCATGAAGTGGATTAATGGAGGTATATTAAAAAATTTGTGAAATTTAAGAATATCTGCAAGAAATAAATAAAATTAATAGTACGTTATTAATTGTAGATCTTCTATGGATAAAGGTTATAAGCGTATACCACAAGTAAAAGCAACTATTATTATGTATAATAAAAGAAAAAACGGATGGTTGAAACGTAAACTTGTCCTAGGCATTTGTTATTTTTGTTATTGACTGGTAGCTGTTACAAATTCCTTTGGGGCGGCTGGCATGCGAAGCCAGTTATAGGAGATTAGGAGTTGGAGCTGATGGGGAGAATATTTCTGGTTGATTTAGATGGCAGGTGTTATCGGTGCCGATTCTGCGATACCCCTCTCGCTCTCGCCGACGATGTTCTTTCTCGGGTACTAAAAGCACTCTCCTTTCTCTTCTTCGATTTCTTCCCCGAGTCTTAAACTTTGCTTGATAATTAGTGAAAGAATCAGAATTCTCTTTAATTGGTGAAGAAATTTGCATGTTTTTGTAATTATTTGGATTGATTATTCCCTGAATAAGTAAACGGATCGTTTACAAGTGGATAGTTTCCTAGGGGTCTTAGTAAATACTAAATGGGTATTTGATTGTTGATTATAGTTCAAGCTAAAATGAATTGACTGAGTGAAGCAATTTAGTTATCAGTTCTTTTGGTTTGCTGCTAGTGATCGGGAATTGGGATTTTGAGGCATGCATGGACCGTGTTATTGGTGTAATTTATTCAATTTTATTGAGGTGAAAGTGATTTTTTGTTTTGGGGCTAGATGGTTCTCAATTGAGGGGGTTTGTGCATTCTTTCCGATGGTGTAGTCTGATCGATTGATTTTTTTCCAAACTGCTGAAATTTGGAGCATGCCTCAGTTATGATATAACGGCTCTAACAGATGATAAATGATATGGGCAAATACTTTACAGTACCCTTTTTTTTTTTTTTTTTGCGAGCCCGATTAATTGCTTATCATTTTGAGAAACTGGGTAGTGAGTGCAATATTAATTGCTGCTTGATAAGCTTGGTAAATAACGTCATCAAGCTACTTTGGGCCTTAGGTAATTGAGGAAAGATCACAGGTGAAAGACGTGACTTTTATTTTTATAACTTAGAAAAACGTCTTGGAGTGTACTTGGCTCGCTGGAGAGATTATTATTCTTTAGAAAGCAAGAACTTTAGCTCTGACAAACTAAAATTAATTTTAGGTTTGTGCAATGGAAAATGGCTGTAAAGCCTTGGAATTCTCTTGTAAATAAAGATCGTTGCTCTGCTACAATTTGTTTCTCAATGCTGTGGGGCAGCTTTGCTTATTTAGAATATTGTAGCTTGTGATTTTCAGTGCACATGCAAAATTCATATTCGGTGCACATGCAAAATTCATATTCAGTGCACATGAATACAACCAAAACAGGATGTCAAACATGACTGGAACTTGAGATATATAAGTAATTACATTCATAATCTTGTCATTGCTATTGAAATCACTGAAGGAAAGATAGGATGAGTTTTCCTTTTAGCCATGGTGTTGGAAAACTTCTGCATTGTTCACTTATCCTATTTCCCCATTTGCTATTATTTCTTTTTTCCTATCTTTCTGTGTATTACTACTGTTCGTGTGTTGCTGCTTTGGTTCACCCTTCATTGACAATTATTCAGTTATTTCTTCACCTAATAAATTTATGGTCCAGCTGTGAAATTTAGCCTTCATTGGTGTTGAACCTGTTGTGGTATACCTTATTGTGGTGTTGCCTAGTTGTATTTCTCCATTTATTCACTCAACCGCAAGCTTGAGTATAATCAGAAAGGAAATTATCTATCTGGCTTAATGGGGCGGAAAAGGTTGAATTTAGTCGGTGCTTGATCAGTAAGTAAGCTACAGTTATTTAGCTTGTAACGATAACTTCTAAATTAGTGAGCATTATGGTACAAGCTAAAGTAGCACATGGTATGGTCTAAATGGCTTCAGTCTTTGACTCATGACATGGTAACTTTAAGTCAGAGTTATGTTATTTCTTATTTTCAGTTTTCTTGAAGCAGTGAGCTGTCCTCTTCCAGCAATTTAAATAATATAAATTCTAGCTTCTATCACATTTATTATCCTACTTCTTTTAAGCTATTAGCATTTGCAATTTGGACCTAATAAACTATATAATTTTTTTGTGACCAAGTTAATAAGGATTGGTCTATGACAACATCAAGGTTTGGTGATAAAAGGCTAAAGTTGATATTTGTTTGACAGGACGCTAACATGGGGTTGATTTTGACATGTTTTCTCAGTTTATTTGATTAATCAGTTACATGCTCTATCGTTTCTTTCTATGTGGTAAATACATATTCAGCAAGGCAATGCTTTTTCTTGACTCTCTGGTTTGTGATGGATCAGACCTTCAACTGTCGTAAAGGGAGGGCATACCTATTCAGCAACGTGTAAGTTTCTAACATCTTTCTATTTGGTTGCATACTATTATTTTGTTATTCTTGCGGTAGTTCTTTGGAGAAGTGGCTGAGTGCATATGTTCAGGTTGAGAAGATTGGTTGTTGAATTTTAATGTATGTTCACGTGAATTTGTTTCTTGTAATGAATGGATATAAGGCCTATAAGGCTTAAAGAAGATTAATAATGCACTTGGGATTGTTGGTTAATGATGGTGTTTTAAAAACTAGTTCTTTACTTGTCTCAGTAAATCCCTTAACTGATCTTTAAATGGAGGATTTCCAGTAGAGCTCATCATTATCCACCAACTGTACCGAACTCTATAATGAGGTCATCAGCACAGCAGAGTTGTTGGCATCTGAATCAGTCAGTTGTTCAACTTTTCCAATAATAAAAGTTCAACTTTTCCTGTCCTATAGGGTGAATGTAACAGTTGGGCCAGCAGAGGAGAGGATGATGCTTTCTGGTATACATACTGTGGAAGATATATTTTGTTGTTGCTGTGGACAACTTCTTGGGTGGAAATATGTAAGCTCCTTCTGATTTGATGAGAAAAAACTCCGGTTTTAATGAAATTTTGTCCTTATGAATCAAGTTAATCAGCATAAAACTTTTTCAAAATGGCATGATTTTATTTTCTCCAAGAGGAGTTCATCTTTTGAAGTCTTGCACAATAACTTTTCTTTTGGGATAAGAAAATATAACAGCAAGATATCAGATTGGAAAGAGTTTCGTGGTAAATACAATCCTATGAGACCATTCTCTGGTAGGATATGAAAGTTTCTCTATCCATGTGAAAACTATTGTCAATTATATCCATTTAAAGTCCCTTGTAATCCCTTCGTCATGTTATTTAACTTGAATTGCTGTATTTACCCTTGGCTTTAACATCTTTAAGAGGGTCGTGAATCGTGATATATTGCAGGTGGCAGCACATGACAAAGGCCAAAAGTACAAGGAAGGAAAGTTTGTGCTCGAAAGGTACTAACTTGAATGGAGCTCTTCTAGCACTTTTTTCTTTATAATTTCACATCTGAATTGAGTTAAAAGAACCAAGTTATGTGGACATGAAATTATACAGATGGAGGATAGCTGAGGAGGTGACAGAAGAATTTAATTTAGATGCTCGTCCTGGTTCAAGCGATGGAGAAAGTCGTTAAGAATATGCTGCAAGATGACATACAACTTTTGGTTAATGTATAGTCTTCGGAGCCACAAGCTATAAATCTTTGATGTGGTGGATGATCATTAGCCTATATGCTGAATATTGATGCCAAATTTTGTTTGGATACTTTTGAGGACTTCAACCAATATGGACATACTAAACCAAATAAAAATTAATATTTAATGAATTTTTTTCTTTTGGGTTGTAATATTTGTTTATTTGATTATTCATGAGATGAGAATCGCTAGATTTCCTTTTCCTTGGTGATTTGGTTGGTTGGGGTGGGGTCGGGTCGGGTCGGGTCCCATTTGACAAATGCTCGAGTCACTTGATTACACATGTAACTTGTTATATAGATGCTTCTACAGCAAGTTTGGTTGGAGTCTTCATATTTATTTATGATCATAGGAAAATTGGTAATCATAAATTAGTAAGGGAAAATATTAATCAACATCTGTATTATAGGAGAGGACCCACTTTATCCAAAGGGGAAAAATGGCCCACAGAATAAGCGGGTAAGATTGCGCCACCGTCCTCTCTGGTTAACAAAGCCCCCATGGCTTATGTGCTGTGCGGCTCTTCCTTTCTTCAACACGTGTTTCACTCCTCCCTTCCCTTATTATTATTTTTACAATACATATAACAGCCCATTGTTTCACAAACCATCCTGTTCTGGTATCGCTACCCTCCAATCTCAATCTCAATCTCCTCTTGATCACATCAAATCATACGTGGATTTTTCATTTTCAATGGGTTAAAATTAAAATGCTCTCATATTTTTTTTTGTTCTGGCTGCCTCTAATTATAAATTAATAATTATATGATTATAGTTATAATAATCAACAAAACAATATTATTTTTTCATGCAGAAAAAGCAAAAAAAAAAAAAGAAAAAATGAGAAAGTAGAGACTGACGAACAAAGACAATGAACTTTGCAAGAGGCCCACGACATTGATGGGACTGGCAATGCGTCTGCCACGTCCAGAAAGTCTAGAGAGACTCAGTCAACATACACGTACACAATCCCCACCGCCATCATTTGTCATCATCCATCATCAACATCTATATATATTAGCCATGACATGTGTCATGTGTATAAGCATGTATGTATATATACACACACGTAACACGTTAACGGCACCGCTAGTCGGCATTAACCGGCTGTGCCCTCATTATGCGACAGCGTACAAAACGACGCCGCTGCGCCGCCGCCGTCACCGACAGGATCACGGAGTTTCTGTACGACAGACAGCAACACCAACAATAAAGGGCATTTACTTCTCCTTTTCTCATGTAGTTTGTGTTTTGTTTATGTCTTTGTGTAGTGGGTAACGTTAGGCCGCCGTGACCTCCTCTGCTACCGACAGATTCGCTCGTGAATATGGGCCCACTCCCAACAATCGTGCGGTGCTGCCACGTACAGCCCTATGGCCCCTTTCCAACAGATAATTTTCCATCATTCCAATTTTCTTTTCTTTTTCCTTTTTATTTCTAAAATAGGACTTTATTTACAATATGCCATGTTCATATTAAAAAAAGAAAAGAAAATAATAGAGAAAATAAAAAACTATACGTTTTATTTTTGTTTTTTCTTTTCATTTTTCTTCTTTTTGTTTGGACGAAAAAAAAAAGCTTCTATTTTTATTTACGTGGAGTAAATAAAAATTTAATTTTGATTAATCTAATAATGGATATTAATAAAAAGAAAAAAAACTAAAAGGGGACCACGAAGAATTGGGGTTGCGTAAAATCGGTTGGACCGGAGTGGGTGGGGAATGATGATGGTGATGGTGGGTGCAGGAGCAGCAAGGATGATGCTGATGCTGCAGTCCACTGAGTAGTTGGTGACGCAAGCGCTATACATTAGCTGAAATGATTCCTGTAAAAGGAGCTTGCGTGTTCGCCTTTGTTTTTGTTTTTGTTTTTTGTTTGTTGTTATGCTCTTTTATTATTATTATTATTATTATTATTATATTTTATTTTATATGGACTGATTTACCCACCTGCGCTACCTATGGGTTTTTTACTTGTCTGACACTTTAATTTTACTTTTCTTTTTATTTTTTTTATTAAAATGAAATCTGACATTCAGATCCTCTGATTCTGGGCTGTGTACAATCCATCATCATCATCATCATCATGTACACCCTATATGATATTTTCTTTCAAAACCTATATACATTTTTTATTTTGACTATGATTTGACCAAACTAATTCAACTCTATTTTTATTTTCTCAATAATAATAATTAATAATTAATAATTAATTTTCAAAGCTTAAATTAATTATATCTGTTTTTCTGAAAATTTTTAATTCTCTTTTGCCATACATAATCATAACAATTTGACGATTGACAAAGTTTAAAATAAAATAATAAGAAAAAATAACAGACAGTGATGCGGCATATCTTGTCCTTTTTATGGCTTTAGTCGTCTATTTTTATTGATATAATATACAATTAGGTGCAATAATGCTCGTATGACATTTTATTGATTGAAATTTGGTACATAACCACAAAATTAAGTACATAAATCACCTTTATATTTTTTATTTTAATTAAAATATTTTAAATTATAAAACCACATTTTTTAGATAATTGAATTTATATAATTATTTTACTAAATATTTCAATTTATAAAATTTAATCAAATTATGTACGATAATTAAAAATTAATTACTTTTTGCTTATAAATAAGAAAAATTAAAAAAATAAAAAAGAAATAGTTGCCATTATTTAATTGTATGGTAGTACTGTTTTAATTATCTATAAGCCATTGGAGTTTGGACAAAAAATAAAAAAAAAAATAATTAAAAAAATGAAAAGAGTTGCCATTACGTTGAAAGGCATGAATCAATTATATACAGTATAGAGTTGGATGTTGAAAATGACAATTGAAGGGGACATTGAAAATTCTCTCTCTCTCTCTCTCTTCTTTTTCCTAATCTTTTTATATTTAATTATTTTGTTTGGTTTTAAATATTTGCTGGGGTGGATATTGAGAATTATTGTTGACATTTACTCACAAGACAAAGCCACCGTCCAACAAAAAGGTTGAAAATGAAAAACGTTGACCAACTCATTGTGCCGATCTCTAAATATTTTATACTATTAAATTATTAGCCACAACCTTAATTTCTCTATGCCCCATAATCTTACACTAAATTATATATATCCAAAAGACAAAGCCACCGACTCCAACAAAAAACGGTTTTGAAATAATGAAAAACGTTGACCAACTCATTTTGTGATCCGTAATCTCTAAATATATTTTTTAATTTAATACTATATTTTTAAAATTATTAGCCACAACTCGCTTAATTTTCTCTTTATTGCCCTTAATTTACACTAAAATTGGATTATATATATATAATATATATATAATATATATATATCATTATTTGTGAATTTTGTCCTTTTTTAGATTTTCATTATATTGAATCTCATTTCATTTTTCCTTGCCCTATTTGAAATTACCAAAGGCAAACTTTTTAATTTTTTGTATGTAATGCCAATGGTTTTTGGACTTTATTTTTACTCGAATCTAATGATTTAGAGGTCAGTAGAACTAATAACATTATAAAAGCAAACACATACAACTTATATATATCATTATTTGGAATTTTGCTTTTTAGTTTTCTTATATTGAATTCATCATTTCTTGCCCTATTGAACAAAGCAACTTTAATTTTGATGTAGCCAATGGTTTTGGACTTATTTTTCTCGATCTATGATTAGAGTCATAGAACTAAAACATAAAAGCAAACATACATTGCATATAATCTACCAAAAGGAAAGATTATAAAGTCTATTAGCCACAATGTGTGTTGTCTTTTTGCATTTTAACATGTTAGAACCATAGTCAACAATTAAAAATTTTGATGGAAATTAGGTTTGATTTTATGTCTTTTTATTTATGTAAGAAGTGGAAAGTTTCAAATTTGAATCCTCTCGACTATAAGAGTTTTCAACGATTTAGTAAGTTAAAGAAAAAATTACCCTGTTGTATAGTCCGTATTTCAAAAAATAAATAAATTTTGATATAAATAGGTATTTTTCCCTTAGTACATGTTGACATTAATGAAAAATGTTATTACTCTTTTTAGTTGGTTTGTCCTAAAAAGCTCAGACTAATATAATTGCCCCAAACAAACTAACTCATGAAAAATAAGTTGAAAAAGAAAACTCAAAGGAAGCTAGCTAGCCATGATTGTACAAGAATTGGTGGGGCTATTGATCCTTTTTTAATGCAACAAGGCATTATGAAAGACAAGGTTGAAGGTAGAATTAAATATTTTTATAGTAACATTGGAAGATATTTGGTGGGTAGAGTGGGGTTGGATTTCATACCCATTTGCTTCTCTGCTCGGGTACATTAAGATAGGGTGGCACCTAAAATCATGTTATAATTCCTCCATTGCTGTAGCCTTTCAAACAGAAGATTTGTTCAACACTTCCAAGTAACGTGTTCCATTTATGTGTTTTCTTATACTACAAAATCGTATCCATCTTCAATGTCCCCATCTGTTCTGCCATTTGCAATTCAACTGTTTTTTAATTTTTATTTTAAAATAAGTTTTACCCACTTAAAAAAAAAAATTCAAAATATAGTTTTTTTTTTTTTTTGGTTATTTTTAAGAGTAGAAATTCCATTCCATTTTTATTCCACATCCTAAACATGACCTAAAGTGGTCAAATTTTAGATATAGCGGTGGGCGGCCCGCGAGTGAAGTTGTGCGCGTGACATGCAAAGCGAGTCCACGTTCCGTCTTACTTTATAGTAAAAGGGAACTTTATCCGTTGGCAGACACGCGATAATTTGGGTTATATCGCGATATAGATGAGCAGAAAAGGGGGAAACCCACCCTTGGATTCTGGTACAAAAACAAATCTCGTTAATTTAACAACGTTAATTACTCAACTCACTCCGACTACAGTAGTAGTAATTAATTTGACTGCTTGTTGGAACTTGGGACACAAAAACGTAAATACGGAAGTAACCATCCAATCCCACGTAAGAAAAAAAAGGGCAGTTTGGTCAGTTTCCGATTGTAAAGGTAACACGCGCCTTTGACTAGTGAGTGGTTATGATCTTCACACAATTCGTACACTGCTGTTTTTTTTTTTTTGCTAATTATATCAGAACCAGTTACGTCCTGTTTCTTACCAAACTTGAAAAAATATGGCAATGCCAATCCCACACGCTTGCTTCGCGTCGAGTCATTGTAGTTGCCACTTTCTTTTTCCATTTTTTTAGGAAAAAAAAAATTTCGGCCATTACAACTTTAACGGGAGGCCACATCTCATCACCTCAGCGCGTGCCAGACAACCTCTCAAAATGTTAGACAGAAAAAGGATAACAAAAGAGTACGTTTCATTTCTGGCTCCAATAGTTTTTTATCTCAAAATTTTTAAAGATTAGCAAGAATGCTAAAAATCAACGGCGGCGAACATTCCATGAACGATTAATATCTAAAATGCTTGAAATTATTATTATTATTATAGAGAGGGCCACAAATTCTCATGACAACTCGAGCGCCGTTGCCAGACAACCTTCTCAATGTAGACAAGCAAAAAAGGATAACAAACAGAGTACGTTTCATTTTCCTGGCCTACCAATAGGTTTATTAAACTCTCAAAAAATTTTTAAAAATTAGCAAACGAATCTAGCTAAAAAATACAAAACTGGCGGGCGCCAACATTCCAAATGAACGAATTAATATCTAATTGCATGAAATACTCACATATATTATACATAATTATTATATTCTTATTTATACTATATAATATAAGTATAATGCTATATAATAATTATATACATACTTTATCTGTTAAAGCAAATTGGTGAAAGATATAAAGTTGTTGTCATTTATAAAACAAATGATACAACAATAAGATTTGCAAGTAATAAGAACATACATGTTAAGCAAGGTGAAAGATAAAAGTGTTTCATAAAAACAAAGAAACAAAAGATGCATATATATACAAACCGTTCATCAGTTTTTTTTCCTTTTTTTTTTCTAACTAATAATGATTTGATGTTACTCCTTTTAAAACAGAGATAATAAGTAGATAAAAGGTAATGGAAAGAAAGATTAATAAAAGAAAATAGTAAGGTTAAAAGCGGCCGGAAAGTGCCCTACACCTTGTCCTCGATTTTAAGTAACCTTATCACAGCCACAACGGTGGTGGCTCGTTCAAATCTATAGGCAACCCACGTCGCACAATTCCCAAAAACGATGGTTGACCTCCATTTTCCGGCAATGGAGTGACAGAACTACCACCACCACCGGCAACCGCACTCTCATTTTTCACCGAGCCTGAACTCTCTCCATGAAAGCTAATCTCTTTGAAAACCCCAGTTTGTAGGAACTCACCGAGAGCGAAGCGGTGAGAGGCGGTTGAGCTCCAACGGTGGTGAGAATCCGATGGTGCGTTGAGGTCTAGGGAAAGAGCAGTGGCCGGAGCTGGAAAGTTGGTCTTGGCTTTAGCTCCACGAAGAGAACGAGCTGCACCGTCGTAAGCTAGAGCAGCTTCTTCTGGTGTGTCAAATGTACCCAACCAAACCCTAGTTTTCTTCCAGGGGTCACGTATTTCAGCTGCGTAGCGACCCCAAGGCCTCTTCCTCACTCCCCTGTAGTGACCTTCCCTTGAAGACGCCATGGAAGAAACAAACAGAGGAAAATAAAAAAAAAAAAGCAAACTTTACAGGGAGAGAGAGGAAGAGAGAGGAGAAATAAAAAAGATCAAAGAAGAGTGTATGGAAAAAGTGGAGGGACCCACGCAGTCACCCGTAATCGTCGGCAGGACGGCACGACCAGCTTATGTTTATATAAAGATTTAACAGCAGGCCCCCTCTCTCTCTCTCTCTCACTATATAATTTGTTCCGATGTTAGCTTTCAACCGTTTGATTCTCATCAACGGTGGTGATGTAATTATGGATATACACTTGAATATCTGAGAAAAGTGGGTCCATTTGCTTTCAAAATATTAATATTTGTTTTTTTAAAAAAAAAAACTGCAGATAGCCGCCGCCTGATTAGACATGAGAGGGAGTTTTGTGTGGGTCATGTGACCAGTCTCCGCGCCGGTGATGATGTCAGCCCTAACCCCATCTTGTACGGCGCTTCTCAGCGGCGCCTGCCATTTGTTTTCTCGTGTTTCATTTATTAATTACATATTTAAAATAATAAAAAAAGAAAAGAAAAGAGGCGATTATGATTGATTATAGAGTGGATCAGAGTGTGGGTGGCGTGTCGGGTGGTGATTGGAAGATAGCTGTTGTTTTAGGTGCAGCGGAGGAGAGAGAAAAAGAGATCCCCCCACGTGGAGAGTGCATAGGGGAGTGGTGTCTGAGTTGCAGGAGACAGGAGCGAGTCGAGTTTTTATAACAGAGATGGATGGCGTGTTTGACTCAGTTATTGGGGTTAACCCCCAAAAACAGTAAAAAGGGGTTTGATTTTGGATGGGGGCTGTGGTCCTCTGAAGGAGCAATGAAACAAATATATATATATATATATATATATTGTGATTATTAGAGATGGTGAATATCAGAATGTGTGGGGGTGGCGTGTCGCGGGTAGAGCTTAGACTTCGCGAGGAATTGATAGCTGTGTTTAGTGTCAGTCGGAGGAGAGGAGAAAATAGAGATCCCCCCACGTGGAGATGGCGTGCATGTCAAGCGGGATAGTGCGTTAATGTCTTGATGTTAGCAGGAGAGACCATAGGAAGCGATGTCGATATTTTTTATATACAGATGATGATGTTGTATGTGCTAACATTCGTCTGTTGGAACTTCAGTTTTATTTGCGGGGTTTTAACCCCCCCAAAAAAAGGCAGTTAAAAAGGGGTTTTGATTTTGCGATATAGGTGGAGGGGCTTGTGAGTTCCTCCTGTCAGTTGGGCAGAAAGCAATGAAACATAATAATGCACTATTTATATATATATACTATATTTGATGAATAATAAGATGGAATAATCATACGAGATTATTAAAGGGGTACGGTGTAGGGTTGGTTGGGAGTTGCTTGGCTCTTTGCTGCTGGTTGTGGCCTTCACATGAGGTCTGGTGGTGACTTGAAGAGATATCTGAGTATGAGGTATCAGCCAAAAACTTGACACAGAGTGTTACACGTTGAAGAAGGTTTTTGCACTCTAATTTGTTTTTTAGTTTTTTACTTTATTTTGAACCGTGGTTTAATTATTACCATCATAAGAGCGACACCGTTAGTGGAAGGATAAAAGGGGAATATTTTTTTTTGGTTTTTTTCTTTTTTTTATGTGTTTAGTTAAGATGTCTTTTTTAATTAATTCTTCGTATACATAAGTTTAGATAGTGGAATGCGGGATGGGTCTTGGTTAATACATTTTCATTCTTATTAAAAATGTTCAATGAGTAAGTCGGGACAACCATTTGCTTTGTATAAGTACAGTTTGTGCAATGTTTGGACCACAAAACAACATGATGTATGGGCCAAAATGTCTTCCTACCTCCTCAAAATTGTGGTGCACTGTTAGGGCAATCCTATTACTACTTCCTATGCGCCTGAGGTCTATACAAAATCCAAGAAATCTATTATTTTATCCTTCGGTTTTTCAAAAATGGACTAATATAGATTACATTTCAAGTGTACTTAATCTTATGTAGAACCATATGTCAATAAACATCTTTTTCCACATATTCCTAAGGGAATTATTTAAGAGTAAATTATGCTTTTCCTTCCTTACATATATTAGTTAATCTTGTATCTGTCTCACTTTTTTTTTTTTTTTTTTTTTTTTATGTTTTGGTTGGCTTTTTAATATTTGTACAAGTTAGGATGTGGATGGGATGGGCTTTTTACATTTTTTTTTATTAAAAATTCAGAGAATCGGACACATGCTTTGATAGTACAGTTGCATGTTTGGACCACAAACACATTATGGGCCAAAATTCTTCCCACAAAATTTGGACTGTTAGGGAATCATTATCTCTATGCGCCTCTTCAAAATCAAATCTTATTATTTTCCTTCGTTTTCAAAAATTTGACTATTATAACTTCATTTTCAAGTGTACTTAATTCTTAGAACATATGTCAATAACATTTTTCAAAAATTCCTAAGAATTATTTTAGGAATTATGCTTTCCATTATACATATTAGTTAATCTGTATTGTTCATTCTACAGTGTTAGAAGTCAATATTGGCAGGTTGAAAGTTAAAATCACACCCACTTTTACCTAAAGAAAATTCTATCAGTAATAGTGATATAATGAAGTTCAGAAACTTGCTGGTTGCTGGCTGCCACATTTGGAGGAAATAAAGGGCATGAATGCAAAACACCACCATTTGTTTTCAGAAGTTGCACTCTTTTACTTCTTTAGTCAAAGCATCAAATAAAAAGAAACAGTACCTCTGCCAAAGGAGTGGAACTGAGTGGTGACATCTGTGTTAAAAGATAAAAGAGTGGTAAAAATATCAACTTGGTAAAAATTCATTTAACAGGGGTCAGCTTCGAGCCCCCAACTCTACCACCCAAATTCAAATATTCAGTTGGTACGTACAATCAACCATCTGCCCTAGGGTTAATAATTTTCTGACACCAAAATTAACCATATACTTGTGCTCTTCCTGCTCTGCAATAGTAATAATAATAATAATAATAATAACAATAACCACTGCTTTATTCAAGCTAGCCTTTTTTCACTCTGCACTTTTATCTATCGCAATAGTAACTTACATTGCTGCTCGAAAAGGATCTATCGCAGAAAGCGTAATTTTTGTTATCAGTAACCCCATTCTAATTTTTAGTATCATGAAAGATGCCACACCAAATGTGAAAATAATTTGTATACAACAATATATAAAAACTAATATTAACAAAAAAATAAAAATAAAAAAAAAGAGGAAAAAAAAAATTAAGTTACAATTGTGTATCCTACTATTGTCTCAACCTGACTATTTAGTTCCACCTCAGTGCCAGGAAACAACTAGCATAACTATGGCTTGTTGCATCAAAACTACAAGTGAAATTATCTTATATGCAGTCCACCAGTTCTTCAGCCTGTTAACATTCCTTTGCTTAGAAAACAAAGAATTTAAAAACTTTACATAATTTTCACCCTATATTGAAGTTGGTGGATACAAGTAAGGATGAATGTTTACTTGTGTCTGATCTCTACCCAACTTCACCAAACAAAATTATGAAAGAATGGGCACATTAAGCAGCAATATGAGTTCGGGGATGCACCAAATTAATCATCAGGCCTTGAGATTCATGTTTTAGAAGCAGTGCGGATTCCCAGAAACCAAAGGAGTAAACTTCAAATGCTTTGGCTTCTAGAAGGTGACAGTGGATTAATCACGACAGTAAGCTAGGTCCATTTTCAGCAGCCGTCCGTGCTTGACCATGATTGTAATGCCTTGTCATCTGGATATCATGCGCCATGTGAGTCCTCGCTTTTGCATAGGGTGCACCTCTTGCTGTTTAAAGTCAAAAAGAAGCCAGGGTGTAAATTTTGAACAAAGAGAAACCTAATACTACTTAAGCAATTGTATTCAATCCACTTTCTATAGTTGCAAGATTTCAGAATGCTTTTCTTTCTCTTTGCACCATGGAAGCGAAGAGGGAACTTGCAGTATTGTTTGTAAATTAACAGTCTACCTATTGCCTAACATCTTACTGCTCGTAATTCACAATTTGATGAGGAGTTACAGATCTAGATCATGTGTCAATATCACTGTCTGTCCTTACCTGCAATCTGCTGTGCGCGGAGAATATTCTGCCGTCTTTTCCACCAACACATTGAACAGATAACCATGAGGAGGAATGCTACTGATGCACCAAAGGCAATGCCAATCTTTGCACCAGCAGAAAGATGAGGTCCACAAGCACGCAATCCAGGTATACCACAAAGACCTGCATTGTCCGTAAAACTGCAAAACCAAAATAAGAATTCTTGTAGACAGTGGTAACAAATAAATGAGATTACAGGCTTCCACGCCTCATCTTATTTGTACAATCACAAGAGCATACTTGAAGCTAGCTCCATACAAAAGCCTTCCTCCAAGAGCAGCTGGGACTCTTCCAGACAGAGAATTGCCATTGAGATTTCTGTGCCATAAATACTAGTTGAAGTCAAGGTCTCCATATTTAAAAATCATTGATTAATTAGCCATATGAAAGATCTTACAATCTCCGCAATGACGTCAACTGTCCAAGGCTTTCAGGAATTGAACCATTGAAGAAATTGTATGAAAGGTCCCTGCCATGTAACTAAGATAAGTCAATAGAGGCAGTAGCTATACTAAATCTCCCAGAATAAAACAAGTATATGCTTTGCTAGTCAACTCTCATGATTTGTTAAAAAGATGTGGCATAAATTGCATTATATCATTTAACTTGTGTTCTATAATAATACAACTCCCTGAAAATGATGATTGTTTCCCCTGAAAGAGATCCTATGATTATATGCAACTTAGGACAAATAAAGAGCAATTACTTGGAGCGTAATTCTAATGTTATCATCTGTTTTTCAGAAAATTTTGCATGATTCATAAAGTTAAATCCTTTGCTCCACCAAACAAATAGCAGCTACTGTATCAAGCTAGGAATCTAGCAAACACAAAAGTAAACTATACGCGTGATAAATGAATAAGCTGTACTTACAGAATTTCTAAGCTGGTTATTGCTCCAATTGATGATGGAATATGCCCACCAATGCTGTTAGTACTTAAGTTTCTGTATATAGATGCCCAAAGTTAGACAAATATAAGAGCTGACAAGCTACAAAGATGTTGAAGGCATCAATACTTCAACCAGTTTCTAATTGAAACTCAGACAACAAATGTTAGAAACTTACATGGTTTGTAAATGACGAAGCGCAGATATTTCATTTGGCAAGAAACCCCTCAAGCCTTGGTTGTCAAGACCACTGACCATAGAGAAGTTAACATATTAATTTCTTAACCATTAATATCATTGCATTTAACTTCAAAGTAAATAAAAGAGATCCGCTGATCTGCTCACAGGTTCAATCACTCAAAAAAGGTAAAAGGTACAACTACAAAAAGAATCGAAAATTGGCATAACAAATCACACAGCTTTATTGTTAAATTTTAATTTAGTTGATGAGCTATTAGTAAACTTATAGCCTTCCCTTCTCACCTACTTGCATCAGTTGATAATCCAAAGAGGCAATGCAAAATTGGTATATAACAAACCACACAGGTTTATTGTCATTCATATTAAAATTAAATTGTTGGATAGCTATGGTACTTACAATTAATTCTAACTAAAAAACTAGAAAATTTTTATTTTAATCAAATAAAGAATTTTTCTCAAATTTTAATCTAATTGATGAGCCGTTAGTAACCTTATAAGTTTCCCTTCTCACCTATTTGCATCAGTTCTGATAATCCAAAGAGGCAATGCCAATAATATGGACATAAATTTAAAAAAAAAAAAAAAAACATATATAAATTCGACACTGCAATCAAGCTTGTTAATGACTTCAAAGATAGCATGCTTTTGAAAGTTTAATCAACAAAAGGCCGAAGCAATTTTTGGAGCAGGAAAAAATGAGAAGGTGATTATATGAGCAAACAGAGAAGCATAAGAGATAACGTATAATAACAAACATTATTAGGAAGCAAATTGAACAAAAATCAAAACAAGCTAAAGGATCAAGAAATTACAGTCCATCAATGATCCATTTTTGGCTACTTGTGTCAAATTGACAATCTGCTCCATTCCATGGATGTTGTTGGGGAACACAAGGATCACCATTCCAGCCAAACCGAGGGGGAAGGCCCAAAGCACTCTTTAATGCTTGTAAAGCCCTAACTAGAATGAAGAAGATTATTCAAATTAGCAATGATGTACACATATTCCAATTTCTGAAAAAGCTGCGTTCTCTATCCAAAAAACTAATCAAAGCAGGAAGCATTGAAAAAAATTCTTTGGATATTGGTAAAATAAAAAAAAAAAAGAAAAAAATGTTGTCACTGGCATAAAGCTACATAATCAACTAGGGCTGCAATAGTTCATGAAATTGATATCTTAATGTACAGAGTTACAAGAAATTTGAAGCAAATGTGAGGCAGATGTTGATAGTTTCAATCCAGTTGAAAGCTCTCGTTTTTTAATTGTATATGGATGTTCCTAGTGCTCTTTATCATATGTTTGATCGTGGAATATTAAGACTATGTGCAGTTCCTTTTTATAGAACATCTCAGGTAGGCTGAACAGTGTCATGACAAAAGCCAGAAAATTTCATCTTATAAAAAACACCACCAAGATGAACAGCATTACATCTCTGTGAACTCTAATCCAGCAAAAGACGCTACCAGAGGGCTCAGTAACACAGCTGACTCAATTCTAAGTTTCTATTCCAATCAATTGGCCAAACATTACTAATGGCAATAGGCTGTTATACTAGCAATTGATGGTCTTGTGAAAATACCATGGTGGCCAACTATACTGAGAGAATAAAACCTTTTACAGTATTAGACATATAATCCTGTGATCTGAATTAGTAAAGGTTATCCTCAAACTATTGTTAGGATCAATAGAAGATATCAGAATTATGAAAATCAGATGAAAAAATGAAAAAAAGTAATAAGCATGGTTTGAGCAATTTCATGATGTAATTGTTACTTTGTTAGTGAGCACAGCCAGAATAATAGATTATATAACACTAACCAAAACAACTCCAAAATGTAATAAACTAATTGAACATGACATATACAGTGAATAATTATCCATTTGAATTACACACAATGAGAAGAACAGTGGGCATTGGATAACAATATCATATCAGCAGAATATAACCTTCTTTAATGGTGAATATATAAGCAGGTGTAATGCATGCATATGCATTTGATCCACATATATGTATAGCAATCTTCATTATCATATACCTATTAAGTATAAAAAACTTAAACGAGTAACAAGAAAAGAGTATGATGTTATACCTTCTTCCAATATAGTTTTGGATTCAGTTGTGATAACCTCAAAGACCTCAATGGCATTGATTATGGCATGGCTGCCTTCTTTAGGGTGCAAGGTTATTGTCAAAGTTCTTCCATTAACAGTAACAGTCTTGTTCAATACAAGAGCCGTATAACGATCCCCACTCATTTTGGAAACATCTACCCCTTGAAAAACAATATTACCATTAACCAGGATGTCAAATACCCTTTTCCCTACACCAGTGACTGAAACATCAATCTCAGCAAAGTGCAGCCAAATTGAGTAGTTTCTATTAGGATCCACATCCATCGTATATGATAAATCTGGCTGAATATCAGTGCTAACAAGGGCAGTCTGATAAAGAGCTTCTGGGTAATAGTTTGGTGCATATGAAGCCTTCTTAATTTTATTTTCAGTAGATATTGCTTTATCAGAACTCTGGCCAAATGATGGCATGCGACTCCAAAATCTATCCCCACCCCATCTGTCACCACTGTAATCTACATCAAATTTTGACTTCCCATTACCACAACTCAATCTGGTCACTGTTCTGAGGATTACTCCTCGACCCCACTCAGAGCCAAAATAGTATGCTTTATCGTCTACTTCAAGGATTTCAATGGAAAGGATTGCTGGATCTCCATGACCAGTGCTGTGGAAACAGATTGAAGCCGTGCCATCTGTGAGAAACACTAGGGCTTCAGTAAATACTTGCTCATCGTGGCTACTCCAACCTGATTGCAAAGAATAAATCTGGGAGCCTTCCACAGAAATGTCAAATAAAGGTTCATTATCAAAATTAGGGTCCGGATGTGCAACCAATCCAAAGAAGACTCTTACAGAATAATGTCCCTTTGGCACTCTTTTAATGTTGTAGCAATTGTTCGGACCTTCAGATAGGGGGAAATAGCGAAGAGTTTTAAGTGGAGGAGCAACATAACTTGTACGTGTTGAATTAGTGGGAATTCCTCCTGTATAGGCAAAATCCTTGTACCAAAGTGTATTGGTTGGTGGAGTGTGCACATTTACACGAGCTCCACAGCTTATGCGCATAACCCAGGGTGCTGCATAGAAAGCAACTACAACAAGTTCAACACTAAAAACAAGAAAATGGAGTAATTCTCACGCAATAAGGACAGCAATAGCTGAATCAACTTCGTGCGAGTGTATAAAATGCATAATGTGCTACTCTTGTGCAAAATAAGCCGTGTTATTTAGATTTCCTGGTTTATTGTATTGTTCAAGGGTAAATAAGTGTTATTACTAGGTTATACATTCTCTCCCCGAAAGGCAACAATCATCATAAGAGGAAATCATCAGTTTCTGTAATAGCTTCCAACAACCCAAACATACTAAAGAAATTGACACCGTAAATCAATCTTTCGTAGTACTTGTTCGTTCTCGTTTCTTTATTTGTTTGTACTATCTCTTTGTACATTGACTGACCTTCTTACTGACTGAGAAAATGCAGGAAAAAAAAGGGCAGAAATTAGTCATGTGTTTCCAGGTACTCGCTGACAAAAATGAAGTTTTCCTTTGTTCAACGAGTTCAAGTAGATAATCAAGCAAAACTAATGTTTAAGAAAAATTCCATATCTTTCACTTTCTACTACACTTTTCCAGCAACCAAACAGATCCAAATTATTGACTACATACCTCTTTGAATCGAATGGCCATATCCAAAAATTCACCACTTATCATCACCAATGAGAAGTGAAACACAAAGACAAATAAACAGCTCATAAAGCATATATACATATGTACACACACATTCAGAAGATAAATCCTCACTTGGAAAAAATAAACTAAAACGCATTGAGATAAACAGTAGAGATTCCCTAACCGAAAGCTCCAAGCATCCAATAATGGAAATTTGAATCACAAAATTAGTAAAGTTAAGAAGCTCACCATTTCTAGCTGAACAAGTAGAGAGAGCCAAGCAAAATACGAGAAGCCATGTTTGGAGAATAATGAATCTCAACATTTCAGCTTCAAATCCACTTTTCTTCTGTTTTGCCTTTTCTGCTCTCTCTCTCTCTCTCCATAGCCTCATTCCTTCCTTGGAATCTTTTTGTTCCTTTTTTCAGAAGAGCGAGTGCAGGGACGTGAGTACAGGCAAACTATGAGCAGTTATTTATTTATTTTTTATTTTATTTTATTGCCTTTTTCTAATTTAGTTGACCCGTGACTCCGTGAGATGAGTAGATAATATTGGGTGCTTGTGGGGGTTCATTTTCCATGATGGACATCTTTTAATCGGACGGTTCAGAAAGATGATGAGTCTACATCACATTAGTTTCCTTGTCGAAGGGGCGGTCTTTCGTAGTTATAGAGGGAGCCCACTAGAGGACTGGTGGTGACGTAAGGTGAAGTATGAAGGGAAATTATAAAGAATAACTTGTTTGGAAATTATTTATAGTAGTCTATGAAATCAGTGAAAAATAATTTTTTTTATTCTAAATAAAATATTTTCATGTTCGCCGGGAAAAAAAAAAAGTTAAAATAATATTTATAAATTTTTTATTTTTATTGGATACGGGATAAATTTTATCCGGTTCCATATATATATTTTTCCTACTTCGACCCTGAAATTCTTGAAGACGAGCAGCGCACAGAAATCCAACGGGTAAGAATAATGTAAGAATGTATAAGCGTGTTTTACGTGGATGTCCCTTTTGTGAAAGGAAAACTGGGACGTAGAGATAGAGCTTAGCTTTAATCGAACGGTTTAAGGCTTGTCAGTTCATTTCCTTTGACTTTTGGAGCATTGACTTTACTTTTTGCCATTTTAAGGCATGACCACAGTGAAGTGCGCAATTATCGGCTGAAGTTTCACTGTGTGTCTATTAAGGAATGGAGTTGAAATGTTTCTGAAAATTAAAATAGAAGAACGTAAGGAAAATCGGGAGAAAATAAAAAGTAAAAAAATCAAGATGCTGCCACTTGTCCCTTTTTTTTTTTTTTAATCACAATTCTTCCTTACCTATCCCATAAAGATGAGCCATGGCCCATACCATACGGAGCAAATATTTTTTCTATTGCTGAAAATTTGTTCAATTTACAGAATTGAACACACATTTATCGCTTAAAGACTTGAGTGATTTTATTATGTTTGTGATTAAATAATTCATAATTATTTTGATTTATTGTACCTTTGCTTAATAGGAAAATTAACTTTATTTGAATCGATTAATAATCATGATTAAATTTCAAATAAAAAAAGATAATTAAAAACCTTAAAATCAGTTGAACTAGTTTCAAAGTGCTTATGATTCCAGATAATTTTGGTATGGAGATAGATATTCAAACTAGTTCATATTTTATTCCAACTAAATATTGATGGCATTGAAACACCTTGTAATTAGTTTGTTTTTATATTTACATGAAATTTGAATATTAATCCTTATAATAAATCCTAATAAAAACCTTCATTTTTTAATTAATGTTGTCAAATTGGTTATTTAAATTAATTTTGTTAAATTGGTGACATGAGGCATTAGATTATTTTGTAATTTGATTTATTTTTTTGTAAGATGTATATTACAGTAAGATGTATATTACAGCCTATAGCAGCATTGCAATTTAAACAGATTTACACAAGTATAAAATTGCATCGAATCTTATTAGGGGCTGCTTAACCTATAAATAACACAAATAATAAATTATTTAATTAAGAGACCATAAAAGTATTGAATATAGAACATTTTTCATTTTAACTATTATTTTATCATGAGTGTATTTAATTAATTGTTTTTTTTTTTTTTACCTATATCTACGTTAAATACGATAGTTGTTATATGCCATTTCTTAAAACGTATAATATTACCTTCATATTTCTTTCTATTAATTTTAGTAGCAAATTAATTAGAGCTGTTTACATATAAAAATGAATAAAGAAAATAATAAGAAGAAAACGGTAAAGAGAAATTTCTCTCTATTCAGTATAATATTTTTCTATAGAAGCCGTTAATCCATAAATGATATTAGTTACATGATGTTTGTAGGCTGAACGACAAGGGAAACCTTTCCCCATGAACGACAGGTCGCTCGTGGATAGGAGGAAAAAGTTTCGATGAAAATGTCCATCAATTAAATTAAACCATACTGAACTTTAAAATTGTAAGGCCCATTACCCATAGAGACCAGCCCAAACCCGCATCAACCACATTCTGCACACCCGCCATTTGATCATGCCAATTAGGCCGGCATACTGAGACTTCTCTCATTAGTCATTTAGCTAGAGAGAGCCCATCTCAACGTCTAGTCGCTTGAAAGCTCACTGTTCAGTTAAATGAAACCAAAAAGTACCGTAACAAATTAACAACCAGAACGGAGCACGACTTCCGCCAAAACCGAATGCCACCACCATCATCCGCCGCCACGCGTTCCGACCATGATGACGACGATCATGCTCCCTCGTCCTCCGATCCACCTGTCAAAATCTCTGATTCCAAGCTCGATAACGACAAACAACACGAGGTCGAAGTTGAAGAAGTAGAGGAACAAGAAGAAGACGTTAATGATAATGACGATGGCAGCGAAGAAGAAGAAGCAGAAGAAGAAGAGTACGAAGAGATTGAAGTAGAAGAAGAAGAAGAAATAGAAGAAGAAATAGAAGTAGAAGAAGAAGAAGAAGAAGAAGAGGAGGAGGAGGAGGAGGAGGAGGAGGAGGAAGAAGAAGAAGAAGAAGAAGAAGAAGAAGAAAGTGCTTTAGATTCATCAAAGGAACCTAATGAGAAACGCAACGGTCAGTTTATATCTACAATTGATTTGGTATTTTTCACTTCAAATTTTATTTTCTTTGATTTGGCATTTTATATCAGTGCTATCTATTTGTGATTTTGTTTGAGAACATTGTTTGGTTGAGAGATACATGCTTATCTATTATGGTAATATCAAATCCATACCCATTTAGTTGTTAATAACTTGTAAGATCGTTAATGAGTGAAATAGGCTCTAGACAGTTTAGTCTCAACACAAGAAAATTTACACGTCCAAGGTACAATTTGTGCTACAATGTTTTTGAGGAGTCTGCTTTTATCGATGTTGAGTGACATTTATTGTGTCTTTGATTTTATTGGGAGGTTATTAGCTGATTGGCATTGAGGAAACTGTGAATCTCCTTGAAGGTTTTGAAGGAAGTGCCTTAGTGTGCAGTGGGAAATCTTTTGGTGATTGGCAGATAAACCTCTTACTTAATTGCTTTCATTACGAGGAATTAGTGTCCATGCTTGAGACACTGTGTCTGTGTAAAATGGAATAAGGTACTCTCCTACTTTGCAGTTTCAATAGGATCGAAGATGTTCAACTTCTGTCTTATTTTCACATGGAAATGTTAGATTCAACTTTCACCTAATTATCAGGAGATTTAGATATCACCTCCTCCCCGCTAGTTTTCAATCCTCTTTTCATGACTGTTCTTTTGGTTCAAATTGCTATGCGGGTCTCCGAGGACATATGTTTATTACCAGTGTTGTCACCAACTATGTTGCATGAAAACAGAAAAGTGGAAGTGTGGAAACTCGGGAAAACGCGGGAATAGGAACGGACACAGGAAATGGTATTTTTAAAAATACTGGAAACGGAAATGTGGGGGAAACATGTAAATATAAAAAATATAGGATTATATTTATAAATATAAAAGAATAAATTATCATAAACAATTAAATACATTCGACAACAATTAGAGAATGAATTTTTGAGAGTTTCCAGTTTACAGAAACGTATTTCTGAGAGGGGAAATGTGTTTCCAAATTACTCAATTTAGGGAAACGGCCTGAATTGTTTCCGAAGGTTCCATGCAGGAACCGTTTCCGAAACGCGGAAACAGCAGCCAAAGAAAGTCTCCGTGCAACAATACTCCTATAGACATTAAGGCGAGGCGAGGTGAGGTGAGGGATAGACGCCTTCAACTAGGCATTGCCTAGGCTCCAAGGCGCAGCCAGGCTAGTGATACGTGGGCGAGTGCCTCAAACAAATTTTGCTATTTTTCTTTACAGAAGGTTTGAAAGCCATTTAATAAGTAGGTCAAAATAGTGTTATTAGAATCTTATAATTCGTGATTCGAATCGTACAATTGAATTTAATGCTCATGCTGAACGATTCAAATCTTATGAATGAAATGGAATTGAGCATGAATCTTGTGATTCATGAGACTCGAATTGTAATACCCAACAATTCTTTTACCCAATAAAACAAGTCTGAAAGTCAATGTAGAGAAAGAAGAGAAAGAGAATATAGTTATATTAGAAGATAGAGATGATGAAGGGCTTGAATTTTGGAAATGATAATGAATTAATATGGATTTGGATAGGAAATTTAAAGGCTTGATAGTCTTACTTTGTTTTTGTTTTAAAATTTTAACTTCATAGTTTGATATTTTGAACTTGACAACTAGACAAGACATTATGTTCTCTTTCATTTTCTGTTTAATACCTGATTTGGAATTGAAATTTATATAAATACATTATTTGCAATTAAATTTTTAGCATCTTTTGATAAAATTAATGGAAATGTATCCATAAATGTATGTGTATTTATTTTTAATTAATTTTGAAAAGTTATACTGAATCTTACTATTCAATTCAATTCTCGATTCTAAGAATAAGAATTTCGATTCTTGATTTGACAGCTATGGGTCAAAATGTACACATAAATATGGGAAAAAAAGAGAGTGGCTGAAAAATGGAAAGTTCGACAGCCATTACATACATAGATCAAAATCTAATATAAACATTAAAAATAAGTAAGATAAGTATGGGGAAAAAAACGAAAGTGGCTACAAATTGGGAAGTTTGATAGCCAATGAAAGAATTAGGGTAAATTAAATCAAGTCTTCCATAACTTGAGAAAAGAAAAGAAAAGAAAATTATTTGGCTAAGAAAATTCCTTGAATGATTCTCCATAACTTGGTGAATCCAAACTAGAGAGTTACTTGGATAAAGAATCGATAAAGTATGAACTTAGCAAAGTATTGCCACTGTATACCAAAAACAAAGAGTTTCAAACTATCTTTTTGCGATGACAAAGAAGGGGAGAAACCCTTCTATTTTTGTGCTCTTCAAAAAATAGGGAGAGATGAAGAATTTTACTTTTGTGTAACTAGAAGGAATGCAACTCCAAGCCCACAGATATTGATCCATTGATCTTGCTAGCACGCATTAAATTCTAACTGCCAAATAAAAGTTCTCCTGAAAATTTATGGTCCATCCACAGTCTAAAAGCAAGTGGTTTGGTATTCATCTGCACATTTCAAAGGAAAATATATATTAGCCTTGATTTTCCCTTGTGGCTATCAATTTTCAAAATTCTTTCCCAGTAGATTCTTACGACGTTGACAATCACCCTTGCAATGCCAAAGCCTTTGCAATTTTCTCCTAATATCTTTAAAAATTGATGTTAGTGGCTCTATTCCTCTTGTGTATCAAAGTTGCAAATCTATTCAAGCAAGTAAAATCTGCTCTACCTCTAAACTGCTGAGGTGCTTCTAAACCAACACCCTTCACTGCTTTCATTTGCTTGAAAAATTGTTATGGTCAAAACTTATATAATTAACCCCAGAATATTCCTTCTAGGTACCAAAGCCACAGAGTTATCATACAACTTGTATAATCCCTTTTCCTCTGATGCTTATTCTTGTGAGCTTATGATATTGTTAACAAATGGGGTAGTTCTTTTCTCTCTTTTGTTCAATTCTTCAATTCTCCCCAGCTAGTTTGAGACTAAGGCTTGGTTGTTCAATCTTCAATTCTCATAAGTGCAACCATGGTACAATTTGACTTGGAATAACTGCTAGCTGATCTAATGTTGTCTTCTGTTTAGTGATTAAGTCTCCCAAGGTCTTTTAAGGCCTCTTCTGTTGTGTTAACAGGAGCACATGTGTTCTAGAGACACTGATATTACTTCATTTCTTGATTTAGTTCTTCTTCCATGTAGATGTTAGTCAAGACATGGAGTTTCAGGGGAATGACAGGCAGCAAATTCAGTCATGCTCTCCTCTGGGAAAATCTGACCTGGGGATACAATCGAATTCCCTTGTAGAAGATAGTTTCTGTAATTTGAAATTTTCTGGTTCTTCAAATGAACAACTGACACTGCGGGAGGAATCGCATGTGAACGATGAGGACTCCAAGTGTCTCAAGTCAAGAGAGCATTTGATTGCTGCTGGGGCGAATGGAAGTCAAGAATCTGTAGTGAAGGATGACGCTCATGCCCTTATGATAAAGAAAAACGCTAAAGTAATGAGCGAACCCCATAGTGATGGCAAAGCTCACTTATGTAATAGTGAAGATATGGCTGCTGAGACCACCAGTTCATCTAGTATCGTAGGACATGTTTCTAATGCCTTCGCAACAAAAGACTGCTCAGATATGAACGCTAATGGTATTCTGGATTCTAAGGTCAAGCCAATGGAAATATCATCAGAAGATGGTAAAGAGCGAACAACAACAAGGTGTGGCAATACTGGCTTACTCTTTCCTTCAATTTTACTTGCATCCCACTGGGTCTGTGGCCTTTTGCTGCATAGCATCCCCTCTTTTCTCATTGTAACTTTCCTGCTTGCCACAATCGATTCTTATTTCCTTCTAACCATTGACTTTTTCAGACTGGTTAATTCAGATATTAGGACTCGGAGTTTATCCTTTTCTGCTGAGTTCAAGGACCAGAACAAACGCCCAGCAGTTATATGCGACTTTTTTGCTAAAGGGTGGTGCATTAGAGGGAGTTCATGTAGGTTTCTTCATATAAAGAGTGAAGCGGATAATGCTAAAAAACAGCTGGAGGAAGATGCAACTGCTGCAATTTTCTCAAAAGGAGACCAGTTCAACGAAGGTATATAATATTCCGTGAATCCATGTTCTGTTAAGGTTGATGAACCTCCATTCTTTCATGATATTTATAATGCATACCCCACATCTTCTCCTGTATCAGGTTTGAGAAACATCATGGAAAAATCAAAGTTGCCTGATTTTCCTGACCTAAAGGCAACTCCAAATGGAAATTGTGCTGCTATTTCTTGTCATTTCTCTTCAGAAAGAATCTTGGCTCTTGAAAATGGAGAAAACCGAATGTTGCATCAGTTGGAAGATGAACATAAGTTTTCGTCACTTAAGAGAAAGGAATTATCTCATGATGTCAATCCTGACACCCAGCAATTTCCTTCATCAAAAGATGATCTTGGGATTTCTTCCTCCTTAAAGGATGTAGGAACAGAGAATTTTAGACATAATTGTACCACTACTGATTATGGAAGCTATACCTCTCTAACTAATAAGTACAACTCTCCTTCATTCCAGAACAACTTCCCACCTGAAAATAGAGCTTCTTCAAGTGGCTCAGCTGTAACATCAATCAATTACCGTGGTGTGAATCCTTCTTCTTATTTGAGCAGTTTGGACAATCTAAGATACATTAGAGACAAGTATGTGAATGGTTCAAGCTTTGATGGTTCATTTTCAAGTAGTGGCATGTTCCCATCTCACCTGATCTCAGCTTGGACAGGACCTTCATTCTCTTTTAGTTCCTCTTTGAATACAAGCCCTCTTGGTTCTCAAAAGCTGTTGGACAGTGATAGAGACTTCCGTGCTTCTCGATCATCTTCATTACTGCACAGTGCTTCACCTCTTTCTGGTCCTGAGCGAGAAAATTTACCTATGAACATTGCATCTAGGGATCCTTTGAACTTTGCAGAACACAAAGCAAAAGTATCCTCAAATGATTGGGAGCCATCCGTACCTTTTCGACCATCTTTTTTTATCACTCATACTATATCATCATCTCCTGGAAGCCAATATGACCCTCTTCATGATAGCATTGACTTGCCCACTGCAGGATACAAAATACCCTTTAAATTTTCTTTTGTTAGTCACAGGATGCCCAGCCTCGATACACTACATCAACCGGCACATGGGAACTCCTCAGTAAGTCGTTCCCTTGGCCCAGAACATAATGCTGACAAAAGTACATTATCTTTTCATAGTAGATTCCATGAAAATGTGTCAGCCAAGAATTGCTATACAACTGGAACAGATATGCTTGCTACCGGAACTGTGGTAGGGGAGACTTGTGTGGTCGATGCGCAAAAAGGGACCACACCCAACGAAGAAAATGCTTCAAGCACTGGCGAACGCAGAGATATTCCAGATATGAGCAAAGTTGATGCTGATCATGATTCCAGCCCCAGGCACCAAAATGATGGGCCAAGACACAAAAAGGACTCAAAGGTAGATAAGGTTAAGCAAAAACGTGAAATGGTTGTTGACCAAAAGATAGAGGGAGAATCAAGAGCTGTAAGACATTTCCGTGCTGCTCTTGTTGATTTTGTTAAAGAATTGTTGAAACCGACCTGGCGTGAGGGTCATCTCAGCAAGGATGCACATAACACAATAGTTAAAAAGGCTGTTGAGAAGGTTCTTAGCACCTTGCAGCTCCATCAAATTCCAACTACGATGGAATCAATTAAGCAATATCTTTCTTCATCCCAGCCTAAGATTGCAAAGCTTGTTGAGGTGAGCCGTAATTTTACAGATAATATGTACTTGCAGAAGGCATAGACACTGGATTTTGAAAGTTGTTCGTGATTGACAATTGACAGTTGCTTCTTTTGTTTGCAGGGATATTGTACAAAGTATGGGAAATCTTGACATGCCAAGCCAATCTTTTTCCTTTTTCTTTTGTACAGTTTACCTTACATTTTAGTAATTCAAAATTGCAACAGTATATTTTAAGGCTTATTTAACATAGTTAAAACTGGAGATTCCAGTGGAATGCTGTGAATTCTGTTCAGATGTTTTTTCTATGAATGATTTTTGTTTCCTCCTGGCTGATCTTTTTGGAATAAAACATAGAAGTTGTCTGCGTTTAGTTTTTCTCTTTCTTTTTTTGGCTTAAAAATATATCTTCTTATTCATTGAATACAAGAAAAGTACTTCTAAGTAATGCTGTTCAATTTAGCTGGCTTCTAAAAGCTTGTCCTAGCAGTTATTGCACCTTTGCTTGTTTGACCAATTTGTTCTTACGTGTAGCCTCTCTCACCCCTTCTTGGTGCATTAGAATGCGTCTCTCTTTCATATGATTATGGGACTAAAACATTAATGTTGTATTTGATGTACTTAAGTAATGCTGGATTGGACCTCCAACGTCTATGAACTGGCTTCCTAGAAAGCCACAGTGCAGTTGGTAGTTTTCCTTATTGTAGTATTGCTTTATGGTGTTAAGAGAGTGATAATCGAAATCCATCACCATTTTAAACTAGTGGGCTTCAGTAACAATTGTTTTGCATTATTTCTGCCAGCATATTTTGATGTTAGTTCTTTTGTCATTTTTCTCTTCTTTGTGTAAATGCTGGTTCATCATATTTTATTGTGGTTTTCAGATACCTATGGATGGTCAGTGCAGGTTACTTTTCTATGACACTGTCAAATATGTGGGAGATATAGATCAAGAGAGGTACTTGCCTTATTTTGCTATGTCATCCCTTTGATTAATGAAATTATAACTGACACACCCTTTTGGTAACGTTACATTGTTTTGCTATGAAAAGTCTTAATAATTATCAGTGCATCTTTTAACTGTGTGGTAAGAATATATTGCAGTTCAAAACCAATCCTACAAGAGACCAGAATCAGAACAATGAGATATTTGGATTGTGCTCCTAAATCAATTCATTTAACTCTATTAATTCCTTAAAATGATTGCATCCTACCCATTTGTGGGTTAGCAAGGTTTGGTTCAGGTGGGATCAATGCGGAGTTGCGATTTATTTATTCATGTCAATCTACACTGGATATGCTTAGTTAAGTCTTGAATCAGTTAATGCCCCCACCCTGCACCTTTTCTTTTCCTAAAGAAAAACATTTCAGTGCATTGTTTTGGTACCTCAATTGTAAAAATCTATGATATAGCGGAGACGGTGATGCAGGGACACAGCATATCCCAGAAAAATCTACAAAGCGTTATTCCATTTAGAAATATAGATGGGTTTCAGGGTTTTTACTATAGTGAATAATTCAAAAATTCTACATATATACAGAAGTTGTGTTTGTGTGCCATTTGACATGATAACCTATTATAGCGTGTAAACGTAACTTGTTGTGTATGACTTTTTTTTCATGAAATTTATTTTCGTAATTTTAATCACATTCTGTAATTATTGAAATACGTTATAATGTTAAAATTAAAATCAAGTAATGGAAAATTAAAAAAAAAAAATTCAAATAAAAAAGTAAAAGATACATAAAATAAATCTAAGGTACAAAATTGTTAATTAAGGTCATATTATTTTAATAATGACAATATTAAAATTATTTTTTATAGTCAGCTTATTTTTATTTTGAGAAGGCGTAGTTTGTTTGTTTACAATATTAAAGAGAAAAAAAAAATTAAATATATCTCTTTAGATATGAGAATCAATATTTTTAATTTATACTTTTTAAAATATTGAATTGAGAACCTTTTTTTTTTTAAGTCATAACACTAATTCTACATTTAATAATAAAAAACTAAATAAAAATAATAATGTTGTTAATATATTGTTTTCTTGAGAAGAGTTGTTAATATATTGTTAACCTAACTCACAAGCAGCAGGTATTCTCATTACAATTGAATCCAACAGTTTATATAAAACCCATTTAAATCTAATGGTCACAAAGACTTCTTTATAGATAAAAGAATTTTCTATTATCTACAGTAGTTTTGCCCAACCTGATTCCTATTCCATTCTCAGATCCTATATGTGGGTTTAAGTTTTTCAACCCCCAATCCTTTTTCAGTTGGGTTAAGATCATTCATACATGTTATCTAAATTCTACAGACTATAGAATCAGACTACTGGGCTGCAACTTAGAAGTTAGAAGTATAGCAGCATGCCTGTATACTAGGTTGCCTCCTCTCCTTTGACATAATTGGGAGTTGTTATTTCACTTATTTGTCTGAAAAGGGAAGAAAGGATGGTACAAAGACTAAAATGAAAGTGGATATGTAATTCAAGGACAAACCTTTAGTCATGACATCTCAATTAGGTAATTCCTCATTGTACTAGTTTTAAGTAATACTCTTAGGACACGATAATGTTGAAGTGTTTTGTTAAAGATCTACAGAACCTGTCACCATTAGCAGTTGTGACAGGTGGTGCACCACATGCTGGAAAACTGGACTGATTCAAAAATGTTGCAAATCAAGATGCAGAATCGCTTACTTTTTGGAATGGAGGGTGGATTCATCAATGTCGCTTCAGTCAATGAGATGATAAAAGCTGCATATGTAGTTTTATTTGCATTAATAACTGCAGGTCTGTAGCTGAATTGGACAAATGAATAACTACTATCTCAATTTTTGAATAAAAAATGAAAAATGGAGCTACAGACTAATGTAACTTGCAAGTTTCTTCTGTCATAGTACGTGCTTTATTACTCGTTGGCTTGTGCGCATGGCATTGCCTGCATGAGCAAACAAATGACTGAAATATTTTCTGGCCAAACGACAAATTGGAATTAGATTGCTCCCTGTTTGCTTTATTTCTTTCAGTAGGATTTGGGTTTTCCGAGACTTTGATGCTGTGAGTGTTGCCATCAGTTGATCTCTTCTTTTTGCTACGAGTTGCACCTATGGAGCCAGGCTTATGATTCACCTGCTTGAATCGATAAAGAAATGCCTCTAGTTGCATCTGTCTGCTAGATATTGAAATTTCAGCTGGGCAACTATTGTTTGAACTATGAGCCGCTAATTTTGGTGTAATGTGACTGAACTCAAACTCCTGGTTTTGCTTCTTTATTTTGATGATGTTGTCTCTAGGAGGGGACCATGATTGGAGATCTTGAACAGATAGGAGGTCAGCAAAGGAGAGTGATTCGAATGATGAACAGATATCAGTGGCAACATCCAAAGAGATCTTGTCTTGCAGGTGAGTTGCCATTTTGTTGCCGATTAGGTTGCTAGAACCTGCATTTTTATAGATACAAAGGCAAGGCTGGATCATGGATATTCTGTCCCTTTCTGTTTGTTTTTTATTGGTTTTGTAGCCGTTTCAAAATTTTTTTTTTTTTTGGTCTGATTTTTATGCAGAATTGCTTGTACTTAACCTAGGACTGATACTGTCCGATGAGGGGAATATCAAAAGCATGAAAAGACTTCAGGATCCCTTGTTCGTCTTTTGTGACCTACTGGTCGTAGGATGTGACAGAATCTTTCACCTGTGGAAGGTATTTTTCAATCATTCAGATATTAATTATCAATATCACTAATTTTTATTAGTGGTAAATAAAGTGTTTTCTGAAAAAAAAAAAAAAAAAAAATACTTAACTAGGACGATACTGTCCCGATGAGGGGCAATATCAAAAGCAGAAAACAGACTTCAGGAATCCCTTGTTTCGTCTTTTGTGACCTACTGGGTCGTAGGATGTTGACAGAAATTTATCACCTTGGAAGTATTTTTCAAATCATCAAGATATTAATTTATCAAATATCACCTAATTTTATTAGTGTACATAAAGTGTTTTCTGAAAAAAAAAAAAAAAAAAAAGCAAATAAAAAAATATGATTAGTCAAATATGATAAACTTATTGAAAAAAAAAAAAAAAAAAAAGCAAATAAAAATATGATTAGTCAAATATGATAAATTATTGCTGGTGCAACCCTTCATGAAACTAGAGGGTGATACATGAAAATTTTTGACGGTCTTTCCAATTTGATTAATTTTTATTGGAATTCATTTCAGATGATCCTTGGCCGGACTTTTCTTGTAAATTGCTTAAATAGCTAGTTGACAATAATGGCCTTCAAAGCAGAGTAATACTGGATATCTCGTAGGGAAAATAGTTGACAAGGTGAATATATTGATAAATTAGTATATAATATATCAAAACACAATCTTTGATGCATATTCTTTAGGAGTCATGACTGAAACTCTATTATCAGAATTCAAGCCTGACGCAAGAAGTTTGATCTTTTTTTTTTTTTTGATTCCCTTTAAAAGAATGTTTGAGCTAAATGTTGGTTCCTGGTGGTATTTTTTACCCACAGATAGCAAAGTCATTATCATTGATGATTCCAAAACGCTAAAGATTATTAATCAGTGATTTGTGTTGATGGAAATTCCAAAGGAGGCGGCTTTTTATAGTATAGTATCTGTTAATCCATCATTGTCAATGGAAGTCTACAGTCTCATGTTCTATGGTATAACTATTTGCCGGATACGAACCTTTTTTGAGAACGAACATGGTGGTTCGAACTTCCAACTGACTAGATTTTTCTTGGTTCAAAAGATCTCCCGAAGGTGGGCCTTGTTTCCAATCTAACTCGTAATGTAATTGCAAAGCAGAACTGGACATACCGAGTTTCCTTCTTCAGTATAATATATTATTCCCCACCCATCGAATAGACAGTACAGAAATAAATATGGCAGCCCAAGTTATGTTTGCGAGGAAAAAGAGCAACAATATTAATTCAGTGACTCGTGTAATTAAATAGAAAAATCTTGAGTTTATTTTTATATCTAAGAAAGATTATATCTTTGATGTCAATTAATTAATTAGTTTAAGTTTTGTATTTTTTCCGTTATTCTTTTTTGCTAAAAATATATTAAAGACGTGGCATTTTTATCACTAGGCCACTGGCCTGATTACAATGAATCTAATTAAGCTGATGGATATGAATATGAATTGCAGTTTTGAGAAAAATAATTTGGTTAACTGATAAGATTAGTTACCATGTATGAAGAACTAGAATTAATAAGAGGTGAGACTAGGCTAAATAAAAGAATTGATTTCCACTGATGCGTGCCTTTATGCTCCGTTTGGGAAAAGGAAGGGAATAAAATAATGGGAGAAAGAAAATTTTTTTTTTTTTTAATGGTATCTTATTTGTTCCATGTATTCTGATACAGAAATACCATGTATAATATAAGCAAGTGTTTTTGAACAAAAATCTATTGTAAACAAATAAGCAGGCCACACGTTTCACCATCAAAATCGAAGCTCCATTATCTATCTATTATCTTTCTCGCCATTGTCCAAAGAATAGGACAAAACAATTACACTTGTCAAGCAAACCACCATTTTCTGCCATCACCTTCATGAGCAGATATTATTTATCGGGGCCCATTTTACCGAGTCTTCGTCCTTATCCATCTTTTTATATCTATCCACTTGCCATTTTCCTATTTCCACTAACCCACCTCATTCTTAAAACCTATTTACCCGCATTAATCGCGCCTGGAAATAGACAAAAACCTGTCTGGACATTTTCCACCAATAATAGATATTTGAGACATTACAACCACCGCCCTTCTATATATCTTAACCAGCCACTGCACTGAAATTTTCACTAAGCTAGCAAAGCTAAAGAGATCAGAGAAAGAAGAAGTGTAAAGATGTTGCTAGACAAGATGTGGGACGACGTCGTTGCGGGGCCTCAGCCCGACCGTGGCCTTGGCAAGCTCAGGAAGATAAGCACCAAGAAATTAACCGTAGTCACGGGTATGCGCATGTATACATAGTTTTCTTTCACCTAGATATAATATTTCAAGTTACATGTTATCAGAGTTGACGATCTTGTGTTATAGAGGGAGAAGGAGAGAGTAGCAAGTTTCAGAGGTCGATGTCGATGCCAGCAACTCCAGGGACACCTTCCACTCCGGTGACACCCACAACTCCGGTTTCCGGTCGCAAGGATAATGTATGGAGGAGCGTTTTCCACCCTGGAAGCAACCTTGCCACCAAGGGTCTGGGTGCTCAGCTCTTTGACAAGCCGCAGCAGCCTAATTCCCCCACCGTTTATGACTGGTAATTTCCGTAAACATATATATCATCTTTCTTGGCTCTATGCATCTTTTTCAGGTGTTTTAGTGGCGCGTGGGAATAGATCTTGGTCTTCTTGCTTGCATGCATGCAAGTACACACGATATGGTATTTTATATGTCACGTTGGTTTGTGCTTTAGTTGAATCTTGCCGTCAGATCCGTTTACCTTTTGTATCAGATGGCTTGGATATTTATTTATTTTTATTTTTAAAATTTTTGTTCTTTTATCTGGTTTGATTTTGAGTGTGCTAAAATGACGTGGGTTACACATGATCGTATTCATGGCAGGCTTTACAGCGGAGACACCAGGAGCAAGCATCGCTGAAGTGCTGAAGTGGCAGTCAAGTAGGGTTGCCATGTAAATACCGTCGTTTTGTTTCCCGGTCTTCACTGCGTTGCTGTCGTTTTAATTAATGCTTACTATGCTTAGTATTTGCTACGATCTGACTCAAAAGTGTTTAAGCTATGTGTGAGTAAAATGTTATCACGGTTTGTTGACCTCTGTAATTCGAGATCTGCCGTGGACGGTGGTGATGAAGCTACTTTATTGTTGTGGTTAAATAAAGAAATTGCATTTGTAAGTTTTTTAATTTGAACATGTTAAATAATTAAGTACTGGGTATCACTTGTTTCTTCTTTTCTCTTTTTCTAATTTTTTGAAATGATAATCTAAAAAGCCTTGGTGTTATCCTCCCTGGAGTGCTTAGCCAAGCGTGGTGGTTGGTTAATTTCTATGATAACTACAATCAAATCAACATTAAGGTTTATGTCTAGATGGATAGAAATAATTAAACTATTAATCGTCAATCATCGTATGGCGGGTGGACAAAGTATCATGGGAAAGTGGGGCCGAGCTGTGATGTGGAGCGGATAAGGAAGATCAACGGAGAATAAAAAAAAAAAAAAAAAAACTATTTAATCGTCAAATCATCGTATGCGGGTGGACAAATATCATGGGAAAGTGGGGCCGAGCTGTGATGTGGAGCGGATATAGGAAGATCAACGGAGAATAACAAAAAAAAAAAAAAAAAAAAAAAAAAAGCTTTTAAGTAACTTCGAGGATGAGACGATGGAATAGCAGTGATTTTTTCTTTCGACTTCGATTTATAAAATATCTTTAGTCCCTTTAAACACATCTGGGAGCTTTTTCTAAATATTTGAGAGGGATCTCTTTGTTTTTTTTAGGTCTGTTTGCCGTAAATTCGATGATTAGTCGGGTGAAAAAGCATTTTGAGGATGAGATGGTGAAGGTTGTCCTGTTTTGGATCAAGACTTGTTACTTTTCATTCCAATTTCCATGACAAAAAAAAAAAAGAAAAAAAAAAAAAGAAAAATGTAGCTCTTGAAAGTGCTATTTTTGATGGGGCCTAGGCATGCCCATTAATCAAGAAATTAGGTAAAGTGTCCAATCTTATCAAGGTAGTGATAATTCAGGAAAGGCATGTCGTCCTCTTCTTCATTTTTTTTTGCCCCTTTTCTTTTTCCCGAGAAAAAGCTAAAAATGATTCCAATGGATGGTCAGTTTTTCAAATTACTCCACTTGTGCAATACAGTATTAAAACGGTGAAAGCTTTGGCTTTTTGTTTCTAATCAAAATATCTCATTGTCTGATATTAATTTATAGAAAAAGGACATACATCAAATGCAAGAATGATGATATTTTGTTAGGGCAGTTAAGACTTTTACGTTCTAAAACTGGAGAGGTTACATCTCTTGAACATATAAAAACATATAATTCAAAATGCAATAGCAAGTTGGAAGAAAAACAATAGTGGAAACATCAACATCCATGTGGATATGGGACAAATTTGCACTCAAAAGTTGCTTTCTCTGGTTCAATGATGAAGTTAAAATATATATATATATACACACAGTATTGACGCAGTTCCAAGGTGATGAAACATTAGTTTGGTTTAGAGTCAAAGCAGAAGTAGAGTCTACCACGCTACCCTTAGGGCAACGGCTTCAGACTATCAATCAATTCATTGATAATATTAATCACCTCTTAACCATTTTTATTAAATGGCAACATCTGAAATAATCACAAGCACTGTATTGCATAGTTTAATAGACAACTTGACAAAATTTACACTGAACAAACTTGAAGCCTCACATGTCATAACCTAAAAAAAAAAAAAAAAAAAAAAAAAAAAAAAAAAAAAACACAATTTCTTGCCAGTATCTGACAGTGTGGATATTTGAACAAAAAAAAAAAAAAAAAAAAAAAAAAAACACAATTTCTGCCATGTATCTGACAGTGTGGATATTTGAACATTTGATGCTCATGTAAAAATAAAACTTGATTGGGTACGTGAATATATATATACGTTCATTCTGTAAAAACAAGATGGTTTCTATGACAAGCTTGGAGGCAACCTTGTCACCATTTTACTTCTAAAGCTTTTTCTGATACGCCAAAAGCTGAAATAACACAAGTAGAAAAGATTACTATAGTATAGGATTGGTATATCCTTGTCAGCAAGTTCATCTATTAAGGCTGAGATAACACAAACTCACCAGATGCCCTTGAGTGGAATTATACGTTCTAAGCCCTGCCAGAGTTTCTTGCTCTTCTAAAACTTGCAACTTGTCTTTGCATGGATCAATTACACTAGGCTTAGAAACTGATACATTTGTTGAGGATGAAGTATTAAGCTTTGAATTTAACTCTTTCACCAGATATATTTCAACTTCATCTACTTGCAGAGCAGTTTGGAGAGCAACATACTGCATTACAGTGAGAATAAAAAACTGAAGTTATCAAAATGCAAATGAAGCATCATTGATAGGAAAACACGTTGTGCGGTGGAAAAAGAATTACCTGAGATAGCTGTTTGACTGAAAAAGTTGGCTTGCAGCGAAGATATGGCCGCTGCAAACTGGGTATTCTTTGATCATCAAAAGAAACAAGCATGAGGTGGATATCCTTCTGAAATTATAAGGAAGCGAATCAATCATTTTTGGAGCATTTAAGGAGGACAGGAAGAGAAAATAGTGCTCCAGAAAAATAATGATCTCAGAACATGATCACCAGCAATAAATCTGCTTTACCTCATTATCAGTTTCCTCCAAGTTTCGAAGATACTCTGCTAACTTAGAGATACGACTGTTTCGGGCATTCTTTCCGTTGCCAGCATTTGCACTGCCATATCTTGTGTGACTCCGCATACCACCTTTGCCCCAGGCAAGCCTTTCTGAGGGGCCAACAAGCCCAGCACAGGATCCCATGGATTCCCTATTCAATTCTGAGTCATTTTCATCTCCACCGCCATCTGCATTAGCAGCTTTGGACCGACCACCTCCCCATCTCTTATATCTTTTTGATTTAACTTCTACACTGTGCTCCTCAGCAGACGATGAATCTTTGCTTCCATCACAATTTGCATCTCCATTGTCATCAGACCCTTGAATATCAGCTGTTCGATGATTTCTCCTTCCTCTTGAGTTGGGATCTCGGCAACGGCCTGGTGTTCTCCTTGCAAATGTATGTACTGTGTTTCTAGCTGTTGTCCTTTTCCTGCCAAGAGCTTCTGCTTGTCGGCGAAAAGTCTGGGCAATAGAAGCTTGGATCTGTCCAAAACATCCAAAGATTAAATCATTGAAGAAGGTCGTAATAGAGGAGAATTCTGCACAAGTTTGCTGCAAAGTAATCACCAGCGAGACCTAAGAATATATGGTAAAATTGGTGGTCATATGTTATTTTACCCCTAAAAGCCTTATCTAGAAGTAGTCTTCAACTAACTGGCATAAAGGAAAGTAAAACTCATGGATCCACATACAAATAAAGACATATTTAGTCTTTGGTCTTTTCTTTTATTGCTTTCTTTGGTTGAATAACCGAATTTAACATGGACCTGCAAATAAATGAATACATGTCTGGATTCCAGATGACTTGCTATCAATTTCAACAACTCACCTGCTTATTGCGTGCCTTCTCCTCCTCATGAAATGCTAATTCCTGGAGCAGATATTCAATTTTAATATTTCTCCAATTTCTGATACAGAATAGAATCTCAGATCCCATTTTAACATTGAAGTAAAAGTATACCTCTTTCTCATATTTGTCAATATCAGGATACAACACAGCAATTAATGCATCATAATTTGGGTCATCTCTCAAAGAACGACGACTGGCGCAATGGGTGCGGCAAGCAGGGCACTCATTGTTCCTATAGTGAATTCAGTCAGCATACATTTCCAGCATCCATGTTTTAAAGAGATGTCAGGAAAGAAATAAAAGGAAACATGCACTTTAATAGGTTCAGGAGGAAAGAAACTGGAGAAAGGTTGAAGAGTTACCCAAGCCGCATAGATTTGTCTATGCATTCCCTGCAGAAGCGATGCAGGCATTCCATTACTGTCCTGGTTTTTCGAATGATCCCTAGACATAGAAAGGGTTAAATTGGTAACTTTTTCCGTTCTACCTATAAGTTTGATACTTATGCATACATGTGAAGAAAGGGAAGAGTTATAAGCTCTGGACTTGTATTTAGATCATAACTCTAAATGAACAAACAATGTTATATTTACTGCAAAGGGATGTTCATTTACTAAGCTGCAGCCTGTAGATTTGAGACTACAGTGATATACCATGCGGACCTCAAATTTTAGTTAGTATGGATTAAGTAGCGGTAACTAGATGAAGTAAAAGATAACACACAATCATACATCATAATGCCAACACGAGTGCAAACAATCTTAATCAAAATCCCAGTGTAACAGGAAAAGGAAAGATGAATTTAAAACCCAAAAATTGCTTATTTAAAACTAGGATATTTTTTCTGAGATTTCATCATGTATTTCAGATAAATATCACTAAATTTGTTGAGATATTAACATAGTTCAGGCAAACTATACAGATGAAGTAGATGTTTAACCAATTATATCATAATTTAAGGGGAAATCATGGTGGACAATATTAGGTAAACCAGGGAATCAGAACTCTTAAAGCATGATTTTCCAGACTGAGCAAGATCTAGGTAAATCCATTATTCAACTCCATTCAATCTCTGAATTAACTTCATTTGGCAGTGGATGCTTCATGTCCTTGACAGAGTAATTTTTCTCAAATTAACAAAAGCTGTGAGTTCCCCATCAAAACAATTGACAGTTGCCAACCATTGATAACCATTGGCTAACCAAACCTTAACTGTTTTACACCTTAATCAAATATTCGTCTAAAAATTACATTATATATATATTTATACAAAAAAAAATTCCTTTTTGTCAGCATGTATAACTTGCACTCACGTATATAATGTATATATCATTAATTAAAATATCAAGAAAATATATAACAGTTTTTTATGACAATTAATGAATATATGAGTATGTTAGTCAAAATTATCCAAAACCATACTCTTAGCTACCAGACAATATTAGAACTTCTTTGCAATTCATTTTCAAAAAGAATATGTAAGTCTACTCCACCCAACAGTACTTCACCATGAAAAAAAATGGCAGGAAATCTGCAATAATGTTGCTGATACATGTTTAGAATGCTAGCATGATAAGTACACACTGAAATAAAAGAAACGAGGTAAAGTGAAACTGAATACAGTGTATCCTAGAAGAGCATTTGACAAAAGCAGGTAGCCATTCAGCATTATAGAGGAACATACTGACTGAAGATAGTGATGTTTATCCAAAGGCTCTCTGATCCTTAGGCCTCGAAAAAATGCATCCAAATGATAAAAACAGATAAACTGTGCAGTTTCTAACATATCATGCATTCATGCATTGTGTTGCAGCCTATAGGGGGTGCGGCAAACTGAAAGCAAGTATTTTTTTTGCACAAACTCATGCAAAATAATGAGCTCAAAATGATGGTATGATAAATTGCAATCCAGCACTTTGATCCACAAACCATTTATGTTTTCCCAATAGGCATACAAGTGTTAAATGACACTCTAAAATAACAAATAATGATAAAGAAAAACTAAACTTCTGCACATGTGAGTTTGCTGACTACTATAATAATGCATATTTATCAAGATAAAGATTAACTGTAACAGCAGAAATCTTTCATGTAAACTTCCTAGGTGTCTGAAAGTTAATACAAGCAGCTAAAACCCATACCTAGACAGATTGGACACTGTACTTCCTTGCGTATTTCGGACAGCTTCACTACAACATATCTGCAACAAAGCAACACAGAAACAATGTCAGCAGCCATCATATACACTGTTCAGGACCAATTCTTATGGCTAGATTGGCTTTTAACCTTCCCTTCACATTTTATATGCATCTGTTCTCAAAATAAAATGGGAAACTTTTCATGTGATTGAAGTCATAGTAAACATAATTTTACTGCATATAAATACACAAGCCCATAGATCCAAACAATAATTGAATGCATAATCTGTAGCATTATGTGACATGAAAATTATGAGAAAAATCAAATAAGAATATGCACGAACCATATGTTGGTAACATTATTAATGCATTCCAAGCACAAAAATTAGAAAAGAAGAGATACAGTGAACATCAAAGGAAAAGGAAAACTTGGCCACTGATATTTGAACTGACAAATATTGTCAATGTGATATGCAGAATGCTCAGAGACATAGCGCATCCTTCTTAATTACGTATAATCAAAGGCCGATCATAAAATTTCAAAGGTGCATTTCTAAAGTTCTGCATTTTTTGCTTAAAAAAAATTATGTTCACGTGAATACAGGAGTTTAACTGCAATGTAGTATAATGCAGGTTGAAGAATTTTATCAAGATTCAAGAGGAAAATGGTACCCTAAAAGTTTGACTAAATCAGTCATCTGAATGCATTTTGAGAATTCATTATGATCAAACCTAGATTTTTAAGCGTCTTGAAAGACATAAGAAAAGAAGGAATATCTCTTTTCAAAGAAAAGGAAACTGGAAATTATTTCTAGAAGCCAATTTGACCCTATCACGAGTTTTTGTCAAGAACTTAAAGCCAAAATATGCCCTTATGGAATATACTCGAAATATTTTAGCAACCTTCCCTAAAAAGCTTAAAATTTACTTTCTCCATATTCGAAGTATTCAGGAAATGATGCATCAGTAAACTAACACGGTGGTTTAGATAAAAGAATCCAATAGACTGAGTAGGACCTGAAATTCCACTCTGTCAAATTAACTACAGAACATATATACCGATATCCAAACCCAAAAGAAAACAAGGAAAAAAAAGGGGGTGAGGATGGGGTTTACAGCATGACATCAAATTTATGTCAAATACTGAACAGCCATGAGTCGTATGAAGCCTTGCAATAGCATCTTGGCAGCAAATAAACCTCAGTTTCGAAGGGAAATGCACTAGCATATAGACACAATCAAAGACCACAGATTCAGATGCTGCAATTTGTCAAATTCCAAACCACTAAATTCTGCAATCTGAAAAAGAATCAGATTACTATGTACAGCATAGTGCAATCAAAATTTTCAAACAGATGTTTAAATTCAAAAGGTTTGTAATATTACCAGAAAAAGAAAACAAAATATTGTGCTTGGAATCATGAATGTATTTTTTAATCCCAATTCTTGCAACACAGGCGATACAATACTTTGTCTACTCCCAAAAAAAAAAAAAAAAAAAAGGGGAAAGAGACAAGTGGTGAAAAAGAATATGTGTGTATGTTGTGATTGTCGTAGAGGATGGGGGTTGGTTACGGAGTGTGCATGACCAGTCAGAATGTTGGAATGTCTATATGGGTGAATTACTGATACAGTCCATTTGATTTTCTGTATGAAGCTCTTCTTAATAGCCTAGTTTTCTGTGTGCAAGTGCTAATATAAATCTTCTCATGTTTCGTTAATGGAATATTTTCAATCTGAGGCATAGTTAGAGCACAATCAAGAAGTAGCCTAGCAGATTTTCAGATGCTGTCTGAAAATTTCGAGAATTCCAAATCGCACTGAAATGTCTTTGCATAATCTTGAGAACAAGAAAAGAATCTTGGGGTGTCGTAATATTTGACGGGTGTTTTATTTTTTTTTGCTATGCTTAGCGAGCATATGTGCAATTCATAGTAGATTTGTCTAATACTAGATGTTTACATGATTTCAATAAGTTTTAATATAGTTACCAGGAAAAAAGAAACAAAATTAATGTGCTTTTGAATATTCATTGTATATGTATAGTTTGTTTTGATATTCTCAATTCTTGGCTAACACCATGTCGATACCTTATGATACGTTGTCTATCTCTCGCAAAAATCTAAAAGAGAAAATAATAAGAGAGAAAATATTATAGGGCGGAGAGGAAGAAATCAGAGGTATTAAGTTGTGCGATATCGATATGAAATGGAGGCAGGTATCATCTATTGGAGTGGAAAGATTAACAATCGATACAATTTTTATATAAGAGCTCAAAATGTAATATTAGTGGTGTTAATTCGTAGGATAATAGACAGAGAAGAGCACAGTGTACTTCCTTTGATCCGCTCTTGCTGCGGTATAAATCGAGAAAAAAAAAAAAAAAAAAAAAGGGCGGAAAGAACATATTGTCACATATGAAAGAGGCCAGATCATCATTCTGATGGAAATTAACAACATACAAAAAGCAAAATTAAATGGGTGAAATTCGTAAATAGAAACAAAAGCACAGTGACTCCTTGACCCTCCTCGATAACATATATAGAAGGGAACAAAATTTGAGAACACTTTGCATCACCTAAGCTGGCCAGTAATCTGACAGCTAATCTATAATTATGAAGCTGCCAGTTACAGCGCGAAACCAACATTTAAGCTAAATTGATAAACGAGGGGTTTAACTCAGATAAACTCACACTTGTCATTCGAAAGTAGAGTAACAAGCAAATTAATAACCTTACACATCATCCAGATACAAATTTCACAAGCACAAACAAACCGACCACACATCGTAACAGGAAAAACCAACTCTCATGCACACACTAATTCGAGCAAAAATTACCACGACTCCTGAGCTCCACTCCCCATAATTTGAAGACAATGGAACGCAACCCAGCAATAAACATGGTGAAAGCAACCAGAGCCACTCGGGAAACAAAAGTTGAAAATCGACGCTAGCTACAGCAAGAAAAGCCAATGCTCCATAAACACATACGAGCTTATCACCCAATGTTCTCGTAAAATGCGACGAGTAAAAAAGCAGCTAACAAACAAAGCATGCAGATCCTAAATGAAAATCCCAGCGTTCGCGCATCAAACAGCACCACTACAATCAATAAGACGTGGCGATCCAGAAAGGAAGAAGAAGAGAATGTCAAACCAAAACAACAGTAACAAATAAACAATACGTACTCTTCTTTCTCTTCTTCATTACTCGAAGATGGGCTTCGATCAGATTCTGTGAAATAATAGCAAAAGAACCTCAAGGATAATACTTTAAACTAAACGATAATCAAATTCCAAAACTAAATGCACAAACTTTGAGTTTTGAGTTTCTCTTTCTCGTTGAAAATTTTTTTAGTTATACACGTACCATCAGCACCGCCATCATTATCATCATCATCAGGAAGCGGCTGCTGCTGCTGTTCATGGCGGTTGTTGGGGAGGTCTTGCAGCAGAAGATCATCGTCTTGTTGGTGGGTGTCATAGGGACGTTTCTGGGCTGGCATTTTCTGCTTTCTATTAAAAAAAACCCAACCACGGAAGGAATTCAAATGCTGCTGATAAAAGTTTAATGTTGGTTGTTGTCAATTCAAGAGGGAAAGTCACCAACAAGAAAGGCGTAAGCGAGAGGAACAGAGATTGAAGGTGGTCGAATATAGCTTGACCTTCCTGCTGCGTTTTTTCGGAGAGAGAAATAGATTATAAAGAAAGGCGGACGAGTAGAGGCTGTGTCTCTCGTGGTATTTACCGGACTCTGCTGTATTTATACATGTATGTATATCCATGTATGTATGTGTATTTGATTATATATATATATATAATCTTAGTATTTTTTTGAAGTGAATTAAAATTAAATCTTATTTAACTAAGAGCAAATAAAAATCGAAATTACTAAAAATGAAAATTATAGTTGAAAAATAATGTGATGTGGGAAAATCCTAATTCCCGTTTAAAAATTAAAATATAGATGAAACAAAACAATAATAACGTTCTGAAAACGCATAATTTTTTCATTTTCATTATATTATTTTTTTTAATTGGAAAAAGTGGATTTCATTGACCTTAGTTCAATAAGGATTTAATATTAACTAAAGTAAAAATTAAAGGATTCAATATGTATAGATAAAAATTCAAGGTTTAACGGATAAAACTTGATGAATTCGGAAGTGTAAGAGTATATTTTGACTAAAAAAAATATATGTGAAGTTGTAAATAGTTTAATTTTATTATTAGCAAATTAATTTTATATATGATCATCCCAGTCATCATGAATATATTATATGATCATCCCAGTTCATTCAGAAATATATATATAATATATATATATATATATATATATATATATATTTATATATATATATTTATTGAAGGTATAAAAATATATAGATTACTTAGCTAAAATAACAAAATTTAATTAAAACAAACATAATTGAGTAAAACTTGCACTATGTTACTTATTAAAGTGTTAAATTTACTAACCAAACTTCAAATTTGGCAGATCTTTAAAAAGAAAAACTTGAAACATTAGGAATTATTATTAAATGTCCTTAGTTATTTTTTTTTTAATATAGAAAATAGAGCTCTGTCATGATAATTAATCTCAAGCTCTTGATTATGTGATATTTTACCATATACTTGCTTTGGTGGAATTTTTAATGGACTTATTTAATTTTATTATTTTCTTCAGGAAAATTGGGCAATTTACTTTGAAGAAATAAATTTATATGACAAAGAAAGTGAAAGCAAGAGTGCATTTCTAAATTCATTTACCCGAACGGCAGGTTTTGCATTGCATGCCCATTTTGCAACCATAGGCGGGCTGCTACAATATAAAAACTCTATATTATTGCTATATATGCATCAATAATTAATTTTCAAAATATCTAAACATAAATTATTCTGGACTGTCTTTATAAAGTTAGAAATGAAAAAAAATACTCATTGGAGGAACGACCACAAGTCTCAAAACAAATTAATTTTATATCTACGGATCTTCGGGAAAAAAAAAAAAAAAAAAAAAAAAAAAAAAAAAGAGAGATTATAATTAATTATATTGTAAATTACAATAAGAGCCCATTAAAAGGCACTCCAGCCCAATAAGGGCAGAAGAAATGTTTAAGGGGTATAAATGAAACGGCCGTCATTTGGTTTGGTGGCCAGATAAAAGTTCAAAACGACGTCGTAGTCTCCAGTCGCGGTTGCCTCGAGAACACAAAATTTGAGGTCACCGTTATCGTGTCCGCGACACTGAATGGAAAAGCATGACAGTGGCAGTTTTAGTATTACGATATGATTCGATTCTATCCAGAACCAAAATCTTAGTTTCAAAATCATCAAGCTTTCCTCGGCTTTTTCTCATTCCTCATGGATTTACGCGAAACCGTTGATTTTGCTCGTAACTTTGCTGTAATGGTCAGAGTCCACGGCCCGGTAAGTGTTTCTCTATCTGAACGTATACAATACATGTCTTTGTTCATGTGGCTTACTGTTTTCATGCAACTTCTTAGGACCCAAAGGGGCTGAAGATGCGAAAACATGCTTTTCATCAATACAAGTAAGTGAACAGTTGTTCCAAATTTGAAGTGGGATGAGATTTCTGGGGATCTTTTTCTTCAAATTATCTTTGCCTAATTTTTTTTTTTTTTTTTTTTTTCTAATTTTTTTTTTTTTTTTTTTTTCTGGTTTTGAAGTTCTGGCAATACACACTTTTCAGCTTCTGGATCTATTAGCCTGAACTATTTTTTTTTTTTTTTTTTTTTTCTGGTTGTGAAGTTCTGGCAATACAACACTTTCAGCTTCTGGGATGCTATTGCCTGATACCCTTTACCATGCTGACTTGGCAAAGCAAGTTTTGGTCAGTAATAGCAAGGAGGGTCATGGTCTGGTGCTGGTTTTGACCGTTGCTTCTGTTGTTGAGTCTTTTCTGTCACCAAACCAGAGGGAGAACATTTCTCAGGTTCAAATTTCAATAACATGAAATGCAGAATTGGATTGCTTTTGTTGTTAGTGGGGTTCTTGATGTCACTTTGTTGCTTATTATTTGTTACAGGGCCAGCCCGAGATGATTCCTGGTGCTCAGATTGATATTATGATAGAGGTATAAGATTCTACTATGTTTTTGTTTATTTAATTGAAATGGTTGGTTGCGGAGGACGTTTTGTACGCTTGAATATTATGATATCTTAGGTCTGTTGGTTTTCAGGAAAAGTTGGGGGTAGAAAGACATGCTGAGGGAAGCTTGGATAAAGGAGCTTCTAGTTGGTTCACTGCTCAACTTCTAAGATTGGTAAATGCTTGAATTGATATGTTTTATTTGAAGGTCAAAGAAGCCTAAGAAGCAATTCTAGTTGTATTTCTTAATTGTAATTGTATTACTCTAGGGTTGAATAAAACAAAAATTCCATTGATAATTTGATATAATTGCTATGCTTAATGTCTGACTTGTTGGGTTTTTTAGAAAGATGTAGTAACCTTTTGCTCAAGTAGGTTCATGGTATGCTACTTATCTTAAAATTGCAACTGTTCGATATTCTTTTTTATGTAGTTCTGGAACTCAAGTTGAGCCTCATGGTTTTGTGGGATTCATCAATGTGATAGCTCATGACAATTCTAGCTGTTCATGGACATTGAATTGAATTGGCGTGTTCTATATATGTTTTGGGATGAAATTACATTTTATGGTGAACTGGCCATGTTGTAAAGTGTCTTTTTGTTCTTAACTTGGTACAGTTATTTGATGATACTGAGAAGTCTACGTTTCTCGTTGAATGTTGATTCTGATTATCAACTTCATCATTTATGAAAAACAAAAAATGAATGATTAGACATCCTATGTTTATTGATTAACAAATTCAATGTGAAGGTCGATGTTCCTGTATCTTCCCATGCTCTCCAATCACTTATTGAATCCTCTTCAGGCTTAGTAGGTAATGGATGGGAGACCGGTTGGTCTTTGGCCTCCTATGATAATGGTCCTCGAACTTTTATGGATGCTGGTCAGACACAGGTTAGTAAGGCTCAAGTTCTTATTTCTATTATTACTGTTTTCATTTTTAATTTGGTGAAAGTCTAGTGATCATGAATGAAATTAAGCCCTGTGGCTATTGTAGGCAATTAGGTTTGTGCTAACTAGTTACCTGGAAAGAGAGGGAAGAAACATCCATACCGCGGTTTGCTAAAGGACAGTTTACAGAAATTGCTTCAGAAGCATTTTTTTTCATTGAATCTTGCATAAATAACGGTTATCATACATGGGATAAACATTGATGATGTGATCCGCATTCAGACTGAAGGTCGTAATACATCTTTCATGGAGGGGCAGGGGCACTTACCAGTGGAGGAATCTGGCAATCCAAGCCTTATGAGCAATGCAACTACTAGAATTGCTATTCTTGGAACTTTCTTAGGTTTGAAGGTACCATCATTGTTTTTGCTTTCCATTCTTAAAATTCTTTCTTCATAGTATATGCTGTCAGTAATTAGATCATCTATACGATTTGCGCGGTTTCATATCATTTGCAGACTTTTACTATATAATATAGTTATTGTTATTGTTATTCAGGATCTACCAAACATTGCAATATCACCGTCAAACAGAAGAGGGGATTTTCTTTTAGCTGTGGGTTCTCCTTTTGGCATCCTGTCGCCTGTGCATTTCTTTAACAGGTATTCTTTATTCTTTTATCATTGGCTTTCTAATGTTCATGTTTTTGTTAGGATTTTTTATGACGTCTTACAGTGTTGCACCTAACATAAAAATGCATTTTTTATGTTATCCTTCTTACCTGAACCAGCTTGTCAGTGGGATCGATTGCCAATTGCTATCCAGCTAGATCATCAAATATTTCATTGCTGATGGCTGACATTCAGTGTCTTCCAGGTGTGGCAATGTGTCTCATACATTATGAGTGGGCACTTTGATGCTACTTAAATCTGACTCTATTGTTGGCACTAAATCTACCAGGAATGGAAGGGGGCCCAATTTTTGGAGAACTTGCACATCTCATTGGCATTTTGATTAGACCTTTGAGGCAAAAGAGTAGTAGTGCTGAAATTCAGGTAATTGGAACACATTCTCGTTTTAGATTGTTTAAACTATCTGATAGTTAATGGATCATGCAAAAGTTCTAGCCTTGGGTAACAGCTGGTGATTCCGTGGGAAACCATTGCAACTGCTTGCAGTGACTTGCTGCTGAAGGAGCCTCAAAATGCAGAAAAAGGGACCCATTTTAATGAGGAAAACTTAAATGCTGTAGGGAATGCATACAGTCATGAGCCAGATGGACCCTTATGTTATGAATACAAGCCTCTTAATTCTTATTGCCGTTCTCTGCTCTCTCTTGAAAAGGTGACGGCTTCTGTTTGTCTTATTACAATTGATGAAGGTGTATGGGCATCTGGGGTTCTGCTGAATGATCGGGGCCTGATACTCACAAATGCTCACCTGTTAGAACCATGGAGATTTGGGAAAACAACTGTAAATGGAGGAAGGAATGGAGTCAATTCAGAGGACCTCTTCCTCCTGCCTGAAGAATCTGTGTTTCCTGGGCATAGTAATGTTGATAGCTACCAGAAAAGTGACAGGTTGACAACGGAAGCAATAAAGATCAAGAATTCCTCTATGATTGATAAGAGCAAGGGATACCAATTGAGTTTGTCTTACCAAGGCTATAGAAATATACGTGTTCGCTTGGATCATGTAAATCCTTGGATTTGGAGTGATGCCAAAGTAGTCTACGTTAGTAAGGGGCCTTTGGATGTTGCCCTACTGCAGCTTGAATATGTTCCAGATCAGCTTTGCCCTATCAAGGTGGATATGGTGTGCCCAGTTTTGGGATCAAAGGCATACGTCATTGGACATGGACTATTTGGACCTAAATGCGGTAACAGACTTTGTTATCTCACCTGTTTAGATTTCTGAATGACGTTGGGATATAATCCATATGCATAACACCTTACTCAAGTTGGTTCATTCTGTTTAGAGTTTTTGTTTCAGGAATTAAACTTTCAACTTTTTAGTATCAGAATTGATATGATTCCTTTTTCCGTGGTTCATTCTAGATTCCTATTTAGAGAAGTTTATTGGTGATTAGTACCTATACAGAACATCTAAGTGTTCCTTTAAGTATCTGCTAGTTTCTTTCATTCTGAGAAGCTCTTTTGCTATTGACGCATCATTAACTAAGATTTTGAGACTGCATTGGACATTAAATAGGTGATTTTGGGTTAGTTGCAGTTCCTGAAGTTTAGTCTTGCTTTGTCTAAGGCTTTTATCTTTCAATCCGAACTTTTGGAACTTTCTGAATCAGATGCTTTACCTGTAAATTTGTTCTGGCCTATGTGGTTCTATGGAGGTTTTTCAGATGATTTATATTGTCTGATTTGATGTTCATATGCATCCTCTGTTAAGTATTTTACTTATTTTTTTGAATAAATATGCTAATAGCTGGTACCTCTTGAATATTCTCTGTACATCTGTTTATTTACTTCATCCTTTCCTCTAGACTCATTTGGTGCACTTTGAAACTTGCAGGCTTTTCCCCTTCTGTTTGCTCTGGAGTGGTAGCAAAAATAGTTAAAGCGAAAGCTCCTCCGTATTATCAATACAATCAAGGAGGACATTCAAGTATTCCTGCAATGCTTGAAACAACAGCTGCTGTTCACCCTGGTGGTAGTGGTGGTGCTGTCATTAATTCGAAAGGTCATATGATTGGACTTGTTACCAGGTATATTTAGTAAAGTTATGCACAAATGTCAGTTATCCTGCATCAGTCGTGTCCCATGAGTACTCAACTTCAGGAGCAATTAAGTGTTTCTCCTCTCGGAAACAAAATATACAAAGCGGGGGATAGGTGGATTTGATTTGATCTGTATTTATGTCTATAGGATACAAGGCTACATTTTGATGTTCCTTGACAGCATTAAGTGACTTATTTCCTTTCTGATATATTAGGGAAGGATCCAAATCTGTTTTATCTCCCTTGTTTCATTGTTGAACTTTGATTTTCATTATCAATGAATGTGATGTGAAGGTTTTTAAGTGTTCTGTAAAAGCTTTTGCTTTCATTTTCTCCTAATTAAGTTCTCGAGTGCTTGCATATTGAAGTTCTGTATGTAATGAGATGTATGTTTGATACAGCAATTCAAGGCATGGTGGAGGGACAGTTATACCACATCTGAATTTCAGCATTCCCTGTGCACTATTGGCGCCCATCTTTGAATTTGCAAGAGGTGGTTTAACTGAACTGTTCTTTGTATTTCCAGACATTGTACATGCTCTGTACTCACAATATCTGATAAATTTGGTTTCATTGAGACAGATATGATGGATATTTCACTTCTGCAGAATCTTGATCAACCCAATGAAGACCTTTCTTCAGTGTGGGCGTTAATGCCGCGGCTCTCCCCCGAGAAATTGGTTTCATGAGAACAGAAAGGTGGTTTAACTGAACTGTTCTTTGTATTTCCAGACATTGTACATGCTCTGTACTCACAATATCTGATAAATTTGGTTTCATTGAGACAGATATGATGGATATTTCACTTCTGCAGAATCTTGATCAACCCAATGAAGACCTTTCTTCAGTGTGGGCGTTAATGCCGCGGCTCTCCCCCGAGCCAAGCCCTATCCTGCCTATTCTGCCAGAAGATAATAGTAAACATGGAAAGGGTTCCAAATTTGCTAAATTCATGGCTGAAAGAGAGAGAGTTTTGAGGAGCTCAGTTCAACAAAGCAAGGTGGAAAGCATTTCAAATGCGAGTTTTCCTAGTAAGTTATGACCATGGACCAATCTTGTACCAATTGAACGAGATATTATCAGCATGAAAGCCGAATCATATCGATAAATTCTCAAGTGAAGTTGTTAAACTTAAATACAACCAGAAAATACTCTGTACACAAAAAACACTATGTTTTATTTGTTGTTCTTGCAAGTTTGTATTCACACAGATTCAGATGTCTTGTACAATGATACCTTACAATCAGTTATATCCGTTGTGTACTTCCAGAACCTGAATTTTGGGTCTCTGTTATTCTTCATTGAAATAAAATGATAATCTTCGTGGTAGGAAAATGGTAAGTACATAAAAAAGCTTCCTAAAGGGGAATGGAAGAATTGACTTCATTAAGAAAAAAAATAATTATTATTTTTTGTTGTTAAGTGATGTATTTCAACACTAAATGTGAGAAACTAAATAGTAATGCTATATTAATTGTAAATGATTTAAAAAAAAAATCAAATATTGCAGAGTAGTTAAACACTAAAATAACACTTTTTCGAAGAAAGTACTAAAATAACTTCGCGACACTAAATTTTAAGGACTAGTTAGTATATTTATTGAACACGAGGTATGAATTTGTAATTATGATTAATCTAAAGGACTAATTAGTAAGTTCTCGGAAAAGAATGAGAAACATGTAAGATATTCACCCATTGGCGGATTCATGAGCCCACCTGTGTAGTGTAGGTGTAGCCTGTCCTTTTTGGACCCGATCGCACTGGGGAAGGACTCCTGATCTCATTTTCACGCTACTCTCCATCTTCAATCTCTATCCTTCGGTCAATAGATTGGCACCCATTTTAGACCAGAAGGAAGAGAAAGCAAGTATAGTGGCTGGTGACAAAGTCGACCACCGGCACTGTGCTTCTGCTATTACAAGTTTATTTATTTACTACTGCTGATTAAGTTTTAGGGGTTTAGGGGCTTAACATAGAAAATGGAGGACACTGTCGCTTACAAGGAGTACTTAGCCGGTTTAATAGCCGGTGTTGCCACCGTTATCACCGGTCATCCTTTCGATACCGTCAAGGTATATAATTTTAATCTGCGCATCTAGATTTTGTAGTTCTGCAAATACTTGAAAAGGGTTGTTATTTCGATCTCTCTGTTTGCCATTTGCGTAGTTTAGTGGCTTCAAGAACATGGCTTGCTGAAATTTCTCTTTTTGTGTGTGATTGTTTTGTTTGTTTCTTCAATTTCATAGGTAAAGCTTCAAAAACACAACACGGAAGCTCATGGGATTAAGTACAGGAATGGTTTGCATTGCACAGCTAGGATCATAAAGACCGAAGGAGTATGCTTTAACATTTTCTTGATAGCCACAAATTAACTTCATTGTTAATTTATTATGTGAAATGGATATTGATTAAGTAATAACTTTTATGCAATGGCTTAATAAATATGTATGTCAAACAATTTAAGCATATTTTAGGCCACAGAGTTCTTACTGATTTCAAGAATGAGACATTGTTGCTTATTTATTAACTTGTTTAAAATTCTTTTTTGGATTGTTGTTAGAGAGATGAAACCCATGAAATGAATTCATCATGTTAGATGTATCATGTTGCAGTGACATTACAAGGGTATTTGTATGGAGTGAAGATTCTTGGCACTCTGAATTTTTTGTTCAGAGGATAAGCAAGTGATATTGTCTTTGACAGGTTAAAGGACTTTATAGGGGTGCAACATCATCTTTCGTTGGGATGGCTTTTGAGAGCTCACTTCTTTTTGGCATTTATTCTCAAACAAAGCAATCCTTGCAGGTCTGTAAGGAAGAAATTGTATTAGCCTGTTTACATTATTTATTTGCATTGACAAGCAGAATCATTTCTGCTGGAGATTGTTGTAAACACATTATCTTTTCAAGTCATATTGAGTCTATTGCATTCTGGGATATGACCTTTTCCCCCTTGTGTTGCATATGAAGGAAGGAGTGCATAGTGATATGCCCGTGCCCCAAGTGATAATTCCTTCTGCAGCTTATAGTGGAGCAATTATCAGTTTTGTATTATGTCCATCTGAACTATTAAAGGTCAGTTACTTACGGAGTTGATAAATTGCTGTATTTTCTCTCATGTTATTTTTTTCTCCTTTTGTAGCATTCTTATGAAATTAAGTTTCTCCAGTGTAGGATGCAAGTTCAAGGCACTGGTTCCTTGGTTCCAAAGCTCAGTAGATACAGTGGTCCTCTTGATTGTGCCCTTCAAACAGTTAAAAGTGAAGGGGTGAGAAGATCCTCTGTCCATTGATTACTTAATTCTTAAACACAGTGAAGGGGTGGAGAGATCCTCTGTCATTGATTACCTTAATTTTAAAGCACCTGTCTTGGTCTGGATGGAAAGCTTCTCAGGTTTAGGCTTTTTCGAGGAGGATCTTAGACGTTTGTTAAGCAGAATCTTTGGGAATGCAGTGTTGTTTAGTGTTTATGAGCATGTCCCCGTTACTGACATGATTTAGAATTGAATCTTCTGTTTCTGAGAAAACAACACTTGATTGACTGGGAGTTTGGAATTGTGAGGCGGTGCCTTGGTTGGTGTCAGCTGTAAGTATTCTTGCAAACTTGCAATGATTTTCTGAACTAATATATTTATATGTAGTTCTTATGACATTTTAGCTTGTTTTTATTTTAATGTTATCACAGTTCTGGTTGCTGTTTTTTGCCTGGATGTTGGCAAAACTATTATTCAAAATCTCCAGATAAAAGCTCCTACAGAAATCGTTTCAGTTGCTGAAACTCGGTAAGCAATTGTCCCATAATTCTCTTTATGCAGCATAATTTTGGAATAACAAACCACAGCATTGAGAGAATCCTGAATGATATAAAAGGGGCGTTAAGATGCTAAAGGAGTCCTTTTTGTTGATTTAACAGGAGGCTGGACTTAAAGGATGCTATGCAGGTTTGGGTCCCAAAGATAGTAAGAGCATTTCCTGCTATAGCGTGCATAGTCATTGGGAGCTTGCCATGAAATGTTAGGGATCAGGCGTGACAGTATTGTAGTAACTGTGATCTTTGCGTTTTTAACAAATATGAATTTTGGAATGACAAGGTTTCCAAATGGAAATTAATGCTTCAGCATTATTCATATTCCTGGAAGGATACTTTGACATGACGATTTATTAGTTATCATTCCTAAGATTACCTTTGGCGGCTTTAAACAAAATATGATTTGGAATGACCAAGTCTTTCCAAAATGAAATTAATGCTTCAGCACATTATTCCTATTCCTGGAAGGATACTCTGACATGACGATTTACTTAGTTATCCTCACAGATTACCTCAACATTGTAGTGTTGGTGGACTTGCTAAACTAGCTTGTAATCTGATTGGAAATCACAAAAAAAATTGGCTGTGGGATGCTCTACATAATTTTTATTGTAACAGCAAGGAGTCTAGGATAGTGGCATTTGTTTATGTGCTGGGCCTGGAAGTTTGTAACATTCTTGCTTCAAATATTATATTGATGTTGGACAAGTTGTCTAACATGGCATATGAAATTAGACCAAATAGAAATTAGACCAATTTTACAATAATACCCACCACTGAGATTATTGAATAAGAGGAAGTGAAAGTTGTACACATAGTTAAGTTGACAGAAGAGAGAGCAGCATGTGACATATTTAGATCTATGACCGTTCTAAATATGCTTGGAGGAGGCATACTTTATTGGGAAACAAATTTAATTTTCTCCCTCTTTTGTTCGTAAGCCTATACCTCTTCAATTTGGCAGTGAGTAGTGAGTGATAATTTAAAATCCTCAATTGAAGGTTTCTCCATGATACTCGGACGATGAGCTTTTTCTGCGCCTTTCATTGTGTCCTGCTAAACGCCTCCTGCAACTTCTTTTGTTGTCGTCAAACTCCGACAACCCATGAAACCTGGCATCAAAAATTAATAACAGTAACAACATAATTATGCTATTTAGGACATTAATGACAATCATAATTTGATGAGTAACCCAAACTAATTTGTTTAATATAATATATTTTGCACGTATAATGGGCTGCAGTTCATCTACAGTTTTCTGTTCCATTTCTTCACATTTCATCATAAGCCAAGGGTTGAGACTTGAGACCTGAAACACTAAATTTATGTTCTAAGCCAAAATGAGAAATAGTGCATACAGTATTCACGAAATTACTTAAAGTTAAGAATAATCTCGTCATCAAGGCACACAATATCGACCATTAACTGTAACTGATCATGGATCAGGTTTCTATCAGGAATTATTACGTAATATGATTTATTCTTGATGGGATTTAAAAGTGAAAAACACCCTTTTATCAATCCATAAAAACTTAATTCTTTTTTGAGAAATCAAAAACTTATTAATTCTAACGAATGGAAAGACGATAGCTTTGGTGCAATGTGGTAAATTTATTCCATTCGTGACTTGAAAGATCGTAAAAGCCTCTTGCAAAAGTAAGGGAAGGCTACGTATATCAATTGCCAACAGAAAAAAAAATAATAATAATAATGATGTTGTTCACCCTGGTGGTAGTGGTGGTGCTGTCATTAATTCGCAAGGTCATATGATTGGACTTGTTACCAGGTATATTTAGTAAAGTTATGCACAAATGTCAGTTATCCTGCATCACTCGTGTCCCATGAGTATTCAACTTGAGGAGCAATTAAGTGTTCCTCCTCTCGGAAACAAAATATACAAAGCGGGGGATAGGTGGATTTGATTTGATCTGTATTTATGTCTATAGGATACAAGGCAACATTTTGATGTTCCCTGACAGCATTAAGTGACTTATTTCCTTTCTGATATATTGGGGAAGGATCCAAATCTGTTTTATCTCACTTGTTTCATTGTTTAACTTTGATTTTCATTATCAATTGATGTGATGCGAAGGTTTTTAAGTGTTCTGTAAAAGCTTTTGCGTTCATTTTCTCCTAATTAAGTTCTCGAGTGCTTGCATATTGAAGTTCTGTATGTAATGAGATGTATGTTTGATACAGCAATTCAAGGCATGGTGGAGGGACAGTTATACCACATCTGAATTTCAGCATTCCCTGTGCACTATTGGCGCCCATCTTTGAATTTGCAATAGGTGGTTTAACTGAACTGTTCTTTGTATTTCCAGACATTGTACATGCTCTGTACTCACAATATCTGATAAATTTGGTTTCATTGGGACAGATATGATGGATATTTCACTTCTGCAGAATCTTGATCAACCCAATGAAGACCTTTCTTCAGTGTGGGCGTTAATGCCGCGGCTCTCCCCCGAGTCAAGCCCTATCCTGCCGATTCTGCCAGAAGATAATAGTAAACATGGAAAGGGTTCCAAATTTGCTAAATTCATGGCTGAAAGAGAGAGAGTTTTGAGGAGCTCAGTTCAACAAAGCAAGGTGGAAAGCATTTCAAATGCGAGTTTTCCTAGTAAGTTATGACCATGGACCAATCTTGTGCCAATTGAACAAAATATTATCAGCATGAAAGCCGAATCAAGTGTGAAACCTTATATCGATGAATTCTCAAGTGAAGTTGTTAAACTTAAATACAACCAGAAAATACTCTGTACACAAAAAACACTATGTTCTATTTGTTGTTCTTGCAAGTTTGTATCCACACAGATTCAGATGTCTCGTACAATGATACCTTACAATCAGTTATATCCGTTGTGTACTTCCAGAACCTCCAATTTTGGGTCTCTGTTATTTTTCATTGAAATAAAATGATAATCTTCGTGGTAGGAAAATGGTAAGTACCTAAAAAAGCTTTCTAAAAGGGGAATGGAAGAATCGACTTCATTAAGAAAAAAAATTATTATTATTTTTGTTGTGAAGTGATGTATTCAACACTAAATGTGAGAAACTAAATAGTAATGCTATATTAATTGTAAATGATTTAAAAAAAAAAAAATCAAATATTGCAGAGTAGTTAAACACTAGATAACACTTTTTCGAAGAAAGTACTAAAATATATTCGCGACACTAAATTTTAAGGACCAGTTAGTATATTTATTAAACAAGAGGTATGACTTTGTAATTATGATTAATCTAAAGGACTAATTAGTAAGTTATCGGAAATGAATGAGAAACATATAAGATATTCACCCATTGGCGGCTTCATGAGCCCACCTGTGTAGTGTGTTGGTTTAGGTGGCTTAGAATCCCACATCGGGAAATGGGAAGGGAGTGGGAAGCTTTTTGCCTGTAAAAGGAAACTACCTTCTTACGCTCTAATCATCCCAGCTTGCCTTCTAATTATTCTAACTTGTTAGGGGCTCAAAATAGAAAATGGAGGACACTGTCGCTTACAAGGAGTGATTAGCCGGTTTAACAGCCGCTGTTGCCACCGTTATCACCGGTCATCCTTTCGATACCGTCAAGGTATATAATTTTAATCTCCGCATCTAGATTTTGTAGTTCTGTCAATACTTGAAAAGGGTTGTTATTTGGATCTCTCTGTTGCCATTTGCGTAGTTTAGTGGCTTCAAGAACATGGCTTGCTGAAATTTCTCTTTTTGTATGTGATTATTTTGTTTGTTTCTTCAATTTCATAGGTAAAGCTGCAAAAACACAACACGGAAGCTCATGGGATTAAGTACAGGAATGGTTTGCATTGCACAGCTAGGATCCTAAAGACCGAAGGAGTATGCTTTAACATTTTCTTGATAGCCACAAATTAACTTGATTGTTAATTTATTATGTGAAATGGATATTGATTAAGTAATAACTTTTATGCAATGGCTTAATAAATACGTATGTCAAACAATTTAAGCATATTTAAGGCCACAGAGTTCTTACGGATTTCAAGAATGAGACATGGTTGCTTATTTATTAACTTGTTTAAAATTCTTTTTTGAATTGTTGTTAGAGAGATGAAACCCATGAAATGAATTCATCATGTTAGATGTATCATGTTGCAGTGACATTACAAGGGTATTTGTATGGAGTGAAGATTCTTGGCACTCTGAATTTTTTGTTCAAAGGATAAGCAAGTGATATTGTCTTTGACAGGTGAAAGGACTTTATAGGGGTGCAACATCATCTTTCGTTGGGATGGCTTTTGAGAGCTTGCTTCATTTTGGCATTTATTCTGAAACAAAGCAATCCTTGCAGGTCTGTAAGGAAGACATTGTATTAGCCTGTTTACATTATTTATTTGCATTGATAAGCAGAATCATTTCTGCTGGAGATTGTTGCAAACACATTATCTTTTAAAGTCATATTGAGTCTATTGCATTCTGGGATATGACCTTTTCCCCCTTGTGTTGCATATGAAGGGAGGAGTGCATAGTGATATGCCCGTCCCCCAAGTGATAATTCCTTCTGCAGCTTATAGTGGAGCAATTTATCAGTTTTGTATTATGTCCATCTGAACTATTAAAGGTCAGTTACTTACGGAGTCGATAAATTGCTGTATTTTCTCTCATGTTATTTTTTTCTCCTTTTGTAGCATTCTTATGAAATTAAGTTTCTCCAGTGTAGGATGCAAGTTCAAGGCACTGGTTCCTTGGTTCCAAAGCTCAGTAGATACAGTGGTCCTCTTGATTGTGCCCTTCAAACAGTTAAAAGTGAAGGGGTGAGAAGATCCTCTGTCCATTGATTACTTAATTCTTAAACACGGTCTTGGTCTGATGGAAAGCCTTTCAGGTTTCAGGCCTTTTTCGAGGAGGATCTACGATATTTTCTTCATGTTTATTTTTTTTCTCCTTTTTGTAAGCATTCTTGATTGAAATTTAAGTTTCTCTCAGTGTAGGATGCAAGTTCATAGGTTTGCAATGGTTTTCCTTGTTCAAAGTCAGTAGATACAAGTGGTCTCTTGATTGTTGACCTTCAAAGGTTAAAAGTGAGGGGTGAGAAGATGCTCATGGTCATGTGATTATTAATTATTAAAACAGGTCTTGGTCTGATGGAAAGCCTTTAGGTTTAGGCCTTTTTCGAGGAGGATCTACGATGTTGATTAAGAGAATCTTTGGGATAATGCAGTGTTTTTAGTGTGTGTGATATAAGAGCATGTCCCGTTACTAATGAATTATAGAATTGAAATATTCTGTTTTGGCTGAACAACACATTTGATTTGACATGGAGTTTTGGAAATTGTGAGCGGTGGCTTGGTGGTGTAGCTGTAAGTATTCTTGCACTTGCATGTTTCTGAATAGATATATTTATACTGTATGTTCTTATGACATTTTTTGGCTATGTTCATTTCATTTTTAATGTTTCCTAGTTTTCTGGTTGCTGTTCTTGCCTAGACTGTTGGCAAAAACTATTATTCAAACTCTCAAGATAAGTCTCTACAGAAAAATGCCGTTTCACAAAGTACTGAACTCGGTAAGATTCCATATTTCTTTATTCATAATTTTTGGAATAAACAACGCACACAGCTTGAGAGATACTCTGATGATGTAAAAGAGGGGAAGTAAAGATGCTAGAATGGAGTCCTTTTTTGTTTAGATTTTTACAGGGGGGCTGGACTTAATAGGATAGCCTATGGGATTTGGGTCCAACGATAGTAAGAGCATTTTCTGGGCTAATGCAGCTGCAATAGTCAACATTGGAGCTTTGCATGAAAAATGTTAGGGATGTGGACGTGTAGTACGTTGTGAGCTTTGGCGGTTATAAACATATGGGATTTGGAGATGACAAGTCTTATCAAGATGGAAATTATGTGGGTGTGGTTCCTATTCCTGGAAGGGATACTCGTGGACATGCCACGATTTACTTAGGTTTATGCCGCTCAGGGATTATCTAACATTGATGATCTTTGGCGGCTTTAAACAAAATATGATTTGGAATGACCAAGTCTTTCCAAAATGAAATTAATGCTTCAGCACATTATTCCTATTCCTGGAAGGATACTCTGACATGACGATTTACTTAGTTATCCTCACAGATTACCTCAACATTGTAGTGTTGGTGGACTTGCTAAACTAGCTTGTAATCTGATTGGAAATCACAAAAAAAATTGGCTGTGGGATGCTCTACATAATTTTTATTGTAACAGCAAGGAGTCTAGGATAGTGGCATTTGTTTATGTGCTGGGCCTGGAAATTTGTAACATTCTTGCTTCAAATATTATATTGATGTTGGACAACTTGTCTAACATGGCATATGAAATCTACCGGAGTAAAGTAAATTTAATAGAAATTAGACCAATTTTGCAATAATACCCACCACTGAGATTATTGAATAAGAGCAAGTGAAAGTTGTACACATAGTTAAGTTGACAGAAGAGAGAGAGCAGCATGTAACATATTTAGATCTATGACCGTTCTAAATATGGTTGGAAGAGGCATACTTTATTGGGAAACAAATGTAATTTTCTCCCTCTTTTGTTCGTAAGCCTATACCTCTCCAATTCGGCAGTGAGCAGTGAGTGATAATTTAAAATCCTCAATTGAAGGTTTCTCCATGATACTCCGACGATGAGCTTTTTCTGCGCCTTTCATTGTGTCCTGCTAAACGCCTCCTGCAACTTCTTTTGTTGTCGTCAAACTCCGACAACCCATGAAACCTGGCATCAAAAATTAATAACAGTAACAACATAATTATGCTATTTAGGACATTAATGACAATCATAATTTGATGAGTAACCCAAACTAATTTGTATAATATAATATATTTTGCACGTATAATGGGCTGCAGTTCATCTACAGTTTTCTGTTCCATTTCTTCACATTTCATCATAAGCCAAGGGTTGAGACATGAGACCTGAAACACTAAATTTATGTTCTAAGCCAAAATGAGAAATAGTGCATACTGTATTCACGAAATTACATAAAGTTAAGAATAATCTCGTCATCAAGGCACACAATATCGACCATTAACGGTAACTGATCATGGATCAGGTTTCTATCAGGAATTATTACGTTATGTGATTTATTCTTGATGGGATTTAAAGGTGAAAAACACCCTTTTATCAATCCATAAAAACTTATTCTTTTTTGAGAAATCAAAAACTTAATTAATTCTAACGAATGGAAAGACGATAGCTTTGGTGCAATGTGGTAAATTTATTCCATTCGTGACTTGAAAGATCGTAAAAGCCTCCTGCAAAAGTAAGGGAAGGCTACGTACATCAATTGCCAACAGAAAAAAAAAAAAAAAAAAAAAGTAAGGGAAGGCTACGATACATGCAATTGCCAACAGAAAAAAAAAAAAAAAAAATAATGTTTGCCCTCCACAGTTCCACTAGGGTTACAAAGCTCTAATATTGGAATTAAAAAAAAAAAAAAAAAAAAAAAATGTTGCCTCCACAGTTCACTAGGGTTACAAAGCTCTAAATTGGAATTACAAGAACTCTATTAATAGTTAAAATAGTAGAAAAAGAGGAATATTCACTTGTTTCTCCCAAAAAAAAATTAAAACAAATCAGAGAGGTAAAAAAAAAAGATACAAATGCAAGTGGGGTTAATGGCGTGACCATTTTAATGCTTCTGGAATGATTCATGATGGTGTTGTGTTCTCCAGCTCACAACCCTATCTTTTGGTTACTGTTTTGTCATGCGTGAATTGTGAGTGTTGTACTCTCCTCGTGAAGGTTAGCTACCCTTCAATCAATCTTATTATTCCTCTCAATCTAAAATATATATATATATTTTTTTTTAAATTTCATAAATCAATATACATATATAATTCGAATATTTATATGTTAAACGTTTCGTGATCACATTTTTTTCCATAAATATAATTTTCATTAACAATTTTTAATGAAAGGAAAAAAATGTTATACTTGGTTATTGATTAATTAAAATAATAAAACTGAAACATCGTATTATGGACATTAATTATTTAAGAATTAACAGTGTATTGTTTGATTAATTTATGTTTTTTAGTATTTATGTATACATACTATATTTTTAACCATTTACAATGGTTTCACAGTTTCAGTGATTAGTAGAATTTGTTTGTACTTTTTTTTTCCAGGAATTATATTATGAGTTTTGACAATATTAATTATAAATTTACGTTTACACTCAGAAAAAGTAGCTTTTCAAAATTAATGGTTTTTGTTTTTTTGTTTAATATCGTTTTCACTCCAAAAAAATATATTTACCTTGCTATGATTAAGAACCTCTATTCAAGAAAAAGAATATTGTAAATCGTAATTTTCTATGTGCAAACCTAGCTAGTAATTTTAATCATGTATTGAAGTCTTAATCACCTAACATCATGAAAAGATCTATATGGGTACATTGACAAAGATCAGTATAATAGGACATTGATCACTCATCAAATTCTTGCCTAACATCATTGATGTGAATTAATCTTCCTAGCAAAAAAAAAAAATCATCTTCTAAATTATTGAATTTTTCTTTTTCAAGTGAGTATATAATTGATGCAGAAAATTATACTGAAAATAAATAAAAAGTAATTTTACTCTATGATTAATAATTGTTTATTTTATCTAATTTCTCCTCATTAGAGACATTTCAATAATTAAAACTTAAATTGATTTCAATTACAAATCCGATTAATAATGAATTCGATATTTTCTTTTATAACCCAAAAATTTATCATAATAAAAATATAAAATAAGTTTAAATTGAATAATTTCATTGAATAAAAAATGACTCCCCCGTCACATCTTGTATATGAAATCTAAAAAATATTTTTCAAGTTAATAATAAAAATAAGAAGTGGAAATGATCTAGAAATTTTAGGGTTCTCCACAAATATTAGAAATGACCTAATGGACCTTAAGAAAATTGGAATTAAACATTTTCTTGTTTAGTGCATAGAATTAATCAGACGTAGTCAAGATTAGAAAAAAACTTGAAAAATTAGGGTTTCTCACCTGCTACATTGCTGGCAAAAGCGTTGCTGGATTCCAGCAACGACGACGAGAGGAGCTTTGGCATGGAACTCACACACTTTATGGCGTCTGTGGTATCGCTTGGCGTCGGTCATATCAGCAGTGCAATTATCTGCCTGACAAGAAACTGGCGGCATTGAACCACTGCCAATAGATCCTTTCTTGTTTTTCTTCTTTTTATCATCATCTCCAAACCCTAATCCACCAACACAGTCTTCCTCGTCTTCCTCTTCCTCCTCATCTTCCATCTCCTTCAAGCTTCTCTTTCCCTCAGCTTTGCTTGTTGACATAATTAATGTTAAAGAAAAGACAGAAAAACAAGATCGATGAAGAAGAGAGAGAAAAAACTGAAGAGAGGTTGATAAATGGGTGAGAAAGGAGAAAGACTTATGTGGGTGAGGACCACAGATTTCATTTTTATTCTTTATCACACCATATAAGGGTAACAGTAGAAGGGGTAGGAAAGTTAAGGTTTAAGTTTAGCTCCAAGACAAGAACATGATAGGTCTGCTGTGCAAAAATAATACATCAACAAAAGAAAGTATAACAGTATTTCTCTATATTGCCGACGTATATATTTACTGCAACATGTGCATTTAGCAATTAATTAATTTTAATTATCACTCTTCGATCACTAATTCATGTGAGTCAAAAGTAGTCTTGCTAGCTAGGTCTCAACGTAGATAGTACTCTAAAATTCCACCTCTAATTACTGACTTCTCAGATCAAAGTTGCTATTAATTATTAGATTGATTAGGTGTGCCGAACTAATAATAGTTTAATAATCGACTGTCTATCTGTCAGTCTGACAATAATTTTTTTCTTTATTAAAAGTTTATACTATATAATTACATATTTTTTATGTTGTTTTTTTGTTGTTGTTAGAATAGAATATTTATATATCTATTATTGAAATGAAAGGTGAAAAATGAAAATTTAAGGGGCGAAATTTCTTTCTTTTTTTTTTTTTTTTTTTTTGAAAATTTAAGGGGCGAAGATTTCTTTCGTTTTTTTTTTTTTTTTTTTAGACTTTCTATCAGAATTAGATTGCATAATAGTAGAGCTATTATCTATTGCATGTCTTGGAATATAATTCTTCTTTTTCATACATTTTCTGTGGCTTTTTTTTTTTTTTTTTTTTTTGAGAACTTGTCTATCAAGAATAGATGCATATAGTACGAGCATTATCTATTGCATGTCCTTGGAATCTAATTCTTCCTTTTTCATACATTTGCTGTGGCCAACAGTTTTTAAGCAAAGTGGGCAGGCAACCTATCTCTCTTTCTTGTATTCTGCATTATTGTTTGTTTCATCAAATTAGGACCACGTTGCTAGCTACACTATCATGAATAGTTGGTCCCCATCTTTGTTTGTACTAGAGCTACTCCTATAATTATCGTACTGTTTGAAGCACGAAATGAAGAACACATATTAATTCAAAATCCAATAATGTCTTGTAGTGTAGACTTAAACGCTCTCTTGCAGCAGACCGTAGACGGTAGCTTAGTGGTCCCATTTCATGCAGGAATTTTCCAGATTTATAGTTCAAGAGATGCATATCTTTGTTGTCTTTATTATTAATAACAACATTAACAACAACATTTTGTTGTCTTTATTAATAATAACATTTCTTCGATTCTTTAATGAGAGAAACTGCGGGAAGCAAAGAGAAAAAGAAATTCTTAAGACGGGGAAATTTAGATATAAAGATGGAAAGCAGCAGTTTGTACTAAAGATAAGCTGCAGCAATCTCATTCATGAATAGAAAGATAGATCCGATTCTTCTTCTGAAAGTTACATTTATCAAAAAAAAAAAAAATTAAATTTGCAATTGTCCTATCGCAAGCAAGTTATAAGTAGATGCAGTTCAGCGTCTGCTAGCAACGGAGACAACCCCACGGTGCAAATGTAATTACAAGTGCTTTCATTCTTAGTTCAGCTAAAATACATCACAGAAGGGAAATGAGGCAAGTGTAAAATCTTTTTTTGAGAAAAAAAAAAAAAAGGTATGTGTAATTGTAAGTTACTTAACAGCCTGTGTCAACGAATTATGAACTCTCAGGAGCCTATCTACCAAATAAACCTCTGGACCCCAGGTTCATGGTTCCAATGGAATGGCCGAAACAGGAACATAATAACTGTGAAGGCATTGATTACCACGTACATGAGGCCCATGATGATCAAACTCTGCTTGTTATTGACATTAGAATGAAGCATCAAGAAATAGAATGGTATGGTATAGTATCTCAACTCAATTAATGGAGCAGGAACTAAGACTGCGGCTGTAGCCAAGAAATATGCCAATACCCAAATTTTTTGTCGTATTTTCCCTGCAATAAATGACAGAAACAATGTGTCAAGAAGTTGAAACACAATATATGTTGAATGAAGAGGGAGAAAATGCTAACCCAATGTACTGAAGATGGAAAACCATGAATAAACATAACATGGAACCAAAAGGTACTTCATTAACCAATGCGCTTTGATGACCTTCCGCCAGAGATAGAATGGATAATGCCGATTATCAGCAAGAAGATAGGGGTGAGCTATGCTGCAACAGTAGTGACAAACTCTATTACAAAGTAGTGACAGATGATAGAGAACATAAATATATGAAAATTTAACATACAAAACTAAAAAAAAAAAAATGTAACTATACAACTTAGTCCCAATCAACAAAAGTATTTCCTTAAAAAAGTCTAGTTTATGGAGCTGTAGCAGACTAGCAATGAAACTTGAATTTCATTTTTCTTAAAAATATAATATAGGTGTTTGACCTTGAGAGGATTCTTCAGTCTTGGTCCATCTAGTGCCAATACAACCTCTAATTTTCATGTGGAACTCTCCATAATTTCAGGTGGATCCAACATGAATATGCACGAAGGGTGCATTATTTTTATCTGCACCAGATTCAGTCAATAATTTTGTTCCGAACTGACCTGAAAAAGTGAACCGAGAGGAACCCAGCAGTAAGAGCCACTAGCCATTGACAAATACTAAGGGGTCTGTTTTTCCAGAATGACCGGAACAGATCTGCACCGTGACCAAGAGAAAAATGCAGCGGAGCTGCTGCCAGAGTAGAAACTAGACTAAAATACATTATCTGGGCAAAATGCGGTGAAACTACATGAGCTTCCTTTGCACCTGCAACATTAGGAAACAGAGTGAGAAGCAAATTCTAACTACAACAAACAAAGCACGATAATGTGAGCAGTACCAAGGACTATACTCCCATTCCAACGGATAAAAGCAACAAAGGCCACCAATACTGTAAAGAAGGGGCAAAACGAGATGAGAAGTTTCCACTTCATATGCCATGATACCAAACAGATTTCCTGAATCTCATCAAGAAAACCTACAATATAATGTCAAGCGATGCAATCTAAGTATTGAGAATAAATGAAACAAAAGGTAGCAAAAGACAACCAAGCCTTAAGAGATGGGAGATTTGTTTGCAGACTGCAGAGTACAAAATTCACCAATCATAAAAACTCAATCGCATTGTGCACCAAAACCTGAAGATTGGGATGTTGAGGAGCCATTTACAGTGATCGAATATTTGCTGGCATCCACAGCAGTTTTGGGCATCCTTCTCCTCATGCCTGAGCTGGCTGAGACAGAGTTGTTGGGAATTAACCGAACAGTTCCTTTGCCTGATTCATCTAATTCGTCTGCTTTGACATTTTTTATTTGATGGACCAGGGTAGTATCAATGACCCCAGTGCATGCAACAAAAAGCATCCATATAATATTTGTCTGTCTAATGAAAACTGCAAAGGCCCCAAGCTGTTATAAAAGCCAAAATGAAAAAAGATTATGAATTTCACAAAGCAAAAGAACACCAGTGCCCGGTGTTGAATCTTTATCATAAATTTTTTTAGGGTGATAATCTGATTGCCTTTCTAGAAAGCAATGGCATTTAAGTCACTTGCCGACGGACAAAAATGAAATATAGGAACACATAATATGCTGACGCAGCTTAAAAATTAAAGCTACTGATTAAATTCTTTAAAGAATTTCCTCCTCCTTGTAAAATTCCAAAGGCATGAGTGAACATTCTATTGTAAAACAAAAATAAAATAAAGAATTAAGTTATATCTGCAAAAATAGTAATGTAGAATTGTAAATGATCACTTAAAGACAATCAAGATAAATCCATTACCAATGCACTGAAGCGGTAGTTCTTCTTCAAGCATGCGAGATACATGGCAAGCACCATAGTAAGTGATGCAACATCAGTATAGTAAAGAAAAGTGAAGAACCAATGAAGGGGATACAGCGCAAGGATCACCGCAAGAAATGTTGCTTTTCTTTCATCAAGAGTCGGTTTCAAGTGGGTGATTATCTCATATACAATGATACTGCATAATACAGCCAAAACACCATTTACAGAGCGAAGAATAGCAGTGGAACACACTTCAGAAAATGATGGCACCACTTGCACAAGAAACATGCCTGGAAACAAACAAGCAACATGGGCAAGTGAAAGATAGTACCTGCAAGAATTTTCCATTGTTTATCACCTTCTCTAAATACATAATGGACCTGATAGGATTAAATTTCATTCCCTTTTCAGAACTTATTTTTAAATTTGTTTTAAACTTTCTCAAAGCGGGATAAAACCATTTTTTAATCCCTCATTTAAACAGTGACTAAATTGGTACTTATCTGAAAAGTAAAATAAAAAGGGTGCTAAAATGTGGAAAGAATCAAGCAACTTCCATACAATGGTCAAATGGATAGAAAATGAATAGATAACCATGTGTAAAGAGAGAGAGAGAGAGAGAGAGAGAGAGAGGAGAGGGGGATTTTAATCGGAAAGAGACAGAAGGCATACAATCCAGGGGGAGTAGTTATCATGGGATCCCAACTCCAGAAATTGCCTTTGCAGTATTGTTGAGCCTGAGGTATGTGAAATATCTCATCCTGCACGTGACGGGCTTCTGTTAACAAATTAAAATGAAAAGAAGAAGAAAAATAAAAGATAACATCCTTTCGTTTTAGAAAACGAAAGACCTCTTACCATGTAGGGCTCTGGCACAATTCGATTGACAAGGATTGAAGTGGGAATCACCCACAAGCTCACTATAACTGCAATTGCTAGTCTACCCATCTCTCTTACCAGGGTTTACTAATTAAAACGAAATGGCGATATAACATTGTTCTTTTACTCTATGCAACTGCAACAGATATTTCAATTAGGAATTTTTGGACCATTACTAGGAAATTAGTTTGATGCATCTATTTTTTCAGCAATTAAGAACTGCCATATGTCAAAATACTCACAGATTTAGTATGGCCGAAGAGTACTACAAGTGAAGCTTACTGGAGAAGATATCGCCCGAACTTTACTGGCCACACTACGTCAGCAGGCGCGTTCAAGGGCAAAGGCGAGAGGGAGTTAATCGCTCAAGCCCACTGTCAAAATGGCCGAAGGAAGGAGGAGATTGAAAAGAGAACAAAGAAGATGGCAGCAAAAACTATGCCGTTTTAGGAAACAGTTATCGGATCCAGGGAGGTCCAACAATCTATAGAACTGGGCCAGCAAGGTCAGAATTCAAGCTTAGTTTACAGGACAAGGCTGGTTGTGGCTTAATGTGTCTTGCATTAGTTGGGCCAGTCCAACAATGAACCCTTACTTTAAATTAAAATAAAATAATATTAATATTATAATAAGGCCTAAAATTGATTAATAACGGATAAAGTGAAATGATAACTTCTTTTTTAAAAAAAAAAAAAAAAAACTCAAATCATCACTAATAAATTTCTTATAAAATTTACTTTTTATTGTAAAAAACAAATATTTAATGTGAAAAAAAGGGGACTAAAATTTAGTGCTTAATTAATTTCAAACAATTTTTTTCTAATTTAAAAATATATTTTCTCACTTATGCGGAGTGAATATTGGAATAATATAAATAAACTCTAATTGAAAGTAATATAATAAATAAAATTGTAATAAATTTATAATCTTGTGATAATACTTTTTTAATATTTTAACTCATAATTAAAATGGTTATCCTTATAAGTTTTTGATGTACTAAAAAAATAGAGAAGCATTAGAAACCATAAATTGATAATCAATTTGGTAAATAAACAATAACAAAATTATAATTTAGAGAGTCTGGATAAGGTTAGCATATCTCTATAAGATTAAGTTAATTATGGAGCCATGGTATTTTAGATTTTATAAATCCCTTAATACATAGTGTTACTTTGATTAAACTAAGATTGAAAATAATAATAATAATAATAATAATAATAATGAAAGCATCTCAAGATTATCCCCTAATTAATTATCTAATCAATTTAGTAGATTTAAAAAAATGAGTCTACCAACATTTGGACTTTTCTATATATAAAATAAGATAAACTATTAAAAAAACAAAAGGAAATGTCCCCCACAACATTCCATAGGTCCCACTGAGCCTGAAACTTCCATGAGAAACAGTCCACAAGCTTCTGATTTGTTGTAGTCTTGTAGAGAGGAAGATTCTCTAGCTAGAGACCATGTGTGAACTGGGCAGGAACCTCACTGGAATTTTCCTTGCTTCTTAGATTTACCATTCCCAGGTTTGACTCTATGCCCGCTAAAAAATCTTCCCTCCACTCTCACTCGCTTTTTGGGATTCAACTTGTATTATTCAACTAATAATACCTTATTAGTAATAAACTATTTTTGCAAATGTAATTCAAGATATAATTATTTAATAAAAATTTATCAATCTGTTAATAATTCGTTTGGTTGTATTATGGAAAGTCTGAGCATCCCCTGGGAAGGTGAACATAAAAATCACCATTGTTGGTAGGTTTGGGAGTGCAATAATTAAAATAAGTGGAGGAGATGGTGATGGGATTTTTATCTCAAAACGTGGGCAACTGTGATTACCTCATTGTAGAATGGCATCATCATTTTTGTCATAAAAATAAAATAAAATAAACTTTGGCTCTTGTCTGTTTGGGACATGATGAATCACTCCACCAACACCATGTGTTCATTCCACTTGACCTAACACTCTCTCATTCATTCTATAATCCATAACACTACAATTAAGTACTAGAGGGACACCGTAGATCGAATATATATATATATATATATATATAAATTATTGCTCTTTCAAAGAACCCTTTCTTGATATTAATTCCTTATCCCTACAAAAATGTCTATATATATATATATATATATATAAATTATTGCTCTTTCAAAGAACCCTTTCTTGATATTAATTCCTTATCCCTACAAAAATGTCTATTTTCTATATAATGCTAAAAATGATTTTTGTTTTCAATAAAAAGGGACTCTGTAGTCAGTTTGTTGCAGGTTGAGTAAGAGCACTGAAAATGAATGCAGTTGGATAAAAAAAAAGAAACTGCATTCATTCTCAAAAGAATTTTACGAGCAAAATCAGGAATTTAAAGTATAAAACTATTGTTCTTATGATATTTTTTACCTAAATATCATTTAAATCAGAGCGTAAAAATGCATGTGTGAGGAAAAATAAATATGTATGCTATCAAATTGTTGGTGTGTTTTTAAATTCATATAATGGGTGCGTAGATATATATAATTAAGCAAGAAAGGAAAATGGAGAGTGAGATCTTTGTCTGCACATAGTTTGGAGTTGCATTGTGGTCAGCCTTTGATGTGTACAGTTGGCTTGGATTTGATGCTTTGGTCCCCTTAACCCCACCTCTCTCTCTCTCTCTCTCTCTCTCTCTCTCTCTCTGTGATACAGACTTTTGCTTTAACGTGCGTGTTGGGTTTCTTTCATGTTTGCCAAATTGGCATTTCTTGTCCGATGGTAGTGGGTTACTGAATGACTGGCTGTGCGGGTGGGTAGGCCCTACCTTACCTCTAACACATTCACTCATTGACTGCTGCTAACAAAATTTCCAAGTCACAGACCTCCTACCTATTCATCCAATTACCATTTTCTTTATTTACAAAGATTAACGTGTGACATATAATTATAAAACCTACCAAAAAAATTAAGATAATTTAAAGTCACGTCTTTTGGTTGTTCCAAAAAATAAAGATGATGATTAATTATTTGGTGGACATGAAATACAAATGACAAGAAGGAATTGCTTGAATTCAATTGATGAGATATAAACTTTTTGTTTTGCATAGCAATTCATTTTTCCTTATGATTAACACTTAATGATATGATCCCTTTTAATTTCTTTTCTCCAATAGGCAATAACATAAAGGGTTATAACTATTCATTTCTGAAACTATTAAAAACAAGAAAAAAAAGAAAAAACGAGATGGATGGATGTCATTTTGGTTGTGCTTGTCAATTTATATAGCACGTAGGACATGTCTCACACGCAACTATGAATTATGAAGGTTAATAATAAAGAATAAATTCCTTGAAATGGGAAGGCAGTGCATGTCATGTCCCGTCTTATCCTTCAAAATTATATGAATTTCTTTGAGTAATTTTTGGTGAAATTAATTTTTTATAAAATATTATTTTAATTTTTAAAAAAATTAATTTAAATGATCATCGAACATTATAAAAAATTATTATCAGCCTATGTCAAACCAAAATACATCAAAAAAAATACGAATGTATAAGAAGCTAGAGGGTTCCCACGATGGTGGTATACATATATATATATATATATATATTTAACTTTAACATTGAGTCATTCTACACATTACTAAAAACATTACTTATCAACCGCCCATCATTGCTCAAACCAACATAATACCATTTCAAAAAAATACAATGTATAAGAAGCTAGAGGGTCCCACGATTCGGTGGGATATACACAGTATATATACTATCTATATATATCAAGAGGAGAGAGAGAGACGAGAAAGGTAGTGGAATTGAGGAGCAAGGACGAGTAAAATAAAGGGCCAAACCCCTATGGGTCTAGTAAAGTCAATTATAGTGCCCACTACTGCGTCTGGCACGTAGATGTGCACTACCACCAGTAATCACTACTATAGGGCTGCACACCGATCCCAAAGATCTTTTAGCCCATTTCAACTTACACAAAGGCTTGAGAGACTTCCATACTTTTTTGTTCAATTTATTTATATAATCTTTCTGCTTTTAACAACAGGCAATCTTAAGTAAATTATTGAAAAATCTATTTTACCAGTGGCATTAACTTTCAATCACTTCCATCAAATTCCCAAATGAATTTTTTAACTTCACCATCCCATCAAGTAATAATAGACAGATAATTAAAAATAAATTGGAATTATTACCATGAATGTGATGGTGTGAACTAATACTATATAGTGGGACCTCCACAAACCCATATATATTTGCTCTTGCCACCAAAAACTCTTATATCAATAGCAGCAAGTATGTGTCAATTCATTTGCGAGACTAATAATTAAACTTTACCCTAACCAAATTTGATCTCTGCTTGGTTTTAGTCTCAAGAGCGGTTCCCAACATCAATGTACTCCTTCAAATATAGAGAGAGAGAGAGAGAGAGAGGTAGTGGAATTGAGGGAGAAGGAGAGTAAATAAAGCCAAACCATGGGTCTGTAATCAATTATAGGGTGCCCATACTGTCGGCACGTAGATGTGCATACACAGTAACTACTATAGGGCTTGCACACCGATCCAAGACTTTTAGCCATTCAACTACAAAAGCTTGAGAGACTCATCTTTTTGTTTATTTATATATTTTCGGTTTAACAACAGCAATTTAAGTAATATTGAAATTATTTTTAAAGTGGCATAACTTCAATCACTTCCATTTCAAATTCAAATGAATTTAATCATCCATCAAGTTAATAATGACAATATTAATAATAAATTGGATTATTAATGAATGTGATGGTGAATATATATATAGTGGGACCAAAACCATATATATTTGCTTGCCACCAAATCTTATATAATAGCAGCAAGTATGTGTCATTTCATTTGGGAGACTAATAATTAACTTTCCCTAACCAAATTTTGACTTGCTTGGTTTTAGTCAAGAGGGTTCCCAAATCATGTACTCCTAATATTATTTTGTTGAAGTAGAAGATTGCTAATTACTTGTACTAATCACTGCTCAATCAATTAAAAGGGTATCATTACTTTGCTATAAACGGTTTATAATATGTCAATTATATATAGTCAAGGCATTATTTCAAATTAAAGTATTATTTTGTTGCGTCCCCAACAAAATTCAAACTATATCTATATATACAAACATATTTCACTAATGAAGTCTGGCTAAAAATGGCATAGAGCTCTAATTACAATGATGATAAATTAATAATAATAATTGATTAAAGAGAAATTAAAATATTTTTAAAATTGAAAAACACTAAGCCTGACAGCCAAATCTGGAAACTATATATCTCCAATCTCCAAGAAATTACAGAATGCAAAATAATACCACCACCACATACACTTCCCTCAAAGGACTGTATGTATATAGTATAGTAATTAATGTGAGATTAGTAGTATTATTATTATTATATATATATATATATATATGTAAATGGGAATTAAAGATCAAAGTTTGAGGAGGCATAAACGAGTAGGACTGCGCAAGAATAATGATGGGATGTTAGGAAGGAGGAGAAGATCCCTTGAAAGAATACAAAATCCGTTTGTTCCCCAAACTATGCTTTGCTTTTTCCTTTGCAGCTGAGCTGCCTACCACATGCCTCTGCTCTCTTTTCTTGACATTGTTAACGGTTCTTCTTCTTATTTTTTTAAATTAAAGAATATATAAGCACAACATGCAATGCAAGAGTTAGCTCGGGAATAAAGCATAAATGGTGGTGATTCTAAATATGTTTTTAAGACTGAAACGTAACTTAGTCTCTCACATGGAGCCCTCTTGTCCTTTTTCTCTTGGAATTTTCACATTCTCTCTAGCTCTCTTACTATTGAATAGTCTCATTCAAAAAGCACCTACAAAAACGTACTTATATATATGTATATCTTTTTTTTTTCCTTTTCAAAATCGGGACATATTAAAATACTAATATACAGACAACCATACCCTAATGGTACAATAGCTACATGCAATCTATTAATGTTCTATGTAGCTACCACGTTTCATGGGATAGCTTGTCCACTTGTTAAATAACTCAGTTGATAACGCAGGTTGGGCATGTGAAAAAAATTCTCAGGTTTGATTTCTACTAAACGTATCTGCAGAGAGAATAAGAGTCTTAACTAGAATATTACATAATATTTAAATGTTAATAATTTCTCTTTTTGTGATTAAATATTATTTTCTTTAGATCTTTGAAATTAAAATAGTTAAGATAAAAAAATTTAGTATTCATTGTAAGAACTGTTTAAGCTTTTAATAATGTTAACTAGGATTCCATTTTGGAAATAAAGAAAGAAAAAAAGGTCGCAAGATTGTTGAATCCGTTTTGGTCCCAAGAAGATTGTGAATTTGGCCTCATGCATTATTGTTTGGATATATAGATAATAGAATTAGATTTTCTCCATGTTAAATGTCAATATAGTAAACCATATTCCTGTACAGTAAAATATAGTTTAATAATAAGTATATGTAGAACGATCTGATAATAAATTTAAATTCGAACAGCGTTTGTAATAAAAAAAAGATTTTACAATTTAAATGGCCCGTACATATACAGACTATAAATAGAATGAAAAAAGGGTATGGGTTAATGAAAGTGGAAATGGGATTTGGTGTGTGGAAATGCATCGGGTATTGGGCTCTTGGGATTATATTCCCTCTATCTATACAAAGGAATGTCTTATATACGTAGTGATGAATGAGGTTTTTGAACTGTGTAGTCTCTCATGTAATGTTCTTTCTTTTTCTTGAACCTCTAAAGATTCATCTGTTGCTATACCCTGCTTTATTACCTTCCTGTCCTTTTCTTGGATTTTGAATGATGTCCCTCCAATATATTCTCCTCCCTTCTTTCTTTCTTCCTTTTTTCTATTTAAAAATGTGTATAAACTATAAAGAAAAAAAAAAACATTTTAATAATAATAATAATAATAATGATTATGATGATGATACTTTATTAAAAAAAATTATAAACATTTGTACTCAAATCCCATTTTATGAGCAGAACAGACCCATCACGTGAATTTCTGATTAATAAATAACGGAATAAGTCTCTGTTTTGTTGATGCTAAGCTAATCTCTCTCTTTAGTCTTTACATAGACAGTAGCAATATTTGAAGTTAAGCTATCGACGAACGTCGCCACCTGCTCTTTGTCTGTTTACTCTTTGTTTCAACGATTCCTTTGTGAGAGGAAATGTTGGGTAACTGCGAGAAGATGGTTGTAATCTCTCCAACTACTAACGAATGGCCACAGGTTTCTTTACTTTCTTCCTCTCTCTTTCTTTCTCAATTATTAGACAAAGAATGACCCCATTTTTTGTTTCTTTCCTTTTGGAAGAGAATATCTAACTCGTGTTGTTATTTTTACCCTAAAAACGCCACCTTCAATTCTTTTTTTCTTTTCTTTTCTTTTCTTTCTTTGCTTTTCCTTTTGGTGCAGAATCATCAGATAGATGAGAAAAGCTTGATGCCATCTACAAGTAAACTAATGGAGAAACGAGGCCAAGAATTATCACAACCACAACAACTCCACCACCAACAGCAACAGCAACAGCAACAGCAGCAGCACCAACCGCCACAACAAGCTCTCAAGTGTCCGCGCTGTGACTCTTCAAACACCAAGTTCTGTTACTACAATAACTACAGCTTATCTCAGCCTAGGCACTTCTGCAAAGCTTGTAAGCGGTACTGGACCAGAGGTGGAACTTTGAGAAATGTTCCGGTAGGCGGTGGTTGCCGGAAGAATAAGCGGGTTAAAAGGCCAGCCTCCGCCGTTGAAGGAGCTACTACTTCAGCTTCTAGTGCTGCTAACCCTAATAACCATCCTTCACAAACCCCAATTGATATTTCTTCAACTTCCAATCATAGCAATCCTTTGTTTTATGGGTTAACAGCGAACCCATCTGAAGTGAACCTTTCATTCCCTGGAACGTTTAATTCAAGAGTGTCATCAAATATGGATATTGTTTCCGGCTACGATCTCCAGCCTCAGTTGAATGCTCTTGCATTAGGGTTTTCAACAAATAATGGTGGGTTTAATCCAAGCAAGCAAATCCAAGATGTGGTTACTTCTTCAACTTCTTTGCTCTCAAATTATTCAAATCTCTTTGGTTCCTCTAATTCTTTAACAGCTACAGCTTCTCCAACTATGGCTACTTTGCTTGCTTCTAGCCTCCACCAACAAAAGTTCAGCATCAAAGATGCTAGAGCTGCTCTTAACCACTATCAGAGTTTAACATCTTTTCAAGACTTGCAAATGAGTGGCAATAATAATGAATCCGCTGGTATTGCAACGAAAGAAGTGAAAATTGAACAAGACCACAGCAGATTGGACTGGAATATGCCATGCCAGAATCAGATAGATCAAATTGGCTTCTCATCGTCAGATCCTTCACTTTATTGGAATACGAGCACAAGCAGTGTCGGTGCATGGCATGATCCAGGGAATATTGGGTCTTCAGTCACTTCTTTGATCTAGCCATAACCAAAGGAATATCTTTCAATTCATCTCCCTCTTGTTTTCTTTAATTTTTCAATAATCTTGGTCTCTTTCTTTTAGCTTAATTAGGATTTTTTCTTGGGTTGGTTAATTACAAACCAAAAAAGATTCAAAAAGAAAAAAAAAAGTGAAGTTTGGTACTGATGCAAATAATTATTGTAGTTGAGAGGAGCCTGGATCGGAGAGATCATGTCAGCAGCAGAAAAAAATCAGCCTATAAGTTTTTATTTTGAAGGTTGAGAATCCCTAATTGCGCTGAGAGGAACCTCGGATCCTCTTCCATCTCATCATGTACTCATGAGCTACCATCATGAATCATCATCATCATCATCATCTGCACAGTGTTGGAGAGAAAGGATCAACTGTTCGGTGCAACATTTCTTTGTATCAGTAAGTTGGTCTTAGTTAATTATTATTACTTTAATTTTGTATGTATATATAATGCATGACATTTACTCCTTTCTTTCTAATGTACTTGTTAGTAGATTGGGGTTTCTGGTTGGGGGATATATGTTACCTTAATCCTCTAAATGAGGGAGGCACTGATGATTTTTCTTTCTTTTTTCTTTTTCCTTTGAAATACTTTATATTTGGGTTTCTGGTTAAATTGGGTATAATTAAGTGGTATAGGAAAAGAGGGAGATTTGGTTTTGGAACGTGAGTTTCTTTTTACTTCTTGGTTTATGTGGTGATTATTCATTATCATTATTGGGTTTTCTACTCTTGGTTATATGTTTTCCTGACTTCTAATTTGTAGTTGATGTTATTTCTAAGAAAATCATGGTTTCAAGCAAATCGTCCAAATTTTCATTTTTCAAATCTTGAATGTGAACTGCATTCATAATTCCTATCGTGAATTACACTAAAACTGCTGTGCATTAGTAATTTAGCATAGACAAGAACTGCATACGTGCAGTAAACACCAGGCCATATTGCTTGGAATTTGTCATCATAATCATATGGGTAGCTACAGGAACAGTGCATTAATTATCTAGTACAATATTTGTTCTTAAGTCTAAACAACTGTCGTGTAACTCTGAATCTCTGCCTGTCAAGAACCGAGACAAAGTAGATTCAGTTTATGATCAGTTATATATTGGATTTTAGTATTCAGGGTAGAGAATCTAATCCACTCATTTCCATGTACAAGGTTAGAGAGAGAGAAAGAAGGATACTTTATATAAAAGGTACTTGGAGGGAATTTTATTTTCCCTAGCTAATGATATGATGATTATGGTAAGGAAATTGGGAAAATTAATTCAAGTCTTGGGAACAGCTAATTCATGCACTAAATAATCTGTTTAGGTTATTATCCAGAGTTGAAATATGTCTGGACAGAACTAGCAGTATAGGATTTCGGCAATGTACCTTCACTTCATTGTCTTCGCCGGACATGGTTTTTGCTGAGTTAATTGTCTGGTTATCTATTTGATTTCTTCCTTCTTTCTTTTTTCGCCCCTTTCATCTCCTTCTCGTGATCCAAACTCTCAATCTTAATGCTTAAACAATGATCTGATTATTGAAGAAGGATCTTTCCTATCAGAAACACCAGAAAACGTTTCACACTGACCTATATATGCCTCAGTAATCAGTAGCTTATTTAGGATTAGGGTTTCTGTCGGGATATTGCAATTCAAACCAGCTGAACCATGAGAGGCCAGCTAGTTTAATTACAGATTAGAGATTTCCCAATCAATTTTTCTATGGAATTAGTTTGCTTAACTTAGATAGAGCATTGTAAATGTATACTCAATAACTAGTTCCATGATTTAGTGGTCCTAAATCTGACATAAGTGGGGAGAGGAAGCTGCTACCTGCTGCAACTTGTAGGGATAAAGGTAATTAAGGACTGAATTGTATTGGAGCAATAATCAATATATTATAGGACCATCACAATTGAGATATAAATTTTTTTTTTTTTTTTGGAAATTCTATTAATGCAAATCCAAGATCAAAGCATCATTATTAAAAGAGGAAGGAACAAGAATCCAATTCTGATCTACTAATAAATTTGCAGAGGGAGTTGGGATTTTAACCGATGGAAGTAATACTCATCGCGGATCAAGAGTTCGCAATCCGCACCATCTTAAACGACCGTGTGCAATCTGAAATTAACTAAACGCGGTAGTTACGGCCTTTGCGGGTACTTATGCATGATTACTAAACGACCTTTCATTTGGAAGCAATCAATAATCGCGGTGGGTATTTTTTTACTCGGATTTTAATAGGACCGTCTTCTAAGGACGTTGAGGCTTTTTGGGTGAGTGGATGAACAATTTATTTAAGCCAATGGATTCAGCGGGCTGAAAAAGTTTGTTTTCCAATGGATTTGGGCCCAAAAAACGATGGGTTACATGGAATTTCTTTTATTTTGGAAGTAAAAAAAAAAACTGAAAATCTAATTATAAATAAAAATTTAATGACACCAATTAAATTAATAAATTTTTTATTTGTTAATGAGAACCTTCAATAAACAGTAATTAATAAGAATGTCAATACCTCTTTCTAATTTTGTAGATCGTGAATAAGAGAGACAGAGAGGGAGATAGTTTATAATAAATATACAAAATATTAGTGGAGCATATATTAAGCTCAATAAGAATGTTAATTAGGTTAATCTCCACCAACTGCACTATAAAAATAAATAAAATATGTACCAACTGCCAGTTAGTTCAATGAAACCAGGTGCTAGATCCCTTAAGTAATGTTTAGGTTCAAACATTATCGTTCTAAATGGAGAAAATTGGATTGGAGAATAGCCTTGTAATGAACCTCTGCAGAATCCTGACAATGCCAGACACCATTTAAAAAAATAATAAATAGAATATGTATATAATTGTTAAATAGAAATGGATAGGCCTAACCAAAATCACTCTCATGAACCATGTGGAAGACGATAATTAAGAATTATAAGATATATATATGAACAAACAAATGATGAGCAATTGGGTATATGGGCATTGAATATTAGAGTGGTGATTGATGACACACACGTCCTTTCTTTTGCCCACTAAAATTTTTATAATATTTTATATAGCTAGGGACCAAGCCAAGAATGTGTGTATATGGTGTCAACTCTTCACTTCCAAGCAATCCCAAGAAAGGGGGAAAAAAAAAAAAAAAAAAAAAACATTGTGGAAGACGATAATTAAGAATTATAAGACTATATATATGAACAAACAACAATGTATGAGCAATTTGGGTATAAATGGCATTGAATTATATAGAGTTGGTGATATGATGACACACACGTCCTTTCTTTTGCTCCACTATAAAATTTTTATAATAATTTAATTATAGCCTAGGCGACCAAGCCAAGAATGTGTGTTATTATGGTGTCAAACTCTTCACTTCCAAGCAATCCCAAGAAAGGGGGAAAAAAAAAAAAAAAAAAACAAACGGCATTTTGAAGATGCATGTTCTTACTTGTTTGGCTTTTTATACGTCAATACCACTCTTCAAACTTGAATCCGGCAACACTTTTTTTTTTTTTATTTTCTTGAAAAGATTTAAACGGGGCTGAAATAATACTTTTTTTTTTTTTTTTTATTTCTTGAAAAATTAACGGGCTGAAATAATACTATGCAAAAATTATTATGATCGAAAGAATTCAAATTTTATTTTACAAATAAGTAGAAGGTATTGACACGGGTTATTTATATGTTTTTGATAATTTACATGTTACCACATATTCCAATTCTGTTGTTGATAAGGCAAGATTGCAATCCACAAATTCATTTGGTGATTTCTTACATCCTTCAATAGTTTTATAAATAAATATTTTTTAAAAAAGTATTTTTTTTCCTTTTTTTATTTTAAATATGTATTTTGAATTGAGATTTAGGGTACTTTAGCTATCATAAATAGAGTTTGTGTCAATTAAATAATATAAAAAAAAATACTAGAATTGGGACCATACAAAAGATATTATTGGAATAATAATGAGTTTGGGAGTGTCACTACACACTAGTGACTTATTGATTTTAATAATCACTCCTACAAGCAAAAGGTGGACCAACATTAGCTTGACTAAATGTGATTTCATTTTCAATCTAAAAACATATCATGGGTTAAAAAATTATATTTATTTAGATATTTTGCTTAACTAATTAGCATAACTATATTAATTATTTTTAAATGATTATAAATAAAAATATCAATTTTGAAAAAAACTAATAATTATTATTTTTATAAGATCAATATAATTCGAATATAATATAAAGAAATTAGCAGCTGAACATCCATAAAATAGTGTAAATAAATGAAAACTAGCATATGATAGAAAGCAAAGGTGGGGTCATGCACAAAGGTGGGTTTGTAACGTATGATTTTGAAGGAAATATAGTCAAAGTGAAAGATAAGTTAAAGTGACAGACTTAATGTTTTACATTTGAATAAAGCCATAAAGCAGATTTATGAATGAATTGCGAAAGAGACCTTGTCTATGGTAAAAATTAAAAAATTATTTTTTTTTTTAAATAGTGAATGAAATGAAGTGGCAAACACCAAAACACACGTGGGATGTAGTTTCAAAACCAATACAGTAACTCTGTTTATTTTCATTATAACTCCCAGTCCCACGAAAAGGAAGCCTTCAGTAATAATTCACATTTCGACTCATTGCTATGCTTATGCTTGACATTATATAGATTTGCTCTCTTACATGCTTAACAAAAATCATAATTAATTATATAATCCTTTCCTTTGTACAATAAGTTAATTAAATCAGGAAAATAAATTACTTTATTATTAATATTTGGTCTGTCATCCTCCGTTAATCAAATGTCTCGAAATTGAATATTAAGCGCTTTTAAAGAGTATTTTTAACTCTTTCGTAAACTTATTCGAACTGCATCAGGATAAATTGAACCGGCGGAGCAGATGGTTCAGGAAAAGAAGAAGAGGTAGTTGCTACGATTAGCTTGGTGAGCAAATGATGAGAGGACGGGGCCAGGACTTACATACCGATGGGATATTTGATTGAAAGAAGTAGGACCATTGATAGCATGCTCTCCCATGGCTTTTGAAAGGTGGGTCCACAATTTCAACATCAAGTGAATGTAGATGTGGTGTTAAAGGTCGACACTGGATCGTTCCTCCATGCATGAGCATGATGCATATACACAAATGGGTACATTCATAATGCAACGTCTCATATACATCACGTGTAAACAATTTTTTTTTTTTTCTCAATTGAATAATTTGAATTAGTCCATTCATTCACAAAGGATTGACTTTAGACGAGATCGTTGATATTTTTAGATTTAATTTGACTTTCAACTGAAGGATAAATACATATGCATTTTACTGTAAGTTTAAAAATTAAAAATTCAGAATTATCACTGTTGAAAAAATTTTATTTGAATATCAATCCAAATATGAAAAAGTATTAAAAAAAAAAACATGATGCATTAATTAAGTATTAAAAAATATTGACCTAAAGTCTCAACATGATACATAATCATGTTAGTGCATATTTGAATTTAATCTATTTTTCACAATATTTAGTTGAAAAACATTTGAGTTTGAATCCATTGGTTTTGGACAATGAAATGCATGATTTGTGGTCCCCATTGAGAACCGTAATCCTTTAAAATATATATATAAAAAATAAAAATAAAAGTTGAGGAAATGACTTTGCGTGATCAATCATATTTTAGCTAATTGCACTCAGTCGTGTCAAGATATTTGACTTCTTAATTTAACATTTATTCATGTGGATTTTATGACATAAAATTATCACTGAATTTCTCCCAAAAAAAAAAATCACTAAATTATCATATATATCACTAAACTAATAATTGAATGTTCAATTATCCGTCTAATAATGTAAAATGTCAATGATTTGGAGTTTTCTAATGTCACGCACGACTCTAACTATCAGAGAAATTGCCAGCAAGACTTGCACGATCTTGTCCTATAGATAAAATGTAGAACTTTTCAAGAGGTTACCTATCTTAAAATTTTCGTTAAGCAATCACGTTTAACTTTTGAGTTCTTTCAATTATCCAAGTTATTTCATCAAAAGGCGCCTCTAATGATTAGTTTTTCCGTTTTCGATATATATAATCTGATTCATTCATATATCTCGCATTCCACTACCCATAACTAGTATGACATCCTAGAAGCTACCCATAAGTTTTGCTATACTCGTTCTCTTAGAATCACTTTGTCGGGTCGGGACATGATATTTAAAGACCCTCTTCACTTTAAATATTTGTTTAGAATTATAAACCCAAAAAAAATGTGAATATTTAAGTAGCACCACTTAAAAGATGTTACATGTAGTGTTAAGTCATCAACTATTGTAAATTAATATACTATGTAAATAATTAATAGTCAAAAGGAGAGGCAAGGCTTAAGATAAAGAAGTTAATAAGTTCTTTCCCATTACCTAAGTTATGTAAAAATAATTAATCATATAAATAATTTCTAAAGATGCACTAACTCTAAAATATAAGTTCATGAATGAAATAATTTTTTTTTAAAAAATGTAATTGTATAAAGAAAGGATAAGTGAGTGGATTTTAAATTAAATTTTAAAGCCAACCCACATAAAATTTAATATCACTTGATATTCTTATCTTTTTAAAAGGTAATATTATAAAAATATTTAAAAACCAAATCAAAAAGTTAACATATATATTCTTCTTGTTATTGGTTTATCAACTAAATAAGTTATTTTTTACAATGATTAATTACTAATTTATTCAAGTCATGAATCATGGAAAGTCTCATCAAATGAAGTGAAACTCAACTCAAGAATACAAAGAAATTTCGAGTTAAGAGTAAATTTGTGTCTCATTTTTTTCTTTAGATGGAATTTTGGGTCTTAATTCTTAAATTCAAAACTAATTTCAAAAGAATAAATTCATTTAATCAACAATGGCAACTTAAATTGACACCAATCACAGCAAATAATTTATAAACCACAGTAGTAACGAGTAAGTGGTGGTCTCTAAGGTAAAACGTGGGCTTTGCGCGGTGTACGGCAAAAGCAGTGATGGTGATATCCCGAGAGAGAGAGAGTGGCCATTTTTATTCTCTGGGCAGAGATCTCCTCATGCCAGACCAAAGATTTGCTTTGCTCTGCTCGGAAACCACAATACTCTCTTCACGCCAATCCTACCAAATATATAACTAATTAACCTACTTGTGTACACTGTTTAACCACTCGATGCTTAGCTTTGTTTAATTAATTAATTAAACAAAATCCATAAGCCTACTCAAAATCTTCTACATCAATTACTTAATTAGCTTCGAGAGATTTTGTTCAACTTTCAACCTCAATATCAGTGCTTTAATTTATGCTAATGCAATTCCAATTAATTTCACGTTCTTCGATAGTTTTTAATAAAATTTTCAGCGTTTTAACAAAATTAAAATCCATTCCTGTTAATAACATTCAATAAAGTAGTTTTTATAGTAGGTTTTAAGAACAATAACAACTTATACATGTACGTGTTTGGAATTTTGCAGGGGATTGGACAAAATCATGCATGACACCATCACCATGTTATTAACTGTTTTGGTCCTTTACGTTGGTATTTTAATGCCAAGGAAAAATAGGAAGAAGAATTTTAATAAGACAACATATAATAATTTTTGGTTGCTGACGCTAATGAGACCACGGTGTTTCTCTGGTTTCATACTAAGTGGTCGTTGGTGAGAAGAATTGACCGGAAATTTTAAAGTTGGAAGAGTGAGTAAAGGTGATTGAACATGTAAAAAGCATATTGTATGGTCAGTCAGCCACATGCACAAGAACAAACCGTCTTGTCCAACAACTTTTACAGAGACATCACCTCCACCATCTCATGCACCCTTTTAGGCGCCTTTAATACCCCCACTCTATTTCTCCATTTTCTTTTCTTTTTTAACTCTCTCCTCACCATAAACCCTAATCAACTACTACCATAAAAGTAAACTCACACTTTTGAATGGGAATTGGAAACTCATATCACAAAAAGAAGATTAATTTAAAGAAAAAAAATGAATAAAGAAAACCAAGAAAACATATATATTATCTTTGCTCAAAAGTTCGAACATAAAGAAGAAAAAAGAAAAACAGAATTTCTCTCTATGATATAAGCAAAACAAAAGGCCAATAATACCTCTACTCTTGCATTTACACCAAATAACAAGTATTATACCCCAAACCATCTTGACAATGTAAAGGAAACAGGTAATGCCAGAAAAAAAAAACAAGAAAAAGGATCCATTGGTGATCGTTTGTATACAAAAAAAAGCTAAAGAATTAATTCCTTGAAAGAGAGATCAGTCACGGTGAAGGACCATAACCTGGCAGATCATGCCACTGATCAGCTGGGTTCAAAGAAAAGGAGCCACCAGTAGTGGTGGTTTCTCTGTTAGTGCTGGCTGTGGTGGTGCTGGTGCTAATACTCCACAAAGCAGTATCAGATACGATAGCTGGGTTATTGTTGCTGATAAAAGCTTGGTGATTATGCCAATTTTGATGCTGCTGCTGCTGATGATGATGAGAAGAAGCATAAAAAGGAAGCTCTCCAGTACTCTTTGTATCTCTATTACCCATTTGGTAAAATTGCCTTTGCTGTTGAATTTGTTGCTGCTGTTGTGACCCATATGAAGGAATAGAATTAAATCCATGCAAAAGGCTCAGATTTGAAGGACCTCCTATATCGCCAGCGAGATTCATAGGTAGATTTAAAGAAAAAGATGATTGAGGTGGTATTGGGTGGTTGTTCAAAGATTGAATTGCTGCTAAAGAACCCAAGAATCCACCGCCGCCGCCAGAATAGTACGGCCCCATCGAAGATATTGCAGGAGAAGGTGAAATCAAACTTGCTAATTCCTTAGTTCTCAAAGCAGGATTTGCAGTATTACCTGAATTTGTATTAGTAGATACTATATTCTGCGACTGCGAATGAGACCTAGAATTCTCACTAGAGGAAGAAGATGCAGATGATGATGCTTTTGCTCTCTTTCCTTTCCGGCAACCGCCTCCCACAGGAACATTCCTTAGGGTTCCACCTTGAGTCCAATATCGTCTACAAGTCTTGCAAAAATATCGAGGCTGAGAAAGACTGTAATTATTGTAATAACAAAATTTTGTATTAAGCGACTCACACCGAGGGCATTTTTGTGGCTGGTTTTGTTGCTGCTGCGGTTGATTCTCTCCTTGCATCGGCTTTAACCTCCGGTCTTGATTTTGCTTCATGATCTCTTCACTTCCTCCTCCTCCTCCTCCTCCTTTATCTTGCTGCATCTCTCGTTTCTTGTTTGGCCTTTGGTTTTGGCTTTGTATGTGTGTTTTTGTCAAGAAGTACTGTTATGGGTTTTTTTTGGCCTTTGGTGGTGCATGCAGGTTTTGAGCGAAGACTGTGTAGCGAGGAGCGTTTCAAAATATAGAGAAGACAATGAACTCAACGTGTCTGTTTTTGAGTGTTGCGAATCTAAATAGTTGAAAACAAAGGGCGATTATTATGTGACCTTGTGCATGCCCAACCACCGTATGAAACTAAGTTCTCCTCCTCTCTCAACAATAAATAACACCAAATGCAAAATCAAGAATTCCATATCCCCTCAAACCCAACCAAATCCCTCAAGATTTTCACTCCTACTATATATAATCTATAAAGATCGACAGCACGAGATGGTCAAGGATCACCTGCTTTTACTCGGGAGAGAGAAGATTGTACGGGTGTCGGGAGAGGACAAAGCCAACCCGAGGAGAGGTCTTTATCTGGAGAGAGATTTAAGAGCAATGGATTCGATTAATTCACTCCAAAGTACAGTTATTTTGTTTCAGTTCAGTCCCATCTGGCCATCTCTTACCAACCCAAAAAAACCAAAATATCAGTAGTCCATAATTTTCATATAAATGTTAATTGCAGAAAAATAAAAAGCTTAGCCAAGAACAAGAGATAGCGATTAAAGATCTAATCTATCATGTGCGTACAACAGAGGAAGGACCGAAATGATCAGTAAAGAGGCGGCGCGGCCAAAGGTGGCGGTGAATGGAGGTGGTGGCTGACTATGTCAGAGTTTCAGCTACTCCCTTGTTCTTTCTTCTCCTTCTTTTTCTTGTTCTTTTTCGCTTTTCTTTTTATTTCTCTCTCATTCCACTTTGGTTTTTCTCTGTCTACAATCTTCTATTATCTATTATTCTTATTTATTTATTTATTTATTTATTTCCATCTTCTTCTTTCTGTTGCCTCTGACATCATCATATGTTTTGCGCCATTTGGACGCTCATCTTTGATAACTTCGACGTTAAAATGACAGTGGTATCCTTTGCTTATCAGAGTTTCATTCCCATTTCTCTCCGCTGCTTTGTTGCTTCCTTGTAGGCCCAAGAAACCAAAACATGGAAAATTACTACCGTCTACATCAAATCAATCCAAATTCCGAAATTGTTATTGTGAAAAAAGAACTATGATTTTAAATTATATTTTTTTAAAACAAAAATAATTATTTTTCTATTAAAGAGTGTATTACCAATCGCTTGAGATAATTCTTGGTTTCACTTAAAATATTTCTCCAATAATGAATGTAATTAATGAAAAAGTATTTAGTACACAACTTTAAAATGAGTATTTAAATCATTAAAATGTCAAATTCTTATTGTATTGCGTATATTATTCATTCATATACCATATACTAATAAAAAATTATTACTATAATTTATTATTAATTTTTTCTAGTACAAAACACTAATACCTTGATTTTTACTAAATAATTTTATTAAATTAATTTAATATACAGTGAACCTATATAATAAATATAGGTATGTTTTTTCTTACTTCTTATTTCCCAATTATGGTTAAAATATAAATTGCGTTTAATTAAAGCATCCAAACAAATTTTGCCGAGCTCCAAAAAAAAAAATAAAAAATAAAAAATAAATCCACCGTATCTAGTTGCAATAAAGTGGGGTTATGTTGTTGATTAATTCAAAATTATTGAATTTGAAAGTAGAAATATCTGCACAAGCAGAAGTATTATTGGTCTATGGCAGACTCTGTTACTAATAATATTTGGACCAATTATTTAGGTGCATTATCTCTTTTAGTTAACCACAGTCTAAGCCCAGTGATTGGCTTCCCGAGAACATTTTGTACAGAATAAAGGGTAGTTTTGACATTTAACTCTTTAAATAAATAAATAAAAAGAATAATAAGGGTTTGGTTTGTCATTGTCTGTGAGAGAATGTGAAGTAGAATTGGCGGTGGGGTATATTTTCATACGGCATGGGAGAAGCACGTGCCATGAGGCACGTAACTGGAAAGAGGGATGACGCCCATATCCGTTAGGGGTTACAACTGCTCCTATAGCGCCACCGCCACCGCTTGATAGACAAACACTAAAAACGTTTCTTCTTATTGCTGTTGTAATGTAATGTTGTTAATGGTGGGTGGGGCATGATGCTACGCTACCTTGTACTCGTGGTCTACTAATAGTCCCTGCACGGTACTTAAAAGTGTGTTTAACTTAATCATGGATTACAGTTGATGTGTCTTAATAAATAAAAGTCTAGATGGTGATGTGGCTTAATGTATATTTATAGATATTAGATTTTAAAAATGGTTATTAAAAGTCTAGATGGTGATGTGGCTTAATATATATTTATAGATATTAGATTTTAAAAATGCTACACGATATCCTAGCTGTACGCCGTATAGATATTAAATTTTAAAAAATGGTTATTAAAGAGTCCTAGATGTGATAGTGGCTTAATATCATATTGTGAGAGATATTAGACTTCTTAAAAATGGAATAAACGAAAAAAGAAAATCGAATTTTCAGCCTCAATAGGAATGAATGATAAAGAATCGATTTCATTCAAAAAAAACTTGTATCGTATTTATGTACAACGAATAAAAGAAAAAAAGTATGAAATAAAAACTAACTGATACCCAATAAATAAAATAGACTCATACATACGATAATATATCACTTAACGAGACTATCAGAATGGCGAACAGTCTATGACTATAGAGTGAGAGAGTACGATACAGTGAACTATCTCTAGCTTTAACTATATATGTGTTGCACTATCATCCTTGCGACCCCGTCTGATATCTAATATCTAAATAGAGAATAGCAGTTTGAGGCGTGATGACCAGTTTTTTTTTTTGATCAAATCCAACATGAGAGAGTCAACACGGAGCGAGCATCAACGAGCTATTATATATACACGCCACAAAGAGAGAGGACCACGAACGTAATACGAATGAGATATACGGACGAGGACATCGTATAATATAATCTATATCTCTATCAGAGAAGAACAATAATTACCGAGCCTGTGAGTGAGGAGGCCATACACTATACATATACGAACATTGAATCTGGACACACCACTCCCCCCCCACTGAGCGAGTATCGACGTACTATCAATATCATACATACGTGTGATAGCATATAGTGCATCTAAAGTGACAAATAAATTAAAGCACGTACATTCGATGTAGACATTCAATTTTTTTTTTTTGACACATTAAATTCACAGACTAAATAGACGAATAAAAGAAAAAGTATAAAGGACAGTAAAATAATAATAATAATAATAATAATAATAATAAATAATAAAAAATAAGTCACGTTATTTAACAGACCATCTGAAAATAATGAGCGTGATGAACAGTCTAAATAAAGAATATCATTGACGAATATTTTTATTTTTTACTTTTAATTTTTTAAAGGTGACAAATAAATTAAAGCAATTCGTGGAGCATTCAAGATGCTCTTATATTGCTTTTGATGATCACGACACTTGTTAAGTTCGATGAAAATGCAGAGTGTTATGGTTCAAATTGAAGTAAAATACAAATATTGGGCTTCTGAAACTTGATTCTCTGCTCGCATCAGTAGTCAGCCCAGAGTGCTGGGCCGAACCATAGATTTGGGAAGAAGTCTAAGAGAACAATCCCAACACTATTTTGAGGCTAAAGGCAACCACGAGAGAGACAGAGATATGCAGACTTTAGTCCTCAGGCTCTGAGGCTCACCGATATTCCATTTTCATACGGAGGTTTTGCTGTTTCCTCACTAATTTATATCCCTCACGGTAATTGAAAACTTCATATATCCATTGATTTTTCTTAAGAAACAAGATTATAAGAGAGCTACAAGATAATAAACCATGCATTCCATTTATTTTATTTGGCCATAGTCTCTAATTTAATTAAACTCGACAAAAAGAACCAATTAACCAACTTCTTAAAATTATACTTTGAACTAATCCTTTCTCTTCTTAACATCATCGCTTTCTCCTCCACCGGCCCGCCTCCTCAAATCCACCACATCCTCATCCATCGTCTTCTCTCTTTTATCATCATCGTCATCATCATCTTTACCAACCAGAGTCTCCTTTACCTTCTGTGTTGTCCCCTTCGCCGCATCCCACGCTCCCTTTACTGTCTGCTTCGCTTTCTCTCCTACAGTACCCACCGTTTCCACCACCTTTATTGTCCCATCTCTTGCCTTATCAGCCGCCGTTCCGGCATACTCTTTTGCCGTCTCCTTCACATCATGCGCAGTGTCCGCTACTTTATCCGTCCCTTCTTTTGCCTTCTCCTTAGTATCATATGCATAATCTTCTGCTTTCTCTTTTGTTTTCTTTGCAGTCTCTGTTGCTTTATGAGCTCCTTCCTTGGTCTTCTCTGCAGCCGATTGAGCCATGCCTTTGGCACTTTCTTTGGTTTCATGAGCATAACCTTTTGCGTTTTCTTTCATTTGCTCTGCGCGGTCTTTTGCCTTTTCTTTCATTTCCTTAGACTGTTCTTTTGCCCGCTCTGCGCGCTCTCTGGCTCTTTCAACGCCTTCTTTTGTAGCTTCTCTGGCTATATCAGTAAAATCCGATGCTCTGTCTCTATTCTCCTCCTCTGCATTTCGACCCTGAAATCAGAAAAATACAACATAGTATATATGATTCAAGATTGGTATTATGAATTGTTATGCAACGTGTATGCATACGAGTTATAGTTACCTGGATATGTTTTGAGGCAGAAGTGAAGCAGACCCGGGAGACTTTACTGGAGGATCCGAGAAAGATAGGACGGGAGTAGTGGAAGGTTTTTGAGAGACTCAACATGACGGTTTTGGTTATTGAAATCGCTGCCATTGTTAATTCAGAACTTCTTCTTCTTGTTAAATTTTTGTGTTTTTCTGTTTCTTGCTCCTCATATATATTGCCGGTCCTGCATGCAGGTTATATTCTATCGTATCATCATCATCATATATAATGAGATTGAAGAGAAAAGTGTTGTAAGCTTATTTGAGCAACACATAGGCTAGTTGAGTATGCCACGCGTCTTGTAGGGGTTATCGTGTCGTATAATCTTGTCGGTTGGAGGTTCAGCCAGTCAAGTCAACACATGTTAATAGAAATTAGAATCATGGCTCAACGCAGGCCCATAGTCAAAGAAACCTTTATGCAAGACCGTCAAAAATAAACAGGTTGGGCTCTTGTCCAACCCATGGGCTAGCTTTTCAGCTCTAATCTAAATACCACTTTCTCTCTTTTTAAATATGGGCCGGTACTGGACTAGATAGATCTGAGCCCTAGTTTTGCAGCCCATTATTGGAAACAATGCATTTTCTCTGAATTGCTATTTTATCTTCTTGTGCTGGCTTTTGTTCGTGAACAAGAATAGGAAGAATAACCAGGGAAAGCGACACGGTATATACACACTAACTGCCAAATTAGGGCTTTCTGCTTGCAATTACAGCTCTTTCGACTTGTCTTCTGATTTTAACTCTTTTATCGGGGTTTTAAGTGGTCAATCTGATTGCAATGCTAGAGAAGTTGACTATGGCGAATGTGTGATGGAGAACTTGCAACTCCCCATTTTGGTTTCTTTTCTACTTGCATTCCAGATATGTGATGATTAGATTGTTTTGAGAATCCAATGAAGCTTAATTGCTGAGTTGGGTTGGCAGTAAAGATGAAACATAGTACAAGAAAGAGAGAGGGGTTTGGTGGGGTATAGCATATATATTGACCATTGACAAGGTAATGATCAATGAGTGAATGAATGTATATTGTTTAGCCATTAGCGTGATGTGGATTAAATTGGGGATGACAAAGCGTAACCGGCGGCTTGAATGGACAGTTCTGATAGAAAAAGCCATTTTGGTGTGGTGTTCTGTGCAAAATTAGCTCAAAGAGTTGCCATATTTAAACCAAAGGTGGCGCCAAATTTTCAAACTTTGTGCTTCTCTGTCTCAAGCACCTGAATGGTCAGTTGAGTATCCCAAAACCATCTCTCTCCGGCCACTTGTCGCCCTCTTCAATCCATTTGCCACACCCTATTCAATTCCTCATTCGTCTCTTCTATTTTTCTCTTTCATGGCCTTTTCTCTCTCTTCACCGACCCCTCTGCAATTTCTCGACGCGTTCTCTTGCTTTTTCAACACCTGGGCTCCTTCTAGTGGCTGCAACTTCTACTCCATGACTATTTCTCACCAGAAAATGAGAACAACCCATATTTACAACAATATAGAAATAGAGTTCTCTCTGATCAACAACACCCCGCCCCACATCCACCCACCCCTAAAGGGCCATTGTCACTAACTCACTCTCCAATTTGTGTTCATTTTTGGTACATGGAGAACCTTTTTTCACCCTTATCCACAAATATCACTTCCAACACCACCACCATTACCACCAATGCTACCAAACCAAATATGAGTTTTTCTCAAAATTCCCCATTGTCCTCTATCTGTGGACCACTGAACTACCCGTCAACGTCTTCTACTTCATCTCCACCAGATCACAGCATTCCACCACCTTTTCAAACCCAAGTCCACACTAGCCAGTTCTCTCCTTTCTATCCTTTCTGGTTCTTACAAAATGGGATTGAAATTCAAAGATCATACCTTTTGCAGCCAAATGGGTTTTCAATAGACCAAGAAAGGAGAGTTCTTGATGCATATAAGACCAAGGTTGCTAGAAGCAAGAGAAAACTAGCACGCCAAAGAAGCCTCATCAAGAATTCTTCTTCTGGTGTTAATTCAGCTCAGATGGATATAAAGAAACCAGCTTTCAATGGTGCTAGTACCAATGTGCAAGATAGCCAAGGCAACATCAACAAAGATCTCTATACATTCTGCACACTAGATAATAAGGTGGGTTTTTGTCGGTTTTTTTTTTTTTTTTTTTGTCCATGTACCTGCAAGTTTATGCCGAGCGACGGGGGAATTTTTTATGTTTGGCCGCTAGACACACTGAGGGTTGCTTGGCTAACGAAGAGTGAAAGAACAGTGGATGATGGGTCTCTGGGAGGTAAGGTGATTCGTTTTGATTCTTTTTTTTTTTTTTTTTGGTCCATGTAAACCTGTCATGTTTAAATTGGAATTTTTTTATGTTTGGCCGCAGAAACTGAGGGTGTTGCTAACGAAGGAGTTGAAGAACAGTGATGTTGGGTCTCTTGGGAGGATCGTACTTCCAAAGGTGAATTCGTTTTGATCAATAAGAGCTTTCTAAAGGCCAGTAAACTTGTTTTCAGATTTTGCTTGTTTCGGTTTCTGTTCCTTTCTTTTTCTTCTAGAGAGAAAGAAAAGAGGTAAAAATAGCCAACCAATGCCTTCGTTTGACTTGCTCTTGTTGTACATGTAAGATGCTTGTTATATAGACTACCCAATAACTTACATATTCCTGACTTCTCGATTGGTGCACTAAAACAAGAAATGGGAAAAAAGTGAGAGAAGTAATAATATTATCATATGTAACAATATTTAGCAATAATAACAATCATTATCAGTTATAATTTTTACGCATTTTCTTGATTGCTTTTTACAGTTTCCTAATAAGATATGGTAATCTCTCTCTGATATCTACTAAGGTTATCTAATGCGTTTGTGTGCCTCTTGCACGCCAAAATCCAGAGAGACACAGAGGAAAATCTTCCTATCCTCTCTGAAAAAGAAGGCATCCAAGTTGTTCTCATAGATGTAAACACTAACCAAGAATGGAGCTTGAAGTTCAAGTAAGCTTTTTACTTATTTTCTTGTGCAATTTTTCTTTTGAGCTGTCCAATCAATGCCATTTGTTTTCTCTGTGGACGACATAGGTATTGGTCTAACAACAAAAGCAGAATGTATGTTCTTGAAAACACAGGTTGGTGTGAAAAATAAAGAAAAAAAGAAAAAAACTTTTTGCTTCTATTATATATAGTCTCTATATTATTCAAAGCTCTCTTACATTGTGCAGGAGATTTTGTAAAGCAAAATGGGATGGAGAGTGGAGATTCCCTTACACTTTACGAAGATGAGAGCAAGAATCTCGTGAGTTTATCTTCCTTGTATTTCTGATAAGAGTATTTTAATTAAGTTTATATTCAAAATTAAAAGCTGGATTAAAATTTGGAAAAGGTTGTTTGTTTAGCTATATGACAATGTTGCCCTTGACCTTTTCTATGATGCTGACACATCCCCTTTGGAAGGATTATGAAGGGATAAAGACAGAACAAAATGCTGCTAAAATTGGAAAAATTTACAACTACCTTCTCTTACATCTGAGTTTATGACACACACCCAATTATTTGTCTTGATAATTAAACTGTCTAGCTACTAGCTAGGATCCAGCAAGTTCATGCCATGAGGGCTACAGTTGTATAAATATTTGGGGTTGATAACAAATTTCTATTACGTGGTTTAGGCAAAACAAAAGCATCAATTTCAACAACTTTAAGATTATATGTTTGATGAGCCGAAATAGAATATAATGTGTGTAATCAAAAGCATTATGCTAATGCTATATTTAGTAAATTGTAATATCATGTAATAGTGACAACATTGATTATGATTTACCAAACATAATCTAAAATGTATTTGAGTAAATTATATTCGGTCAGAGTATATTCCGTCAGAGTCAGTAAGAGTATATACGGTTCATTCTCGCTACCGACAAAAATAATTCATCAATTATGATCCGGAATGCAATAATATCATGAATCTATTTTGTACTAGCCTTCATTAATTTGTCTATTTCCACTACAACTCATTTATCTCATAAAAATAAAAAATAAAACAAAACTATTATGCATTTCCATGAAGCTTGAGTATCTTATTGCTTTCTCCTAATTAACCCTCTAAATCAATTTTCATGCGAGGAATCAGTATTTCTCTATCAAGAAAGTGGAAACACAAGAAGCTGAGCCTTTTACAAACCAAAGCTACCTGTACATACCTAATGCATGCCATGCTAGAGATGAAGAAGAAGCATCTTTTGCATTACTTATGGAGCAGCTTAAACATAAAGAACAACAAGAAGAGGAAGCTAATAGTCTCGTCACATTGTCTATGGATATTGGTTCTTCTTATAGACACAAAGAGGAAGAAAAGAATGGTCGTTTTTTCAACAATGTCACTAGCATCGGACGAACTTCAAGTTCAGCTCAAAGTATGGATGATCACTTCATTCTTGATGACTGCTATAATGGCCTTGATATTCTTCCTGATGTCAATAGGTATAATTTTCAATATGATTAGGTTTTGAATCGGAAGCTATCAAGTTAAGTTTATGACATCAAAATGGAGGAAATAAATGTCTTGATGGTGCAGCTTCAAAGTTAACAAACATGTTTAGTTCTATACTGATAATAGACACCTGATTGTTTATGAACAGGGATTTTTTTCTTTTTCGTTTTGGTTTCAAATTTTCTGGTAACATACAAAATGACATTCTTATAATAGCATATTAAGTCCGTACTCAGTGATAGCTTTAAAGCTAGCTTTTACTGTTTTGATCTATCTCTATTAATTTTATTGTTGCATAACATAACTTTTTATAATATGTGGAGGAAACTTTTTATACTTCTTATAAAACATTAAACGCTCTAACGTTTGGAGTTTCACATAGTTAATTTTTTTTTTTTTTACGATCATATTTATTAATTTTCTTCCAAATTTAACTAATTAAACTGCTAATATCTTTTTTTATTATTTTAAGTTAAATAGTTAATTAAACATTTAATTTTGTTGAGCTATTTTCTTAGCGACAACCGGTGAAATTTTTATTTGACATTTGATTTTGGAATTGAATTCTATTTCTTTTACATGGTTAAAGAACAAAAATAAACTGTTTAAATTTCGTTTCGCGAATAATAGTAATGAAATATCAGGTAATGTGTATAAATGCATTTTTATCATATATATTATAATATAAATATATTTAACTACATTACATTCTATTATAGTTTAGTCACCAAAAATAGGTGAAAGAGTAGTTTGTCCTTATTCACCTTGTTAGTAAACGACCGGTTGTTCAATTTGGGAATTTGTTAAAAAACGCGAGAGAATTAAGACAAACGACAACAAGGTAAGGTGCGGAACGACTTATTTATTTGCACAATTAAGGCGTCAATGACAGGTCATTGGTTATGCGAACATATTAAAAATCAAAAATTAAAATGCGCTTTATAATTTTAAAATTCCAACATTACCCCTACGAGGACACATTGATTTCCATTTTATCCTTATTTGATGTTTTTGGGGATAAGCCTGAGAGCCTCCCCAGCTTCACTCCTCTACCGATCTCTACAACAATGGCAGCAACTGTAACAGCATCAACTCTCTCATCCCTCTCATCTCTTTCTCTCCACTCCAAGCCTCATCTCTCTCTTGTAAAATCTATTAAATCCTTCTCTCTCTCCCCCAAATCTCCCCAAATTCTCTCCCTCTCTTACCGCTCCACCTCAATTACCAGAGCCAAATCAAGTGACATTGACACCACTTTCTTCGACAACGTCAACCCTGAAGAAGAAGTCGTTTTTGACCCGCCAAGCCCTCCAGAAGACTACGTTCCCCCGCCTTCCTTCGATGAGGGCCCCATTGAAACCGAGGAAGAAATCGCCGCTGCTTTTGAGGAGCTGTACGGACCCGCTTTTAGTGGAGAGACCTTTTTTGGTAACGATGTACATGTAATGGATTCTAAGATGAAAAAGGCAAGTGGGTTTGGTAAAGCGAAGAGGGAGAAACTGAGAGATGGGTTTGAAGAGAGAGTGGTGCAGGTGAGAAGAGTGACTAAGGTGGTTAAGGGAGGGAAACAGTTGCATTTTAGAGCGATTGTTGTGGTCGGTGACAAGAAAGGCCAAGTTGGTGTTGGAGTTGGGAAAGCTAAGGAAGTTATTGCCGCTGTGCAGAAATCAGCCATTAATGCAAGAAGGAATATTATTACTGTGCCCATGACTAAATATTCGACATTTCCTCACAGGTATCTATGTCAAAATTCTGCTTGAATCTTGTGGCCATCGTTTATATTTTGCTTACATTGTTGTTGATTCTGTGCTTTTTTTTTTTTTTTTTTTTTTTTTTTCGCAGTCAAACTAGAAGAAAGGCCAAGTTGGTGTTGAGAGAGTTGGAAGAGGGAGAGTTAATGCCGCTGTGCAGCAGAAATCAGCCATTAATGCATGAAGGAATATTATTTAAGCTGTGCCTCATGACTAAATATTCGACATTTTCCTACCAAGGTAATTATCGTCAAAATTCTGCTTTGAATCTTTTGTGGCCATCTCGTTTATTATTTTTGTTTACATTGTTGTATTGATTCTGTGCTTTTTTTTTTTTTTTTTTTTTTTTTTTTTTTTTTTTTTTTTTTTTTTTTTTTTGTGTGTGGATTTTGTATTTAATTGTCCATATAATTTATGTGTTGAAGCTAATTATGAGATTAACTTTCAAAAGCCAATTGAAGAATTCAAGTTAGTCTTATTCAAGCCACTGCCTTCTATGGTGTTTTCAAGATTTTTTCTTTCTTTTAATGTTGCTTTCCTCCCTTTCCAATTGAACTGATTTCAATGCTCTGCTTACATTTTACAGTCTAACTTTGTAATTTAAACTTTTTGTCTTCCTGGTTGTGAATAATAATAAAACTTCATATCACAGACATCATTTTCAGTATGTATGAATAGCCTCCAAATGAATGGCAGGACATTACACCCTTCTGGAATGTAAACATGGGATGTCTAGATTTTAAGAAAATAGTTTGAGAGCACCACTGGCTGTTATGGAAGATCTCCAGAAGTGATATAAGCATTTAGCATGGTGCGTACAGACTGGTAAGGTGCTAAGTGCTAAATTTTTGAAGGTGGTATTGGTAGCAGCGAGTTTCTTAAGTTCTTTTTTTTTTTTTTTTTTTTTTCTTTTTTTTTATTTTTTTTTGCCTTTTAATTAAGTTGTTTCTTGAAGGTTTTGGCCTTTCCCATCATTCTTCAACAGATGTGCTTCACCAACCTAAGCCCTTTCCTGTGTGTCTCTCACTTTGACATGGCCCATTCCTTGGGCTTCGCCGACCCCCCCCCCCCCATGGGCATAATTGAGCCAGTTCAATTTGATCCTTGACAATGGACATCCCGATGCCATTTTCATTCATTGTTTATATTTTATGCTGATCATTTGATTCTGCGTCACAACCAATTTTGATTGTTTGCAGAGTCTGTGATTTGTATGATTAATTACCCAACTTATAGGCCCTGATCAGAGTTTTAACTTTACAACATTCCCGTCTGCTATGAAGCTGTGCAGTTTTTTTTTTTTTTTTTTTTGCTTAATTAAGTTGTTTCTTGAAGGTTTGGCTTCCCATCATTTTCAAAGATTGTGCTTCACCAACCTAAGCCCTTTCCTGTGTGTCTCTCAACTTTGACATGGCCCATTCCTTGGCTTCGTGGCATAATTGAGCCAGTTCAATTTGATCCTTGACAATGGACAATCCCCGATTGCCATCATCATTTTTATATTTATGCTGATATTGATCTGCGTCACATACAATTTGATTGTTGCAGAGTCTGTGATTTGTATGATTAATACCCAACTTTAGGCCTGATAGAGTTTAATTTAACACATCCCTCTGCTATGAAGCTGTCAGATCCATTCAGACAGATTTGTTACGAATCTATTGAAGTCATTATCTAGATCAATTGCATCCATGACTACCATTTAGCTGTTGAAACCTAAAGTTGGATGTGAGGGCTTTCCTGATGTTGAAGTCATTTTATCAGAACTGAAGGTGCTTATTTATAAAGAGAACATAGAGGAATCGAAACAAAGCTTAGACATGAAACAATTTTTACAAATATTTGTATATGTATCGACAGAATGCAATTGATAAGAAAATGAACTTTTTCACGGACTGGGTCTGTGCACATGCAAACTCTTCTTTCCAGAAACTTGAGCATGACAGAAATATTGAAGAGAAAATCCTTTTCTGTCCTGTTTTTCCTGTTGGACCCCATATTTCCATTTTCAGAAATGCTGTGTATTCATATTCCATATTTCTTAGTCACAGGAGCTACCATGATGAGATTAGTAACAGACTAGCTACAAGAAAATATACGTTGTAATTAATTCTTCTTTATAAATGAATGGCAGATCTGATGGAGATTATGGGGCAGCAAAGGTGATGCTTAGACCTGCCTCACCTGGTACTGGAGTGATTGCTGGAGGTGCTGTAAGAATTGTTCTCGAAATGGCTGGCGTGGAGAATGCTTTGGGGAAGCAACTTCGAAGTAAGAATGCTCTTAACAATGCCAGAGCTACAATTGTTGCAGTGCAAAAGATGAGGCAATTCCGTGATGTTGCTCGTGAACGTGGTATCCCAATGGAAGAACTGTGGAAATGATGGATAGAGACAGAATTTTTTTTTCTCTTTTATTACTCAATGTGCATTGTGTACAAGAGGTTTATGTAGGTAAAATCCAATGGAAACATGAACCCAGTTCAGTCATTTGTTCTTTCTTTAGATGAGAGCGAGTTCTTCAGTTGTGGCTAAGTTCTTTACGAATTAATGCTGCTTGATTTTAAAAGCCATTCTTTTATCTATCTTTTCCTTGACCATTTGGCGACTTCAAATTTGTACAAGCGTCAGTTCTTTTCGGTGTGTTTTTTTTATTCGCTGAAAAATGAAATTCATTTGTATGTGACTGAGCATACTCTATCGGGCACTGTACATTAATTTGCTTGCAGACGGTTAAGATTTGTGCGGAACGGTTAAGTTTGGAAAGCATATCGACTTCTTTTTCTACAGCTATCCGTCTTCTCATATAATAGTCCATTGCTGCAGCAGAATTGAAGGACTTGAAAGTGCATTTGGTTCATTTTAGAAATAGAAATATGGATAGTAGTTAACATTAAAAACCCAAAGTAATACTTAAAAGCATATGTAATTTCAATATAAATTCAAATTATTCAAATAAAAGAAGAACTAGATTTCTGGCAAAGAGAATGATATTTCAAAAATAGTCTCATTCCCAGTCTTAAAGAAAAACCAACTAACCGGACATAAATATTTGCAAACTAGGCATTGAATGAATATACATTGCTCATTCTAAACCACTTTCAACTTTAAAATGGTCTTGAACTGAAAATGATTAGAAATTGTAACATTTTACTGCAATATCTTTTCAGAACTCATACATGTGTTTATATTTGTTTGTCTTTTTACCGGTGTAAGATATATGATTCCAAGTATTTTCTATGTTTGCCAGTTATACTATGGTAGAAGTCGTACTTCAGCCGTACGACACTTATTCTTGACAACCAGACTTCCCAAAATTACCATCTAAGCTTCTGTCAAAATCAGTACCCATAAAGTATAGTTTGAACCGATAAGATGTATCTAATTCACCGACCTCCATAGGTAGACATGCTATGCGGACACTTGGAAGCATCCGGCTTCTGCATCACAAAGGCTCTCATTTCCATAACTTCACACATTTATCATGGCTTGCTGATGCAATCATATCGGTTTCTAGTGAATCAGTCAATGCGGCAATTAGCCCTTTGTGTGCTGGAATTGACCATGTTTTGTTGCTCTCAATTGTATTCCAAAACTGAAGGGACTGTAAAACAGCTCAAGTGATTAGATCCTCAGGAAGGAACAGGATCAAGAAAACCACAATAAAAAAGGCAAAGTGGGTGAAGCTGGCAAGACCTATAGGCTCATATGCATAACATGATACGCTAGATATACTAGTTAATATACATACATCCACTGGCTTGGAGGTCATGTGATGTGTGATAGAGAAATGAGCAATAAAAATTGCTTTTGTAATGTGAATAAAGTCTCAATCAAACAAGTTACCTATTGGGCCATCACTCATATAAAATAAATGCAAGCACTTAACAACCTCAATTAGGTATTCTTGGATATGTAAAATACAGGATTTCCAATCCTAGCAGGAAAAGGAAGGAAAGGAATTCTAGCTCTTCCAGAGTGGTATCTCACTGATGGCTCGGTAAGGACATATTTTGAAACTAAAAATAGAAATACGAACAGACAATTCCAATGCTGCATGCTCTAATTCAGGTAAGGCTTTTATGTCCATGAAAATTTCCTCCTTTTTCTAAGTGGAAAAATAACTAGCAGCAATTATACAGGGTCCCTCTAATAAAGAGCAGAGTGGTACAAGATATTATCAGCCTCATCATATTACTAGAAGTAATATTATTTAAGAAACTATTACCTGGTAACCACCAATCATCAGCAGTTGTGAATATCCAGGATGAAAGGTGCATGATTGGAACTTGTTGCCATTTGAAAATAACTTATGCATGCAACTTCCGCCTGTCACAAGTGACCATATCCTTGCGCTGTCTTCACTAACAGATGCAATATACTCCCCACTCATATCCCAGCAAAGAGAAAGGACTTCTTTGGCATGACCCTGAAAGCACAAAAAACTCAAAAAGCTACAGAGCCTGGAAAGAATTGGTTCATATATGTATTGCTAATATAATAATATCCTGGTGAAATACTTGAATCTTAAAGGATTACCTTTAAGCTGAATTGGACGCTATGATTATTCTCAACATTAATTACATTGATACTATTTCCAGAAGCTGCAGCTAACAACTTTCCGCACTGAGGCTGGAATCTGACTTGTTTAGTTGCTCCCTGTAGTTGCTCCATAGGAGATTGAGATAAGGTTAGGCAAGATAATCGCAATAGAATTTTAACTACTTCCATCAAATCTTAAGGAAAAGATTACACTGGAATTGTCATCGTCACTAGAAAGTCTAGAAAAGATGATTCAAGAATTGCAAAATAAGGCACAAAGCACGGATCATCACAGGAAACCCCTTCCTCCTCAAAAATTGAGAAAACTGAAATTTGCTAACCAGAAAATAAACTGTGGTTATGCATCTGCCCGCAAGTGAAAATATATGGAACATGTTACCATGTACTGAAGTCGCTTTACAACCAAATGTTTCAAAATTTTCAAATTATGTAAATGCTACAGTGTTTTCACATACATTTTCACTTAACTAATTTGGTAACAGCTAATAAACTGTGACTACGCAGGTCATGCGTTTATGCATGTACTTTTTTTTCAGTTATGCCTTTTCATTATATTTGCAACATAAAATCTTTTAAATATTATGTCACTCCCGCATTCATCTTTTCGAGCACACATCCCAAGAAGATATCTGCTCCTAGGATTTATAATTTAGTCACAGCATCACTTGCCTAGCCATATTCTGAAAAATCACTCAAGGGAACACTTGGTTGTCTTTAAAATTCAAAACCCAAATGGATGCAATTAGCACACACTTGTAAAAAATAATAATAATAAAATCAAATAAATACTGCAAGGCTAGTATCTAATTATCATGAATGCAAGTGAAGGTTGAACCTTAAAGACATGTAAGCAAGCACCCCGGTTGACATTCCATAATCTGATCTCATCATTACTGTCACATGAGCAAAGGAGGTCAACCTTTCTTGGATGGAAATCCAATGCCATCACTTGATCAGCATGCCCAAGAAGCTTGAACAGTGATTTGCTAGGCTGCAGTGCACATGAAAAAAAATCAATGTGTTGGTCACAAAACAACTTTAATTTTTTTTTTTTTTCAAAAAATAAAAAATGTGAATTAATAGTTGAGATGTATAGAATCCAAAACAGAGAAGAAACAGTATTGCAATGAGCTTAGGCAGGGTGTGGCCGAGCTTGTGATGTGAACATCATTGTTTTATCCAAGAGTCAATTGCAAAAGTAAATAGGTAATGGCCGGAATACCAAATAATATTTTTTGAAAACACTCTGCAGAAAAAGCACTTCAATTACTTGATCTTAATTTCCTTACTAACAGAATAACAGTTCATTGGATGTTAACCAGAATACAATAATTCCAATAGTAGAACTACAAAAACAAAGTCAAGTTTCAATGGCTGCCTTTTCCCCTAGAAGGTAGAAGACAGTAGTTCCATAGATTATTATGAGGTGGAAAGTACCATAATTCATGAAACTTAATCACTATAGAATCAATATTCAACCACCTTAAGAATCGCGTGACATTGTTAATTTTACTTTTAAGTGTGCTAGGGTGTACTGCAACTCTCTAAAACAACAAAATTCTTAAGAAAAGTAAAGTAATAAGCAGCAAGTGATATCAGGAGGAAGAAGCAACTGCCAAATATAACAATGAAAAAAAAGTCCACATTTTAGATACATTTAAGTAACAAGTAAAGCGATCAATATCTTGTAAAAATTAGACAAATAATCTTAATCCTTTTAGTGAAAAAATAATAGTAGAAGTTTTCTCTGAAAGAATAGCATGGAGATGATGTTTAATCTTACAATTTCATATACATAACAACAAGGAGTTGATACCAATAAATACCCATTAAAAAAGTTGAGATTGAAAAAGAAGAAGAATAAGGCGAAAGAAAGCAGAAAGATGACAAGAAATATTGTTATTCACAGAAATATAACAAGGTATTGAGTCTGTAAAGAAGAAGATAAAAGTTTTAGAAGAAAAAAAAAAAAAACAATCAAGCATGGAGGGAAGAGATGAAGTACTATTACTTTTGCTGCATCCCATATTTGCACTGTTCTGTCAAAAGATGAAGTGGCAAGTATAGTTGAACTTGGTCTAAACCGAACATCTGTGATTAGGAGAGAATGTCCTTCTGAAGAATCAATAAAATCAAAAGTTTCCATATTCCAAACAAAAACCTGCCAACAGATGATGAAATAAGCGCCAAGCTTGTTGAAATGATTGTGAATACTGAGAGAAAGACTCACTCAAGCCTTTAAAATTGATGATCTAAAAAAAAATACCTTCTTGTCATGTCCCGCACTGGCTAAAAGTCTGCCATCGGATGAAAAATGACAGCATACCACCTTGCTTTTGCTTGAGCTAAGGCAACCAATCTCTTCAAATGTAAAGCCTACAAGATGATAACTTATCCTCATATAGGGTATAGCAAAAATGAAACCGAAGAAAAAACAATGCAAACAGTTAATCGTTTCCTCTTGACCATTCTATATTCTACGTATACCTGGTCAAATTTTGGGAATAGAATATATTTGTCTAGCCATTTTATCTATTATTAACCATATTAATCATTGATCTACTCCAAGTTATGATCTCTGAAATACAATAAAACAGACATGTAATCAAAAAAATTGGTTCACCAATTTTTTTATTTAAAGCATAATACTCACTTTCAACTTCTATAATCAAATCGATGTTTACAGTGAGGACATGAGCTAGTAAGTTTAGAGGTGCTAAAACCTTTTGGTCTTGCTAAGGAAATGCATAGGCAGTCTAATGCACATCACTTGCAAGGTTCAATGTATATGTGTCAGTATATTCGTATGAATTTTAGGTGTTCTTATCTTGCAAATTTAGGAAGTTTACCTTTGTGATCATTTTTACGATGGGCAGTAGAACGGAGTTTTAAAGTGCCAAGAGGAGTGTCTTTATTATCATCTTTTTCATCTTCAGCGGACAAAAAGGATTCAACATTTTCATCTACAGCTTTATCAACTTCGGCATTTGCAGAAACCTAATGCACAGTCCAGAAAAATGCAAGAAGATATAAGCTTCACAAAGAGTTCATATTAAACGGACAAGAAATAGATAAAGAAAACAACAAACATGATTATAATCTCTCAACCAAACTTATTTGAAGGGCAAGGTTATCATATTTGACCTACCAAACTTTTGTCTCCAGTTCTTGAATATGACAGTCTCCTTCTCTTTCTGCCCTTCTGATCAAAAGTAGGTTATAAGAAAATATATCAGAAAGAATGGATAACAATATTACTTGGGGGTCAAAATTTGGAAGCATTCTTATCTAATTTCCTATTAATGACATAGCAATAAGGTTGAATACCTCTGCTGACTGCATCTTCAGACACTGATCATGTTGGTTTTGTTGCTCTTTGGTTTGTCTTATTTGGTCCCTCTTCTAGTTCATCACATGAAATTGACAATCACAAGAAAATTTTTAGAAACACTAACAGAAAAGTAATAACTTCAAAAACATCATTCAAAAATTACATCTGATTCTGCATAAGGTTACAGTGACGATAAAGATTCGTAGGTGGATGAGAGGAATCAGGGGAGACTACGAAGAGTATTTTTGTGTTACAAGCATTGTGCATGACTCCTTTGAGCACAATTATGAGGTAAACCCTCGTGATCTAAAAATACCAATTTCTATAATTTACCATTGAGGGCCACCCAAAAGGTCCCGTCTTCAATGTCTGAGGGTCAACTAGAAATTTCCTACATTATTGCCCAACTTTTTACCAACATTCAAGACATTTTTGCTCATAACCCAAACCAGTATCCTCTAAGGCCTCTTTCTCCTCCTGCATTCAACATACAATATTGTGTATATTTTACAGAGCTGGGGGGCAGTTCATCTTTCAACTAGAAGATGTATTCATCTCAAAATGCTTCCTATATTAAACACATTACATTTAGTTACAAAAACTAATAGAAGTTTATTCAATGTATGTAATTCTTCAAATCAAATCCATGGAAAAGTTGCAGAATCTCGTTTTATGTTCAATCATCTAGCTATTCACATCAAGCTGGCCAACAATCAGACGATTGTTTGGTAAAGGGACCTAGAATTGTTTGAGTTCTTCACCAAAAGCAATACTTTCCATTCAGGGTAACCCTTTTATGAGAGCATTACATTTGTATGCACTCACATTCTCATCTTTCCCATCATTCTAAAGCGAAAAATTCTTTATTTGAACATACATGGGATACTCCTAGTTACAGATGCATAACATCCAGAGTACTAGTGAACCAGCCATTGGGTTGCATTCAAAAAAATTTCTTGGCAATGACCTTTTCCTTTACAATGGAATCTTTATTCTTGACCAGCATATGATGCGAAGAATGCTTCTCTGATACCCCTCAAAAAAAATGTATTTCAAAGCGCTAACTAGGTGACAATAGATTATGTTAACTAACCTGTGCATCTTTCCCATTCAAATTAATTCTAGGAAGTTTCAGATTTCGACCATCGATTTTAGCAGAGTTTCCAGGCAGAGAAGATGTCAGGTTTCCAGATGTTAATGCGAGAGATTGAACTAATATATCGCGTTGGTGTTGCTCTGTCAACATCAGAAACTGTTGTGGATGGTTTGGTGTCTGCATAAGTGGGTTTAAAAGAAATCCACTTGAATTGGCTTCTTCATTCATCCCTGCAGAGAAAAAAGTTAGGCATTAGCATCTACATATTATAGAAAATTATCATGGCAGAAACTACTGTACTGATATTTGTAAGTCTATTTAATTATGTTTGTTGTAACCAGGCCGAAGTCAGAAAACGAAAAGTGCAACTTCATTGATCATCACATATGTAGAGATAATACTGGAAAATTTTATTTCACTGAAAACTTGTGGGCACATGCAAATATAATTGAACCTTGAGATCATCACATATGCAAAGATAAATTAATTAGTTCTCATAAAATTTTATTTGACTGAAAACTACTTGTGGGTGTAACAACCAAATCCTTTAACTTTAAAGCAGAAAATTTATCAAATTAACCATGCATTCAAAGCTTGGTTGACAAATTTTTAACCAAAATCCATTTTGATTAGCCCTTTTGCAGCCCTATCTTTAATATCAGATGGTGCCAGGATCGATCAAACAAGTACCACTAGATATATCACATTTGCTTCGGAAAACATATACATCAATAAATTATCCAAAGAAGAAGCAACTGTAATAACTCAGCTATCCAGTTGCTCGAAATTAAATCATTGTCTGAACTTGCAAATTTTCTAGAGGAAGAATGTAAAAGCTAAAAAGTGGGATCCAACTAACCTATATCACAGGAATTAGTTATTGGGAATGTGCCCCTTAGTCTGAAGAAGGTAGTGTCCATAGGACTAGCTCCACCACAGCTATTGCCGATTCTGTTCTGCTGCACAAAAGCAAATATTTAAACTTCATTCAAACTTTGGCAATTTGGAATACTAATTGAGAATTTATGGATTATTCTACTCTTACAACTAGCTGTTGAGCATGATTCTGAATTTGCTGCTGAGGATAGCTGAAATAACAAATAGCTGTTAGGGAAAATGCAAGGGGATACTGATCTACATATGCAATTGTCTTAATGTAGGCCACTAAAAGTAAATAAATCCTATGAAAAATGATTCCTTTTTCGACTAAAATGGGCTCTGCATTGGCAAAGGATCTGCAAAAGATGAAAACAAAAGGCAGGAAACCAACTATTACATGAAGCCTTTAATACACGATATAAATGTGCTGGAAATACCTTGGCCTTGTTGCAGCTGACTTTGACAGATCAAATTTATTACCACGAAGAAGCTGTAAATTTTGATTAAATGTTCTAACAGGATAAGGGAGATGCTGCTCTTCTCCATACATTCTTGCAAGCAAAGAGCAAGCAGGAAGTTGCCTCATCTTAGAGCTAGGGCCAACAGGAAATTGTCCAGGCCTCTGCTGATTTATACTCAATTGTGGCACAATGGGAAGGACATTTTGTAGCTCATTCTGCATCACCTGTCTTTCCTGAAAATCACATAAAAGGAATAGACCTTGGATGTGCCATCTTTATATTAAAGCAAACATGAAAATGCTTGTCATTCAACAAATTACCTTAGCAGAGGAATAGGAATTGGCCTTGGCCTTGGCCTCTTGGTACTCAAGTTGCTTAGAGGCATACAAATCATAAAATAATGTCCACCATTCATGTAAAAACCCATCAATCGCTGAAAACAAGAGACATATTCAAATCAATGATGAAACAACTTGTTATCGAGAAGATGGATAAACTAAAGGGCTCAAGTTACCTTTCCGGAGGGGAAAACTAATAAAATTCACCAGGAATTCTCAGCCCAATTGGGGTAACATTTTACAACATAAAGAACATGAAAAGTGCGTATCGATTTCTACTTAAAATCTTGTGCATCAATTGCGATATCAAAACAGAATCAATTAACAAACAAAAATAAAAGGAAAGAAAAAGATTAAGCAAAAGCGCATACCAACAGGATTTGCACCAACATTTGCTTCTTTTTGGAAAATTGCAGCAGTGTTATGCAACTTCCTTTTCACCAAATAATCATGCACGTACAAATCAAGCCTAGAATCCCAAAATGAAAAGAAAAAACGCAAGTTGAAAATTGCACATACTTTAAAAGAAGATTAAGGGGAGGAGAAAAAAAAAAAAAAAAAAAAAAAAAAGTCATTAAGCTGATGGAACATGGTCTCTGATCCGACTTTGGCCTACACACACAATAGTATATCAACTGCGACTATGCTACACTCATAATGTTCCATTCACACCAAGTGCGTGGAGAAGCAGCATCAGCAACGCATTACCGCTCACAATCGCGCCGCTCTCTTTATCGAGAAGAACCCATGGATTAAACTAAGGTGCTGCGAACTTACTCCTTTTTTCGGGAGGGAAACACTTAATTAAAATTCACCCAGTTAATTTCTCCAGGACCCAATTGGTCTTCTACTCTTGCACGATCTACTACTCCTGACTCGCCCTGCATCACATTAGATTTTGGAAGGTTAAACATGAACAACATATAAACGACATTGTAAATAGCTCGCATTTCTGTTTTCATCGAATTTTGTCTGACTGTAATACTCTCGCTCATCAATTGCGAATCAAAAAACAGAAGCTGTGTAACAAACCAAAATTTAAAAGGAAGAAGAATGACAGTTAGATTCGCAATATGAAGCTGTGGATTTAAACTCCATCACATAGCAGAGCATGGGGGCTCTCTCCACGATGCTTTTCTATATAGAGACATTATTCGCTCTCAGCTCAAGGATAGTAATATGCACATATCCTCATATAGAGTGAGATCAGGAATATATACAGAGTACAAGTGCAAGATAACAAACGTTATAGCCAAATCCATGGCTCTCTAGAATACGCCAGAAATGAATAAGAAAAACGCAAGTTGAAAATTGCACATACTCGTATAAAGAAGATTAAGGGGGGTGTGGAGGTAAACAAAAATAAAACAATACGAACAAGGGAAATAGAAACTTTAAGATAAAAGAGCGTCATGTGAAGCATAACAAAAAAAAAAAAAAAGAAAAGAAAAGAAAACTAAGATAAGAGCGTCATTGAAGCAAACAAACTAACATCTTTTCAGCATCCCAAAGATCATATTCATCTGAGGCCATAATCATCTACCACCACCAAATTATCCTTCAACTTCAACGCTACAAATCTAACCAAAGCAAAGAGAGTAATTATTTTAGTGATTTTACGTATATAGTTACGCTTATATATTTATATGTGTCTGTGTGTGAGAGAGAGAAAGAAAAGAAAAAAAGAGAAGGAAAAAAACAAGAAAAGCCAGATAGGGATTATGAACAGAAAGAATTGAAGAGTAAAATCCACATGGGTTTCCGAAAAAGAAACATTTGAAGGCAAGAGAGACAGAGAAGACGATACCTGACCAGTACTAGCTAAAGCAGCAAGTGACAGTGCCATGCAAAAGAAGAGCGAAAGAAAAGGGCCAAACAAACTTATTTGGCTTTTTCTGGAGGGACAGATTACGGAGAGAGAGGCAGAGGGTCCAGTGGATGCTTATATACAGTAGCCTACAGGGCTGTCTTGGAGAAAGCGGGTGCACCTGCACCATAACCAGTACAGATGTAGCGTACTGACGTTGTGAGTTTCAGGTACTTGGAAAATTGTTAATGTAATCATACCAATCAAGTCATGCCAAGTCATAAATGAGGGGACGTTATCGTCTTTTTCAGTCTAGAAACTCGCACAAACAATCAACCTTCCATGCTGTCTTTCCAACACAGAAAACAAGATCCATATAAAAATATAGAGAAAGGGGAAAAGAAACCACAAGTAGTGGTTGTATCACAAGAAACAATATCCCACAAATTCTCTATTTTAAGTAAATGAATTAAATTGTGAGGAAGCACTCAGTGTATAATTCATATATTTTTCAGTGTAAAAGTCAAATTAAACCTTTTTTTTTTTTAAGAAAAAAACATGTATCACAATTGAAATTAGGAAAACAAAAAAGAGATTGCCCATTTGAGACAATTACTTTTTCCATAACCAATAAAGGGATGGTTAGGTAATTAGATTTTTTTTTTTATTTCATAATATTTGTTATATTCGAAATTTCACATTTCTTAAGAAAACCATTAAATTTGTTTAAGTTATAATAAATTATTGAGTAAATTGATTATATTACTCTTAATTTAATATTAATTTAAGAAAAAAACATGTATCACATTGAAATTAGGAAAAAACAAAAAACAGAGATTGCTCCCATTTGAGACAATTACTTTTTTCCATAACCAATAAAGGTAAATGGTTAGGTAATTGATTTTTTTTCTTTATTTCATAATATTTTGTTTATATTCGAAATTTCACATTTCTTTAAGAAAACCATTAAATTTGTTTAAGTTATAATAAATTAATTGGAGGTAAAATTGATTATATTACTCTTAATTTAATACTTAATTCTCTTAGAAAAACAGTAAGTTGAAGTAATAATTATTGCATCACTATATAAAGGGTAAACATGCGAAGAAATATTTATTACTCTTCGAAACCACAAATATTGGACAATAAGAAAACCATTAAATTTGTTTAAGTTATAATAAATTATTGAGTAAATTGATTATATTACTCTTAATTTAATATTAATTCTCTAAGAAAACCAGTAAGTTGAAGTAATAATTATTGATCATATATAAAGGGTAAACATGGAAGAAATATTTATTACTCTTCGAAACCACAAATATGACAAATATTTTAAAATAAATTATTTTCTCAAATGTGACAATTATTATGGAACATAGTTAGTAAATTATGATTTGCATACCATTTTAAGGCAATGAGTCCTTCCCACCTGCAGGAGGCTAAATATTAATTAAAGAATATGAAAATGTTGTAATTATGGTATGTCTTGTGCTTAAAAGCAATATGATAATAATGGATACATCTTATGTAATTGACATTTTGATTTGACAAATATTCTACTATCTCACCTGCATTTAAGTTTTCCAATTTTTCCAACTTGAGCTGAGCTGCAACTACTAAAGAATTCAGGCTGGCCAACCCAACTCATAAACCCTAAATAATTATTTGAATTTACCTACCATATTCTCGAACGTAGAACAGCTACTAAATTAGAATGATCCACTGTTGAAATTTCATTCTTTAAATTTCGATCTCTTTTTTCTTTCTATCTCCTCTGTTTTCTGTGTTTTTGGTTCCTATGATTCAGTCCCATAATGGCCCAATCAATTATCACATTCAACTCATAACAAGTTCATTGCTGGCATTAGTAAGGCCCTTCGTTTTCAAGTTTTTGGCCCAATCTCATACCATCATCAGACCACATACAATCTGAAGATTTATCCAAACTCCAATGCGCAAATAAAAAGAATCAAGAATAGAGAAAGCTGCAGCTACTCCCTCCAGCTCTAGGAACATCCTACAAATGCCAGGAGTTAGATGGCATCTATTTTGAGATGATACCTGGATTGTTTCACACACTTCTTCAAGTCACTAATATTGTACTTTTTAAGGAATATAGATCTTTACTTTGTTCATCAGCCTAGAAAGCATTTCTCTTTGAAGAAAAGCATTATAAAATCAACCTTTTTCTTTCTTTGCCTCTCTGATACAAACAGTGACCTGAATGGAGAAGCATAATATCCAATGACCATGACTATGAAAATGAAGTTAGGCATCTTTTGTTATATAGAGATAAGAATGGCATCCAAAGAGGAATAAAAAACATGGCAAGAGCTCTATATACACAAGGTTTTCCCAAAATTTGAAATCATAGTGAAAGAGATGAAGTTCCTGCTTCAATTGCCTTGTTGTTCGTGTTTCTGTTTCATCAAGTCCAAAAAAGGAAAACACAAAGACAAGGAAGGAAAAAGTGACTGAAATTAGCAATTATGCTTGCCAAGATTTCCTCATGCAAGGATGACTGGGATCAATGGTGTTCCTTTGCTGTTCTTTTAATTTCTTCTTTTCTTTATGGATGAATGTATCCAATATTGCAATCAGCTTTTCAGTTTAATTGTCATGAAATAAAGTTGCTCTTTCCTCCATTGATCATGTCTTCACCTTTGCTTCCATAAACATATTAAGCAATATCCCATCTTCTCTTACTCCCTATGATCATTTGGGACCAAGTCCATTTCTCGCATTTGATGTTCAACTGAAACCAGACCAATCTGAGAAAGAAACCTGCATGGGAAATTCAACAACTTCACTTTAGAAAGCATATAAATTAGAGTGTGCCCATCAGCCATATTTGTATGTGATTATGCTCATTTCATTTTTCTCTTTAAATAAATATGCAAATCGAATGCATCCTTCCATTTCCATAAAAAAATTCTTAATAAGATAAACCAAATTTTTAGTTCTTATATTTCTTTATTTTATGTTACAATTTTTGCCATATATAGGCATAACAGAATCCTATGCACATCTAATTAGCCCGCAGTGACACTTTAGAAGCAGAACCAAGACGAATCAAAGTGACACATGTAACTCCAGAGTTATTAAACAGCTGAACTACCATTTAAAAATTACATGAAATCAATAAATCACCAAGGCAAAATTAGAAAAAAAGGACATCCCAAGGTAAAAATCAGACAAGACCTCTTACTCCAGATGCAAGAAGATGATGTTGTAAGCTCCATCCATGCAATTAACGGAAAACATCAGATCAAAGGCTTCATAATGCAGAGACAAAAGTGGTAGCTTGGGCTGTATTGTGATTGCCTTGATATTTTTTCATTCAATTTGAAAACTTAATTAAGGACATTATATTCTGGAAAGTCACCAACAGTGACTTGTTTAGAAAACACAAGGCAGTGCAAAACTTGGAATGATTGGGTGATAGGGCCATTGAAAACCTGGCACATTAACATGTCATTTTGCCTGTATGATAACAAAGATTGAGACGAAAATTTGTAGTGCTATAAGTATTCATAAGGTAGACATGGTTCATATAGTAAAGAAATTAGATAGGAAGATCCAGCATGTTAATAATTTTGTGTGTGGCCAAAATCATGCCTCTCAGATTCAGGAAGATTTTATCCTTTTCAATGACATTGTCCTATTGTTCTCAACAACTTACAATACTTAGCACCATCCCTCAAATAGATAAAGCAGTAAAATCAGATTCATTCACTGCCAGAATTGTGCTTCCGCCTTCTAACTTAATAAACATATATGACCAAAGTGAAGTATGATAATATAATAGTGCCAAGAATCATAGAGAAAAAAAAAAAAAGGACAAGATAAAATCCTCTCCAACTTACCCAGATAGGGAAAAATGTCAGCACCGCAAACAATCAAATTTTTTCCTAACTCATTCATCAAACCGTAGATATAAAGTTGAAACTAGTACTAAGATATGACACTGAAAATCAAGCATAGAATGGATTCATAAACATTCTAAATTGGCCCTCTTTAAATTATTTTGATTATGTGGTCAACGTAAACTAGAAACTAATAACACCAATAGAACTTGAACAATCAAAGAACAGATGCTTAAAGAGCAGACGAAACTCCTAAAATTCATTAATGCAATACATGAAACCAAAAGGGAACTAACAATTTAAAGTGTGTTGATAAACCAACAATAACCCATGTTCAATTGACACAGTTAGTCACAAATAGTTTACCAGCTAAGAAGGAAGAAGAGGAAAGCAGCGATTAGAACAAGAAATCCAACATGAAGTATCAATGAAGAGTCACTTGAAGAGAAGGCCAAGCCAAGCATAACAGCAAGGCATACACCCAGCATCAGAAACGCTGATTTTAACGTATTCCATGTAGGACCCTGAGAAACATCATTAAACAGAAAAAAGATGAGTCTTTGCAGAAGTGTATTCCATTTAGATACACAGGCACACTATTATCAGATTAAGAAGTAGCACTAACATTAACGCCTGGAGCTAACGCTCCTAATAAGACTGCTTCTGCTGATGATATGTCCGATCGCTGCTTTTTCTCCATTTTTCTTCGCTTTTAGATCCGCCAGATGATTTCAGAAGAATAGAGCGGGTCAATGGACAAGAGAAGACCGAAGACGAAAGGAAGCCGAATTGGGCCAACACTTGGCCCCATTTGGACTCAATGGCTTCTAAAGAATGAACTGTCAGAATTAGATAGTGGGCTGACTACGAACAGAAGGCTCAATTGGGCCATCGTTTGGGCTTACACGTCATTATTGTGCCAGGTCAACGATAGCCACATCATCCTTCTATCCACGTATAAGCCACATAATCCATTTTGGCCATGTCATTAGACAACATGGCACTCAACGACACATTATCTGTTCTGTAATCCACATCATCAAATGAGCCATGTCATCAGAAGACTCAATGTCAGCTAAAGGTGGCCAAGTCACAGTATGCCACGTAATACAAAAAGCAACATCATCTTGAAATGTTAGATGTCAGGTCACCACATTGGTCTCACATCATTACTCTGTCACGTCAAACATAACCCACATCATTAGAAAATGGAACGCCAGCAAAATTCGTCAGGTCACCAAAACAGGTCATCCAACCTGTTGTTGTAGCAGTCAATTTACATATGTCATCATTCAATGCCACATAAGCAATTAAAGATACATCATCTTTGTACCACGTTAGCAGATGACACGCAATCTGCCCTTTGCCACGTGAACCTACATCTCATCAGTAGGCATAGCCGCATCAGCTATCTGGCCATGTCATTTGACACCATTTCTTGCATACATCATCCTTATTTGCCACGTCAACAAGCCATGCCACATCATCCCAGTCCATGTCACCACTTGACCACGTCATCTAGCCTGCTGACATAGCAGCCACTTTATACATGTCGCCAAGTAATTAAGGCCACATCATATCTGTGCCACTTCCAACGGATGCATTTAATTTGCCAGGGCCACATCATTCTTTAGCCACGTTAACCTACATTTCATCAGCAATAATGGCCATATCATCCTCAATGCCACATCACACCACAACCATGTCAGCTATTTGGCCATGTCATTTGAGAGCATGGCTTGCATACATCATCTCATTTGCCATGTCCCCAGGCCTTGCCACATCATCCCCAGTCCATGTCACCATGAGCCATATAAGCTATCTTGCCTTGTCATTAGACTACATGGCATCCAGTAGACACATGAGCAAATTCCATGTTACCATCTCAGCCGTATAAGCAACATGCAGTTCTGCCACATAAGCAATTCGTGCCATGTCATGGATAGCCACGTAACCCGCTTTTCGGTATCATCTTCTCTACCACGTGAACATCCTACATCATTGTAAGCCATTTCAGCGATTTTCCATGTCATTAGCCAACGTTGCTTTCAATAGACACATTACCTAACCTTCCTTGGTATTCTTAATCATGTCAACTATTATCAAGCAACACATTTCCAATCTTGCCTCATGTCATCAGTCTAGCACGTCATAAGAAGAGACACGTTCGTTTTGCCACGTCGTTGAATCTCTGGGCTACTTCTGCCACGTAAGCTTTCCCAGGGCCCTCTGCCTGAGATCTTGATCGTCGTCGCCGTCGGCTACATCCGCAGATGAATCACCGATTTAGCGCTAAACGTACAGACTTCATCTTGATCGCTGTCCCCGATACTGAATGTTTCGGATCAAACGGTTCATAAATGGGCAGCTGAAACAACTGCCGGCAATTAGGGTTCCGCCGTGAGCATTGCTAGGTTTGTCATAAAATAGATGTTGTTTCTGCTCGTAAATGGATTTTTTTTTTTTTCCGTAACTCTGAATATTGCTACAAGAAAAAACGATGTATTTAATCGTGCATCACGAAAATTAACAAATTGAAAGAACGGTAAAACAAGAAGAACAATCTTTAAATCGAAACACTGTTGGAAATGCCAGGCCTAGAAGTCCTGCATTGCTTGTCATAATATAATAACAAAGAGGAATTGGAACAAGATGGTCCAGAGTTCAGACAATCTACAGCCAGTTCGATTGTGCAGTGTTGATCCAAAAGGACTAAAATAAGAACATAAAAAAAGAACACATGCTGAATTTGAATTAGATGATTGATGTTATAATTCAAAATGGATGTTAGTTACATGATCATTGATTAATACACAGCAGAAAATTTTCTATAGACTTTCTTAGGCTCTTCTTTCGAATTCTGACTTTATCATACGATATCTGTACAAACTATACATACCTTCTAAAAGACAAATAAACTTCTGTAAATGAACATTTAAGGCAAGACTAGATCATTGTGTGCTGGATGAGATTCCACGAAAGACATGCAGCTACAGCTACATGGAATGCTCATATTTGACTCTTCCATATGAATTTCTAACTTCCCATATACGTGGGACCTCTCAATGCAGGATCTTGCTGGAGTAGCCATTCTTTCTCCTTTAGATACTGCAAAAGAGGCTCTGGCTCAGTCACACCACTGCACCCGTAAGGGCTTGGTCTTTGATAACCATGATAGAGCTTCTCCCTTCTATGTTCGACAGCAGTATAAGCAGGTTGATAACCTGAGTAAAATGGTGGGCTCTCCTGATACATCAATGGGCTAGTAGCCAAAGGAGCTCCCAATTGATCAAAGACGCCAGACCTAGACATGTCATGACCATAAAAATTTCCAGTGTTTGCAGCAGCAAATGGAAGTGCTGACCATCCATGACTAGGAGTGCATTCACGATTATGATTTTCCCTGTACTGCCGAAGCCATTCTGAAGAAGTCATTCCACGCAATGGTGGATAACCATCTGTGAAAGCTGGAATACAAATACCATAATCAATTGGCTGATAAGAACCTGTCCAATTTGAATATCCATTCATTAGTGATACATCAAAGGAATCGTTTGTTCTGTTGATGTTTCCTGAGCTACCGTAGTCAGAGAATGTGGACTGATTGCCAGATAGCCAACTAGCATCATCAGGAAGAAATGGAGCAGAAGGCAGTGGAGCTGAATAAGCAGGAGAATAGTTGTGCATTGTCGCAGATTCATGCCTGGAACTGATTGCAGAGTTCTCAGCATCACTGATGGAGAGATAATTCAAGAACGTAGATGCTATTTCCTCAATAGGAGGCATGCTAGGTTTATTCAGATCTCTTTTACCTTTTGCTCTATCATTGCTCAAACTTCCTCTATTGAGGACCCAAGCATTGAGTGAAGGTGGTCCAGAAGATATTGGAGTGCTGAAAGTGGGAACCCCAGAAGAGATAGAGGCTTCTGAAAATGGTTGTGCTACCATATCCTTTACAAGAGGCTCCTGATGTTGCAATGGCTTGTTGCGCCTGAAATTAGTGAGATCAGAATGGAATGTTGAAGCATTTCCCTGGGCCTGATTTTGAGCTATTAGCAGTGAAGTAGCACGTCGCAGGCATTCATCAGCAGGTACAATCTGGTCCACTGCATCTGCTGGAGTTGTTTGATCAATAGTAGTGATTACACTGTAAAGTGGTGCAGAGTTGTGTCTCGTGAGAGGCTTGAAGAGAATGACTTCTTCCTCCTCCATGGCAAGAGATTTGCTAATCAGTTGGGAGTCACTCGGATTCTCCTCAATTTTGTCAGATTCTTCTGTCATTTCCTGAATATTCTGATGAGACTCATTCACTTCGACAACAGAACTAGGGGACTCTGCATTTTCACATTCTTTCGTGTATGGATATTTATTTGACTCTGCTGCATAAAAATTTCTTCCAGATTTATCATAGAAAATCCACTTCCGGTTATTGCTTGATCTATCTGCAATCTTGATTGCAGCATTAATAATGCGGTGAGCTCGATACTCAGCTCCACATTTATAACTGTCTGCATGCCCCCAATGAGTTGAAAAATCTAATGATGCATGAGAACTAGCTAACGGTGCAAAGCCCCTCAACTCGTAATCTTCCCAAAGAGCAACACTAACCGGAGGCTTGACTTCACCCATAATATCAAACTGCTTTAGAAGTTCAAGAAAAGTACCAAAGAAGTAAGACATAGCACTTGTACTTTTCTCATTAGATCCATATATTTCTGCATCATCAAGAATGCACACTAACCACTCCAAAAAAACAAGCAAAGCTGGTAAGATAGGACAAGAGCACAAGATATTTGCCTTCAAACATCTATTGACAAGGCGTCCCATAAAAATGAATGTAGCAGTCAATGCATCACTTGTCAACTCAGGCTGTTGTCTACCATTTCTGTTCTTTGAATCTCTTGCTTCTGGGCTGTTTGTTAGATTCTCAATGACAAATATGAATATCGAGACAACTTGAAGAGTCCGGAAGGGGCCACTTCTAGCTGAATCCATATGCTGATAAGACTCCATTGCAAGATTTAGTTTTTCATCATCTAGTGCCATCAATGCATCCAGTTCCTTTATAGTAGATGCAAAAGTGAAAGGGAAGTCCTCTAAACTGCCTCACATTAAAAAATGCAGAAATATCAGAAGTTGAGTATAACCTTTATTAGAAGTTTTTTAAATGTAAGATTTACAACATCAAGAATGCATAGGAAGGGAACAAAAAAAAAAAAAAAAAAGCATTAGGAAGAGGAACAAAAAAAAAAAAAAAAAAAAAAAAAAAAAGAGTTCATAACAAGTATTGAACATACACCAAGTATATCACAGTCAACCTCATGTAGTTAGATTATTAAGTATTGTTTTATAGGCAAATTGTAGAAGAAATATAACCAAAATATGTTATTGAATCCTCATGTCAAAAAGACTTGCTCCAACTAAAACTCGGTCTTGACATCCAGTTCAACTCTTGCAATACTGGCAAGTATTACAATCTGTGGAGATGACTACTCAGTACAAGCTATGTGCTCTAGTGAATGTAATTGGTCATCACTTGCCATTAGAAGACTATATATAAAACAAAGGCACAACATAATGAAACTTAACATAAATAAAAAACAATCATAAATGAAACTTAAACTTCCACAACATAACTAAATGCCAAAGGACCTAGCTTTTTTTTTTTTTTTTTTTTGGGGGGGGTTTTTTTGGAGGGGGGGCTTGCTTGCTTCAAGGAGTTACCTGGATTTTTTATGTTTTTTTTTTTTTTTTTTTTGGGGGGGGGCTTGTTGCTTCAAGGAGTACCTGGATTTTATGAAAAAGAAACTTATCATTCTAATGAAAACAGGCCATAAATGTGTTTCCCTTGAGCCCTCATGTTCAGCTTTCGCCGTCTTGCAATTTGACGGATCATTAGTTGATTGAGAGTTGTTTCCAATGGTACTTTCAGAAGGATTTAAGAAATCAAAGTGGGCCTCATTACAAATAAAAGTTAAATCAGATGACCTGTTCTGCAAGATCATAAGAAGCAATTGAAAAGACTTCGGATAAACTTCAATATTAATGTAGATGATAAAATTTATAAGCAAGAGGGTAGATGGAATTGGATCTTACTCTTTCAAATAATAAAATAAGGTTATTCCAGGCATCAGGGAAAGGCTCCCTAACAGCCAAACTTCTGATGCAGTGGTACAAAGCTAGGAAATCATCGCCAACATATGTTGCCAGCACTGCCAACTATAACGAACAAAATTGGTTATTTGACAATCGTTTATAGGTACATAGAAAAACAATGATTTTAACTTTTGGAGGCATACAATATTTGAAGAACCACCAAGTTTCAAGATCAAGCACAGAATGAAGCTAATATACAACAAATATAATGAAGTAGCCTGAAAATACCTGATTTTGGGGGTTTCCACTGTGTGGCCAAATCTTTGTAGCTTCCAGATAATGTGTGACCGCAACTGACCAGTTGCGATTTTGTGCTTCTGACCTTTCACATTGTTCTCTATATCTAGCAAGATCCCCAAGACAAACTAGAAAGCGATAGCATAAAAATTGCAGTTTTTGCATTTTCTTTGGTTCAACATTTACAGAATTTCCATCCTTTCTACAGAAGGAAAAGTCTTCTGGCAGCCCATAATATATTTTCACCTTTCTGATCAAATGCTGATAAAATTTAGATGCTTCTAACAAAAATGACTTAAATCCTTCTACATCATTGTCATTGCTTCTCTTTGCAGCACTATGCAATGAAACAGATTTCGCCGCCTCTTCATTAGTTGAATTTTTCTTTATTCTTTTACGAAATTCATCAATGTGCCTATAGTGAAGCTTCCACAAAGAATATTCAACATCTTGAAGTTCTGCCACTTCATGATCATCAAGGACGATCTTCTCGTAACTACTACAAACTTTTTGGTACAAGGCTTGAACATCAGAGTGCAATATACCTTTGGCAAGAATCAATGCCCACAACTGTTTTTCTACATTGGTAACCTGAAACCACCATAATTCAAAGAATCAAGAATTAAACTAGAAAAAAAACAAATTTTACTGGAAAGAGAGAAGGATTTCATAAAAAAGAAACTGCAGAAATTCACCTCAGTGAGAAAACTTGGTTTTTCTTTTTGATCCTTATGAGTACCAAGTGAATTAGTGTCCATGAATGGGGTTGGAAAACCTCTCTGCCCGACCATTTACTGGACAGTGAAACGGAAAACGTAAACCAACCAGTAAACCATAGCTCGCAGCATTAAAGCATGGATAGACCTCATGTGACAAAGAAGCAATCTAACACACATTCTATTTCAAAGTCCAAACTACAATAATACATCAAAGAAGTGAATTATTCTAAAATATCTCGAAGTTAATTAATCACTGGAATGAAACAGAAAATCCGTCCTTCTATTTTTTGGGTAAAGAAATGAGAGCTAAGCTCTAGGAAAATCCGTCCTTCTCAATGATTCATTACAATAGCAAAGTTCAGACGAAAGAGAGAGAGAGAGAGAGAGAGAGAGAGAGAGGAAGAAAGGGACTCACTGCCAAAAAAAGTATTAAGAACTCTCATTGGTAACCAGCAAGATGAACTCATACAGAATCCTAAGCATGTCTTACTAACGAATAGTTATTTCCTTAAAAACGATGGAATTCGATTGAAACTATAAAGAATATTTGGCACAAGCAGCACCAAAGCTCTTGAAGTGACCTTAATTTGGCTGTATTAAAGTCAAAAATTAAGCTCCTGAAGTAACAATTACATAAGTAAAAATTTGTAAAACCAATCCAAAGTTAGGCATCCCACAACCGACACACAAACCATATAAAAAACAAAAATAGAGAGGTACTTAACCCCCAAATACCCACAAGCACTGAAATATAAATTACTCTAGTAAATTTCAAATTTATTAGCATGAAGATTGAAAATATAAGATCAATTTGAACTTGTTTGGCACACAGCAGATTGACTCACTAATAAGGTCATGATCGCAAACTTCTTCAATTAGAAGTTAGAAGTCGGCAACAAAGCATTATAGAAGCGTTAAAGTGAGAATTGTTGGATTCCTAGACGCCCACAAGCCATAGGCTTTATCTAATCACCTAATTGAAAAAAAAAAAAAAAAAAATCCTTTACCAAAAAAAAAAAAAAAAAAAAAAAATCCTTTACCACAAAGATATGTTATCAAGAAGCGTAAGCACAAGTGAATTGTATAGAAAACTAAACTTGAATAGATATAAACCAAAACTAACCCCAGCAGCAAAGTTGAAAACAACAGCAGCAACAGCAAAAGAAACCCACATCAAATTAATCAACATAAAAAGCTTCAAACAAGATATTACAGCTTTAGAAGATCATATCGAGATGGAAATTTAGAAAAAGAAGAGAGAAAGAAAAGAAAAGAACTTGTGAAACAAAGTGATAAAAAGAGAAAAGTACCTGAAGAGCATAAACAGTCAAAAATCATCAAAGGGACAAGAAAGCTTTATCAAAGTTAGTAACTTGTAGCCAATTTTTGAAGCTAAAATTGAGACCAAAGCCAGCAAACAAAAGTAGAGAGAAGAGAGAAAGAGAAAGGAGCGCGGGGATTGGAAGAAGCAATAAGAGTTCAGGCGTTTAGCCACTTGGACTATTCCAGTTGTGAAACAGACAAAGAAAAAGGTGGCTGATTATGAGTTTTTTTTTTTTTTTTTTTTTTGTTTTTTTTTTTTTTTTTTATATCTATATTCAAACTCAAAACATTACAGTATTTCTTTATTAATTGCAGTAACATATAATTCCATGGACTAATTTAGCACAGGTCCTTTAATATCTATTTAAAAATAAAAATATAATTGAAAGAATAAAATAATTGAAAAAAGAAGAAGGGAGGAATAAACGAAAGTGTGAAAATGCTAATAATGATGATCATCAGTTCTTCTTGACTAAAATGCAGAGGATCCCTTGCAATCTAAGCTAAGCTAAGCTCCGCCTTTTTGTCTCTAATCTTTATTAAGATACGCCAACGCCATAGCTAAAAGGTCCTCTTCCAAGGTTTTATAATATTGTTTTATTTTCCCACTCTTTCTTTATTTGGAAACCCAACAAAAGATTTATTATATTGACTGCTAATTTCACTAATATCTTTATATATTTTTAATCCTAAAAGGTAAAATCAACTCATATTCAGTGACTTGCTTTGAAATGTAATACAATATTTTTAATATTAATTTACATTAAAACATTTTCGATTATATTATATTATATTTTATTACAATTTCCAAACATAACTTATGGATTCCATAAGGTATGTACCAAGTTAATTAATGTAAATGTTACTTGTGTGTTTATATAAAGAGTGTACAAATCGTGTACTTTGATAGTGGCTTCATAGATATATAGGAAATACTTCATTATATATATGTAGTTAGTATATATTTAGTTACGTCCAAAAAAAAAAAAAAAAATAGGTACCTAATATATATATATATGAAATTTTTCCTAGAATTTTTAGGTTTTTTGTTAATTAAATGTGATGTGAGAGAGAGAATGGCTAGTTTAGGTGCACAACCCGTGTGCGCAACGATGCGGCCAGCTTGCGATGTGACGTTGACGTGCGATGAGTTGAAGGTTCGTTCGATGTTTATTTTCAAGTATTTATGCTGAGACAAAAAAAATATATATATATATATATATGAAATTTTCTAGAAATTTTAGTTTTTTGTTATTAAATGTGATGTGAGAGAGAATGGCTAGTTAGGTGCACACGTGTGCAAAATGGCTGGTGGGTGGTTGAGAGGTCGTGTTATTATCAAATATTAGTAGATGTATGTACTTGGTCACAAAACAACCAAATCAAACAGGCCCTTAATTATAATTTTAATATCCATTTGGTCAAAACCAAAGAAAAAGACGAGCATACTTGCACATGCATTTGCTAATATTCAAGGGTTAAACTTGGATATATAGATAAATTGGTATATCATAACGGTAAATTACAGTGTGTTATTTTTGATTTTATTGAATTAAAAAAATTATTTGAAATTAAATAATTTCTAAAAATGCAGCATTTATAAAATTAAAAATTTAAAATTTAAAAAACATCATATAAATCTTATCAAGATTGCATGCATATATAATATCCTTTAAATGGTGCAAACGGAAAAATTTATGTCTGATTAATGTTTTTCTTTGTTTAGAAAATTAACAAATCAAGATAAATGAAAAACGGAAAGTCAAGGTCATTTAGAGGTAAAGATAAGTTTCCAAGTAGAATGCGTGTACGCTTGAGTCCTTGACACACGCAATAGGTCACTCCCAGTCCCAGGGCCCTCATACTTTGACTTTGACCAATTTTATCTTTAACCTCACTATCAGAAATAAGCCCATCGAAATATCTTAACGCTCTAATCTCCTGACTATGCCTTTCATTAATTGATTTTGGTGAGTATTCTTTTTTTTTTTTTTTTTTTTTTTTTTTTTGTCTCTTCTTTCTTTGGAAAATTTTATTCTCACATTGTGATACCCAGTTGGCTTCTCTTTTTGAATATAATTACATTTCATACATGTATTAATAATCTATTATGCATTAAGTACTATAATTTTAATAAATTAATATCAGAATACAAAATACCACCATGCGTTAAGTTGGTGAGGAAAAAAAAAATTGTAATTTTAGAGAAAGATTTAAATTGATCGTAAACCGGAACCTTGTCGGAACTTGTACTGTAAGATTTAGTGTTGGAGGAAACTAACTGCATGTACAGTTTTAACTCGACTTGACACCTAAAAAGTAACAGTCATTTTTTTTTTTTTTTTTTTTTGGAAAATTATTTCAAATTATTACAGTTGCTTTTTGATAAATATTATCATGTATTAAATATTATTATTGCATTAAGTATAAATATAATTAATATCAGAATACAAATACCACCATGCTTAAGTTGGTGAAAAAAAAAATTGAATTTTGAAAGATAAATTTGATCTAACGTAACTTGTCGAATTGTATGTAAGATTAGTTTGAGAAAACTAACTGATAGTAATTGATAACTAAAATATCATCTACGTAAAAGTCAAACGACAATAGGTCTACGTTGCAGTTGTTAGGTTGGAAGACGACAACCATTTTGAAAGCCACATTCATAGCTAGTTAAATTGCTTCTATTAATTATTAAATTTTCAATTCTTTAACTAACATGTAAAAGTCAATAATTTCCAACATAAATTCTTAACTAATAATGTTAACAAATATTACTATTTATCTATAATTATTTGCAATTTTTTCTGGTTTTACGTATTACAAAAATTTCTATGACTAAAGTTGATGATCATAGTATTTCTTTCTCATACGTAAAACAAACAAACTAATACAAAAATATCTTATATTTATTAATATTACGCACAAGAAATGTGAATATAATATATAGATGACAGACGAACACTAGAAAACGTATTCCAATCCTTCATTTTTTTGAGGAAAAAGTTTTTTTTGGCGGTCAGAAATGAAGGTAATAAGCAGCTAACAAAGCAAACAGAACCATGCAATTTCTAAACAAGAAAACCTCCCTAAACTGAAAATGGAAGAGCAAGAAACGGAGAGCCTTTCAGTTCTTGTATATAATTCTCTCTTGTCCCTTGTCTCCTTGTATCACATCCTATTTCTCTCTGTGTTTAATTTAATTTGTGCAAAAGAATGGGTTACAAGTGTTGTCTGCTTCTCTTTATATTGGCTATAGCCATTGTAACTGAGTCAGCAGCAACACGAGTTCTTAATGGCGATGATGGTGACAGCTCTAACTGGGGTATAGCCGGATTTGACAGCAAAAGGTGCATTAGCAGTCGTGATTGTTTCGAACTCGAATCCGGAATGATGATGAACGCTGATATCGAAGCTGCATCGTCCAATTCAATTGGCTTAAGCACCAACCAGTCACCTTGATTTCTCATTTTACCCTGTAACTCATCAACTTCTTGCAAACATACATATATATGTGACCCAACAGAGAGAAATATTATTTATGATGTGTTTATAAAAATAGAGAAATATTGCTTCTAATTCCGCTTCTTCTTTAGTCTTATGTCTAACTTTCTTATTAGTCTTGTGTCTATAGACCGGATTTAATTCAAAATAATTTATAAAAAAAAAAAAAAAAAACTCTATTTTAATCGGTTTGATTCATGAATATGCTTATAATTCAAAATCAATCATCATCAAATGCTAATGACCCTCCTATATTACAAAATCATTCACACACATGTGTTGCTTGAAGGCATATGAAGAATATTTCAAAATGACGTGGACGCTTGTAATCGTACAACATTGTTCTCTCTATATATTTATTAATTAATAATTTGGCGTGAAGGCCCAATAATTCTCCTAATTGAAAAATATGTAGAATAATACATATTTGGGTTGTGGTCCAATTTTGCGGCCCAAGTGCCACTAAAATCTTCGACACTTGTCCAGGATTCACACCCTGATGCAACTCTGATCAGTCTGGTCCGAATGGCAAAGCTCATATCCTAAAACTGTTAGATCGTTATGTTCTGGGCTATAGAAATTGGAAAGGATGTTCCAACCTGAGATCTATCTGTCTCAAATATAAACCTTTGCTATTTGAGGAGAACTCGAACTCTGAGATTTCCATTTCTTATATAAATAATTATCTCTTTTTGTTCATATGTCTTTATCTAAGTGCATATATTTTGTTATTTAAAATCTGCCAGATCTTATTCTGGATGATTTAATTCGTGTATAAAATCTTATCAGTCGTACAAAAAAAGTCTCATCGTTGATAATTCTATAAAAAAGATAAAAGGTATTTTCTTTTCTTTTCTTTTTCTCATCTTTTTGATAGTGGGAATAAACGCATGCTTGCAAACTTTCCAAATGTTGAGTAATGGGCGGGCACCTTTCCTTTCAGTCATCCATTGCGTTTTATGTGAATTTCTTTACACATCAATCATAGAGGACATTTGCCTGTGGAACCCTTTCTTTTTTTTTTTTTTTTTTTTTACGCATGCTTGCAAACTTTCCAAATGTTGAGTAATGGGCGGGCAACCTTTCCTTTCAGTTCATCCATTTGGCGTTTTATTGCTGAATTTTTCTTTTACACATCCAATCATAGAGGACATTTGCCTGTAGGAACCCTTTCTTTTTTTTTTATTTTTTTTGTTTTTAATCAACCATCTCCGCCTCCATAACCTTTACTCTATAAAATTATTTTGGTCCTTTTTTTTTTTTTTTTTTTTTGTTTTAATCAACCATTCTCCGCCTCCATACTTTATCTTAAAATTATTTTGGTCCGCTTAATTTGGTTCTTCCTTTAACCTCAATAGTGGGTTAAATTTATTATTCTACTAAAAAAGAAAATGAAAGTTGATTAATTTGCTAAGTATGATATTTTTATCATCTGACTATTTCCATGCAAACGGGTAAAGTTCATTTTCATTATTAATTCATTAAATTAGCGGAAACCATGTGAAAGTTTGACTTGGAAACGATAGGGAATGAGAAGGGAAACCATCAAACGGCATATTCAAACTATTTTTGATAACTATTAATTATTTTAATAGTTAGTAGCTATTTGAATAACTTATCATAAAATATTAAATATTGTAAAAATTAACTTTTTTTTTTTTATAAAATTGTTTAAACTAAATCGTAAAAAACTACTTAAAAAATTGGCGAAGCCAAAAAGTAGTCTCCAAACAGTGCATATGAGAAAGTTTCAAAATTTTGTCGAAGATTGGGCCCACCAGCCCATAATATAAGTCTCCTAAAACCAAATGACCATTGAAACAAACAAAGACAGACAAAACAAAACACCTAAGAGAGAGAGAGAGAGACCTGTTTTCTGGCTTTTCCTAACTTAAAATCACTCTTATGTCTTATTTTTCTTTGAATTCTTTCATTTCATGATCACAAGTGCCCACTTCCCCCACCACTTCACTTTCACATGTCCCCATTTACAACATTTCTGGTCTCCTCTGAGTCAACAAAGTAGACTTTAAAATCAAGTGGTTGTTATATTCAAAGAAGGAGGAACTACCTTTGCATGATTGCTTTTACAGCAATTCAAAGCTTCCTGTATATTAAAGTACCCTCTCTCTCACAGGAAACTTAAATTACTCTTTTCTTCTTTTAGTGGGTTGCAATGACTCCCCATACAAACATATCCTACGGCTCAAAATTTCTCCAATCTACAAATCCATGTCCACCTTACTTGCTCCAATACAATAAACTATCATCCTTCATCTCAAATTCATATTCTAAATCAACTTTAAAAATAATGTCAAGACACTTCTGCTGTTATTTGTACTGTTCGATGGCATAATATCTATATTTAAAATGTTAATTCTCTAATCTTGCTGCCTATGAATGAAAGTGAGAAAAACAGCTGACTGTTGCTATAACGGTTAAAAATTACTACTATAATAACTAATATTATATAATTGGAATGGGCAAAACCTTTAGATGGAAAATTATTTTTGAGGGACCCATCCAATATCTAATGGTGAGTTAGTTTTAATACCACATTAGTAGAGCAAGCTTGAAAAGTTAAGATTTAAGAGTAATGAAAAATAAAAATTTAAAAAAAAAAATCCTGAATGCTTCCAATACAAGCACATAGAAGACGGCATCTTTTCCTTCCACTTCAGAAAACCCAAAATATAAACTAGGGCTGGTTCAAGATTCCTTGCCCATTTATCTACTCTTTCCTTGACAGCTAGCCCAAAGTTGCTTTTGCCATTTCATACAAAATTCCCAAATTTTTTTTTCCTTTTCCATTAAACACCTCCCTCTGAGTGTGCACTTCTTACAAGCAATGCCTTATTAATGCTTGTAGAGTAACGGAACTGTTTTAGATTTCAGTTATTCATTTTTGCATTTATTGAGGGAAGACTGAAAGGGAGAATGGTCAACAAAAATTATAGCCATTCATTGAAATTAGCCCTAACCCAAAAAATAAAAAAAAAATAAAAAGAAATAGAAATTTATCATTTGTTCAAGTTTGACCAAATTTCAATCTAATTTCATAATTGGATTGATTTTTAGAGATTTAATTTGAGATTTTTCATGCCAGAGAGTAAAGATTTTATATTCATATTAGGGTCACGATTTTTTTCCCATCTCTCTAGCTTGCTCAACTTTCTCAGCAACCAAACACTTCAAAAAAAAAAAATTCCCAGAAAATATGAAACTAGAAACTTAAATAAAAGGTTAATTATACAATTGAAGCAAAGATCCTCTCATTCTCTGCAAATATTTCAAATTACAATATTATATCTTTCTCTTTCTCGCTTTCATTGCCATTTCCATAATCACCATCAATGCCAACAATATATTATATAAAAATCTTACACAAAACAAAAAAAAATTAAATAAATAAAAGATGCATTTATTCAAGATGAAGGATTTGAAGAACCTGACACTCTAGGGGACGTGACCGGAAAGAGCGGCAACAACCGTGGCTCAGCTTCTCTCGGTGTGGTTGCCGGCGATGGATGCAAGTAAAAGCCCTTCTCTTTGATTGCTTTCTCCTCTGCGTCAGTATCTACTAAATGACCATTCATACTAATATTATTGTGAATTTTGTTGGAATTATTCAAGGGACTGTAGCAATTAGTATAATTTGCTGTTCCAGATCGGTCAAACGGGTCGGGTATTAAGGGAGTAACCGGACTCAGAACGAGAGCTGGGAAATCAAGTATGCTAGGAGAGAGGATCTCGGGTTTTCGAGGCGAGAACCCGGAACTGGGAGGAGCAAAAATTGGATTAAGGGGGTTGATCTTGAGGTTTTTGAGAGAGTTTCTGCGTTCATAAAGTTTGAACCCAGAGGATTGGTTCTTTTTAGGTATGGATTTGATAGGAGGGATGTTATGGGAATGTGATTTAGGCGATGGGTCGGGTTGGGTAATGGCCGCAGCAGTGTTGGTGGGTTTGGGTGATCCGGTTAACATTTGCACGACTTGTTTGAAAGAGGATGTATCCGCTTGGACGAAGGTAGTTGGGTAAGGGTTAGCTGATTCGGATCTGGTGATGGCTTTGGGAGAGGGAAGTGGTGGTTGATTGCCATGGAGTCCATTATTAGTGGTAGTGGTGGTGGTGCTGCTGCTGTTGCTGCTACTGGTACTGCTATGGCTATTAGGGGAGGGGATAAGAGATTGTGGGTTGTGGTTTTCTTGGTGTCTTGATGAGGTTTCCATTGATGGGTGTGATTGAGTGATGGTATTGCTCTCTATTTTGCTTTGATTCTAGCTCAACAGAGAGGGGGGAGAGAGAGGAGAAGAAGGAGAAGGAGAGGGACTTTTGAAGAGATGAGATGAGGGGCTTTGTTACCTTCTTTGGTTTGGTAAGAAATGTTTTGGTGGGCACTGAGGGCTTCGAAGTTTCCTCTTTGATTTTGTTGAACACGCGCCATTTTAGGCTATGTGCATGACGCTCCAACGACCAGTTTTCAATTAAACATGTATCTGCCGACTGCCAAGTGTTGTTGAACAGCAATTCATTTGGTTTTCGCAAAAGAATTTAGAATCAATGGTCGATTGGTCTTAAAACAATCGAGCAAAGCTCTAGATTTGATTCTTTTTTTTTTTTTTTTGAGGTGGTCTTGACTCTGCCTGTTGCTTGCTATCATAGGGTTACTGCTATGGTATTAGGGGACACCGGGGGATAAGAGCATTGTGGGGTTGTGATCTAGTCGTTTGTGTCCTTGACCTGAGATTTCCATTAGAGGCTGAATGGGTGTTGACTTAGAGCTGCATTTGGCTTATAGCTCGTCTATTTTGCTTTGATGTCAGTCTCAACCGAAGAGGAGGGGAGAGAGAGCGAGGAAGAAGCGAGTGAGGCAGGAGAGACCACTTCTATTGAAGAGAGATGAGAATGAGGGGCTTATGTTACCTTCTTTGGTTTGGTAAGAAAATGATTTGGTGGGCACTGGAAGGGCTTCGAATTTCCTCTTGATTTTTGGTTCTGGAATACACGCGCCATTTTAGGCTATGTGCATGACGCTCCAACGGACCAGTTGTCGCTTAAAACAATAGTGTGTAGATCATGCCGACTTGTCCACTTGCCAAGGTGTTTGTGGTTGCAACCAGCATATTACATTATAGTTGGTTTTCGCATACCCGAAGATTTAGATATACCCCAAACTTGGTCTCGAGAAGTGTTGTACAGTTATATAGGAGCCACTCATCCCGATGAGGCAAGAGCCTTGTGGCCTAGACTTCTGGGTTCCTTGTGTATTTTTTTTTTTGGGTACGAAGTTAGGAGTTAGGTGTTTTAGCTTAGAAAAAAAAAAAGATAAAATAAAATATTCGTAGGTAATATGAAAAAATAAAAAATTAAAAACCAAAATGTGTAATGTGGGTTTGTATATTTTTCTTTTATTTTAAGAATTGTGCCAAATTTTACTACTAGAAAAAAAAAAATGTATTTTCATCGTATTATATTAAGTTAATTGACACTTAAAAAATTACATTGAGTTTACATTTTGTTAGGGATTTTAAATGGTTTATATTATCAGTCTTCTATCATGTGCATTTAAACATAGAGTATGTAATGTCTCCCCCACAAATTAGCACCGACCTAATTTATATTGATATACTTGACATAATAGCCCATCTAATTACAGTATCCCAGCATATTATTTTTAAACATGCTGTTTAACATTCTTACATTGTTCTTATTTCTTAGGTTAAACAAATTAATTTCCCGCTTTGCATGGCAATAATGACAGAAATAATAAGAAAGCGAATAAACATCCACTTTATTATAGCATTTAATGCGAATTTTACCGCGGGAACATTTCGATTCTGTTTGTGGGCACTTAACACCAAAAATGGTACGCCCGCCAATTAATTCAAGTTGATAAAACACTAGGTTGCTAGAGGATCGCTCGTGCAGTTATCGCATGTCGTTAGACAGGCAGCGAAAGTGATTCTCATAGTATTTGAGAGTGAGTTTCTCAATCAGATAGTTTTGTACTTGACAACAATACGTAATAAAATACTTTTATCTTTTCCTTAAAATCTAAAACTTATTATTTTAGGATTGTAGTAGGAATGACATCCTTTTGGCCCTAGGTGTCCCACCCACTGCCCTCCGAATTGGAAATAATGTCTCTCTTTTAGTCCCCGTGTGTGTACGGTTCTAGAGTCAGTGTTTGAAACCCGGTTAATATTTTATTAACGTTTGCTAATACCCCAATATTTTACCACCCTAATAATTTAGAGTTTCGAGAGACACAGGATACTTTTTTTTTTTTTTTTGGTAGAAGTTAGGAGTTAGGTGTTTTAGTTAGAAAAAAAAAAGATAAAATAAAAATATTCGTGGTAATATGAAAAAATAAAAATAAAAACAAAATGTGTAATGTGGTTTTATATTTTTTTTATTTTAAGATTGTGAAATTTTACTACTAGAAAAAAAAATTTTGTATTTCATCGTATTAATATTAGTATTTACACTAAAAATACATTGAGTTACATTTTGTTAGGATTAAATTATATTAAGTTTTATCATGTGCATTAAACATAGAGTTAATGTTCAATACCGCTAATTTATATTGATATGACTTTGACATATAGCCATTAATTAAGTATCACATATTAAAATATTAAATTCTTAATTGTTCTATTTTTATTAAAAAAATTAATTCCCGCTTTGAAATAAGAAAATATAAAAGCATAAATCACTTTTTAATAAATTAATGAATTTAAAAATTCGATTCTGTTTGTGCACTTACCAAATAATGTCGCCAATTAATTAAGTTGATAAACACTGTTGCTAAGGATTTATTATCCATTCGTTAGAGCACAGAAGAAAGTGATTTCTCATAGTATTTGAAAGTGATTTCTCATAGTATTTGTCTTGACAACAATACGTAATAAATACTTTCTTTTCCTTAAAATCTAAATATTATTTAAATTTATAATGACTCTTTTGGCCCTATTCCACAGCAGCAATTGAAATAATGTTTAGTGTTTTAATAGTGTTGAAACACGGTATTAATTAATTATAACGTTTGCTAATACAATATTTACCCTAATATTTAGAGTTTGAGACAGTATTTTATGAAACGTTACATTCATTAACACTTTATAATTTTTTTATGATACTTATACCTATCACTTTTCTTTACTTTGTCTCTCACTTTTATATATTTTTTGTCATTTTATATTAAACAGCTAATCAAACAGTTATTTGTAGCAAACACTTTTATTTTAAACTGCTATATAATCTTTAACCACTAACAGTTAATATTTAACAGTTAACCACTAATAAAATAGCTAACAGCTACTAAAATAGCTTTTATTTCAGAATTTGATGATTTTAACGGCTTTTTCAAGGGGACATGATAGTCAAAATTAATCCATAAAAAACTCATCATCCATTTAAACATCACAAGATATAATTATCTGATTGATATTTTAAATTTTATTAATTTGAATAATATTTTTAAATAAGTATATTTGATCAAATTATTTTGCCCAAAAATTAAAATTAATAAATTTACTCAATAAAATAATTGTAAATATCCGTTCAATTAATATCTTTTTCATTTGCTAACTTTTTATCGACTTTTATTATCTTAGCGTTGATTCTCTTAAAATTCATAAAAGTTCTTTTGACTTTCATTACATTGACGATGACTCTCTTAAAATTCATAAAAGTTCCTTATACTCCACCGGTCTCATAAATACAGATTCACTCTCTTTCAATAATTTATTTCAAATTATAATCATATATTTCATTTTCAGTAAAAAATAATTGTATTTGTTTTCTATTATACTCTCTATTTAATATGCATCTTTATGAATAAATATTTGCTAGATTTACTTTCCTTTTTTAAATTTATTTCAGTCATATTTTCATTTTTTAAGGAGAATAATTTTTGTAATTTTCTATTTTACCCTTATTTAATATGCATCCTTGTCAATAAATATTACCCAAATATTGGTACCATCTACGTTAGCAAATTGCAAAATTTTTTATTATCTTAAATTTTATATCATATAATGTTAATATTAATATAAAAACGTATTAAGAAAAATTATAATTTTACCATATTAATTATATTTCGTTTTTTTAGATAAATTAAACGGAAAGTGAAGCGACGCGCTAAGGAAGAGAATGGTATGATGGGAAAGGAAAGTAGAAGTGGTAACATGCCATTGGTGGTGCGTGGAATTTCAGACAAAAAAGGGTGGGGCCAAACTGTTCTGTGCCTGTGAGAGAGAAGAGAAATCGTCAAAAAAGGATTCAACATTTTGCATTGACTTACACACACCCCATGAGTCTGACTCGGCTAACCCATTTTCAATATTCAATTAATTAAAATTATTAAATATTAATGGGCCCCTCCCTCCTCCTTCTTGGTGAGGATACATTTAATCTCTAATAACAACAACTAAGCATATAATCCCTAATTTTTACATTAATTAATATTAATAAAATAAAATTAAATTAAATTAATTATCTTGGATTGGATTTAGATGCTTCCTAGGTCCAAGTCCAACCTCTCCTTCAATTCAATAATTCCTATTTTGCCCCCTCTGTCGGTTCCATATTACATTATGTCAATCAATCAACCTATATCACAAATCATATGGTGTGTTTTTCGTCTATGTACAAATTATAAATATAAAGTACAACTTGTTGTCCCCACTCCCTCTCGCAATCTCGTTTGATCTTTGGACAAATATCCTCAGATCATCTCGTCTCATCCTCGTAAATCTAAATCAACAAACATTTTTATTTCCTTTCAACTGTAAGAATCAAATTATCTTCCAGCTTTAATTTGCTCTTTCCTGTTCAAATGGGTTCTTGAAAATAACATTTAAATTGCTAAAAAATGTCCTCCTTTATCACTTTCTCAAAGGGTTGTTTTCCTTTCTCTTTTATATATGATATATGCAACTTTGGGTTTAGCGATGGTTGACAGGCACACATTTAGCCGCAAAAATAGACTTTTAACTAGGATAAAGTCTAATTTAGCTCTTGAATTAAAAAAAAAAATGTGAAAAATGAATTTTCAGGTCATTTTCATCTAAAATCGTTAGGTGATAATGAATTTTTTTCACTATAATGTTGATTTTAATAATTATTAATTGAAATTTTGTTATTCAGTAACTTCTCACTTGTCAGTCTGCCCTCCTCCCATTGGTATGCACTAGAGAGCTGAATCTCATTCCCAATTTTAATAAATTAGAAGGAAAAAAAGCTGCTATAAGGTGAAATAAAGGGACACCCAATTCAATGTAAGTAAAGAGATATTTAAATAAAAAAAAAATTAAAAGTGGATTGAAAGTGGGAGATGCATATATGCATGAATAGGGCAATTCTTTAATAATATGGATTCCAATAAAATTGAATTGCATGATTTGAATATAAAGGAATAGAATCTTGGAGGCTATTCATATTATAATAGAAGCAAAATTAATGATCATATCTAATTTAATCCATTATTAACATTTGATGGGTAGACAATGAGGAAAATTGGTGGTCTTGGGTGCTACTAAACATGGGTTGGTTTGACCACTTGGATGGTTTGATTAGGATGTTTCAACCATTGGATACAGCTTCAATGTGAAGATATCTTTCCACTTGGTCCTTAAGTATTTGATTTATTTGTTTAGGAGATGTATCAGATTGCTCATATTTGGCAACAAATCCAACAATCACCTCATTTATCCTATATTGATAAATGAAGACATAAATGCATTAACAACTAGCTTTTGATTTTGGATTAAATAGATATGGACCGTTTGATATTACCACAGAATATAAGAAATAAGATTATAGACGATAAACATATAATAAAAGAATGACTCAAGAATAATTAGCCAAGCATCTGATCATGAATGATCAATGTGTTAGAATTTATAGAGATTTATTCCTAATGTCTCACGCAGGATCATAGCGTTGCGATCCTCAGCCCCACGATAGTAGAGCCCGACCTAATGCATAATGGAATGCTATTGTAGAGAATTAATTATGAATCAAGCAGGAGAATTATCAACACCTTTACCACTAGACCACCGCCTCAGGTGGTATATCAATGCATTAGCGGTTGATCTATTATTTCTTACACACATGGAAACAAAATGATCATATATTAACATTTACACCCTTGTTCATAATGGTCCTTATTTTCTTTTTAAAATAACGGAAAATATTTATTTTTTAAACACTTAACAAATCAAAAAATATTATTTGCTATAGAAGTTCTTATACCACTGTCTCACAAAAATGATTAATGAGGAAATAAAATAAAAATGACTTTCGTTTTGTTTTTCTTTTTTTTTTTTTTCCAAAATAAAATTAATTTTGAAATCTCATGTGAAATGGAATTATAAATCATGGTGACATCATCGGATTCAACACCTAACCCTTGACTATAACCCAAAAACAAAAAATGAAAATTCCAAAAAAAAAAAAAAAAAAAAAAAAAAAATCGGATTCAACACCTACCCTTGACTATAACCCAAAAACAAAAAAATGAAAAATTCCAAAAAAAAAAAAAAAAGAAAAAAAAAAGAACAAAGCCGTTTCAAGTTAACGAGTCCATTTATAAAAAAAAAAAAAAAAAAAAAAAAAAGAACAAAGCCGTTTCAAGTTAACGAGTCCATTTTGAAGTTCCAGTTCAAGGGCTTATATATATCCGTTAGGCCCAGCCCAATTTTAGTAATCAAATCTGAAGTAATGTCCAAATCTGAGAAATCAACCTACCGACTGATGGAAAAATAAATAAATAACCAAAGAGGGGTGGAGATGGGAATATTTTATTTCTTTTGTTGAGAATATTTTATTTCTTTTATAGACTTACCTGACACGAATACAAATTAATCTTATATGTAGACTTTACAGAACGGTTTAAAAATAAAATACAATTTACTTTCTATCAAAAGCTCGCTAAAAGTTCACATATGCATAAATTTAAAAAAAAAAAAGAAAAAAAGAACGCAATCCTATTCTGACATTACAAATTGGAATTCACAAAATTTAAATATACATTGGAATAGACATGAATTACATAATAAAAGGTAATTTTTCCATTTTGTTTTTAAACCAAATTTCATAACATATTATTGGAATTAGAAGAAAGGTAAATGGACAGTGTTTTAAAAAAATAAAACATGGCTTATAAAGTAAATCACATATAAGTTGAAATTTACACTTTCCTTTACTGGGTTACGAATGGCAAACGAGTTGAAATTACATATAAGTTGCTGACAAATTACAAACAAGTCCCTAATATAATAAACAATATTCTATTAATACTACATATAATTTGGGTTTTGACTTTAATTGTAAAGTCTCCAATTTTTTCATATGTAAAAATAAAATAAAATTAAAAATCGGAATATTTGGAGAAAATTCCTACAAGGTGGGCCATCATATATCTATCACCTGGATTAGCTGGAACCCATAATCGGGGCCCACTCAGGGAATTATTGATGATTAGCCATTCGCCATATTTTTACAAGACCCCATTCGCCACAGAAATAAAATTAGTACTCCAAATCAAATTAAAAGAAGGCCCAATGCCATGCTTTGTCTTACTCATTTTCAGAAAACAATTTCTTTTCAACAACTTTTTTTTTAGGCTCCCGCTTTGGCAGGATAAACTTTTTCTAAAGGTGAAGAAAAATTAATTAGCAGCCAAGTGAAGTGAGCTAGCAGGATAGGCTTAACCCAAAGGTGACTTGCTACTACCGGTTGTAAAACCTACAGTAAGATTAATCACTGATCTAAAGATGCTAATACTATCATTTATTTCCCACAAAGATGAATTAATACATCGACACACTTACAGCCGAAAGAAGCACACTATAATTAAAGTAAGACTTGTTGGGACATTGATTCATAAATTTAACTTCACGAGTACATAACACATTATTGGTTATTCATTAATTTAACGAGGGCACTTGGGTTCAAAGGCAAATGGTCCAACTGTAAACAGAACAAACGGAAGCTTATTTGAAATATATTTCTTCTCCGGCCTCAACAAGCCACCACTAACTCCGCCGTGGAGGTCGGTTGGCTTGCTGCAAGCGGTGTTTGGTGCAGAGACTAATGACACCTTGCATTTGTGGGCCCCGAAGTTGGTGATACTCTTTGGTGCTTCAAGGAAGAAGTAACCATTTTTGTCCGTTGTAGCCTTGGCTTCTAGTGGGTATTTTGTATTATTGCACTGCAGTTTTACTGTTGCACCTGTCATAATATTTCAAAAATTGACATGCAAATAAAGCATAGTCAGTCAGTAATTACTGGTCAAAAGCACAAACGTGATTCTCAATGCTTTTGCTTTTACAGTTTGAAAATGGTCACGGAGTGAAACATAGGGTTCCATTTACGACAACAGCTCATGTACCTAAAAGAGAGAGCAAGCTATTGGTCTTACATGCACCTAGAAAAAAGGAAACAACTTTCTTTCTTGCTCAAATTTCAATCTTTAACCAACCAATGCATGAAGATGAAGTCTTTCAAAATAAAATTTTAAGAAAAACGAACATTTTCCATGAAAATGCACATCCAAGAAATTAAACAGTTTCACATATACAGAATCATAAAAGAAAAGGAAAATAAGAGCAATGTGTAGTCAAGACTTCAATAAATAATGTCAAGAACTGACTTACCAGAAAGTGGTGAAGCTCCCAAGAGAGTTTCAACTCCAGAATATTTGCATGACTTGCAATAAACAACCCCTTGCACGGAAACAAAGCTTCTTTCGAAGTGGTAGATCGGTGCCTCAGCTGGTGGTTTAACTGGTGGGTGTGGGTGTGGATGTGGTAATGGCTTTGGTGGTGCAGAGTGTACGGGAGGGTGAACTGGTGGTTTAACCGGTAGGTGTGGTTTTGGAGAGTGCATGGGAGGCTGAACCGATGGGTGTGGGTGTGGGTGCGGCTTTGGTGGGTGAACGGGTGCATGAGCTGGAGCATGCATGGGAGAGACAACAGGGGCATGACTCGGTGGGTGAACATGGTTGTGGTGATGGTGATGGTGGTGATTCGGTGGCAAAGCTGGGATAGGCGACACAGCTTCTACCTCTTCATCGCTAAAAGCAGTGAAGCATAATAGTGAAACCTGCAGCAGAACAAGAGCTTTAGCTACGCCAAGCCCCATTTTTTTTTCTTTCTTTAATGGAAGCTCAAACAGAGAGAGAAGGGAAGATGGTGAAAAGAAGACTGAAAACTGAAGATTTTATAGCACTTAAGCCGTAATTCTCTGCGGTTTTTCTCGATAAAGTTTGGGTTTTTTTTTTAAAAAAAAAAAATTGTGGGGTAGGTTACTGCTGGCTCTACCAGAGCTGGGCAAGTCTAAAAGATAACGGTCTAATGTTATTAAGACTATTGTTCAAAAAGGACAAATGGAATTGATTTTCTTCCTTTTTGTGTAAAAAGTATAATATCAATGGGTCCACATATAAAGCTCCCCTTTATGAGAAAATTCTAGACCATTAATAGTTGATGTTTCTTGATAATCTCTTCATAAATTAACTCAAGTCCATACTATTGAATTCTTAATCCACTTTAATTTAATCAATTTACTTGGGTTTCTCTATCCAGCTTGCATAAATTTCTTCAAAAAATATAATTATGGCATAATCTTTTCCTAATTAATCTACATTTCACGTGTAATCTTGTAATTTAAAATTAATTTAACTCTAATAAATAATCAATTTGGTTGAAATAAAATCACATAGGAATAATTAATAAATTATACCGAACAACTAAAGAATTATATTTGTCTGCACTAGATATCGAATCACGAGTCAGATCAATAAAAATAATTTTTTTAATATATGATTAGAAATATTTTTAATATTTATTGAAAATCAGTAAAAATAAAAAGAATTTAAAAACCTTTTATGAATCCGCTCTAGATGTAAAATTGCAAGATGCCAGTAAGTGGCGATAGACATGAAGTACAGAGTTCACATGGAGAGGTTAGGGGAGTTGTGCACATTTTGCAAGGCAATGGAGAAGTTTCCAAGGACTTCGATACCTCAACTGTGTTTACTTTCTTTTTACTGAATCAATAAACATTGTTTTCGTTCTTTGTTTTGGATACTTCAATGATATATTTGGTTAAAAAGCAACCAATTCTGCAGAAGAGAGCGACTTCGGCCAAAGAGAAAGCTAAACATCAACGGTCCCCTAGTAATTCTCCTCCCTTTTTTTTTTTTTTTATTTTTTTTTTTTTTTGTTCTCCCTTTTTTTTTTTTTTTAATTTCTTTTTCTATTTTTCAAAGATAATTCTAATATTATTAAATTAAAAAATTTTTGAATTTATAATCCAACCAATTTAGGTTTGAGCTTCTCCTTTAATTCCTCAATTATAATTGATTTGATTTCGATTGATTTGCAAGTGAAAATAGTTCATCAAGTCTCAAAAATTTGACTCGGCGAGAAATTAAGTAAAAAGCAACTGAACTGGCGAGACTTGACAAGGGCACTGTATGTTACGGGAGGCTCATAATTTTGAGGATGTAGTGCTCATCGGTGAACGTCTTGCTTAATCATTCCATTCCAATCAGCGGGGATAAATTAGCGTACAGTAACTTTTGAACGTTATGGAATAGATTTTGGAGGCAGTTTTTTTCAAATTGGTTTATTATTTTTGCCATGCTCGGCAGAAAATGACAAGGGCATGCTTACAAATCTTTGGGCCGTACGCCACAACCTTTGCTCCCCAGAATAGGGTTAAACTTTCAAAAGGTTTCCTTTTAAAATTGTGATTTTGAAAAGTTGGTAATCCGATTGATGTATAAATATAATCCGATTGATGTATAAATATATATATATAATATATATATATATATATTATGTAATATATATTATAGGGTTAGTAATTAATTTTTCAATTTTCCAACTCAATATATAGGTAGTAATTAATTTCAATTTTCCACTCAAACTATAATATTGTGCCAGTTAATTTCAATTTTCAAGTTAGGTTGGATTAAAATAATTGGATAAGTTAAGTTTTTTTCTGATATATTTTATTATAACAAAATAAATTAATTTCGCTGAAAAACAAAATAGAAATAGAAAAATAATAAAATTACAATTAAAATAAGCAGTCAATTTTTTAAATAATAATATATGAGTATTTTAAAGGTCTTGAAATTATAAAAATATTAATTATCTAGCTAAAGTAAATGTATAGTCTAAGTTTTTTTCAATCAGCAAAATAAATCTATTTTATTATATTAATTAAATTATAAACTTAATTTATCCCAGCAATCGAATTGGAATATTTTTTCCACGTATAGTCATAGTTACTTTCCAGAAAGTCCTGCTCCCCAAATGGGTTGCACTCTCAAAAGTTTTCTTTTCTTTTTTAATCTTAACAAAGTAGAAATTATAAATATAATTAAAATTCAATATCGTCAGGAATCATATAAAATTAAGTTATATATATATATATAGGTTTCATTTTTTATTTTTATTTTATTTTTAATTTATATTATCTATAATTAATTGTGTATGGACAGGATTAGACAGTCATCATTAATTATTTTCATTTAATTAATCATACCTTGCTTACCGTGCAATCTTATATGTTGGTTTTCTTATTTCCTCCTAAATTTTTGATGCGTCAAACATGCATTTTTTTTTGGGTACAAACAGCTTGAAAAATACTCCACTGCCAAAATTATGATCACGTTGCCAATAAGTAAATCTCATTTAGCTCAAAAAAGAGATCTTATATAAGCTTTGATCACTGTGGAATCAATAAGATAAGATTTAATAACACAAATGCATATATTAATGTGCCCTAAGTCAAACCATGTGAAGCAATCCATCAGTAAATAAAAGCTTACTCTATTAATTATGTTGTAATATTTAATTAGATGTTTAATTATGTAAATGATTAACCACGGGAAGGTGTCTATTTTTTTTTTAATTTTTATTATCCGGTATCTAAAATTTAATGTTCCAACTAATTCAGTTTGCACCAGACAGATTTATAAAAGGGAATTTGTATTTAGGATCCGAACTCAAATTTATAAATAAGGAAGAAGAAATCTTTATCTTCGCATCTTATCTTTAGGTAAATCCACATTGCGGGCTTTTCACGGGCTCCGGCAAACTGTTGATTCCAATGTAGATTGGGCTGGGCTTAACTTTCCGCAAACGAACTGGACGAGGATTGAAAGATAAAGGGATTGCAAAAACACAAAACTAACTAAACCCACGACGTAAGCTTCCCACCTCCATGTAAGCTGTCAATACACCAGTATTTTTGGGACTGCATTGCTTTGTTGCCAGAAACAATAAAATAAGCACAAATTCATACAATTTAAGCAACTAATGTAGAATAAGAAAATCTGCAGATCAAATGCAATCTGCACCACACAAACAATCAAATATTTAAAACTGTTTCACTCAATTTCTATATTGGAAAACAAGATTAGAGCTTTGTCATCATCAGCATCATAGCATTTAACTGAGTCGAATTTGATAATGTCTTAACATTAATTATTAATCAAACATGTTAATTCTGCCTGAGGCATACTTCTGAGTAGAAATACCAAAAATGGGAAAAATATATACAAATGAAATCATTCACCTCCAAGTGGTCATGGACATGGTGGGTGCTAAACGCAATTTCAAGGAACTCAATCGTTAGCTTTTGACCAGTTTCTTACAGGAAGACGACCTTAAAATTAACAAAAGACAGGTGATTACTGATAAGTTTCAAATTACCTTTTTTTTTTTTTTTTTTTTTTTTTTTTTTTTTTTTTTTTTTTTAAAATTATCTACTTTGAAATATTAACGTGAAAATCACCTACTTTTATACTCGATATTGACGTCATTTCCATGACGTCAGTCATTGACCCACCAAAATCCCACTAACAAGAACACGACTTGACCTAGGCATGGCCACGGTTCCGGAACCGGCAGGTTCCGTGGTTCCGGAAAAGCTGGAACCGGAACCGACCGAAATTGGCCGGTTCCTGGGTTTCCGGTTTGGAACCGTCCGGTTTCCGGGTTCCGGTTCCGATCGATTACAAAACCGACGGTTCCGATTGGTTTTTCCGGCGAATCGCATAATTGAAATTTTAAATTTAATACCGGTTTTAAAAAAAAAATTATATTACATAAAAAAATTTAAAATTACTGTTAAAAAATTTAAAAATATTCAAGACCAACTAAAAAAAAAATTATTTTGACATAAAAAATTTAAAAATACACCTAAAAAATTTCAAATTTTTAAGACCGGTTTAAAAAAAAATTTTGAACTGAATTTTTTTTTTTTTTAAGTTTGAACATAATGATTTTTAAAAAAAAATTTGAATTGAATTTTTTTTTTCTTAAGTTTGAACATAATGATTTTTTTTTAAAAAATTTGAACTGAAATTTTTTTTTTAAGTTTGAACATAATTTGAAAACAAAAAAAATGGGCTGAACTTAATTTTTTTTTAAAAAAAAAAAAAATTTTTTTTTTTTAAGTTTGAACATAATTTAAAAAGGGGTTTAGAGGAATCAAAGCCCACGTAGTTCTTACTTACCTTATACCAATTTCACCCCATTTACCTTAATCGCTATTTGCACCACCGCTTGATGTTCTCGTTGAGGATCCATCGTATAAATCATATAAATCTTCATTTTCTTTTGGATTTTCTTGGGCTCTTAGTTCGGCCTTAGTCCAATCATCCAAGCATGATTGTGCTTCTAATGAATTGGGTGTCATACGAGATCGTGTTTCATCAAGTATGTTACCTCATTGACTAAAAGCTTGTTCAACCGCAACAGTGGAGACCGGAGCTGCTAAAACTTGTTTTGCAATTATTTGCAAGTAAAGAAAGAATTGAAAAAGTATTTGCGTGACGACTCCACCAATCTAAAATTGGAAAATCTGCATCAGCATAATCATCACCAAACTCAAAAGAAGTTGTTAGATAATTATCAAATTCAGAAATAGAACTGGATTCCCTTGTTCTTTTTTGTCTTTGCAATGAAACTTATTGAGCAACACCAACACCACTTACCCTTTATGTTGAAAATTGTGGAATATTAGATTGAGAAGAAGTAGAAATAGAAGTAGATGAACTAGAAATCATTATATAATTGCATAATATTTTGTTTAACTTCATGCATTACTACATTTATATTAACATTATCTTCTACTACATTTATATTAACATTATCTTCTACATCAAGATTCAATACTTCATAATAAATAGTCAAATAATCACATAAAACATCCATTCTACATCTAGGATCAAATATAATAGCAACAAGATAAAGGGGTGCTATATTTTTAAAATAAGATAACCATTTTTTTTTCATTGAAAAAATACAATCTTTTAATAAATCATCATTTTGAAATTCTTGGAGTGCATTAACAATATTAATACACAGGTAAAAATAAATGAGATGTGGGATAATAAACCCCACTAAATTTATAGGTAGCATCATTAAAAATTTTTAAAATATCTAAAATTTTTGTACAAATTTTGCACAAATCTCCCAATTTTGTGGATATAAGTTAATATCCTCAATATTATTAGTAACAAAAAAACATAATAATTCTTTATAAGAAAAAGACTAGTTTAGTAATTTATATGTTGAATTCCAACGAGTTGGGACATCCCTTGGAAAACGTTTTGGTCTTTTATTATTTTCTTTACAAAATTTAGCCCAACTTTTAAACTTTTCATACTTTGGGAATGGTGTACCATAAATATGAAATAGCTTTTTTAATTGGAGAAATTGGAGAAATAAAACATTCAAGAACTTTTAAATCATCTTGTACACATAAATTTAAAACATGGCATGCACATCTAATATGAAAAAATTTTCCACCAATATGTGGTTTACAAATTGATTTAAGTTCAATAATTGATTTAGTGTTGGCAGAAACATTATCAAATAAAATTGAAAAAAAATTTTTTGGTGAATTTATATTCATCTAAAATTGAAACAATCATTCTATAAATATTATTTACAATATGTTTATAATCGAAAACACGAAAGGCAATAATTCTTTTTTGAATTTTCCAATCATCATCAATCCAATGACATGTAGTGCCCATATAAGAATGCATTGCCAATGATCACTCTAAATATCACAACAAATTAAAACAAGAATTTTTATTTCAGAAAAAAAAAGTTCTAACTCTTTTTTTTCTTTTTTATATAAAAAGAAAAAATAGATCGTTTTACAGTATTTCTTAGCACTCTTTTAGCAGAAGGATTTAAAGCTTTTTGACAATATTGATTAAAACCTACTTTTTCACCAAAACTAAAAGAAAAGATAAATGTTCCATAGAAATCATTTTTATCATTTTTGCTAATTCTTCTTTTTATATTTTTTCAGAATATTTAAATAAAGAAAGGTTAGAAGCGTACCCGGAAATTTGTTGTTGAGACCGATCAACTACTATTTTTGTTGGATGTTTTGCCTCCAAATGCTTCCAAAATGATCCATAGCCGTCCGCTTATTTAAATTTATAAGATTTTCCACAATAATTGCAAATTATATCGTACATTTTCTCACCTTTGAATTTTCTTGTGAAATAAATGGAGAATATGTCGGAACTTTGTCTTACTCTTGTAACAATTTTTGCTCGTTGCTCTTGCTCTTGCTCTTCATCTTCTTGAAATTGCTCATTAACTCATTAAATTCGGATTCTTGAGTTGGAATATCCAAATTTTCATTTGGAAAACCCTCAAAATTACATTGGTCGGGAATCATATCATAGATGTCGTTTGTAGGGATAGATGATTCTCCAATTTTTCCCTTGCCCTTACCCGAATTTGAGTTTCCTCCACTTGTTTTGCTAATTCTTCTTTTTGTATTTTTTCAGAATATATAAATAAAGAAGGTTAGAAGCGTACCCGAAAATTTGCATGGTAAGAATATAGAGTAGAGTAGAGAAGAATAAATGATTAATATAGAGTAGAGTGTAGTATATGGTAGAGAGAGTAAGTAGAGAGTGTAGTATATTGTAGAGAGAGTTGAGATGTTTTTGTAATGAATTTGTAAATAAAATGAGGTATTTATAATAAATCCAAAAATTCATTTTTCTAAAAATACCCTTGAAACTAGCCGTTATGTAGCCGATGTAGCCGATTATGACAGTTGGGAGGCGGTATTTAAAGACATTTAACAACAAAATTTAAAAAAAAAAAAAACAAAAATCTGACAGTTACAACGGCTAGAACCGCCGGGTTCTGAAAACCGGTTCGAACCGGCGGTTCTAACCGGGCCGGAGAACCGGCGTTCCATTTCCGGTTCCGACCGGTTCTACTTGGAACCGCCGGTTCTGGTTCCACATTTGCTGGAACCGGAACCGAACCGGAATTTCCGGTTCCGGTTCGTCCCGCGTTCGGTTCTTCACCGGTTCCGGTTGCGGTTCCGGGCCGGTCTATCGAACCGCAACGCGACACCATTGCCGGTTCCGGTTCCCGGAACCGCAATATGGCCATGGCCTAACTGACCTAAGAAACGTTTTTCCACGACATAGTTATACAAGGAAGAGCAGCAGCAGAAGTGACCAATCTTAGAGAAAACGTCTGGCAGCTCTCACCACATATTTTATTTTGCAAAAGTAAGGAATCACATACTGGTCGCTAATCTTGCTTTAGAATTTTTTTCCCCCAATATTGGTTCCGGTTCTCACCGGTTCCGGTTGCGGTTCCGGGCCGGTTCGAACCGACGGTTCCGGTTCCCGGAACCGCAATATGGCCATGCCTAACTTGACCTAAGAAACGTTTTCCACGACATAGTTATACAAGGAAGAGGCAGCAGCAGAAGTGACCAATCTTAGAGAAACGTCTGCAGCTCTCACCACATATTTTATTTGCAAAAGTAAGGAATCACATACTGTCGCTATCTTGCTTTAGAATTTTTTTTCCCCCAATATTATCAAGTTTAATTGATTAATTAATTCTTGGTAACTAATTCACATCCCACCTATAAAATGACTCAATGAATAAAATTGAATTTCTTATGAATTTTACAGAGACCAATCATAATAATAAAGATGTTTATTTATAAAAAAAATTACAACTTCAAGGGACGATTAGTGTTTTGAAAAATTTAAGGTGCCATAAGAATAAAATTTTAAAATTTAAAGATAATTTTATGCATTTAAACTTCAATTTAATTAATATACTCTGTTACCCTACATATTGACATGTCATTTGATGAAATATTTCCTCAAGTTGGATGAAATTTTCCTGAAAACAAGTCTTAGAAATTATACTATTAATTTATTATTAATTTAAAATATGAGTATCTTATTAACATATAAACAATTTATAACCTTTTTTGAAATTTTTGAAGTCATAATATCTCTCTTTGGTGTTCTTGAAAATGTTACATGATCTCATTATTAAGAGTAAAATTGTAATTGATTTAGAAATCATAAGATAGTAATTTATGATTATTACATTTGTATTTGTTCTCCTATTATAAATAATATTCAATCACAAGAAACACAAATGGGACTTTTTATATGTTTTGGGTTTCACAATAAGTACTGCAAAATTAAAGATTTCAAAATTTCAGTAGCAGAATATGTTAAAAGCACTTCAATAAGATATATATGAAGTGCTTAATTAACCTATATGAAACCAAAATAACCATTTCTATTATTGGTGTGAGAAAGAAACATGGAATTGCATAAAGGGACAAAGATGGCAGTTCCAAGCAACAGTTCAAGTTAGATCTGTCACCTTGCACATCAAAAACCCTAGTTTGATCTACAATTAATTGATTTAAATTACATAATAAATAATTAAATTAAAAAGTTCTAGATGTTAATTACCTTAAGAAACTAATTAGCTCAAGTCCATGGAAAGTGTAAGAACAATGTAGATCTAATCCTGACACTCTCTCCATTAAAGATTCAAACTTCAAAATGGATTATTAGCATCTTGAACCAGCTTCTTTAACCTCTCGGAAATCCTTGCAGCTCCGCAACTGTGGGTAGAATCACTTATCTGCAACAATTAATTGATTTTAATGAAAAAGTAATGGCAAAAAATTAACATAACCACCTTTTTATTACATAATATATTGTACCTTGGAATGTATTGTGTGAAAAACAGTATCGTTAATTGCCGAAAAATTAGCATTAACAATTTCAGCCCCTTCTTCATGGAGAACACGAATAGTCTCATTGAACATGAACTGACTATCCAACCCAGTTATTAAAACTATCTCCAGAGCTGAACCCATTTCATGAATCTCAATTTGTGGAGATCTTAAGTACTGCATTGTTGTTCTACTACTACTCATCAAGCTTGCCTTATTTTCCATCTCATTTCCCGTTAAATTGTTTTTCCTTTCCTTCATTTTCTCCAAGTTTGTCTGCAACTTCTTTATATACCTCGCTGCCTCCTCTAGCTGGTCAGGCAATGACATGGGTTCCTGCAACCCCATAAAAAAATTTTTCTAACAAAATCAATAGATACATTTTTAAAAAACACTCAATTATTAATTTATAACCAAAAAGGTCTCAACTTTGACTTAGAAGTACTGAAAATGCAGATTTTGTATGATAAGTTAAAACAAAAAAGAAAAAGAAAAAGAAAAATTGAAAGGGATAAACTAACCCGGGAGGTTTGATGGGGCACAAGAGAATTGAGCTTAGAGTAAAGAGCCTTCATTTGATTTCTTCTATTCCTTTCAATGGTTTTCCTATCAGTTCTTGAAGAACTAGGGTTGTTCTCCATCAAAGAGGCAACCACAGTAGCAGTCAACAATACACACAACAACACGAGTACTTAATAGAAAGGAAAAATCTGAAACTGAAAAAATTATTAGATGGATGCAGCTGGTGATTGATAATTATATTGATGGCGTAAAAAGAAGCAAAGACAAAAGTTAAAATAATATGATTGGTTCATGTTGGAAAAAGTTTACGGATTTCAGAGGGTTGGGGGGGTTCCTCATATGTTTTACCATAGGAGGTTACGTGGACCTTCTTTCACCACTCAATTTTTCTCAACCAGCAAGAACAACAACCTTATGTAACTACTGTTTCAATTTAATCGCCATCTCTCCCACGTTGTAAATTTTTGTGGAAAATCTTTGCCTTTGGATACTATTGTTCCCAAAACTATTAATTCTTAAATCAAAAATTAAGAATGTATTTGTACCAAGTTTAGCTATAGAATTATCTATAGATATATAATAGATTGAAAAAAATGCAGAAACTTCAAGAGCACTACATCAAAAAGAGACTGTCCTATAGGGTTATTGCCTAGACAGAGAAAGGGTACGTTGGCCCCTTGAGCGACTCTGTGATTAGATGGGGTCATCTATTATCTTATCACTTTGGACTTTAGGGTCCATACAGGAAGATGATCAGACACATTTTCTTGCTTTCAAATCCTAACAGACATGGAACCTCACTGTTTCTACTTTAATTTCCTGCGTCAAAGGAAAGGGACAAGTCATAATTCTTTGTAAAATGTTATTTATATTTCTAAATTCTACTGTCAATGTTTGTTACATTATCTTTTTACTCCGTATATACTGATTTCTGAAAATTAAAATCCAGAATATGGAAAAGAGAATGCCATTTGTAAGATTAAGAATCTTATTGGAGAACTAGAACATGAAGGAGAAAGAAAAAATCATATGCAAAGGACGTACGGGCTGAGCTATATATATGAACCACAAGTGCAGTTTTTGTTTTTTTTTTTTAAAGAAGAAAAAAAGGAAAAGAAAAAAGAAAAAAAGAACTGTAGAATTGAAATGATTCTTTGAAGAGAGAGATCAGCAAGCTGCCTGTAAGCGGCAAGCCATGTGAATATTTGTGTGGTGTAAATGGGTATTTGATAAAAGAATGGGAAGACAAGGACTTATGATCTTTAAACAACGTAATATATATATTATGTGTTTCACTTTTCTAATACCATATTCCTATTGGATCACAATGCTTGCTTCAAAGTTCATTTTAAGCATTTCCTGTTACCTATGTTTTGCTTAAATTGAAAAAAGATCAATCATTTTCTCTAACTATATTCATGTCAGATTTAGAATTTAATTATTTCTCAAAAAAAAAAAAGGTTTATAATTTAATTTTAATTACCAACTAAAAAATCAAGAGTAAGATTGAACTCTCTCTCAATTAATTAATTAATGTGATTATGTCTAAGACTAGTGATACAAGTTTCCATTGGCATTTTATTATTTATGACTAGAATTATTATAATTATTCCCAACACAAACAAAGAAAACTTACTTTTTACAAAATCAACCTAAATGGTTGAGAAATTGTGTTGAAAAATGATGTTTGTTTGGTGTTCAGACTTCAGACGTTCCAACAGAGATTAATCATTAAATTAATTTGGTTAATTTGTAAAACAAGGAATATATTTATTTGAAAATTTAGTGATATTAATCATTACCTCAATCACCATCAATCATAACCTAGTGGTAAGTGAATATACGATTTGACAATAAATTCGAATTCAAATTTCCTCTCCAACTAAAAGAAAAAATGAAATTCGGCCCAATTTCTTTTGTTAACGAAAATTTATTCTCTTAATATATTCCCAATATTTTTTTTTTAAAAAAAAAGCGATATAGTATAGCCCTTTAGGAGTTAATACACTCTTGTTCATACCACAAAACAAATGGAGTCCGAATTGGATATTCTTAGTATTTCTTGTTTATTTTAATTTCAATTTTTTTTAAAAGCCTTTGAAAAATCTTTAGCTTTGAAATTCAAAAAGCAGGCTTTCCATAGCATTACAAGGCAAACCCAAGTACCCAATGGGCTTCATCTAAAGTTGGCCCACTTGATATAAGATAATAGATAGTCCAACAAGAAGAAAAGTCAAATATGACAACATAAAATTGACAACCATAACAATCCAATTCCAATTACATCACTTCAAATCTGGACCACATTTTCCACCATCATCTCTTACTGGTTTCATTGCATCTGTCCATTTTTTAAGAGCCACCTAATCCATAGATAGTGTTGATTGACTTTACCGTTTTTTTTTTTTCTCCTTTAAACGTAGATGATCAAGTTAATAATCACGTTTCACAGTTAATTGAAAATGGAGATCCATTGCACCTGAACTGTACAAAACAGACAGCTAAAACAGTACATACAGATCATGAACAGACCTTCACTCAAGTTGGGTGAATCCCATAAATGTTGGTATAAGGAAATAATTAATGTTAGGATATTTTTTTCCAGTGGAAATATGGATAGACGTCTGTATCAAGAAACTTAAAACCCTAAATAACATAAAAGAATAAAGCAATGAACAGTTAGAAAAAGATTGGATGATCCCACCTGCACCCTCAATCATCATTGATACAATTATCCCCTGTCCCCTGCTTCTTTCTTTGTTGATTCTTGTACCCTATAATTCAATACAACCAACAAACTAAACAACAAGATAAATAAAATTCGATACGGTCGCATCCAGATACTGTATTTTGCATCACAAAGCAAAAAATCAGTGTAGGAAGAAAAATTAGCTATCGCAACGAAAATGGTGACAGATCAAAAGAAGATAATGAAATAAAAAATGGGAAAATGGAAGGGGGACAAGAATAATGAAGACATAAAAACCATGTAGCCGCTATATATGTATATATATATATAGAATTTGTTCAACCACAAGATACATGAGAAATACTACATTAACTTATTTCTGTTGAAGCACAAGAAACACTAAGAAAACAGAATCTCTTTATGTTCAGCATTAGAGTGCAAGCATCTTGTGATAATATAGTATACTCCCGTAAGGAATAGCAAAAGTAATGCCAAAAATATCAGTTAAAGAAAAGGGGAAAGATAAACATTTTGTCTTGGGAGAAATCCACCATTAGGAGAGCCATATCAGCTTTCTAGATTTCTCAAAAAGAACTTTCTTTTTTTCCATCTCCGAGTGCTTTTACAATTTTCAAAATACCCAAAAATGTAACAATTTGATGTGTGTATGTATATCTGTGAAGGGAAGACATCTTTTTCACCTCAATGGATGCCTACCAATCTATTAATTCACTGTCACATGAATGTGACATAGAAGAGTACAAATAACGAGGCTTACGAAACAAACCTTTTAATTACAAGTAACCTGGTGCACTACAAAAGCCATAAGAGAAACTCATGTGAATTTAGGTTTAGGGGTAGGGGTGGGGGAGCCACTAGGGTGCACGGGACCAAGCTTTTGAATCCAATGAAGAAGACCTTTCTTGTGATCTTGGAAAGTTGGGTTTTGTACCAAATTTAGAGTCCCATCACGGGCAAGCGAAGACTCAAATTCCTCTAATACCTTCACGATTTGCCAAAATTCGGGCCTCTTCTCAGGTTGCAAGGACCAGCATTGCTCAATTAAGGCTCTCATGGCAGGAGGGCAGTCCCGTGGTACAACAGGTCTCAAATTCTGCAAAGAGATAACAGAACTGATTTAGAAAAACGGCAAAGAAATAGGAAATAAAACAAATCAAAAAGATATTGCTTTGCTAATTCCAGTCAAACCATTCCAATATTAACTCTGCCAATAGAAAAATTGAGATTTCCAGCATAATAAAAAGACCATTAAATCTTTCTTTGGAACCTTCACATAAGTAATCCTATAAAGAACAATATCTATAACTATAACAAGCAAGAAATAGACATTTCTTATCAAAGTAGATTTCACTAGATATACTTTATTCCAAAAGGAGTAGAAGCTACTTTGTCTTAATGAGGTATAATCACAGTATAATTGGTATTTATGCTATTTATAACAGTAAGTTTTTATATGTCCCTTCATCTCATCATCAGAAGTTTCCTCCCCAAATGCTATGGAATACAAATATCTTTAATGATGAATTTTCATGATAGCATTCCATCTAAAAGTATCTTACACCAAGAAAATTGGACCTCTAAAAGCTCCAGCATCGAGCCATTGGGAAAAAAATGTGAAAGGCAGCAAGATACGATATTTTGATCATTAAGTCCAATCTATAAGCTTATTGTTGGATAACAACTGACTGGGCATGATTAATATGTTGTGGGGATCCCAAACCCCCTACTCAAAGAGAATGGTAACAGCTTACATCTAAACCCACCCCGCCCTTTTTCTTTGGACACCAAACCACTGTATAGATGTGAGAGATAATAGGACGTAAGAAGAATTTAATGAAACGAGTGGAGAGTCAATTGCCCTTAAAACTTTGGCTGCGATTAAGCAAAACCCTAGAGTTATCAGCAAGCTCAAATTAACCAAACCTTCCATGCAATCTAGTTGGGGCCAGCTCATAGATTCTGCCTCCAGTTTATTGATTTTTGGATTGCATTCATAGAAGTTCTACTGCCTTAGCTACATATCGATTAGAAGACAGAGATACAAGATGGAATGAGATGGGCAAAATACAGTTACAACGGGGGAAAAGAATTTACCTTGTTTACTACGGCAAAAGCAGCTTGTATGGGATTCATATCTTCATAGGGAATTGTTCCTGCCACCATTTCCCATAAAATGAGCCCAAAACTATACACATCGACCCTTCTCCCATAGGATTTCTTTTTTATCATCTCAGGTGCCATCCATCTATAAGTTCCTGGGTCATCAGCTAATGCATCACAATATGCCTCCTCACAAGCTATACCAAAATCAGCAATCTTTAAATGAAACTCTTGATCAATGAGAACATTCTCAGGCTTAAGATCTCGATGAATGACACCTTGAGAATGTATATATTCCATTCCACGAGCAATGTCCAGAGCAATTGCAATAAGCTTCGGCAAGGGGAGCAACTTATGTTCAAGCTTGTGCAAGTATGCCCTCAAGGAACCTTCTGATAAATATTCTGTTATGACACAATAAACTGCTGGCTTTTTGCATGCTGCAACAAACTGCATTAGCAGATCAAAATGCCTATAAGCACTGATTCATGAAAAAGCCATAAACTTACTCCGCTAGTTTTTAACCATAGTTAAAAGTGCATGAATATTGTTTGCCAATCAGATAATCCATAATTTAAAAAAAAAAAAAAAAAATTCCAACACCAGCAAAAGGAAAGGGAAGTTGGAATGACCTCCCTGTTAAATTCCATAAACAGATAACAAATCGAACAACCAAGATAAAGAAAAGGAAATGAATTCAATTACCCTTATGACATTAGGATGGTGAAGGCGAGATAAAAGCGTGACTTCTCTGTCGTATTGATTCTTTAATCTAAGGGCTAAAGTTCCATTTTCATCATCATCGGGTGCTCTGATAATTTTAACTGCAACAGGCTCATCCTTGTATACACCATGGTAAAGCCTGCTATGTGCTCCATGAGCAAACCTGAGCCCCAAAAACAGCTGGGACATATCCACACTAAATTCATCAGCCGCTTCCACGGCATTAACTCTACCTCCAGCATGGTCAAAATACTTTGTCCAGGCAGAATCCTTCTTGCCCTTCGATTTTTCATGACCTTTCAAGTGCAAAAGAGGGCTTGAATTTGATGAAGTATTAGTCGACTTGGTTTCCGATGATTCCTTGTGGAAAAACTTTCCCATGATTCCCTTATCGTGATCTTTCCTGCGAGGATGTGGAGTTGAAAATCTCTTCCTATCAAACCTTGCTTCCTTAAAAGTATCAGAAAGGGTCGTTTCAGGCAAAGGAGATAAAGATCTCTGCTTGTTGGTGATTGGATTTCGCTGAATCTGAAAATCACTAGTAACTGATGATCTCTGAGTGGGAAAGGAAACGGATTTCTGATAAGGAGAGGACTTTCCAGGCCTTGATTTCAGCCCAGCATTTCTCTCAGACGGAATGGATAAAGGAAAAGACACCAATCTTGAAGAATCTAAACGATGACATACCGTATGTGAAAACTTTGTCCTCCTAATCCAAGAACTATCTTCTTCCATTTATTTTACCTTTTGGCTTCTTTATCCCAGTAATTCAAAACTTGAAACCCTAAAACAAATTGCTACACCCACAGATTTCCTCAACCAAACTTTACTGTCTTCTTCTTCAGCTGGATAAAAGAAGAAGGATTGAAATGCAGAAAGCAACTTGCAAAACTCAAGGAAGCAAATTTTCCATAAACCATTAACGATTGAGCTTTAAAAATTCAAATTTTTTGGGTCCATGAGAATCAACAAACCATTCAAACCCATGAAAGTAAATCAAGAAATACACCAGGACAGATTTTAATCCCTTTTCCATAATAACTAAAATCCCACCTAACCTATCATAATCCATCAACAAAAAAAAAAAAAAAAAAATAATCAACAAACCATGTTCAACCCATGAAAGCCTAAATCAAGAAATACACCAGGACAGATTTTAATCCCTTTTCCATAATAACTAAAATCCCACCTAAACCTTATCATAATCCATCAACAAAAAAAAAAAAAAAAAATTCTCTCGACACCAATCAAATCCATTGATCATTACCACCAAAACCCAACCTCTGGCCTCATGAACAGAATCCTTTTTTCTAGCTTCAAAGTCAAAAATAGCACCTTCCGTAGAAGAAGCCTGCAAATCCCACAATGGGCAACCCGCCAATGGCCACATAAAACCAAATATTGATTAAAAAAAATTATTTCCAAAAAAAAAAGTATCCTCAATTATTTAGGAAAACAAAGAAAACACCCATGATTACATTCCCGCATTAAACTCTGGAAAGAAACCAGATCATTATTGTCAAAACAATCATTCACACAAATAAAATCACCAAAAAAAAAAAAAAAAAAAAAAAATTCTCTCACACCATCAAATCCATTGATCATTACCACCAAACCCAACCTCTGGCCTCATGAACAGAACCTTTTTTCTAAGCTTCAAAGTCAAAATAGCACCTTCCGTAGAAGCCTGGCAAATCCCACAATGGGCACCCCCAATGGCCAATAAACAAATATGATTAAAAAAATTATTCCAAAAAAAAAGTATCCTCAATTATTTAGGAAAACAAAGAAACACCCATGATTACATCCCCATTAAACTCTGGAAAGAAAACCAATCATTATGTCAAAACAATCATTCACACAAATAAAATCACAAAAAATAAAAATGACCTCAATATATACAAACACTAACCTGGAATAAAGAATCGGTAGAAAGAAAGAAATAAATAAATAAATAATGGAGGTTAGTGCTTACCATTAGGAAGGCACATAGCTTTCAAACAGTAGTGACGTTATTCTCCTTTAAAAAAAAATCCTTCTTTTAAAGGGCTCTATACTTATTTGTTGCGTGCATGAGAGAGAGAAAAAGGAAGAAAGGATTTTTTCTTTTTTCTTTTTTTTTTTTTTTTCTTTTGTGGAGATAGAAAATTGCCGTAGATGGAATTTCGATATGCTAAATCAGAGAATATAAAAATACGTATCGTATACGGAGACACCGTAGATTCCCGTGGACCCGATATTTTTGGTGAAGACTGAAGGGAGGAGGTGGGGCCGAAGATTAGAGATTGTGTAAGTGGGTGGTGGTTGGGGGCCCACACATTAAAAGTCAATTAAAAGACGTTGTCTATTGTTTTTCTTTTTCTTCTTTGTGTGTGTTTTTATTTTAATATGTAGTTTTTCCGTTATTAATAATTTAATTTAAAAATAGGTAAGGAATCCAAGTGTCATAATCGGAGAGAATTATATTAGGCCGCTACAGTTAGATGGTACGGTTCGCACGGATTCGTTTTTATGCTGTTTGGTAAGTGGCGGGCGGAGACGCTTGTGGTGGTGGAGTGGAGGTGGTAGTGGAGGCGATGGTGGTGACTTTTGGAATCTTCTTTATTTGGTTGTGTGTGGTACGCCGCTACGTGTACGGTGGGATTTATAACTTTTAGTTGGATTTTCATCATTTTTGGAGTTGTGTCTTTTGGATTCTTTCAAATGGCATCTTAAATTCTTAATTCTTGAAGAGCTCATTTTCAATATTTGTCACTCGCTTATTTTTTTAGTTAAAAAACTCTTTTGTGACTAAATAATAAATATTCCAAATCTAAATTTTATTTATTATTATTGTTATTATTTTAATAATCTATCTACATCTATCTATAATCTAAAATATATAAGTGGAAATGGAGAGGTAAAATTCTTAAAAATAACCATATGATATTTATGAATTGATCAAATTATTTATAATGTAATTTAATTTGATTGGTTATATTTATTTTACTTTTAAATCTAAATTTTATTAGCTAAAAAATAAAATACAAAATTAGATTGCATATTAAGTATAATATTTATTACATCTCAAAAAAATAAATATAATATTTATTAAATATCTGGTAAGAATATAATATAAAAAAATGGAGTTGATTTATTATTAATGTTTAATTATATTATATATTTGAGAATTACTTTATTTTTGCATGATCTTTGAGAATTTATTTTCGAAACCACATTATTTCTCTCTCTTTTAAAATATGTTGATGGAGTGTTTCTTTTACAGTAAGCACCACCGATTTCTCTTCTAGGTATTGCACGCTGGAAATAATCATGTGTGTAACGTTTTGGGAGAAAATTGAGAAGTCAGAGTTTGGGTTTCAAGCAACAAAAATGGACTTGACAGATGAATTGGACATAAAAAAGCCCAAATAACCAAATTTTCAGGAGTTGAGTACTTTAGAGTTTAGAACGCATGGCCCATTTTGAAGTCTCCCAAGAAAACAACGAAATGGATAAAATTGTCTACGCAACTGCTTTTTAGATTTTCGTTTTTCTGTTTTCAAAATTCTGCTTTTGTTACAGTTGATAACACAATTTTTCTTTTCCATTTTATTCTTGAGTACTGTTGGCCTATAGAGAGGGGCAGAGGCAACCCTCTGTGTCAATTTTGATATTCAAATTCGAAACTTTAATTAAATGGCAAAGAATCCCGATTATTTTATCTCAATCATTGCTCGTGAAAGTTCTGTTTTTATTTTGTTTTATTGTTCTAACTTTTGAATGTCAATTTTCTTTATTTGCAAAATAAGTTTTTGGTCAATTTTTTCTTCAAAATTGCTAATGCTTTTTCATTGATTTAGCGGAAACTGTGGAAAAATCTACTGTTATTGTTATCTGGCTTTGGATTGACTAGAGTGCTGAGGCCAGTGTTTGCCTCTCTTTTGTGCAAGGGGCAAGCCGCTAGAGTTCAACTTATAAATATAATCCCACATCGAAAACAAGAGAAGAGTTAGATGTAGACAGCGTCAATAAAATGAAACTTGAAACACTGCACAATTCATACCTTTCTCGGCCTTTTGGCTAAGATCAAGTGTAGTATCTGTTCTTATCAGTTTGATATCTGATACGTGGGCCAATGGCCCACATGATATTAAATGAATTTTTCAGAGGGGAGGGCCCATAACGGTAGCTTGCTACTGGGTCTCTCATGCGTCGCCCAAGCGTTGCACTATAGCATGGGCCTGGCGCACCCTACCAATGTTAGTTCGATCTTTTCTTTCATCTTTCAATGAGCCATATTGCAAATGGTTTCTTTTACTAATTTTAATTGATAATTAATGAATTACATTTTTATTATTAATTACTTCAATTTATTCCCTGTTTTTATAATTTCAATATCCTATTAATTTTTCTTTCCTAATCTACCCTTAATGTTCTATTCATCATAATATAATTATCCATCTTCTATTTAATAGAGCCAATGGTGGGGTGGAGAAATAAAAAATATATATTTTTAAATTAATCAATTAATTTCATTTGATTGGAGGGCAAAATATACATTGTATAAACTAATTTTTGTAAAATTTAGATTAATTGCATTATTTAATTTATGTGGAAATTTATTTTGAAATGGACAGAGTAATTAATGAATTGCATTTATTACAAAGAAATTTGTTAATACTCAAATCTCCCTTGAAATATTATTCGTATTAGTTTGGACAAAAAGAAAATAGACGAGTAATGAAAATATGAACTCAATTTATTTTTTCTTTAATAAAAACCATCAGCCTGTTCCATATTTCTATTTTACAAAAAAAATATATATATACATGAGGATATATTAATAAAGAAAGCTAAACAAAATTTTAAGCCTCAAGTCTAATTTCTACACTTTACTTAGGTTTAATCATATAACAATTATATATTTTATATTAATTAGGAAAATTGTAGAAACAATGTACAGTGTTTTTTTATATTAATGTGAATTTATTTATAAATATATTTGTATAACTCACTCGACGCCAATCTAATTAACCCAACTCCAATTATTTATAAATTAAAATATTTTTATTTTAGTATTATGGAGAATATTCCAACCTCCATCAATTGTTAGGTTAAAGAAATATAAATGGCATATAATTTAGTTAGGTTGTATAAGATAAATATCATGAAAAAATAATACTCAGTGGAGCAAATATCGAAGTGCAAAAAAAATCTCATAATTACTCAACAGACTAAAAATGCAGTGTGGAAAAGAAGAATGATCACACCTTTCAATTGTCACGTGATCGATTTTTGTCAAATTGTGCCAATATTACTCAATCCCCAAGTTTACATACATAATATATTTCCTCACACTATTAAACATCACAACTTGAAAACAAAAAAGAACAAAATTTTGATTTCGCCGAATCACACAACCTCAACTGCTGTATAATGCATATTGGGCAGCATCTCTAGCAAATCCACAGTTAGCATAGAAGCCTTTGGCTTTGGAACCCTGCCGGAATATCCCATTGAGATGGCCGGCATAGATGTTCTCCTTTCACAACTACTTAACCACTTTGCCTGCATGTATCTTTGTTTTCTCCATGGCCCTAAGTGCATTTTCTTTTCTTTCATGCATTTCTTAGCAGCCAAACATATTATCTTAATTACATTGTTTAATCTTTCAACTTTTCCGACGAATACCTCCGGTAACCGCCGGACTAGTTTATTGTATTCTTCGCTTGCTTTTGCCATCTCGAACTCAGCCCGAAAATTCAATTCAATTATCACCCTTACTTCTCCCTTTTTAGAACTCGAATTGTCTATTACATCTAAAAACGTATGTTCTCCTGCACATTATATGTAGAAGATAATCTTGTTAATTTCAAGAACTAATATTTTTAAAAAAAAAAAAAAAAATTTAGATTTAAAGATGGTGATTTCAAATTTGTTCTTTACCTGATGGAATATCTGGAGAGCTTCTCCACTTAGACTTGCAAATAGCACTATTGTAACCCGCATTTCGGAGGCGGCTGGAGACCTCCGACATCAAACAATTCCGGCAACCGCCTGCCATTGGTCTACCACAACCACAGATTGTTCCTGCCATTTGAATTTCTTTTATTGCTTCTTTGGTGATATTTCTAATACCTGATTCCAAGGAGCTAGTTCTACATAAGGTAGCCTGTTCGCATAGGAACAAAAATAAATCAATACTTTCCTGCATTAACAATTTAACAGACAACTAAACATGTAAAGATAGATTTAAAAAATTAATTACTTGTAAGAGCTGATGTTGATTTTCCCAAAAGTTCTTGTCTTCTCCAACATTCCCGTTCTCTCTTTCTTCATCTTCTTCGTCTACTTCCTCAATTTCGCGGCAATCCTGATCACTGCCAGGACTTGACTGGAATGATTCTTCACTTTCTTCAAGAAACCCAAAAACCATATCGGAGAAACTCGACGGAGCTTGATCGTGAAAATCAAGTTCACGACCATTGCCTAGAAAATTCGGTTGATGAATCGAAACTCTAAATCTTGCAGTTGGCATTGTTTTACTCTAATTGTTTATTCAGTTTCTATCGATCAAAACCGAAAAAGTAGTAATGAACACAGATCAGGGACAGCTCGTTTATATACGTAGATTTGGACTAAGTGCGACCCAAAACCATACAGTGGACCATCGAACCGCCGCGCGCATGTGGGTTCCTTCTCTTGCTTACATGGCTTTTTTTAATTGCGCCAAGTAAATCGTACAGCAGGGATCCACGTCAGTTTGGTTCAATAATTTTGATCTAGAGACCAATATGGATATGCTCGAATATTCATATACATATATATTTTTTTTCCTTCTCCATGTGTTTGCGTAATTTATTTTATATAGAAACTAAATTAAAAAATTTTGTAAAATAAAAACAAATTGTGAAAGTGACGTTTTATCCTAATCTTATGACTCAGGTAGGGCCATGGCCTTGTAGCGATGTGATTGAGTGTAAATCTGGATGCCACGTGGTGTCACTAAAGTCGTCGATGAGAAGGTTTATCCGGAAATGTGGGGTCTACTTGCCTGCCACCTAACACAAATCATCTCTTGTAATCATATGCTATGTGCATTGTCAGATTTTTGGTTTATTTATCGCCAAAAGAATATTAAAAAAAGCATGTTGGGAAAACGCGGCGTCTTGCCACTGGTTTTGCTTATTATCCCGTAGAAGACAAGATTCCCTTGGTGAATTTTCTGGATCTTATATTAGAGACAAGACTGAGGGTATTTTGGTCATTCCAAAAAGGCAATAATTTTGTGCCCTAGTCACTTTGAGGATTGGATAGTAAAATAATTGAGCAATTTTTTGACCATGAGACTAATGCTATGTTCGGGAAGGGATAGAGGAAAATAAGAGAAGAGCGTTACTGTTATTTTTTTGGACGATCTCTTCAAATCGGAGAAAATATTACTATTTACGAAAGTTACGAAAATAACCTACATTACCCATAAAAATTTATAATAATGCCTAATCCATACATATATAATAAATAAAAATATAAATTTCCAATAATATCATTTTTTTTTCCCTCTTCTATTAGGGCCTTTCAAATAAAGCAAATTGATTTTATTTTCTTTCTTCTCTTTAAATTGGTAACTCAATAACCATTAGAACTGACATAATTTCTAATACCATTTGGATCAGATACGTTAAGGGTATTTTTGTATTTTTGATTATAAGGTTGCTTATGTATATTTTTCACCCACTTTCACTTCTGCCCATTTTCCATCCTCCCAAACATACCCTTAAAAGACCACATAAAAATATTTTGAGCTTTTTTTTTTTTTTTTTTCGTATTTTGTATTTTTGATTATTTAAGCGTTGCTTATGTATATTTTTCCACCCACTTTTCACTTCTGCCCATATTTTCCCATTCCTCCAAAACATACCCTTAAAAGACCCACATAAAAATATTTTGAGCCTTTTTTTTTTTTTTTTTTGAATTAATAAATATTTGAGTCTTTCAAAGGGCATTAATTGTGGTTTTTTTAAACTTTTTTTTTTTTTTTTTTGAATTATAAAATATTTTGAGTTTAAATGCATTAATTGTTGGTTTTTTTAAACTCTATTTTGTACAAATTATCACATATGGTCGTATACTCTAGGAGTTTCTAGAGATGATTTTTTTAGGTAAGTCTTCAGGATTAAAAAACTCAAAATAATAAGAATAATTATAATTTTTTGTCCATATTAATTTAACAATATAGCTCACTGTTATAATCTTATCATGTAGCTTAAAATAATTGAAAAATCCTACACTAAATAATAATAATATAAAGATTAAAGTGCATGGTCCAAATTAATTAACATAAAAGAACATTATAATATATAATGCCACGACAATGGAATTGATGCCATCAGTATATTATATCGCAAAGTGGTGCTTTTGATGCTTTCACCATACTTTCTGTCTTTGCCAATTAATTTAATTATTATCGTCGTTCTTATCACCCAAAAAATCTTTCATTATATCCCCTAACCTCATCTAATTTTTTCATCTTACAATGATATAATTAATTTAAAATCAAGATTAGCTAAGGACTTGTTTTGTCTCAAGTAACATGTTCAAGACAACAACTTGATCTTCATCCGTAAAATATTAATCTGTAACGTAATTCGAACCGGTCATGAGGATGCAATTGATTCCTTTTTCTAAGAAAAGAAGGATATAATTCCGTTGCACGAAGCAATGTTTTAATTACTTCCTTTATTCGTAACTATAAATTGTTTTAAAGTAGTTATTTTAAGAATATCAAAGAGTAATTAGTAATGTATTTTTAATTCTACCATTATTTGTATTAAATGCAATAATTATTTCTATAATTTTTAAAAATATATAATTTAATTTAATGAACATTTTATTATAATTTAACAGAATTAATTATGTGTTTAATCACTACGAAACAATCTTAAACGATTTATATTTGTGAATATAAAAGCAAATTAAATTAATAAAATAAAAAATAACCGTTTGTTTTGAAAGGAGAGGAAGGAAAATAATAGAGAAAATGCCGAGTAATTGCAAATTTTCTTTCCATAGCTATTTTCTATCATTTTTATTTATTTGGAAAGACAAAAATTTTAGAGGAAAGAAAATATCATTTCACTCAAATGCTCTAGTATTAAGACAAAAAAAAAATAAATTTATTAACTAATTTAACATATTTAGATAATTTAATAAAAATAGAAAAAATTAAAAACATATATAAATAATTCATTAATTTCTTTCTCTTTTTTAAATTAAAAAAAAAACAATTTCCTTACATATTTTCTATGTAGTTATTTTTCTTCCTTAAAAACAATTCCCATCCAAGGATTAATTATAATTAAGTTGCCATCTCGTGGAGTGCACTGTTGGCATCAAGAAGCCAATAGAGAAGATAAGATTGAATGTCGTGTCGATCAGAAAATGTTGCCATTAAGAAAAAACAAAAGTTGAAAGTCGTATATTTCATGATCTTGTGGTGTATGAGAATTGAGAAGGCAGAAGAAGTTAATTAATTGGATAAATGAGCAGCTGGATTTCGACCCAATCTTAGGTTCTGCTTATCTTTGTGCACGTGCCTTGTCTGTAATGTAAATCTTACATACGTAACGCAAGTCCAATGTACATGATATATGAAGCAAATAACTCAAGAACAGAAAATTGAAATCCATAAACTTTTTTTTAACAACTATTTATTTTTTTATATAGTTTCTAGAGTTATCATAAAGGTTTATTTAATTTAGTTATTCGTTAAAAGATGCAGAATTCGTTCTTACTTGTATTTTTTTATTATTTATTTTGAAATATAAAAAGAAAAAGAAGAACGGTGCATTATTTGACGTATGAATGGTACTGATGTCAGTTGATTATTTACGGTGCCAGGTGCCAACTAAGTAGTAGCCCCCTCTCCTCTCTCAGTCTCTCTCATTCATGTGGAACAAGAAGACGAAGGTGGAATATTCGGGACTGATGGTCCATGTTCTGTTTTGTATCCTTCCTTCTTGGGCGTCGGAAGCTACAACTCATCCCAAAAAAAAAAAAAAAAAAAATGTCCATGTTCTGTTTTGTATCCTTCCTGTCTTGGGCGTTCGGGAAGCTACAACTCATGCCCAAAAAAAAAAAAAAAAAAAAAGCAAAAAATGGCCAAAAAAATCATCAAAATCAAATGAGTTTCAATTGGGTCCGCAACTTTTTAGTTTTGGGCTCAATTAAAAAAAAAAAAAAAAAAAAGCAAAATGGCCCAAAATCATCAAATCGAGTTTCAATTGGGCCGCACTTTTAGTTTTGGGCTCAATTGGTCTTGGACAAAAAAACAAAACTAGAAAACTAAAATTACAGCCACGAACTTCAAATCTTCAGTCTGACACACTCCGTTCGTATAATAATAACTAACTAACTAACTACCAACAGTGAAATGTAACTGATCTACTGAGCACTAGTTGTAGAACAGGACAAAGCCAAAATGATTTTTATGTCATGATCATTTTGATGGAAAGTTTACAGACAAAAATTAGCTGTTCTCATAAAGTAATTGAATTGTATCAGCATCTAAAATTCATCCTTCATATATCACAATGTGGTATGTTACGCACATAGCTAGTATACAAACAAACCATAAGCTTTTCCTTTTCCAAAAAAAAAAAAATCTTGTCCACTATACATCATCCAACAAAACAAATATGAATCACCCATGTATGAGAAAAGAAAAAAATAAGAAGTTGCAGTCCATGGTTAACATCAAAAGCTACATCGCCATCCTTTATCTGAATTTATGTGCTCTTTGATCTCATTTGTCCCAACATCTGCATCTTCATCCTCGGTATTGTTTCACTCCAAACATCTGCTAAAACCAGTGCATCAAAGTTGGGATAAAACCGAGAACATGATACAACTCATTACTAAGTGATGTAGAAAAAGTTGCAGATATATCACCTACCCTCCACTATGCTATTGGTCCAAGAGAGAGACATGGATGAAGACCCAGATTGCTTAATTTCATCAAATGTAGGGTGTGATGAAAAGCCCAATTTTTGAGAGTAATTTGACCACAAATCCTTAGACTTCATACGTTCTAGCAAATATGCGTCCATGTCCTCACTTTCAGCCTCGTTAGACTCATTTTTCCCTTCCAAAATCTTCACTACTTGCCTCATTGTTGGTCTAGCGCTCGCATCAGGATATGTGCACAACAAGCCTAAATGAAGTACTCTCTCCATTTCTTCCTCGTCGCACTCTCCTCTCGCCTTTAGTCTTGGATCTAAAACACTGAGTAATTGCTCTTGCATCATTGATTGCCATACCAATTCTACTAATGGAGGTTTTCCTTCCTCTATAGGCCTCCTCCCACACATGACTTCTAAAATCAAGACTCCAAAACCGAACACATCAGTTTGTGCTGATGCTCTACCACTGCGAACCACTTCAGGAGCTAAATACCCCACCGTTCCAACAACCCTTGTGGTGCTAGCCACTTGACCATGGTTATGCATCCTGGCTAACCCAAAATCACCTAACCTTCCATTCATCTCCTTGTCAAGTAACACATTGCTAGCCTTAATGTCTCTATGTAGGACTTTAACCTCCCATCCTTCATGCAAATACAATACTCCTGAAGCAACGTCTTTCAAAATTCTAATTCTTTCTTCACAACTTAACATTTTAGTCTCATCACAATCAAATATCCTCTTATCTAAACTTCCATTTTCCATATAATCATATACTAACATGAAGCTTCCTTTTTCTCTTTTGCACCAACCTCTCAATCCAACCAAGTTCCTATGCTTCAGTCTTCCAATACTAGAAATTTCAGCCAAAAATTCTCTCATCCCATCATTTCCATGTGAAATTCGCTTCACTGCCACCTCAGCACCTCCTGTTAATACACCCTTAAAGACTTTGCCATTTCCTCCAATTCCAATAACATTTTCTTCACTAAATCCATTAGTTGCTGCCTCAATTTCCTGATATGTAATTCTATGTGGCCAATATTCCAACTCCCACTCCTCCATGTCTGCTCTCGCCCTTGCCTTTCTTCGTTGCCTCCTAATAAATAACAAAGTAATCAAGGCAATGGACACAATAACAACAAAACCTCCAGCTGTGGCCCCTGCAATGAACCCTTTTGACCTGAAAAATGAACCCTTTGGAAGAACAAAAGATGGCAACCCAACTGTGATTAACCTTTCACTTAATGAAAAATTTGAATTACTAAAGCTCCAAGCCAAAATCTTGTGACTCTGAACAAGTCTTCCAGTGGAAGCTGTAAACCCAATATACATCTCTTCCTCAAAAACTTCAGAAAGATCAAGAGAAGCATTTAACAAAGGCTTTTTAGGCCTTTTAGTGCCTAAAGGAGCCATCGTAACATTAATCAAAGAATCTGCATAATCAATCCAAACTTGGTAATTTTTACCATTATTTAGCTTCAATTTCTTGAATGACTTGCTATCGTTGCCGCCGCCGCTGCTGCTAATTTCATCGTCAGGCCAATACCCTGCATCTTCTGCAAATTTTGATGTAAGGGAATTTACATCTATACCCACATGGTTATCGTTTATATCATTGAATTCTTGATTAGAAAATACATCGAACTCGATCCCCAATACATGGTTGCTAGATTGCCCATCATTTGTTCGATTAAAAAGCCCTAAATTTTGTGATGCTGTTGTACCATCTATGCCTGTACGTGGGACAAAAATGAAAACCAGACCATGTCCTGGAAGGATATTCTCGTAAGGAGCCATAGCAAAAATAAAAGAAGTTGAAAATGGGTATACATGAGAAGAATTGGGAGCTTTTGTGGGTACTTTTGATGGGTATAAAGCACGACCAATTGCGAAAGTTGTGCTGTTAGTAAGAGAAAGAATACGAGATTCAATGGCGGCATTGCCGTAAAGAAGCAAACTTGAGGAATTGAAGCCATTGAAGACAAAATCAATAGCTGATACAGATTGACAGTATAGGATCAAAGAAAGCAAAATCAACAAAAAAGGAGGCTTTTGGTGCTTCTTCATTGCTAGCAGCAAAGTAAAAGCAGAAACAAAAGCAGCCTCTGTTTCTTAGGTAGATAGATATGGTTTGAATGGAAGGAAGAGGGACAAAGTAAAGAAGTTTGTAGAGAAAGATCAAGTTAGCTGACACATTTACAGCATGTCAGCAACTTTTTTGAATTTTCATGGTCAAACATTTGCAATCTTTAGAAACGGATTTGAATTTGGACATTGGTTTCGTCTCAATATTACAAAGATGAAAGATGTACGGTGGGATACTTGTATTTGTACGGAGTATAGATTAATCCAAATATAATTCTTTTATGTGCATGTTTTTATTTCCTTCGTTTCAGATAAATTTTGGATTAAGCACAAAGATTTTTGGATCTCTTCAGCAAAAGGAAGTACTAATTTCTTCTCTCTACATTGGTTATTATTATTATTATTATTATTTCTCTCTCAATACAAACATGTACTATCTTATATTAGTTTATTGGGATATAATGGTGACGCCCATGCAACTTGCAAGGACAGATTGATAAGTTTGTGCAAAAGAAAACCCGACAAGGGAGTAGTTGATCGAGTTTCAATGAAGGTTCGAGCTTACATGGCGTTCGTCCGACATGAAAATATCTAAAATCTAAAGCAAGATGAGAAAAGGTCAATGGAAACGACAAGAAGAAAGGAACAGTTGGTTTGACACCATTCCTTTGCGCAAAAGTAAACGGCCGGCTAAATATTTCTTTTGCCTTCTGTACAGTGTACATTACGGACATTTGCATTCACTGGATTTCACAATCACGGTGTGGGGATTTGTTCACTGTGATTCTGAAAAAGTTTTTAATTTGAGCACCAATACAAAAACTTCAATCCTAATTAAGACATTATTAAATGTAAGATTAACAATTCTTAATACATACTTATTTTCATGATTAATTAATTAATTATTTTATTGTCTGTATTAGATCTATTATGTGTGCTTTAAGAAAAACTAGAACCCAGATTAATTAGTGATGGTATCATAAAACCAATAATGCTGTTCGTTGGTGCTAAATTTTCATTTCTCATTACAAGTTGTTAGAATTATAATTGTTACTTTTCTTTCTCTGTTAATTGAAGTGCTCATAACCTAATAATAGTAGGCAGGGAAGCACCAAATGATGATTAATACCTATAGAAAAAATGAAAATTCATATCCCAGACTTTCGCTTTTCATCTTTTTAAAAATAATAAAAAAAAATTATTTATGAGAAGTTGAAATGGAATGAAAACATCCTAGTTGACTAGTGTGACAGCGATCTATTTATTTACTTTTTTTATAAATACCAAAAATTAAAAATTTTAAATTTAAGCTTTTTTTTTTATTTTCAATTATCATCGGCTTAACTAATTTGAATTTGCGCTGTACAAGCTCACAAAGATAGTAAATTACTTCTTCCGGAGTATTTAAAAGAAAAAGTTTAAACTGAAGACTTTTAATTAAGTGGAAAGGTAAATTTGAGTTATTTAATAATTACGGTGAGAGTTTTCATTTATACAGTGAAAAATAAATAAATTTATAAAATTATCCTGAAAATAAATTCATACCTATTAAATAAAATAATTAACCTCAGCAGGTCAGTTATCAATCTGACCACTAGCAAACTGGCTATGACAGTGATCTGATTTTGTTCATAGAGATGAAATCTGCTTGAATTGATGGAAAATTGTGGTTCGAGACGTTTGACTAAGCAAAATTTCAATCCATATATTATTGAGTTCAACTTTAAACTTTTCAGCAATCATACGATATAATATACATTGAATTTAAGTTCTCAAGATCCTAAATTAAAAAATATATATATATATTTCATAAGGGATTAATATTTTATATCTTCTGTTATAATACGAGTTATGTTAGTTTTATTATTGAAAATAATTTAATCAAATTCTTTTCGTTTATAATTATTTATTATGCTTGAAATTTTGATATCATTAATTGATCTATACCTTTTCTTAAAAAAATATCTATATGAGACCATATTCAGGCTGCTAATAGCAAATGTTAGAAAAAAAAAAAAAAAGTTGCAAATGAGTGTCATTAGTCTTTTCTAATGATGATATAATGTGGAAAGTTAGAAATATACGAAAGGCAGCCGCCTGTCTTGTCTCTTTGATTATGCCCTAGTACACTTTCTTCTTTTTTTTTTTATTTTATTTTATTTTTTTTTAATAAATAAATAAGTAAACAAAGAGTTTCACACGCAATTCTTAAAAACCATACAATTTTGATTTGAAATGATATAACAAAAAACTAATTAATCATACAATTAAATTCAAATGAAATCGATAAGTATAGGAAACTTCCTAAATTGGTCAAAATGAAAGAATTTTCAATTTTTTCGTCAGCTTTTGTAGATTTCTGTCTTCTTCTATTCACAGTCAGATGGGGAAATGTCAACCTTTTTACTGTTTTGCCTCATTTTTAATTCACCAATTTGTCAATAACTGACAACTCTCTTTAATATTAATTCCTGCCATAATACATAAATTAAATAAGCAAAATTCAAACAAAGTTTCCTGCGTTCACACGAAATAATAAAAATATAGAACTAAATAGCTATAAACTTTCAAACAAGACATTCACAACAAGTTGTGTTAGGTAGAATTAATGTGTTTGATTGTGTAACACTTTTATAAGAAAAGGAAAAAAAAAAATGATTCTTGAATAAAATAAACGAACAAAAGCACATCACAGAATATTTGTTTCTCTGTCTATTCATAATTATTAGCTTCTCACAGAAAAGCTGAAATCGAATATGATTAGTATAATACGTACTTTCATGATCAAAATCAAATCTTTTTCGTAACCCTATAAACCTTAATGCATTGAGCATTAGACTGCCAACCAAAGATGAAAGTTACTGATTCTGGCTGACAAATCCAAAGTAAACCATCCACAAGAGCTTCAAAACATTCTCTCTGCTGAACTTTAGAATGAACTTTTAGCTTCAAGTGCTTCACGTTTGGTAAAGCAGGAATAGATTTACCTTCCAAATCTCCTTTAAAGAATACAATCTGCAAACAAATGGTAATAAAAGTTATTTGAAAAGATATCAGTTGACTGCATAAGGAAATGACTTGTCTGGCTTCTTTTAAACATATAGCGTTCCAGTAGCAAAATGCAAGGTGATAACTTTGGCTTGTCTGACTTAATTTTCTGGGTAAAATCGCAATTATTCACCTTAACCTATTTCAATTTCTTTAACTCATCAGTAAGTTGAAGACTTTCTATCTTATAACAATATGATAATGCAAGATCCTCAAGCAAGGGGGCAGACAACCTCGACGTTCTGAATAATCTGCGGGTGAACAAAAACATAACTCAAACACAGCACTCGTAAAGATTGGAACCTTGGATTGTCAATTAAAAGGGGCAGATTTAGATTGCAACTCCTCCACATTGCAGTCAATTACTCGTTGTATCAAATGATCAACAGGAGTACCAGCTTGAAATCTTTGAATGAAACCAAAATTATCACTGGCAATAGATCATCTGAACCTCTGCATGCATAGCTTGTGCTTACGTGTTCTTGCTAAAGAATCATTTACAAATTTCATAAATTTTATGCCCTTGTCTTTAATGTCCTCGTCGTCACTACTTGTATCCTCCGATGTAGGATTAATTTCGAACAAGGAGACAGAATAATCTGATATCGGAAATGAATCCATTACAGTTAATTGCCAGGTCTTGATTTTCTGTAACTTATTAATTAAATATTTTATTTCACGTAAACGCGTTTTTGATTTTCTGTTCTTTACATGTTTTCTGCCTTCGCTTTGCCCTCCTGCCCATTGATGAGCCCAATTTGGAAAGACCATTTCCTATGGGCCTGAGAGTTCTTTGTGTCTCTCCTCGCTAATCAAGCAAAAGTTCAGAATATATGAGTACTCTCAAACAAAGGATACAATGGTAAATTGAACAAGTTTTTTTGCATGAAGATAATCAATTAATTAATTGAAAAAATAATTTTAAAATTTAAATAGAGTGAGATGGCAAGTTAACCTCATAGCTCTTGCATCAAATCTATCATAATTTCGCAATGTGACTTGAAAATGTTAATGATTTTGAAGTCTGGCAGGAGACAATAATTAATTAATTAAATTTGAAATTTGTGTTTGAGAACATATAGACAAATTAGAAATTTTCAAATTGATGGAAGTCTTTGATTTTTTAATTTATTAAAGAGTTTATCAAGCCAAAATAATTTGGCCATGTATAAAAAAAAAAAAATTTCCTTTTAAATTAACAAAATTAGTAAAAATTTTTATAGTCGAAAAATTTTCAACCAAATATACATTCTTATAAATAGAATGCAATATAAATAAATAAATAAATAAAGGGAAAAACTTATAATTCACATGCTGGCAAAAAAACAAAATGATGGAAAAATTGATAATTCCAAAGACAACAACAGAAAGATAGGTCCTTATGAACTGGTGGTGGATCCATTATGCGGTAGCTAGGCGTGCATTATCCACCTCGAAATTAATTGCCCAATTATTTTACGATGTGTTATCCAATGATTAATCACAATTTTTGTTTCACAAAATAATTTTAGAAAAATAGAAATAAATGAATAATTGGCTAATTCTTAAGTTGTTTTTGATGTTTAATTAAATTATTCCACTAACAAGATCATCCCCAGGTACATGTTTGTTTTTCAGGGGAACGTTTAAAACTTTAAATATATAAAATAATTTTTTTTGAAATTATTTCAAAAAACTTTAAATAAATTTTATAATTATATTTAACAATATATTAAATACGTTTCTGATTTCTTATATTATAATTATAATTATTATTTTAACATTTAATCTATTTATATGTAAATAAATAAAACATTCAATTAACCGATTCTAATTAATTTAGAATTAAAAAATTTGCTAATTGTATATTTATTTCAAAAAAGCTGATTATGAAATTAATTATTAGTCGCTTTTTTATCTACACAAGAGATAAAATTAACTGTTTGAAGTTATCAAATTTTACAATTTAATGATAGGGTAAAAAAAATTAGAGAACTTATTTAGAAGAATAAAACTCATATATGTGTGTGTAGGCGCAAGTGCAAAGTGTATAGAAGTATATATAAATTCACAAGATAAAATATAATTTTATTAATAAGTTAGGCTAAATTTTTATTAATTCGATATAAATTATTGAAATAAATATTTAAAATTAGTAATGTAGTATAATTTCTTCGAAATGATATCTGTATATAATATATTATTTTATTTTGGAAAGAATTGTATGAGTACACTATTACCTATCTGAGCCTAACACATGACCGTCCGATTACATGTAACATAATGCAGATTCACGCACATGGCATGGATTAGCCTATCAAAACACTTCCCTGTTTAATTTAATTTCCTTGACGTTTTTGTTTAAAAAATTTTGTAAAAATATTACGTTCAATTTATTATTATTATTTTTTTTTTTGCAAATGCCCTAAAAAGAAATTTACAGAAACCAGATTTGATAGAATAGAAAGAAAACCTCGATTTCACCAACCAACCATTTGATTTATTTTTTCTCAAAACCCTATCCGCCAATCACAAACCCTAGATTTATACTTCTCAATATTCAATATTAATAATAAGAATCCTCCGTTTTAGTATATTTTTAAACTCAAATTTGACTTCGATCTGTGAATTTGTAGATAGATTCAATATTTTTTATTGCCCACTTCTGTTTTTGGAATGGTCGAGTGCAATTTGGTTGTATAGAGCCTTTGATTTCAGTGAAAACTAAAGGTGCCCCACTAGTTTGAGGGGCCAATTTCGTTAACTGGGTCTGAACTGTTTCGCTCTCTTACCATTGTTGTTTTGTGATTTTAGGCTCCCATTATTGTTTTGGTGATTTTAGACTACTTTATCTCATAGCTGCCAATTTGGCGACTGGTTCTTGATTATTTTTTCTTTTTTAATCCATTCGTTTTTGGTGGATTTATAATATTATTGAGAATAGTAATATCGAAGAAGTAGTGTATTTTTTTTTTCTTTTCTTTTTTTCGGTTTGAGAAGGAAATGAGATGAGAGGGGTATTGTGTACTTTGAGGTTTAAGGAGAGACGATGACTGGAGGGTCACTGGGGTCTTTGGGGATTCGTTCTGGCAGTTATGGATCATTGGAGAAGCATTTTCAACAACATCAACAGAACGGTGGCGGTGCTCACTTGCCGGGTCAAATGATAGGCCGCAATAAACCTGCCAAGATGTTCAAGGAAAAGGAGAGACTCTTTCATTGGATCTGCAAGTTCGCTGGCCGCAAAAAGGTTGGAATGCTGTTTCTCTGTATCATCTCCGCTGCCGTTTTCATCTGGGTTTTGTATGTAGGAAAAGGTCTGCTAATCCTTCCATCTCCTTATGTTTTTTTATTAGTATTTTTTTTTCCTGTAATTGTTAAATCGTAACTTATGGAATTATAATGATTATGGCCCTTTCTGGGCTTTGAAGGACATGCTCAAATTCGTTACTGTTAATTCAATTTTTTCATTTTTTTTTTTTTTTGTATAGCCGCGCCTATATTGCTTGTGATATAGTTCTTGCAGCTTGAGTTGGCTGTTTGAATTGCGAAGTGCGTGCTCAGGGTTGCACTTCAGCGTTGTGCTGTTGCTCATAAAGGGGATAATAGCATTTGAACTAATTTGATAATTTTGATATGTACAAATACAGCTTTTTATATTAAAATTTTGATTTATATTCACCTGTTTTAGTCACCTTTGGATACCATTTCTCCTAATGCACCTTCCCATGAGGTGGTCTGAGTTGTAATTCGTTTGCTGATTCACCAATGAGAAGAGAATTGACACATTTTGAAATATTGTTGTTTGTTTACAGGTGAAGATTCACAAGAAGGTGATCATGTCCCTAGCATTAGTATTAGGATTAATAGCACTCTGAACAATAGCAGTCTAAATAATGAGACTGATAAAATTGAGGAGTTAGCTTTGCCTCCTCCTCCTCCTCCTCCTCCTCCCCCATCTCCTTTAACAACACCACCTCCTCCTTCTCAATATTTTCTGGGCTACACCCTTCCTCCAGGGCATCCATGTAATAGCTTCACTTTACCTCCTCCACCAGCTGATAAAAAAAGAACTGGGCCAAGGCGTAAGTTCTCCCCCACCCTCCTCGTGTTTTTTCTACTTTTTGTTTCTTCTCTCTTTCCGTTTTGGGTTTAATTAATAGTTTTGCTGGAAATTGCTCCAGTTGTAATATTAATCTATAGATGCTTCAAGATAGTAAGAGGTATTGAGTTTGTACATAGTAAACAAATAACATGATACGATTGATTTTGCTGAGATCCCTCTGTAATTTACAATTTCAGCATGTCCCGTGTGTTACCTTCCTGTCGAAGAAGCGATTGCTTTGACACCAAAGTTACCTTCATTTTCTCCAGTGGTTAAGAATTTGACATATATCTATGAGGATCCACTAAGTAGAGATGCAGAATTTGGAGGCTCTGACTTTGGTGGGTATCCTACTCTACACCAGAGAAGTGATTATTTTGAGATTAGAGAGTCAATGAGCGTGCATTGTGGGTATGTTCTCTTTCTGTCTTTGTTGATCTTATTGTACATTTTATAAGTACTGCAGATTATGTTCTTCCGAATTTTGCAAATCTACATTATATATTCTATTGGTTGTTGCCTCTTATATATTCATCGTGTATTTCTTTTATTGTTGCATTTGTGCATTAATCAGATTTGTCAGAGGAAAAAAACCTGGCCAAAATACAGGATTTGACATGGATGAAACTGACCTGGCTGCTATGGAGCAGTGCAATGGAGTGGTCGTTGCTTCAGCAATATTTGGTATTTCAATTGTTCATTTGGTATTTCATAGTAGAATTTCAATTGTTCATTTCTCAGCCTGAGCTGGCTGGTAGCTTATTGACTAATCTTATTCGTTTCCAGGAGCCTTTGATGAAATCCAACAGCCAAGTAATATTAGTGAATACTCCAGGAAAAATGTGTGCTTCTTCATGTTTGTGGATGAAGAAACAGAAGCATATTTGAAGAAGAAAAGTGGTCTAGACAGCAACCGGAAAATTGGAATATGGAGAATTGTTGTTGTTCATAATCTTCCTTACTCTGATGGAAGACGCAATGGGAAGGTAAATGCTCAAGTTTTGTTTGCATTTTTTTTTTTTAAACTTCAGATCAGATTTTATTTTATTGTTTCTCTATTTGTTCAAAATATGATAAAAGTGAAATGTGAGAATTCATTTCCTCGGCCAATGCTTTATGACATGAATGGATGGGACGATTCATATGGTTTATTGTCCTTGATTTGTGCTTTTATATGTGTCCATGTAGCAACCTCTAGGAACATTTTAAGATAATGTTTGAAAGCATATGGTATTTAGTTTCTTTTGTTAACTGATTTCATATGAGCCCTGGAATTGCTTTACATTTAATACAAGGAGGATTAATGGGATTTTGCGATTAAAAGACTGGTAAACATTCAAGACAGCTTTGGAATATGCCTTTTGACTTAGTTTTTGCCAATGGCAGGTTCCAAAGCTTCTATCACACAGGATGTTTCCAAATGCCCGCTTTTCTTTATGGATTGATGGGAAACTTGAACTTGTTGTGGATCCGTATCAAATTCTTGAGAGGTAAATCTGGTTTCTGCTCTTTCCTTTGTGCTAACTATTCTGGATTCATGTATAAACTCTTTTCAGTCATGTACACACCTTCAAGTGTGAATCCTTATGGTTAACAAGCTACATATGTTTGACACATGGTATAATTGATCTGTGGAGCAGGGGCGGAGGGAGGGGGGGCCTCCCCAAACTCTAGAATATTTTCTAATTTGCTTTATAATTCAGTACAAAAAAATTTTTTCTTCATTTTCGTCCCCCTAACTTTTGAAAATTTTATTTTGGCTTCCCCAAGTTCTAAAGTCTAGCTCCGCCCCTGCTGTGAAGTTTCAAGAATTGGATACTATGTGTTCCCTTTGCAATCATTTACCATAATATTAACCCCTGGTTATCTGCTTGCCTGACTTGTTTCTGCTTTCCAGTTCACATTTTTTTTCTTCCCTTTTGTGTTAGCATTCGTTCTACCTCTTGCTATGAAAAATGTTTTTCCTCTCACTCCTGAAAATATTGTGTTTGTTTTATTTGGAATTTTCTGGGGAGTAGTTGACAGTTGGGGCTCATGGGATTCACAAGATTCCAACTGTTTCTGTGAATCTCTTTGTTATCTATATGTAGTCTTTATCTGATATATACTTTTCTTCCATGAATCTTTAGAAGTCGAGGCCCTGCAGTTCCTCAGTTGCTTGGCATTGGCTAAATTTGTGTAATACTGTCTTGGGATGCTTGTATTTGTTGGGTTCAAATTCCAGTGTTATATGAAATTGAAGAAAAAACACAGTTTGTCTCAGAATGGAGTATGGTGGATCTTGCAAACTTTTTACTTCTCTTTTGCTTCACTCAATCCCTATTAATGGTTTAATTTTTCAGCCTTATTAGGACAATGTATTTTCTGCATTGCTTGTTTATGGTAAAGTTATGTGCTTAGGCATGGATAAAAAAGTCAAGCTGCAGGTGGTGGATTTATTATCTAATGAGCATATAAAGAGAGGTAAATGTTTGCATCTAGAGTGGTTCTTAATGCCAGCATGTAAACTAAGATGGTGTCACCAAAGGAATGTGGGGTTTTAATGGTGGCACTTCATGTTAAAACAGGCGCATTAAACTGTTATATTTTGGTCTCCTTAAACTTTTTGGGTTTCGCCACAGTCGACTTTGGTCTCCTTAATGATTTTTCTTTTGTATGCTAATCCTCAGGCACCTATGGAGAAAAAATGCCTCTTTTGCAATTTCTAGACATTATAAACGATTTGACGTGTTTGTGGAGGCTGAGGCAAATAAAGCGGCTGGGAAGTATGATAATGCCTCCATTGACTTTCAGATTGATTTTTATAAAAAGGAGGGTTTAAGACCATTTTCTTCTGCAAAGTTTCCAATAACAAGTGGTAGACTGAATATCCTTCTTTCTTTCTTTCTGTTTCATTGCAGCTTGTTAGGTTTTTTTTTTTTTTTTTTTTTTTTTTCTGAATATCCTTCTTCTATTCTCTATTTCTGTTTATCTCCTATTGCAGAACTTGCTTAGGTTTGTTTTTTTTTTTCTTTTTTTTTTTCAGTTGCCCACTGAACTTCTGTCATCAATTATTGAGAGCATTTTCTGCCTGATGAATGTCCTCTGCAGATGTTCCGAAGGTATGTTATAATTTCTGGAGCATGTTCCATATCAAGCAACCTCTTTACTTTGTCTTTGGTTCAATGAAGTTTATCCGCTTTACTTTCAGGACCAAATAGCTTTGTCTACTGTAAAGATGCATAAGGTTCAGGCAAAATAACAAATTGGCATTGGACTTTTTTTTTTTTTTTTTTTTTTTTTTTCAGTTGCACTGAACTTCTGTCATCAATATGAGGTTTCTGCTGATGAATGTCTCTGCAGATGTTCCTGAAGGATGTGTTATAATTCGGGAGCATGTTCCAATCAGCAACCTCTTTACTTGTCTTTGGTTCAATGAAGTTGACCGCTTTACTTCAAGGGACCAAATTAGCTTTTCTACTGTAAGAGATAAGGTTCAGGCAAAAACAAATTGGACTGTCAACATGTTCTTGGACTGTGAAAGGCGCAACTTCGTGGTTCAGGTAATCGTTTTATGCATTGTTGATCAGGCTTCTTCAAATTAGAATATATTTTAAACAAGGTAGTTTGTAAAAAAAAAAAAACATTGCAAGAACTTAACAAATTTTGTTAATTCTAAATTGTCTTTTTCTCTTGTCCTGTAATATTGTCCTGTTTTTAGATAACAATATAGTGTTTCCTTCTGATTTTTAACTGATTATTTTTTATGTTACACTTGGCTGTCCAATGGGAATTTATATGTTTTATTTTGTTGTTGCATTATCATACAAAATTGTAACTATGAACTGTTTCTAGTCTTGTGCATGGTTTATCAAGGTTTCTTTGTCTTGTGGGAATTTGTTTGCTTCATTGTTTATACTTTGTTTTTCTGCATTGGAATCATAGATATGCTAATATTGTCATGGTGGTCTTCATAAAAGGTTGCGATTCGCAACACCTGCTATTTCACTGTCAGAGACATATCCCATATCACATAATCATATATGTCCTCAAATTACACTAATCAAGCACATTACATCATCATCTTCACTATCTTTAGGCTGCTGGATACACATTTGAGCATGACTTGTGACTGAATTGATGTTTCTGAAAATTATAACATACTTTTATGAAATCCTCCTTTGAAATATTACTTCCCGTAGTGATTATTATTTCTTAACATGCTTTCTCAAAGGATATTTGTATTTCTTGGTATCCCTTTTGCCAAGATAAATCCTCACGCATTCATTTCTAACCTCCCATGTTTCTTTTACCATCTGCAGAAGTACCATAGGGATGTTTTAGAGCACATGGCTCTTCCTCCTCCAGTTCATAACCTCCCATCTTTCTTTTACTATCTGCAGAAGTACCATAGAGATGTTTTAGAGCAGATGGCTCTTCCTCCTCCAGTTCATCTACTGCCAGCGCCACCTGCTTTGGTATATAAACCACCAATTAGAACAGGAGTTGAAACTTCAGGTCAAAGGGCTGTGATTATTCCAGTTCAGAAGGCAAGGCGAGGGAGAAAGTCTGGCTCTAGGCGTCACCGGAAAGTCGTGGCCGGTGTCAAGGACATTGATTCGAGTTAAAAAAAGTTTTGTTCGGGGAGTTATCATTCTTTTTCCTTCCCTCTTAACAATCGTTCATTGCAGGGGTGGAAGATTTGTGCAAGATGAGTATTGTAGTTCTGTTACCACAGAGAAGAACAGTCTCTCATTCTTTTGTTATTTCCTAGTTTTGAACGCTCCTTTTCTTATTGATTTTTTTATTGTATATATGTTATAATTTCCAATAATTATATTGTGGGTTGCTACCAAAGTCCTGAAATGTAGTAACCCATTTTGTTGTTCATTAGTATAGCAAAAGTTGTATTGTGACTCAGTTATTTAATGGCAATATTTATGCCTTCGCTCAGTGAAAATGAATCGATGCGAGTAAATTGGTAAATATATTTTCCTTGAAATTATAGCATCTTTTCACTGTGTATTGTTTTGAAAATCTTGGTACCAATAATCCATATGTCTGAGTTGAATTTATAAATAAAACATTATCTTCTGTCTTTAGTGAAACAGGAAGTCTTATTCTTGTCCTGCAATTCATTTTCCCTGGCATTTGCATGTGGAATTAATGGCTGCATCCCACCATATAACTAACCAAGTAAACTCGTACCAGTAGAAAATGTTTACCTTAGATGAGAGCTATCTCTGATTTTCACCCTAAATCAGGAAACTACAGAGTTGAAATTTAGGGCTTACCATTGTGTAGGACTCTGGAAATATGATTGATACAGTTCATATGTTTCAAAACTTTAGGATTCCAATAATGTTGATCACGATAGTTCTTTTATGAGTCTTTGTTTGCTGAAACTATTTTTGGTTTCCCAACCATATTGAAGATAAGAGATGGCCTCTATAAAGACCTTGATGGTGATGCTATAACCTCCCCCTCCAATTTTTCATTTTCTAAAATTATTAATAATTTTGTCTTAAAGAAAATTTTGATAATACTGAAATTGAAAGCAAGATTAACAATAATTGAGAGAATTATCTAGATATTACCCAATTCAGTATAAAGACATATGCGAATTAAAAAAATGGAATAGACTTTATTTGAATACTAAATAAAAATAAAAGCAATTGGTTATAATACATTAATTAATCTTTGTAAAATAATATAAAAGTGATAATTCTAGAATTTAAGCATATCACAAAAATTATTATTATCAATTTAGGAGTTATCATCAACAGTGTAAAAAAGAAAAAAAATCCAGGTTTGAATTCATTTTTAATGCTCAAAACAAAAAAAATAAATTGTGAATTTTTATTTTTAACTAATATAAAAACATTTGACGGTCGTCTTTTGTCGGCACTAATAGAAAATTGCCAAGTGGAAGACAAAATAGTTTAATGAATAGGGCCCTACGAAAAAAATATCTTACACTTTTAAAAATTGTTATCAAATCGAGTTTGTTGAATCTTCATCAACAACAAAAAAATCATGATTTCATTGTCGTTTTGGTTCTTTTCTCTCTCTCTCAAATAACCTCATCGATCAATCCTCTATACCATGCCTAGACTCTCAATCAAATCTCAACCGTCTGATTAGAGGATCATACCCAAATGTCACCACCACAACCACCGTCATCGTCATCGACATCGTCGGCCTTCTCCGTCATTTGTATCCTCCACTCTCTCATCGCCATCACTAGTGGCACTCTCATGATGTTCCATATGAAGGAAATCTACACCTTTACCCATGGCCTCGACACAGCCACCAAGCTTTTGGGCTCCACACCACATGACCAGCTCCTGATCCGGACCTCCGATTCTTTTTCCGGTTTGTTACTCTTCGCAATTGGGTTTCTCATATTCATGGTCTCTTTTGTAAAGGATCGAGAGTTCCAGTCTTTCTTCGCTAAAGGGTGTACTGTTCTTCATGTCTTCATGGCTCTGTGGAGGGTTTATTTTGAGAGAAGGGTTGATGTTTTGGCTTGGGATTGGTTAAGGCAGACAGTTGGCGATATCTTATTGGCACTCTCCTGGGTTTTTTTTCTTGTGTATTCTTGGAGAGAGAAGTATGATTAGTCTTATTCTAATACGTTATGTGAGTTCTTTTATTATTATTATTTTTTTTTTTTGCTTCTTTTTTTTTTTTTTTTTTTTTTTTTTTTTTTTTTTTTTTACTGTTCTTCAGTGTCTTCATGGCCTCGTGGAGGTTGTTTATTTGAAGTAAGGGTTGGTTTTGGCTTGGGCTCTCACCTTGGGATGCTGTAAGGCAGACAGTTGGATATCTTATTTAAGGCACTCTCCTGGGTTTTTTTTCTGTGATTCTTGGAGAGAAAGTTATTGATTAGGGTCTTATTTCTAATACGTTATTGTGAGTTCTTATGTATTTATTTATTTTTTTTTTTGCTTTCTTTTCTTTTTTTTTTTTTTGGAATTTGAATTTGTTATTGTAGTGTAATTTGAAGATTGGTAACATACTGTGCTTTACTAGCATATGTTTTAGTTGGCTTTAAAAATATGTCATTAATATAATAGCATACCATGAGTTTAGATTGATCCATTGTCATTTGGGTTGCATTAAATGTTATGCATGAAAATTAGATATTTGTATTTTAAGGTTTAATTATTTCCTGCCTCAAAAGAATAATCTTTACTTAATTGTGCTTGGTGGTTTGTAATAATAGAAGAATTTTTTTTTTTTTTTTTTTTTTTTTTTTGAATTTTTTTTTGAATTTTGTTATGTAGTGTAATTTGAAGAGGTACATACTGCCTTACAGCAAGTTTTAGTTGGCTTTAAAAAATTGTCATTAATAAATAATGCATACATGAGTTTAGATGGATCATTGTCATTTGGGTTGTAAAGTTATGGCATGAAAATTTAGAATTTGTATTGTTAAGGTTAATTATTTTCCTGCTCAAAGAAAATCTTTACTAATTGCTTGGTGGTTTGAATAAAGAAGATCGATTTCATTGTCATCTTCATTTGGTAATTGTTTTTTGGTTATTTTAGTTATCGTTGCTACTTGCTCATGGATGAAATCAAGAACTGTCTATTTTGAGCCACCTGGGCTAAGGTGGCAATTGTGTTCGACGTTTCATTGTTGGTAATGGTAATCTCCAGTTTGCAAAAAAGAACTGGTCCCTTTGGATATGGGAAGCTCTGGCCAAAGAGCGAAAAGGAATTGCCTAGATGTTTAAAAGGATGTACTTTTGTAAAGCTTCATTTTCAATTTAGTACATATCTGGATTGGTGAAAATCCCTTGCTGTCCAGATTGTGCTTTTCTTGCAAAGAAAAGAATTTTCAGGACTGCTTCCAAGGAACCGAGACGAAGCCATGAAGGTAATTTCTATTGTTTCGTTTCCATATACTTCCCACTGGTTAATCTACCTCTGATGATGTTGAAAACATAGCAAAGCCCTTTTTCTGTTTAGATTAACTTTAGTATTTATAACACCGATTTTCAGCTCCAATTTCTGTTGGGGATTAATGATTATGATGTTTCCTACTTTCTTTGAATGCTCTACATGTTTGCTTTTAGAATCTTTATATATTCTCCATGTCAATTTCCTTTGCTCTCCTTTTAATTCTCCAAGCAAATTTAATATGGACAGTTGAGTGCAAAACTGAAACTTGTTCTTTTACTTAACTGTAACTATTTGTTAATAGGAATGTCCTGTTCTAGTCTTTTTCACTTCCCCTTGCAGCACCTAAGATTTTCTTAGCCTACCAGCTAACGTATGATCTTTTGGCAGATGAAAAACCATTGTCAAGTTAGCCAAGCTTGCTCTTGCCCTTTCTGTATGCTAAGTGTTATTCCTACAATTTCTCTCTCTTTATATCATCTATTATAATATAATGCCTTAAGTCCCTTACTCTTTTCTTCACTTGTTGTCTTTCGACCATTAATATTTTTTTCACTACAACTCATTCTACCTCTTCTCACCGGATTACCTTTCATCATATTTTTCCAGTTCATGAAAATCCAACTTCAGGTGTCAGATATAGGTTTGGAACCTTGGACAAATACAAGGTACCAGTAGATAAAATGTCTATCTATGCTCTCTCTCTCTCTCTCTCTCTCTCTCTAATCTTGTGTTGCTTTTCATAATCTGACTGTAGGGAGTGCTATATTATTCTGTTAGTTCTATGCTTTGTATGAATAAGCTATTAGGCACCCTTCTAGAACTAATTCCAGGCTGTGAGCTTGGCGTGATCAGCTCTTATGGTGAAACCCCTGCTTCAGATCTATTCCTCAGTGTTATACTACTATTTTTCTTTCTGAATCTGCTTTTCTATTCTCGTTAATTCTGTTGAGAACTTGCAAAATGCTTCATGACTTCAGGTTCTCCAGAATATGTAGAAAGTTCTTTTTCTATCACCAAGATACTCTCCATGGTCATGTGTTGAAAGAATACCAAATAGTTTTACTTCCCTGTTTCCTTGAGGAAATTCTTATAGTTAGGATCATGTTTCATTGCCATTAATCTTCGTATGAATGGAGGCCAAAATTTATTGTTGCATGTTGTGCTGATACAATCCATATGATGGTGGTGAGAATAGATGTAAGATCATCAGGAGTCGAAAGTTTAGGCCACCAATTCCAAGTTGATGACGCCTTGTACAAAGCTTGAAGTTTCATACTAAAATAATTCGACTCAGGATCTCAATGGTGGACCATATAAGAAGGCCATCAGAGGCACAAGGATAATCTTCTATGGTTAGTCGTATCCCTTTGGTTCCTGTTGGGTCTGGTTTTACATAATCTACATTAACACAACAAAATTGATGCCAGTTAGCTTGAGCAGCTTTTGTGTTACTATTGCCTAATGTTCTGAAGTTGATGAAACTAGCCATATTATTTTGCAATCTAAAATTTAGAAGTTCCAAATCTTAAGAGTAAGATAATACCTTCTATTTAGATCAGCAGGAAGGGCATCCATGTCAAAACGCCCGTCTCGATAGACTGAGGCACTAATATGCATAATTTATTTAGCTGGGGCGAAAGAGAATTCAATGATTCATCCAGCATTGATGGGAAATCCACGGGCTTGTGCATTTATTTCTAGGGCGTATTGCATGTGTGAATGGAGAAGCTTGGATATGGGATTCATTTTGCTCAATTTCCTCTATGCAAGCATGTACGTGCAACCTGTTCGTTTCATCAGAGCAACTTTAGGCTGTTTTTTGCATAAAAGAAAGTGCAATATTTTATGTGTATGTTACATTGATATTTTTTATTGAACATCTGCAGTATGGAAAAGCAACTGCAATACCGCATGCCAATGTGATGAACAAGTTGATGAAGACCAGCATCACTGGAGCATACATGGGCTTTTGCTAGGAGCCAGTTGGTGGTGGCATTTACAGGAGTAAGAAGCTGTTTTGATGGGTGATTTCGATTTACTGATGGAGGTCGAGTTTCTATAATGGAGTTAAAAAGAAAATTGTACGCGTTGCACATACGCTTTTCAGTTACAGGGGGTCTGTATACAAGATGCAGGATCGTCAATCCTAAGTAGTTCCATTAAGTACCGATTAACTGTGTTAATCTTGTTATGCATTTAGAATTAAGTAGGAGATTCATATTCTACTGAGCTGTTAACATGTGGTGTTGTATTCATTTGAAAATCAATACATGGAACCCAATGTTAATTGGCATATGATTTAGATTGCTTCACAAGAACCGACCAAGGAGGCCAAAATGTTGTTTTAGTTCCATTTCTCTAGCTTCTTTCAACCCTGCTGATGCCTAACAAGTTATATACCTGCTGAGTCCGACAAATAATAATGATGAAAAAATTTAAATGCTTTTATTAATTTTTTTTTTCTACGCATGAATGGTCACTATTAGGATTTTAGTATTGTTTGTTGTTGTCACCTCCAATCCAATTAACCTCAAGTACTACCGCAGATAGTTAAAAGGCCACTCAAACTAAATCATGACAGTAGTCACCACTTACACATCAATTCAATTCGATTCAGAAACCTTAAACAATCACCGAGAACACATAAGAAACATTACATGATCAATAATCTCTCAATCACCATTTTTATGCTGTATTAACATAAAACTATTATCCCTTTTATATTCAGTATCATTCACGACCTTCAAACGCCCACAAGCCTAAATCAAAATTTTAACGTCTCAAATGAAAACCATATGCTTAAATAGCAAAATAAAATACCAAAAATGTATATCGCAAGACCAGTCAAAAATAAAAAAATAGAAGGAAGACTGCACTTGGTAAGGCAAAGAAAAGGAGAGACCCAAACTAGTATCGGACGACATCCTGAAGGCAATCATAAAAATGAGCTATCTTGATCTTCTGTCTGCCAGAGTAGATTGCCTCTGCAGATCCTCCATGCTCACCTTGGGCTGCCATCTCAATCAACATATATAGCTTCTTGATTGGCATCTATATAGTGAAATCCAACAGAAACAAGATTAGAATGAGTATCGATGCATAAAAATTCCTTCTCCGAGGAAACAAGATTGGAACAAAAACATTTTCAAAAACGATAATAGGATTACGTCATTCAGTGCTTCAGCAGCTGCATCAATGTCCTCTTCGGCAAAAACATTTAGTTGTTTTAGTACCTGGGGAGGGAAATGGAAAAATCTACATTAAATTCATATTTTGTGAAGTATTTTCTCAGTTAACAGTTAACTGAGAAGCCGATCATATTTGTAGCATCCATCTAGGATCAAGAAAATCAATTACAAAAGAAACCACACACAATATATCCAAGGTATCCAAGAGCAGTTCACATATATTGCTAGCAACAATCAGATATCTATCATGAGGCACATTCCAGTGACAATAAAGCCATTGCCAGCTCCCATGCTCAAATATGTTGTGAATTTGTTAGAATTTCTGAATCGAGCTAGAAGCAAAGAAATTGCCCTTAAAAAGCAAGTGGCAAAAAACACTATTTTTAATGAAGAAACACCACTTGACCATCAACATCATAGTTGCAATGTAAAACCACATAACATTTTTCAAACCACCAAATAAGCCTTTCAAAGATTTTAAACTTCAAGATACAAAAGAACCGAGGAGTTTTTTCTGATTTATAACCAATGGTTCAATGTAGTACGAAAACTAGACTAAAACAGCAAGAGTTTGTAAATGACAGGGCTCTAACATTAACAAGCACATCAACCAGCACCCTATGATTCCCTTGTACAGTTGCATAATATAATGATAAGGAAATGATACTGAGCAGCAAAAGAAGTGAAAACAAGACTATGAATGAACTGTTTACCTTCTTTGCATCGTCTGCCTTCAATCTGGGAACATGGTAAGTTACAGAGAAAGAATCGCAAATGCCAATTGAATCTAAAAAGCCGACTTCACTCGTGGTTCCTATCACCAGAAGTTTCTTTCCCTGAATGTATGGTTCAAAAGTGTGATAATTACAGGTTCGGCAAGATCAGAAAAACTACCAAATGACATATAACACAAAATAATTTAACAAAACATAGCAGATGAAAGATATATGCACCATAAAAATACGTAATAAATTTCATTATATGATCATTTACTGTCCTGAAGAGAGCTAAAAAGAGAAGAGGTTCACCAAGAACTACTTCGAGGGAAGTTATCATTAAGGATATATGGTCTTTGGATATTAGTGAGGATATAGTTATGAACATAATAGAATGGAGGCAAAAGATTTATGTAGCAGACTCCAGTTAGTTGTTCCCTATTTTATGCTTTGTCTTATTTATTAATATATCAAATGATTTTAAAATTTCCCCTTCAGGAATTTTTTTTTTTACAAAAATATTTCAAATTATCTCCGCTACTTTGCTTGGCATCAATATTAACTTGATGAAAGCGGATATTAGAAAAAGAATGACATGATAAAAAAGCACAATTTACATTTCTGACCATTTCAAGGGTCCCAGGTCCAATGTTGACACAGAGAGATTGAGACAGAGATATATGGTATTATACATATAATTTAGTCTAACCCTAAAGCCTAGACCAATTTCTCTCCTCCTCCTTCCATCATCTTCAAAAAAAAAAAAAAAAAAAAAAAAACATACTGATCCATTTCAAGGGTCCCAGGTCCAATGTTTGACACAGAGAGATTGAGACAGGATTATATCGGTATTTATACATATAATTTAGTCTAATCCCTAAAGCCTGTGAGACCAATTTCTCTCCTCCTTCCTTCCAATCATCTTCATAAAAAAAAAAAAAAAAAAAAAAAAAAAAAAAAAAAAGTTAAATAATGTGTGTGTGTGTGTAGAGAGAGAGATAATATCATACATGAAATTCAATCTAACCTTGAAGCCATGAGGAATTCTCTCTCTCTCTCTCTCTCTCTCTCTCTCATTTTATTTTAAATATAATTAGCATGGCACGCATTTCATGCGAGAGTCATGTCAGAACAATTATTTATTTCAGCCACAAAGGAGACATGATCATGAGATATATAACAGTCTTGCAAATGCAGCCAAAAAAAAGCAAGAGAAATTAAACCTTAGGAGGGAGGCGTTTGAGGAGAACCAACAATGTCTGGGAAATCAAGTTTGAAAAGCGCGGGCCAATGGCAACATACTCAAGTAGTCTACACAATACATAGAATAACATTTATCAACACACTGAACTAGGGAACAAACAAGTGATTAAGGTTAATGCAAATTCAAATTCTGATTTAGAAGAATATACCTCTCAATATCGTCAAGGACTATAATGCTTAGTGGTGACTTATATGCATCCTCAAACACCTATTAAAAAGATGAAGTTATAAACATTAGACAGCAAAGGCCTTAATGAGCATCATACAAAAATAAACCAAGAAATCTATATTATTGCCAATTTGCAGTAGACCACTGCTGTCTCTGTGAGCATCAGCATAGACATTTAAAGAAGTGAAATGTCCAAATTATAAAAGGGAAAAGAGGAGGGGCCAATGGGAAGAAGGAAAAAACCCTAGATTCACTAGACCTTAATTGCCAATCAACAAACCTTAACAATCTGAGCACATTTAGTGCTTTCATGAAGGCCAATCATTGATTCAGCCGAAACCTACAAAATAGAAACAGAAACTCCGGAAGTTAGAAACAGATAACATATTAACGGAACAAAGGATTCTTGAAATTATGAACAAAATATAGGGCAAGAGCTTACTATCTTGACATATGGAAAATCACTGTCAATCCCAACAGTTGCTGACATTGCTGTTTTACCACTGTCCAAGATTATTTTATTAGAATCCACAGTTCATAAATTTTTAAAAATTACAAAAAAGTTAAAATAAATTAAAAATAAAATAAGGACCTACCTTCCACTTGGGCCTTCCAGAAGGCAAGTTACAAGTGGACTTCCTTTACTAACTTTAACTTGCTCCACCAGTAACATAGCTCTTTGATAAATGTGCTTATGTCGATCACCACAATCCACCATGCCGTTAAGTCTAGAAGTCATGTTTGTGGCAAAATTCAGTCATCGACAAAGTTTCACTCTTTCATTTACAGATATAATATATTTTAGTTTAGATAGAAATTATTTTATCCATGCAGTGCAAAACAAAGAATTCAACTCCATATAAATGCCCAGAGCTTTAAGTTCAAAGCTATGATGTTCAGAAGCTGCAGTGAGATTCACATCACACCAAGACTGATGACTTCTTGAAAGCCGGCTTCGAAACATGTTAAGGTAGTTCTACTAGATTAAACCATTAGTAAGTGGACTTTTTGATGCATTTAAAGCTTCAATTATTTTTTACTCTACCTGCATCGTTCAAGATCATCGGTGGAAGCTCCAAATGCAGGAATAATTTCTTGGAGTGCATGTAGAAAATCTTCCATTGTAACTTTAATGCTTTCTTCATCCACTGGCTTGGTAAGGTCATCCATACTTAGTTGTCTATTCAAAGCAAAAGATACTGCACTTTTGACAACACCTTCAAGTTCTGCTCCACTATAATTCTTGGTCCGAGCAGCTGGTACAGAAAAGCAACTTTGTAAACAAATCCCATCACTGTCTTTACATTTGTTACATCCCCAATGTTACTCATCTTTTTATAAGTAATTCAGCTCAAATTATTGTCAACATCTTCAAAATTAAATGAAGAAACTTAAAAGGATATGCATGGTTGAGGTTTTGAGGTAATCACTCACATCCACTGATATGACAGAGGCCCAATTAAAAAGTCACCTTAATAACATAAGGTTCCCTTCCAAGCAGAGAAGGCCTGTTCAAGAATAACAATTTCATACATGGATAATTGCTTAGTATCCTATCATTTGCCAATTCACATTAAATCAATCCATGGGAGACTGGGGAGTGGAAACTAGCACAAATGAATTCAACTTTTTCCCTCCAGACCAACTTTCATCAACTTGTGATATACACATCCAGATCTTTAGGAGGAACTTGAGAGATGATGAAAGATATAAGAAACTACAAGCAACTTTACACGATCACCCATCTGCAGCACTAACACCTTTCCCATATGTCCTGAGACCCCCTCCTCAAAAGGCTATTTTATTTTCAATAGTACCTAAAGGTTGGAACTTCTGATAATCGACCATCTCTCACATAAATCATAAGAATTTTAATACCTTAACAGTTCAATATCCAAATGAACACATAGGGTAGTACTATAATTTAACTAAAATTTATACAAATCCCACAATCATGCATTAGGATTGCATACCAAGCTCTTGAAGGTTCACATCAGGAGCAAGAAAAGAATTCTCTTTCATCTTGTTTGTATGAATTTGAAGAATCTGCAAGCGGCCATTTTCATCAGGAAGGCTTATCTCAACTTGAACTTCCAATCGTCCAGGTCTACAAACCATCAGGTTCAAAACGTTCAGTCATATATTAAAGGAACGTGTCAAATATTATTTGTAGCACATAGATCAGTTTGTTAACTCCAGCTAAACACATAAAAAGTAAGGAAATAACAATAAATTAGTTAATTCTTCAATTGCAAGAAAACAAAATCCTTGCTCAATGTACTAGCAATTTATGATCCATTACGCACGCTTTATCTGACTTGTCATTGATCCCCCATGAGAAAGGACAAATAACTAAAAGTTCTTAATAGACTTTCAACTAAATACAAACTCACTTGCATTATTATTTGACACTCACACGTAGATGATGTTAGAGAATTTAAATACAACATATAAGAGTTGAAAGAAAGAGAATAACCTCAAAAGTGCTTCATCAAGCAAATCCTTTCTATTGGTCATTCCAATAAGTAATACATTATTTAGAGACTCCACGCCATCTATCTGAAACACAAGTAACCTTTTACTCATTCTGAGTCTGACATCACAATCCACAAACATAGAGTACAACAGCCAGTTCACAATGCATTTACACACTCTTTACTGACCTTTGTAAGTAACTGGTTCACAATACTGTCATGAACTCCTGTGCCATCTCTTGTTGATCCTCTTGACTGCAATATAAATCAAAGGCAAGATTTACGGCCTAAAACACTTAGATTTGCAGAGCAAACATCCTCAAATCCAACATACATGAATGCTCAAGATCTTATGGTTATAGTGAACACTCAAAGAGCATTGTTTTCATGGGCAGCTATGGCACCATGATTTCTAATAGAAGGACTACCAAAAGCAAGTAAATTTCCAAATTAGAGTTGCCATATAATTAGGAATCACAAGCTCAGTCAAATGAAGAATGGTTATTTAACACAGCATAGTGAAAAAAATTGTAGTTAGGGGCAAATGTAGTAGTAAGATTTTCAACAGCAATTAATTAAACAAAGCCACCAAAAAATTAGAAAAGTAGGTGATATTTCTGATTTCACAAGCATTTGACCTAATTTTAATATAGATGTGAGAATTGCATACCTTACATATAGCATCAATCTCATCAAAGATTATCACGTGCAAATCACTTTGGTCACCTGAAGAGCAAAAGGATGAAATGCCATTATCATCAAGGAAACAAAACGGATGGCTAAATTATACTTGACTGATAAGGTCCTTACCACGTGCCCTTTGATCATTTTCAGCATCAGCAAACAGGTCTCTAACATTTTTTTCAGTTTCACCCACAAACTTGCTTAGGACTTCAGGACCATTAACAATCTAGCACAGTTCAACAATAAAACATTATCTTGATTGTCAGCATTAAATAGTAAATATAACACAAAAAGAAGTTTTTGTTCCTGCTAGAAAAAAAGTTGCATGTTCAATCAGGCAACCAACTTTCATACATGATTGCAATTAATTATCCCAAATAAAAGTAATTGGAAGTGGAACCATGCATTTACATTAATAACCAACTATAATACGTTGCTCATAGGAAAATAGCAAAGATATTAACCATTTCAATGTGCCTGAGAGCCACATAAACAGGATTAGCAAAACAATGATTGCCATACGACTAGTCCAAGATATCATGAAACCAATTTTACAGAATTCGCCAAAAATTCATAGACAAAAAAAATAAAATGAAAGCCTCTTGACTTTTTAAAATAGAAGAAGAACAATATTGCACTTTTTAGATGACACTAGCCCCCAAAAAGATACAATTTACTTTCTTTTTTTTTTTTTTTTTTAAAATAGCAAACGATATTTAACCATTTCAATTGATGCCTGAAGCCACATAAACAGGAATTAGGCAAAAACAATGATTGCATACGACTAGTCCAAGATATCATGAAAACCAATTTACCACGAATTCGCCAAAAATTCATAGACAAAAAAAATAAAATGAAAGCCTTGACTTTTTAAAAATAGAAGAAGAAACAATATTGCACTTTTAGATGACGACTAGCCCCCAAAAAAAGATACCAATCTGACTTTCTTTTTTTTTTTTTTTTTTGCCTTCTATTAAAAGTCGAAGCCATAAATTTTTTTTTTTTTTTTTTTGCCTTCTATTAAGTCGAGCATAAAAGAAGGAAAAGTCATGTTCAAACCTTTGGTTCCTTCCCATTCAACATTTTCCCAATCTGACGAGCCATGAGAGTTTTTCCTGTGCCAGGAGGCCCATAAAGCAGCATGCCCTTTACATGCTTAATCCCCAATCTAGAAAATCAAGTGCTTCATTATTATTAAGAACATAAATGTACATTCCAAGGTGCAGATGCATATAAATTGAAGAATTGGTCTTATTACTTGCTTGTCACATGTGGTGGAAAAACTCTGGAGGCAAAGGCTCTTCGAAATATATCTGCAAACTCTGCACTCAAGCCTCCTATACCCAGCGACTGAAGATTAAACTCCTTGTGTCTAAAAATGTTACTACTGGCAGCTTCTCGTTGATTAACAATCTGCATAGAACAAATCAATAGCTCAATAAAGTTAACAACTGGATGAGCAAAGAGTACAAAATGTGTTCTGTCACATTGGGTCATCATACCAAAATGACAAAAACTAAGTTGAAATGAAGATAAGCAGTAAGAGAAGTTAGGAAAACAAATTCAACTTTTGCAGATGTCTATCATAGTATACCATCACAAACACATCCACTTCCATTTAAAGTATGCATGTGTTCATCAGGTGCAAATTCTATAAAAACTAGGATTGTACTGTTTCATACATTATATAGAAACTGCTGTGAGAACATAAGGCTTGAAACCATTACAAACACATAGAAAGTGTTATCAACAATAAACATAGGAAAATAATTTGATTTCCCATGCATGTAAAAGGTGAAAAGAAAAGGCGTGCCAAGTCCAAACAAGAAGTGATGAAAAGGTGGGAAGGAGCATGCATATCCAGGTCATACCATTAAAATCCACAACTGTAACTTTTGCCATCTCAAAGTTGCAAAATCTAGAAATAAAGTATAGAAGAATATAAAGTAACAAATGTGTGAAGAAAGAAAAACGATAAGATGAAAATATAATCATTAGATGTTGACCTTGATGCCACTTGAATTTGATGCTTCAAAGATAAAGTAAGTGTCACTTGTAATCATCCCTCTTTCAAGATCATTAGATCTTTCTCGGCCCTCTACTGCTGCTTGATTGACTGTAAAAATATAATTATTTCCATGATACTCGAATGATACTCTTTGCCCAGTGGTCATAACCTGCATAAGACAATATCAAATTCCATAACTACAACAAAATATGCCCCCAGATTAGTAAGAAACAGAACCAGGATCAAAACGGATCAGAATTGAATATTGAAGTCTGGTAAGTTGAATCTATGTATAGAGAGAGGGGGAGAGGAAAAGGGAGGAGGTTATAACATCACAAGAAGATTACTCCCGGTCTTATCAACCAGTTAATTCCAACTGTTCGAAAATGTGATCATATCCAATCCTCTATTTTTTCCTACAATTCGATTGTTACAGCCAGCTACGGCTAGCTTCAGAACATTCATTTTATGTGATAGGAAATGGGCAAAAGCAAAGCACAAACTCATAATTTCGTTACATCTATTCATAATAAAAAAAATCCAATTATGCTTTTGGCATCTTGATTTTTGGACACGATTGTTCTTTCATTTTTCTTCATGTTTGGCAATGATGTGATATGAACACTAAGCAATCTGGATAAGCAAGGACATGCACCCACATTCTCGTAAAAGTAACAATTTTCTAACTTTACCAGGCAACATCCACATGAAATTACAAAACTTCAGTAATCCAAATGGTTCTGATAAAAAGTCTAAAATCTTTAAGGAAAAAAACAGGAAATGAAGTCATATTCAGCCAGCACAAGCATAAGCAATGCACAATGGATATATAATAACTCACCTGGTTAATGAATCTTTTCCTGAGTTGGTTGGCCAGTAAAATAGCATCTACCTGCATAATCATAAAATTCTTTCAATCCAGTTAACCTATGTTATAACAAAAAAAAAAAAAAAAAAAAAAAACTTGGCCCAGTAAAAATACATTCTCTACCGCAAATCATACAAAAATTCTTTCAAATCCCAGATTAAAACCTAATGTTATTAACAAAAAAAAAAAAAAAAAAACAAAAAAAAGATAGCAATATTAAATTCTGAATACCACGATTAATACTTTTAATTTCCCCAAAAAAAAAAAAAAAAAAAAAAAAAGAAGCAATATAAAATCTGGATACCATGGATTAATTTTTTTTTCCCTATAGAGAAAAAGGACAACATCGTCATTCCTCAAACTACAAATTAGAAAACACAAAAGGAGAAAATGAAAGAGGCTGATACACTGCATACCTGTTCGTTCTTAGTGCCCTTTTTCACAAATTCCAACTCAAGTGTCAACAATGCGAGATTAAAATCATCAGGAGGGATAAACCTAACAGGTTCATCAAAAGAACAATTAGATAATCAGAAACCATAAAAAGGAGCAGGACAATGAAGGAATTAGATAAGGTATCAATGTAACCTGCTGACAGAAATGGAGTCTCCAGAAGAAACTCTTGCATGCCGACGTTGAATAGCATTCAGGGCAATATGACCAGGACGAATGTTTTCATGAGGAGTAATTCTTTGTTAAGGACACAAAATGTAATAACAGCTGTAATGGATAGATTTTGTAACAGTTATAAGGGGTAGATTAAATGTTATTACAACAATAACTAAGCTTTTATTCCAAACTAGTTGGTATTACTAAATGACTCCTTTGTTTTCATTCCACTCACTAATGCAAAGAAGTAATAGGTCTTTGGGACAACTTTACTCCATGTGAATCTAGGTTTACCTCTTCCAGCTTTAACACGCTCCACTATCTACAAAAAGGGACAAATGGGAGTCTAAATAGACCAAATCATCTCAGAAATCCTTCTTTCATTTTATCTCTAACTTGTGCTACTTGCACCTTTTGTCGTATGTAATCATTTTTAATCTTGTCCAATCTTGCGTACCATCTTAACATCTGTATTTGAATTTTTGCAACAGTTATCTTATAAATATGTTGGACTTTCAAGGACCAACATTTACTCCAGTATACCATCGTAAGTCTCAATACTGTTCTAGAGAACTTGCCTTTCACTCTGTAAGATATTTTCCTATTGCATAGAACACTTGTAGCACTCTTCCAATTCATTCATTCTATAATTTAGATATTCATTTGTCTTGATCTCTTCTAAAATAGTAAAATACATAGCCTAGATATCTGAATTGACTGCATTTAGGCACCAAAATACTATCAAACTTGACCTCAATTCACCTCCATTCTTCTTAATGGGGCTGAGCTTGAAGTGCATGTATTTTGACTAACATATGCTTAACCTAAAACCCTTGTTCTCTAGAGTTTCTCCATAATTCCAACTTTCAGTTTATTTCCTGGCTATTTCATCGACTAGAACAATATCATATGTGAATAATATGCACTGAACATTATCTTGTATTAACTGGGGCAAACAAGTGTAGGCTCAAGGAGATTAAAATGTTACCATAATAAATAAATTACATGATTAAAACGCATTTCAAATATGTGCTATGCTTCTCCTTCAATACTGAATTTGATTGAAGTGTTGCAAACACCTCAAAACCTAAATTTCATTTACTTAGAACTATTAAATTTCTATGAAAAATGTAATCACCGGCAGCAATTAAACCTAATAGCAGTATCATGATTACATAAATTTTGAATTTCACCAAATACGGTAATTGGCCGAATATGAAAATGTAATTATCAATATCATAAGACAAATGTGATGGCATTGAGTCTCTGAAAACAATTATGGACAGCAAAATTTTTATTCTCAAACCATTCAGACAACAAAATTGATCTCAAAATAAAAACTCAGATTCTAGAGGAAAAAAGAAAGAAAGATATTCCACGGCTGAAATGCAGATGATTAGGAAAAATGAGAATGCGCATTAAAGGATATGAAAGAGATAGAACAAAGGAGTCGCCGATCAAAGCCATGAAGAGCTTGGTTCCAGGGACAGCGAAGTTGTGGAGATCGGTTGCCGAACAGTACGCGAGGTTGGTGAGGGCGAGATCCGGCGATGGTGTATTGGTGACGATCATCGCCGTGGGTGCAGACCCTGACCGGCCCGCCATTTTTTTCTTTTTTTTCTGGTTAAGATCTGTTTAGTTATTTGGGAAAGGGAAAAGTAAACTATATAGCTGGGTTTCCTTCGAGTTGAAGAAAATGAAATTGTACTGGTCAAGTACTTGAATCTTGCGCGGGAGAGAATTGCAATTGGCCAGGAATTTGGATCGAATCAGTAAAGAGTAAGATTTTCATTTAACGCTCATATGACCGGCGGTGTCATGGACTCATGGTTGCGTACTTGCTTTGGGAATTGGATTTGCGCCAAGGTAGGCCTAAAACCAAGTCTAGAACTGGAAGAGAACAGGTCGGACCAATGGTGCTGGGATTTCAATTGATTATTTTATCTTTATGCAGGTATATTTGGTGAGCATTCGATTCAATTGGATCACCCTAACTGAAAAATCGGACTTGAAAAAAAAAAAAGTAAAAATGAAACCGAACCTAACAGCGTAAAGAACCAAATCAAAATAGTTTTGTTTTATTAATAAAAAATGGAACTAAATAACTAAAATCACAATTTTTACCTTCCAAAATAAAGCAATTTAACTGAAAATTTGAACCTATTATCTTTAATTTGAATTTAGATTCGCATATTTTTTTATAAAAATCAAATATTCAATCTATTCTATTATCTTCAGAGAAGCACGAACCAAATTCCATTAACTGAACTTTGAAAAATAAAAATTAAGCCAAATCATTTTTATTGAATAGCCCAACTAAACCAAATTGAATAGCATTAGTTAGATTCGTAAGCAAATATTGTATATAAGTAAGTCTTTTATGCAACACTAAATATTTTCATATGCTGTCATGCATAAAAAAATAATTATATATTGAAAAAATAAAAATTCAAGCCAAAATCATTTTTAATTGAATACCCAAACTAAACAAAATTGAATAGCATTCAGATTAGATTCGAGTAAGCAAATAATTGTATATAAGTAAGATCTTTATATGCAACACATAAATATTTTCATACTGCTGTTCATGCATAAAAAAATAATTATATATATATATATAACTATTATATACATATACATACCAAATAATAGCATACCCAGTGAGTAGTTGGGTGCAACGGGCAAAACCGAAACTCGTACGAGTGAGAAAAAGAAGTGAGTAAGATGAATGCGGGTTGGTGTGGAGGTGTTTATGTGAAATTTGATTTTTTTGGAGTTCAGCAAGTGATAGAATTTTTTACCGCGATAAGGTGGCACCTATAGTTGCGGTTATATCATTGTCCCTTGCCTCCCGTAAATATATAAATAAAATAATAGCATACCATATATTGTCAACCAAAACCAAAACTACATGAAAAAAAATTTATAAGATAATCGGTTTATGTTTATTAAATTTGATTTTTTTGGAGTTCATCAAGGTGATAGAATTTTTTACCGCGATAAGGTGGCACTCTATAGTTGGGTTATATCATTTCCCTTGCCTCCGTAAAGAAAGAGAACTAACTAATAATGGGGCAACGAGAAATATATAGAGTATCAAAAAAATATCGACTAAATCAAATAAAAATCAAAACCCATATTTTGATTATTAAATTGAAGCTAACTTATAAACTCTCCGGTATCAAATAAATTAGTATGAAAATACTCATAAGTTACTCGAAATTGATTTATGAAAGTAGTTAAATTTAATGCTAATTTTTAATTAAATTCAAATAGTTCCTTTCAAAAAATAAAAAATAAATTGAAATAGTTTCACTAAAGAGTAGAGCTGAATTGAATAATAATTTACTAATTCGATCTCAATTTTTTTTCTCATAAAATATATTCAGTTGGGAGAGAAATTTTTGATAGCAGTCAGGATTTATTTTATTATTCATAAATGATTATTTTTTAAATAATAATTTAACCACGCAATTCTTTTTTTTTTCCCCTGTTGTATAAGCCATGTAATGTAATTTGTTTTTGGTTGCACAAAGCAGTTTTTACGTCTCAACGACAAAACCAAATGATACGCTGTTCAAGGTCGATTAGCTCGTCAAATAAGACGACAGCTAACTAAGGATGCCTCATGCAAAACAACTTGTCGTTCTTGTACCCGCACCGGTAAAAACAGCAAAATGTAAGCACTAAGAAATAGGAAACCTTCAAAACCCCCATTCCACGTGTGCTAAACCCTAATGAACACTCAACAACACTGAACTAGCTGAATTTGGTTTTTCACGTCCTGGGTAACCACCATCATCACCAGCCATGGCACAGAGGCGGTGTCTCCACAGCCTAACCCGTCAAACCGTAGCTCTTCTCTCCTCAAACCCTACCACACTGCACCATTCTCTCAAAGCTTCACCTTCTATCCCCAATTCAATTTCTATCAAATCTCTCATCTTCAGATCCTCCATTTTTACGAAAGCTGATATCACCTGGTGTTCTCTCTGGTCTCACCACCATCGTCGCCATTTCGCGTCAAGTTCACGGGACGAAAGCGATGATAACGAGGAAGATGAAGAGACGGAGGGAGAGGATAGTGAGGGAGAGTATAGTGAAGGAGAGGAGCCAACGGGGTCTGCTTTGAACATAGAGTACTCGGCGCAGGAGAAGGAAGAGGAGGCTGCAGCTATTGGTTACAAAGTAATTGGACCACTCGACAAGTCCGACCAACTCTTTAAACCATACGAGCCGGTTTTCGCTGTTGTTCAGGTTTATTCGATTGGATGTCATTACCTCGCCTTGTCATCTGGAGTCTTCTTTATACGTTGATGTTAAGATCATGTGTTTTTTTCTTTGTAGATTGGATCGCATCAATTCAAGGTGAGCAATGGGGATTCTATTTTCACTGAGAGATTGAAATTCTGCGACGTAAATGACAAGGTGAGTTTTGAATTCGTGCTTCTTAATTCAATTCCATTATTGTTTAAGGCATTCGAAATTCTATAAATCTGTCTGTCCACCACCAATTTACCATTTCAAGGCACACAGGCACATTTACATCGTGCATAGATTAGTGTGAATGCTGATAGGTAATCCTCATTTGTTTGGTTTTGCTCCATTAATGTCTGCTGCGTTCGTCATCTATTAACAATTGAAGAATAAGTTCGTTAAGGAGGTGCAGAGTATACATGCATATTTGTATCTGTTAAGTAAGATTGCTCTTGTCGACTTCATTTTAGTATCATAGAACGTTATGCTCAATTTGATTGTTCAAAACCTTTTGAAAATGGGTGCTTTAGTGATTCTTGATTCTGGCTAGGTGGTGCTGTGGGAATCACGGTGGTTGTCTTTCTTTAATAAGAAATATATTCATTACTAAAGGTGAGGAAAAGTCATGGCTTATGTTACAAAAGCCCCAAAATGAAAAAACACCTGTGGGCCTGTGAAAGTGATCTTTAACCATGCAGTTATTTTTAGTGCGTCAAAGGAGATTGCTATAAAAATTTTGAGCAATTAAGAGTCTTTTCAATAACAGATGGTAAGATTATGAGCATATAGTCTAAAATAGATGAGTCATAACTAAATGCATTCATGTGAATTGGGTAGGTGACTTTAGTTCGGGAGAGTAACCATGAGGATGCATCTCTATAAGAAAGTGGAAACTACCTGCCTGAAAAGTAATAACTTGGTGTTGGTCAGAGATTGTTGTTCTTGGATAACTTAAGGGTGGAGCAGCAAAAGTATTGGTCTGTGAGCTGTGCCTGAATCAAATACGAAAACAAAACAAGGTTTTGTTAGGTTAAGTTGGGGTGATGCAAAAATATTATGCTTGGAAATAAGTCTTCTTTGGTTGAGTTTTATGTTCAATAAAACTCACATTTCAAGATCAGGCTGTGTTGCCTTGCTTACTCTTGTGATTCTCACAGTTATAAAGTGAACATGCAGTTAATTCGAACTGTGGAAGCTGGTTTTACGATATCCTCATGCCTTCAATTTTTTTTTTTTTTTTAAAAGAAAGAATATCTTAGTAGTTGAGCAATATTAAACTGGTTCAGATGATGTGCCATTCCACAAGTCCCTTTTTTGTTCTCACTTACGCATGAGAAAGTAAGCGGTAAACTTAACTTTGGTTACATCCTCATACCTGTTTCTACTCTCTCTCACTTTTTCATGCATACCTTTTCCTGTTCCTTGTTTTAATATATCAATACAAATCATTTTGGTGGGGCTAAGGTGGGGATGATGTCAGGTATTTCTTGATGTCTGCTCTGAAGCTAACTGCTACTTGTCCGATAGAATATTTACTTCTAGACTTTTTTTTTTTGTAAAGAAAAAGAACTGTTCTTTTACTTGATTCATCCATAATTTGTCTATTGCAGTTGATTTTGAACAAGGTTCTGTTGTTAGGATCAAGTACTCAAACAATTATTGGCAGGCCCATGGTGCCAGATGCAGCTGTTCATGCAGTTGTTGAGCAACATGTAAGTGTGACGAATCTAATCCCTCTCTGCTCCTCTCTTTGTTTCTCATACTCTCACATGTGCAAGTACACCAGAGAACACTCATAAACTTGCATGCAAATCTCAGTGATTTATGGAAGTGCTAGTAGTTAGACGCTAAAGCGATGTGGTCAATCTCTTTTGGTTTCAATGGGATGTGTTTCTTGCAAAAGTTATCCCTTGGAAGGAATTAAGTTTCAAGTTCATCTTGCCAAGTTTGTTTCCAGATCCTTTTCAAGTTGTTTTGATGATCATCTGACTTAGATTCGTCACCTTTGCTTGTTTTTAAATTAAGTCAATTAATCAACAAATAAGACTTAGTTCTGTATGGGTTATAGTGCAGTTTAACTCTTAGATGTATAGATCCCATCTAATTGCTGTCTATATTTGTGAACTAGTAGGTTTCTGATAAATTGCAGTCTCACCATTCCAGCCTTAGTAGGGCTTGTGTGGTGGATTAATGAAAAGTTGATGAAAGAAATCAAACATGTCAGATAGTGGGGACAGAGAATTACCATAAATCAGATTGAGGTGGCTGAATAATCTGGTTATAGATGAATTCTATGCTTGGAACTAACGAATTGCTTAAAAGTAAATTCTTATGCTTTAGATGAATGCTTGGTTATTTATAGGTATGCGAAATTGTATGTACTCTTGGTGATCGGATTGAGGAGTGATAAGAAATGTAAGGTGATTAAATCTTTATGATAAATGGGAAGACATTATATTGTATTCTTAATGCACGTGCTTGAACTTGATCTAGGTTTTTGAACTTATGCAAAGAGGTTTCTGGTGTGATATCGATCTCCTCTTTTGCTTCACATGAGAAGGGTGTTTCATTGTAAAAGTTTGCTGGTGTATGGAGACTGAGATTTCACTTTGACGAGATTTTGTAGGGACACATTGCTTCAACCATTATATGCTAGTGAACTGTGGATTTTCCTCCCCTTTATTTTTTTGAGGAAAAGAGTACTTTGTTAAATGGACTCCCCTTTATTTTTTTTTTAGTTAGCAAAACTATGCATTCTTAACAGTCAACAGTTTAATATGCTTTCTGGGTTATGCTTGTAAAATTTAACCGCTGTACTTCATTTTCTCATAGGCATTAGATGCAAAGGTAATTATCTTCAAGAAGAAGAGAAGGAAGAATTACCGCAGAACCAAAGGACATCGGCAGGTCAGCCAAGGATCAGTAATTTAAATGGTTTTAGTTAAATTCAAGTTTGTGTTTGTTTTCTCTCAACTCATGTTCCTCTGCTTTTCAGGAACTGACTAAATTAAGAATAACTGATATTCAAGGAATTGAGAAACCAGAAAGGAAAATTGATTCTCCAAAGTCTAAAAAGGCAGCAGCCAAAAAGCAAGAAAAGGTTGCAGTTGCTGCTTAAGAGGGATTTTCCCCGCGACATATTTTCACAATAATGGCTTCCCATGTTTATATTCTGCTGCAACTTTCTGATACAATTTGATGGAACTATATCCAGTGTACATTTGGGATGCCATAGGAAGCAGAAAAAACACCATTTTGACCAGATACCTTTTCTAGGATTATTATTTGGGAATTCCCCTGCTAGAGTTTTTGTGTTGCCTACACTGTTCATGTTGCCTCGCTAGTAGACTCTTGCTCGTAACAGAGTTGAATCGAGTTATTCCCAAGGATAAAGCAATTAGTCGTTGCACTTAGTTGAATATTATTATTTTATTAAACCTTAAGACAGCCTTTTATGATTTGCTTGTAGCTTCATGGTCATCCTGGACTTTGTAAACTATAATGATTATTGATCTTCCGTGTATCTTTTACAAATTACTAGTATTGGAAGATGACCTCTTAGCTCTCCCATAATTAGTTTATTTTAAAAAATAAATTTTTTTGAATGATAAAAATGTAACTTATTAATTAGATGAAATCTTAAACTAACTAAATAACAATTTATCAAAAAAAAAAAAAAGAATTCTTATTTTTGAATATCATGGACACATGTTTTAACTATTTGGAATGTCATAAAACATATGGATAGAGACAATGACTTAGCATTCCATCTCCTCGTTCCGACTACCAACAGTGACCCCATTGATTACGAAAGATGGGAATTCATCGAAATTAGCAAACAACTACACGTGAAATTAGCAAACAACTACACGTGTTACTGTTTTCATGAGTTGACATAAAAAATTTAGTTGATAAAAATTATTTTATCCTTTTTTTTTAGCCTTTAACTCATTAAAGATATTAATAAAAATTCATCATTTAACGAAAGATCATAAAGATTACAGTGAAAAAAATAATTATTTATATATCTAAATTTAGAAATCTTGCAAATGTCTTAGAACATTTCAAAAAATAATAACAAGCAAACAAAATAAAATTAAGGGAATATATATATATATATATATATATGTCATTTCTCTTGTTTTCTTGATATTATATTGGCTTCATGGTTTTTATGTACCGGAAAATTTTTAAATAATAATTATTAATACTTGTAAATAGAAAATGGGAAAAAAACTTACCTTGCACCTAGTTATAAGATAATTAGGAATGCTAAAATAAATTTGGAAATCAGAAGTTGAAAATGCCCTAGCAAAAGGGGTAAATTGTTAAAAGGCGAAGCCAACAAGACGAAATTAAGCCACTTCTTATACATTTTATCTTATAATTGCAACAATTAAGAGTACATTATATGCAAATTTTTCTATACTTTTTTTTACGGGTGGTTGAAACTTGAAAGGCAACGGTGTTTATATTATATGGAATGAATATCCCAATCCATCAAACTAAGTGCCTTCAAGTGGACTCACTTTAATTATTTGCCATCCAACCTCTTTCCTCTCAATCATCTTTTCTAACTTCTACTATGCATAAATAATATAAAGACTTGGAATTTTCTTAAGCACTCTGTTACACCCACGCTTTCCTTTTAAATATGATTGTGCTAATTGAATTCCCAAAAATCACAATAGTTTTCTCCACTTCATCACCTCCCAGTTACATATTTATTTATTTCTATATGATAAAATAATTGTTTTTTTTTTCGAGTGATCGATTAAAATTAAACTTAAAAAAAAAAAAAAAAGAAAAAGGGCAAATAAAATTCCAACACGTTTTCAAGTTCTGGTAGTATCCGAACCAATTAAGCAATAAGCACCATCAAATCTTAATAGTGATTTAATTATAACGCAATTGGAATGATATATTACTATTTGGCCACCTTATTTTGTTTTTATGTATTAAAGAAAGATAGTGCTCAAGGCTGGATTTCCTTTCTCACCCTTTTATTTATTTTTCTTCGCAAAAAGAAAATGGTTTTTCTCTCATGCATGCACTTCATAATGGATCCACCGTCACACTTCCAAAAATTAAATAAATAAAAGGCATGACATAGTATATTACTCGGGTCATCTACAATTAATTTTAATTTCTATTTTCTATTTTTTTTTCAACAAAACATGCTATGTTCAAATTTTAATCCCAATTATTTTCAAGATAAAAAAAATTACACTACATAGCGAATAAAATTATTTCATCAGAAAAATAAATTTAGCATGAGAAACGAGAGAAATCAAATCAAATACGAAAAAAAAAAATCACATTGCATGATTCAAAAATGCTTTCCCCTCCTTATTATATCTTTCCTTTTGAAGCAAGCTTTCCCTTTTTAGAAAAGTATACAATTAAAAAAACTAACAGAAGAAGGCAAATAGAAAGAAATGCAGAGGTGACTAATGAAAGAAGTTGCCTATATTCCCTGATAACAGAAGTCAAGAAAATTAGGCTGTCTGGCTCCATATATCTGTATAAGGATGCAGAAATCTAGCTTCAAGCATGTGGCAATTTATAGTATTGACTTTGAAAAATGCAATGAAAAAGAAAGACTTTAGTTAGTCATATTGTGCATAATTGAAAAAACCACTTTTTAATATATATATATGTATATTGTTAAATGATAATCATAAAGAACAAAACTTTCCCTTCTTCATCTAACATGTGACCCCATATGTACAATACAATACAATAGTGTTGCATAAAGAAAGAGAGTGATTCTTCCACTAAAATTGTATATGTATATATATATAAATGCTGAATTTTTGAGTCCACATTCATCGGTTATTAAGCTTCTACATATGTATAATTTACTGATGTGTTTATTTTACATAAAATATTTTTCAAGAAAAGAAATCGTATATTTGAATTAATTGATTCTTTATATCTGACGGCATATATTCAAATTATGGAAATAATTTATTTACAAAAGCAGGGAAATCCATAAATCTTTCATACACTACATCACTTTTTTACTCGGTTACTGAATTATAATTCAACATGTACAGGATCTAGTATATATAAATTCTTATATGATTTGGTTAATAGCCTAACTAAGTTTAGATACATAGCTTGGATTAGAGTTACCTTATTGGCCATGCAAAAGAGCACAATTGAAATCATATGCAATCTCAAGTACATATTATAGTTACATAATGACACTTAAAAAATCTTTCCCTAAAATCCCATCCCTTTTGTTCAAAAAAGTTGCTTCAACTTGTATGCTGACACTTGCTCCAACCCAAACTCTATTGAGCATTGACCCATTATAGTCACTATAGAGCCGGTGCATAACTTGGGATCACACCTAGGGCAAATACAAGAAAGAAAGAAAGAAAGAAATGGCAATTTGTAATTAATCCACCTAAAAAGAGAAAAAAGAAGACATAAAATATTGTGTTTAACTTTTGTTATTGATTGAAGTGGGAAAAGATGGTTAGGAACTAGTCATTTTCATTGCCATTTTATAGCATTATATTTGCCTTTCCAACTAGATAGTGAATTAGTGCTGTTTGAGTAAATCAAAATTTTGAAAGATTATGTTTATACCTACAACAAGTTATTGTCTATGAAGTCTCATTGGATCTTCCTGTAGTGTGATGGGTGGGTGATGCTGTTATTGTCCACAAGATACTATTGGTGGGTGAATTTTCCAAAAAAAAAAAAAAAAAAAAAATGGGATCACACCTAGTGGAAATACAAGAAGCAAAGTAAAAGAAAAGAATGGCAATTTGTAATTATCCACCAAAAGAGAAAAAAAGAAGACATAAAATATTGGTGTTTAACTTTTGGTTTATGATTAGAGATGGGCAATGATGGTTAGGAAACATAGTCATTTTATCATTGCCATTTTAATAGTACAACCATTAATATTTGCCTTTCACAACTAGTAGTGAATTAGTGCTGTATTGAGTAAATTCAAATAATATTTGAAAGATTATGTTTATACCTACAACAAAGTTATTGTCCTATGAAGTCTCATTGGATTCTTCCTGTAGTGTGATGGGTGGGTGATGCTGTTATTGTCCACAAGAATACTATGGGTGGGTGAATTTTTCCCAAAAAAAAAAAAAAAAAAAAAAAAACAACCAAACCGAAAATAAAATAAAGAAAAAAAAAAAAAAAAAAAAAACCGAAAATAAAATAAAGCCACGTCAGCATCTTATTTATAACAAAAAAAATGTAAAAGAATTAATATAAAATAAACTAAAAAAAAAGGCAAGTTGCTGATGTGGTTTTATTTCATTGGATAAAGATATGATAAACTGAATTTATCTAAAAATTTCTCAAATACAGATACACATTACATATAATATTATCCAATTTCTCAAAATAAACAACGCAAGCATATATTCTCTATTATCTATTGAAATAAAAGAGAAGGGAATCCTATCTATCAAAGTCACAAATGGGTTTGTGAAAAGTGAACCTAAAATCAGAATATACTTGAGGATGAACTATGGCAATTAGTATAAACCCTTGCTTTTTATTCAGACATTAGTGCTTTGATGATCACCTTTGTTCTGCAAATTAAAGCGATCTTATTGAGCACTTGTTTTGTCATTAAAAGTAAAATAAATAAAAGAATGCAATTGGTCTCCTTGGTTTGAACATTCGAACCATGTCAATTTCTTGCATATCTAGGTTGGCTTGATAGGATTTCCTTCTACTTATATCAATAGATAATATTTTTCTATAAATGCAAAGATTTGACCTAAAATTTTTTCCTTTTCCCTTGACTTACAGGCACCTAATTGGTGGTGTTTATGGACTTCAGAATACACAGTGAGTAATGTTCCAAGTATATTCTTTATGTGCTGTTCCTAAAATAATGTTTTAGAAACTATTGTGAATTAGCAATCAATCAAGAAGTTAACATGTGGAAGCCATTATTATGTTCCCATTTCAATAATATACAGGAATCATTTTTTTTTTCTTTTATTACTCTTGAGGTCATAGTTTCTGCTGCCATGTGCACTCAGGCAAAAGAAAATTGAAGCATTAGCTATGTCTTTCCTGACAATGCCCTTCGACAAGAACCCAGAAATATTTAAAAAAAAAAAAAAAGAAAAGTCATTAATTTGTTGCCAAGTGATTGATGAGCCAATGGAATTGAATGCCATTTTCTTTTTTTTTTTAGAGATATAAATATAGGGAAAGCTAAAGAAAGAATCTTGGTTTTTTTAAGCAATTAAATGCTTATTTAGAAATTTAATTTGAAAGGACAAAAAAAAAAAAAAATGGTATACCAAATGTTTAGCCATTTGATACAATCATGAAAAGAAAAAAAAAAAAAAATGGTAGATTATTACCAAATTGTTAGCCATTTGATACAATCATGAAGAGTAATTTAGCCAAATAAAGGGCAACTTAGTCAATTCAGATGCTTTACAGTTGTAGTTAGAGGTTTCTAGAGATCGGTTTTAGTTAAAAGTGCAGAGTGGAGGGAGTATTTGTGTGTGATACTGTTGGTATATTCTGTGCCGTATCCATAAGCAATAGTCTCTATATTTCATTGGACACGAAGGCAACTCGTAAACCTCCAACGTCTACCATTTTTAAGAGAGATTGTACCAAATTCAATAGAGCGAAACAAAAAGACGATCCTTTGTTGCAATGTTTTCGAGTCTTGATCATGGCATGATGGATGGGGTTTGGGGAGGAACTTAACCTCTCTGAATTCCCAAATAAATTGCTAAGGAAGTCAGAGAAAATCAGAGGAACATGGTTTTGTTTGCAAGTTTTGAACTGGGTCAAGTTCCTTTGGTTGACTTGTCAATATTCTGTGCTAGTTTTCACTAGTTTTCACGACGATAGTTTATATGACTCCAGTAATATATAGAAGCGGCAAATGGTACAGTTTTCAACTTCTTCTTTGCTATATATCATTTTTCGATATATTTGTTTACATGCATACACATGTATTTATTTGTTTATATATATGGCTTTGAAAGCTCTGTTTATTGTAAAAGTTGATGAATTTTAAGTTCTTGAGGTCTTAATGATAAGTCTAAGTTCAAATTTCTGGTGTGCGTTGGGCTCCTTGGTGGTTAATTGTCACATTCCACACCTAATAAGTTTAGAATTAGTTTGGAGTTTAGTTCCTCTTTTGGGTATTAACGGAATATAAATTGTTTGGGAGGAATATGTTTGTGTATAGAATTTTGTTTACAGAGATTGGTAGAATTTGATGTTTATTAAGTACGATTCATGGAAGAGGATTATGGAGTTTCTTAAATTGTACCCATCACGATTTTATAGGTTTCTTCCTGGAGAAGAAGTCCATAATAAGTTGCATATCTAGCTTCTGAAATGGAAGAATCCGAATTTTATTTTTTTGGATTATATATTTGAAGCTAATTATGTTCAAAGGGTCATATAAATTTCTATTTAATCTTTCCCTTTTTCCTGAAATGTTAAAGACACCCTCTGGATGCTATTTATCAAATATAATTATTGGGTGGTTATTTTTTATTTGTGATAAAATATGATAACAATAATTCAGAATGATAAATTATCTTGTTCTCAGTATCATCTCTGGTTTTCTTTTTTCATCAATTCATATGGCCCCCAGTTTGTGCCTGACGTCTTTATTTTTATCAATGCATACCTCGTTGTATTAGACTCTTTAGAAATGATTAAAGCTATCTTAGCTTGATTCTTAGATTATCTGCTTATATTTTCTGTAAATGATATCAATCCTAGTTGTTTCCATGGCAGGTTGCATGGAAATGTTAAACTAGATGGAGAAGCACCTGCTTTCTAATACTAAAATTGGCTATTAAATCAAGCTGTGAGGACATGTCTGCATGACCTGGTCTTCCTGCAAACTTCTTCTGGTTTAACGAACTCTTTTAGTGAGGCAAATTTTCTCTGGCACTGGATCTACCTGACAGAAAGTTCGTCTTGAAGAAAGAAGGACCTTTTGGCAATATATATTTAATTTCTTAAAGAAGTGAATCTCTTCGGGTTGGGAAGTCATCAGGATTCAGCTCGTTGGGGCAAATCTCCTTTGGCAAAGTTACTGAAGTTTCCTCTAGCCGGGTAGTTCACCTGATAGTGAATAACTAAGCAGAGTTGAGACTTTCAGATTATTATCATTTACTGAGGATTGCATCCTTGCTACAGAGCAGATCTCCTTTTGTTTGAATTTTTGCTCTGGCAAATTTTTTGTATCTTGTTGATATATATCCTTACAGTGCAATCTTCATTGGAAGTTTCTTCTTGCAAGAGCTTCAGTCCATTTCTTGGGCAAATCTCCTTTGGCAGCTGGAGTCCAAGTTGACTCCTATCATCCCCGTGGGCTATCGGGAATCTTGAGTTGGATCCCTTTATCCCTGTAGGGCAAATCTCCTTTGGCATTTGGTAAGCCTGAATTGGCTTCCTGTTATCACTTTACAAGGCTTAAGCATAAGATCTCTATTTTCAGAGGTCAAGATATATTTTTGTACTATCTACATTTGAAGCTTGGCAACAATACCAAAAATAAACTAACATCAGAGTTCTACTAGCATTGATACTGTAGCTGATCTTTGCCAGACCATCAATTGCAGTGTGTTTTAGAGTATCAGACGGGTACAACTTTTGGAATTTCAAGTTGCTTAAGCAAGTGAAAATTTAGTGGTACGTTCTCTCTTTGTGCTCACTATTGTTGTTTCTTATATTTTCACGTGTATTACAACTGCATTTTCTGATGATAACCTCAGAGTAGCTCAAAGTTTCTCTGGTAAAAGAAATGATCCTCTCCTTTAAATTGAAAATTTCAAATGCTAAAATAACCTATATCTTGCTTTTCTTTCCAGGTATACGGGCTTTTAATAATAGGAAATATTTTTCGAGTCAAAGTTCCAGTGCACCTAGGGAGGAAAATTATAAAAAAAAAAAAAAAAGGAAAACAAAAGAAACAAAGTTGCTGAATTGAAGTGTTGATATATTCTTGTAGATGATGGATATTCTCTCGAGTGATTCTGATTGGGAAAGTGACAGCGGCAGCGAGCTTGACTTTCTCTACAGTGGGCAGGCACATTGCATTTTGTCAAGCCTGGAGGAAAGCCTAGGCAAAATTGATGATTTCCTCTCATTTGAGAGGGGCTTCGTGCATGGGGACATTGTTTGCTCCGCTGTAGATCCATCTGGACAGATGGGGAGAGTTGTGAATGTCAAAATGTCAGTTGACTTGGAAAATGTTAATGGAAAAATCATAAAAGATGTTGATTCCAAGGATCTTTTAAAGATCCGTTCCATTTCGTTGGGAGATTATGTGGTCCATGGACCATGGATAGGAAGGGCTGAGAAAATTCTTGACAATGTCACTATCATCTTTGATGATGGGACAAAGTGTGAGGTAACTGCACCAGATAAAGAAAAGGTTTTGCCTGTTTTTCCAAACATGCTTGAAGATTCAGTATATCCCTACTATCCAGGACAGAAAGTGCAGGTTAGGCTTTCTGGTGCTTCGAAGTCTTCTAGATGGTTATGTGGTTCTTGGAAGGAAAACCAAGATATAGGAACTGTTTCTTCTGTAAAAGCTGGTCTAGTGTACGTTGATTGGATTGCCTGTGCTCTTGTTGGTTGTGAATCCAGTTTGCCTGCTCCCCAACATTTGCAGGCTGCAAAAAACTTGACTCTTTTGCCGTGTTTTTCACATGAAGGTTGGCAGCTTGGTGACTGGTGTATGCTTTCTGATTGTAAGGGTGTGAAGGAGCAGATGGTTTTTGACGAGTCTAACCTTGAGCTCAGTAATGAGCATGATAAGATAGGAAAAGGGTCGAAGAGACAATCTTCTTGCTCCAATTTTAATGAAATCTTTGTTATTGTGAAGACAAAGACCAGAGTTGATGTTTTGTGGCAGGATGGTGACAGCTCATTGGGATTGGATTCACAGTCTCTGGTCCCCGTAAATGTTGTTAATGCTTATGAATTCTGGCCAGGGCAGTTTGTTGTTGAGAAGAGTGCTTGTGATGACCAACATGTTTCTGGCAACCAAAGATGGGGAGTTGTAAGTGCTGTGGATGCAAAGGAACATACAGTTAGGGTGAATTGGAAATCAACCACAGTGAACCAGGCTACTGATGTGCAGGCCAACCAGATGGAAGAAACTCTTGGTGCTTATGAACTGGTTGAGCACCCGGACTACTCCTATTGTTATGGTGATATCGTATTCAGAAATGTAGATCAGGCTGATAAGCATCATTTGAGTAGGGGGATGAGTATGGGTGATACTGAAAGCAAGGACTGTAATAGACACCATATTCATAATGGCTACTTGTCCTGTATTGGCTATGTTACAGGCTTTATAGATGGTGTGGTGGAGGTGGTGTGGGCTTCTGGTGTTAAAACCAAGGTTTGAGTCATTTGCATTGCTTATTCATTAGTTGTTTATATTAAAGACTAATAGTTTTAGTAGTGCATCAGATTTTGAGAGTTTTATATAAATTTGCTCCTTCCTCTTATTGTATACGCATGCAGTTCATGTTGTCTCTATGATTGATTGCTTGTTGTGTAATGATATAATTAACCAAAAGGGATTTATGCCTAATTTCAACAGTTGTTGAAAATTTTGACAAAAATCCTGTGGTGCTAATAGCAAAATTTGTCTGTCCTAGTTCGGTTATTTTTCTGTGAGACATGTATTTTTGCTTGATATTTTTTTCTATTTCAGTTATTATTGCTATTGCAAGTCACGGAAATAATGGCATGTATATATTCAAGCCGCTGGATTTGGTTCTCCCTTTCTACTTTTGAGCAATTGCATGTTTGCTTTGGCATTTCTTTGAACTTAGACCATTCGTGACTGTTTGCTAGAATTGCGGAAAATCTGTCAGGTTCCTAGAATAGTCCATGTCACCGTGTCCCTGGTGAAATGGTTTGAATTAAAATTAAGATTTACATATTTAGATAGGAAAGAGTGGAAAGATTTTGCAAGTGAGGGAGTTCTTCCCCAAAAAACAAACAATGTGGCCCTTGATGTGTAATAATTTTAGCTTTGCAAACTATCTTTTTTTTCTTGAAGGGAAAGCAAACTATCTAAGACTTACAAATATTAGACTCTACCAATCTTAGCTTCTGGTTTAAGTTATCTTTTAGGTGACTGCCTCTTCTGTTTTCTTCCACTGTTGGTGACAGATTGAAGCGTCCATCTTACACAATTTGTCTTGCATTGTTACAGGTTGAACCTAGTGACATTTTCCGAATTGATAAATATGGAAATTCAGTGACAAATTCTGCAATGAATGAGCAGAATATTGATGAAATGAATGAGGAAAAAGAGATGATCGATCTTGACAAACAATCCTCTAGCTTGAAAGGAAAGGTAATGCCAATTCTCTCTGTTATTTATGAAAAAGTTGGCATCAGATATGTAGGGGTGATCACGGCTTCAAGCTGATTTGCAAATATGGACCAATTTCTTAAAGCTGATTTTGATTGCTGAGAAAATGTAGGAACAAAAGCATGAACAAATAAAAGTTGGCTACTAGCACAGTACAAACTCGTTATGTGATTTGCTCATAAAAGTATCTTTTGCTTCATTGGATATGCTAACATTGCAAGCGAAAAAAAAAAAAAAATTATAGTCTGTTTGTTCTGAGACTGATGAACATTCTTGTAATCAATGAAGAAGCTTATATCTTTTGTTTCTGTCGTTAAAAACTGGAAACTAAACTATAGTACCATTCTTAGGATTTGCTAAATTCTAATAGCAAGAATGAGTCCAAAACGTGCCCATGGAAATCAAGCTCCTTTTTTCTTCCTCAATCCACTGTTGGATTTTTCAAGGGCATTGCAGCAAGTATATTTGAATCCTTTGGTTCTACATCGCTGTCTGGCCCATTACCATATGACTCTATTTCTAAAGATGACAATCAATCTGAGACACCTGAAGAGAAAGGAATACCAGAAAACTGCAAGCTCTGCACAGAGATGCAACCTGTAATACCAGGTGAGATGCAGAGATCTGAAATCACAAGTTTAAAGTGGGAAGTCAATCTCTTTCAGGACAATAAAGAATTTCCACCTTCACCAGAGAGCAAGAGTGTGGGACAGTTCAGACAATTTGAAATGGTCAACGATTGCTCTGATCACCAATTTATTGAAGGTGCAGGCAAGGGATTGTTTTCAATATATGAGGTCAGAAACTACTCCATTTTCACTAAAAACTGTATTAATTAATAGGTTTAAACAGTTATGACATCTTTTCTCCATGCTACACCTCATAGGTTAAAAGAAGTTGGTTGAAGAAGGTCCAACAAGAATGGAGTACCCTAGAGAAAGATCTTCCTGGTTAGCACTTAATCCTTTTTTTTTTTCTGCTTTGCTTGGAGTGTTATTTTGATAGTTGGTTCGTTTTTTACTTCATATTTCTATTAAGACCTGTGATGACCTCCACAGAATCAATATATGTCCGCATCTATGAGGAAAGAATGGATCTTCTTCGAGCAGCTATTGTTGGTGCCCCTGGAACTCCCTATCATGATGGGGTGTTCTTCTTTGATATATATTTTCCTCCAGAGTATCCTCTTGAACCTCCTGTAAGTTATTTAAGTTTTACAAGTCTAATGATGACCTGATTCAAGTGGGACGTCCAATTTGCTAAAATTAGGTTGTCTTCTATAGCTATCTGTATATTATTTTTGCATTGTCTAATCCACTCATATATTCATATTCGATGAGGAACTTATTTGTTGATGTAATCTATCATGCAGTTGGTATACTATCATTCTGGTGGGCTTCGTGTCAATCCCAATTTATATGAGTCTGGAAAGATCTGCCTCAGTCTCCTCAACACATGGACGGGCACAGGCACTGAAGTGTGGAATCCAGAGAGCTCCAATATTCTTCAAGTTCTTCTCTCCCTCCAGGCCCTTGTGCTTAATGAAAAACCTTATTTCAATGAAGCTGGGTATGATAAGCAGATAGGAAGAGCCGAGGGAGAGAAAAATTCCGTGAGTTATAATGAAAATGCATTCCTCATGACCTGGAAGTCCATGCTTTACTTGCTTCGCCGCCCGCCAAAGGTAAAACAATCAATTCTTGGATCAATTTGCTCCATTTTACATTGATTTAGTAATGGATAAGCTGATAATTACTTCTGGATGATAATATATCATCAGAAAGTTAGTAGCCTCTGCATTGATTATTTTCATTTATAAGAAATCCACGTGACAAAAAAAAAAAAAAAAAAAAAAAAAAAAAAAGCTGATAATGACTTCTGGATGATAAAGTATATCATCAGAAAGTTAGTAGCCTCTGCATTGATTATTTTCATTTATAAGAAATCCACGTGACAAAAAAAAAAAAAAAAAAAAAAAAAAAAAAAAAAAAAAAAAAAAAAAAACAGAACTATATTTCTTGTCAGCAGAAAACAAGAAATCATTGCCGTGAAAATGATGATATAATCTATTATTTCTCATCGGTGCAGCACTTTGAAGCACTCATGGAGGAACACTTGCAGCAACGATCTCAAAATATTCTATTGGCTTGTAAAGCATATATGGAAGGAGCTCCAGTAGCATGCCTAACTGGAAGTGGACAGATGGAGCATAGATGTGAAAGGGGCAGTTCTACTGGTTTCAAACTAATGCTTGCTAAGATCTTCCCAAAATTGGTGGAGGCATTTTCTGCCCACGGAATTGATTGCAGCCAATTTGCAGAGTTAGCACATTAAAATGTGCAGATCAATACATTTGTACCATATGTATAAAATCTGTATCGTATCAAAATGTGTTTGAAGACTGAAGGAGTGCTTTTATGCCTGTCTTGTTTGCTTATTTTGCTTGAAGGATGTTGTCTATGAAATGTCATCTTGTGTTGTGTATATTTTTGAGGGAGAATAAAGGAGTTGCAGATAAACATTAATACAACTCCTGGTTATGTGATTATGTTAATGTTCTGTAACAGTGTGATTAATAAAAACTATAAGTAATTAAGTATTGTTTATCTTCTGGTTTCTTATCGGTTCATATTAACTTGTATTTAACAGAATTGCTCTCAACAAAACTCACATTGAGAAGTCTTTTACCTGGGGATGAATATACATTGGTTAATCTGAAAAATTGAATAGAATTAACTTATACTAATTAATTTCGATTTTTGATTCGATTGCAAAAAATAAATTAATGTTTAAAAATCAAATGGAATTAAATCGATTAACCAAATATAATTCTAATTCAATTTAAAGAAAAAATAAAAAAAAAATCGATTTTTTCTCAGTTTGCAATTGAACCGCTCAAGTGCCCTAATTTTACCCATATTCTGTACGAATTTTAAAAATGAAGTAATTTTAACATTTGATGTTGCATATTTCTATTTTTTTTAAAAGAATTATCAAATAGGATGTTTTGATTCATTGTCTCATTTATATAAAAAAAAGGGTAAAAAATTTAAAATTCGAGTAAATACTATCATATTTTGTACTATCAGCGGTATTTCAGCCATCGAGTCTAATGAATAAAAAAATATATACTCTCTCTATTACATTTTATTTGCATGGTTTGATAAAAAATTCATATTAAGAATTTAATCAATAAAAATTATTTTGCCTTTACCCTTAACTCATTGAACATATTAATAAAAGTTATTTATTTAATAAAAATAAAAAATTATAAAAATTATTTATAAAAAATTATTTATATTATTTTAAATTTAAAATTAGTAATATTTTAAGAATTTAATCAATAAAAATTATTTTGCCTTTACCCTTAACTCATTGAACATATTAATAAAAGTTATTTATTTAATAAAAAATTATAAAAATTATTATAAAAAATTATTTATATATTTAAATTTAAAATTATGTAAATATTTTAAGATTTAAAAAAAAAAGAATTACAAATAAATAAAATGGAATGAAAAAAGTATAATGGATTCTTTTGAGGATACGAATCCGGGTCGGCTATAGTAACAAACATCCGAAAAAACGGATCTTTAGAAGTCGGTTGCACTGACTTTCCATATTTACGAGTTCCTCCTTCAGCTTCCTCGGAGAAGGAACAATGGAGGAAACTGGTAATGTTCTTCAATTATCTTCATTACGGAAATTTAATTTCCAAGTTAAACCTTCAAAAATCCTCAAATTCCTGTATATTCCACTTCTTATCTGCTTCTATTCCCCTTTTCTCACTTCTCCAACAGCAACAGCAATAGCAACAACTTCAATTTCAGCCTCAAACTTTCTATCGTATTATGGCCCTCAATGTGACCACATAGTTCGTCAATCTCTATCTTCTGATACCCACGTGACCTTTGTTTTTGGCGAAGACAAAATCCTCTATTTTGATATTGCTTACTTCACCGGCGGCAGCCCAATCCTACGCAAAAGGGCTGATAACGGTGACGCGGATTCGCCTTCCATTTCGCTCTCATTTCGCCCAAAAGGAAATACAATTTCTCTTACCCAAATCCCACACGTGCTTAAGCTACAAGCTACTCTCAGATTCCATTTTCCTTTCCATTTGAACATGACGTGGAACCGGAATTTGAGGGAGATCAGGTTCCGGCCACCAAGATTTCCCGTGAAGGCAAGGTCTTTGGTTTTCGAGTTATACGGGTTTTGGTCTATGGATACTGGGAAGCTGTGTATGGTTGGATCTGGATCGAGTCACCCACATTTGGGTATTGTAAGTTCTTCGAATGTTGTTTTAAAGCTTAATTATCCAGTGCATTTTAGTAATATTAGTGGCTTGATCATTGGGGCTTTAGAGAGTTTGAACGATAGGGGTGATTCTGGTTATTTTGAGCCTGTTTCAATTTTGGGGATACCTCATTTTGGTGAATATAAATATAGATTGATAGATAGGGGAAGTAATGTATGCGTTGGAGGAAGTGATGGAGAGAATGAGAATTTACATTTAGAGTGGCAACATCCTAGTTCTTGCTTGAGTCAATTGTATAAGTATGCTAGGTATTTTGAATTGGATTATGGCAGGGAATGTGGTAGTAATGAAGGTGGTAAATGTAACCCTCTTGGTGGGGATTCTGGGACCTTGCCCAAGTTTATGACCATTCAAGGATTTAGATGTGAACCTGGACGTGGGATTCGGCTATTGATAGGATTCTTGAACACTGGCTATCATTCTGAGCCTTTTATTTATGACAGAGTTTTTAATCCTAACAGAACGTTAATTGGTGAGGGAGTGTGGGATGATAAGAAGGATAGGCTCTGTGTGGTTGCTTGTCGAGTCTCGAATTTAAAGGATTCATTAGTTAATGCTTCTGTTGGTGATTGCTCGATTCGCTTAAGCTTGAGGTTCCCTAAGACCTTGACAATTACACAGAGGAGTACTGTTGTGGGACAAATTTCAAGCACTGTGACTGACAGTGAAACTGGCTACTTTAATAAAATCAGATTTCATGGTTCTGAGAATAGGATAACAGGCCTTCCTGGTCTGAATTATGAGTATACTATGCTTGGAAGGGTAAATAAAGCTTGTCCGAAACAGAAGACCATGAAAGGCCGAGGAAAGACATATCCTAACGCTTGTTCCACAGACATGAGATTCCAAATGATAGTGAGAAATGGTAAAGGACAACTATCACAGGGATATTCGTCACCGTTGTTTGTGGGTGATCAGCTTTTTGAGCCTTTTCAAATGAATAAAAACCACAGTGGTCTTCTAAATATTAGCTACAAGATGAGCTTCACAACTTCTTCCTCTTTGAAGTCGGGTGGTCAGCTTTTGTCAAAAAAATCAATAGAAATTTCTGCTGAAGGGACATATGACAATGAGTCTGGTGTTCTGTGCATGATAGGCTGTTCGAATTCGATATTACATGTTACGAACTCAACAAGAAATGAATCTGCAGACTGCATGATTTTGATCAATATTCAATTTTCTCCAGTGAATGCAAAGAGTGGGAATAACATTAAAGGAACTATTAAAAGCATGCGGCACAAGTTGGACCCTCTTTACTTCCAGGAACTTGAAATATCTTCTAACTCGATTTATACAAGTCAAGCTGCAGAATCCATCTGGAGAATGGATATGGAGATTACCATGGTTTTGATTTCTAATACTCTTGCTTGTGTCTTTGTGGGATTGCAACTCTATCATGTGAAAAAGCATCCAGACGTGCTACCCTTCATTTCCTTTGTGATGCTTGTTGTTCTTACACTAGGTTACATGATACCTCTACTGCTAAATTTTGAAGCCTTGTTCATGTCCAATCACAGCCGACAAAATAATTTTCTTGAGAGTGGTGGATGGCTTGAAGTAAATGAGGTAATAGTAAGGGTTGTAACAATGGTAGCCTTTCTTTTGCAGTTCCGTCTGCTACAACTTGGTTGGTCTGCCAGGCAGAATGATCACAATCATAGAAGTTTGTGGCTCTGTGAGAAAAGGGTTCTATGTTTGTCCTTGCCATTGTACATAGGTGGTGCGTTGGTTGCTTGGTATGCTCATCAATGGAAGAATTCCCACAGGAGTCCATTTTTACATCCTCACCACTTTGGTTACCAGCAGCATTATCACTGGAGAGACCTTAAATCTTATGCTGGTTTGATTCTGGACGGTTTTTTACTTCCACAGATAATGTTCAATGCATTCTTGAATTCAAAGGAGAATACTCTTGCCTCTTCCTTTTATCTTGGGACAACTGTTGTCCGTTTACTGCCTCACGCGTATGACCTCTACAGGGCTCGTAATTCTGCCTGGTCCCTCGATTTGTCATATATATATGGAAATCACAAACATGATTTTTATTCCACTGCATGGGACATCATTATCCCTTTTGTTGGTCTGCTGTTTGCTGCCTTTATTTACTTGCAACAGCGATATGGTGGCCGTTGTGTTCTTCCTAGGAGATATAGAGAGACATCTGATTATGAAAAGGTTCCTGTTGTGAGCAGTGATGAAGTGCCAGGGGATGCTCTTAACTGAGAGTTTATAGTCTGTATAGCCTAGACAGCTTTTGATTCAATCTGAAGTACTTTGTCCTAAATACTTTTGGGTATAGAGTTTGTTTGCAATTTATTGATTCAATATTCTGGAAATATAGATGAGCCTATTGTCAAGTTCCACCCGAAACTCTCTTTCGTGATGAAAAACAATTAGTACATGCTTTTTGGAAATTTTAGATATATTGTTTTCCATCGTAAATGTCATTAGCCAGATTGGTGCTCGTCAAGTGATGTTTTTGGGTAGGTTTTGACGGTACCATACATTACATGAACAATAAGTTATTGGTTTCAAGCCAAAATTTTATTCCAACCATCAAATTTCAAATGGTTTTCCGTGCATTGTTATTAAAGCTGCTAACTCAAAAGATTGATTTTTCACACGTGCGTGAGCGTCATATTGCCTAGCTGACTAATAGTAACAAAGGTAGCAAATACTGTCACTACCTACCTCAAACAAGCTAGCATATGAACAGATATGTACATAATAGTAAAGTGAATGAATATGGGTGCCCAAAATGCCTATCAATCACTTCGAAGCATTTTGAACATTCGAGTCGGAGTGGAATGCAGGAGCTCTATCTGACACAACGATGCAGTTAAAATCAGGATCTCATTTGTCCAACCCCTTGGAATAGCTAAGTAGGATGCGGCTGCCTCCTTGTTCAGGGGAAACACAGTACTGCCATCTACTAGAGTTGTATAAACACTATTCCAGCTGAGAATTCTGAGACAAAAAACTTTTGTTAAGACTTGCATGATATCAATGGTGATAACAATCAAGGGAGAAAAGGAGAGCCTTGCATGAGTTATATAAATTTCATTATTTCAGATTAATCCATAAATGAAATAAAAATCACAGCAAGTGCGCAGTTACAGCCCTCAGATTGCACATCCACAAGACAAACTAGTTTTGGTTTCCAAAATATTTTTTGGACATAAAAAAAGTTATGTGAAATCAAGTTTACAATTCGAATTAGTGAGGTGAAATAAATTTTCTTGGTTCCCAAAAAGAAAAAAAGGTTATTTGGAAGTAGGTCTTAAATGATTCAGGTTTATTGATGTGCTTAGAAATATCAAAGGTCACAACACAGTTGAGGCTGTTTATCCATTTCACCTCGTTGATGTTAGGAGCAGCAACAAAAAACATGAAAAGACAATTACTACCTTCATAATTTAGAAGTTAATAATAAAACATCAAACCATAATACACAAAATACCAAAACTAATCCAACTCAACCAGCTAAAATATGGTAACAAGCAATGACAATTGAAGAATTACAGATTAAAAAAAAAAAAAATAGAAATACCTTGAGTCAGCTGTTAATTGGACTTTTTGCCAGTAAGGATGAGAGATATCTGGAGACCCCTGCTGAATGCTTCATTAAATAGGATTCTTGTCTGCATGGACTGGAATCCAGGCAACCATGATAGAAATCCAACAGGAACCATAACAATAAGCCCAAACAACATATCATATAGCCGAGCCAAGGAGACAACGGTATCCCACACGACAGTAGACTGCAAAAAAGGCCTAAGCACCTGAGCAATGCATATGAGGCCCCACCCAGTGGGAATAAATGCCAAAAGGCTGCTCACAAGATCAAGAAATATAAAATCTGTGAATTCCAGTAATAGAACTATCACAAGTATCGTAAGTGAGATGACTATAAGCTGGGCCAGCCTATATTTAATGTGCTCCTTTGCAGCAAATTTGTCCTGAGCATATGTTATGCTGACATAAATTCCAACGGCTGCAACCATGTATATCCAGGATAACAGGTAAACAGCTATACTAGTGTTTTCACCAGTAATGTTCAGATGATACACAACACCATACTGGAAGAAGAAGAAACGAAGATCTAAAATTATCTCCAGTAGCTTTCCCCAGAGACCTGTTGTTCTCAGATGGTCCTGCTCCTCATACCACCATGTTTCCCAGCTTTGTTCTGCTTTTGCCAATACTCCTCTATACCATATCCAGTTCATAAAATCTTCAAAGTCATATACAGTCTTCAGCCAATCAAATCCAGAAGGATTGAACAAGAAAGGGGACAGTATCCATGAGAGCACAAGGAACCAGCAAGAGATTGTCATGATTATGTAAAGAAAAGTATCAGCAGCCAAAGCGCTATTGGCAGCATATACTATTAAAATGATTCCAAGCTCAATTGCCTTCACAAAATGGCTCCTAGCAAACAGTCTATAGTTCTCAGCAAAGCTCTTATGCTGCACCACAAACCCACGTCCAGTGGCTCTGTATTTGGCACCTCCATGAAGAATAGTTCGACCAAAGAAATGACTACGAGTTCCCATAGAGAATGTGTAAAAAAGTGAAGATAGCTGCAACTGCATTGTTAAGAAGTCCCAAACAGCTGGAAGAAACCCATGTTCAAGAGTGTTCTCCATAACCATCGGAAGGGCAGTGAAGAAGCCTAACTGAATAACAAACTGCTGATTCAGAATCGCACCAAGGGCCTTGTTGTTGTCAATATTTTTCATGGCATGTCGCTCTATACCACTGAGAGCAAGATAAAGGCGGCCCCACAGAAAAGCATAAACAGCCAATACCACAGCCATTGTGTTGAAGAAGAATCCAACAGTAGTGTAGTAAAATGAGAGCATACGAAAGAAATCCAATCTGTGGCCCAAACGGTATACATCTCTGCTCAAAACCTGCTCGCCATTGCCACTTGCAACCTTTGCCTCAAACATTGAGATTTGGTTCAAGCCAACATCCCTTCCCTTACCCACCTGTATATATTCGTGATGTGTCACATTGCCACCTCGAAGTGTGCAATTGAAGCCAGCAAATATATCCTCACTGATATTGATCACTTTTGAAGCCTTGCTGATTCCACCTCGGGGCAAGAACCAGAACCTATCAAACACATCTGGGTGACCATAGTGCATTCGTACCTTCAAAGGATTTGCAAGAACACGCTGTCCAAGTGTCACAAAACTAGTTTCCTGAGCAGACATGAACCAAGCAAGTGAGGAAACTGAACCTGTGAAGATATTCTCCCGGACACCTAAAATGGTTGGCCTCCTAATTCCATAATACTTCTTAAATTCCTCCAGCAGATTCCGCATCTTGAGTGTCTCCTCAAAATAATTGTCCTGGTTCATGTCAATTGTCTGGACTGCATCACCACGAGTAAAGATTATGGCATGGTTTTGATTTTCAGGTTTGCCTTCTCCAATCTTTAAAGGACCAGGCAATCTGATCCGATAGATCTCGTCTTCCCTCTGCAGCTGCTGATCAAACTTAACAAGAACCGAGTAATACTCAACTTCATCCCTCCCCAAGTGAACTTCGTCAACGTAAGCAACTCTAAGAGCCTCATTCTTTTTCATCAGATCTAAAATCTCCTCAGCACGCGCATCTCCCTTTGCCTTCTGCTGCCCATACACTTGGCAGGAGACCACATACGTGAATTTCATCAGAGCACTCCCATGCTCATGCCCTTTAAACAAACAACTAACGCTACTGCTTGCTCTGCCAAGTTTAGGTGGAGATGGTGGCATGACCAAGTTTTGATCATGCAAAGCATGGTTGTGCCTCGAGGAGTGATGTGAAGCAAGTTCTTGTGTGCCCATCCTTATGTCCATCTCAGATGCAGAATCAAGATAGGAAAGCATCTTAAGAGCCCTGTAGTAATACATCATTCCTCTCACAGTGCGGGCTAATGTCTGGCCTCTATATGAAGCCCAAAGGCGAAGATCCCTTGACTTTTTGTCCCAAATATCGTCATCATCTTCCATTCCTTCTCTACGCATTCTTTCTAGGAAATTATTCCACTCATCTTCATATATCTTCTGCAGATAAAATATGGTAGAAATGCCATCTTCATTTGGCCGCCGAAGCATTTCTTTAGGAAAACACACTTCTTCTTCATAATAAGGGGTCAAAACACTAAAAGCCATCATTTTCTCAACATTAGGAGCAAGAGGCATGTTCATGAAGAGTGAATTGCTAAAAAAAGCAATGCGCCGTCTTGCCTCAATGTTCTGAGGGACATTGTGCATGGAATCTTTGGAGGTAAGAATTGTGTGCAAACGCCGTAAATGCCTGTTGAATAATTCATCTTCAGTATCTGGAAACTGAATAGCATTCTCAAAGAGTAATTCATCATTGCTCAATTGACTCTCTGGGGCTAGACCTTTCTGCCTCAATTGCTCAATTGATTTTTTCGGTCCCCTTGGGAGTACTCGAACATAAAGCTCATATAATGCCTGTAATATATTGACCATCTTACTTATGTCCTTCTTCTGTCCCTTCAAAAGATCAACAAGTGATATTAACTTGGAATGAAGACGTTCTAGTATTTCCAAATTGTAAGCCTCAGTGACCTTCTCGAACTGAATGCTGTTGTCTATCTCTTCAAAAATTTTTAGAACAATTGAATATTCTTCTGTTCCCTGTCTGACAACTGTGAGAAGCAAATACTTAATGCTATCGTAGACTTCAATTACAGCACACCGCCTATACTCATTATTGCTAATTTTTAACCAAATCCACCTGTCAGGTGCATCTGCCAGCTCTATTGCCTGATTGAGAGCAAGCAATAACTCATTGCACAATAACACACACGGCCAGCGAATAACTCTGATATTCCAACAATTAGGTGGCAGTTCTAAGAGCTCAAGCTCTCTATCACTGATGATATCTTCTTCTCGGAAAGTTGTGATGATCTCATTCCATATCAAGGCAAATCTGGTCGCCTCCACTTGGCTTGATTCAATCTTTTTGTACGGCTGACCAAGCCCATATCTTAATTTCAATCTATGGATTGCATCTCGGAGCTTCTTCACAAGCGTCATTTTAGGACCAAGCAACTGCTCTTCAGGCATGAGATTGAACTGCAAAGCACTGGCAAAGAATGGAAATCTAAGCCGAAGCTGTCCAATGTTCCTAATTTCACCCAAGTGTGAGAACAGCCCAGTTGTTGCACCAACAAATGAAGCGAATATAGAATACCAGATTTGCAAATCCATAAAAAATATTGAAAGAACTGGCAACCAAATCAACACAACTGCGATTCTGTTACTACTACCAAAAAATTCATGCCAATTATAAGTCACGTTTCTAAGATTCAGTAGAAACCTTGTTGGAGTAACCATTGGCTTGATTTGAAGGAAATAGCTGAATATAAATTTTGAAGTCAATACTGCAATCCAAAACAAGGTATACTTAACGTTATTAACAAGCCCTTCCCTCAGCCCACGCCCCACAAAAATCCGAGTATGAAACCACCATGTGAACACATACAAAATACTCCAGTCCAATTCCTCAAGGGCATTCCTAATCCAAGGAAGTACAAAAAACACCAAAGCCAGCAACTCAGGGATAACAAACACAAAGACAGCCTCAAGAAAGGTCACAATTCTACTATTCGCCTCATCAGACCATGACCCAGCAGAATTCTTTGCGCTCCATATCCTCCCATAGAACACTCCGAACACAACAGTCCATGTCAAAGCAACCACACTTTTTAACACCATCCTGACCCCTAGCAACATTGTGTCCCTCGAAACCAAACTATACTGAGTCCCAGCATCAAGAATAGACTGTAGAAATCTAAGCCCACCCCAGGTGATAAAACATGTCAACAACTCAACCTGTACATCACGTTTCTTCAATGCCTGCCACGGATGGTCAGTACCATCCCAAGCAACAATTAGACTAGCCTGCAAAAACAAAATCAGCAAAACCCAAAGCTTATCAAAACTCCTAAAAACATTCCAAAACGACCTCTGCTCCACAAACCCAGTCTTGCCTACTCTCTTAGCCTTCTCAACAGTAGCAAAATAATTACAACCAAAGTACATCACGTTTCTTCAATGCCTGCCACGGATGGTCAGTACCATCCCAAGCAACAATTAGACTAGCCTGCAAAAACAAAATCAGCAAAACCCAAAGCTTATCAAAACTCCTAAAAACATTCCAAAACGACCTCTGCTCCACAAACCCAGTCTTGCCTACTCTCTTAGCCTTCTCAACAGTAGCAAAATAATTACAACCAAAATTAATAGGCCATCCCAGCTTTTTAAAACACCTCCTACTCCAAAAGAACTCATTTAGATCATCATAATTTCTCCAAGCCGAATGTGGCTTAGTCCCATTTTTACTACTATCAACTTCTGCTTTAATTGTTTGGTAAAAAGGCATTACAATGCACTTCAAATATGCACATTCACCATAAATTGAAGGCACAAATGGCCTACCAGTATTTGGGTCAGGCCATTCATCGAGAACTTGATTCAGTTCCATAGCCATATGGTGATATATATAGCATACACACTCAGGCATGAACCGAAGATTAGCTGATTCGCCCCAAATTAGAAGGTAGAGAGCAACGTAGAGCAGCTCGCGCCGGAGTTCGTTGCTGTTATTGCTACGCCTAGAGTGAGCTGCTTGAGATTTCCGGCCGAGGTAGGAGCACCAGGAAGTATAATTACTCAATAACTTATTCCGGAACCGGCGAAGCACCCTCGGGTCCAGTTCGTCTGGAATCCGAGGTGGCGGTTGCTGCCGCATTTGTGAGTTGGCCAGGTGCAGCACCAAGTGTTCTCTCTGGTTCCGCACGTTGTCTCTTTGAAACCCAAAGAGAAGTCCAAGCCAGTCCATCAAGTCCATGCGCGGGTCCCAAGTAACAAAAGGCGGCCTCGGTAAGTTACTGACGTCTCGCAAGAAGGCGGCGGCGGCTCGCACCTCCGGATACCGGAGGGACGGATGGTCGGATAGGAGGTCATGGATAGGGATTATGTTGTAAACATCCGGCAATGGCGGCCGCGGCGGCGCGTGGAGACCATTGGGGGAGCGCGTGGGCGCAACTGGCCTTTGCCTTATACTCATGGAAGCAAAGAAAGGCAACAAAATTGTTTCTTATCGTCTCATCTCAAACCGTTTTTGCTTCCGTTTTCATTTCTAGTGCTTCAGCTTGACATAAAAGTGGCGAGGAAGAGGGAAGAAGGGGTGGCTTTGTGCTGGTAAATGGACATAAAAAGAACTGAAAAGCTTACTAGAAAAAGGCCAGTTTTTTTTTGGATAACTCAAACACGAAAGTGAAGTGCGGAGGATTGTTTGTATGTTGGTTTTGGTTGTTGTCAAGAAATTTACATCTGTGGATGTTGCGTTCTTGACCACGCGCTTTTAAAGGAGTGAGAAACACGAAGCAACAAGTGAGGTGATGAGTGGTGATCATGTGGGAGCCCACGTAACTTTAAGTATATCTTGACGAAAAATTCTAAGAAGAGAAAGAGAAAAGACGCAACGTTACTAATTTGCAATAATTAATACAATGAATATTCACTGCCTCCTTAGGTCCCCTTAGCTTTATGAAACGACAGCGTGCAGTAAAGTCTAGTGCAGACGTTTCATCAATTGGTCAAGATTCTATTTTTCTTTCCAATTGATTGTTCGATGATATAAAATAATAGTATTACAGAAGAGAATCTCTCAGACATGCGATTGGTTGTGTTCTTTTTGTAGTGTAGTGAGCGGATCATGTGCGGTGCGTACTTGGTAACTAAAAATGGCAGACAAACCCACAATTCTATGTTGGCATTACACAATTGATAGATACATAATTACATATGCAAATGCTTTCCTCCATTACCATTCAATAAAATTATTATTTTTATCATTTCATTTTATTAACTTTACACATTTTCCAAATTGAGTATAAGTTACCAACTTGAAATATTTTAGAGTTGAAATAATTTAATTAACAAATCAACTTGGTACCCTATCACTTCATAAAATGACACTTTTTAAAATTTATTAAATGGAATATTGGACAGGAACCCATATGAGAAATCGTTCTTTTAAGTGAAGGGGTATAGCTATATTATAGGATTTTGATGTGCTAACTAATGCAGCAAGGTTACTTGAAGCAGTAAAATAAGTAAGACTCTAATACTAGCTAAGGAGATACAAAATTGACAACTGCTTTCTGGATATGGAAGTTGGAAGCTTTGATACGTTGCATAAGGTGCAGCATCAAAATACGAATAGAAGCTATTAAATACATGCAATGAATGCCACCAGTCTACCAGATGTCTCAATAAACACTACTATATTTGTAATCTACTTCTAATTAGCATTTTATACAAAAAAAAATTAAGACAAAATAATAATAACATCAGAAAGTGGTGTAAAGAATGATACTTTGATGAGGTGTATTAGTTCAGAGAATGTGAAATGTTAGATGCCATGTTGTGGACATCACCAGTAGTCTTGACATGAACATAAGCCATCCTTGAAGTGGTGGAACCGAAGCTTATCCCTAACTACAATTTCTCTGTTAGCAACAATTGAAATGTACTTTATTGCCCAATGACAGTCTTCACACATTCGAAGATTCTTTACAATCCTGATAGGAACTTCATCATTGCTCATTTTTAATAACCCAAATGCTACGGCAAGCTTTTCACTATGGTATCTAAGTGCAAATTCCTTTTCCTCCTCTTCCAATTCATGCATCACCGACTCTGATACTGTTGCGTAGCCTAACTCTCTACACTGCGACATCAGTTCATCTAAATAACGATAAATTTCATTTGTCTCAGGGTGTGACTTGTCACCCATGCTAAACAAATAGGTTCTCCGGTCAACTTCTATCGTACTATAGCCAACTTGCTTCTTCAAACGCTTTCGGATCATGATGTTTCTAACTATTTCCACTCGGTCCATTCTACCCGCCAAAGCATATATATTTGAGAGCATCACATAGTGACCTGGATTGTCTGGTTCAACAGCTACTAGATGCTCAGCAACTTTTACACCAAGATCAAAATTCTTATGCATCTTGCAAGCCCCAAGCATAGCTGTCCAGATAGCTGCAGCTGGCTCCTTGGGAATTTCTTCATTGATAAAGTTGTACGCGTCATCAAGGAGTCCAGCACGCCCAAGCATATCTACCAAGCAAACATAATGCTCTACGCCCGGCACCAAGAGATACTTTTCCCTCATGATTGCAAACACCAAGCGACCTTCTTTCACTAGCCCTGCATGAGCACATGCAGTCAAAACAGCAACAAATGTAATACGATTAGGAGATGGACCTTTTCTTCTCATTTCATCAAATAACTCAACCGCTTCGCGACCATAACCATTCGTTCCATATCCAGATATCATTGCTGTCCAAGAAAAAACATTTTTTTCATTGATGGAATCAAAAACTTCTCTCGCTTTCCTCACGTCCCCACACCTGGTATACATGTTAATCAAAGACGTACCCAGCACCACATTTAAATCCAAACTATGCTCAATGATATACTTATGCACCCAGCACCCCAAACAAAGTGCTCCCAACTGAGCACAAGCTGATAACAAGCTTACAAAGGTGGTCGAATCAGGCTTTACACCCACTTCCCTCATTTTCTCAAACAACAGAGTTGCCTCCTTCCCAAATCCATTTTGCTCGTATCCAGAAATCATTGAATTCCATGCCACAACGCTCCTTTCCGGCATTTTATCAAACACCTTCCTCGCATTACCCAAATCACCGGACTTGGCATAAAAGGCCACCAAAGCTGACTGCACATGCACATCCAAGCCAAACCCATTCAAAAAAACATGTCCATGAATGACTTTACCAAGTTTCAAGGATGATAAATCAGCACAGGATTTTACAACAGATGTGAAAGTATAATTTGACGGTAAGATTTTGGAAAGGAGCATGCAACCATAGAAATAAATAGAATAGATGGAGAAGTTGTGAAATTTGGATGTGGATTTGATTAAGGAATTGAATAGAAAGGCATCAGGCTTTGTCACAGAGAGGAAGATTTGGCGAGTGTAGGTAATGGAGCCTGCAGCGCAAGCTAGATTGAGAAGCTTGGTGAGAAGGGATCGGCTGTGACCAAAGCCCAAGACGATTATGTGGGCGTGGACTTGCTGGAGAGGTTTGAGACGAGGACCCGCTTTGAGAAGAATGTGGTAGGCTGGGGAGTGAGGGAGTGGAAGGAATTGTTTTGTTTCCATGAAAGTTTGCCATGAAAGCGGGAGAAAACAAAGGATGGTTGTCTTGACCGCTCAATTTGTATCGTTGGTGGCGGCACGGAATGTACTAAGCAGACGTCAATAAAAATTTTTACTTAAAAAAAATTAAAATGCAGGCTGTGGGGTTCGAACCCACGCGCACTTATGTGCAGAAGATCTTAAGTCTTCCCCCTTAACCTCTCGGGCAAACCTGCTTGTTGTTGTCGATTTCCAAATCCTACCATCTATATCCGCAACAGAACTCACGCACCCAGTTTTGAAGCTTAGTAAATCATTGGCCCTCAGTTTGAGGGCTTTTATCAGGTTCTTTTTTCTCTTTAAAAAAAAAAAAAAAAAAAGAAAAAGAAAATACTTTAGAAGAGAATGTATAGAGCTTAAGTGAATATTCACATGTTTGATTAAATTTTCAATAGAGGGATTTGGCAGTGCAATACTTCAAGCCTTGGCAGATATTAGATCACTAACTTTAGTTCACAGTAATATATGAATGCACCAACATTGCAATCATAAATGTGATATACATGCAACATTATTCCAATGTACTTCTCGATCATTTACTGTTCCATTGCACATTATGATTTAGTTTGTGCTGAAACAAATGGAAAGAAAAAGGTCTAGTAGAAATGAGCTTTATTCAGCTCATACAAGCACTCACATACACAATTCCATAGCTAGAACTACAAGTTTGTTGTTTAGCTGAAGATTATGTCTCTGAGCTGAGGCCAATAACAAGTGAGACCGAACTCTTTCTCTGCAATCTGTTCATCATCACTCTAGGAGAACTGTCCTGCTGTTTTTGGTAATAATGTTCTTGTCAGCAGAATTAGCTTTCTCATCATCTAGTGGTACCATAGAAGTTTCAATATTGATAGACATGGTCACTGTACATGTGGGCTGTTGAATTCAAAGATTGGAGCATTGCTTCTCCTCTTTCGTTGAAATCAAACACTGATATGCCTCCATTATTCACGTCGATGGCACGGAACCTGAACCGACAAAAACATTTTTAGGGCAAAATGTTAATAAAATCAAGCAGAAATGTGTCTTCATCATTTTAAATTTTCAAATATCAGAAATAAAAGGAGAGTTTCTTTATTTTATATTTTATTATTAATTTTGATATGTTTTGTTTTGATCTATGAGATCGACCTATTATGTGACAATCATGCAAAATTACTAATAACTAATGAACCAAAGCAGAAACTATTCTTAGCAATCTGAAGGCAATAAAAATGTTAAAACCATTGTTTAGTTTCTTTGTGATCGTTAATAAAACAAGAACATATAATTTTCCGTTGTAAAGAACTGCCAAGCTTCTTGTTAAAAACTATCATACATCCTACAACTCACAAGGATCACCTCAAGTAACTGCCCTGTTGACTCCAACAATACTGTCACATACCTCTCTGGGCCTAGCCCCAAAGCTGTGCAGATTAATGCTCTCAAGATTGACTTGTGTGTTACAACCAAAAAATTTTGTCCCTGATGCATGAAAAAGATTTTCACGTCAGTTATATAGTTTTCAGGAAAGAACTATATGAAGGAAAAATAAAGAGCTCACAGGTGAAAGCAAGATTTCTGTCCAAGCTTCTCTGGCTGTGGCCCATATTTTTCGGATAGGGTAGACACCGTTCACATAAAAATTAGCAGGATTTTCTCTCCACATTGTAAACTCCTTTGGATATCTCTCTCTAGCATCCACTGCCTCCAAGGACTGAACATGGTTTAGTCTTACAGCAATTATAGAAAGAATAGAAGCTAAGTACTTTTCTTAAGCTTGGCTTGGTAACTATATCAACAAGTTTCAAGCTACCTAAATACACTCTCTTAATTGTAATTGAACGAGATTCTTAAAGTTTGACTCAGTTATAAGCAAGTCGAGATTATAATAAACTAAAACATGCATAAGCATGCCAAAAGAACAGTTTATAACAGAAGTACAGTTCTCAAATTCCAAAACAAAATGAACAACCACAATAGAAGGGGACAGACCATTTTTCATGCCTTCAAGGAAAAATAGATGGGCCTCTTCTAGTGAATCGAGGAAAACTAATGGTTCTTCCCTCCCTTGCCATATGATTTCTGCAGTAGACTGCAAGAATACCCATGGTTGTTATCTTGTAATTGTTTGATTAAAGAAATCCAAAAAAAAAAAAAAAAAAAAAAAGCAGTAGACTTGCAAGAATACCCATGGTTGTTAATCTTGTAATTGTTTGAATTAAAGAATCCAAAAAAAAAAAAAAAAAAAAAAAATTGAGAGTTATTCAATTCATCATTGCTAAACAAAACCTTGCGCCAAACGAGATATGGGACTTGAAAAGCACTTTGTCAAAGTGTATATTAAAAAAAAAAAAAAAAAAAAAATTGAGAGTTATTCAGTCATCATGCTAAACAAACCTTGGCACGAGATATGGGACTTGAAAAGCACTTGTCAAAGTGTATATTTGCCATGGCTTGCCTACACCTCTCTGCTTGCCTCACTCCAGTTTCAGTTAAGACAGATAAGTTTGAGCTTCCCTAGACATTCATTAGCAATTGAATAAGCATTCAAATTGTCAATGGAATTACGGACAAGAAACAAGAAATAAGTAATCTACAGCTGACGTACAAACCTGAATTCTACCCTCTTCATTCCAAGAGCTAAGCCCATGTCTTACAATAGTGACCTTCTTTGATGATGACAACAATTTCCGAGTAAGTGATGTTGTTGCACTTTCAAAACCATATGCACCATCAGTGACTGATGCATCATTTTGAAGCATGTCTGTTAAAATTTTGCAACTAAATTCAACTTCAAGTGGGAAAATTTGCAAAGTAGAATCTCTCATAGGTGGAGAGGAAAAATAAAATTAAAAAGAAAACCTTCCTTATGCCACCCAGGTTGACATTATATTTAGGTGTACTAAAATACACTCCATTATATTCAGACAAAAATATGAAAATATGCATTTCTTTCTTTGCCAAACATATTCAATTGCATACAGACTATACTTAACAAGATTCTTTCTTTAAAGAGAGTAAATCTTGCCTAATGGAGTTCTTTCTTTGACAAAAAATTCTAAAATCTTTCACCTTAACAACTGTTATAATTGTCCCCAAAGGACACCCTTTGGCTCTATGCTCCAAGTGGCATAAGCCATAAACATTCTTTGCTGCAGTTTCTGGATATGCTAAGGCAGTTGCAGCTAGCACACAACCATCCAGAAAAGGAGGAGCTTGAGTAGGCTTGTATGACCACAAGCAGGTGAAACACTTGGCAAAGGCCTTTGAACATCATTACACCTCTCAATTCTAATCTGGCATAATAAGTTTCTAAATTACAACGCATTTTATCTTTCACTGCTGGAATTCTTTATGCAAAAAGCCAAAGACCATCCATTTGACATTCTTTCCTCGATATAATATCAAACGGGTCCCCGCTACTAATCCAAGAAAACTCAAAATGTTAAGGTCTACAAGCCACCTTAATATTAGAAATACTTACAACATTAAATTCTTAATAACTTACCCGAGGAAAATAATGAGAAAATTGAACTTACCAGTTGCAAGAGGCATGTTTGGACTAGAATTTGAGCATTGGATTCTAAGTCTTACAGGGCATTTAGTGGATCTTCTTGAATTAGATATAGTGTTGAATCTTGAATACAGAGGGATTTTGAAGGTGAGAACTTCACAAACCATCTTGCTGTGAGGTGGGCTTAAGATTTCAAAGCTTTTGTATTTATGGAAAGGGCAGTAATTCTTTCAGTTTCTTTTGCTTTTGTTTTCCATTTGGCTCTATGTTTCTTATGCATTTATGAAGGAAATGTTACCCTGTGGGGTATCATAGCTGGTAATCAGATAATCTCGTTGATAATTGGCGATTGGGTGGTGGGTACTGTGCTATTTGTTTGGTTTATGGAGATTGTTTTGGCATTTTCAAGAACGATTGTTGTCCTCACATTCATTTCCAGTGGATGGATATGCCACCGAGACATTCATGGATGCGTTTTAAATTTTTAATGGTTAAGGTGTGTTTTCCTTCTATGGAGGGGAAAGTTTCTCTGTCGTTTAATCCACTGAGAAATGACAGGAAAACTTTTCCTCCCATTCAAAATTTTGTTTCTGTTCCATAGCCAATTTCAACTCACCCAGCCCAAGGCCCTAGGCCTTAGTTTTAAGAATCTAGGCTAGCTTCCCATTTTTTTGGGCCTTGGATTATGGCCTTGTGGCTTCACAATGAGTATTTTGTTGTAAAAGTGATGATGTTAGTTTTTTTTTTATAAACCCCTGCATCCGATCCTATAATTACGAATTGCCTAATTTGATTTCGAATTTAGTCACAGTTAAGATTTTTCGTTCCTCCCTGTAAATGTGTTTAATGGAAATCAAATCTAAAAACTCTTCCCACATGCTGAGTTAGCTTTGCCAACTGATCTACAAACTATACATGATGATATTGGTAACTTTTATCAGCCAAGGATATCCATTGCACAATAAAATTCTATCTCAGACACACACTCATATAATAAACTTAAAGTGAGAGTACATAATAGTTTACCTCAAAATTGTACAATATATAATCATAAACTTAATGATAGTGATCACTAAAGAGACATTAAGCACTGACAATTAAGAAGAGAACGAAGGACAGGAGCTTTGGTAATTAACATGATTACTGGGATCTACATCTAAGGCTTTACAGCAAAAATTGGACTGAGAACCGCATGAAGGGATATGAGAAGAAGCACAAAGTAAAAAACAGCAGCAACAAAACCACAAATAAGAGATACAGTGACTTGGTCACAAAATTTGGGAACTTGTCCACATATAGGTAGCCAACCAGCATGGCTGTTCCCTTTCTTTCCCACTTGAGCTATTGCCAAGGCAGCCGTTATGCTTGTGCTGAGCAGCACTGTTATTACCTATATATACATATATAATAATCACACAGTCAAATTAGTTACAGATATCCATTTAAAAAGCAAAAAGAAATTTACAGGCAACGAAACGTAGGAACTACCATGTCAAGAATGACAATTAAGCGTCCAAGAAGACTTTCAGAGCAGAGGATCAGCAAGATAACTATAATGGTATAAACACTTGCAATTGCTTCTGCGATCACGAAATACCTGTTTATATATATGCCAATAGTTAGCGATGTTATAAAACCAGAGCAAAAATAAATGGTATCGTCACTCACTTGAACGCGGGTGTGTTGCTGTATTTTGCAGTGAAAGTTAAGTTTAACACTTGAGTGGAGTCGCGGCTCCTGACCATGACAACAATAGCAACCACAGTGGCAGCCAAGGACAGAAGCCTTAGGATGAAGGAGAAGATCTTCTTGAATTTAGCCATGGAGGAATTTCGTATAGTTGTTTATGAAAGTAGAAAAATAATAAGAACGGAGTATGTTAACGAGTTTTAAACGTGAAACATACTGAAACGTAAAACTGGTAGATGCAGGTGAGCGAGTGAGGAGGACTAGGCGTTAGAAGACAGATATAGAGGATGGGCTACTTGTTAACATGATCATGTTCCAAGAAAAAAATTGTTTGGTAACCGGTAATTGTTTGTACGAAGTCAAAGTCAAAACGAATCATTTAAATGGGCTTAAAGCTTAATTAGCTCTTTTTAATTATAGGTAATTTGTGCGGGAAAAATCATTAGAATGGCAATTGCGAGAAAATCGAAAATTGGCAAATCTAATTGGCTAGAATTATCAATCGTCTGTTCAACTGCCCACCCCCAATCGAAACGGATGTGACTATTTTTGTCTACGTGGAAGCAGGCTCTCTTCTTCTTCTTCACTATTGTGTGAAATATGGACTGGGTTTATACATTGAAGCAAGGACGATGAGCCCAAAATGTAACATCCATTGAGACGGGCTCACCATTCTTTTTCTTTTTGGGCCCGGGGCTCCACCCAAAATTAGCCGGGCGGTTCAGGTTGGGTCAACATCTATATGCGAAGAAAGAATAGAGAGGGGAAAGAAGGGATAAAAGGAAAATTCCACGTCATCGGTCACCGCCTTCCTAAGTCTACTCCCCGATAAAAGCCACCGTGCTTCCGTTTTTCGGCCTCTTTGACATAACTCTTGATGACCGAACTCGTGAATTCTCTTTGGAACCTCGTTTTAGGGTTTCACTGCACGTACTTTATCCATTAATTAAGCGTAAAAAACATAAAAAATAAATAAGTGGAAAAACAATACTTCGTTAACTAGTAATATCAAGACAATTGTTTTAAAAGGATATCAGTCTACGCCATGGACGACGAACATGAGTACGATCAGCCTCTGAACGATGAAGAAGATGATGGAGAGGAGGAGATCACTCAGGAGGATGCATGGGCTGTTATTTCTGCCTACTTCGAAGAGAAAGGTTTGGTGCGCCAACAGCTTGATTCGTTCGATGAGTTCATCCAGAACACGATGCAGGAAATCGTCGATGAGTCAGCTGATATTGAGATTCGTCCTGAGAGCCAGCACAACCCCGGCCACCAGCCCGATTTTGCTGAGGTACTTTGGGTGTTTGAGCAGTGCTTTGTTATTTGGTTTTAGGGTTTCTAGGATTTTACTGGAATAAGCGTACTTGCTTAAATGTTATTTGCATTTTGGGACCAAAGATTCTAATTTTGGTTGACTATTTTACTCATCAATGCGCTTCTCGATTTATTCAACTGGTTGTTATATTACTTGTTTAATAGCAAGTTATGCAAGTTTTTGAAGTTCAAGCTTGTTGAAGTTTGTACATCACTGTCTACTGTAATGCCAAAGTGTTTGGCAAATTGTCTGCTTATTTGGTTTCTCTGAGTAATTCTATCAGAAGCATTCTTGTACAATGGCTTTATTAGAGATATTTCTGCTCTCAACATTTCTATTTAGTTGTTGGAGTCTCTGTTCTGATGGTAAGTATACGCTAGTCTATAACTAGAGTTCCCTGTTCATTCTAAGTGATGGAAAGGTTTAAACTTTAAATTGCTCGAAATGCTCAGATTGTTTCATCAAGATTGTGGAAGATAAAACCATAGAAAATTACCTTAGTTGTGATAGGTCCTACATTATTCCTCTTGTATTATTTCAAAGCATGAAAATACCCGTCTGAAATTAAAGTAATATTTGTTCTGATATGAATTTTACATGGTTTTGTTCAGGTTCATCAATCTTTTATATTCAATGTACATTTGTTTCTCTGGCGATATTTTCCACATCCTGAATTTAATTATAGGAGATGAATGGCTTAATTTATTGAATCTCTCAAATTAGATTTGGCAAAAATATACTATTTTGTCAACAATTAGTTTATTGTATTTAATAGGATTGCTTTCTTTCGTTTCTAAAAATTCTCAAAGGACAAGATATCATTGATCCCTGTATTGCCATATTTTGCAAGCTCTAGAGAGGTGCATGTGTAAACTTGCCAATTTTTATAGTGCCCATAGTCTCATATGTAAATATGGTAATAAGTTTTTAGAGTCTGCAGATTAATTGCAAAGCATTATCTCTGTTGCTGCATAATGTTTGGTTGTAACTCTTGGCTTTATCTGCAGACTATCTACAAGATAAGCTTTGGTCAGATATACTTGAGCAAGCCCATGATGACCGAGTCAGATGGAGAAACTGCAACTTTATTTCCCAAAGCCGCAAGGTTGAGGAACCTTACATACTCTGCCCCCTTGTATGTGGATGTTACAAAGAGGGTGATAAAGAAAGGACATGATGGTGAAGAAGTCACTGAAACACAGGATTTCACTAAAGTTTTCATTGGGAAGGTGTGAAAAATAAAATGTTCATATGTTCATTGATAAGTTGATAAATGTGATTGTGGGAATTAAAGCACTCATTGTTGTATTATTTCCTATTAGGTTCCTATAATGCTTCGTTCAAGTTATTGCACACTGTACCAGAATTCAGAGAAAGATCTCACGGAGCTTGGGGAGTGTCCTTATGATCAGGGTGGCTATTTTATCATTAATGGGAGTGAAAAGGTTCTGATTGCTCAGGAGAAGATGAGCACCAATCATGTTTATGTGTTCAAGAAGAGGCAGCCAAACAAGTATGCATATGTGGCAGAAGTTCGGTCTATGGCAGAGTCCCAGAACCGTCCACCTAGTTCCATGTTTGTGCGGATGCTTTCTCGGACTAGTGCCAAGGGGGTGAGGGAAACAATGTTTTATTATGTATCGTTTCCATTCTTGTAGAAGTAGCATATGATATCTATTTGTCTTTCTCTTAACCCCTTATTTCAGGGATCTTCAGGGCAGTATATTAGGGCTACACTTCCATATATTCGAACTGAAATTCCAATTATTATTGTGTTTCGGGCGCTGGGATTTGTTGCTGACAAAGATATATTAGAACACATATGCTATGATTTCTCTGATACTCAAATGATGGAGTTGCTACGGCCTTCTCTAGAAGAAGCTTTTGTGATTCAAAATCAACAGGTACATCCTTTGTTATTTGTTTGGTTCTTTTCCCTTTATTGTTGGCTTTTGTAGTTTCGTGGCAACGTTTTTCTCTTTAGTTGTCAAGGACATGTTTACTTTTCTAGTTGTATTGCTAGCTTGTGTGCTCTTCAGAGTAGACTGTATGCTGTAATGTTTTCTGCAGGTTGCACTGGACTACATTGGTAAGCGTGGAGCTACTGTCGGTGTAACTAGAGAAAAAAGGATAAAGTATGTTACTGTTTGCTACTTTATTCTGGCAGCCAGAATTTTTGTCTGAATTTTTTATGTGTATTGAGAATCTTCTGTTCATCGTCACAGGTATGCTAAAGAGATCCTTCAAAAGGAAATGCTTCCTCATGTTGGTGTTGGAGAATATTGTGAGACAAAAAAAGCTTACTATTTTGGGTATGTTTTGTTTCAATAAGATGTGAATTTGTCATTGTGGCTTGTAACTGACAAATAATTATTTTTATGCCAGTTACATCATTCACCGGCTTCTACTTTGTGCACTGGGACGGCGGGCAGAAGATGACAGAGATCATTATGGCAACAAGAGGCTCGACCTTGCTGGTCCTTTACTCGGTGGACTCTTTCGAATGGTTTGTGTTTTGTGTGGGAAAGTTTGGAGGGTGCTTGAAATTTCTCTGTCATTATTTTTGTTTGTAATTTCTTTGAACTTTGATGTCCTTGCTTGCAGTTATTCAGAAAGTTGACCAAGGATGTCAGATCTTACGTGCAGAAGGTTTTTGCTTCAAAAAGCCAGTTCTTGTCAATTCATGTAATTCAATTTTTCTTCAGGGTTGTTTACCTACATTTTTTATGGATGATAGTGTGTGGATAATGGGAAGGATGTCAATCTGCAATTTGCTATTAAAGCAAAAACCATTACTAGTGGTCTTAAATATTCGCTTGCCACGGGGAACTGGGGGCAAGCAAATGCTGCTGGTACAAGAGCTGGAGTGTCACAGGTTTGAGCCATTATAATCTTCTGTGTTGTAAATTTGACCAATAATGTATTTGCTTTTTAACTGTTTTCTTGTCCTTATGATTTCCTAAAATGTTATCTCGTACTGCATTTCTATTTTCTTTTTACAAAATTTTTGAAATATAGGTGTTAAATCGATTGACATATGCATCTACGTTGTCACATTTGCGAAGATTAAATTCTCCAATTGGGCGTGAAGGTAACACTCTGAATGATTTTATCATCTATCTTGGATTTGCTTTTTTTCCTCCTTGGAGCCGCTGCAATACCATTTTCTCTTTTGTCGCTATCTCTCTTTGTTTGAGCTCAATCATGGGTTCTGTAACCAGGTAAATTGGCTAAACCAAGGCAGTTGCATAATTCACAATGGGGAATGATGTGCCCCGCTGAAACACCTGAAGGACAAGTGAGTCTTGTATCTCATGCATCATGTAATAATAGGCATTTTAAGGAGCTGGATGTTTCTAATGAATATGTTTTGCTGTAACATTAGGCTTGTGGATTGGTGAAGAATCTTGCATTGATGGTGTATATAACTGTCGGATCAGCTGCATATCCTATCCTGGAATTTTTGGAAGAATGGGGCACTGAGAATTTTGAGGTGTTCACTATTTCTCCTCGGTGTGAATGGATGCTTGATTTTCTGTTATGCTGTTTCCCGTTTCGACAGTTCTGACAGTTCCCTTCCATTTTAGGAAATATCTCCTGCTGTTATTCCCCAAGCTACAAAAATTTTCGTTAATGGTTGCTGGGTGGGTATCCATCGTGATCCTGATATGTTGGTCAAGACATTGAGACGACTGAGAAGACGGGTCAGCATACTCAATTCATTTTTTTAGTAGAAATTTCTGGAAAAGGATCTTTGTTCATTTGCCATAAGTGAAATATGTTTTTTTGAAATGGTAGCATTCCATATTGACAAATTGCAGAGTCCCTTGGAATGTGTCTTTTGTATGATCTTTTGGGGGTGGAGGATTTTGAGGAAAAATTAAGTGTGAGGTCATAAAAAGATGTATGCTTCCTTTTGTGTAGGCAGTGGTTTCCATGCTATAATACAGAAATAAGAGTTAAAAGAGTGTGCCTTGCAAACTGGGGATGAAGTCTTAATATTGAGTTGAATTCAAACTTTTTTTGAAAAAAAAAAAAAAAATTCCAAAATAGCTCCAGTGGCTCAACCTTTTGATCTCTTAATACCTAGAGTGCATGAAATCTGTCATTTAAATGCAGTTAAATCAGGGTTAGTGTGAACATAATACAGGGATTGATTTCATGTTGTGTACTGGTATTCTCTTTTAGTCAAATCCTTCTACAACAGAATTTTCTTTTTTTCACTATATGTTATTTTGGTGGATATCTGTGTGAACAAGGAAAGTGTTCTAGAAAGCTGATGGTCTTCAAATATACAGGTTGATGTTAATACTGAAGTTGGGGTTGTTAGAGATATTCGTTTGAAAGAGCTGCGGATATACACTGACTACGGTCGTTGCAGTCGTCCTTTGTTCATTGTTGAGAAACAGAGGCTTCTCATAAAGAAAAAGGACATTCATGCACTCCAGCAGAGGGTGAGAATATTAAATTTTAATCAGTATCTTCTCTGGAGGTCTCTTCCTGCTGTATGCCCTCTTTCTCCAGTGGTTTTAAGTCTGTGATTCTCTTTTTAACAGGAATCCTCTGAAGAGGGTGGCTGGCATGATCTTGTGGCTAAAGGTTTCATTGAATATATTGATACAGAGGAAGAAGAAACCACCATGATATCCATGACCATTCATGTGAGTGAAATAATTATGATTGGGAAAACATTTGTGTGGGATGTACCCTATTAGCTCTGTTGTTAGGAGGTTTCAGACCACATATAAAATTATGATTGTAAAATACTTGTTGCAGGATCTTGTACAAGCACGAATCAACCCGGAGGAAGCTTATTCTGATACTTACACCCATTGTGAAATCCACCCTTCACTTATTTTAGGTGTTTGTGCTTCAATTATTCCTTTTCCTGATCATAACCAGGCAAGTTTGGCATTTCTTGGGTAACTTTATCTGTGTTTCAATGACTATATTTTCTGTCCTGCTTTGCTTATTTGTTGTTGGTGCTTTTAGTCTCCTCGTAACACTTATCAATCTGCTATGGGAAAGCAAGCTATGGGAATATATGTCACCAACTATCAATTTCGAATGGTATGTTTTTTACCTTGATCCTTCTTTCCTTCTGTTTTTTTCTCCAATTGATTGATGCAGTTTGTTACATGCTTGTGTTGGTTCTTTCTGCAATGCACAGGATACATTGGCGTATGTTCTTTATTATCCTCAAAAACCACTTGTTACTACAAGAGCTATGGAGCACCTTCACTTTAGGCAGCTTCCAGCTGGCATTGTAAAGATTCGGTTTTATTAATTTCTGTCTCTCTTTTACTTCACACAATGTCACATCAGTTTTATTGATTTTTGACTCTCTTTTACTTCACACAATGTCTAAGACATCATTTGTGCCCTCCTTTCTGCCTCAGAATGCTATTGTTGCCATTGCCTGCTATTCTGGATACAACCAAGAAGATTCTGTGATTATGAATCAATCATCAATAGACCGTGGATTCTTTAGATCACTGTTCTTCCGTTCATACAGGTAAGTGAAGTGCTGGTACCTTTCTTGCCTTATGTAGTTCTGCATCTTGTCAAGTTGTGTTGTTGACACCCTCCAATTCACAGGGATGAGGAGAAAAAGATGGGGACACTAGTCAAAGAAGATTTTGGGCGGCCAGACAGAGCTAACACAATGGTGAGGAGTAGTTTTCAAGTGCATGTATTTCTTGCTTCCAGAAAAAAATTTCAAACATTGAATTGAGAATTTGTTTTATAGGGCATGCGGCATGGCTCCTATGATAAATTGGATGATGATGGCCTTGCACCTCCGGTAAGCATATTAATTCATCGTATTGACATTTTTTCTTGCTAGTTACATGAAATGTTATTTTCTTTATTTGTTATCTAAAGGCAATTTATTATGTGATTGTTAGGGTACAAGAGTTTCAGGTGAGGATGTCATCATTGGAAAGACCACTCCTATTGCTCAAGAAGAAGCTCAGGGACAATCTGCACGTTACACAAGGCGGGATCACAGCATAAGCTTACGTCATAGTGAAACAGGAATAGTGGATCAAGTAAGCTTGGTTTTGGGTTTGAGTTTGCTATATTAACATGGGGCCTTTACTAGCATTGAATTTCCAGTTCTGAGAGCATAATCTGTCAGATAAAATGCAAACTTATTATCTAGCTAGCAACTTATATATATGCTTCCTAGAATTTTGAAACACGAGGTTTTTGTGCTGCTTTTTTGTCCTGAGAACACAGATCATGATACCCCATCATAGATTCACAATTCAATGCTGAAATAATATATATTATCAGATGAAGTGTGTACTTACCGTACTTGCATATAACTGCGGTTTACATCTATGTTTCTATAAAATTGCAGACCTGATATTTTGTGAAACCTGCTTGTTCTGACAACTCGGACTCTTGTAGGTTCTCCTGACAACAAATGCTGATGGATTGAGATTTGTTAAAGTAAGGGTGAGGTCTGTCCGCATACCTCAAATTGGAGACAAATTTAGCAGTAGGCATGGGCAAAAGGGAACGGTGGGAATGACTTACACTCAAGAAGACATGCCTTGGACCGTGGAAGGCATTACCCCTGATATCATTGTGAACCCACATGCTATTCCCTCCCGAATGACAATTGGTCAGCTTATTGAATGTATTATGGGGAAGGTTGCAGCTCACATGGGAAAGGAAGGGGATGCTACCCCATTTACTGATGTTACTGTAAGTTGTGTCAGAATGCATGCTAAATTTCTAATTTGATGGTTGTTATTGTTCAAGCTTTATCCAGAGGCTTATTCATATCCACAAGACTCGATTAGTGGGTTTTCAATACTTGTTGATGACTGTATATATTAGCAAGTAAAAGCTGATGTCAATGAATTAGCAATACTAATGCTTTACCAGTGAACAATTTTATCGTTTTGTTGCATGATGGAAACAAATTTTAATATCCAGTAACTAAGAATGGAAATTCTCACGTCAGCACAAAGTATGCATGCTTGATCTGATGTTTGTTTCTTATGTTATATTTTAGGTGGACAACATTAGCAAGGCTCTTCATAAATGTGGGTATCAGATGCGTGGATTTGAGACCATGTACAATGGTCACACTGGTCGGCGGCTTACAGCTATGATTTTCCTTGGCCCTACTTATTACCAAAGACTGAAGCATATGGTTGATGACAAGATCCATTCACGTGGAAGGGGACCCGTGCAGATCCTTACTAGGCAACCTGCTGAAGGACGGTCACGTGATGGTGGCCTCCGTTTTGGGGAAATGGAACGGGATTGCATGATAGCACATGGCGCGGCACACTTTCTCAAAGAGAGGCTGTTTGACCAGAGTGATGCCTACAGAGTCCATGTTTGTGAACGATGTGGATTGATAGCCATTGCAAATCTAAAGAAGAATTCTTTCGAATGCAGAGGTTGCAAGAATAAGACTGACATTGTTCAGGTTATTTCCTTTATTAATTTTTCTTGATTGTCCATTTGCTGAATCTGTCTTCATTTTATGACTTGCTCGTGCCATTTTCATCCTCGCTTAAAGAGTTTTTTTTTTTTTACCTTTTGTCATTGATTGTATATGCAGGTGCACATTCCATATGCCTGTAAGCTGCTCTTCCAAGAGCTTATGGCCATGGCCATAGCACCGAGAATGCTCACAAAAGATATAAAACCAGTCAAAGACCATAAGAAAAAAGGAGCCTAATGTAACCAACAGTAACTTGGAAATAGTCACTCTCTTACTTTGTGGAGTACACAACCTGGTCAATCACAAGTACCTGGGTACAATGATTTAGGGGTATTGATTTATTGAGACTGGAGGAAACGGAAACTTCACAGCCACCTGCTGCATCGAGATCCTGCAAAGTTTATTTAATGTTTCTGGTTCAACAGAGATGTGAAGAAGGCATTGGATATTGAATTCCCACACTGTTTTAGATACAAAATTTAACGCGGATGTCAGTAGAAAAGAGCATCATCCAAGGTGTCTCTTCGAGTACGTGCCTAGAGAAGATTTGTTGTAATCTATGATTGGAAAGAGACTTTGGTTTCATATTTTCACCTGCAATTTTGTTTTTAATAATAGTTGCTGTATACGGTTGTGCATACAAGGAGTTGAACTCCTGGAGTGAGATTTGAACTTTAATTATTTAGCTAAATGTTCTTGACTAATTTAAATGTTGTATACCAATACCAATTTAGGTCTATTACTTAGTATTCCGTTGTTCTTTGTAAACTCGATATGAGCATTCACATTATGTCAAATTATATTATTATTATTATTATTATTATTATTTTATGGAGAGTGAACCAAGGTGTAATGACTAGCGAGTTTGTAGCTCAGCCCATGGTTAAAAATAGTAGCCTGAATTAAGAGAGCTTTTCTCTTCCCCTTCTGGGGCAATGGAAAAGAGCTGCTTGAATTATGAAAAAGCTTTCCATAGATTTTTGAAAACCTCTTTCTTTTTCCGTTCTCTTTTTCTTCTTTCTTTTTGTGAATTTTATGTGTCTATCAGCTGGTTTTCATAGCTTCTTGGGTTGGAAGCAATGCTCAACCCCCGAAAACCCATTGAAGAGTTTAGAAAGTAAGGCGAACATAACATCGCTTCAATGCTGGAGAAGCACGTCGCGCACTATTAACACAATAAATTGTTGGAACGACCATTCGTTGAGTTTTAGAATACGTGAAAGGCTTATCATCGAGAGGCAACAAAAGGCCCATTACACGCTGTCGTTCGACGAATGATCGTTGTGAATATAAGTCCAAAAACATCGTGCACCGATGAAGAATTGAAAGACAAAAACGTAATTTGATTTGCCTGACAATTTTCCTTTATTAATTTTCCTCCACTTGACTTTCGTACGTGTGATTGCGTTCGGCTGCCGTGCGGTTGCGAGAGAGACGATGAAGAGCACGGAAGCAGAAGCCATGGTAGAAGAAAAACACGAAGAGGAAGAAGGACCACCACCTGGGTGGCAATCTATTCCCCCTGCAGAGCCATCGGCACCGCCGCATCGACCTCCGTCCTCAGGTTAATCGCCTACATGTTCATTTTAAGTTAGACTAGCGTTATGCATTGCATATCGTTAAGGTTTCTAATAATAATGTTTGAGGAGTTGTTGCTTCTTAGTTTATTTGCAAATTCGCCATTTGAGGCCATGTCAATGTACTTCATGGAATTTGTGAATTGCAATTCAAGAGAAAGGAGAAATTTTTAATAAGTTCGAACTTGTATTCACTAATAGCTTGGCAGATACCTAAGTGTGATTGATATACTGCACTTGTTGCAGAAACCACTGAGAATTTGCTTTTATTTGAATGGTGATTCAGAGTTTCTAAAGGAAAAGTCTCCTAAGTTGTAAAAAGGTTTCAGCTTTCAAGGTATTGGCATGATATGGGATTTCTCTTAGAGTGTACAATCTACTTTTTTTTTTTTTTTTTTTTTTTTTTTTATTGTGTGTCTGTAAAAGAAAGACAACATTTATTTTTTGGATGCGTTTAAATCATAATATTTTCACGCAAGGTTATAGGCATTAGCTGTGAATTATTTCCCTACGAATACGACGAGTCAGGAGCTTGGAAACTAATTTCCCAACCTGATATAGAATTTTATATAGTGAGGTTATGTAATTGACACCACGAACTGCCTGCGATGTCAGAGGAATGCTTACTTTTGTCTCTTTCTTTTTCTGATGTAGAAATGGCTCAAATGGTTTGTGGTTCTTGCCGAAGCCTCCTTTCATATCCAAGAGGAGCCAGACACGTTCGATGCTCATGTTGTCAGATGGTCAACTTTGTATTAGAAGGTACTTTCCTTTTTCTTCTGTCTTCTAACTAATTAGCTGTTTGGTTTCTTGTGATCAATCAAATTTCTTATTTGACAGGAAGCCTTAAGTCCTAACTGAAGTTATGGTTTATTTTAGTTGCAAATGTAGATGCTTGGATTAGACATTATCCCTCTCTCTCCCCCCATTTTATCTTCTGAGATAACTATATGTCAGGTCAACTCTACAAGCAAGAAAATCTGATTTTGATATTCCTTCTCCGTGAATGGTATGAAATTTGCCGACCTGAAAGGCTCAAACAATTTGCACTATTATCAGAAATGAACATATTTCAAGTCGGCCCAAACTAATAATTGAAAGGGCTAATTAGCCAACATCTGCTTATTGGAATTGTTTACCTTTTAGGCACAGTACTATACCACCCATGAGTATGTTCAGTAGACTAAGGCCTTCGCTGCTAAAATTTTGCTTGACCTGATTACAAAACACAGACATTGTCACTATCATGAATGTAAATTAGGGTTTCCATCTAGATTTTTTTTTTTTTCCTTGGGCATGTGTATGCATCGATATTCCGTCTGGTATGTACAAAAGCTGAGATAATATAATGATCATAATTTATCTTGATCCCTCATTTTCAGCACATGAGGTTGGGCAAGTTAATTGTGGTAAATGCACAGTATTGCTTATGTATCCTTATGGAGCTTCATCAGTTCAATGTTCCTCCTGCCATTTCGTAACAGAAATTGGGGTATGTGAACAATTTTACATTATGTATAATCTTATCTTTGTCTTTTAATTTTCATTGGATTAAATTATTGTTGGCTTGCAATTTCTATTATTAAGTAGAAGGTATTCTATATTAACCACATTCGAGCACCATCATCATGCATGTTTTTGAACTGTAGTGTTGGAATCATCAGAACTCAATCTATCTTCAACTTCACCGTTCTTAGGTTTTGTATTGGTGATACAAAGTGTACCTTTTATTCTATGAGATACATTTTGTTAAGTTCATAGACACATCAAACTTTACTAGGCACCAGAATACATACATAATTGCAAACTTTGAGATAGATAATTGAAGGTTTTAAAAGAAAGTTCCGCACAAAATCGATCTTTTGTAACTAACATAGAAAGAAAAAAAAAAAAAAAAAAAAAAAAAAAAAGAAAAAAAAAAAAAAAAAAAAAAAAAAAGCTGAAATAACAATATCAACTAAAATATTTCTAGAGAATTATGGGCCCTTGGGTGTAAATTTCAATATGCAAAAAGTTAAAAAACAGAGTTATATTTCCGGCGTGTAGGTTCACAAACAGAGGCCACCAATGGTCTGTAATTCAGGGGCCACCCTCCCCCAATTTCCAAATGCTGTTCAGTGAGCGGCCGTTCGCGGGGTTCCTCATTCTTAAAAAAAAAAAAAAAAAAAAAAAAAAAAAAAGCTGAAATACAATATCAACTAAAATATTTCTAGAGAATTATGTGGCCTTGGTGTAAATTTCATATGCAAAAGTTAAAACAGAGTTATATTTCGTGTAGGTTCACAACAGGAGGCCACCATGGTCTGTAATTCAGGGGCACCCTCCCCCAATTTCAAATGCTGTTCAGTGAGCGGCCTTCGCGGGGTTCTCATTCTTAAGACTGCAGGCAGAATATGGCACCGCAACTGGATGGTATTTACTTCTTCAGATGATGGCTTTCCAGCCAGAGAATGATTTATGTGAGATAAATTATTTGAAAGTGCACATGAACTAGTGGACTCCGATAATTTTATCAAATTCATCTTAGAGATGTAGAAGCTATGAAGGCTTTGAGTTGCTTTATTTTGTGCACCCAATTCATTTAGGCCATTTGCTTGCAAATAACCTACTATACTGTACATTTTTTGTCCGGATCATTTTTCTGTACCCTCGACATAATCTACCATACTGTACTTTACTTGCAAGCAATCACGGTCCCAACCTTAACTTCCTCATCTTTAAGTTTCACCCGCCAACACCCAATCTTTTTCCCAATCAATATACATTAGGTTCTTGTCAATTCAAGTTGATTTATAATTTATTCTCTTATTCTATGAAGTGTGTAAACTATAAGGTTAAAAAAAACTCCATATCTAATGAATTAACTGCGTCCCTACATGAATTTTCAAACAAAACTAGAAAGAGGCTGTAGAGAAGGAATGAGTAGAAACTAATACAAAGGAAGTACAAATGAGAGAATGAAACTCTTGTATCTTATTAGTTGGAGTGGTAAGTATACATATGTGCAGCTGGCTAAAGCTAAACTAAAGAAAGGAGTAAAGTAAAAGTTATTCAGCAACTAACTCGTTTGACTATAATTATAAATTAGCTAACTAATTGTCTAAACAAGTAAATGCCTTAGTACTGTACGTCATAGAAACACTGTTGATTAAGGAAAGACTAGACAGAACCCTAACTACCTCACTCAATTACAAAACTTCGAAATGTTGGCGGGTTGCTTAATTTATAGATTCAGTAAAGGTCACATCTGACCAATGATGTTAGACGAGTAGCTAGGGTTCCAATCAACTCTAATTATAGATTCAGTGCTTCGACAGCACGTGAAACCATCAACTGCTGCGTTTGCAAATTAAACTTGCCAAACCAAAAGTGTACGAGTAAAAGCGATGATGATCCTAGAGCGATCAGGTAGGTTTCCATCAATTGGTATTAAGATTTTCATATATGTTATAAGCATATACCCTAAAGATTTTATCCAAACGTGATAATTCTGCTGGAACAAAGATAAGAAACAAGAGAAATGATTAAATGCTTACAAGTCTTTCGCAGACAGGATTTCATAAGCTAAATTGTTTTGGGATAGGAAGTAGCTATGTCTACAGCTGAAGGCTTGCACTCGCCATGCTGTCTTCTAATGCGATCTCTTAATCATCTGGTGGGAAGTCCTCATCTGAGGCATTTCCTAGGAATGAGCCAAGCGTTTTCCTCAAAATGCTGAAAGTTTTGTCATCCTGTGTTTTTCAAGCGAGAAAATGCAATTAATGGCCGTTCACATGAGGGACAGCATATCCAACAATCAGTAAATCGATGCCTGCTCCAGTTTTACCTGTTTTTTCCTTTTTAAGGACTCCTCCAATCTAGCAATCTTATCAGCACAAGTTTTCTCTTGTTCAGATATCATATTTTTCTCTTTCTTCCCTGACATTGACCAATAACAGAATTAGTGTGCAATAATGTTTCGCTCTAAGAAAGAACAAGTAATGTTAAACAGTGCTCACTTAATTGTTCATATCGCACGAACAGCCTGTCCTTGTCTTCTTCATATTTGGAAATGGTATCTGCCAAAGAAAATTAACAGTTGGCTCTGAACTCAACCAAAAGCAATCATTTGGGACTGAAATTGTTTTTTGTTTTTTTTATCATTCACAAACAGGAAGTATCAACGATGAAACGGAAGAAGATCATACAACATAGATTGTACTTAATAAAATTAAGGTAATCAAGAAAAATAATGAATCCAAATTAAATGTAACAGTAATTTAAAGAGTTAAGATTATTATTTACATTTTGTTCAAGATTATCTGTGACCAGATCTCCATAATACCCTTACAAAGTGATGATCTATATCTTGAAGTTGCATATTAATGTAAACAAAATGTAGCAGAAATTATATGGCCCGGAACATTAGCAACAGCTGAGAACATTCAGGACATTAACCGCAAAACTGGAACCTTGTAACAGGAACTACCTTTTAAGGCCTGCAAATGAGCTTCTTTCTCCTTGCAAAATTTTTCATATATCTCTTTAAACTTGGTACTCTCATTTTTCAGGCAGTTCTCACACTGCAGATGCATAATCACATGAAAAAAAAAACTATATTTCAGTCATTGCATCAAACGTCAACGTCCATGGGAAATCTAAATTTTATCCCTTCAAGTCATTAACCCCCTAATTAATATCTCCAAACCTCTTTCGAGCTCTTTGAAAGTGCCTTTGCAAAACTTTGCCTGAAAGAGAAAAACCCTTTATATGGATGAATTCACACGCATAAATTTGATTTTACATATGAATCTAATAGTTTTACTTTACCTGTCCTTTTCAATTTTCGATTTCAACTCATCAATCATGGACCTGATGTCAGACGCCACACTGTCACCATAAACAAAAATTACAGGCCCATACAAGCACAATTGTACATTTATTTTCTTTAACGACGAAGCAAAAAGAAACAATACTCAATGCTTTTAATTTTGAGCCCCTTCGTTCTGTTAATAAGCAAAAACGCTTGTAGTTTGATATAAAATGGTAAAACTCAAATTCAATTATCTAATACTTCGAAGATTTTGTTGTAGAATACTAAAATAGCAACATATCTCGCAAAAACGAAACGAGATTCAAATTCTTCAATCACAAAGAGAAATTGTCGAACAAAATACACACGGCACATAACTTCACTTGAAGGACTTTAAACAGACAGCCATCCATCTCTAGTCAGAGTCACCACATCTCTCAAAATAGAAGTCTATCGACCGGTTTCAATTAAAGCAAAACCGAGTCAACTCACCTTGAAATTGTTTCCTCGTTCTTCTTTTGATCGTCCTTTTGTGCTTTCTCTTTTATTTGTTGCAGCGCTGACATTATCCCCTTAATATCGCTGCACTTTCAAGACAGATAAAAAATCAGAGAAAGGAAAAATGAATGAGAGAATCTGATCTGAGACGAACCTGGAAAGATCGACATCGAAGTCGTCCTCGACACGGAATTTGGAGTCCGATTTGGTGAGTACCGATTCAGCGGCTCGTTTCTTGGAGCTTGTTTTCGCAGCCGACATTGTTAGTTCGTAGATTTCTCTGGAAATGAGAGAGTGAAATTCGTGATTTTGGGTTTTAGAAAGCTGAAACAAAATCTGAGTTTAGAGCGTCTTCATGTGGCGCCCCCGCTTAAAAACTTGGCTCTCGTTTCCGCAATTCAAATTAAAAATTGTCTGCAGTTTGTTGAATACTATTCCTTCTATTATCCTATAGTCAACTTCCACGTAGCCACATTCCAAGTCAGCTGCCTGTATGATTTTTCAATAATGCTTGTTCGCTCAAATTGATCTAAATCAAGAGGGTTATTGTAGGTTTTTCAACTTTTAAATTATTTAAAGATAATTAAGAACTATATTAATTGATAATTTTTCCCTTTATTCAAATTTTCATTTTCCATTTTGATTGATGCCCTTTCTAAAATCAATTAGTCATTGCCCAATTTTCCTTCTATTCATCCTCTTATTTTAGTTGGTAATTTAGAATAATTATTTAAGTAAGTTTCTGAATTATATTAAAAATTTTAAAAATAAGAAACCCAACGGTCTCAGAGCATAAACTTTGCTGAAAGGGCAAACGCATCATTCAGTATTATATTATTCTTGCATTCTTAGCATTTCAGATCTGACCCCATTGTAAATATCTATCATTGCATTTGTTTACATGCTTCACAGTTTACAAAGAGTTACTGTAGGACTCATGATCACGTGACGGATATACTATTTGTTTTTAAGAAAGAGGACCATCCTCTTGATCCAACGGACAAAAAGACAAAAGTAGGAAGTAAAACCCACATTGTTCAACTTGTGGGACCCATATTTACACTTTTCCTATGCCGTCCGATACAATAATATCACCTTTAAATCTTCCATCAAATCGGATTATATATAAAAAATATATCGTTTGGTTTATAAAAGATAATTAATTTTTAAATAAATACTGATACTTATTATCAAATGAAAATGCGGAATAATTTCATTATAATTGTGGAATTATTTAATTAAAATGAAGAGCTTAAAATTTATCTTTAACTGAATTGAAAATGAAATTTATATGAAGTGTTAAGCATGATATCATGATATAAGTGGGGTTAGTATGTATACGCATTTGGCTCATCATTTTGTCCTGTTTCGACTTTTCAAAGTGGTTGAATAAAAACATTTCATGTGATTAGATAGCGATTATTTTATAATTATTATGCTTTAGAGAGATTATTTTTAATTATTAAGATATTTCTTATTATATATCTATTGAATAAAAACTCTATTGCCCTATTTACCATAAATTTTAAATTACTATTAAAATTTATAAATTTTTTAAAAATTTTGTATTAGTAAATTTTTAATTTTATGCCTACTTTTTCAAAAGTAAAGCACTATTACAAGATTAAATCTTGTTAAAATAGATTCACTCTCATTTTTCATTTATCTCAATTATAAAATATATTTTTATTTTTAAATATTTTTTATCTATGTTTAATGTGGATATTAATCAACAGATGTACTATCATTCCCATTTTTATTATAGTATTAATTACTTTATTCAAACTTTATCATTATCAAAAGGAAAAAAAAAAGTTCATTTTGGTCCTTCAACTTGGTACAAGGAACAACCATTCAGTTATCACTAGGAAGATTGATATTAAAGTACAACATATGGGCTACAATACATGAGACATAAAATAATTTAACGAAATAATGTCGATCACACCACAAACAAATAAATAACAATTTTGTTGAGTTCTTTCAATTAACAAAGAAACAAAAAAATATTTTTCCTGAGTTACTTTTAGTTAACAAATAAACAAATTACCTTCCATATCCAGAAGAATGAGAGTCACTGTCAATTTTGGTTTTGCTTTTGAATATCAAAGAAAAATTTATTTTTTCCTCAATTGAAAGACATCGCTCATTCGTTGCTCTGCATGTGCGAACTTCATATTACAAAAGGATGTAGCTTGGCTTATTTTTTCCTCCCAACAATAATATTTAGTAACTGAATTGTTGGTTTGGAGATTCAGTTTTGAATTTATTCTCTCACTCTCTTTGTATTTTGATTATATTACACGAGTGCTGACCAGCTGAATATCTGAGCTATTTGGCTGTAATAAGCTAACTAATGGAGAAATTGACTTTAAAATTAAAATACAGATTAATTGATTTTGGAGACCAAGTTGAAGGACCAAAATGAGCCTTTTTCTTTATCAAAATGTTTCTATTAAATTTTTATCTCTCTTACTTATAAAATATTAAAAGGATAGTTCAATCAATTGATATTTTTTTTATAATTGATGTGATTCTTTTGTTTTCTTAATTGTTGTAAAAAAAAAAGTCAAAAACATCAAATTTAATGAAGGTATATCCATCATGCTATGAGTATTGTTTAAGATAATTACATAATCATTAAGAAAAATCGTTAATAACCTCAATCAAAAATAGTTGCACCAGTTCACTAAATTGCCATTTTATTGTTTCTCTAAATAAGTAATACTTAACAAGACACAGGAAAAACAGTTATAAAAATGAAAAAAATATATTTTATTAAATTTTCTAAAATGAGAAACAAGGTAGAACAAATAAAAAATAGTTATATAAGAACAGCGTCGTTTGCCATTAAATATTTTGAGAGAAAATTTTTAAAAAACGGACCGAACCGATAAAAAAAATCCAGTTATAATGGTGATATTACGAGAGAGTGAAAACACGCGCGGATAACGCATTGGATACGTTCACCACGTCAGTGAAAGTAACTAAGGCCGGTCCACAATTGTACTGTGCCGCTCCAAATACTTATATGGATTCATTCTATAAGAACCTCACAACGAAAGACACGTTCCACCGTTCACTACTCCTCTCTCTCCCTCTCTATTTCTTTACCTGCGATCTCCATTAAAGCTGCTCGTAGGAGCCCTGGATGATATCCGCTTGAATAAGCTGAAATAGAGACGATTCATCTCATTTGTCAATAACCTTTTCGGGTATGTTTTAACTGGATAGATTGATTCTATTTGTTTATTCATTTGGGAGTCATGCTTATGTTGCTATGTGTAATAAATGAAGAAAGTATGGATCTTGTGTATTTGTTAATTTCTCTCCGTTTATATTGAAATGCTTTTTCCACCTTTTGTTTGGTTTCCGGGAAAGAATGAGGGAAAGTCAAGGAAAATGATGGAAATATTGCCCAATAATATGATGTTTTGCTTTGTTTATTTGGTCTGGGAAAGCATCCGGAAAAGTTAAAAATCGTAGAAAGTCGCCTCCTCATTGGATAAATTTAGGCACAATGGAAGCTAGATTATAGGTTACATGTTGTTTTTATTTTTTTTTTCTTCTGTATTTTCTGTTGTTTCAATTTTCTACAAGAGCGGAAAGCTAAAACTTTCATCTTAGATTGGAGGTTGCAATTTTCAGAGAATAAATACTAAATAGGTCTAATTGCTAGGGTCTGTCTAATCAAATTCAAGTTCTTTCTTCTGACAATTTCATTTGCAATTGGTAAATTTTGCAATTTCAGCTGGGAGAATAATTTGATTACGACGGCTTTTTTGTGCTTTTTTTTTTTACCTAATTAGTGCTAATGCAAATTTACCTACTTTGTTGAATATGAATCTCTGGTTAAACCTTTTTTCCTGCTTCTGAATATCATAGTGTGGCCTTATTTTGGACTTCTTCTTTTCCATTCATTTGAACACAAGCTTACAATTGTAGAGGCAGCGTGCTTAGTGTAAGTCTGGTCCTAGATGATTAATAACTAAAGCGATGCTCTAATTGGCTACTGCCTGTATCTAACTTGCTCAAAGCAGAAGGCTTCTCTTTCCCCCCTTTGGTCCCTTCTGTTCTTTTAGCTGAAATAAAGATTTTAGGTCATCTATGATCTGACTTTCATGCCTAAGCACAATAGTTTGTCTTTTTCTCTGTGTTGAAATAGCTAATGCTTGTTAGCTGAAGATGGCCTTGAGAATTAATAGTGGAAACCAATTGGTCCTTGTGGTTGGAATAGCAATAGATAGAAAAATATTGATCGTATGGGGGTTTGGCGATTGTGAGAGTCTAAGTGCTAAGATAGAAAAGTGAGGAGGGGTATTCAACACTTTTACCCTTAAATGTGCCATAAAGTTGTTAATTGATGTAAAGATCTCTCTTTGAGGGGAACTACCTCCTGACCTTTATCAGGATTCAAATAGCTCGTAATTTATAGGCTTGATTGTTATCAAGCTATATAGATCTGCTTTTTAATTCTTTTAAATATATGAAAGGGCTAAAATTCTAAATATATGGAAGGGCTAAAATTGTAGATATAGCGAAATGCCTTTTAGGAAGACATGGGTTATCGGAGAGCATTTTTTTGCTTCTTTTTCTTTTTGTAATCTTCTTAGTGGTTTTTTTTTTTTTTTTAAATTTCTTTTGTTATAGTCACTTTAGTGGAATGTAATGTTAATTGTTACTGTACCTCAGTCTTTGTCATTGTTGAGTTAACCTGTTTTGCCATTTTGTATGGGTAAATCTTAAGAGGTAGATAAGCCAGTTTTTAGTATTTCATAGATTGAAAGCTTGTATCATGGCTGTTGATGTGGAGTTTTGAAATACATCCCTATATTGTTGCTAATTATATTTCAGTCAAGGATTTTGACCTAAAAAGGCCTTCACTCTAAAATTACATGGTTCACATTGTTTATTTGAACATCTCAAAGACAGTATTCGTCTTCTAGAAGGGTCAGTAGCTGATCATTGCCTGGAAGCTTCACAAGTTCACATTATGTCTACTAAATAAATGGTTCTGTTTTTCTTTTCTTGTGCTGGACTCTGTCCACCTAATGTTGTCCTAATGAGATAGACCTTAATTAATTACGTAGGCTTCATTTGAATGGGTTGCAATATTTTATTGGATTCAAAAGTCAATTTGCTGATTATTCAGTCATATGGTGTCACCATCCCTGCGCCCAATGAAGATTTTTATTAGCAATTAGGTTGAAAAACATCTCTCAGAAACTAAAACAATAATAGGCAAAACATATGAGGTTCTTCTCTCACTCTCTCAATGGAATTTCTTCTCTTTATTACATAATTCAATTTTTATCTATTTTTCTAACCAAGATCTACAACACTGTGCTTATCTTAGAGGATGGGATTTTAGAATTTTTCAAAGATTTTACTGTTTAACACACAATTTGAAATTGGGACTAAGCTTACCTTTACCAGAACTCAATGCATTCTAATTGTTGCATTTTGCAGCAGAATTAATTAATTAAGATATATATAATAGTTCTCATGTCTTCTTCAAAGAAATGGAATTGGCAGGATTTAAATGGAAAACACTAAGCGCAGAAGAAATGCAAAATCTTGTTTGGTAGACTTTATGTGATGCATTTCACTATTGATTTACTTGTTGCTTGTATAGTGTCCTTATCTGGTTTAGATAATCAAAGTTATCTAACTCTTGATGTTCTTGCTTTATTTTCCTATTTGGAATGCTTTATCTATTGGCCTTTTTGGTGAATAGAATCATGATGTGGTACCTTCTGGTTGGTGTATTTCCTTATCCTGATTTGAAGCGTCTTTATTGCTCTGTATTTTATTCAATTCTAAGGATATGTCATGTGCCTATTTATTTGTTTTATTAATATTCACGTGTAACACATTCCTTATTCGTCTACCTGTCTTTCCTCCTACATTTTTGTGTTTGCAATATTAACTTGAAATTACTACAACCCGGATGAATAAATTAACCTTTGGTGTTAATCTGGTTACACTTTCCGTTATCTCAGAGTCAAAGTAGTACCGTGGCTAAAATAGCTTCACGCCAGACCTATGGACTTTGAGCAATATTTGGCCCGTGAATGGAAATCAGTTGCTAGTGCAGCAACTGGCTCTGAAGGTTTTAGTGGTTGCTTTGATTGCAATATCTGCTTTGACTTTGCACATGAACCAGTGGTCACCCTTTGTGGTCACCTGTACTGCTGGCCCTGTATCTACAAATGGCTCCATGTCCAGAGTGCATCCCTTGCTTCTGATGAGCACCCACAATGCCCGGTCTGCAAGGCTGATATATCTCACACCACTATGGTACCCCTTTATGGCCGTGGCCAAGCCCCAGCTGAAGCTGAGCTCGAACGAAAAGCACCCTATCGAGGCATGGCTATACCTCCTAGACCATCAGCTTGTGGTGCTCAAGCTTTAGTAACTAGTACACCTAATTCTGGTCAGCAGCTTCCATACCGCAATCCTTATCAAAATCATATCTATAATGCTGATCCATACCGCAGCTTTGAAGATGCTTCTTCATCGCCTTTACTTAATCTTGGAAGTAGCACAATGACGAGTTTCCACCACCCATTTATTGGTATGTTTGGTGAGATGGTTTATGCAAGGGTTTTCGGAAACTCAGAGAGCTTATACACATATCCAAATTCGTATCACCTAGTGGGAAGTAGTAGCCCCAGACTGAGAAGGCAGGAGCTGGCCGCAGATAAGTCATTGAACAGAATCTCAATTTTCCTTTTCTGTTGTTTTCTTCTATGCCTCATCGTATTCTGAAAATAAATATAGGTCGTTAGCCACTGGACCTCTTGTATACTCTGTAAAAAGCATCGGATGTAAGCTTATGAAACATTACTAGGATGAGATATATGTGTATAACATTAAAACATATCCCATTTTCTCTAATATGTGATTGTTTGGCTTAGCTCAGTCAGCTGAGTTTGTTTATGTTGAATCTGTCAGTACCATTCTTCATTGCCGGTATACGAACGGTATATGCCAATATTCAATTTGCTTGTGAAGTTGTTTTTAATTTATTATGGATTTCTACAATTTTTGGTTCTCATTATGAGACTTGTCTGTCTGTATCCTTAATGTTCCCTTCCTTGCACGCTAAGTATTGATGTGCTTCTCAAAACTTAAATTGACCTTTATTTGATGTTTATTGATTGGTGTTTCCACCTGAAATAGATTCACATAATGTAAGAGAAGAGGCCTTTTTCTAAAGAAGAATTCTTGGACCCAAGGTGTTCATAGCAAGGTATTATAATTTTTCTGCTAAAATAGCTTGTCATGTCCTGTTTGTCCAACCAAGTCCAGTGATATAGATTATAAAATCGGATAAGACAACAACGCGGGGGTGACACGTATTGTTTGTAAAGATTAAAGAATTGCATTGATTATTCAACCATTGACTGGTCTTTTGTGGGCCAGACACTTGGGGCTTTTTATATTCTATAGCTGTATGTGTAGCAGATAATAAAAGGAACTTTACCTTTTTAAAATATGCACTTATGCAGATATATTTATTTATGTTAATAGAGTATCCCTTTCTTCTAAAAAAAAAAAAAAAAAAAAAAATTTTCTAAAGAAGAATTCTTGGACCCAAGGTGGTTCAATAGCAAGGTATTATTAATTTTTCTGCTAAAATAGCTTGTTCATGTCCTTGTTTGTCCAACCAAAGTCCAGTGATATAGATTATAAAATCCGGATATAAGACAACAACGCGGGGGTGACACGTATTGTTTGTAAGATTAAAGAATTTGCATTGAAATTATTCAAACCATTGACTGGTTCCTTTTGTGGGCCAAGACACTGGGCTTTTTATATCTATAGCTGTATTGTGTAGCCAGATAATAAAAGGGAACTTTACCCTTTTTAAAATAAATGCACTTATGCAGATATATTTTATTTTATGTTAATAGAGTATCCCTTTCTTGCTAAAAAAAAAAAAAAAAAAAAAAAATGAAATTATTTCTTCTTCGTCTAGAATCTAGATTGGTAGAATTTGGGTGTTGGCGGTGGTACCGGTGGTGGAGCCAGTTGCTTTTGTTGGGTATGCTCTTTTGTCAACTTTCTGTGCCTAGATATATAGCACACAGCAGATAATTTCTTTTTCTCTTTTTAAATATAAATCACTTAAAGTCTTTGTACGGTCATCGAAAAATAGTTAATAAATATAAATTTAATAATAAAATAATTAATACTGATAGAAATATAGAAGAAAATTTGAAAAATAAAAATAGACAATTATCTAACACCTAATTCTCATTGGGTTGGGCAAATGCTTTTAGGTATTTGTCTAATGTTGTTTGCAACTTTTAACTTATTCTAATGTTGTTAGGCTTATATAACTATCATTATATTACAAAATTAAATGTTTAGGCTGTTTTTTTCTCGCAATGCAAAATTAAAAAATAATAAAAATAATAATAATTTAAAAAAAAACAAACAAGAAAGTAGTTAAAATGATTGATTTGGTGAAGGGATAAGAGTAAAGAAAAAGATCGTACTAAAAACATAATTAAACAAAAGATAAAAAATATGTCCATATATGTCAAATCGCCATAAAAGATAAACCAACATAAATGCGTAAGGCATCTACGCGTGTGTGTGTATATATATATATATATATAAATATTATATATTATATATAAGCAGCGAAACAGTTTCTTATTATTATATAAAGAAATATAAATTTTCTAAAATTACTAAGTATGAGAAATGATTAATAATTAGTTAGTACGATTGTAATAAAATAAAGCGTATAATAATGGTTTATTGTAAGAAAAATAAGTTGGTTTTATATTTTTGTAGATATAAACATATATTTAGTTACATCCATTCAATATAATTGTATTAAATTAAATTTAAAATTTAATTAAAATACAAATAAACTCAAGCTATTTAAAATAAGAAATACTTAATTTCTTTATTTTAATAATTAACGTATCGGGATTTAGTCTTATATATCAAGAGGTTAAGTGTACAGGACACAAAGACACGAGATTACGAAAACATACAAGAATATTGATAAATTTTTTAAAAAAAAAGTAAAGACATTTCATTCGCTTAAAAACACAATACCACTAAATAAAATAATACACTAATATTTCAAATAAATAAACAATCATTTATAATAAATATAAAATAAAAAAAATACTAAAATTTTCTTATTTCAATGACATAAAAAGCAAAAATTAATAAAAAAAAAAAAAACTTTCCATTTTTATTGGTTAATAAAAAAAAAAAAAACTTCATTTTTATTGGTAATAAAAAAAATCTTAGTTGATTAGTTTGGTGTATAGAGTATTCTCATATACTAGAAGATATGTTGCACAAACACAATATACGAGATACAATAATTTTTAAAAAAAGTAGTACATCCATACGCTTATGACACATTATACTAAATAAGTAATATATTAATATTCCAAATAAATAAACAATCATTTATAAATTAAAAAAAAAAACCTTAATTTCTTATTTCAATAACATAAAAATAAATTAAAAGAAAAACAGTTCATTTTTTATTGATAATAAAAAAATCTTGGTTAATTAGCTTGGTGTATAGAGTAGTCTCATATACCAGAAATTATATTGCATGAAAACGGAATACAACAATTTTTAGAAAAGGTAGGACATCCATAACTTAGGATATAGTATAGTAGATAAGTAATACATTAATATTTCAAACAAATAAACAATCATTTATAATAAAAAATACTTAATTTCTATTTCAATAACACAAAAAACAAATAAAAAAAAACACTTATTTTTATTGATAATAAAAAAAACTTGGTTGATTAGTTTGGTGTAAGAAGTAGTTTCATATACCAGGAGCTAAGTTGCACGGAAATAGAACATACGAATACGACAATTTTTAAAAAATAGGACATCTATATGCTTAGGAAACACTACACTAAATCAGTAATACATTAATATTTCAAATAAATAAACAATCATTTATAATAAATCATAAACATAAAATAAAAAATACTGAATTTCTTATTTCAATATACTGAATTTCTTATTTCAATATAATAGTTAAATATAATAAATCATAAACATAAAATAAAAAATACTGAATTTCTTATTTCAATATAATTAGTTAAATTCTCAAAATTATTATTACTATTGAAAATACATTAATACTGTGTGCAATTTTTTATGCAGTTCATACTAGAGTGTCAAAATAGGTCATAACATGTGAACACGATTCGCCTAACATGCTAAATAAATGGTTAGGGATGAGATTAAATGAGTTTGTGTCATAAACAAGTCACTCATTTATAACACAAATATAAACATATTGTGTCGTGGATTGACATACGGGTTAAGTGAGTGACCCGTTTATTTAAGAGTAAATATATAATTTTAGTGTCAGAAGACATACCTTAACATTGCAACTTTTCAGCATATTTCAGTCAGATATAATTTATCATTTTATTATATAATTTTACTATTTTTAAATGATGTTATAAAAAATTATTTTATCTTTTAATATTACTACCCGCATCGCATAGATTGAAATACTAGTATTAATAAAAGGCAAAAATTTATTTGTCGTGCTAAAGTACCTACTCCAAGCTCCACGGCAGTATATCAAAATCAAAGCATCAAAGATACGGGTGCATGTCAAATTTTTTACGTCTTTTAAATTTCCCATATGCCAAACTCTATTACTAATATTTAATTTTTTTAAAATAACTAATATTTAGTAATTAGAGTTGAAATACATAGTTTTAAATTCAAATATAATTTATCAAAATTATTAAAATTCAATTTTATTTATGGGTAACAGACTACACAATAAGTTTAACCTTCCTTTTATTTTATTAAATTAGTAAAAATAATTATAGTAGAGAGAGGACACGTAATCACTCTTATTTAAGAAAAGATCAATCTGAAATTGATTTTAAATTTTTTTATTAAATTATATTATAAAAAAATATGAAAGTTTTTTTATTCCTATGTATTTCATGATTGGTTCACCTGTCCCTATTGCTATTGCCACCCAATCCTTATCTTTTTGAATCCAAGCACTCATTCGAAAGATGACACGTCAATTGAAGAGAACAATTCTCAGAAATGTCACATCACCCACTTGCTCTGGCTGTTCTACGAAGAAAAAAACAAATCACTCCAAAAATAATAATAGATTTAATAATTTAAAAATGACAATCTTCGTGTCACCAATAATCTGCAACAATATTCGAATCGAAAATTTAATGTCTCTAAAATTAATTTTTTTTTTTTTTTTAAATTCACAGAGTAAAATCTGTGTCAAAATTTTGAAATTAGATTTTAGTTTAGCCTTAGGGCTAGACTAAGGTAGGGTAGGCTTCATTGCCAATTTTAACATATTACGACATTATTATTGGATTCATTATTACTATTATTGACGTGTTCGAAGTGTGAATATGATATGATTGTGGGAAAATAATGGAAGTAACAATCATAAGGTGTCTTCAATGTCAAAAAGAAAAAAATAAAAAAAAAACAATCATAAGGTGTCGTTTGGTGCTGCTTTAGAGTTTAGACAATTCTCAAAATAAAGTAATTAACAATCATAAGGCGTCGTTTGGTCCTGCTTTAGAGTTTAGACAATTCTCAAAATAAAGTAATTAACAATCATAAGGCGTCGTTTGGTCCTGCTTTAGAGTTTAGACAATTCTCAAAATAAAGTAATTAACAATCATCTGCTTTAGAGTTTAGACAATTCTCAAAATAAAGTAATTAACAATCATAAGGCGTCGTTTGGTCCTGCTTTAGAGTTTAGACAATTCTCAAAATAAAGTAATTTTTTAATCCGATAAGCATTGCATTCACATGTAAATAGAACAATTTTATGTTAGTGCTAACCAAGTGTATAAGTTATCACCAATTATTTTATTTTACTTTCTAATTATTTTTTTTGAAGTTGTTTACTTTCTAATTATTGAATGTAACTTTGTCTACCCATCTACAGTAATACTTTTCTGATGGTCAAGTGCATAGATATACTTCTGTATTTTACGGAAAAAATCTTGTGATATTTTAAATTTTGCGAGTGATTTATTATGTTTTTAAAGTTACGAATTTTGCTAATATTGTACCACTCTCTATACTAACATTAACATTTTTTTGTTGGTTAATATAATTTATTTTTTTTTTTTTTGGCTTACTATAGAGGCAAGTTCTGAAAAGGTAAGGATCATAATTTACCTCATATCACATAAAAGTTTTATCCTGGAAAGAGGATCTTATAAATTATTTATTTGATACATAGTACATATTTGGGATCCTATTTTCACACTTTTTTTTTTCCTAAAGAGTAGCTGTATAAATAATTAAAATATTTTCGATTTAAATCACGTATATACATAATAAGTGCTTATGTTTTATTTTTATTTTTTTTCAAAAAAAGACATGTAGTTCCACACTTGCAAAGACATTATATTGTGGAGCCCAATCCGAATGTTTGCATTTTGCAATAACAATGGACTATAAGCTAAAGCCCATTCAATCATTTTACATCACTACAATTTATGCAGCCCGGATATTAAGCCAAGGCCCAATTCAATACTCTCTTATGGTATTAAAATGACATAAAAAACAAAAATGTTGATGCCGAGGATCGAACTGGGGACCTTCAGTGTGTAAGACTGACGTGATAACCACTACACCACACCAACACGTTGTTAAGGTACGACATCAAAGATACTAATTGAATTAAAATAACTCTCAGCTTGTTAAACTGTTAATGATGAGTAAAATTCATTATTCTGTTACCTGTCATTGTTTGCTTCTTTAGTTTTAGGGTTAAAGAATTTCCCCACCACACCTTTATTTATATGCAAAAAGCAGAATTTTTAGTGTTAGTAGATATAATTGTTGAATAAAGCATTTGATTACCTTCGTATCCAAGTGGAATTGACTATGCATAGCATAAAAGTAAAAAGAAAAAAAGAAAAAGCATGTATTGTCTCCAGTTGTCATGGGCTAAGCTTACTCACAATTAACACCAAACCTGCTTATTACTTTGCAGTCAAATCAAGTTTGCTACCAACTCTAGCAGATTCCAACGCTGTTATTATTATTTTTAATACTATTCAAGGGCATGTACAACTCCACATGTTTATATTTATTTGTCGACTGAAAATTCAACAATTGGTCCAACATAATCTACAACCTAAAAAGTTGTACTATTTTTACTTTGATACGTTGTGTTTTATATTTCTTATTGCATTTGATTCTAGATTTATTTGTTTCTTTGCGTTAAAGCCGAAGAAGAATATAAAACGAGAATCTCCTTTGGAGAAAGTAAAATTTCATTTTTGAAGTAATTTATATAATTAACACAAACACAGCCGCAAATTCCTCACTAGTTTTGGCTGCAACCTGCAAATGGTGAATAAAAATTAGCCGACGTTAGAATTTACGAGACACTTCCAAAGTTGGGTCAGAGTTCGCGGCTCTTTCTTCCTTTTTTGATTGCATTTTCCTATTCTTTACTTGCAATTTGTTTTTGTTTAAGGTCATGCCATAGCTTGACCAAGTTGATCCATAAATAATTTATTATTTATTAGATGCTCAAAATAAATCACAATATTTATTTATTTAATTAAATTTAATCACAATATCCATAAATTAATTTATTTTGATGGATTTGTATTATAATATTTAAAATTTATTATGAATATGTTTATTCATATAATTAAGCTTCCTATAAAAAAGAATTAAGTATTCAAATAAACGTTCATGTCCAATCAAATAATATTTTATATATACGCGTTAATACCTTCAATTTGACTAAGGAAATTTGAAAAATTATATTCCAATCCAATCTTTTAATTGGTTGCTTGTCTGTCTTACTATGCGAGCTGTAGATTATTGGCTAAATGTAGGATTGGTCTTCCGATACAAATACTAATAAAGAGAGCGGAATTTCTTTCTTCCGTTTCCAAAACAGTTTGCAATATGTCAAATATTCAATGCCCAAACATCATGGAACTTCCTCACCTCCTTTGTCATTATGAAAACGTCACATCTCTTAATTCTGAACTACTTACCTTTCATTATTCATCTACCATTAACAAATAAAAAAAATTTAGTTTTGCATTTGGTTCAAAATTACCTTTCCATCCGGAAGTATATTTCTTAAAAAATACACTTTCAAGCAAATTATTTTTTAGAAAGCATAATTTGAATGCATTTGTTATTAAAATTAACTTCTTAAGTAGTAAACTGCTCACGGATTATGAGTTACAATAATATTTATAATATAAATTTGAATCTATTCGGATAATAAAATAAATTGATAAATTCATTACTCTTAAAATAGAAAAGTGCAACTTCCTGAGCGGCTAAGAGAAATTAGATAATCTATTTTCCAGGCAAACAAATTATAAGCACTTTATGCACTTTCCGATATGTTATATTTCCCTAGTCTATCTATTCCAACAAAACATCACCTTAAATATTTGAATTTGAAGGTCTTTAGAATTTAATTCATGGAAAAAAAAAAAGAGTCAAAAACCTAAAATAAAATTGTTTTTGTAAAAAGCTAAAAAAAATAAAAAATAAAACTTAGACATATAGTTAAAGAAGAATACAGAAAGAATAGAAGAATATATAAATAAATAAATTAAACAGTCCACCTGCCAGTTTCCAAGCTGCTAGTAGTTTCCAAGATGGTGCGGTATAAGAAGCAGCCTCAGCATTAAGGAACCTTTTGGACACCCAAAAAAAATCTAATCAAAGAATGGCAAAAAACCTATCGGAGCTTAATAGGAGCATAATAAGCAGAAGATCATCAGCTTCATCGTCTTCATCAGGCCAGCAATCTCCTAGGACAAAAACGCCTGCTCCATTTTTATCAAAAACATATGATTTGTTGGAAGAAAATGGAGAATTAGGATCATCAGCACCAGATTTTGGTAGTAATGATGGCAAGAAAATTGTTTCTTGGAATGACGAAGGAACTGGATTCATAGTTTGGTCTCCGGCGGAGTTCTCGGAGTTTACCTTGCCTAGATACTTCAAGCACAACAATTTCTCTAGCTTCATTCGCCAACTTAACACATATGTGAGTCATAGTGCTTGATCCATGTTTTCAATCTCGCAAACAAATATAAATATATACCTACATACATACATCAAGATCGCTATATTTGATATTTTTTTCGAGATTATTTAATTTTTCTTGTTAGTTTCATTTTAGTTTGATTAATTGGTATTTCAGTTCTTCATTACATACATACATGTAATAATTATTTTTATTCCACAACAATCCTTGCACTCTTATTGGATATTAGAATAATCTCGTTTTCAGATTTGCGCCGGCTACTTTTCATTTTTCTATTCTAAATTTTGAAAACGCAAAAGCTGATATTCATAGAGATATTTAAGCCACTGTTTTAATTTTCTCTTTCAATTTCTTTGCATGATGTCACCAGTTTTTCTTGTTCTTAAGAAACAATCAAGTCATTTTACAATTTTTTTCAGTTTTGACTGCTCCAGAATTCAGTTTTTCAAAGTGGGTGTATGAAGGTAAACGCAACTAATGCTAGAGAATTAATGAATAACTATTATAAGTAATTATAATAATTATAGTCAGCAGAAAATATTTGTTTAAAGAATTCTCTATGACTGAACCATTTCAGTCTAAAATCTCCGTTTTGTAACAGTCAAAAGAAGCATTCTACAACTACTTATTGTATGTGAACTTAGACTTTAATTGTGGAATTTTCAGAATTGATGATATATATATTTTTAATAGCGAATGATCTAATTAGACTGTAATAATTACATGCAGGGATTCAAGAAGACATCATCGAAGCTATGGGAATTCAAGCATGAGAAATTCCAGAGAGGAAGCAGACACATGCTGGTGGAGATAACGAGGAAGAAATGTGAACCAAGTGTTTTTCCACCATATTTAAAAGCTTGTCATGAAGAGAATACAATGGATGAAAATGATCGTTTAATACTATTAGAACAGAACAATAACCTTAAAAGAGAGAATTTGGAATTGCAAATGGAATTGGCTCAATTTAAAGCACTTGAACTCAAGTTGTTGGATTATCTTGCTCAATACATGGGAAGCCACCACAACAAAATTAGGAGGCTGTGTTAGGGGCTGGGCTGGGAAGCAAATATTGTTTTTTCTTTTCTTTTCTTTTTTCCTTGTTCATTAAGTGAGCTATATAATAAAAATAGCTTCTTTTTTTTTTTTTTCTTTATACAAAACCTATCCTTTGCCCTAGAAAATCTCAAACTTTTTGTCATTGGGATGTAAATGTTGCCTTTGCCCTGAATATTATGTCTTTCTTGTCATTTAAACCTAGACTAGTCTTGCCAAATGCTTTGATATAAATTTTAGATTAGATAATCAAAATTTTAAAATCTTTTTATGCATTTTTTTCAAGAAATGGATAGTTATTAAGATTTGAATTAATATAGTCCTATATTAGAAGATGGTTATTTAATAATTAGAACTATTATCTCAATGAGTCAATAGTTTTGTAGATAATACACTAACTTAATATCTAAAATTAACTCTGTCGATGTTATTATTTAAGTATAAAATTAATTTCGTTTTAGGATCCGTAATTGTCTATTTTTATAAGTATTTTTTCATAAATTGAATCCCTGATTTTATAAGAATCGTCTGCTAAGCACAAATATGTTTTACCACTGTGTAACTACATGTGAGTGAATTCAAATTGTGTTTAATTTGCAGGATTCAAACCTTCTTTTTTTTTTTTTTTTTTTTTTTTTTCAAACCTTCTTTTTTTTTTTTTTTTTTTTTTTTTTGGAAATAAGATTCAGACCTTTCTAAATAAAAGAGAAGTTAAAAGTTTTCGATGTAACAGTGAGACAAGCCAACAATAAAAATTAATAAAAAGAAAATCAAAAACTTGTACTAATGCAAGTAATTTGATAGTGGATTGGGTCATGAAGCCCATGATGAGAGCCTAATCTACACCGCAACACATGCCCAATAGGCCCACCTTGTCATCGTCCATCGGTTAATTGCCATCTCCGTTTCTTCTCTCCGAGGAGAATCGAATCGACAAAACCCTAGAACATGACCTCAAAGCTACTCTCCAATACCCTAATTCAAAATCAAAATTCACTAATTAGCAGATTCTATTACACCAATAGGACTAAAAAAGTGACCTTGTACTCAAAACTCAGTCCTTTAGGAGACCCCAGCACCGGTTTGGTGCCTGTGCTCGACAATTGGGTCCAAAATGGGAACAAGGTACGAGTTGGCGAGCTTCAGCGCATTATTCGTGATTTCCGCAAGCGAAATCGGTTCGCTCAGGCTCTCGAGGTTTGTGTATTTTATCTTTTCTTTGGTTCTTTGTGCTTTTGGTTCTGTTTGATTGCCAAGAAAATGTTGGAAATGAAAAAAGAGTGCATAATTGAGAATTCAGAGTTTGATAAGTAATTCGTAGAGTGAATTATTTTAAAATCATGGACTTGAGTGATCTTGGGGATCAATGAATGAACCACCAAGGTTTCAATGTTTTATTAGGATTGTCAAACAATTTTCATATTGAAGGTTGAGTTTTCATTTGTTGAAAATGTAAGGAAACAAATGCAAAAACTACCATGCGAAAGACATTTGCTAAACTTGATTATCCTGGTAATGCTTTAGCTTAAATCTTTTCTTCTAACCTGAAGATTTTGGAGAGCTGATGTAGTTGTCTTATTTTATTTGACCCCATCATGGAAATGATAATTGAAAAAGCTATTTGAAGAATACTCTGGTGTTTGCACACTCTGTTGGTTTTAATTGCAACGAGGATTGACAGTCGAGCCCAATGTTGAATTTATCACTCCAGGTGAGTGAAGGCTGATAGGAATTCAGCCTGAATCGGGACTTATCTCAATATTCTTAAGCCTTCTTGAACTAATTACGTCAAGTAGTTGGTCTGTCAAATAAGATAGGCAAAAATGTGCCTTGAAAGGAGCAATGGGAATAGGATTTCTGCCACAGAAGTGTCTAGGACTTGGATTGAAAGTCTATTGTTAGCTTGGTTCCCTTTGTATTGTTCTGCTCATTAATTTCTTTTTTCATTATAAGGAGATGATGTTGGCAGTACAACTTGATGGGGACTCAGCTGCCACATATTCTGTGTTTGTGGTAAATGTAGTTGTTCATGGATCAAACAAGTTACTGCATATTTATGCTTCTTCACATCATGCGAGCACAACACCATGCGTTCATTTGATTGATTACATTTTACTGTTTGTGGTATAATTCCTAATTCGTAACATTTCAGGGGTGCAGGTGTCTGAGTGGATGAATAAAAAGGGCATTTGCATATTCTCACCAACTGAACATGCTGTTCAATTGGATCTGATTGGTAGAGTCCATGGCTTCGTTTCTGCTGAGAACTATTTCAATAACCTGAGGGACCATGACAAAACTGATAAGACATATGGTGCTCTCCTAAATTGTTATGTTAGACAGCGACAAATTGATAAGTCCATCTTACATTTGCAGAAAATGAAGGAGATGGGTTTTGCCTCATCACCTCTTGCTTATAATGACATTATGTGTCTCTATACAAATGTTGGCCAGTATGAGAAGGTTCCCCATGTATTAACTGAGATGAAGGAGAATAAGGTATGCCCTGACAACTTCAGCTACCGACTCTGCATCAATTCCTATGGTGCTAAATCTGACCTTGAGGGAATGGAGAAAGTTTTAAATGAGATGGAGTGCCAATTGGACATTGCCATGGACTGGAACACATATGCTGTTGTTGCCAATTTCTATATAAAAGCTGGTCATACTGACAAGGCTATTGATGCCCTAAAAAAATCAGAAGCAAAGTTAGATAAGAAAGATGGGATTGGCTATAACCATCTCATATCACTCTATGCTACTTTAGGTAATAAAGCTGAGATCTTAAGATTATGGGATTTGGAGAAAACTGCATGTAACAGGCACATAAACAGAGATTTTATAACCATGCTGGAGTCTTTAGTGAAGATTGGTGAGCTTGAAGAAGCTGAGAAAGTACTGAAGGAATGGGAGTCATCTGGGAACTTTTACGACATTCGTATACCAAACGTTATGGTTATTGCATATTCCCAAAAAGGATTATATGAGAAAGCTGAAGCACTGCTAGAAGAATTGATTGAGAAAGGAAAAGCTACCACCCCGAACAGTTGGGCCATTATTGCTGCAGGATATCTTGAAAAGGGTAATATGGCAAAAGCGTTTGAATGTATGAAGGCTGCCCTCTCCCTACGTGTGGAGAACAAGGGATGGAAGCCAAACCCGCGGGTGGTTAAACAAATTTTGAGTTGGCTTGGCGATGAAGGTTGCACCGAAGATGTAGAAGCATTTGTTGACAGTTTGAGCACTGCTATTCCAATGAATAGACAAATTTATCATGCCTTGTTGAAGGTACATATAAGAAGTGGCAAAGATATTTTTGGACTTTTGGATCGCATGAAAACTGATAAAATAGATGAAGATGAAGAAACAAAGAAAATCCTTGGTTTGAGACACAATTAAATTTTATAAACATTGTTCATGTTTAAGAGTACTGCAAAATTTTGGTGCTTCAACTAATTCAAATTTGGTGCTTCAACTTCTTCAAATTTTTGCTTTGATGAATGAAGCAGGAGCGACAATCTTTTAAGATAATCTGGCCTGCTTAATTAAAAGGGTTTTAAATATGTAACGGTAAGATGGTGTTCTATAGATTCCTCCAAAATAAGTACTCCATTCTGCAATGTAGCTGCACCACTTATACTGTATCACAAGAAATTAAACAAGCAGCTTATATGTACTATTTGCAAAAAAAGCTCAACCTAGCAGACTTTCCTGCAGAATTTTCATCATTCCAGCGGCGCAACCACACAGAAAACTAGTTGTAATATAGCTAGCCCAAAGCAAGAGAAGACCCTCGTAATATAGCTAAAAGAAAAGTGCATAATGTAGAGACAATTAACACCAGAAAGCATAAAAATCATCAACGAGAAAAGTATTAATTAACATGCAAACTCTAGTCTTGTGTATGACATCCTCACACACCACTGACATGACCAAAAATATAACTATAGGTTTGTCTGGCATTATGACAGACATGTTCACTCCTACTCGGATAGGGTAGATTTCAGCTCTCCATTGTTCCGCAGTTCCATTACAATATCACAACCTCCTACCAACTCGCCTTTGTAATACAGCTGGGGAAATGTTGGCCAGTTTGAGAAGACCTTTAGTCCCTGCCTCACTTCTTCATCGGATAAAATATCGAAGGACCCAAAACTTACACCCTCCTCCTTAAGCGCATTTACAACTTTGGAGCTAAAACCACACCTGGGAGCATCTTGGGAACCTTTCATGAAAAGCATCACTGGTGAAGAGGCAACCAAACTCCTTAAACGATCTTCAAGAGTCTCTTTCGAAAAAATCCCTTTCTCAACCAAGACCTTTGTAAGCTCTCCACTTTTCTGCATCTCCAGCACGATATCAGATCCACCTATAAGCTCACCTTTAATATATAGTTGAGGATAACTGGACCAATTTGAATAAACTTTAAGACCTTGACGAACTTCATTGTCAGAAAGAATGTCAAAACTCTCAAAATTCACCTTCTCTTCTTTAAGGATTTCAACAACCTTCCTACTGAAACCACACTTGGGTTCATCAGGTTTCCCTTTCATGAACAACATAACTGGGCTTGAATTGATCAGGCTTTGCAGTCGGGAGGTCAAGGTTGCACTCAAGCCAGTGGATTCTGAGATGCCGCCCTTTCCAGTTCCAACTTCACTCTCTTTTGTTTCCACAGAATCATTAGTATTAATTCCATGATCTCTGAAAACCTCTTTTAGTTCACCACTTTCATGCATTGCAATTGCAATGTCACATCCGCCAAGGAGCTCTCCTTTGCAATAGAGCTGAGGAAAAGTCGGCCAGTTAGAGTACTTCTTCAACCCCTCACGTACCTCATTATCAGATAGGATGTCAAAACTTCCAAATTTCACATTTTCTTTATTCAGAACATCAACAACTTTCTGGCTAAACCCGCACTTTGGTGCTTCCGGATTGCCTTTCATAAATAGCATGACCGGATGAGAGTTAATCAGCTGCTGCAAACGGTTTGCTAATGCATCGCCAGAGCCAGGTTGGACTTGGTTCTCCACTTGGGAAGAGCCATTTTCTTTTGCCAACTCTTTCACTGTTTCAAGAATACTGGATCCAGCAGCCATTCCAAGACTGGCAGGGGCTGCAGGTTCTCCAGGATTAACAGATTCAGCAACTTTAGAAACTTTGTTGGCCAAACTGGAGGGGTCAGCACCTTCCAATGTGTCAACTTTCTTGCCGTCCTGATGAAGACAATGAATTTCAATAAACATCAATACCAATTTGAGGCAGTATTTCCAGGAAAGAAAAAAAAGTTAGACATCAAAATTGAAATCTTGAACTCATTTCCTACTTCTAAAACAACACGAAAATTCCTCAAAAGCACAGCAGCAATATTACAAAACAAATTCTTTTGACAGGCAATATTTCCTAGGAACCATCTCCAATGATCTCTACCACAACAGTGTCAATGAACTAAATTAAAAGTTCACGGAATGAATTGATTATTGGATTTTATCATTTGCCTAGATTAAGATACACTTTAATTCAGTCCATAATCCTTTATTACCCAAATTAGATCTTCAGATTGAAATGGAGGGACGATAACACAAAAATGAGAATGCTTAGTAGAAACAAGTATACAGACATGAGATTGCATTCCAACAGTTAAGTCTTCCTCTTAGACAGAACTTATGTGCATGTCTCGCCAACTTTATCCTATAAAATCCTACTTTCTCCCTTTCTAGACTTCCAAAAATTAAGAAACCTTCTTCCAACCTCATGTCCTTTGCCATCTCTTGAATCATGTCTTTTGTGCCTACAAACGCATAGATCACTCTAAGTGGTAACATGCCGTATAAACCACCCACTCTAAACACCACTAGTTCTAGTACATGAGTTTTGAACAAGCAAAAAAGCAGAAACCCACAAATGTTACCTTAAGGAAAACAAAGAAAGGCACAGCAGAAACTGAATATTCCTCTGATATCTCTGGTTGCTCCTCAGCCTCAACCTACAATAACCATCACCAATTCAAATCCCAATTCGTATTTAACTATTTATATATAAAAATGGACATTAGTTGCGAGATAAAAAGACAGAACCCTGAGGCAGTGGACGTTGGGGAAATCGGTGGAGAGATGGGAGAAAACTTGGTCCATGTGCTTAGAGGCGTCGCACCATGACGCCCAGAAGTGAACGGCTACAGGTGCGCCACTGCTGCGCACGTTATCAAGCTCCGCCTTTGACTGAACATCCTTCACTGTACCACCCATTATTACCTTTGTCTTGCTCTGTCCGAGTCGAAACTAACCCTACCCCCAAAAACCACCACTGTCTGTACTAGCAGCGATTGATTATAGAGACGAAAGAGAGATTTCAATGCAATTTTATTTATTCTTTCTCTTTAATTTTTTTCTCGTTGAGGAATCAATCGACCTCTTGCGACGTAGACTACATCAGCACTTATCACCGTCCATTTAGTGAAATTTGTGTTGGATGGGCTGGATCCAACGATGTAGGCCCCATCAATGTGCTATTTTCTAATTTACCACAATCGCAAAACAGGAAGCCGTCCGATACAGACGACAGCTCTAGTCCTATAAATGAGTCGTGTTAGCAAAGTCTGTTATGGACGCCATCATTTTTCGCACCCCTAGAATCCTACAAGCAGGCCGAGAATTCGGAAAAGCTACGAAGTGTCCTTCAATGCAGCCGTTCCTTGAATAAAATGTCGTTTCATTAAAGCAATTTTTCTTTTTTGAAAAATGGAAAGTCGTGGAAGCATTGAACCCATTAGCGCTCGTCATCAACGACATTGCCTTTTGTTTGCATATGTTGTCGTTTGTTCGATAAACCAATAGTTTTGTTGTGCCTCCAGTTTCATTAATGTGAAAAAAAAAAAAAAAAAAAAAAAACTCCAGTTTCATTAATGTGAAAAAAAAAAAAAAAAAAAAAAAAAAAAAAAAACTGTAACAAAGAAACCAAGCTGAGTTTTAATCAACACAAGAGGCTAATTTGCAAAGACAGAAAGAAACTCCTCTAATTTGCAAAATGTATCTCGGAAACTGCAATAGTTTCCATTTCTTGTCACAATCAACCTTCAATGGCTCGCAATCTGTTGAAGATGAATACATTTTGGGGAAAAAAAAAAAAAGATTCCAAGCTGGTATGCTATCTTTTAGCAAAACTCAAACATTTTCGATTGATGTTATCCAAACGAATCAATATCGTTCCGGAATTTTGTCCTTCTGTCCACTTAATTGATTCCTTCTCTAACAGCTTCATAACCTATGCCAATAAAAAAGACAAAAAGAGAGATATAGTCATATATCCCCATGATTTTTAACACAAGTAGAACTTTTACAACGGTATCAGAAAAAAAAAAAAAATCAACATGCAAATTAGAGAACTTGTATAAGTTGGGAAGATACAGCTCTTGATAAAATTGAAATTATATCATTTTCATTTTTGCCTTATCCTTGAGATGAAATGTCCCTCTCTTAGTGAAGAATCACGTGTAGAATTAAAACGACTACTAGACAACACTGAGCCATAGGGCTCAGGATTTGATTTGAAAGACAAAGAATTTTTCCATTACAAGCAAAATGAAATTTCTTATCAGTTGAAAAACACAATCCTAGTAAAAATAACTGACAAGGGTATTGCATAAATATCTCAGGACCATTGAATGACTGAAGGCAAGGTCAATTGATTAGGTAAACTTACCAATCTTCTACGTGCCCCTTTTGAGGTATCTTCTTCATTTGTCTCAAGGATGACCTTCAGGTACTTAATTGCTAATGCAAAAAGTTGATTGGATAATTTCATGTTATTTGACATGATTCAAAAGCAAATTGAAGGAACAAGATAATGATGACATACATGAGATGCCTGAAAGAGAAGAAAGATGAAACTTCAAAAGACGCATTGCCTCCTTGGCTCCATGGTCATGTAGGTCAAGTGTTACTTCGTCTTGTCTATCTGCATTTCTGTTGGAATGAAGATAAGAAATGTTGAAAGACGGAAAAATTCAACACAAAGGAAAGAAAAAAATAAAATGCACCCTGATTAGACACAAACACTAAAATGAAAATCACTAACTTGGTTTCAAAAATCTTCTGGCTAGACTCTTCATCTGCCTTGCGAGCCTTTTCATGAAAAAAATGTCCCTGCAACATGAAAGACGCTTACATCTGAAAAGCATTAAACCATCCGACAAGGATCTTCAATGAGATCCCTCCTAAGATTCATACCCTGAGGTCCCCTTGAAAAAGTATCATTTTTGCTATTCTAGTACTACTCTTTGAGACCTTGAGACCTTTACCAGCCAGAAGGCACAATTTGTTTTTATCTAGTGATTTACCCACTTTACCAATTGAGGGAAAAAAAAAAAAAAAAAAGTAAACCTAATTATATTTATGGTGTAATTACTATATAGTCCCTAGGTTTTGCTCAAAGACACTAATAAGAACCTCAGTTTTTAAAATTACACTATTTAATCCTTGCATTATAATTCTATTACACTATAAAGTCTAAGCATTAGTTTTCCGTTATATGACTATGAAATGTCAAAAATAACTCAAAAGATAATTATTATGTAGTCATTATGGTTTGATGAAATGCTCTCATAAGGACCTCAATTTTCACAATTTTACCCTATTTAGTCTCTAGGTAGTAATTATTTTGGGTGTTTGATATTTCATAACCACTGAGCAGAAAAACTAACCACTAGACCTAATAGTATAATAGAATTATAATGCAAGGAATAAATAGTGTAATTTTGAAAACCGAAGTCGTTATTAATGTATTTGACAAAAACTTAGGGACTACATAGTAATTACTCTTATATTTATTTATATTTTGAGTTTCTTAATAATGGTACTGGTTATCCTCCTATCTGATGACGGTAAGACGCCTAACCTTATCAATAAGTTTGTTAGCTTGATCATGATCTCCCTTTGCAAATGCATCCACAGCCTGACAAGCAACAAACATGCTTATTTCATCATGTCCAGTGAAAAGAGGTCCAAATTGGCATAAACAATGCCCCAGATTATGTTATAAAACAAAAAGCAAGGCACAAAAGGCCATAAATAATTGTATATTCATGTGGATATAAATTCTATCAGCTAGTAAGCTTACTAAATATATGTTATATTCTTTTACCAAAGTAACAACTCAGTTTATGAAAATTAGGAGAAAAAATTAAGGAGAACAGAAATGGGACAAGCAACTTACAGCTTTATAATATTCCTTCATTGTAACCCGATACTCCTTTACAGCTATACGAAGCTGCTGGTAACCATCCTCTTCCTCTTCATCTGTAATGACAACAAGGAAGAAAACCATGAAAAATTTGACAAACTGAATCATATATTTTAAAAGTAGGAAGGGTGCTAAGGAAACAAGCTATTATCTAAAATATATTCCTAAAAGACCATTTGTCAGGATTCACATGAAAGGATCAAGATCTGGATCTATTTTGCCAGCCAATGAACCAAGCATATGCTTCTCAAAAACTATTTATCAAGTCCATGGTAATAATGTATAAACTAAGGTATATTGAATGTTCCTTGCAATGAGTTTGGAAAAAAAATGAGGTTTTGGAAGAAGAAATATATAACTTAAACAGCTAATATAATTAGAAATTCTGATAACTATAAAGACAGAAAAAAACAGCAAGTTCCATGATTCCGAACAATTGATTGCTTGAGTGCTCATACAAGGTTGATGTAGGACAGCCTTGTATAGGTTTTGAATGCACTTGGAGAATTAGTGTTAGTAAACGAGTATAATTATGATTATTAGGTGGCAAACAAAACAAGAGAAAACTGTTTGCAATTGATGTTTATCACTTTGAACAGTACTCATTGGGAAGTTTTTAAGAAATGCATGCAACTTAATTATGGTTTCATAGAAGAGATTTAAAGGCTAAAATGTATCAAATTTTGCAGGCAAAACTAAGAGAAAAAAGGAATGAGATTCTAAGTTTCACACTTTTACAATTCCTTGAGCATAATATCTAGCATCGGAATACATACAGAATCCCACCAAAGAACTGCCGTAAAGTCTCTTTAGTTTTATTACTTCACTTACTAAAAATATAAAACATTAACGATAACTCACCACCTAAAATGGCTTAGACTCACAATCAAAATGCGAAACAAATTTTAAACACTAAATAAAATCAAACTAAAGTAAAAGATTCAGAGAAAAAAAAAAGAATGGAGAAGTACAGAAATTTGTAACTTGTGAATCCTAAAATTATAAATTAAAATACAAGTGCAACAGATTTTTCTCTTTGGTACATTGCAAAGGTTGCAAAAACTTGCTGTATCCAGAGCTTCTTATTGGCTGAATCAGAGTTTCATATGAAATGCTTGGTCATTATACTTCTCAAAACATGGAGGAAAATACATACCTTTGTCATTTTCTTGCTTTGAACAAATGGAATCAGCTTTGCATTCTAAGGTAAAGTCTCTTGGAGATTCAACCACCAGTTCTCCTAATACTCTAGGCCTCCTTGCAGCTCTTGCTGCTTTTCTAGATAACCCATCAGATCTGTCAGCAGTGTCAAATAATGCAGCTAACACTTCCTTCTGGAGATCACTTCTCTCCTCTTGTCCAGCAGATCCTCCTTCATTTATATATGAAATTTCATTTCCATCACTGAATCAATAAAGAAAAAGAGAGTAATGTAATCTTCTCCAGTTATAAGAAAAAAGAATGGTCGATGGCAGAAATTTCAGCAACCACCCCTTCTTGGAAAGTAACAGTATATTTAACTTATACCCTCTTTGGGAACCCACTGGCAGCAATTTTTTTCCAAATGAGGGTTCTTCAGAATTTGAATGAACGTTTACAATCTGTTAAAAAGAATATTTTAATAAGAAAAAGATGCATTCATTGAGTAGTTTAATATTGCTCAAATCTAGGTGGATAGGAAGAAAAACTTGTTGCACGAGAAGCTTAGTAATGTTACTGCACACTTAAGACATTCATACTTCAATTGAAATAATTTGGTTAAATGTATAAAATAATAGTTAAAAAGTTGAAGAAGCTCATGAACTTAACAACAGTAATTATCTCATTTTACATTAAGCACAAAAAAGTAAACTTGGCGCAATACTAGCAAGCAGACAAAGATGAATGAGGAGGGAAACCCTATATTGTTGAATGTTGGTAAAATCACTGAACTAGTAAACTAAAGTTGGGCATACTGGAAACCAAGACTAGAAAGCAACCAACCCCTGGAGCGTCAAAAGAAATCAAGACTAGAAACCATGACTCCCCATCATCAATTCTCAAACACTTACAAAGTTCATAGACATGGCAGTTGCACACCTTACAGATTACCAAAAGCAATGATACTTGATGCTACCCCATAGGATGCAAATTAATTTCATTCCCTTTGACATCTGATAAATAAGAGGAACAACAACATGATCCAACCATTAAATTTTGGCTGTTACACTAACCTTTGCAGTGAATGTATCAAGGCATTTATTCCCTTCATCCAAACTCGTCCCTGAAAAATCAAGTAGTTTCTCCATGCTCTGAGGTCCAAAAATGACAAAAAGAAATGTTAGAAATGCTTAGTAATGCAAATCAGGATATATAACTTTCAATGGTTAAAGACTGAAATTTTGCAGTATCTTCATAAATTAATTTATCAAGTAAATTAACCTCAGCCTACCTTTTGCATGTCATATCCATAGCTAACTGCATATTCATAAAAAAACTTGATCATTAGCCTCAATAAATAGCCATTTACTTGATAGAAGATGATATAATGCAAATCAAAGGATTAAGAATATAAAACCCCACTTCCCCACAAACAAATAGCAAACATTAACCATGATTTACCTAGAACTTGATGAATCACATCTCTTTCCAACTGAAAGCCATCTCCTAGCATTCTGAAGAAAAAACCTTCAATATTATTATGCATATGATCATTCTTTGACGGGTTCAGCTTAGTTTCCTCCACCCATAGTTCAGACATCGGAAACTCCTTCACATCCAATTTCATTGGTTTTGTTCCCATACGAGTACCATTAGCTACTGGCATGGACTTAATATAATCTTTGCCAATAATGCTTGAAACGGTGCCTCCTGAAACTGGACGCTGCTTCTGCTTTCGAGCTTTGAACTTTCCATTAATATGGCATGATTTCTCAGAAATATGGCCAGAGAATGATTTGAAAGATTCTTCACCTCTTTCCTCTACTATGGATGCAACAGATGAAGACATAGAGGTGGTTTCTTGCATGTCATACAAGAATTCAGCAGCCAAATCTGCATTCCGATCCGCCTTATAATAAGCAGAAGCTATATCTTCAAGAGAAAGAAAAGACCCAAAGACCTCGAACAAACCTTTCAATTTACTTTCATCATTGTCTTCATATTTTGTGTTCGTAAGAGATGATTCCATTTAAATATATTTTGAAACTGAAAAAGTCACAAGAACAGGGCTTATCTGCAATTCAGTTCAGGCTACAAAGTTGGAAAGCAGGATAGCACTATTTATAATTTTACACAAACTGCTACAAGAAGCAATGCAACACAGTCACCAGAACATACAAAAAGAAAAACGCAAAACTGCATTATTTGCTAATACAGAGACACCTTAGGAGTGATGTAGCAATATAAGCTCAATCCATTTACACACATAAATCAATTTTCTTTCTCTTTTTGTTTGATACACATACATCAAATGCATGTCTGCCGATTAAAAAGAGCCAAATTGCTGAAACTGTTAACAGTAATACATAGATAACAAAAGAACAAAAATAGATCACAAAAGCCAAACCCAGAGAGACTCGTTAACAATCAACAATGTAATATATCTAACCAAATGGTTGCTTCCCATCGAATGCAGTATAATCAATTCAAACAAAATTGGCAAAAGCAAGCATCAAAATTAGAATAGAAGAAGCAATACAAAGAATTGACGGAATCGGGATTTCAAATAGCAAATGCAAATTGCCATAAATATCCAAACTCTAAGAGAACTAAAGTGACTTACAGAGGAAACCTGGAGAGATAATGGAGCGGATACCTCGATGTGAGCTTTTGAGTGATTTATATTGATAAAGAAATGGAAAACATATGAGTGGAGTAGCACTGTGGCAGAAGGTTTTTGTGGGTATTTTCGGAAAAAGAGAAAAGGAAAATAACAAAAAGAAAAGCAAAAATACAAAATACAAGCTTTGGCGCTCAATTGCTAACCTGCACTGTCGGATTCGATTCCCTTCTTAACGCGTCTTCTTTGCAATAAATTACATTTGGCTTCCTTTGCAAGTTCATTATAGAGTGCGCGTGGCGTGGACTAACCTCTGCCTTTCTTTTCCGGCGCGTGGGAATAAAGGACAAATTGGTAGAAACCCTTCTTGCGAAGTTGTGTTGTGTTGATTCCAATTTTGTAATTTACGATAATCCATTTACTTATGTAAAAGTATCACTTATCAGGCAATTTCATTTTTATTTCTTTGCAAGAAAGTCGATTTTATTTTCGATTTTAATAGAAAAAATTCAATTTTTTGGTATGATTCAGTTTTTATTAAATTAAAAATAAGTTAAAATCTATCAAAAATAATTAAATTTGAATAAGATCGAATCAATTTGATTTATATTAAAAACATTGATTTGTATTTTTGATTCAGCCAATAATTGTTTTGTTCGAATGAATTATTGCATAATTTTCCATTTTGGGTAATGCCATGTGGATGGATCATTTTTTAAATGTTTGTCCTAAAGAAACAAATAAATTCGTATTAACTGTTTACGACACGCTTCACTCCTGGCCCATTTATATTAAAGCGGCCTATTTTAGGTAGATGGTTTGGGCCATGGTGGTGGACTTCATGTTGGGTTTAGGCCTCAAACTTTTTCCTAACAAAAAAATCGGCGTCGTTTCTCTTTGCTACTCGTCGTTTTCTAGTTGCAATTTCTAACTTGGAAGTGAAAAAAAAAAAAAATGGTAGATGATAGCAAGATCATAATGCTAGAAGATTTTAATAATTTCCTTGCCCAAACATCCTTCAATTCAATGCAGTAATATTAATAACATGATAAGAAAAGCTGGAGATTTATTATAAATTAAAAGTTAAAAGACAGCAATTTCATGCTTTATTACAGTGACTTCATGTTTATTTTTATTAACTAGACACAGGTGTCTACTGTCTAGTGCTTGTTCGGCATATGTTCAATCTGGCTTACAGACTTGTGATCCTTAATCACTGCAGTGAGTTGTTGGATTGCAAGAGCAAGACGAGCTACATGTGCTTCATTTTGCTTCCCCATCCCATTACCACTGCCCGGGCACAGCGAAGGAGGAGGACAACATTGTGCTGGAGGTGGGCACGGATTATTACAAGGAGGAGGAACTGGGTCACACACAATTTGATGCGAACCAAAAAGAACTCCTCCAGCTCCTGGTGGTGGATCATTTTGCTTAATTACCTTCTTATGAACATGATGAAGCTTCTCTTTGTCATTGTGTGTGCGTGCAACGTCTCTTTCTGACATACCATTATCATCGTCTTTGCTGACAGTAACTCCATGCACCGGTGTGCCTAAAGCGTATGACTCATGGTGTGTGTGTACAGAGTCTCTTTCTGGCATGGCAGGACGAGTTAATGTATCATCGGAATCGTCTTTGTTGACAGAAACTTTACGCACCGGTGTGCCTAGAGCGCCTGGCTCATGACCAGGTATGCCTATGCCGATTTGAATTGGTGGCAGATGAATAGCAGAAGAGACTTCGAAGCTTACTAGTAAAACAAATGAAGCTAGAAAAGACCATTTGGTTGACATTTTTTTGTTTGGTGGGCATTCTATACTCTGGTTATCACTTATTTATAGTGGAATTGAAAGAGATATGCATTAATCTTGTGTTTTGGTCAGAAATCAGCTTAAAATAAGGAATTTTGTTAAGCTTATCTAGCTCATGCATTTTTTGTTCTTAGTTTAAACATTGGTTCATTTTCATTGCATGAGCGCTAATAATTTGCTTCCGTGTTAATAATGCAATATAGAACTCGCATTATTAATTAATTGCATTAATCTAACTACACCTCTAAAATTAAAGGAAATTTTCACTTTCATTGTCTAGTTCTTTAGAAAATTATGCTGATACAGTCATTTGTGAACTGTGAACCAAATATTAATTAATTCCTTTCAAAAAAAAAAACCTTAGTTAATAAAAGTTTTTAAAAAATATTTATTATAAATATAAAAGACAAAAATAATAAGTAAATTTGGAGGGGAAAGCCCTCTAGATTTTGCTTATAGAGGGTATATGCATCAGCAGGAGGAAACAAAGTCTAGAAGCCCGTGCTAATAACCGTGAATTCATATGCTCAAGAGATTTCAGGAGAAAAATATAGCGGACAAGATATAGGGTTTCAGTCTATATAATCCTAAAAGATAGAATAAGACTTATCTATACTCGGTGTACAGAATTACCCATAAATCAAGTCAATTAAAAAATATTTTAAAAATAGAATTTGATAATTTTTTTTAAAGGAAAATAGAATTTAATATTTAATATGTATAATTAAAATAATATAATAGAATTAGGTTGGTCCATTGTAGCTAGCATATATGCATTATTCACTGTATAAATCATCATCAAAGCCAAACCAAAAGGCACCGAGTTGGGTCTCTTCATCGTCAAAATGGCAACAAAAGGGCATTTTCTAGCTTTACTAGTATTTGTTTCACTGACCTTAGGAGGAGGCGAGCCTGATCCAGACCCACCATATGTTGATTCTTATCATCATGAAGCCATCATGACAAACATGGCTATGGCACCTGTTACCCCACCAGATGACATAGCTAGTCGCAGCTTCCATCGCCGTCAAACTCATCGGCAACATTTTCTTGGTCCATTCTGGTCGCCGCCACCAGCACCAGCACCACCAGAGCACGGTGGCCGCGATAGTCATCATTATTCAAGTGGTTTTAATAAGGTAAATCAACCCTACTGTTTAGGTGGCTGTGCTCCTTGTCAACCACAACCTCCTCTGTGCCCAACAAATCCTTCTCCGGGGTGCTCGAATCATTTAGACGATAAAGTTGTGAATCAACTCGCTCTTGCAATCAATGAAGTGACTGAGTTTATCAAAAGCTGCAGGCCAGGTTGAAAATATATGCCAAGCAAGCACTAAAGATAGGAGTTTGGAGTCTTTTGTAATAATAATTAAGCTAGCAGGAAAACTGCTGAGTTTTAACTTCAATAAAATCTTCAGTACTTTTAATTAACTAATCTGTTCAAGATTAATTAATCATTCATATATTTTCACCACATATGAACTTAGAAATTCAAATACTTTAGTTTTAAACAATTTGCATTAATTACACTGATGGAGGGAGGGCAGCAAAATTCTTTTCCAAAAATTCACCTGTAAATTTTTAAAAATTTTCAATTTTATCCCTTAAAATAGTGTATTTTTTTAATTTAGTCCCTCCTAACCTTTTTTTTTTTTTTTTTTATTTTCACCACAATAATGAACCTTAGAAATTCAAAATACTTTTAGTTTTAAACATTGCATTAATTACACTGATGGAGGGAGGGGCAGCAAAAATTCTTTTTCCAAAAATTCACCTGTAAATTTTTAAAAATTTTTCAAATTTTAATCCCATTTAAAATAGTGTATTTTTTATTTAGTCCCTCTAACTTTTTTTTTTTTTTTTTGAAAAGAAGTCCCTGCCTAACCTTTGGAAAAAAAAATTTTGCCGCCTTCCCATTTTGGATTCCTGGATTCCTTACTCCACCAGCCACTATTAATTACATCAAACCTTTGGAGACGTTTTTTTAATAGTAATTAATTATCGCTAATATATTTTGAGCTTGTATCTTTTAATAATTATTAATTACACTCACAATAATGTTTTTTTTTTTTTTTTTTGAAAAGAAGTCCCTCCTAACCTTTGAAAAAAAATTTTGCCCCTTCCATTTTGGATCCTGATTCCTGACTCCACCACTGATTAATTACATCAAACTTTGGAGACGTTTTTTTAATAGTAATTAATTATCCTATATATTTGAGCTTGTATCTTTTTAATTAATTAATTACATCACATAATGTTATTTTTTAATGATGTTGATATATAATAATAACATATTACAGCACAATGATATTGGCTAAAAATAATTTTCCCTTCTTTCATGAATTACAGGAAAGTTTTTTCGTTGTCTGAAAATTTTAATTTTCCTTTCTTTTTTGCATTTTTTTTCCAGAAAAAAAAAAAAGAGAGAGAGAAAAAGCCCACCAATCCTGCGAATCAATTCTCTATTACTATCAAATAATTAATAAGGTGTTGGCTCGAGAGAGATTACACATTCTAATTATATACAGAAATGAAAGTTATGTATCAACAAGACTACTGGGTTTGAAACTTCAAATATTAATCTATATATTGTCATTAATATTGAAAACCATAGTTATTGCCATAATTAATAATTTTTATATTTTCTAATTATTTAATAAATATTTAAATAATCTAATTTTATAAGTTGAAACATTTAATAGAATTATTTTATAATTTAGAAATGTTTAGCAGTTGCAATGCAATTCGCACTATATACACGAATGAACCCATTGAGCTTATTCTTATTCTGAAAATAATACACATGAAACAGAGATAGGATACACTTTTAACTGTGATTATTTTGATAAAATAGGATAACTTCCTTCCCACCTCCATTATTTGCTCGCTTTTAGCCCCATATCCAACAGTTTCTGTTCAGTTCACAAAAGCACTATGAGAATGACTCCGGATTTCAAGGAAAGAATTGCACGAAACCTTTGATGCCTGTTTCACAAAGCCATGCAACTGTTTGATATAAATTAATCAGCTTCTGTGTGTTATGGGAGCCATTCAGGACATCAAAACCATCCAGAAAATGGCAGCACTCAAATTGTTTAGCTTCATCTTCTTCATCATACTATGTTTTCGTCTCGGTTCTAGTATTAGAGTCCTCAGTGAGATGGAAAAAGCAACTAAAAATGGAGTCCAAATGGGACTTGAAGAGACAGAGTCATCGGGAGATATTCCTTCTATAAGCATTGGAGCGGGTGGTGGCTTCTTTGGCTTTGGTAATGGTGCAGAAGGAGGAGGTAGTATCTCAATTCCAGGTTTTACCATTCCAGGACTTGTTATTGGAGGAGGAGCAGGAGGAGGAGTAAGTGGGGGTTGCAGTTGTAATTCTTGCAAGAATAATGGAACCAATGCTGGCGGCGGAAGTGGAGGATGTAACAGCTGTGGCTATGGCGGTCAAATTAGACCAAGTGTCCAGGGTAGTAATGGCGATTTTAGTAACAACAAAGCTGATGATCAACCCAAAAAAGTTGCTGCAGGGCACAACTAATATCAAGGTTGGTTTCCAAAGAATAAAACATAAGAATATAATTAGTAACATAAGCTTGGGATCTTAAGTTATGTAATAAGGCCTTCAGAATTACAGGGTCGCAGCTTTTAATTACTTGAAAAGTCTCATTTATACATACGCTAGCACTTGGTGTATATTTGAAATGGAGCAAGCATGTAATCCACTCAGTGAAGTTCTTAATTTCACAAATCTTATGCACACAATTCTATTATTCTATATATTAAATGAATATGTAGCTTGTGAAATAACATAGTAAAATGTTTACCGGGGTAATTTGTTCAGAAAACCATCTCAGTGGCCAGAAAATGGCAATTACTTGATATATGCAACTGTACAACCAAAATTCGTTGGACCTTCAGCTTCATACTTGGCCACGCATGGATGCTTTCCTAATATCTCCAATGCTCGTTGCTTAACAGCTCCAGTTCCCATCCCATGCACGACAAAGATGACCGATTTTGGCTTACTTTCAGACAAGGCCATGTCAAGGTAAATGGCAGCTTCTTCCACTCGCATACCACGTAGGTCCACAGTGTTCTTTGATGTCTGTACCCTAGGGCCATAAGAAACCTCCTCATTTTTATTGACCTCTGAATGACTCTGTTGGCCCTGCAATATGGACCAGGATAAGCAGTATCAGCATATTTAGACTTCAGTTTGAATATAATTAGAAGCCAACCACAGGCCAAAAGCACATGTTCTCAAGTGAACAAGAAATTGTTAAAGTTAAACAAGTAGACCGATACTAAACTAAAAAACCATGGCCCAAGTCGATTAAATTCACAAGCATCTGCAGAGCATATACCAGAAAAAAATAGATCAAAGAAATGAGAGTTGGTGTTGCATGTGGTGTGCATATGAAACCCAAGAACACATTCATACATCTTGTATGGGAAATTTTGCTAAAATTAAAATTGTTTCTGGCCTTTTGGAATCAAATACAAGGAAATGCAAACAATGAGATAGACTGAGGAATGCCTGCCCTATACCAAAACAGTTGGATCTTTTGAGAGCAATGTGTAATATATACCTGCTTCCTTAATCGAGGGACCAAATGTGTTGAATCTCTCCTCTTGTTAGCTTGAATGGATCTAATATCACTTTTCTTCACACAAACTCTTATTTTACCATATTGGACTAAGATTGTCTCATCATTTCCCAGTGCTTCAACTACAGTAACTACTTTATCTCCTAGTCCCTTCACATGGACTTCCTCTCCAAGTTGTGGTGTATATGAACTACTATCTGCTTCATTGGCAGGAAGACTTTCAGCAGGACAATGAGCTTCAACAATGGATGCAATTGCAGATTCTGACTTTCTAATCAGTGAATTAAACTGATCTGGGCTCGCTTTTCTAAGCTGATTTTCAAAGTTATGCACCACAATTTCTATCTGAGACTTCGTAACCTTTACTTCCTGTTGGACCTGTTGGGTTTCTTTTGCCATGAGTGCTGGCACACGCCTATCAAGATCTTCTGCCTCGTTTTGAATCTTGATCAATAAAATCGATGAAAAACAAAGGAAAGGCAAACAAAGAACAGTAATTAGTGCCACAATATTGACTCAAGAATGTCACATATTTTTTTTTTCTTATTTGCAGACTAACAATCAATTCAAATTTCTCAGGTACTAATGGAGCAAATTTCGAAACCATGTAAAAAATCAATTTTGACAATCTTTTCTAGAAATCTCTAAGATATGTATGCCATATGCTACAACTAAACTAAAAGTGTTGATTCAAGGATACACCATCAAGACTGGTCAAGTAAATTTTGGCAGGATACAGCAGCTGAAATGGTGATGATCCAAGCATAGTTATTAAAGGCACGCCTTCACCTAGAGGCTGGCACCTGGGCTCCAGAGCCCTTTGCACTTTAGTGCGCCTTGTGCCTTTAATTGCTGTGGATCCAAGCACTGGCCAAGACTAATACTAGAAAAACCAGATCCTAAAGGGGCTGCCAAATTATGCACTAACAGTAAAGCATTTCATTCGGCTAATACTGCAGAGTACTTACATGAAACTTAGTTGAAGTGAGAAACAAAATAACTTGACTGAACAACACAGACACAAAGCACACTATAAAAATTGGGGCAACCAATTTCATCCTAAGCTGGAATGTCTAAACTATACCTCGTGGTAGATTTGCATAATTTCTGCATGAAGTGAAGCAGCTCTCATGGCCTGAGTTTCCAATCTGTTTCTTTCCTCCAGTAGTGATTGATACAGCAAACCTTTCCGCTGTTGCAGCTTTTCAGGCATTAACTTCTCAACCCACATCTGTGCACGTTCAATAATACTACTATCAAAACCAATAGATTCAGCAATGCTTAGTGCATTAGAATCACCAGTTCTCCCCCAGAGGATCTGATAAGTAGGTTGTAAGGTTTCAAGAGAAAATTCCATGGCCGCATTCACAAATCCAGTATCCTTATCTTTGAGGCGACTTAAATCAGCATAATGAGTTGTTACAACAGCTAAGTTAACACGATCTTTAAGATATTTTAAGATGCTGGCTGAAAGTGCCACCCCTTCAGAAGGATCTGTTCCGCTACAAATTTCGTCTATGAGGACAAGTGATTCTTTAGAGGCCACTTCCAAGATCTTACAAAGGCGTGATATGTGCCCACTAAAAGTTGAAAGATTTTGCTCCAGCGACTTCAATAAAAGAAAAACAGTCAGAATGGAATGGACCAACTGATTGAACTAAGAGCACATTTCCCATAGACAAGGGAAACTATTACCTGGTGATCTCCAATATCCGCTAGAACAAGATCAAACCATGGAATTCTTGGGATGTTTTTACTAGGCAAAAACAAGCCAGCCTTTGACATAAGAGATGCTATGCCTAGAGTTTTCATAGAAGCAGTTTTTCCTCCAGTGTTGGGTCCTGAAATTACAACCACTTTGGTTCCACATTCCACTTTAATGTTTATTGGCACAGGAAATTCAGATACAGTTTCTGACAACCTTTCAGTAGCCATTACACCATCTCCATAATTCAATTCAGTTGAATTCTGAGAATTGGAACCAAGGAAATCAGACAAACTTCTTTGAGATGACCCAATAAGTAATGGGTGTCTTATACCTTCAATATCTATTAACAATGGATAATGTGCTCCCCCAGAAAGTTCACCTTCACAGCCCTCTGAAGTCAAAATTGGACAGATCGCATTCATCTGTTGAGCATAAGCAGCTCTAGAAAATGCAAGGTCAACTTTGAGAATTCCATCCAATAAATGCTTTATTTCCTTCTCTGATTGTGCTATTTCAGATGTAAGCAAGCTTAAAATGACTATTTCCTCAGCTCTCTCTGAGTTTGAGAGCATGACCTCAAGGTTATTCAATTCGACTGCATCATCAGGCTCCATGAAGTATGTTGCACCAGAACCACTAACATCAAGAATCACACCATTACGAATCAAGTGTCTGTGGGTTGCCCTAACTCCCACACACAACCTAGAACGGCGCTTAGTTACCAAAGGTCTGTCAGCACCCCCAGCCTGAAAAATCCGAGTTGATATTCCCTTCAGCAAGGTATCCAGATTCTCCATGTTTCTCTTTCTTTCAGACCTAATGATCTCCAGTTCTTCACTGGCTCTATCAAGGATTATCGAAAGATTGCAATCTAAGCAAAATCCTATCTTCTGCTCCAACTCTATTTGGAAGCTGCATCTCTGGAGAATTTCCAAAAGTGGACCGTACCTATTCAAATAAAAAAAAAAAAAACGCATGAGATCCTGTCTTCTTAAAGAAATGCTCATAACAAACTATAGGCATAAATAAAACATATAACTAAGGAGAACATATCACTGACAATAAAATTCATATACCTCTCTAAGCAATCTCCACCATCTTTTAACCTCTCCAACACGGCCCTTGCAGCTCTCAACGTCCGTCTCACAGCACAGAGCTCACCAATAGTAAGCAAATTCCCAGAAACCGCAGAATCCACAATTCCAGTTACATCTTCAATTTCCGAAAAATCCAGCGGCCCAGATTGCATGACAGCCAATGCTGCAGCGGTCTGGTCCAGTAACTTACGGCTTTCCTGGAGGCTTTTCCCGATGGGAATGCTTGCATTTCGAGCGACTGAATTGCCCATTGAGGTTGATGTGAAGTAAGAGAGCCGGTCGCAAAGCGAGCTCCATTCTAGGACTTTTAAGGTTTCGGATTGCAGAGAGAGCTGAGGTGAAATCGAGTCGGGCGAGTTTTGGAGGGAAAAGAGAGGTTTAAAGGTCTTGAAGGGTTTGGAGAAGAGAATTGGGGATTTGCTGACGGAGATGAAGTGATACGAGACTTCCATAGACTATCGCTATTGCTAAAATTTGAAATTCAGTTGCCTTTTCATTTTCGAGTGCCGGTGGGCATTCTGGCTGGGGTCTCGCGGTCTCTTATCCATTTTCAGCTGACAGCCAAGCTAAGCGAGAGTTTAGCGTCAATACGGCTATTGGTTCAACTTTCACGCGGTCGTTCGACGACAGAGACATTTTTGTAGATATGATAACAGATGAGAATGAGAAAATATTTTATGTGGTGTCGTTTTAAAGACAGAGTTACCGTTTATCTAATCTAGCCATGGAAAATACGAATGACAATAAATTCGAGCTTTATCCGTAAATTTCACATTCAACGTCGAGATTCATGCGTTCTAAGCAACAGCAGCAATAGTAATCTCATGTGGTTGCAAAATGTTCGTTTGTATCTAATTTAACACATAAGTTACAATGTGATAACACTGATGATAGTGACGAGATGGCTTATGATTCGTATATTTCTTGTTTTAATTGCAGTACTGATCTATCAACATCCGAGCCCAGATGTTCACTTCTTGTTAAATTGCATCAAATAGTCAATTGGACAAGCTTGATTAAAATCTGTACAAGAAAACAAGTTGGAAGTGTTAGAAAACCAGATTATTCAAAACTAACACCACAAATATGACATTAAGTAGAAAAAAAATACAAGTTGGGAAATTGGCTACATGGCTTACATTTCCAGTTTACCCCTTTATTTTGCTAGGATAAGAGAACCGCAAGCAGCAGAAGCATGTTTTCCCTCTTTGTAGACTAGGTTTCCTCTAACAAATGTTGCCAAAACTTTTCCCGAAAGTTTGGTTCCCATGTAGGCTGAGATACTCTGTATTTGAAATATGATCAGTGGTTCTGATGCTACTAACTAATTCTCAGTGGTCATTAGGCAAAGTAGATGATGAAGAAGATTAAGAAGAAGAAGATATTATTCAAAGAAACAAGAATTAATGGAATTTATAAAATAAGTATATATGGAGATCAGAAGATGTACAGGATGTTTAAAATATATAGGAAGATCATTGTTGAGATCAAACACCGTGCTTGGCTCCCATATGACGATATCTGCATCATTTCCAACTACAATGGCCCCCTGCAAAAAATAATATGGATTCAGTTGACATGACCTGATCTAAGATGAGCAACATCATTTCATGTCCTTATTCCTTTTTAATATCTTTTTTCCTTTATTAGTTGGAAAGCCAATAGAAAGAAATTTGCTTTACCTTTGAATCTTGTCCGGCGAGCTTAGCGGGCCTTTCACTCCACCACAATGCTAATTGCTCCAAACTTACTCCATATTTTCGCCCATATGACCATGTCACAGGAAGAACAAACTGCAGATGCTCTCAAGTTTGTTAACAATGAGTTCCAAAACCAGTAGTAGCAAAATAGTAAACTGAATCAAAGACACACATACGTGTTGTAGAAGGAAAAAAAAACACTAACCTGCAAAGATGATATGCCCCCCCATGCCCTCAAGAAGTTACCTTCATTAAAAAGTTTAAGCTCTGGGACTGTTGGTGAATGATCAGAACTTAACATGTCAATATCTCCTCCCTGAAACAGAATATAAGCATAAGATAGAAGAAAAAAGGATCATAGGATTCAAATGCATCCTGGAATCACAGGTACCAACAAAGCCTTCCATAGTGCTTCTTTATTGGCTGAATCACGGATGGGTGGAGCACATTTAAAACGGGTATCTCCATCCTTAATCTCTTCTGCTGAAAAGGCTAGGTAATGGGGGCACGTCTCAACAGTTACACTGTCGCCACTTCTTTTTGCTAGCTGTAAAAATAGAATAGACAACATGTTGAAAAAGTATTTAGCTATTACCAAGGACTAAAAATTTTGGTTGGAGCAATGAAAGGAGAATTGATGACCATAATTCCAACCAGAAACTTGAAAAAAGGAAAAGTTCCTTACCTTTATAAGTTGCAGGGACGAACCTGAATCAGACAAATGAACAATGTGAAGATGAGCTCCTTCAGCAGGACCACCAATCCTTGTGTCCTTTGATAGTGTCACTAGGTCTCTAATAGCTGCCTCCTCCCTGAACAGGGAAAAACTAAGATCAGCAGTTATATAAGTAAATAAAAAGAGATCATGTCAATCAACCATTTATTATAAATTCATTATGAAATGCTACTGCAAACAATTTTCTGATAAAATGTAAACGGAAAGCTGATTCCTGTTGCAATAAACCTATATGTAAATGTTAATTTTTCACCAAATGTTAATTGGCATTACACAGCTTTTTAAGGAAGTGCAGAAGAATATTCAATTGCTAATTTTGCCAATATGATACTAGGGTGCAATGCGTTGAAAAATCATTAGACTTCTTCAAGGAAAAATAAAGGAACAAAAATTAGACAAATGACATCCAAGAGATATCAGAAAAAAATTTTAACAGCCAAATCAAAATATACATATATATAGTTTTTTTTTTTACTAATAATATCCAAAAAAACTGAACTCTGTAATTATGCTTTCTTTTAGCTCCATTTCCAATAAGATTGCAAACTTTTAGCTCCAAAAAGAAATTATATTAACTAACATTATGGAGCTTTGTAACTTGCCCACTTCTTCACATAGAGTAGTCATTGACAATATCTTACCATGATGGTGGCCTTGTCTTAAGGTATGTTGAATAATGTCGAGGGTCATTTTCAGCATCTTCTGTGTAGTTCTCAGAATCTTGCTGAATCTCTGCATGTACAAGCAAAGGTCTTCTATATTTTGCCAGTGTAGATAATCCCTCCTAAAGAAGTAAATGGTATGAATCTTAAACAAACAAATAAAATCAACTCAATCAAAATTAAAAAATGGAGGAATTAGAGCACTTTGAAAGAGGGGGAATCATCATCCACCTGTTTAAATCATTTCAATGCACAAACGAGAATTATCAAGGGTACAAAATTTCAAAGAGCATTAATAAATTATGTATGAGTTTGTCAATTATAAAAATAAAAAAAAAAAAATGAAATTAAAAAAAAAAAAGGTAGAACACATTGTGTATCAGTGTAGATTGTTAAGTTAGAAACTCCAACTGCATTTGTTTGACCAGATCAAGCTTTATATCAGAGAAGTTGAACCATGCTCCAAGCAACGGACCTTGATATGACGGGCATTGGTCATAGGAAAGTCATTGATCCCTGAAGGGCACATAAAAGACTACAAAAAAAAAAAAAAAAAAAAAAAAAAAAAAAAAAAAAAAATAGGGGAACGTTTCATCTGGACCTCTGAGGAAGGGCATCATATAAAAGGACTAACAAAAAAAAAAAAAAAAAATAAAAAATAAAAAAAAAAAAAATAAAAGAAGCAAGTAAGAGAGAGGATAGTCCATACAAAAACAAAACTAGGACCTATACAAATCAAATAACAAGGTTTCAAATCACACATTTGAGTAATTAAACTGTTGCAAAACCTGCAAAAAAAGGTTTCCATTTGAAGTTTTTCACTGATTTATGGAACAGATATTACTTCAGTGTATGATAAAATAATAAAATCCCTATCTGATAAATAATGCCTAAAGATATTCCATTGGACACGATCGCTATCATTTGGCATTCACAATGAAGATTTTCAATAAGGAAACATTCGTCTTGTAAGACATGGGATATAATTATCTGTTGCCCCACATAGCCTTAAAAAAAAAAAAAAAAAAAAAAAAAAAAAAAAAAAAAAAGAAGCAGTAAGAAGATTAGTCCATACAAAAACAAAACTAGACTATACAAACATAAATAAAAGGTCAAATCACATTTGAGTAATTAAATTGCAAACTGCAAAAAAGTTCATTTGAGCTTTTCACTGATATGACAGGATATTACTTCTATTGTATGATAAAAATAATAACATCCTATCTGAATAAATAATGCCTAAGATATCATTGACACGATGCTATCATTGGCTACAATGAAGATTTCAATAAGGAAACATCTTGTAAGACATGGATATAATTATCTGTTGCAATTAGCTTATAAATGAGAGACATTTTACCTTTAAACCAAGAACACCAGCATTTAGGAGAGCTTCTAGAGAACTTGCATTGAAAGCATTTTCAGGAACTAGGCCTCCCCAGAAACCTGATGATAATCTAGTCATGAAACGGGTCTCTAAGATATTGGCATCATAGCATGCAGTTTCAAGATCATACCAACATCAACATAGATATTCTTTTCTGCAGCCTCAAGCTAACACAAGCATGTCAAACGTTCCATTAAAGAAAAAAGTTAGTGAGATATATATGAGTAACAACTAACAAGTAACAAGAGAACCTCTATAAGCATGCATAGGTTCAATATAAGGAGAAAGATAAATGGAATTGAATTGCGACACCTAGAGTATGCTGGAAAAAGGCATCCCATACCAGGGCTTGAATTTAGTAGAATTATCATGTCTAAAGCACTTACATTTGTGCATTTGTTAAAAGAAGTATAGAGGTCTCGTTTGATCATTCGTACCTTGAGTCTAAAAGTCTCCACAGAAACAGTCGAAGGAAAGCTATTCAGAGGCATGTCAATCAACGTTGTAATGCCTCCTGTACGTGTATAATGATCTAAATGTTTAGTTCACACAATGCAATAGACCAAGCATAGTTAAATACATAAAAGATCCTATAGTAGTACTAGTAAATAATAGTGCAGAAAAACAAGCCAATCACAAGAGATAAGGAAAAGGAATGAAGAAAAATAAAACAATTCTGGAGTGTGGATATCCATAGACATCCCATGTCAAAATATATAAATCACATCAATTGAGTCAAAAAGTGGAGACAACATATAATTGTGAATGTTTTACCTTGTTCTTTTAATAGGGATAATCAGGGATTCTCCTTATTATAAATTTAATAAAGTTCATGCAAATAGGCAGAAAACTGTACCAGCTGCAGCTGCTTTAGTTCCTGAAGGAAATCCTTCCCATTCAGTTCTTCCAGGATCATCAAGATGTGCATGCCTGCCATGATCATACCAGAAGCACTTCATCAGAAGAAGATAGTTATTAGAGTCTAATTATTTTATCATCATTTAGCAAACAAAGTAGCTAACTGGATTCTGAATTTTCCCCAGTAGTTGAGAAATAATTGAATTACAATTTACTTTATCGAAATAACTCGTACCAAAATAAAAACACAAGGCAATGAAACACACTAATCTTACACATCAATCAAGCCAGGCATAACCACAGCTTCTCCGTAATCAAGTATCGGTCCCCTCTTGGAATATCCCTGCCAATCCTCTTCTTTAACTATGGATACAATATTCCCTTCCTTTACCTCTACTGCTCAATCATAAATTTAAACAACAACGTATTATAGCAATTGGAATGAATATCCCTAAGCAGCATATCTTTATGACTATCTGCTCCAAATTAAGCGAAAAGGCGAGCAAATATTATCTATAAAAACACACCTGCGCCGGAAATGATCCCTTGTGGTGTCACAATGCTCTTGCTGGTTATCCAATAATGTTTATAAGGAAGGAGGCTACAGTCGCCGTGGGACAACTGCAACACCAGAAATGTCGTCGTATTAGCATAACATCGCCTTGGAGTTGGAGATATATGTATGTAACAACTAACAACAGCGATTCCCGTTGACCAGAAGGTATAGAACCAATCAATAAGGAAAAATTGAAGACAGAAACTATTACCTTAGAAGAATTTTGGACGTAGAAGAAGAAGAGAAACGAAGCGAAAAGTGCCAGCAAAGGTAATATCCGCCATTGAAGATTGTCCATCTCTACTCGTTCTATCTGCTGTTACTACTGCTCTCTCTCCCATAGAACGATGTAAAGCTTGTATGCGTTGCTGACTCACGTGCGACTGATGTTGTGGGAAATAATCCAATAAAATATACATCTTGCAAACATTTTTTAAACCGAAAGCACATTTTATTGTTAGTTTAAAAATAGATCCATCCAAATCAGTACAAAACCAATCATTAAAAAAATGGTAATAATTTTTTACAATCACAATTAATTATTAGTTTACCTGTTTTGAAATAAATGAATTTTATAAAATTTTGTATAATTCACTTATAAATCTAAATTTTTATATTTGGCATAAAAAAATTGAATTTGTATTAAATTCTACGAATTCAATTATATGAATTTAAATTTTTAGAAATTTAATCATATTCAATAGACTAAAACATACTCTATCTATTCTCATTTTGTTTATATGGTTTACGTATATTAAAAATTTAGTCAATAAAATTTATTTTATATATTTTTTTTTTTACCCTTAGCTCATCAACAGATGGTTTGGATCGAGATTATTTGGCAGGTTTGAAAAGTAAAGTAACGTAAATGAGGGTTATTTAGTCGTTTGAGAAGAAGGTTTAAGGAAAAATATGATTTTTTGAAAGTTATTTAAGGGGTTAAAAACATATTTTAACATCTCAATCTTCAACGTCTGAAATTAGGGTGTAATGGTTAAAAATTTTAAATTTTAAAATTATTTATTACTATACTTATAAATAGTATTTTCGTAATATTTACATTTAATATTACCTTCTTATAGTATCAAATCAAATAAAATAATATTATTAAACTTCCATTTATTATAATTTCTCCATAAATATATATAAAAAAATATTTACCATATTTTCCTGTAATATTACTTTACTTATTGTTTGGATGAAGGTTATTTGATAGATTTAGATATGAGTTTTTAAAAGTTATTTGAGGGGTTGAAACCTATCTAAATATCATAGTCTTCGACTCTCAGAATTGAGGTGTAATCATGGTTAAAAAAAATTAATTTTCAAAATTATCCATAATTATATTTATAAATCTTCTATGACATGGATGTTTTCATAATATTTATATTTAATACTACCTTTTTCTACCATTAAATCAAACAAAAAGATGTTATTAAATCTTCATTTGTCGCATTTTTTCCACAAAAATAAAAAAAAATATTAATAAAAATCATTCATGAACAATTATAAATATTATTATAAAAAAAATTATTTAGAAATATAAATTTAGAAACATTACAAATATTTTGAAACAAATAAAATGAGATGAATAGAATATGTTAAATGAATTGAATTATTTGGATTTATGTTATATCACCGTCTAATTATATTCAATAAGCCAAAATATTAAAATTTGAAGGCAATGGATATACAGAGCATAAAAGTTTTTTATTCTTTCAGTAAAGTAGAATTTTAGAAATTAAACTTGTATTCTCAATCTTGTAAGAACTAATGTCACTAATCATCTCAACCTACACCTCATTGATCATGAAATAATTTTTTAATTAATATAATATTTATATGTCTCAAACTTACCCAAATATATTTTAAATGGATTTTTTTTTTTGGATCGAGTATCCATGAAAATTCACTCCACTTTCATTCCATCTCCGTCCATTATTTGACACAACAAAAAAAAAAAAAAAAAAAAAAAAAGGATCGAGTATCCATTGAAAAATTTCACTTCCCACTTTCATTTTTCTCCATGCCGTCCATTAATTGGACACCAACAAAAAAAAAAAAAAAAAAGAGAGAGAATTCAATTTTACATTATCTTAGAAAAAAAAAAAAAAAAAAAAAAAAAGAGAATTTCAATTTTACATCTTTAAGAATATATAATTTTCTATCCATGTGCTAATAATCTCAAGTAATAAACTATAAGTTTTGATGTAATATTAACAGTATTCAAACATCCTCAGAATTGTAGAGTTACAATGTTAAACTTTCGTTAGAACTTAATTAAGAAAAAATCTTTCAAAAGAAAATTTAATTAAAAAAAAGCTAACCTGCCTCTAAGCCATCATTTATCTTTAAATAAAAAATGAATAGGTAGATGGAAGTTGCAGACTGTAAGTTGAATTTTTGCTAGAGGCAAGCTGTTATGGATAACTTGAATTGAAGGTAGCTTTAACAGAATACAATCCTTTACAGGGTTTTACTTTTATAATTATGATAATTGCTAGATTAATTACGATTAAGGCACCATGATCAGAAAAATTGAAACATATAAAATGATAATACATCTGACGAGGCTTCTTCTCCGACCAGATGGATATCAAAATTCATTCACTTCTCTTCTCCATCTCCTAGTTTTCTCTGGCTCTCTCTTTGGTAGCTCTGTTTTGGGAGGAGGTACGTTTTGGATGTGCATACCTAATTAATATACAAATTATAATTGGCCATGGCAGACAATAGATAATACTTCTAACTCCTTCCTGTGTGATCTGGTAAATCTTTCTGCGGTTGATTGACAGCGGAATTGTTTCACTGTCGGCCGGAAAATTTTGTTCTGTCCAGCAAAAAAAATTCTTATCGAACAGAAAAGTTTGTATCTGGGACGAAAAGTTTCCGTAAGGGCGGAAAAGTTTCCTTGCCACGCGATAGCCCTTTTTTTTTTTTTTTTTTTTTTTTTTTTTTTTTTTTTGTGTTTTTTAAGATTAAAAAAGAGAGGAGAACTGCAGCGCATATGTTGGAAGAAGAATTTGGAGTAGTCCCCTGAAAACCCCTGTCATAAAACTGAAAGGACGAATTAGCCCTGTATATGTGATCTCTTCCTGTTCCAATTTCCTTCCCTATCCTTCCAAATAGAGATGAGCTGTGAAAATTGTTTAAGAAAACGAAGACGTAAAAAGATTTTTTTTTTTTTTTTTTTTTTTTTGTGTTTTTTAAGATAAAAAAGAGAGGAGAACTGAGCGCCAGATGTTGGAAGAAGAATTGGGAGTCCCCGAAAACCCTGTCATAAAACTGAAAGGACGAAATTAGCCCTGTATATTGTGAATCTCTCCTGTTCCAATTTCCTCTCCCTATCCTCCCAACATAGAGAGAGCTGTGAAATTGTAAGAACGAAGACGTAAAAGATGCTACCCCAGCAATGGGCTCGACCTTGTGGCAACGAATGCACTCACAAATACGCTGCTCTCACTCAGATTCCATGTATGTAACCTTCCTCTACCTCGTTATTCCTTGTTAAAAAAAATTAAAATATAATTCATTTTAGTTGCTCGCTTTTGTTTTTCTTGTTCGTTGTCCACCAAGACTTGTATATTGTAACTTAGATTTGATATTTCTTAACGATTAATGATGAATTTCTTGTTAATTTACTCGATTTTTTAGATTTTTTTGATTATACGTATGTATACTCTTTGGGTATGGGGGAAAGGGGAAGGGAAGCAGGAATGTGATTACGAATGTATCCTATGTTGCCTATGTTTGGTAATATGAATTACTGTACCCTTTTGAATTTCCCTCCTCTCAAAAGATTGATTATAGCTTTTATTGGTTGCATAATTGGACCATGTTTAAGAAATAAGAAATATAAAAATATGAGCTGCTATTGTTTCTAATTTAAAGAATAATGGAGTAATCCTCCTGTTTGATTATTTATCTGGAAGTGGCTATTCAATTGTTCGTTACAATGTTCTTGACTTTGTAATACATGGAAACAAAATATAGAGGCTACTGCATGAACTGCATTGTCAATATCGACATCACATTGTTGCTTCTGGTGACAACCAATGGACAGGGGAAATGTGAGGAAAATAATTTTATGAATCAATGTTATTTGACATTTTCAAGATGTCTCAAATGCTAAGAAAAATGCTTGGAAGGAAAGCCTATGTATTGTAAATGGTGCTAGTTTGTGAAGTTTGTAATGGATTTATTAACTTTGTATTACTCCGCCTTTCCTCATTATTGGTGACTTTTTCTTAGTGCTTTGTGAATGGCTGAACCCAGATGCTCATATGTAAATAATTGTTTACATGATACAAGTTGCATGTGAGAGATTGCTTACTAGGTTCTCAATTAACGTTATTGACATTTTCAAGATGCCACAGATGTTATTGAATTTGTGGAATATCGTATGCCACAGTGCCACAGGGAGAACTTTGGATTCATTGCACTTGATTTTCTCATAATTGACATGATATTAGATCTGATATCAAACTATCACTTTGATCTGTCTGACTGGTAGTTTGGAATTTTGCAGGGAGAGTGTTCTGCAAGAAGGGATGTGATGCTGATGGAGAAACATGGGAAGAATGTGAGTATCCATCACGCCCCCTCCCAAAAAAGGAATAACTCTCCCCCTAAATTGCCATTTTTTCACATAGATTAGATGTAAATTTTTTCTTTCTATTGGGAGTTACACTTGAAGCTTACGAGTTTAACTCTGATGTTCTTGAACCTTCAGGTCTGTCTGAGTGCAATGAAATATGCTACAAGGACCCTGTATTTAAGGATCAGCAGTGGAGTGCATACATTGACAGGTCACCTGGAGCTGCCAGTTATTCTGAGGTATTTTATCCCTTTAACCTGTAACTTTTTCTCTCTCTTCCATTCTTTTTCACACTTTTCAATCACTGTTGCAGTGATATCATATGATGTGATTCAAGTCCTTGTCCCTTCTTTTCCTGACTTTGTGCAGTGCCCCACTTAGTTTTTCATTTCAAGTGTCATGATCCGTTTGAGTTTTTTCACTCCCATAAGACTGAGGAAGTGTTTAGAATAGATAAATTTCATAAAATTTTCTTCAAAATGTTTTTGGATAGATAATAAAATGCTGGTTTTTCAATCCATTTCCAATTCTACCTGTTCTGTTTCAGCTATTAAATTTTTTCTCATCATTCTCTTTATACAGGAATGCTTCCATGCCTGTGTAGCTGGCTGTGGTTACAAGGTGAGTCTGTTCTCATCATATTGTTGACTATGTTGGTTCATGTTCAATTTATACATGAGAAGGATTTGCATGAATGCTGATTTTCATCAATAACAGAGGGATGGACCCTTTTCAATATACTGTGTTATTTGGAAAGCTCTTTGTTTCTGTATTATCTAGAGGATCTTTGGCAAACATTTATGTGAAAAATTAAAACATTTTCCTGCTTGTATTTGATGTGGAAGTTGTGGATTTCAAGTGGTGTTACTGAATTTGATGCATATATCATACTTGCTGTTCATTTTATTGTTAATCTGAATAAGTTGATCAGAGAAAGATTCCTTTTCTCTTTTCCTTAGCCCACTTCATCTGCCACCAGTTCTTTTGTCTTGAGCTTCTGTAGTCATTAAAGAGGAAGCAACCAATTTATTATGGTAAAAAATTACAACTTAAGCTCAAATAAAATCATTCTTGTAGGATTAGGTAGCATTCTCCTTAAATTCATGTGCTATGCTATATCTTTATTTCATTAATATGATGCTTGTTCATTCTGGACTGCAGTTTGAAATTGAACCAGATAAAGTTGATCAGGTTCGACCAAACAGGCCAAGCAAGCCTCCACCTTCTGTAAAGCCAGCCCATATTCAGAAGCCACCTCCAATAGCTTCTAAACCTGATGAACCTGCTGAAGACATACCTTGCACCTCTGCATAGACAGAAATAGAGCGAGTGAAAGAGAAAATAGGTAGAAAGAGAAAAGAAAGCCACGGTGAGAAACATGACGCAGTCAATTTTGTTAGCTTATGTAGCCCCAGAAGATTCTTATTGCTTCTTGGTTCCAGCTGTGGATCTTTACAACCTAAGGTCCTTTTTTGTTGGCAGCATCTTAATTTTATCCATGTCTTATCCCTCATTGGGTGTCTGAAGCTACGTTGTAGTTGATATCTGTTTTTTTGACAGCATAGCTTGGATAACCGATTTGTAAAATCAAAATCAATCCCTTCACATTTTTGGTTGATGATACAGACCAATGAAGTTGGTTTCAGAAGTAGCATAGTTTCAAAATGTATTTTCTATAACTTTGAGACGAAATTGTACCATGATTCTGTTCATTTTGATGAAATAGGTGAAATTTTTTATGGTGGGATCAGCAGTTATGCAAGTGTTTGTGTTTGCTTTATCACGCTTTGATACAATTTTAGCAGCTTGGGATCTGTCAAAGTGGCGCAGATCGCCCCTGTATATTTGAGTAAGCAGATTCTGTACTAAAGGTCTTAGCAACTCCTGGAAATGAGGAGGTTTTGCTTCTAAAATTCATTGATACATATCAAATTCTTAATACGCTGAACAGGCAGTACGGGAAAACCATAGCATGGCCATGAAAAGGAAATTCAGAGATGGTTAGAATTTCCATTGTATTGAAGGCTAAAACAGTTGACCAGATTGAGTCTAAGAATCAGATTCCTTAGAAATTGCCAGCAGATAATGTTTTAACATTTTGATTGAAAAGTTCAAATATGCAAAGGGAATTTCGTGGATATTCTTGTCTTAATATAGATATTAGTTGGGACTGAATTTTAGAATGTTACCTCACATTTTTTACTAGAGAAATTTTTTCAATTGATTTTTTTTTTAATCCATCATCTGCAAAAGAAATAATTTAGAAAGCAATTACTTCTCGTCCCAAAAAAATTGTCATCGTTTCTTTTTCTACAAATTTTAAGAAAATACAATTAATTTAGTGATAATTTGTGTTTTTTCTTTTCTACCCTTATTTTTATAATAAATTAGCTCCAAATTTATAGGTGTAATTAAATGCAACTACATGTAAAATGTGAATTTATTGAAGGGTAAAATAGAAAAAATAATTTAAATGCATACTATTAGCATTATCCCTGGTTTAAACTACTTTCTAAGTAAAAATTAATTAAAAACATCTCTATCAGTGTCACTGGAGCAGGAACAAACTCGAAAAGACGACGTCGTATTTCTGTGATTCAGTAACCGGACACTAGTACTCGGTTGCTTACGTCTCACAGCAATACATTAATTCAGCAAGCACTGATCAGAAGCCTCATCAATCAAAAACCCTAAAAAAGAAACTGAAATATCAAGTTTGAGATAAATAAGAGGATTTGAAATTCCCTCGAAAAAACAAAATGCCTCAGGTAAGAATAATTGCTAAGAATTTCATGGACATGGTGGCGTCTCTTCCCGCCATGAAGCTGGACAAGCTTTACGCTAATCCCTTCATTTGCCAAGCTATTCTCAGGTGTTCCTTTTCTCTTCTCTTTACATTTCAACTATTATTGCTTTATTTTATCATTACAGTGGCTGAAAAATAAATTGTTAAGTTTGGTTTTAGGTCATTGCCTCCTTTAGCGAAGAAATATGTGTTGGAAATGTTGTATATAGATGGTCCAGTAACAGCCAAGATGCTGGGGGAGTGGGTGCTCGCTGATGGATCCTCTAAGCATAAAGTCTCCATTGATCGCTTGATTCAGTTGAGAATTTTTACTGAAACTGTCGATAGGTAATTTGCAATTGTTTTATTCGAATTTTAATTTGTAATTCTATTGGTTTCTGAGATTTGAGCTGATTGGACAGATTTGATCAGTCATGTTGATCTTCATGTTATTAATAATGAAAACATTAGTCGTCAATACACTATCTGCATTTTGCTGAAATTTTTGGTTCATATTATTAAAATGGCAGGAAAAAGGAAGCCAGTTACAGATTAAATCTAACATTTCAGACTAATCTTCAGAAGCATTTAATAGATCGGTAAGTTTTTACATTCACATGTGTGGCCTTTGTTTGTTGTATTTCTTAGCTTAAATGAATTTATTGGTCAGGTAGGATTTATCAAACACAACACAAGGAAATCAAAGGGAGAAAGGAATAAACCCATCTTGCTTAATGTATTCCATTGAAGTAAATTATTTTAAAGGTTACACATAAATGTACCGATATCAGTAAATAGGCATTGAAAACCATATTATATGTAGACTTTTCTTCTGCATTTTAAACTGTGTCTCGTCTTATTAACATAAACAGATAAATAATGCTTAAATAGTTAAACTGAAATTTGGGCTTGTTCATTTCCAAACTTTAGACATCAAGCATTGTCAATTTATCATTCATGCCTTTGATTGACGGTATTGTATTGCTTGAAATTTCTTAGATTTTGTGTTTAACTTCTAACCTTGTCTTATCACCAATGCTTGAAAATTGAATTTTTCATACTTCAGTGAAGTTTTGCCTAGGGAACCAATGCCTCCAAATATTGTAAGACTCCCAAGCCCAGAGGAACTCGAGGCATATGCCCTTGGACAGTGGGAGGTGTGAGCTTCATCTATGTATTTCTATTATTTGGGTCATTTGCTCATTTTTCTTTGTCAGAAATTATAAGCTAGTTCTTGTTTATCATGGTAAGTTGGTAACCACTATGATATGAAATGATATTATTACTTTTTCCTCTTATGACTGTTCTCTTGTGGCCTGTGATTGTGTTAAATCAGTGTTTCTTGCTACAACTTATAAACTCGGCCCAAGCAGAAAAGCTGACCAACTTTAGCTCTTCTATGATTAAAATTTTCCAAAGGGGTCTTTTGAGTCAAAGGTAATATTTGTTAACACATATTATACACCTTTAGTTCTGAACATTGAGAATCCTACATTTCATACCTCTGACATGCTACATATTTGCCTTTTCTGTAGGGATAAAGATGCTGCCCGATTAACTGAGGGTGGTTTCCAATTTTTGGTGTGCATCATGCTAATCATATGTGATTTGCACTTTCTTATTGTTAATTACTGTAATTTGAAATTTCTTCTCAATATGTGCAATTGCAGCTGATGGATACAAATGCACAACTATGGTACATAATCAGAGAATATATCTCTAACTCTGAGGTAAGAACTTGTTAAATTCTTTTTGGTGGCTTTTTCTTCTTACTTTTTTTCCCAAGTAGTAATAGACTTCTGAGTTCTGATAAAGTCTATTACAGATGCGACTCTCTTACTTGCAAATCCATTTCTTTATGAAACCCATCGTGTGGTATAAAGAACTTCTAAACTAAGATTTGTTCAAAACTGATATATTTTAAATCTTATGTTTGTGGCATTTGATCATTTATATAGAACCTTACTTTCATCTTATTAACATGTTTGAACTATTGAATCCTTTTGTTAATTTTTATTGCTCTTCTTAAGATTCATACAGTAACCAATTCTTCAAAAAATGAGGTGATCCGATCTCCTTGACCGGCTTGGGTTTGGCACAACTGAAATGTGTCTAGAGCTGTTTGCTTGGAGAATTACCAAGATAACATTGTTTCTATATGATGTTAAACAGAGTTGGATAAGCTAAAATCTACCTATAATTCAAGTGTGAGGCTTACAAGCTCAAGCAATTCTTGAGCCATAGGGAACTACAATTAAATTGTTAGATATCAAGCCTCACAGCCTACTATGGAGGTGGCTTACATGTTAATTATGTAAATAACTGTTTAAAAATGATTATTTGACATCACCTTTTTTTTCCCTTGATACATGAAAGAATATAAATCGTCTAATATGTGAAGAAAAGTCCACTCGTTACATTATTTTCAGCTAATCTCAAAATGATTTTTTTGAATATTCTTATAATTCATTGTTATGCTGTGGTTAAGAATTACGGATTTAAATGCAATGTTTAAAATTTTAATATCCTATTTGAACTTTTGAATATTGGTGGTGTTTATTATAGTTGTAATGAGAATCAGGGATCTAGTGAGCACCCAACCCCATTCAGCCATCGCCTATGTCATTCTCATCCTTTTGGATTTTGTTGGTGAGCTCAAGTTATGCCAGTGAGCTTGTTTAATTATGAGTGTTCCAAACTTAAGCTGACTTTAAGTTGAATTGAAATAAACTCAAAACAGCCAGACATTTTCTTGGTTATTTTTTTGCAAGGATTTTTTTTATGCTTATTTTGTTCTCTTAAGTGTTTTGCTTATCATCTATCTTTGATTAATATTTTCTCCTTTTGGTTCAGGAGCGTGGTATAGATCCACCAGATCTGATTTCCTTTCTGCTAGAGCTTAGTTTTCATACCCCTGGTGAGGTACTGCATGTAATTTTGTAGTTTACATGTCTTCTCATGGATAACACTTTCTGCACAAAATAAAAATGTCTGATTAAAAATTTCCAATGCATTTTCCTTTTCTCAGAAGTACATTTTTGAACTGTTTCCGAAGTCTTACAATGTTCTACATTCTCCTCTTCATGATTTAGGCATATAATATGAATACATTGACTGATATTCAGAGGAATACAATAAAGGACCTTGCAGACCTGGGATTAATTAAACTTCAGCAGGTTATCTATCTGTTTTATTATAGGTTTTCCATGTTCCATTGACCTATCAGATAACAAGTATTACTTTTCTGCATCTCTTATTAATATATAGATTTTCAGGGCAGGAAGGAGAGTTGGTTCATACCTACTAAATTAGCTACAAATCTTTCAGTGAGCTTGACAGATTCATCATCTCGGAAACAGGTGTGATAAACGTAAAGCCCCTACGCATAAATGCCTGGACTTTAACCCCATTTATTTAGTTTCCGTTTTTCCTCTTTAATAATAATATTTTAGATTGCATGTCTTATCTGGTGTTGTTGTAGCATGTAATGCTGTATAACAATATGACTTCAATTTTCAAATATATTCACTAATGTGCAATAGTTAAAACTTTAATCACCCTTCCTTTGTCTAATTGGTACATTATGCTGAGGCCTGAGGTTGACATTGTCTGCCCAGTGAGACAGACAAAGTGCTTGCTAGACATAGTCCTGCTGGAGAAAAGAAAGAGTGATATAGTTAGGAAGGGAGAGCGAGGGAAGAAATTTCTCTTACAGTTTTTTTTCTTCTATTCAGGGATTTGTTGTTGTGGAAACAAACTTTAGGATGTATGCTTATTCGCAATCAAAGCTGCATTGTGAAATTCTGCGTTTGTTTTCAAGGTATGCCCCACACTTACAGCGAAAATAAAATGCCAGCTGCTTAAATTTGCTTATCAATCTGGCAAGTACTCTTTTTTCACATTCACTTTTTACTATCATAATTTCACTGCTTAAACTTGTGCGTTTGACTGTGAAGTTAAAAAGTTCTATGCTTTCTGCTTATATATGCAGAGTTGAGTATCAGCTCCCAAACCTTATTGTTGGAGCAATAACAAAAGAAAGCTTGTATAATGCTTTTGAAAATGGTATCACAGCAGAACAGGTGAGCGTTTATTTAGAATGAATGGGCCCAGCAGGTCAGTACTTTATTTTTTCCCTAAAGAAAGAAGGTTTCCTGGATCACCAAGAATCTTGTAAATAAGACCAAATTCATGAATTAGACAATTTTAAAAAATAGTATTTTCGTCCTGATTACTCTGTATGAATGTATCAACTGTTTATTTCATTAGGCAAAAAGTCACTTCGAGGCACTTATAGATCCTGACATATTTTAGGAGTTTAACATATATTGTTTGTTTCTGATCTTACATTTGGGAACTGTTTACTTTTGAATGGTTTCCTTTGCAGATAATTTCTTTTCTTCAGCAGAATGCTCATCCTCGTGTTGCAGAGAAAATACCTACTGTTCCTGAAAATGTGACAGATCAGGTCACAATGATTTTCCATGTCCACACATGTGTCAATTCAAATATTTTGTTTCCTCTTATCATACAAAAGCTCCAATATGAAATTCACAAACATTATCAAACCAATTACTTCTCTTATATTAATTACCAGTCTTTCTGGCTGTTGCATATGCTGAGACACAGATTATTCTCGACTTCCTAATGTTTTGAAACCCATTCTTTTATGAACAGATAAGACTCTGGGAATCAGATTTGAACAGGGTTGAGATGACCCCTGCACATTTCTATGATGAATTCCCCTCAAGAGTATGTCAAGTATCTTATTTTGACTGTTAATTTGGTCGTGCTTTTTCTTTTTTGGTCATCATTTCATATCTCATCTGTCAGGATGTATTTGAGGCTGCTTGTGACTTTGCACGAGAATGGAGTGGTTTACTGTGGGAGGATTCGAAGAAAATGCGCATGGCAGTCAAGGCAGAACTTCACATGAACATGCGAGAATTTCTTCGAGGACAAAAATAATAGGCCTCTGTGAATATTAAACCGATAAGAGGACATCAAGTTGTATAATTTATTCCAGAAGATCACCCACAACCACAAAATGAGAAAATGTAATACTCGGAAGAAATTTAGGAATCAATCTTCCTGTCACATTGCGATAGATATTCAAAATTTTTAATTATTTTTTCCAATAAGAATCACTCTATAAACTTTTACTACATTTTCTTTTATCTGAAGTTACTTCAAATGTTCATATAGACTTTTGGCAATACTTCGTCCTATCATCGTCCCTTTACACGACGATGGCCCATCTTTGAACCAATAGGAATAACAAGTAACGACATAGTTTCAAAGTTGTGAAAGAAATGCAGATTGAGACTGAAATTTGAACATTTCATTTTGTAGAAAAGGAATTCAAAATGCCAATAACATGTTGCTGCCGCCGTCGAATAAGGGGCCTTCAGTGTGTAAGACTGACGTGATAAGCACTAAACAACAGCAACAACATTGAGAGTTGAGACTGAAACACATATTTCAAAAAAAAATTAAAAATGTCAAAAAAAATTTGAAGGGAAGTAAAATGTTGCTGCCCAGGATCGAACTGGGGACCTTCAGTGTGTAAGACTGACGTGATAACCACTACACCACAGCAACGAGATTGGCAGTAGTGGCTTAAACAAACTATATTTCAAAACCAAATTAAAAATGTCAAAAAAAGTTTGAAGAGAAGTAAAATGTTGCTGCCCAGTATCGAACTGGGGACCTTCAGTGTGTAAGACTGACGTGATAACCACTACACCACAGCAACGAGATTGGCAGTAGTGGCTTAAACAAACTATATTTCAAAACCAAATTAAAAATGTCAAAAAAAGTTTGAAGAGAAGTAAAATGTTGCTGCCCAGTATCGAACTGGGGACCTTCAGTGTGTAAGACATAATGACCACTTGACACCACGAGGCAACCTACTTGGCATGATTCATTCCAAAGTTTTAATATTAGTGACGAGTATTTTATTGTTGTGGTTTTCCAAAGGGAAAGTGGAGCGCCAGCCAAGAAAGGGCATTAACAGTAGCCAAAGACGAGTTTTCCAAGAAATTCCAATTGCTTCATTAGTGCATAACATGCAATTTTTATGATGTAATATCCAAGTTGTCATGTTCTTTGGGTTCGTGAAACTGTACTGATTGAAGCCAGGATGGATCCATGTAAGGATCAAGTTGTCATTGTAATTTTGTACAGATAGAAACCTTTGAGATTAATTTGATTCTCCAATTGTCTGCATGAGCTTCTAAGAAAAAATGGCGAAGCATGCAAGGACCTTTGCTGGAGCGTCGAGATAGCTTGAAAAATGGTAAGGATGCAGTTGTAGGGAATGTTTGGAATTGCAATGGTTCGTGTTATAGTCTTTGGATGGCCAGAGGTGTGGCGAAAGAGACATGAAGGTCGTCATGCATCTCTGATGTTTCATGGATTCTGACTGCTCCATGGCGATGTACTTTCGTATCTTTTCACTTAGTGTTTTGTGTTTTGTTTTAATCAAATATTTTATGTTAAACTGTGCATTTTGTTTCATAAAATAACGTCTGTCCTTGTCATGATTAATACAGTTGCATTGCGTTGACCATTAGTCCAGTAAACCTGCAGGTTTATACAGCTTTCTGAAGCATTGCGTTTTCCATGTGCTTCATTACATGTCGTCTGGCGCATATTTCTGCAGGATAGCTCAAACAAGTTTCTGCATTTCTTGTGTATCCTATTATATTTATCATAATTAATTTCTTATTGCTTAGCTTATTTAATTTTGTTTAAAACTAAGTAAAAAAACATATATGTTGCAAGTTCAGAGGGAAATTAAGAAATAAGTGGTTACCTTCATAGAAGACACAGTTAACAGTAATTATCGTTTGCTGCTTTCTTGCTGGGAAGTTCTGCCGAATTGGCATGCTGAATGTATACTCCTAAATTCTGCTTGGAAAAGGTACATTAAGATTAATGATGAAAGTCAAAACTTGCTGATATTGGTTTTTGGTTCTATTACTTGTGTTTTACTTTAGTTCTTTTCTACAGGATTTACTACTGAGATCCAAAAGCGGGGGAGATTCCCATGATTTTAAAGAATTTGTGCGAGTCAAATTTGATTGTTTCAAATGGAGTAGGTTTGTTTGATCGTCTGTAGCTCAGGTATTTTTAAAAAAGGAAATTCCTTTCAATGTTGATCAGATTTCCAATAATTTATTAAAGTCTGAGACATAATTGGATATGCATTGCGAGGGATGCTGTATAGCTTATTTGCATATGTCTTGAGAGCTGTACGGATTAAATTATAATGGACCTCGAACTATGACAGTGACGATGAATTTACACAGGAGCCAGGCTTCGCACTACTAAATAAACATTACAGGAGACCTTTGTATTGTGGTAATGGCGATCCAGCAGTTTGGCCTCCAAGAATGATTCATGGAATGTAAGGATTTAGAAATCGGATTATAACGAGCTTTATCTGTCCGTTTTAAGATTATTTAGATTAATTACAACATTAAGACCATAAGGTTTTATCAATGATACACATTTGCGTCGCTTTACTATTTCAGAATAAGTAAGTTTCCTTGTCCGTCAAGTAAGTACGCGAATGGTAATTTTCTCATTTAGATTGGGAAATGTTTTTTCTTTTTTCCTCCTTTGTAGACAAAAGAGACAGACTGCCTTCGTGAAGAGAATAGCCATCAACTTATGAGGAAAACAACAAGAAGGCAACAAACTATTTCTGCTATGCCTGCGAATGCCAATAAGAGTTAAAAGATGTTTTCTAACCAGATAACGGTTGGAATTACTGTAATTTAGAGTTTAAAATCATGGCATGCCAAACTAGAAATGGAAGTGTCTTTGTCATCTTTGTTATTGCATGTTGTGTAGTTGTACGTATTTTTCAAGTGTCATAAACAAAAGAAAAAAGAAAAGCTCTTTCCAGATCAAGAAATAAATAACCAACTCAACATTTCAGCCTAAAAGCTAAAATAAAAGATACATTAAATGTTTCAAACTAGAATTCTTTTTTTTCTAGAAAATAGCCACTATTCTTACGAGCAAAGATGTGAAAAGAGTGGCAAAAAAAAAAAAAGAGAAAGAAATAGCCCAGCTACTCAGCATTTCTTTGTAGTTAGTTGACACCCTTTCTCTTCATTCGGGCTGTAGTGGCGCCAATTGTCCTGATTCCGATAATATACATGTAGGATGAACCTGGCTCCAAAGGACTTATACGAGGGTCGTAAATGTGATAATATTTCTGGCGCCCAGATCTCCTTTCACCTTTGTGAAGCCTGTGTCCCAGCGGATTCCTAGGGAAAATCAGTTGATGTCATTGTGGAAAAACCCTTACCATGCCAAGTTAGCAAAATTTAAAGGGGCCATAATGAAGAATATGTCTCTTGAGTCAGGCTTTGAAGGACATAATGGTTCCCCGGAGATAAAGATGGTCCTCGCCATTGGGTGGACATCCACCTCCACAACGTGGAAAGGAATAAAATAGCCAAGAAGACGCCGAGCCCAAAAAGATGAACCACGCGAGGCAATTCAAGGCTATCTGAGATAAAAAGGGTTGGACCGAACTCCAATAACCAGCGTGCTTTGGTTTGAGAATAGAGGCCTCAGAGCCATAGAAGAAGATTGTAAGATAAACCCATAGTGGGATTTGCAACAACATTCGTCACAAGATGCGGCTTCCAGCATGGCTGGGATGATCATATCCAATCCCATCTACTCGCTTGGAAAGCGATGGTGTGTTTCAAGGTGATATTTCTGGAAGGTAGAACGGGACCATGGGCACACCCAATAGGGAGGTTAGCCAAAAATCCCAAGCCACCGGTGTAGACGGGGGTAGAGAAAGCGGAGATTTATGACTGAGGCTTCAGGTATGGCTAAGAAAAGATTGCTGGTTGAGGAACGGAACCAAAGAAGTAAGCTGAGTTGGTCAAGTATCTTCAGGCCAGCCAGCATTCATGAGTAAGTGTAGCTTGTCCCAAAGACTAAGCATGACAAACCATAGTAAACCTGAAGACATTCACAAAGTTTCAAGATCATAAACCATTAAAAATGTAATGAAGAAAAATATTGATTAATATGCAGCAATGTTCCATTCAAAAATGCACATCACTCTGTATCGTTACACCAGGTACTCGAAATATTTCCAACAAATCTTATAATAACTTATGATTTTCAATTTAGTTTAAAAGCTTCCCTTTTTTTTCTTTTTTTTTTTTTTTTGCACACCTAAAGAGGAATCATGTAAGCTGGATAAAAATAAACTTAATATTGGGAAATATTTATGCCATTTAGCATTTTACTTATTTAAGATGATGGAGCGTAGAAATCAATTTACAAGGAAAAGTGTGGAAGGGCTTGGCAAGTCGTAAGAGCCCCTAGACCAGAGATTTCTTTTCTTGGTTTCTCTTGTAGAAATATGGAAGATAATTTCTGCGAAAACATTCTTGTCAGATATCTCATTTTAAAAAACCGTATAGCAAAATTTCCTTTAAAAATTGGGCAGAGGTGATAGCTCTTGGTTTTGATTTTAAACTAGAAGGAGGTGAAAAGCACATTCTAAAAAAAATTATAAGAGTGACCTGAGAAACATTGCAATTATAAATTAGATCTTGAATTGAATTGCAGATGTCTAACCAAAAAGTAATATTACACATGCTAAGGGTGCTGCAAAGAAATAAAGCGTCAGTCACGAGTCATAAACAAGTAAAGTTCGTTGCTGCGCACGATTATCGAAAGCACTTCTCGATTCCATAGGAATAAAGCCTCGTCTTCGTATGCAGAACAAATAGTTAAAGTCAAGGATTCGTCAGGCTCTCAAATGGCAATAGAAAAACAAGTCAATAACATAAGTTACCACATAAAAGTGTGCCAGAAACGGAGGAGGTTACAGTCAACGCAAAACGTATGCATAAGCCATGGAGTTACGAAAGGAATCCATTTTGCGCAGTAAATCTTGTTTCGTTTTATGGGAAGGTACGATTTCACATGAATCTAAGTGAGGAAAAATTACCGAATTGAAGATTGAATGCGAGGCACAGTTACAATTATATATCGAAAAGAAAAAAGATGCCAGTTCCAATAGAATTGAGATGTATGGATGATTTTTTGAAAGAAAACAACAGCAAGTGTAAAGGGCAAATACTCAACCCAATGAGCAAAATGGGAGAATTTCGCATTATCATCCAAATAAAAGCATAGCAAATTCACCACATTATCTCATATCTAAACAACAAAATAAGACAAGGACCAAAAAGATTGGGAAATGGGAGAATAAGAGAAAAAGAACACCCTTGAAGCAAAGCCAAAGCGGTCAGGGCCAAAAGGAGTTGTTTGAATTTGAGGATATTGAGAGCAGGATCTGTCTTCTGCCTAAAGAGCATGAGGCTCATCTGTATGACGACCAGAAGAAGTCGGTGGCCATTTATCCTTCGTCGTTCCTCGTTCCGTCGAAGCTTGGTCCCTCTATCTTCTCTCCCCCTTTGCCCATTTTTTCCCCTTGCGTTCGCTCTGCACTCCCGCCTCTCTGTTCTGCGTATGGCGCCCCTTCTTCTTCTCTATTCCAGAAAGATATTCTCTCCTTGGCTTATGGCTAGCAGGATCCGCTTTAAAAATGGAGGGAGAGGGATATAGCGCATTAAAGTCATAACGGCCAGTCCGACGAGGTCATGATATGATGAAGGCAGCTCCCTTCCTGCCCACGGCCCATGTATTTTTGACCCCAATAAGAGTGACAAGTCTAGATGAATTCGGTGTGCGTGACGCGCTTAAAAAGCAAAAGATCAGACGTAATTCGCAACGAGTTAGCTGAAGCTTGCGATCGCGAAGAAACGGTTGTCGTTTACAACGAGAACGCGCTGTACGCGCACGAATCAGAAAGAGCGAAAGCTTAAAAGATAAGAAAGTGGACGCATCACTTGATGGTCAATGCTGCCGGATTTTACAGGTTGGATTCTGTGGAGTGATCTGCTTAGAAAGAGCTGGACAACCAGCCGCTGTGGATGCTTAGAGGTCACGGATTACAATAAGGAAGAACAATGGCTACAACGGCCCCACGTGATTGGAAGTCTGGTTGATTTGCCGGATGTTCCATCTTATTAATTTTTACTAATTTACCAACCTTTGTTTTTTTTCAACTCAATAATCTTGTTCTTCAAACTTTTGAGTCCATAAAAGTTACCCACCACACTTTCTATGTTGAATTGATGGTAGCTGTCAATTTTTTATTAGGTTTACCAGAAGGGAAGAAGAAGAAGAAGAAAAGAGGAGTGCAAGTCGTGACCCACAGAATTAGCGCAAAAGCTTAAGGAGTAAGAATAGTGGAAGGAAGCTATACAAGGATTTACAAATGTGTGCTTAAATTACAATTTATGAACCCCCATCTCGTAAGCCTGAGATCTCTAGACCTCGGCCACCGAACTTACCAATTGGGCATTCTGATCAGAGAAAGAAAGAAGCACTGATATTTTTCTTAATTTTGAGCCTAAATTTATTTGCCAAATCATATGTTCAGTTGACCGTTATGCAATGCAACGGAAACAGCAGAGGAAACTCTCAGTCAAGGATCTCTGCTTTTGTTTCTGTTTTTCTGGGTTTGGGATTGATTTACTTACTAACCAAACGTCGTTTGGGAGATGGAGATCTTCAGACCCAGTTCTTGTGCTATCGTGAAGGATGAGAATCGATAAGTGTCAAAGAAGCGGGCCATCGTGGGAACCAATCAACGGCAAAACTATCTACATTACATGAAAAAGCCTTCTGAAGATTTCTCCCTTGGCACTGTTGCCATGTCCACTATATGCCCTACATCGAGTAAAAACCACAAACTTCTTCCGAGAGTTGCACGTTCTCGTTCAGACTGTCCGACAGAAGGGGCATGGACTGCTGATTCCGATCGCCTGCAGATCATGGCAGCGAATACATGCGCTCAATTTGTGTCATCCAAATGTTAAAACAGAGGATAAAACCACGGATTCAACATATGAAAATTCAAAATAACAGATGAAAGGAAGGACGAGACTGATTGCATATGCTTGAGGCCGTCCAGCAGAAGCAAACGAGACAATTACACGAGATGAATTGATGTCCAGTGTACCAAATGGTTCTTTAGTCGTCAAGTGCAGAAAAAATGAGATATCACCGACGCCAGAGATACGGATTGGCTGAAAGGCTTACTTTTTAAAGTTTTCAATTCAAGTACAAAATTGGGAAATTCCGATCTTTAGAATATAAAACAAGTTCATAGAAGTTGGAAATGATCGAATAAGGCTTTAGTTGATACCAGAAATGACACAAGTATGATACGATTCTCAGTATAGCCATTTCCTGTTAAAGACTATTACAGGCACATAGAGTTGAGAATCTTAGCCAAGGGGAAAACTTTCGATAACATCATCAACAGACAGCCAAACATGAGAACTGTAGGAAGCTGGGGTATGGTAAGGGATCCAGGCTTAAAGCAAGTAGGTTTATCCGATCCCAATAATCCTGCTTCAAGGCACTCTTCCCTTCTGTAACCAACCCCCAAAGCGCGAGACCAACCAAGAGAGAGAGGAGAGAGAGAGAGAGACGAGAAACCCAACTCAACATCCCAAAATACATGCTTTGCACATAGTACATTGAACATGAAGCAAGCGGATTTACGGACAATGAAGAAGAAGGCACCACCGAATTAAACCAGTTCTGACACATTAGAAAATGTGTGTAAGGTAGTTTCATGAGTCTTGGGCATGACCCTTTCAACTGAGTAAGCATGGCACATGCGAACCCAATCTACGAGGTGGAGATAAGTAAAGCAAGAGAACTTGTGAGAGTTGCATGAACATTTCCTAAAAAGTGGACCAAGATGCGACAGATGAAGAATTAAAAAGTAGGGACTGAGAAATGGACAGGGTTAAAGAATTTGTTCCATATTCCCGTCGAAGAAAGCTGTCTGTCAGGCAGGTTCTACAGGGATGTAAAAACAGGATCAGCACATCGAAAGTGTGGCAACAACCAACTACAAATGGCAAAAACAAAACAAAAAAAAAGAGGCTAAAAAAGCATAATTCTTAAATTGACTGAAAACTAGAGTCATAGCATGTCGCAAAAAATGATGCCAGACCAAAATGTGCAGGGTAATATTCAGAGTATGCTAACCAGAAAATGTCCTTAGATAAGTATCCAACTAGCCATAACTTAACTCCTTCAATAAAATTGGGACTACAAAATTACACGCAAATATCATATTAAAAATTGATCAACACAATTACTCGATCCCCTATCAAGATGTCCCTCGTCACCCTCAAGCCTCAGAAAATATCATAGGTGTTCTTTAGGCAATGCAATTGAAAAAACTTGATTGGCTTTAGTTAGGTAGATACAGAGTCGGTGCATATTGAAAGACAATAGTGATGAGACAAGATTTGCCAAAAGAAAGGGCATGCATTTTCCCTTGAAAGTTTCTGCTAAGTTACCACCTGTAAAGGACAATTTGCTCCCTCGCTCATGGATTTCGTTAAGGATTATGCACAATTCTATGAATTCAATAGGAATGAGACAAATCCACCTTTCAGAGAAGAAATAAGATGCAAGTGTTCATTTAACGTTAGGCATACAGCTAGGAGTTCATGTGTTCCAGAAATGATAAGAAAAAACGAAGGTGCTAATTATGGATTTAGGATGATTACCCACGATATAGAGCTGGAAAGAAAAGAAAACAGACTGACAAAAGCAGAAAGAGTTTTTCTTCAGGATCGCCAAGAAAGCAATTAATGGAACGCAGGCTGTAGAAGAAAGGGTGAGAGAGTACGCCATTTCTCGGGTAACATTTCGAAAGAGGCAGCGATGGGCATGGTTCAGGTTGAGCAGCTAC